TACTGCGTACACAGGAACTGCTTAGTACGCGTATTGAAAGGCACTCATACACCCCTGGTATGAAAAACGCGCCATCGCAAAGACTGCCCTTCATCCACCATTTGTCGTCCCATTACTCACCCCAAAATGGTACGGCCGTTGTCGATTGTCTTGAAAAATGAAGATTCCAGACCAGGATAGAGGCCCTGGTCAGCTGGAGGACCCGTTCCGTCGGAGGAAATTCCGGGAAACACTCCACTCCCAGAAAGTCGTGTGCGTTTTCTCTCCGGCTCGGTAATCAATGAGGGGAATGACCTTCTCCGTCCTCCAAATGGAACTCGTTCATTTGACCGCTGTGGATCCCCGATCATCACCGAACATCAGTCAGTGCGCATGGCAGGCTCGGGCAAATCAGCTCTGGCTCCTTCTCGCTCCTGCCGAACTGATGGCTGTGAACTGCGGAAGTTCCGGATAAATCACTAATTATAGGGAGCTCAGGATAGAGGTACATCGGGTCCTGCCAGAACGCACCACTCATTTCGCGGCCCAGAGCCGGTCACCTCATCGTTTCCTGTGGCCGAAACGGAGGTCGGTCGAAGGCTGCGTTTACACTCGCTCTACAGTATCAAGGGAGTCTCAATTCGTGGAGGTGTGGGCTCTTCGCGGAGGGTCGAGGCTTAATCGATATCCGTCTCGCGTGTGCCGAAGACCACCAAGCCCCCCCATGGGTTGGGTTCCCTCGGCCGTCCCAGCCTTACGGGAAGACCAGGGCGTTCGAGAAGCCTAATCGCTGCCAGCTGCTTGTCCAGGGTGGCAGTCAAGGGAAGTGGTGTTGCACAAAAGAAGCTTCCCCTGCCCGTTGCATCGTGCCTGCCAGCCACCCTTGCCGAGATTGGGGGGGAAGCTCAGGGGTTTTGGACACCAAGCTAGGGGTGTCGAATGCGACCAACCTGCAAACGCGACATCAAGATACCGTGACCGCCAAGATATCGCGTGGGCAATGTCGAGACGACAACACGCGAAATGCGCCAGCCATTGTTTGAGAAGAACCTCACTGTCGCTTCAGACGAGGTTGGTGCCGATCCTTTGCGGGGAGAAAAGGCCGGTCCTGCGAAGGAGCTCGTCGTCGAAACCAACACTGAAAACTACTGCGGATGGAATGAAGCTCACTCGGGGCAAAATCGAGGTAACCAAGTCTGTCCTTTCGTGAATGGTCGGAGCGCGGGGAACCCCGTCAACGCGGCCTCCTAAGAACGAGCGCTCGCCTTCGAGACACTCCCTCAAGGCTGTCACGATGACGGGTCAACCTCTCGCTGGGGGAACGAGGACGAGTGGTGGCAGTTCTGGGTCGCCCGAGGTTCCAATTCTGTCTTTGTCAACTTCGCGATCTCTGACGAGCCTTGGCCGAGTTAGTGAACGAGGAATGTCGGACGGGACAATCTCGGGAGCAAGCAGCTCGATCACTCGCATTATCGCTCAGCCCCAAAAATGTCAACCGGTGCAGAACACCACTTTCAGCCGTTGATACAAACATGGAGGCAACGATCGCTCAAGCTCGCACACAGAATATGGCGTTGAGAAGGTCGCCTCGCCCAACCAACCGAGACACTCACGGCTCATGGAACAGAACAAGAACGCCATGCTTGCTCAACCTCCTTGTGAAACATGTCGATCGCGCCTGATGGATCCGTGGTGGCGGTCCAGCCCAGAACCCACAAACTCAATGTCTCAGATGGTTTTTAATCTCCCCTTTTCAGCTCGCGTCCCCCAGCCCCCTCTTTCTTCCGTCATTCGGTATCACCGACTTATTGGCAGGCCCGGATCGGCCGATGGCTTAGATTTGTGGAGAATCATCACGGAGTCTCGCCGACTCGACCGTTCAAAATGCGAGGATCGTGGGGTCATTAGTCATGGCCATGACGATAGTGAGTCTTCTCTCTCATCTCGCTCGGTCCGAGTCAAGTTGGCTTGCTTCCGTTGGACCTCATGCTGCTTTCGGCTAGTTAGCTATGGACCGATGATCACTGGGGTTTACGGACGAGAGCGAAAGAGGAGAAAAAAAGACGATGCGTGGCGGACAGCAAGTGGCGTCTGTATCACCGCTCGCTGAACAAGCTGAACGGATACCGTAAAGGGGAATCCCGCGACTTCTTCACGGTCAAAGCCTACTGCCAGCAGTATCTGGTTTGGTCCCATAAGCAGCTAATTTTGATGCGGGGGGCAGTCGGGTTGAGTTCCTCCTTTGCTTACACCAGCCGAGAAGCCATCGTCGACTTTGATTGTGACTTCTCCTGTCGAGTGCAGAAGAGAAGAATACGGCCTCGCAGTGTCTCCCCATCCAAGACCTGAAGGGACGATACGAGTCAGCGCCTTGTTCTCTCCCGTCTAGGCTGGGATGGGACAAGGCATGCGGTGGCGCGTTGCACGATCGGGATACGGGATGCCGTGCCTGTCCTTCTTTTTCCTGTCCTTGTACTGTGGTCCCTCCCCTTCCTGTGTACTCACCCTCTTTCTCGTAGTCCAGCGAGTCCAGCCAAGTGCCCAGAGCGCTGAATGGAGGAGAGACGATAACGAAACTCTCCGCCTGGCCCAACCTGCACCCACTTTGCATGGTCATGTGGTGGGCTGATGTTCCTCTTCGATCGACACGGGCAGATTCCACAGTGAGAACTGCGCCGCGCTCCAGACCGTCAACTGTCAAAAAAACGGTTATTTGAGCAAGTTGGTTTGATGGCATGTCAGCGCCGCACGGTCGTCGTCGCGCGCGTTGGTCGTCTCATTTCTCGAAGGGCTGTGCCGCCGCCTCACCTAGAAGGACCCGACAACTGTGGACTGATGACAGGCCCAGAACGGAAAGAATCGGCCATGGCCGCCTCAGATACGGACTCAACGGCTCCGGCGTCGGTCTTTTCGCCCGAAGGGAGAGAACGTCGAATCGGTTGCCTCCTCCCCCCTTCACTTCCCTGTTTTTACATTCAGATGGCGTTGCGGACATGTGGTGGTTGGGCAGTCGTCAAGCAAACGGTGCATGTGTCTCATGCAGCAGTCAGGGGTGGGTGAGATGGGGGTTGCTTGCCGGTCCCCGCCGCATGGAGACCGGGGGGAGGGGGGCGGGCTGCTCAATGCTTGGTTCCCGACCCCCCCTCCCTCTCCTCTCCTCCCAACATGCCTGTTTTTCTGTTTGCTCACCTCGGTGAGCAAGGCGCGGGGAAACAGGGTCCAGGCCAAGTCGGCACTGCTGCTTGTCTTGCCCTTGTCCCTGCGCGGCCGCCGGGTGTATTGCCGGGGCTCGCTTGAACGTCGTCCCGTGTGATCGTGATATCAGCCCGTCCGCGTCCTGTGTCATGTATATCGGGCTTGCGTGGAATTGGGCCGAGGTGGCATATTTTGTGAGACTCATTTATGCCAATCTGTCCAAAACCCGCCGAGTCGAGTGCCCAAGCCTTCTTCGAATACCCTCCGTCCGCTTGGGCCTGGTGCGAGTGTTTTGAGATCAGGCTCTGGGCTCGCAGCCCGAGGCTTTTCGGTGTTCAATAACCATAACTAATTATTCCATGAAACATTCGTGCGGGAAGACATCCCCTTCTCGTAGCATGTCCGAGAAGGCAAGGCATGTTGGTGTTGGGGCGTGTCTCGGCTCGGTGCGAGCCGCAGGGCGACACCGGAAGGGATGAGGCCGGGTTTGAGACAACAAGGCCGCGGACATGGAAGGATGTTCCTTTGATGGTTATGGTGATGGGGGGCTAACTAGTCAACAAACCCCCGAATACTCAGCCCCTTGCCTGTTATAGTATCCGAGAGGAAGGAAGTGTACGAATATGATAGACTGAGTGCAGGGACTATGTCCCTGTTTCTGCAAGTTCTTGATCCCAGGCTGACTTGTGAATGACAATGGCTCTCGGCTTCATGTAAAACATATTGAATGGTAGTTTTATTATAGCCTAACGCTTATTTGTTTGTCTGGTTGCTTGTTTGTTTGTTGATATGAGACTTTTGAGGAAGTCAAGTTCTAAGGGGAAACCGGGAATGATAGTGAAGTGAAAATTGAGGAGAAAAAAGAGAAAGTGGGGGAAAAGAGAGTGGTAAAGTTGAAACGAAAGGAAGGGATAAAACAAAATACACACTGGTGTGGAAAGTAAGAACATTATCAAAGAGAATTGAAGTGTAGATATATTTCTGTCTTATCTTTGTGTTCTCACCCCAACCAGACGCTAGCAACGAGGAACATCAGAGCCTACCGAGAGAATGGCGACGAGGCAAACATAGCTCAAATTCCAGTTCCCTTCAGTGCTACGCCTGGTTTAAGGAAGGCTCGGGTTTTGAAACCAAGAACCAAGGCCCCCTCCCTACAGTGCAGGAGGTGAGCTAGATACAAGCTACCCGAGCCAGGGATTGAGACACAAGGAAGGAAAGTGGTGTTTCGGTATCCGAGCACTTGGATATGGATCTGACGGAACTCTAACAAGCCAAGTCAATGCAGCAGCGAGGGGCTCCTGAGAGACCAAGTGCTGGAGTTGATTGAGAATGGATATGTACTGGCTCCCCATCCCCCATCCCCCACATACGAGCACTCACGAGCAGACGGAGAAACACCCACCCATGAACTGGCGATGTTGGGCTGGCCCTTCTACGCCACCGGCATCAAGTTAAGTTGAGCCCCTAACCCCGCTCAGCAACAACAACACGCAGTTTCAAGACCAACATCACGGGACGGCCGCCAACAAGCTCCATCGTCTCAACGCGGCAGCTAACAAACAAATAAACAGATGTTGCCAAAGTCTGGCGACCACCAGGTATGTTGAAGTTAGAAGATGGGAACGAACTAGCGAACTTTTCCTCTGTGCCCTATCGTCTCCCGCCATCAACCAACACAACACAACCAGCACAAGAACGCCCATGGATTAATCTTCCCAACTCCTCCCAAAACCCCAACCAAGAATGCCGTCTCCAACATGGCCGCTAAAACATCAGAACATATCCGTCATACATACATACAACCAACCTCGCTTTTGGTGATCCCTGCTCGACGTCGACGCCCAACAAATACCAGCCAATATAAACAAACAGCAGCCCATCATCACATCACATCATAGCTCGTACCCCGCTCTTCACAGCCAAAAAGGAACCACCCTTTCGAGAAGACCCTTAATCCCGGTGCGACCTATGATGCCGTCTCGCGTCATCGACCTCGTCACCCCCTTCGATGCGATGACGGCGGTGCTTGGTATCCTTCTCCCTCTCCTTGTCCTTCCCACCACGCCTCTCGTCATCCCTCTCCCGCTCGTGCTGACGATGCCGCTTCTTCCTCTCCTCGTCCTCGGTCTCACGCCCGCGGTCACGGTCCTCGTCATACTCGGCCTCGCCACGCGTTTCACGCTCCAGCTCCTTCTTCCGGCGCTCTGTGCCAGGTCGCATTAGCATCTGGATAACCTGTGGGGAAATCAAGCCGGGAAACTTTACCTCTCAGGGTGGCGGTCGCTGCCGCGTAAGCCTGGATCTCCTCCTTGCTGAGGACCCGCAGGACGATGACAAAGTCGTCGCGGACCTCGAACCGCTCCTTGCCGATCTTGAGCGCCTCCGGGTTGACCATCTTGCGGCTGATCTTTGTCCAGCGCGCGCCGGTCGGCACGTTGTTCTTGGACTTGTCGTCCTTGTGGGGGGCGACGCCCTCGCGGACGGGGTTCGGTTCTTCGGGGAACTGCACCTTTGGTTGTTTGAGGATGCCTTTGATGGGCTTCTTGTCTAGGATGGCGTCCTTGGGCGGCGGCACCAACCGGACTTGTCTTTCGTCTCGCGACGGAGGGGTGGCGTCGCCGCCATCCTCCTTGGGCGCTGGGGCCGAGGCGTCGGGGTCGGCCTCGCGCTTCTCGACCGGGGACGGCTTACGGTCTGGAGACGGGTCCCTGGCTGGGGACGCATCCTTTTCGTCGGCTTTCTTGGCGTCGTTGAGCTTAGCTAGCCGCGCCTTCATCTCGGCGAGAGCGGCGGTGTCATTGGGGTTGAACGACGAGGCCCTTAGACGGCGGCGAGGCCTTGTCTTTCCTTGATCGTCTACGGATGAGGAGCGGTCTCGAGATGGCAGAGCTGCCGCATCGTCATCCTTCTTGGATTCCCGGGCCTCGGGTTCGGGCACTGCTAGGTTCCTTGGTTTCTCACGGTCCCTTGGGTGCTCGACGATCTCGAAATCCTCGTCACCAAGAAGATCCTCGTTTCGGCTTGGTCGGCCTCGAGAATCTGCCTCGTCGTGCCTCCTGCGATCGACGTCCTCGTCTGCATGCCTCCTTGACGGGGATGGGTCCTCATCCTTGTCGGTCCTGCGTTTCATGGCAGACTTGAGGCCGACGGTAGCGGCGGCAAGACCAAGACCAGCTGCGGCCTTGTCGCGAACCTTGTCTCTCTTGCTCTCGGGTTCGTCGTCGTCTGATCTTCGGTCTTTCCTGTCGCGCCCGCCTTCCTCGTCAACCACGTAGTCGTGCTCACGGCGCCTCCTATGATCCCGGTCGTCGTACTCGTGCTTGATGATTTCCAAGTCATCGTCCGGCCGCCTCCTCGACTCGTGGGCCTCGTAGCGTTTGTGAGGCTCTCGGCGCTCACGGCGTTCGTCAGGATACGCCTTTTCGGGAGGCCGGCGATGGTCGTCGACGTCGTTCGGATCGACGAGAATCCCAAAGCCACGAGCGGTGACGCGGTCATCCTGGAAGTAATTCTGGTCGCGGGGGTCGTCGTAGTAGTAATCATCGGGGTGACCAAGTCGGTTAGGGTCGTCTTGGATCATCGACAGCGGGCGTGGACCACCGCGGTGTTCTTCCCTAGGGCTTCCCGAGTTCTCGAGTAGGTTCAACGGACGCCGCACTTCAGGAATTGGGGGGGGTCCTGCTGACGGCGGAAGAGGCATATGCGACCCGGCGCCATTATAAATACCACCGGCTGGCTGGGTCCAGCCTATCTTCTCCAAACCCCGAGTTGCCGGCGGTGGACCTCGCACTCGCCTCTCGGTCTGATCGAAGGGGCGGGCGAGATCTGCGCTAATGCTGACGGTCGGGCGATAGTACCGATCGAGGCTCTCGCGGCGGGTCCTCTGGCGCTGGTCGTGATCAAGATCGTATCTCGCGAGGTCGCTTGGCCTCGTGTACTCGTATCCTTCGTCGTCAAACTCGTTGTAAGTGTTGGTGCGATGGTTAGGTCCGGCGTAGAGCGACCCCGGACGTGTAGGATGTTGCGGGTCGGCGCCGCGGTTTCCCAGCCTATCCTGGTGAGTCCTTTCCTTTAATCGCCGGTATTCGTCGTCGTCGATACTGGCGCTCGAGGGAACGTAACCGACGGCTCGGCTCCGGGGTATGGAGGAAGCCGGCTGGGCGTAGTACTGGCCCTCGTCGCTCGATCGATAGGGATCGCGGGGTGGGCTTCCCGATCTTGGGGCTGGCGAGTGGTGCTTCGTAGTAACTATGATGGGCCGTTTGACATTCTGGTCGACGACGCGGTGGACTCGGGTGCCGTCGTTGACACTGGTGCTCCTCGAGAGCGGCTCCTTCCTCACGGCGTATGTGTTGGCGCTAACGGGGACGGCGCTCGTGCGATACTCGTCGGCGGGGCGGGATAAACCCTCGTGGTGGGATGCTGACATGGCATGGAGGTCTCCGCTGTAGAGAGAGCCATAGCCACCGCCGGTGACGGGCATCGAGGAGCGGGCGGGGTTGTAGAGAGGAGGCGAGCGCCTCGTCGCGGGGTCCATGTATCGGTAGCGGGCAGGGTCGGCCATCTCTGCGGCGGGATCGCACCGACCCGAAAAGGTGACTGGGGGTTGCGAGTGTGACAATGCCTGCTGGTTGCGATAGGGAAAACCGAGGGGATATCCTGGTGACGTCCTGGTGATATCGACTCAACACTGCGCCGATTCAATGGTGAGAGGGAGCTGGGGAGAAAGAGCGGTGACTGTCCACGTGGAGCGGTGTTTTTTTGGGAGGGAAAAGTGGCAGTTAAGTGGTGTGTGTGTGTGGGCGTCTTCCTGCCTGTCGGGGGCGCAGCGTACTTGGTCAGAGGGGGAGGGGTCTCTCTCTGTTCGGGGTGTGCCCAGGTGGGGTTCGATATGACGCTCGGCGGGGCAGACCGGGGTGTAAGCTCTGCCGCTGCACTCTCCAATCCGGATGATTACTTTTTTTGTATGTACTGTGTGCGCTGCGTAGGTACCTACATATGGAAGCAAGGCTTGGGTAGCTTTTCGGCACGCGGTGACGCAGTGTATCGAGGCGGTTTTGGTAGCGATTGGACTGATGAGACTGAATAAGGTGAGAGTGATGTCGGACCAAGTACATCGTTGTGTGCCGCGGGGTCGTCGAGCCGGCCCTTGAAAGTGTGTTCGAGGAGGGGCAGAAAAAATGTACCTGAGCCTTTTCCGGGGTCTCTCCCTTCCAAGGAATCGACGGAATTCGAATGGTGGGGACGGCGTGTTCTGCCCAATGTTTGCCTTCCATCGGACGAACCCAAGCTCATTCGTGCCTGCCATCCCTTGCCAGCTTCCCTCCGAATCCGTGTCTGCCTGACGAAGCAACCCACCATTCCCGTTTCTCGATTCCTCCACATTGAAGGCAAGGCTACGAAACGGTTCATCAAGCGACGAATACCAATATTCCATGCACTTTCCGAAAGGCTGTGTTCCTCAAGGCACACCTCCTTGGCAATTCTCTTATTATCTCGGGGATCTCGCCAGGTTCGGCATGCAGGGAAGGCAAGGATGCGGGCTGCCGTCGGGGATGCTGCGTCGGGCTTCTTTGATTCCGGCCTTGCTTCTCCGACTTTTCCCACGCACCGCACCCCGACATAGCGCCGACCTCGACCGAATGTGTTGATCGTCAGACGTGGAGTTGGGTTAAGTCGGCAAGGCCATTTGAACACGAGGACGGCTTTGCGCCCAGCGGCAGTGGCCATCGCGCCCGCCAAGGTGAAGGATGACGTCTGCTTGGGCCATTGCGGGCCTACCAAAACGGTGCCTAATTGGGAATCGCTCGGTGGCTGCATGTTACAAGTAACCATGAGACATTGTTAGCCTTTGCCATGGAACATGTTCCTCAGCAAACAGGCCAATCCCGAACATTCCAGCTGCAGACATCACCAACACAGGCTTTTTAAGAGGCAAGAAGTGCGTAGGGGTCCATAAGGGTCCAAGTGATCGCCCAACACGAGCTTTTCCTCGCTCACCACTAATCGCGAGTGACTTCACTTTTCCAGTTTTGAGATGACTTTTGAGCAAGGCATGGCATCCGACATCCGGGATTTCCAAGCAAGCGGCGCGGCAGTGGCAAGCGGGCCTCTTGTCACACGGCAGTTTCCTAGCACAATCGCACAATCCGCCAACTCCGGCTGCTTTCTTGGCCTCCTCCTCCCCTGGTGTAATCACAGTCCCTATCCACGGGACCGCGCCTGGTTAACTGACGGTGGCCACAGTCTGGTGATCTCCCTCGTCCCGTTCGTTGTTTTGGACATTTCCGGATTGGGTGTCACATCGATCCAATATCGATAGACATCCCGGCAACGGGTTGAGGTAGGGTGGCAGACCACTCCTTTTTTAAAGATTGGGCACCGACGGCCAGATACCCAACCCACTCGACACTTCTACCGTCGCCCTCTGAGTGGTCTGTTGCTCTGGCCTTCAGCTCCCCCGTCGCATATCCCATTTCTGAGATGGAGGTGAGCCCAGACGTCCGATTGGCCTCGGCCTTCGGTAGCCCGCCCGCGACTCGTAACTTCACACCCTCCCACACGTGGGAAGTTCAGAGTGTGCAGTAGCCTCTTTCCCGGACGCGCTTCCGTCACGTTTCCCCGATATGAAGGTCGAGCTCGGTGTGGAGGTCCGCCGGACGGCTGGGGTGATTTCTCCATGGTCCGTCGGACAAGCAGCGGATGGTAGGCAGGTCTCCCCGCCCGAGAGACCAAGAGGCGGGCCGATGGCGGCTTGCTCGGCTATTCACCACACAACGCGCTGGGATGCCTTGCTGTCGTAGAACGATACACGGCGCCTTCTGGGCAAGCAACTCTCACGTTCCACCGTCGGTGTGGTTGCTTCTGCCCACCCCCCGGAACACTCGCAGGCGATGTCGTGACCCCCCGGTTTGTCCACCAGCCATGCTGCGTCACCCAGAAGCCCGGATTAACTCGGCGAGATCCGGCAAGGCCCAACTTCCAAAGATTGGCTTGGTCAGGGTGCGGTTGACATGTTTAAGCCATGGGTGAATTCCGCGTTTGCCGGCCCACTTGATGGAATAATAAAACTAGGGGTTGCTGGTGTCGACCGACTCGAGCCCATGTTTGAGAGGTTGTCCGACAACAGAAAACACCAAATTAAGGAAGATATGTTTAACCCGAAGGCGAAAGGATTGAATACTAGCTATATCAAGTCCCCAATACTCAGGCAACAAGTGCGAAAGTCGTGTCAATCACAGAGAACGGTGGTTCCGAGTAAAGCGGGGGGCCATAAAGAGCGTGGTTCGTAAATGGGGTGTGTTGGTTTATACAGAACAAGGTTCTTCCAGGTCCCAACGTGTTTGAGTGAGGTCTGGATGGCGACAGCTCGATGTGATACGGAAGAAACTAAGTAAAAATGAAGGGATTATATATCTAGACAGGTGGAACTCGAGTCGTTGTGCACGTGGAAAGAAAGGTTGAGCAGACAGAAGGGCAACGAGGCGTTGCAGTCACAGTTTCATGTCACTCGTGGAACAAGTAAGGCCAACAATAAAAGTCCATCCATTACAGTCATCATATACACGTGAAACTAGCGACATGAAGTCCTCATCTCCTTCCCGACGACCTTATTTCCAACGAGGTGTCCACCCAATCTTTGTCCAGTCTTCCAAATACACGCCATTTCCAAATGTACCAAATGCGAGTCTAATACATGCAGTGTGGTGGCTGGGGAGCCCGCTTAGAGGCGCGAGCCGTGGACGACCTTCATGTCGACGGCCATCTCGCGGCCGTTGTCAGTGACGACCAGGACACGGACGCTGCCGCGGCCGGACTCAAAGGCCTTCTGGAGGCGGCCCCAGAGGCTGCTCTGGTCAATGACGGGCAGGTTCTGCTTGACATCGCCAGTCTCGGTCATGGCGACGATGGCGCCATCCTGCATGTCGAGGACGCGGTACTGCTTGAAGACCGGGCCGACCATGGTCTGGACGACGACGCTGGGGGCCGGGTTAGAGACGAACGACGACTCCTCATGGAGCTGCTTGGTGAAGAGGTCGACACCAAGGTAGCGGTGCTGGCCAGTGGCAGCCGAGGTCGAGATGCGGATGACCTGGCAGGGGCGGCTCTGGAGGATGAGGATGTCGCCGAGGCGGATGTGGTGGCAGGGGATGGTCACCGTGTTGGGGTTCTGGGAGACCTCCGACGATGCGCCACGGGGGCGGCGGGCCTGAACATCGGCCTCAACGCGGTCATGGCCTTCAGGGTGGGCAATGCGGTCAGCTAACTTGTGCAATCCGTGACGGAAGGAGTGGTAGTGGCCTGATGTTGGCGTGAGCACACTCGCGTGTGTGACTAGTCATGGGGCTTCCCATGACTGGACAAAGGGGAGGGGGTGTATGCTTACCGTCCTCGTCGTAGTAACCCATCTTGGATTGAGTGTCGTGACGGGGAGTGTCTACGGTCTCTTCGACGATGTTTACCTGGCTCTTGTAGGTAGAGCGAGGAGCAGGTGCGTCAACGGTGGTACCGGTGACGTAGACGGACTCTTTGTAGGCGGGGCTGGTGACAGGGACGTCAACTGTGTAGTCGTCGACGTGGCTGTGGGCCTTGTGGCTGTGTCCGAAGCGGGAGCTGTCGACGGTAGAGCCGACTACGCTAGGTTCCTTGTGGTAGTTGGCTTGGATGCGGGAACGATACTCGCTCTCGGCAACGTCGATGACAGAGTGAGGGCGGTGCTGCTTGTTATCGAACTCGATGCGAGACTCGGAGTAGGACTTCTGAGGTCTGATGTTGGAGTGGATGGTTAGTGAAAGGAAAGGAAAGAGGTCGAGTGTTTATCTGGGAATCTCGTGTTTTTCTGTCATCCGGTTCCTGGGTCAACCCAGCCCCCCCTGGCTGCCAGACCGCCTTGGCAGGCGCTCAGCAGGGGATGGGTGGCCCCAGTCGGTCAAAAAGAAAGGCGGGGAAACTAAGACCAAAGTGGACCAAAACAAAACAAAAACAAAACAAGGGCAGGGAAAGCCCAACAGAACAGAAATGCAACTCACTTGTGGTGGTGGTGGTGCTCCTCGCGGTAAACAAACTCCTTGTGGGTACCGGGACGGCGGTGTGGCTCCTCGTGAGTGATGCGGACCTCTTCTTCTTTAAAGCGATCCTCTCCGGCGGGAGGAAGATGTGCTTGGGGTGGGAGTGAAGAGTGTTGACCTTCCCGTCCGGCGAGCTGGGGGAGTTTGATCTCAACCTCTTCGTGAACGTGGGTTTGGGTGGCGGTCTCGGACTCCCTGTACGATGACGGGAAGACGCTGAAAGGGACCGGGACACGGGCTTCAAAGTCCAGATTGGCGACTTGATGCGCAGAGAGGCAGTCTTCTCCTCAACCTTCCGATTATCGAAAGGTGGACAAGAAGAATGACTCTTGCTTCTTTTCCTGGAAAGAAGTCGAGTGAAAGGAGAGAAGGCGGTCTGTGGATGGACCCGTCTTCTTTTTCAATCGAATTCCGACAAGGGAAAGAAGATGGAGTTTTGGGATTTGTGGTTGGTTGTGAGTGGACGGGGTGTGTGCAGGTGTAGAAGGAGGAGAAGAAGATCGGGGCCAGGCTGGTCGAGAGAGGCCGCTTCAAATACGCATTCCCGCGGCGCTTTTCCCAACCCGTCGCCGGTTGGCGGGGAGAGTGAGAGTTCCAAGCAGCGTGACTGGAGTCCAATGGGATCGTGAGAATTACTGTGTGGCCGCACTGGCTGGGGTCAATTGGCAGCCGCCAACCAAGGCACAAAATCCCCAGTGTGGCAGGAGCTTCAGATGGTCTGTTTACATGATGTGGGGCGATGTCTTGTTTATCGAGGCCTTAATTGGCCTAGCGGATGTTTTCGGAGCCCCACAAGGCCGACCCTTGCTCCCTCGCTCCCTCCTGCGGGGGTGTTTCCCCAACCTCCCTGCCAGCCTGCTCGTTTTTCCAGGTTATCGCGTCTCGCCGATTCGAGCTAGCAGCTTTCCCGTCGCGAGCTGAAAAGCTCATCCACAATTGCGCATTTGCGCTGCTGGCCGGCCCCATCGGCGGGTGGGCTGGTGGTCAATCCGTGTCTCCAACCTCCTCTAGCTTCGCTCCTTGGGAGGGATAGCCACGATCGGCTGATGGGGAGCATGAATGTCGGTTGCGCCAATTGACGGGCCAGATCTCCATGCGAGCACCCGGAACTTGGAAGCTCTGTTTTGGCGACAGATCTGAGAAGCTCCTGGCAATTTTAATCAAACGCGGAGGCTGAACGCACAGCTGGCCAAGACCACTTGGAGGTCTCGATCTTGGATTTCCTGCAGCGCGGGCATGCAAACAGCGTATGATGGGGGGCTGGGGGGGTCGGTCAGATCCCTGCTGCAGCAAGAGAATCTGCGGGCTGGGGAGCCAGCATGGTCGATCACCGCGCTTGCGCCCTCAATTGGCCATCACCTCAACGGAGGAGAGGCTGGGAGAAGGCGGGAAGACCTTTGCGTGGCCTCACAGTTCGTGGGCGCTTGCGATTGGGTTGTCGGCGCAACCTCCATGTGGCCAAGAGTGGTTGAACTGAGGCCGCAGAAGTAACCCCAGCCGCCCGTCTGAGCGCTTGCCAAATAACTCTCAGCTCCGGGTCAATAACAAAGGGCGCTAACCACCAAGTAAAGCGGTCGAAGGGACATCAGAAACATATCAGAAACCCTTACGTTACACCGTCACGGTCTCGGCCTCGTTCCGGCATCTGACTGACATCAAACAGCCTGATTTCCCACTCGACAGGTGCCGAGGTGCTTTTCGGTTCCCCACCCTAGCGAAGCACATCATTCCGCGTTGCCATGGGCAACTGCTCAGCCGGAAGAGACCGGGCGATTCGCCGAGCCGATCGCTGTTCGGCGCCGGTTGTTCGCATGTGACTTGTCGCCACGCGCTGCCGAGTGCCGTGTCGTTTGTTGATATGTGAGAGCAAACGGGTCCGACCTTGGGACATTGCCAGGATTTTCCCCCGAGTTGACGTGGTTGCAGAACCGGTCTGGCAGAACTCGACATTGCCGGTCTGCCCACGGCTTGGAGCGGTCTTGATCCCGTGTCTCTCGTAATTGCCCCGAGAATTATTGCGATGTCCTGCTACACAGTAAATAGTGAAGGTCCAGAGTGCGGAGCATGACTGACTAGCCAAGCCAGGCGGTGTGGATGTGAGATGAGAAAGGCAACTTGGCGCGTTGAGGAGGTTTGGGACTTCAGCGGATGTCATGGAATTGTCACGCCTCCCATCCTCAGAATTACAAGCGGAGCGCCATCACTCCATCACTACCTACACAGTAGAACGCAACGGCATTTTCCATTCTTCCAACGCAATTCCTGATTGAAAGGAACCATCCATTGCAGACGCCATGGAGACCATGCAAGCGATGTATTCTCTCGCGATTGGGTTCGGATTTGGCGGTTTGATGTTCGCCATCACATATCACATATTTGGTGCCATTCAGAAAATAGTGCAGCAGAGGCGGAATTCCTCAACAACGTGACCAACCAAACCGGCTCAGGTTCTCGCTGTGGTGCCCACCACACTCTCACTGCACTGCACTGCATGTCAAAGCGAGAGCCCAACCTGTTTGGGTCCCGGAAGCTCCGGCGGGGCGAGAACTGCAACGGAACCCCACCTACCCTTTTTGGGTCGCCGACACACCACCAGGCTGCCCCGCCATGACATGAAGCTTGACTACACAGTACCTAGAGCTGTCTCAGACTTGCTGTCTACCTTGAACAATTCGTGACAGACTGCTGACAGCCTACGGATACGCCCAATATGAAACAGAGGTTCTCGTCCTTGGACGTCAAGGTAACTTCCCCGCAACCCAAATACGTGTGTGGTTAGTTACCTCGTTGAGCCTCGACTAACCCCAAGTCTCTTCTTGCCCTATACCTAGGTCGTCGCACACGAGCTTGCCGAAGCACTTGTCTCTTTACGCCTAGCGAATATCTACGATCTCAACTCCAAAATCCTCCTTCTCAAATTTGCCAAACCGGACAACAGGCAGCAAGTCCTCATCGAGTCCGGCTTCCGCTGCCACTTGACCGATTTTGCCCGCGCTGCCGCTCCCGCTCCCAGCGCCTTCGTCGCACGCCTGCGCAAGTTCCTCAAGACACGCCGCGTGACGGGGGTTTCCCAAATCGGAACAGACCGCATCATCGAGTTCCGGTTCAGCGATGGAGCATATCGGTTATACCTCGAATTTTTCGCCGGCGGCAATGTTATCTTGACGGATGCCGAGTTGAAGATCCTCGCGCTATTGCGGATTGTCCCCGAGGGGAAGGGACAGGAACCCCAGCGAGTGGGCTCGACATATTCGTTGGAGAACCGGCAAAACTTGGGCGGCGTCCCTCCCTTGACGAAAGAGCGTCTTCGGGATGCCCTCACGGCGGTAACAGCGCAAGCTGTGACCGAGAAGGCCAAGAAAAAGGGGTCGGATGGCCTGAGACGGGGCATCGTCACGACCATAACCGAGCTTCCTCCGGTCCTTATTGACCATGTCTTTCGCCTCACGGGCTTCAACCCCGCCACCAAGCCAGCCGAGATCCTGAACGACCAGTCGTTATTTGACGCGCTGTTTGGTTCACTGGAGAAGGCCCGGTCAATTTTAGACGAGGTTACGAGCTCGCCTACTGCGAAGGGATACATCATTGCGAAGCCCAACCCACACGCGGCCGAACTGGCTAAAGAGGGCGGGGAGGAAGAGGATGCACAGAAAGGCAAGGCGCGGAACCTGCTGTACGAGGATTTCCAGCCATTCTTGCCTAAGCAGTTCGAGGACATGCCGGATTGCCAGGTATTGTCTTTTGACGGCTACAACAAGACGGTCGATGATTTCTTTTCTTCGCTCGAGGGTCAAAGGCTCGAGTCTCGCTTGCAGGAGCGCGAGATCACCGCTAAGCGGAAGCTTGAGGCCGCTCGTCGCGACCAGGCCCAGCGGATTGAAGGACTTCAAGACGTGCAATTGCTGAACCTCCGCAAAGCCGCAGCCGTCGAGGCCAATATTGAACGGGTCCAAGAAGCAATGGACGCCATCAACGGGCTGCTTCAGCAGGGGATGGACTGGGTAAATGTTAACAAGCTGGTGGAGCGGGAGCAGAAACAGCACAATCCGGTCGCCGAGATGATTAAACTCCCGATGAAGCTCCACGAAAGCGTGATTACGCTACTCCTCGGTGAGGAGGAAGAGGAAGGCGAGGCTGAGGGTGGTGAGATGGACTTTGACTACGACACGGATGAAGAAACGGCCGATGATGCCGCAGAAGAGAAATCCAAAGGGCCGGATAAGCGGCTCTCTATCGACATCAACCTAAAACTCACTCCGTGGAATAACGCCCGGGAGTACTACGACCAGAAGCGCACAGCAGCCGATAAGCAACAAAAGACTGTTCAACGGTCCGAGATCGCCCTCAAGAACGCAGAGCAGAAGATTGCCGAGGATCTCAAGAAAGGACTAAAGCAAGAGAAACCCATACTTCAGCCCATCAGGAAGCAAATGTGGTTCGAGAAGTTTACTTGGTTTATCTCGTCAGACGGTTACCTTGTGCTCGGCGGTCGGGACGCGCAGCAGAACGAGATCCTCTACAAGCGCTATCTTAGGAAAGGCGACGTCTATATCCATGCGGACATGCACGGCGCGTCAAGCGTCGTCATCAAGAACAACCCCAAGACGCCCGATGCCCCTATCCCACCGTCAACACTTGCCCAGGCTGGGAATCTGTCTGTGTGCTGCTCCAGCGCGTGGGACTCGAAGGCGGCAATGGGCGCCTGGTGGGTGAACGCCGACCAAGTCTCCAAGTCGGCGCCGTCTGGCGAGTACCTCCCTGTCGGTTCTTTCATGGTCCGCGGGAAGCGTAACCTGTTGCCCCCATCGCTCTTGATGCTTGGCTTTGGGTTAATGTTTAAGATCTCTGAAGAGAGCAAGGCTAGGCACGGCAAACATAGATTGTATGACGTGGACACGAGCACCACTGGCGCGGCTTCTGTGAGTGCCGCCACCGAGGCGGATGCTGTCTCTGATGGAGAAGATATCATGGGAAGTAGCGACGAGGAGGGAGATGAGGATGGGGACAAGAAAGAAAACCCTCTGCAGTCAGGGGCAGCGGGCGAAGAAGAGGGTGAAGAAGAACCGGAACTCGCGCCACAGCAGGATTCCGAGCCACCAACCGCCGACTTAGTGCAGCTCCATGTTAACCAAGACGCTCCGGTCGCAGCTGAGCCCGGGGAAGAAGAAGCAGGAGGGAGCCAACCCAACCCCGATGAAGACGAGAACGAAGAGGACGGCGAGGCCGAAGCCGAGGCCGAAGTAGAAGACTCCCACGCCTCAACCCGCCCCGAAACACCGTCCACCTCCTCCCAACAACCCCAACAAAAAGCCCGCCCCCCCAAGCGCGGCCAGCGCGGCAAAGCCAAAAAGATCGCCACCAAATACAAGCACCAAGACGACGAAGACCGCGCCGCAATGGAAAAGCTCCTCGGCGTAGCCGCAGCACGGGAAAAAGCCGAGAGCGAAGCGGCCGCGAAAGCCCAGCGCGAAGCCGACGCCGCCGCAGCATCCGAGCGGCGCCGCCAGGCCCAAGAGCGCGCGCGCAAGCAGATCGCCGAGCACGAGGAGGTCCGCCGGGCGATGCTCGAGGAGGGCGGCGACGCCTCCCTACAACTACCCGACGAGCCCGCCACCGCCGCCGACGCGGCCACCGAGCTCGCGCCCCTCGACGCCCTCGTCGGCACCCCGCTGCCCGGCGACGAGATCCTCGAGCTGGTCCCCGTGTGTGCGCCGTGGAACGCGCTCGCCCGCCTCAAGTACAAGGCCAAGCTGCAGCCGGGGCATGTCAAGAAGGGAAAGGCGGTGAAAGAGATTGTGGAGCGGTGGCGTTTGGCTGCCGGGAAGAAGGGGGCGGTGGATGAGAAAGCCGCGGCCGATGATAAGATGTGGCCGCGCGAGGTCGCGCTGATTAAAGGGATGAAGGTCGAGGAGGCGTATAATGTGGTGCCGGTTGGCAAGGTGACGGTGATGATGTCGGGGGGTGCGATGGGGGGTGCAGCTGCGGGGGGGAAGGGAGGTGGGAAGGGGGGTGGTGGTGGCGGTGGTGGGCAGAAGGGGGGGAAGGGGAGGGGTGGGAAGAAGAAATAGTTAGTGTGTTTGTTGATGGTTAGGTATCGTTGCTGTGTGTACTATGTACTGTACGCATCTAGGACGTTCGTATGTAGCGAGCATAAGTTGGTTCGAGGCCATTTTTGGCTACATAGCATACCTACCGAGTAGACTCAAGCCAACCGTGTCCGATCCCTGCTGGTGTAGAGGCATGAAAAAAAAAAAAAGTTGTGAGGTTAGTCGGATACATCAGGGAAGAGACGGAGTGATGCAGTCACGCCTTGAGATAACGGTGCGTAATCGAGGATATTTATTACCTGATTCCATTTCGTTTTTGCTGTTGAGTCTGCTGCACCGCTACACGAAACATCTCCCTCATCCACCACACTGGATCATGCAATCCGACATGCCAACTCGTATGGCTCACGCCATGGCGCAGTTAAACCGGAGACACGGCTTCCCTTGCGATAGGTTCAGTTTTCACTCACCTTGATTTAAGCTTGACACAGTTAGGCCGTGTCTCACCTTATGCAGCTCCGAACGAAAAAGACATTCGGCTCGCGGCCCGATCATCAAGCTCGCTCGAACATGCAGATCGCTCACGATTAAAGAGGCCAATAGGCAATAAGAATTATAGGGCCTGCAATGCAAGCCTTCGGAAGGGTGTCACATCGGCAACATGGCGCACGGGTTACTGGTGCTCACTATCATCAAGATCGCTGGCACGGGTAGCATCCGATGGGACGCATTTGAACAGCCAATCCCAAATCATGTATATTCGTACAGTCGTCTATGTGACCATATACTTCGATTAGAAGTGGCGGACGCCTGCCTGGCGAGCTCGGGCTGCTTATTTTAACGCGCCCGCTTGGATTCCTTGCCCTTCTTGGTCTTGACGCCCGGCTGGATCCTCGCCATCATCTCCTCTTTGGTGATGAGGTGGTCGATCCTCTCGAGCAGGCCGAGCAGGCTCTTCATGTTGAAGCTCCACTCGTTGAGGATGTCGTCGGCGTCCCGCGGCTTGGCGAAGCTGACGATGCGGGCCGGGCGATCGATCTTGGCGTAGACCGTCTTGGCCGTCACCAGCTCGCTAATGTACTTCTCCGTTTCGTCCTCCGTCAGGTCGAGCAGCTGGGTGAGACGGCCCATCTGGATGCGTGTGTAGTACTTGGCGATGACGCGCACGTTGTGCTCGATGACGCGCTTGCGCAGGTCCTGCCACCGCTCGTGGGCCTTCGGGTCGTCCGAGTCGTCGGCGTCCTCGTCGAAGACGTCGGTGTCGGTCAAATGCGGGCCGAACACGCGGGCGACCTCGGGCCAGCGCATGAGCTCGTGGACGGTGAACAGTTTCAAGAGCTCCGCATCCTCGGGCACTGTGGAATTCCGCGTGTCCTTGTGGATTCTGTGGAGCAGATCGTGTTGCTCATTGTCGTGGGGTGCTAGGATGATGAAGTAGATGATTCTCTGCAGCACCTATTGTAGAGTTAGTAACGAGCTGGTGAGTCGAGGGATTGGTGTGCTTACGAAGCGAAGCTTGACGGGGTCTTCCTCAACCGACTCGGTGTCCAATACTTGTCTGTAATGCTTGCACACGTCGAGGTACTTGGCCTCGTGCTGGGAGAGCTGGATCTGTTGCCTGTAGTAGCGCAGCTTGAGGTCTGTGACATCATCCTCCTTCTCAGACTCCTCCTCCGTCTTGCCCTTCTTCTCACGCTCCTTCTTCTCCTTCTCGAGCTGCTCTGGTGTCTTCTTGGGTTTCCGGGCTAGGTATCGGGTGCTGATCTTGCGGCTGAGGATGCCGGCCTGTGTCCAATCCCCATTCTCGATGCAGAGTGCCACCTGCGCCAAAATAAACTCGGTCTTTTCGCGGCGGTCCATGGAGCCAAATGTCTCGACTTGGAGTTCACAGAGGGTCTCGGCCGCCCCCTTGAGGTCGCCCTTCTTCTTCTTGATGTCGGAAAGGATCTTGGTAACACGAGCCCGCTCGACTTCGACGAAGATCTTGCCCTCGGTGACTGTGCGGAGAGTCTCGATCACGGACAGCTTGGTTTCCATGCTCGGTGTCTGGTCCAGGAAGCCCACGACTGTCTGGACCATCTTGGTGATGGCCTGTTTAAGCTGGCTGTGCTTCTTGGAGAGCACCAAGGTCTGGTCGCTGAGGAGACTCCAATCGCCGGCATTTTTGCAGATGGTGACGATGGCGACGAGGATTCGTGATGTAGATGCGAGGTCGGAGGCCTGTTGGGCGGCGTTGGTTAGCGGGGAGCGGGGGACGCGGGACAGGTGGGTGTTACCTGGCGCGTCTGCTTCTCGAGGACCGAAAGCTTTTCGATGGCGGCATGGATGTCTGTCTATCTAGAGGTTAGAACAAGACCCTCCACAAATTACAATAGCTCGCATACCTTTGCAAGCTTCTCGGCCTCGGGAATCTGGGTGTCTGCCTCCTTGGAGTAGTCCCGCTCGGGCTTGAACGCCGCATCCGCCATTGCCAAGGTTGTTTTTCTTTTATTTAGTGGGCGGTGTGTTTATTGCCTTTCGGATTAGAGCTGGCGGGGCGGGTTCGCGGTGAAGCACGAGCTTGAAAGTCGAGATCGTTTGGTCGTCGTTGGTTGCGGTTGGTGGTGCCTCCCGCCCGCAACGCAACCACAGCCAAGGCCAAGCCCACGTCAGTTTGGCCCTGCCTGCTGCGCGCAAGGCTGGTTCTGAGGCTGAAGCTTCAGCATCGACCCCACCTTTTTGTTCAAATTAGCCACATTATGGCTGGTGAAGAACCCCACTTTAAGCGAGTTATTTGCTGCCGTGCTTCAGAGGAAGGCTGATTCCATTTCAAGGCCAGCTCAGCACTGTCACACGAACTCCGTCTTAGGTACTATGTAACGAGAACACAATGCAAATCGGAACGGGCCAGCGAGACACAAAATAATACCTTGAAGCCGCATCTCATTTTTACATCCCAACCTCAGTGCTCTCCCTGACTGCAGGGTGCTGTTGCTGCGGAAGAGGTTCGTCATTTTCGCCATTTGGAAGCGTTCCAAGAATCGGACAGGCGAGTCAAAGGTTAGGATCACGCCAGGGACTCGGAATCAATTCCCACTGGATATAATCGGATACTTCGGCCCCGTTTTCAAGCTCCCTTTGTGCCAGGACATGGCTCGAACGACACAGTATTCGTCCTCGTGGTCATGCGACGGGTCTTTCCGCAATCTAACAGAGCAATCGAAGCTGCTCCTCCAAGTTTGACGCCCAGTTATCACCACCTATTAGCCAGCTTCAAGTAAAAAGCAAGATGACATCGTTCCTGGCAGTGGAGGGTACTATCGGGAAGTGGGTGTGTTGGGGCGGGTGGGCATTGGAAGCCGACTGTGGAGGTTGCCTCAGCCCGGAAGGGAGAACTGCACCCCTGGAGAAGCTGCGAACAGGCACAACCTAACATCCCCCACTCTTGGGTCGAGACCGCTGGCTCTGTGGGCGGACTTCCGCCGTTTGGTGAGCTCACCGACCGGTCTCCAGCCGTTCTTCTACAAGCAGCCAAGACCGCATCATTCCAGATCCACTTGTCTACTTGAACGTCCCATTGTGCTCCAATTGCGTACCATTGATCGTTAGCGATTAACTCCGGGAACGGGCCGGATGTTTTGTGTTTATTGGACTCGAAACGGCGAGCATTCTGTTTCGAGGATTCCCCGGTTCTCGGTTAACTTATGCACCTTCTTCTCTTTACAACACATGCCGTCACGAACCGGCTCGGACAGGATCGTGACAATTGAAACCGGGCGTGACAATCTCGACGCGAGACTTCACCCGTCTCAGACTGCCTTTGCAATTTAGCTACCCATCCGTACTTTTCACTCTGGCATTACACTCATACAAAATAACGAATTAGTTACCTAACCGACGGCCAAGCGCCTGCTGCCAGCCTTCGGCTTAAAACCCTGGAGCAATTTGGAATTTGCGGCTGGACAGCCTGGAAGTAAGACTGCGGTATCTCATCGGTGTAACCATCGGAGCACCCGGGCCTTGAAGGACATACGGCGCTGTCCCGTCAGCCTGTTCCTGGCAGCTCCCCCAGACGAGTCGTCGGAAGTGAGACTCGGGCCAGCACATCACATCATGGACCGATTACAGGACGAACCGCCGGCCTTGTCGGTGACAGTACCCGACACCGAAGCCAGGTCGAAGAAACGGAGTCGCGCAGAGACGGACGCCTCGCCCAAGGATGCAACTGCACCTGCACAGACCACCTTTTCGGGCCCGAAGACGGCAGAGCCACGGCCCATCGCCGGTCAAGTACCACAACCGGGCGCGAGGTACATGAGCAGCCCCTCCTCCCGTGGCCCTTCCCTCGAACCCGCGCTGCCGGTGACAAGGCGCCCCTCCGCCGCCGCGGCCAACGACAGCGCCTCCACCTTCTCTCTCCCGGAAAGCACCTCCTCCGAGTCCTTCCCGCCCTCGACCTCTGCAGGGGGTAGCTTCTCCACGGGGCCGCGCGGGAGTCTGTCGCCCCCGTACATGTTCGCCGGCCCATCCCGGCCTGCCGATTACGCGGCCGGGCCGGGGGAGGAAGGCGAGGGCGAGGGCGAGGGCGACGACGGGACGGACGCCGCCCTGGAGGAGCAGGCGGCGGCGGAGCAGGCGGAGGGCGGCGAGATCGTGGTCGACAGCGACGAGCTGGGCACCGACGACGGCTACGGGACCGACAGCAACACGACAGCGTCGACTTCGCTGGCCGATAGCGTGCGCGACTACATCTTTGAGAACGGGCGGCGCTACCACCGGTTCCGGGAGGGCCGGTACAACTTCCCGAATGATGATGTCGAGTAGGTTAACTCCATGGATCCTGGTTGCGCGCGTGTCGCCCTGGTCGCTGACTCGGTGGGCAGGCAACAACGCGAGGATATGAAGCACGCCATGGTCAAAATGCTCTGTGGGCAGCTCTACTTTGCGCCGATTGGGGACCACCCTCATGAGGTTCTAGACGTCGGGACGGGAACGGGCATTTGGGCGATCGAGAGTATGCGAACCAACACCGCTCCTCATCATGGCACAACTAACCTCTGCGTAGTGGGAGACTTGTTCCCGGCGGCAAATATCCTAGGGGTGGATCTAAGTCCCATCCAACCCGAATGGGTACCACCGAACGTACGCTTCATGGTGGACGATGTAGAGTACGTGGCCGCTCGATCACCTTAGGCTAGAGTAATACTGACCCCGTGATAGGAGCCCGTACGTTGCCGTGATGCTGCCACTACCACCCTGCTCACTCAGGCCCGCGTCTATGTACTGACTCACCCCTTTAGCTGGCTTCACCCGCGCAACTTCTTCGACTACATTCACTCACGGCACACGGTCATGGCAATCAAGGACTGGCCGAAGCTGATGCGCCGATCACTAGAGTACATACATACCCCTCCCACCACCACCCCCAGACCACCCACCTACCTATCTATGTACAGATGTCAACTAACCCCACCCCCCCGCGGAACAGACACCTCCGACCCGGCGGCTGGTTCGAGATGCAAGAGGTGTACCACTTCCCGCTCTCGGCCTCCAAGACGCGGCCCGTCCCGACCGACCACCCGGTCGCCCACTACTGGTCGCTCATCGACGAAGGGCTCGGCAAGCTCGGCATCAACTTCCACTCGGCCGCCGACGGCCGGCTGGCGGCCATGATGCGCGACGTCGGCTTCGTCAACGTCACCGAGCGCGTCCTGCAGATCCCCGTCGGTACCTGGGCGAAGAACAAGGTGCTCAAGACGGTGGGGCTGTACTGGCGGACTATTCTGATCGATGGGATTCAGGCGATTGCGCTGGGCCCGCTTACGAGGGGTTGTGGCTGGTCGAGGGAGCAGGTCGAGTTGTTCTTGGTGGAGGTCAGGAAGGGGTATCATGATAATAGTCTGTTGGCGTATATGCCGTTGCATATTGTTTATGGGCAGAAGCCGGAGGGGTATTAGGGGGGTTTGCTACGGAGTGTGTGGTGTTTTGGGACTGGGGAAAGGGAAGGGATGTTTTCTAGTATCCTTATGGCGGTATGATACCATGTTGTCCGGGATATATGGATTGGAGGTTGGAATTGGAAAGGGTGTCATGGTGTTTTTAACATGGCTGTTGTTGGATTGGTGTTTGATATCTGTATATCTGTATTTCTTACCTCTAAAAGAAGGAAGCTCGGTCTTCTCGGTGTCGCGAGCACTCTCTCATCACCAGTTGCCCTGGGGCACCTTTGGTTCCCGTTGGTAATCCCGTAACTACTTCGTAATCTGTAATCTGTTTTTCCACACTCGGGCTGTATAATTCCACAGCCCCGCGCCTGCCCAGACCTGCACAATTTCCCACCTGCTCCCCCACTGGGCTCGAGCGAGGGCACCCTTGCTTGTGAGCTTGTCTCGGCTGGCTCCCGAACCAGTGGCCACCCCACCGCCCCAATTGCTCCTCCCGAAACATGCCCTGATTGGGCCCGGGAATTCTCAATCTAACCCTGACAATGGAAACCCACGGGGCCTGGCTTTCTTGCCTCTTTCCCCTCATGCCCGTTATGATGGCGTGCCAGCTTGCCTTTCTGAACCTGGACCAAATCATCTGCAGACCCACGAACCCGAATGTCGGTTACCAGATGCAGGATGCGACGGAACGACGTGACATTTGCGCATTTGCGTGTCTGCACAAGCCGCTAACGACACGCTATCCCCGGTGGATTTCACTCTCGCTCACTGCATGAGGCTACCCCTAACAAGCTCTAACCGACATGGGAATATCCGAGCACGGATCGCTGCGACCAGCATGAGTTGCCCAGCATTGGTATCGCTGCCAACCCAAAGATGAGAGACGAGGTAACGGGGTCGGTTCGGCCTTGGGCTCATCCCCGTTTGAGGATTTTCAAACGGCTCGCTCGGCGCTTCGCTTCTCAGTGTGATCCCGGGATGGGTCCCCGGCTTGTCAGGAGTTGGCACTTTACGCTTCCCATCCTTTCATCCCTATTCTAGAATCGGGGAATTGCTTCGCCTGTTAACTACCGGCCCCATCGCTTCCTTTCAACGAAGGAACGAACAAACAAACCGAACCCGCGGATTTGTTTCGTTTCGACGTCACTACATACCGAGGTAGGCAACTGACCCTTGCCCTATCCTTCCCGTACTCCCGTGCTCCCGTCTTCCCCACGTTGATCCTGGTTGACCGCGGTCGCCCTGTCTCTTGAACTGAGCGGGATACCCGGTTGCGCGGCTTGACGGACTGGTGGTTGTCGGTCTCTGCTCCAATTCGCTAACACAAACAGAAAGACTGTCGTGCAACCAGCAACTCCGGCCAATTCGTGAGCCAATTCGTTACCCGACCCCTGAGCTCGGTAAGCTGACCCAAATGCCGTCTCCCACACACCTGGGATCGGAGTAGGGGCTAATGGCATGCTGGACAGGGCAAACACTCCGTGTGGTAAACTCGGACATACCAGCCGTTGATAAACCAGGTGACTACAGATTGCTTGCTCTTTTTACACCATTTAATACACTCTGTGTGAATCCCAACTCATGCTTATGTCCAGCCGTTGGGAGTAACATATACCAAACCAGCGTCACCTTATGTTCTGTTGCTTCTTCCATCCCGTCTACATAGGCCACGTGCTGACGACCCGAGGACTTGTTCTAGCGGAGCTCTGTCCCCCCCCCCAAAACCACCATAGCCAATCACTAAGGGCTAAGGGTCACACGGTCATACTTTAAAAATGTCCAGATTCAGGTTCAGCTCTCTCTTCCAGTCAAGCTCCGCGTCGACCGCGGATGCCGAGACCAAGAAGCAGAACCGCCGCTCCTTTTCCGCCCTGACCACTCTCCGGCAGAAGGATGCCGAAACCAACGGAGCTCCGGCCCCGGCGCCCCAGGTCGCTAAAGCCGAGACGGCATCTGAGCAATCCCCGTCTCGGATGGTGGCTTTAGCTCAGCAAATTACGAAGGCGACCGAGAAGCTGGAGACGTACATGAAGGCCAATAACTTGCCCATGCCCAGCTTCGACGCCGATGCCCCCGCCGACTTCCCCGGCCTCCCAGCGGATGTCCAGCAGAACAGGCAGGACATCATTGTCGCGGCCAAGGAACTGAGCATGCTGGCCCACGGCCCCCGTGAGACCGTGAGATGGGGCATCTGGGAGGTGAATGCTGTACAGCCCCGTTTTCGGAGACTCAGTTCTAACAACCCTACCAGTTTACGGATGTCTTGGCTTTGACTGTCATCAACCACTACGGGCTCGGTAAGTCCCCGGCGCGGGTCTCGTCATGAGTTTGCGCGGCACTGAACTAATCGCACACGCAGCAAAACTTGTCCCTGTCGACTCGACCATCACGCTCGACGAGTTGCAGGGCAAGACGACTCTGGATCGCATCAACCTCGCCCGCGTGCTCCGCTTGGCCATGACCAACGGTATCTTCCGAGAACCCAGCCCGGGCGTGATCGCTCACACGGCCGCGTCTCGCGTCCTTGCCGAGGACGAGGACATGCAGGCGTGGGTCGGCTTCAATGGCGAGGACATCTTCCGGGCCTCCGGCCACGTCCTGCAGTCGCTCAGGGCCGACCCGGAAGCGACATCGCTCACCCGGGCCGGCTTCCAGTATGCCTTTGACACGGTAGACAAGGAGCCCATGTTCGTCACCTTCGGCAAGGATCCGGTCCGCGCCCGCCGCATGGGCCGCGCCATGGCGAGCTTGACCGGCGGCGAGGGTTACGAGCCCTCGTACTTTGTCGACGTCGAGAAGGGCGGCTACGACTTCAGCGACCTCGACGCGGCCGGCGGCACCTTTGTCGACATTGGCGGCTCGCACGGCTTCATGTGCGTCGCCCTGGCCGAAAAGTACAAGAACATGAAATTTGTCGTGCAGGACCTCCAGAAGACGGTCGACAGCGCGCCGAGCCCTCTCAGCGACGACCCCCAGGTCGCCGAGCGCATCAGCCTAGTACCGCACGACTTTTTCACCGAGCAAGTCACCAAGGACGCAGACGGTAGGCCCATCCTCTCCTCTCCTGACCATCCCTTTCCTCCTCCTTTCCTCCTCCTTTCCCCCCGTAACGTACCGTGCCGGCCCGACGCTAACCACACGCCACACGCCAGTCTACTTCTTCCGCTGGGTCATGCACAACTACTCGACCCCCTACGCGGTGCGCATCCTCAAGAACCTCGTCCCCGCCCTCAAGCCCGGCGCCCGCGTCGTCATCAACGACTACTGCCTGCGCGACGCCGGCCAGGAGAACCCCTGGGACGAGCGCGTCGTCCGCCGCATGGACGTCGTCATGCTCGCCGTGCTGAACGCCCAGGAGCGCACCGAGGAGGAGTTCCGCGCGCTTTTTGCGGCGGCGGGGGACGGGTTTGTTTTTAAGGTGCGTTTTTCTTTTTTCGGTTTTTGTTTCGTTTGTGGTGTGGTGTTGTGGGTGACTTGGGAAGGGAAGGGGTTTGCTGACTGACTGGTGTGCTAGGGCGTCCAAAGGGCCAAGGGCTGCCGTATGAGTGTGGTCGAGGCTGTTTGGCAGCCTGACCAGGTTGGGGCGGAGGAGAAGGCTGGGGAAACTACCGCTGCACCCGCGGCTGTGGCCGAGTCCGAGGCGGAGAAGACGAAGTAAGGGTCCCCTCGGGCTTGCTTGCGACGTATTGGGGTCATCTTTGTTTACTTCGGGATAAGATTTGTTTAGAGCTAGAGAGGTGAGCCGGCGGGGTTGATGTGGACTGACGAGCTTGTGGATATGTTTTTCTTTATCTTTCCTGTCTTTTGGTTCGATACCCCTGTTTTGTACCAGCGACCAGAGCTCGTTCTTTGGCTATGTAAACAAACACAGCGGCATCATTGTATGTATATACCATAGTCATAGCAGCGGCTTAATCCTAGTATTTACCACTTCCGCATCTCAGCGTTCATCACCGGCCTCAGCGGCCCTCGGAAGCGGCCTCTGACAATCTCCTAGCGGGCACCGGTGCGGATTAGGTGGGTGATTTCTGCGCGTTGGTCGTGGCGGGGTGAGTTACTCTTAGTGTTGGTTCTGTGGGTGGTGGTGGTGAAGTGAAGTGTTTGAGGATGGGGGTGGAGGTTGGAGGTTTGCGGGTCTAGGGGGATGCTGGGCGAGTTTGGGGATGGGGTGGTCGTGAGGTGGTTGTGTCGCTGGAGGAGGTGGGGGGAGAGTCTTTGCCAGTCGTTCATTGTAAAATTGACGAGAGAGTGAGGCACGGTCTTACACAGACAAATTGGGTTGGTGGTTTGTCCGACACAAAGCAGTCTGGCAAAGTCATCAAGTCATTTGCCGCCTAGGTGACGAGAAAGAGTTTGGTGTGAAGTATGTGAAGAATATCCAGGCTCCATTTTTAAACGAGATAATGTAACCGAGATCGTGTGAGTGTAATATGGGTTACCTAGGTGGCTTCAAGGTTGTGTCTAGAACCCCCCCCCCCCCCCCCCCCCCGGAGTGATATGCAGGATGAGTTCACGGACTGAGCTATCCATAGCCGGCTTACCTTGCCGCGTCAAGATAACCGGCGGCTTGTTGCATTAATGGCAACGGCAACCGACCTCATCCATGGTAAACCACGCGGTTCAGTTGTACTCCTGGGACGGCGAACTGGATGAGAAGGAGGTTCGGGTCCAGCTCCAATGTCCAACAGAAACGGAAATGAGTTTGGTAAAATGAGACGAAGCGACTGTCATCGGACGCTCTTACGGACTTTATACATTCCAGAACGGCGTTTTCTCCCTCCAGCCATCAGACTGCGCCCACTAAGATGGCACCAACCTAGTCTCACCCAACGTAGGACACCGGGCGGATTCCGTGCTTCCGGGTGACACGAAGCCAGGTTGGACGGTTTTAGATATGTGCAAGTCTCCCAAGTATTCGAAGCGGGTTCTAGCAGAAACCATCAGGGTCCAAAGACTGCCCCGGCACCCCAAGCCACATCGTCAGGTCTCATGGCACGACGTCAGATCCTGCTGCCGGTGCAGATCTCTCCCGCCAGGACGAAGACTCTAAGGGGAAAGCGTTGGCTACGTGCAGGACGGAAGGCTTCCCCGGGGAGCAAATAGTTTCACACGGCACCCGTGTTACCTGGAGATACCGGACGGTAGCATGGTGTACCCGAGGCCGATTTGGGTGTCCCTATATCTCGTCATGACTGTGTCTAAGACTGATGCACTCTACCGCGATGGGTGCCACCTTTCCCCTGCTCGCATCGAACTGGCAGAGAATTGGTCTGAGCTGTGCAGATGCTTCTGGTTTGCAAACGGTGGGCTGATGAATAGCCCAAGTAGTTCATCATATGCTCCTGTGAGTTGACCCGGTATCCACGAACGCCGTGCATCCGAGGCAACCGTCCTCCGTCTCTCAGGGCACAATCATCGCTCCGTTCCATGACTCCGCGCTCCAAGTCACACATGCACAACACCTAGCAACACTCATCGCGTCACCTGTTATACTCTGCCTGGGAACCTGCAGGTCCAGCTCGTCACCAGAGACAAGCAGAAAGATGTTTGGCCAATATCCGCCCAGTATTGTCAGGGGTTGGCTCGGGAGCGAGATGCGGCGCTGGTAAAGCTCTGCGACCCCTAACGGACGGCTCGAAACGGGATCACGGTCGGGCGAGAGACGTGTGTGAGACTGGCGGCTGCGTCCCTTGCGGGCTTAGTCGGTACAGAACCAGATCCGTTTTGAATCCCGCGGTTCTGGGGCACACTGTGGCCTGGATGCTACCTAGTCGTATGTATATCTTTTGGGACACCCTCGTTGTCGATGACGCATTGGAAGAGGAGACTCGCTAGCATTGCCGTCGTAAAGTTCACGCCCTCCCACCCAACAACACTGTCACCTCCCGGCGTCACTTCACTCTCGTCACCTCACTCTCGCCCATCCTATTACTGCCCATTGGAAGTTAAGTACGACAATCTAACCGAGACTATCAACCCCTCTTCTGTCACCCCGTCCTTCCCCTGAACGGTAGCTCAACCACTACTGAACAAACAAGGCCGCCCACCCGCCCTCTTATTCGATAGCCGCCTCACCAACATTAAATGAGAAATAGCAAGGACAACAACCCTCCGTCAACAACCAGCCCAACATGGCGCTCCCCTACCCCAACTCCTCCCTCTCCGAAATAACAGAAGTGCCGTCCCGGGATAGATCCTCCATCAGGACCAGCGAGACGACTCCAACCAAGACGCCCGCTCCGCCCAACAAGAGGACAGCGCGGCAGACCGTCCTGACAATAATGTACGTACAAGCACGAGCACGAGCACCCCCATCGCCCCCCACGCAAGAAAAGAAAAGAAAAAGAAGAAGAAAAAAGGGGTCATGACCATGACCATGACCATGATCGACCGCCGCAGTCTCAGTTTCAAAGCACAGGAGCCCCCAAAACCACAAGCCCCCTGATAGACACAGTACCTACTAACCGCCTGATACACACCACAACAGAATCTGCGCCGGCCTCATGTTCTCCTGCCTCGACGCGTCCATCGTCTCGACGGCGCTGGTGTCGGTCTCGGTCGAGCTGCAGAACTACCACGACACCCCCTGGGTCGTGCTGGCGTACCTGCTGACGTATATGAGTGGGTGGTGTCTCCGTTGTTTTCTTTTCTTTCCTTTCTTTCCTTTATCTTTTTCATCACTAGCACTGGCACTTGCTGACCCCGACAGGTTTCGCCGTCGGCTTCTCCAAGCTGAGCGACGTCTACGGCCGCAAGAACATCCTGGCCGTCGCGTGGCTGCTGTTCACGCTGGGGTCTGTGTGGTGCGGGATTGCACGGCGCATGGGGGAACTGTATGTTGATCTTCGGTGCCGCGCCCCCTTTTCCTCGCGGACTGCTGGCTGACCCGGGTGACGTGTGTGCAGCATCGCCGGCCGTGCCGTCCAGGGCGTGGGCGGGTCGGGGCTGTACAGCCTGGCCCAGGTGTGCTTGCTGGAGCAGGGACCCAGCCGGCCCGAGGTGGTGGGTGCGCTGGTCGGCATCACGCTGTCTGTTTCTTTCATCCTGGGGCCGCTGCTGGGCGGTGTCCTGGCCGAGTGGAACTGGCGCGGCATCTTCTGGTTCAAGTTGGTACCTTTTTTTTTGTTGCAGGTCGACTTGAGTACTGACGGGTATACAGCATCCCCTTTGGTGCACTGGCTGTGCTGGGGATCTACGCGCTCTGGCCTGAGGAGCGACGCAACCGATACGATGCCACGACGGCCCTCGCCAAGATGGACTTTCTGGGTAATTTCCTGCTGGCCGCGGCATCGATTCTTTTGGTGTTTGGTATGCAGGAGGCGGGCTCTCTGGTGTGGAGCTGGTCCAGCCCGGTGATTGTCTGCTCTCTGGTTATTGCTGGCGTGTGTTGGGTGCTGTTGGTCGCATGGGAGTATTACCTCTTCCACTGGCCCAGCTCGAGCCAGAAGATTGAACCCATTTTCCCGGTGCATCTCGCGAGGGACCGAGTATACCTGAGCTGTCTATTGTACGTAATCTTTATTTTGTCAACCCCTTTTCCCACCCCCTCCCATTTCTTTCCCCATTTTCACCCCCGTTTCTTTCCCTTTCTCTCTCCCTGACCCTCCCCCCCCCCCCCCCACGCCCCCCTTTTGGCTTCTTTCCCCCCGTCCTCTTCTCATCCCCTTTCTCACCCCCGTGTTTCCACCCCCTTTCTCACCCCCTCCGCCCACACCCCTACCCCCTTAACCCCCCCCCCACCAACCAAAATAATAACAACAAAACAGAACCACCCTCCTCCAAGGCCTCCCCTACCTAACCCTCACCACCAAACTCCCCGAATACCTCCAACTCCTGCACGCCGACACCGCCCTCACCGCCGGCACCCACCTCGCGCCCATGCTCGGCAGCTGCGCAGCCGGCTCCTTCCTCGGCGGCGCCCTCTCCAAACACCGCAACCGCACGGCCCCCACCGCCGTGGCCGGCGGCGTGCTGCAGGCTCTGGGGGTCGGGCTGCTCGCCGGGCTATCACTCACTTTCCTCTTCACTTAGCGGGGGGGGACAGAACGGGATGGCGCTAGCCCCGCTGCTAGGGTGCACGGCGGTGTACGGGCTCGGGGTGGGGCTGGGGTTCGCGGCGTGCACGATGGTGGCGGCGACGCAGGCGCGCGGGGGCGGGCTGGCGGCGGCGCAGGGGGCGGTCGCGCAGGCGCGGGTGTTTGGCGGGGCGCTAGGGATGGCGGCGGGGACGATACTGCTGGATGGGCGGTTGAGGGCGGCGGAGGTCGGGCCGGCCGGATTGGCGGGGGGGCCGGAGCTGGAGCGGGTGGAGAGGAGTTTGATGGCGGTGCTGGCGCTGCCAGAGGGCGCGAGGCGCGAGGTGGTGAGGGTGTATTTGGAGGCGTTTGGGGATCAGATGTTGTTGTTGGCGGTTGTGGCTGGGGTCGGGTTGCTGGTGAGCTTGGGCATGTATAAGTCGAAGCCGGGCCGGGTTGTGGAGGCTATGGAGCACCATAAAGAGCTCGCGGGGAGGCAGGGAGGGAGGGGGGATGTGGAGTTGTCGAGTGTTAGTAGTGTGCGGTCTCTGGTTAGGTAGATGTGTGTCGGGTCATGTTTTGGGGGGGGCTTTTGATTTGGGATGTTTACATTGATCCTAGTTAGTTGTGTCGGCCACATTCTTTTATTCTGGCGTTTGGGTCAGGGCTGAGGAGGAGCCATTGTCATTTTTATTCCATCGTGTGTATGAACCTATTTTGATGTGGCTTGTCTGGGTCGTTGTTAGCTCCATAGTGGGCCACTTTCAAGACCAACGACTTACCTCGTCAGTCCTGCTATGGTTTTCCCACGACGCCTTTTTGGTCATGACACAGCCCGAAGTCACACATGACACAACCGGAATTACCGTTGCGGCCGTTGAACGGAAGAGCATGGTCATCGGAAAAGATCGGAAAAGATGTACAACAAATACGAGGCAATGGAACACGGCTCTCTCTGTGTCTGTAGTGCAGGCGAGGGTGCTCCATGTGTTTGTGAGATTTAAGAAGTGGAATATTCATATATATCGTGCTAGCTAGTTGGTACCCGGCCCTGACTTAGCCAGAGCAAGTACGGTACAGGAAGGTTGGGTAGTTCGCAGTTTAAGGATGTGTTACATGGCCTCAGAGGGCTGCGCGAGCGAAGCCTGGTGTTGAGCATGAGAACCGTGGCCGGATGTGATGGCAGGTTGCGGTCCGCGGAGATGAGAGTAGCATCGAATGCGAGTATCGGCGCCAGTGAGTGCTCATTGATTAAGCTGAGCCTCGTGGCTGGCTAGGTCTGGGAAATAAACCAAGTGATAGCGGCGTGAGAGTTCTTGGAGATCGGGCGGCTGGTCTATGTAGTTTGATTCGCCGTCGATCTGGACGCACCAGAAGACCTTGAGCCAGCCATTGGCGGTCCTGTATGTCAGGGGCCAGACCTCTGAGTGGAGTCAGTTTGGCTTGGAGACAGGGAGGGCTACGGACGGCCACAGCAACGGGGGGGGGACGTACCGCAGCGTTGTCGGTCTTGGGTCTGCGGCTCGGGGTTTGATCGTGGGGTCGCGATGCCATCCTGGGACGCCGTAGTCGGCTCGGGGGACCGGTGGGTATCCGTGGCACCGGTCTGGGGACCACATGCTGTTGGTTCCTGATAGATGTCTGGCGCATGGTCTGGAGTAGCCTGGTAGAGCTGGTCGGAAGCCGGCTGAGCCTCGACGGGCCCTCCATCGACTGGCGGCCCTTGGGCGTGGGGGAAAGCTTGGTGCTGCTCGGAAGACGGGGGTAATGGCGGGGGAATTTGGAACCCCCCGGGGCAGATCCGGTACCAATAAGGGCGCTGGCCCTCGTAGTATTGCTGGTCATCGACGGTGGCCGGGATGTTGTCGTCGGGTTCTATCGGCTCTTCAGCGGGTTGTGCGTTCTGGTGGGATGATGCCATAGTTGTGAGGGAGGAGTTGGCCGAAGGGAAGCATGCTGACTCGGGGGGGATAACTGGTTAGGAAGTGAAGAATCAAGCGAGAAAAAAAAGGAGTGGAATTCCCAGGTCCCAAAGAGACGGGCGATCAGGGTGCATTTTGGGCCATCTCTGCTTGGACGAAGCCTCCACCCCAGCTCTCTCGCTTGGCTCCGGTGACGGCCTTGGTTGGGCGCCACGGAGCTCGCGTGACGCGGATGTTTCCGAAAGGCTGGATTAAGGAGTTGACTTGATGCTTTGTCGATGGCGGGTGTGACGGGTGTGACGGGGTTCCGGGTTGATAATGAGGGAGTGTACGAGTCGGGAACTCGTTGGGGGTCGGATGTTTGCAGTTTGCTTGCTTCTTTCCCGTCTTTTTCATCTTGGCTTCTTCCTCCTCTTCACCAAATTCCTTCTTGGGTTGGCCGGTTATCAATGTCAGACTCGGACCAAAAAAATAGTCGGGAGGGGCTCGCCAATCCCGCGGGTCCAATGCATCAAGGGAGAATCAAACTCGGATGCCGACTGATGACAAGGGCCGTGAATTTGATGTTTCTTCGGGAATCCATGGATCTTGTGGGGCCATAGGCAACCCTGCTCGGGAGCTGGGCAGGGGTCCAGTGGCCCACTCCCCCGCTGTTTCAACAGCGGCAGTGAGGGGCCGGTGGCACGATAACAGGGGTTTTGACTTTCCCCCGGGGCCTGGGTGCCTGGGATGAAACCTGAAAGATCATCGGGGCGCCGGCAGTCGGTCGGTTTTCTTCCACTCCCGTCCCTCCCGCCACTCCACCTGCGGCACCGAGGTACCTTTCCATCGTCACCCCTCCCGCCCGGTGATCATCATGTCAACAACAACAACACCCCCTTCCTCCCGCGCTGTGACAGGCCCGCCCATTCCCACCCTCAGCTACGGGTCAGGCGGGTCCTTTACCATTTCATGCTCCGCCCGGATCGCCGCCACACCAAGAGCTTGTTTAGACGTGATTGTCAAGTCATCAGAATGTCGGTCCATTCACACCAACCCACCTCCAAATAATGAGATAAAAAACCAAAGACGCCTTACATAGGTAGTAGTCATCTAACACACACCCCAGACCCCAAATGGAACCGCTTCTGCCGCAAATGCACCATCGACTCCCAGCCCAACCCCCAACCCCAACAACCCCAACAACAACCACAGCAAGATGAAGAAGACAACCTCCAACTCCAACTCGGCACCCAATTCACCTTCGACGTGCACCTAGACCCTTCCGAGCCCGACACCACCAAGCCAGGCCAGGCCGTCGCTCTCGAGGTCAGCGCGCTGGAGCCCATCAACGACGAGGAGGACCCGCAAGAGCCAGGCCACCGCCGCAAGGGATGGCGCATCGCCTGGCGGCAGCGCCCCAGCCTGATGATGCCCGCCTGGATGCTCCGGTCGGAGCGCGTGCAGGAGTTTGTCGAGGTTGCGGTTGACGGTGGTGATGGCGATGGCGATGGGTCTGGGACTGGGACCGAGACCGAGTACCGCTGCTGGGAGACCTTCTACGGCGTGCTGGCGCCCGTGGTCCGGATGGCTGCCGGGAAACAGGTGGAGAGGGGGTTTGATGCGTGGTTGGAGGGGTTGAAGGGGTTGGCGGAGGGCGGAGGGCAGACTACTGCTGCTTCTGCTGCTGCCACCACGGCTGCTCAAGGGTAACGGGTAGGGGCTGTGTGAGACAGGCGTGTGTTTATGGTTATACGCTATGTAAACTCAAAACGGTGTTTTGCTCTCCTGTTCGTTTAACGCCAACAGGCCCCCCCCCCTCCCCCGCTTCACCAGCTGGTCAACCACGTCTGAACAGACGGAGTGAGAAGACCTTTTTATACTATTTTTTGCTGTCATCCTCCCCGGCCCAGGTCAGCAGCAACGGCCCCCGGCGAAGCTCAAACTCCGCGATCTGCCCCTTAAGAGAGCTGTTTTCAGGGTCCTCATCCTGATAATAGAGTATGTCTTCGTGGTTTTTGAATTCCAGTATTATCATAACGGTATATGCGTCTGCCGTTTTATTCACCATCCCGTTACTCACGTGGGTCAAGGGACCGGCGGTGATGACGGAAGCGAAGGTGCTGTGCATGGTCAGCCAAACGAGCGCTATGCTGCCGCCGAGAGAACAGTTTGGGGGCAAAGAGCTAGGAGACGTACAGCGTGGCGTAGCGTTTCTCATTCTGGAGAGAAGGACCCTGTTAGCTGTTCTGAATTGACCATCATGTGCGGTTGGAACAGGACGAGGGCACGTCGAGAGGAAGGTAGGTCAAACACACATACCTTGCGGAACTTGGGCACAAACTCGTGGTACTTATTGATGAGATCCTGCTGCATCGACGGTTCCCGGACCTTGTACAGCAAGACCCGGTAGTAGGGAGCCATCTTGGTTTACTTTTTCAGGGAGAAGAAAAGTTTACTACTGACGGGACGAGAATAAGTTGGACGAGTAGGTTGAACAGAGAGGCAAACAGCATTTGCACATTCCACATGGGAAGCACGTTACTTTATACCCAAGCCAGCTATACTCAAGCAAGACCAACCCTCTCCCCGTTAGACAACACAGCACTTTCCTCACCACACCTACTGAGATACTGGATAGACCTTCCCACCAGCGCACACCCGTCTAACTCAACACACAAAACAGACGCTAGGCACCACGTATCCGGCTATCCCGAGCGTCCCCTCCTCCTTCCAGCATCACTATCCGCGGATCTGCCCACCCAAGCACACCCACGGCAGGCAGTGTGCAAGCAGACTCTCATACTCGTTAAATTAACCCACCGCGCTACTCGCCCAGACACAGGCTCGCGAGTAAAGATATACACATGTATACACATCCGTATGTGAAACCACAACCGATTTCGGCATGTCCGCCGCGGCGGATAACTAGCATCACAGGCACAATCCTCCCCCCAAAAAGACACATTGCAGCGCAAACCATTGACCACTATCCCGCGTCGACCGGCATAGATGACAGCCGAGCCGATCTTGCAATCGGGGATCGCCGACTCCCGCGGCGCCTAACCATCTCCCAACCCCCCCCTACCACATACCAGAGAGCAAAAAATGGCACATAATGCAAATTAATAAATAGCAAAAGGGTATCCGCGATCCGTATATCCACAGACGAGAGAGCAAATGCAACCCCCAGCGCAATGCAGTGATAAGCACCGCTCGAGAGAGACACAGATAGAGAGGTAAAAAGAGAGAGAATATGACCGCCAAAACACCACCATGCAATGCAATGCAGCCCCCCGCCCCGGATGCCCTCCCACCGTCATCACTCATAATAACCGCCATCCATCCGCCTTCTTCTTTAAGAACCACCATGCCACGCCATGACCCCAGCTCATGTCTTTATATATAAAACCTCCACCACCCCTTTCAACACCCCCCAACCCATTTAACCTCCTCGCCGAGAGCTAACCACTCCCCACCCACTCCCTACCCCGCCCCGCCTCCCTCCCTCAGAAAGCGAGAGAGAGAAATCTCTAACCACCCCCACCACCACAACCAGCAACCCTCCCCATCACAACCCTCATCCTCTCCAGCAACTCCGGCATCCGATACGGTTTCACCAGCACATCATCACACCCGGCCTCCTTGGCCTCGAGGATCTGCTCCATGCGCGCGTTGGCGCTGACAGCAATAATAGGAATACGCCCGCCGACGATGCGGCCCGTGCGCTCCAGCTCCCGTATGTGCCGCGTGCACGTCAGCCCGTCCTGCACGGGCATCTCGATGTCCATCAGGATCATGGATAGCGGGAAGGTCTGCTGCTGGGATATGCTGGAGCCGCTGGTGGGTGGGCCGCTGCCGATGCCGGGGGTGGATGGGTCGGCGGAGAAGGGGAAGGCGCCGCCCGGGGTGGAGGGAGCGAAGCGGTCGGTCCGGCGGAGCTTGTCGAGGGCTTCGATGCCGTGGTTGGCGACGTCGACGGTGAAGCCCATGGTGAGCAGGCCGCGGCGGGTTATTTGTTGGTTGATGAGGTTGTCTTCGACGACGAGGACGCCTTTGATCTGCGGGGTGCGCGGCGCCAGGCCCGAGCTGATGCTGATCTCGCTGCTGGGGGTGGCTGCCGCGGTCGCGGTGGGGCTGGGGCCCGAGTTGCCCTCGTGGTTTGCTGTGGCGGTGGTGGCCTCGCTGGTGAGCGTGCTGCTGCTAATAGCACGCTTGTTGCTGCCCCTCCTGCTTAGGCTGGCGTCCATGCGTAGAGCTGATAGGGACTCTGCGATCGTTCCGCCGGCCGCCACCTCGCGCAGGGCCTCTTCGGTTGGCCGGTAGGCCTCGATGTAGAACGCGAACGTACTGCCGACGCCGGGCTCGCCTGTCGAGAATGTCAGTTGTGCGTTTCTACGCGAGAACATAACTATTTCGAGGCCATGATCATCGAGCTAGAGAAAAGGGGCGTGGGGGTTGGAATAGCACAAAATGTTGATACTCACTCGAAACACCGATGGAACCATACTGCAGCTCAGCGAGGCGGCGGCTAATAAAGAGACCGAGCCCGGATCCGCCGTACTTGACGTGGGTACGGCTGGACGCCTGGACGAAGCGCTGGAATAAGCTCTTCTTTTCCTCCTCGGTTAGACCCTCGCCCGTGTCCTCAACCTCGAACATCAGGAACACGGGGTTGGAGCGGTTAAGGGGGGCGGGCTGGTCGTAGATCTCCTCGAGCGACTCGTCTGAGCGCGGGATAAACGAGACCTTGCTGCTGGCCTCGGTCGGCTCGGTAAGGCTCGCGCTGACGGCGACGGTGACGTTCCTGGTCGGTCCCGTCTTGGTAAACTTCAGCGCGTTGGTGAGAAGGTTGATCAATACCTGCTTGAGTCGTGAAGGGTCAAAGACGAGATATTTGATGTCGACATCGTGGTAGCAGGGGTCGACAACCATGCTCAGGTTAATATCAACCCGCCGTGCCTCAACTTCAAACATCTTGAGGGCTTCTTTGACCATCTTGATAGGGTCAACCATGACCCTCGTGATGGAGATCAGGCTCGAGTCCAGCTTCGACATGGTCAGGATGTCGTCGACGATGCGCTTTTGATGCTGTGCGCAGGTGACGATGGTCTCGGCGTTGTCAATGCAATTCTCGGCAAGTTCACGGGCTTCGGTCACCCACTCCTCACTCGCATTGATTACTAGCGGTACTCCGCCCGTGCTGGAATCCGCCGTGCCTCCGCTGGCCGAATCGGGAATGCTCCCGTAGGCGGTGTCTCCGAGAAGCTCCTGAACGCGGAAGAGCGTGGCCGTGATGGCATCCGCGCAGTGGATGATTGCGCTCAGCGGGTTCCGCATCTCGTGCGAGGTCATGTCGATGAAGTTCTCCTGCTGGCGCTTCGATTCGATGGCCTCCTCCTTTCGCTCCTTTTCCCAATCGAGCTGCCATTTCTGTAACGACACGTCGCTCAGGCAGCCCGTGAAACTCTGGATCTTTCCTTCCGACGTCCTGACGGGCAGCAATGTCGCTTGGACCCACCGCGGCACGACAACCTTATGGCCCGAACCGTCCTCGGCGGTCCAAGTGGTGTTGAGTCTGACCTCGACGTTCTGCACCTTGTCTTCGTCCACCATCTTCTCGAGCTTTTCGGCCATGAGAGAAAAGTCTTCCTTATGGACACAGCTCTGCCAGGGCCTGACGTCGATGACGGCTGGGTCGACTTTGCGCAAGCCACACATTTCGAAGAAGACGGTGTTGGCCCCGAGCAGGCGTCCGTCCAGGTCCATATCGTATAGGCCGACGGTGGCGAACTCGGCCATGCGCTTGAGGTTTTCCGCTTGTTGCGCACGACGCAGGGCCTCGCCGGCCACCCTCTTCTGCGGCGTCACATCGGTCAGGCATGTTAGGACGCGCATGAGACTGCCGTCCGCGGCATATTCCGCTCTCGCACTTGCCAGCACGTAGCGCTCCTTCACATCCACCAGTGAAGCAAGGTCAATCTCCTCCTCCTCGAAGCTCGGCGAGGTGCGGGTCGGGGGCGGTGAGAGGTCCGCGTCGGGCTCATCGCCCTGTCGCCTCACGCGGAACTCAAACTCGACGTTGCGGACCGTCTTGAGCTTCTCGTATTCGGCGATGATAATATGGTGGTCTTGCTCCTTGACGCAGTCGAGGAAGCCCTGGTTGGCGACTGGTCCGGTGCCTGGATAGCCCGTGATCTTATACCAGGCATCGTTGGCATACGTGATGTTGCCCTCCGGGTCGCCGAAGCTCATGCCGACGGGGACGAATTCGGCGACGGCTTCAAACATCTGCAGCGACTCAGTGGCTTCCTTGGTCTGCCACTCCAGCTTCTCTTTGAGCATGGCTTGGTCGAATGCGGCCTGCTCGGCGGCGTTCCGGCCCCTCCGAGTCTCTTCCTCGAGCAAGACGATGGAGGCGAGAGACGTGGCCAATTTCTGGCTCAGGAGAGAAATAAATTGCCGATAATCGTTGTCGTACGGGCGTCTAGGGTTGAGGCCCAGGAGGAGAAGCCCCATCACGCCATCATCCTTGGTCGGTCGGATGGGACAAATCACGGCAGCTCGGCAAGCGTCCCCTTCAAAGCCTCGCCACTGTAGCTCCTCGAGCAGTGATTGGGGCAGTGTCCCGTCGATTGTCTGGAGCAAGGTCGGATGCAGGGCCTCCATGGCCTCGCCGAAGGAGGAGGCGAGGGGAAAGCTACTGTCTCGTAGTTTGATTGTCTCGGGGGCGATTGGGTGGCTGTCAGGAACCCCCAGTGTTCCGGCAAGCCGGCATATCCTGGCGAGGCCGCCCGCGCCCGCGCCCGCGCCCAGCGCATCAGCGGCCGCCTCAAGGTCTTTCTCCACCGTGTACAAGATTGCCAGGGGGATATCGTAACGGGGTTCGATGGCAGCCAGCTCCTTGATGGCCTTCTCCCAGTAGCTGTCGACGTCTCTCGCGGTGACCAGAACTTCGCCGAGCTCAGTGAGCATCTTCATGCGCCGCTCCCAGAGCCGCACGCTGGTTGTCTCGGCGACAGGGTGCATGAAGCCCAGGCATTGATTGTTTTCAATGATGGGTATCATGGACCACTTCAGGTAGGTCTCTTCAACCCACGGTAAGCCGCCCTCGACCTCGGACTCTCTCTCGACGAAGAATCTCCACTCGCCCTCGACGGCACCCTTTTGCTCCGGAGAGATGCCACGCATCGTGTCCTTCAAACGCTGGCCCGCTTCAGCCCAGGCTTCCTGAACGGGCATACCTAACATGGAGGGGTGCTTTGATCCGCAAAGCTTGCTGAAGGCCTCGTTGTATACGACGGTGTATGAGGGGCCCCAATAGATGGCGATGGGTCGGCTGTCGACGAGGATTTGGTTGACGGTTTCGTCAAGTTTCCTATGCCAACCCCGCATGGGCCCGAGGGGCGTTTCCGCCCAGTCGATGCTATTTATGTCGTCGAGGAATGGGCGTTGCTCTGTTTTGCGGGTTAGTGTATGCTGCAAGTGAACATGTTGCCCTTACGGCGTGGTCAACCTACCTGGGGTGGTGTCGGGCAATATCCACGCAGGGTCGGTGATTGTCCGCGCGAGGGACTGCACTGCCTCGGCACGAGATGGTGGCCTCTCCCTTGGGTTAATGACTGTGAGGGCGGTGGTGGATTTGGGGCGGGGCTCGATCTCGGGCAAGGAGAGAGAAGAGGCCGAGTTCGGGCCGCCGATGGCGGCCATCTCGATCTCGACAGGCATGATGCGTCTTGGTGGTGAGACGCCGCTGGGCTGAGAATCGGTGAAATCGAGCCGGACCTTGCGCGGCGATTGCGTCAGGGGGAGCTGCTCGTTGGCGCCCACCACCACCATCTGCTCATGAACTACGGACCGGGTCCAGTAGACGTTGGAATATGAAAAGGACGCGCTCGCGGCCGGACCGCCATTTAAGGGGGGGTCGGAACCCGGCAGAGTTGAAGCACCCGTGATCCATCCCCATAACGGTCCGCAATCTTCGCCCTTAGCGGTGATCAGGTCGAGGAGGGTTGGATAGGCAGCGAATGCCGGGTTTGTGTAGACGACGGTGGGCGGGTGCGGGGTTAGGGCGACGATAACAGAGGGTCGCGGGTCGGCCTCGAGCAGGTCGATGATGCTAGTGTCGAGAATGGAGGGATGCATGGTGAAACTCGGTGAGGGTGAGGGTGAGGGCGAGGGCAGCCTTTCACGAGGAGCGGGTTGGGGCTCGAATCGGCAGCCGCAGGGTCGTGGCAGCGCGCAACAGCATGTTATCGCGGCTGGGCGCTTCGATAGGTATTTGGTCCCGAGGCGGCAAGACGGGAAGACGGCAAGACGACGGCGGGGGAGGGGAGGGCAAGTTCGTCCCTGTCTCGCGGGCGGATCAGCCCGTGATCTGGCTAACTCGGTGGTGTCCCGCTCGTGATAAAAATCACAGAATGCAGAAAGCGTGGATACAACTTAGTGTGGGTTGACTCTGTCACGGCGCCGAGTGGTCGTTGGGAGTTTCGGTTGGGTGGGAGGACCGGCCGACCACTCTGCAGTCAGTCCAAGCTGTTCCGGGCTTCTGTGCGCGTTAATCTTGGCCAGGTTGGGAATTGGGTCAAAAAAGAACGGGAACTTCAGATCACCCCTCTTGCCCTTTCAGCGAGTCCAATCCTGCAGCCAACCCCATTCATTGGCAAGAATGTGGGGCTGCGGGGGTTCAACGACTCAAAATTTCGGATCAGGGGCACGAGGCAGAGCGCATGCTTGCTGCCGTGGTCCAATATTGGTACCGAACTGCCATGTACGAGTCTATCGTGTACTGTGCATCATGTTGTCATCCCTGTGTTCGACATTCAGTTCTCGTTCTGGGATTCCTTTGATCACATAGAGTGACAGAATAGTGCCCCACACACAGCGGATGAAGTTATTCAGGGTTCTGGGAGAAAAGGAACCCGGAGCGGGGCAGGGTTGGTCATGGAAGTGCGCTGCACTGCACCACAGACCGAAGTTCCCTGTTCCTTGGATCCGCAGACCCGGAATTCGTTCAACAGCCACAGAACGGTTTCCACGTCCGCCGTCCGCTTTCAGCATATTCATCATTGGGGTTCGCGATCGCGATCTTCCAGAATCCGCAATTCTGTCCGTGGCATGTGCCCGAAATGGAAAGGCTCTCCGAGTTTCCAATATTGCTCTGGATGTGGACGAATCGCTGGATGATCGGCCGGTGAGGTCTGCCACATGAACTTCCAGGTTGTTGCCAGCGGGTAACTCGGTGGTCGGTGAGATGGAATCTGAGGACAGACGATAACTACCTAGTTAGTTAGTTACATATTTTTGCGCAAGGCGGGTTCGAGCTCAAGCAGTCATCCCAGCCTCGAGGGAGCAACTCGCCGTGTGGGTGGGGCGAGCAGCGAGGTCCCGCGGCATCAGTCGGAAATAGGGATCGAGGTGCGGGGACGGGCCATCCCTATCCAGACCCCGGCGGCAAGAGCCGCTGTGGCGTGTTACGGCAGGGCGCGCTTCCTGGATTTCCAGTTGACACAACACACCGGCAGACAGCACAACAGCACACAGCACACAGCACATGCATGCGCGCCGCTTTTCTTTGCAATGAATGAGCTGATGCCAACACCAATTATTGGGGGAAGCGGGGTCTAGCCAAGCTACTCGGCACTTGGCAATTTTGGATGGAATTATTTCCCACCGGTAGGACACAACCGGGTCGCGAAGAGAAGACCGAGAAAGGTCAGAGCTTTGAGGGAGGTTTTGACAGTGCTTCGATGCACCGTCTGGTGTTTGGGTGTGCCTCCTCATCCCTGCCCTGCCATCCCATCCCCATCCCTCCCATTCCATCCCATCCGAGTTAGCCGAGTGACGTCAAGGGGACAGCTTCGAGATCCGACTGGCTCAAGATCTGATAATATTTCCTATTTGGTGCAAACGGCCCCGAATAATAAAACAAGGCGGCTCTGGGTACGGTACCAGGAGATTGAGATGGCAGATTAATATTGAACAGCATCCAGGTCGATAACTAATTAGTTATTCGGTTTCCCTTTCAATGGGAATGATGGAATGCTGAAATGCTGAAATTTTAAAATGCCCTCAGCCTTCCCCCCCGCTCGCAGCCACGTCAAATCGAACACCTGACCGTTGGGGATCCTTCAAACTTCTCGGTCCCTTTCCCGGCCCTTGCGACCCACACTTCCCTTGGTTCACTCGTCGGTTCGTCTCCGTGGAACTGCTCGGCCCGCCCAGACAAACCCCAAGCCACCGAGGAGCCGCGCATTCTTGGCATCATGCCTCGATTTGCGGTTCGAGACAGGGCCAAGCAGGGCCAAGCACACCTCTCAAGCCCAAGCCAGCGGAGCACGGACGCCACGAGCCTGGCGTGCCATCCATGTGCGCGCGCCGATGGGACAAACGAGAATGCCATGGCGCCCTTTAGGAATGGCTTGGAGGGGCTTGGGGGGGCTTGGGGGTCCTCTAACTAGGCGGTAACTCGCCCAAAAAAACGATGGTGGATGCCCAGAACTCACTCCCAAGACTTCGCCCAGGAATCGCCCAGAACCAGGCTCGACCAGCAAATAAACACGAAGCTCACATCTGCGACGTCCCCTCGGTCCCCTCAGCAGCGCTGATCTGTCTCGGCGCCAAGCCAATCTGGAGTTCGGTTTGCCTTTCTGTTCGTTCCAAGCCGATGCCGAGAAGCCACGCCCAGACTTCCAAGGTTGGCCCAAGACTCGGACAAACCGCCAAGCAAGAGAAAGAAAGGGAGGTTAAAATGGCGACCGGCTCCGGTCTGATGAGATGGTGGAATGACCCTCTCTCACGATGCCCGTCGCCCATTTTGCCATCTCGAAACCGAACCTCCCTCGGCTTCCCATTGATGTCGACCACCCTGATCTGGACCCCGGTGTTGACTCTGCTGGTTGATCGACCTGACCACGACGACGACCGCCAACCATCCGTAACACAGGCAACTGGTTTAACCGACTGGGGTTGAAACGCCATCCTTGACTTGGGCTCATTGCGGACTGCAATCACCTGCGACATGCTTTGATATCTTTCGCTGGCTCCCCAGCTGCTCGGATCAGAGCCACGAAGGCGCGGCAGCACCGGTGGAAGAGGAAGAGAAGGCAAGGAAGGACTGGGCAAACGACGACGACAAGAGCGGGCTCTCGCCATATTCCAAATGAAGTTGCTGTCTACCGTGCTACTAGCCCTCGTATCCGGGGCATCCTCAAAACATGTCGTCCAGTTCAACGTCACCAAAGCCCCCACGGGCATCCACATCGGTTCCGCGCCTACGCTGGCCCGTCGTGAGACATTCTCGGAGCGGCTCATCAACAACATAGCAGGCGGGGGCTACTATGTGAAAGTCAAAGTCGGAACCCCGGGGCAGGACCTGACGATGCTGCTGGATACGGGGAGTAGTGACGCCTGGGTACTGGGCCACGACGCGGATCTCTGTGCGGACCCTAACTTGCAGACCCTCTACGGCATGTCGTGCACCGACACCTACAACCCCGACTTGAGCTCGTCCGAAAAGATGGTCAAGCGGGGCGGGTTCAAGATCACCTACCTCGACGGCGGCACCGCCTCGGGCGACTACATCACCGACGACTTCTCCATCGGCGGCGCCACCATCAAGTCGCTGCAGATGGCCTACGTGAACAAGGCCGTCCGGGGCACCGGCATCCTCGGCCTCGGCTTCAGCATCAGCGAGCGGGCCAGCATCAAATACCCCAACATCATGGACGAGATGTCCAACCAGGGCCTGATCCAGTCCAAAGCCTACTCCCTCTACCTCAACGACCGCCGCACCGACGCCGGCTCCCTCCTCTTCGGCGGCATCGACACGGACAAGTTCATCGGCCCGCTCGAGATCCTCCCTCTCTACAAACCCCCGGACGGCAACTACTCCTCCTTCGAAGTCAACTTCACCTCCGTCGCCCTCACCCACACCAACGGCAGCCACCACACCATCCCGACCTCCACCCTCGACCACCCGGCCCCGGCCGTCCTCGACTCCGGCACCACCCTCACCTACCTCCCCGACGACATGGCGCAGCCCATCCACGCCGCCCTCCACACCGTCCACGACCCCGACCTCCAAATGACGCTCATCGACTGCGACCACCTCACCGCCAACCCGACCTTCCACCTAACCTTCACCTTCACCCCCACCAGCACCATCACCATCCCCCTCCACGAACTCATCCTCGACATCCTCCCCGGCCACTACGCCCCCCCACCCAAATCAGGATTCCCCCCACCGCCCGCGCGCGCCTGCGTCTTCGGCATCCAGTCGACCGCCCAGTTCGCGGCGCGCAGCGCCCAAAACCAGGCCCACTTCGCCCTGCTGGGCGACACCTTCCTGCGCTCGGCCTATGTGGTGTACGATCTGGCGCACTACCAGATCGGGCTGGCGCAGGCGAATCTGAATAGTACCACGTCGACGGTGGTGGAGCTGTCGACTGCGGCGCCGGGGGCTGGAGGGAGCGGGGATGGGGATGGGGGAGATGGGGATGGTGGGGGAGGGAGTACGGGGCTGCCGCGGCTGACGGGGGTGGCGGCGCAGCAGACGACTTTTACGCCGACTTCGACGCCGGGTGGGATTGGAGGTGGTGGTGGGGTTGGTGGTGGCGCCGCGGGGACGGGTCCTGAGCAGAATGCTGCTGCTGCTGGCGCGGTGGTGGTGGGGAGGATACCGGTCGGGCAGATGGCGGGGGTGGCCGCGGTGACGGGGATATTTGCGCTTTTGGGGGGCGCGCTCATCGTGTTTTGATCATCCATCCAATATTGGCAGACAAGCACGTATGTACATACTACCTACCTACCTTATACTGCACGCATGACATGTGTGGAAGAACGCATGTGGTTGCTTAATCTTGGTACATAATTCAAGTAACGATTGACGAGTCATCCAGCTTTTTTTGTTCACTTGGCCGCGGGACGGGGAGAAGATTGAAGCAGGTTACGCTGGTTTAGGCTACCTAAAGTCATGGTTCTGACACCACTGTGATACCGAGGGAACCAAGACCAAAACCCTCTAACTCTTCCACCTGGTATTACGCAGGCCTTGTTCCACGGTGACTGCTCCAATGTTCCATATTTGCCTAGCCCTGCCAATTCCCCCAGAGTTCGTCACCTCCCCAGGTAGTCAGCAGCGCCTCGACTGTGTGCACCGTCAAAATTTGAACCCGGCGCGAGCCCAGAAGGTGTTGCCGCAGGCCAAGTTCGATTCATCCTCCTGATGATCATCGAGTTGGTTGTCGGTGGCGGCGGCCTGAGCCGGAGCCGGCCGGGCACTCTCCGTGTTATCCGTAGACGCCCCAGAAGATCCCATGCCTGCGGCGGGTTGCATGTCCGACATGTTGGCATGCACGGGGTTCTGCTTGGCCGAGGACTCCTTCTGGACGTTGAAGGAGCCCATGTCTGGGTGCCCATCCGTGATCTCGGGAGAGACGTCGAGGATGCTGGACGAGGTAGCCACTTTGCTTCTATCTTTGCCAGTACCACCTTGGCTAAGGCGCCAGGAGGTAGCCGCAGAAGACACAGAGGGAGTTTTCGCTTCCTCGTTACCTTTGGCAGTAGCCTGAGGTAAGCGCCAGGAGATAGCGTCGAGCCATTTCGAGCTGGTACCGTGATTCTTGTTGACACCGAAGCTTGCATGGCTATGGGACGAGGTCGTCTCACTAGCCGAGGGCATGGTCTTCGAGCCAAAAGCCATCCCATCTTTATCTTCTTCTATGGTCTCTGCGACCTTCTTAAAGACTCGAGCCAAATACTCAGTCTCATTCCATCCCGAGGCGCCCATCTCGCCGGCCACCGCCGTCAACGACTCAGCCAGACGTCCCAGTGCTTGTTGGAGTGACGATTCAGCAGCAGGCTCCGGCCGGATCGGTGTAGCAGGCTCAGGCACGCTCTTTTCTTCCAAGTCAAGGAGATTTTCAGACTCCTGGAACGCAATCGGGGCTTCCTTCTTCTCCTGGCCACCGTTGGAGGCAATAGGGGGGTTAAGGATCTTGTCCCAGGCGCTAGCGTTGTCATCAACGTCAAGGAAGGAGGAGGCGGGTACGCTGGTGACCGTCTCCCAAGCGGTGGCATTGTTGCCGGGCTCTTTCTGAATGGGCAAACTGCTGCTGACGAAAGACGAACCAACCTCCTTGTCGGTGCCGTTGAGCTGAGAGTTCAACGCGGGGACTTCGGGGGCGACAGGGGAAAGCTTGAGTGAATCAAGTCCATTATCAGCCGTGGACTCCATCTCAGGTTTGTCTGTCCAGTCCGGAGTCCCAACCGGGCCCCAAGTCCGACCGACCCGGTCGTCGACCGCAGTCTGAGTGTCGGGGTACTCAAGATTGTCCTCGGCAGCCTGCTTCATGTCGCTCTGGGCGATGCTACCCTCTGCCTCTGTGGACGGTGTCACTGCAGTCGTCTCTTGGTGCTGCGTTTGCCCAGCCATATCGGGCGACCATGGCGCAGCTTGGGCATCCAGTCGGGAACCCGGGGAATTTTGGTCGGTGAGGCCAGTTTCATCCGCCGCAGGAGTTTGTCCGCCCAAGCCGATGGCAGCAATCCAATCCAACCCAGCACGTCTGACAGCTTGATCCTCCAACAGCAAAGCCTTCTGTGCGTCCTGGATTTTGGTGATGAACCGAGTAACATCCCGGCACACAAATGCCTCGATGTCCTCGCGAGAACCATTTACGAACCGCGAGGCGATGGAAGCCGAGAGCCAGCGCGCTGCCCTCAGGAACCGCACATTTTTGAACTGGTGTTGATTCTCGCTAGGAAGTACAGCAGCCTGATCAAAAAGTGAATGGGCCTCGCCAAAGGCGTACTGGAGTTTCCGGTAATGCTCGTCATTCACGCCATCCATCTTGTCAGGCCAGTAACGGCATTTGAATCCGTCGGGCAACGGGAGACCGAAAGCTTTGACAACCATCTGCGCGACTATTGCGGAAGACGCGCGGAACTCAAGGGCGTCGAAGGCACGCTTGGCTTCGTCCTCTGTTGGCGTCAGGGATTTCTGAAAACCGACGTAAAGCTCACGCGTGCAACCCCCGACCTGGCGGTCCCAGTCGCCCACATTAGTTTCCAGTTCGGTTTTGATGAGGTGGTTCAGGTGGAATAGTTGAGACTCCCTAGTACCGCCAAATGCTTCTCCAAGGAACTCGAACCGCCGGGGGTGGTCGACGTCGGGACGGGTTGAGCTCCAACGCTCGGCCCAGTGTTCGAAGCGAAGCCCTCGCCTTGGACCATATTCCGCCCATGTGTCTGAGAAAACAGAGGGATCTCGGGCGGAGAGAGGGCTGAGGATAAAGGCATGGTCTTGTGCAAAGACCGAGAACCGATGCTCCAACGACTCATGGATTTGGCGCTGAAAGTGACGGAGACAGTCAGTTTGCAGCGCCGTGGGCCGAAGGGGCATCGGGTCGTCAAACGGGATGCCTTTCCGCTGAGAGTCGGTCATTAAAGGCGAGTTTCGCTCGGTAAAAGAGCGGATGAAGCGGCGAGCAAAAGCGCCCCCGGACGACTTTGCAATGATGCGCATCATCTGGTCGGAACCGGGACACATAGGCGGGTTCATCGATCTGCATGACCAGCCCCCCGTGAATGGAGAAGGAGTCAGGAGCATGATTGGAAGCCGCACGTTACCGACGGCTTCGTTGACAATGCGGTAGAGGCGGTCCGCCGTTAGGTAGGTCTGCTTGTTGTCGAGGTTGACACATATATCTTGCTCCGGCGTGACCGGGGCAAAGACCATGACGGCCAGTACGGTTCTCCGGGAAACGGCAGCATGGGCGCTCTCGGCCAGGCGCCGTAGGAAAGTATCCACGAACCCGTCGCTATCGTTTGGCATCGCCATGATGTCGTCCTCGTGCCTACCAATAATATCGACTATCTTGTCGTCGGCCATATCGACGCCGTCAATCTCATCTAGGAACTTTGAAATATTGAGAGAGCTGGCCCAGGTCTGAAGCAGAGTACGATTAGCACAAAGTCAATAGCTGGGAACCCATAACACAACGCACCTGTGCCGCCTTCTCGCCGAGGTTGTGGAGCAGCAACTTCCAGTGCAGGAAGTCGGCAACCATCCAACCGTATTTGTTCTGGTCGGCATTCTCGGTCGAAACCCCGCAGACACCGAGGATCTCAGCATCCCCAGGCAGATCCGGAGGGCCGTGCTAGGCGACAAAGTTAGCTGGGACTGGCCAAGTCTCACGGGGTTCCAGAGTTCGGGGGTGGAGGGGTTGCTCGGGAGCAATTGCAACCGGAAGAGGTCTTGGAGATGTTGTAGCCGGACTGCCACATACCAAGATGAGATACGCCTCAGACATGGCGCCCTCAAGCATTTTGAACTCATCGGGGCCGCCTTCCCAAGATGCCTTGGGCCCCGACATGGTGGCTGGAATCGGTGTCAGCGGTGGCGCAGTGGCGCGGTGGCTCATGTATGGGAGCGGATTGAATACAACTCATATGGAAATACACACCTAAGGGGGAAATACCTGCGGGAGTTGCTCGGAGTGACCCTAGCCGACAAGTTGACGGATGGCTGATCGTGAGATCGGTTGACCACGAGTCGCGGTTGAAGAAGAGGAGTTGAAGAAGAGTACCCGGGTGATCAAGAGTTCCGGAAGGAAAGCACGCGGAACACAGAAAAACAACAGGAAGGAGCCATATGGAAGGAGCCATGAAAAGCAGGGGGGAACGGATACATACCTATCTCAAATAAAATGAATATTCAAGTTTCTTGGAGCATTAGCAAAATGTAGGCTCGAACGCAGTCCGCCAAAACAAGGGGATATTAACTTCTGTGCTAGGTTTGCAGCTGGTGTTGAAGTAGGGGCAGCAGGTTGTGCTCACTCTTTTCCCCGTTGTTTGGTTATAAAAGGGGCAAGCCAGGAATGCAAGAGTTCACAGCTCAAATCGTGGCATGAGGGGACCTTCAGGTTATCAGTAAACAAATTATTTCGTTTGATTACCCCTGAGAGAACTCTGTGATGATATATTATGCAAACCAATACTTCCATCAGAAGACCACTCCTTAGACAATAATCGGAACAAAGGGGCGGCCTCTGCTTAATAGAGCAGCTCGATAAGACGCAACCGAGCCAAGACCACAAATCAGCTCAGTAACCAAGACATAAACATAGACAGGCCGAGGAACATATCAAATCCTAATGGCCAACAGCTAGCAATAATATATTCTCGTGATCAAATTAAGCCATCCTCCGGCTATGGGGTATATGCCTCCCAACCTGATGCCCGCCATCCCCCTGCAACGCCATCAAAGCAATCATCTGTCCCGCTGCCCCCAGCAGCAACATCTACTCATACACACACAGTCGGGTACCCACCCCCCACCATCGAACGACACAAAAACCCCCAATCGCACAGACCATACCAGCCTCTACGCCTCTACATTCCCTACATCCTCTCAAACCGCTCCCTCGCCCGCTCCTTCGTCTTCTGCACAAACGCGCCAAAGTCGCCCCTCGTATTGCGCGCCCCCTCCTCGCTCGCGTCACCCAGCTTCCCACCCTCAGCACCGAGCCCGACACCAGGGGCATACACCTCGGTGGCGACGGCCTCCGTCCTGCCGGCGCCCTCGGCCCCCAAACCGGCGCCCGCCGTCCAGCCCATCTTGGCGAGCATGCCGGCGCCCTTGGATTTCTTTGCCGCGGGCTGCTCGGCCCCGCCGCCGCCACCGTCACGGTCGTCGGTTTTCTCGGCGGGTTCTTTGCGCTTTTCGGGGACTGAAGTACTAGCTGCTGTGGCAGAGGAGGAGGGTGGCGCGGCGGTGGGTTGTTTTGGCTGGCCGAATGCTCGTCTGCGCTCGAGCGCGCGGTCGCGGTATTGTGGTTGTAGGAAGCGCACGCGCTGAACCTCCCAGAGCCGCTTGAAGTCCACCTCTGGCTCGACGACCCGCATCTTCTTGCCCATCTTCTTGAAGTCGTTGGCGGCGCGGGCGCGGTTCTGGGGGTTCGCTAGCATGCGCTTGTGCAGTTCGCTCTGCTGCTCGTGCAGCCAGACGAGCCTCGCGCTCTTGAAGATGCGCTTGCAGAGGACGCAGCGCAGCTGATCCCAGTCCGCGTAGGACTTGTAGACGGGTAGGCGTTCTGACTTGAGCCGCGGGATGCGGCGGACGATGGGGCGGGGTTCCTTGCCCAATGCGCTAAGGGCAGCGGCGGCTTTCTCCTTGATTTGGTCGTCCCGGTAGAAACCATGGGAGCGTCCCTCGTGCTCGATGAGCAGGTCACCCCGGGCTTGGGGACAGCCGCGCTGGTTTATGTGTGCTTGGGTTGGAGCCTCCCAGCCGCAGACAAGGCAGGCCATGGTGTCCCAGTCGGCATAGGAGAGGTACCGGTCGCCCGTTTGCGGGGCGACTGGGCCGTCTGGCTGAGCGTCCTCAGCCTCGCGGAGAGCGCCACGAACCACGGACGACTTGACCTCTTCGGGCTCTTGGGTGGAGGGCGCAACCGCATCGGCCGCCGGTTTGGCGCCGTGCAGCTGCGCCGACGCCTTCGCCCACAGCTGCACCTGTGGCATCATGGCCACCTTGGCGACGATGGCGGGCTCCTTAGTATTTTTGGCCTTTTTTGCCGCCTTCGCCGCGGACTTGGCGGCCTCGTCGCCGTTGCCGCCGGGCTGGTCAGGGCTGGGCGCGCCGGGAAGGGGATCGGCCGAGACGATACGGGCGCTGGGATAGGCGCGGTCATCCCAGTACTTGACACGCACGGCGGAGTTGTAAATAGGGGTGAATGAGAACTCTTGGTTCTCAGTCGCCGAGGTGTCGAAGGCGGGAATGAACACGCCGGTATGGATGAAAGCGACCACGACGGGTGCAGACGCAATAGTAAATCTGGTAGACGCTCGGAATTTTGCGACGGCCGCTATGGCGTCCTCGACGGTGGCGAACTCGGCAAAGCCGTACCTCCAAGATTCGTTAGTCTTGCGGTCGCGCATCAGGAACACACGGCGGAGCGAGCCAGGTTTTGCTCCGAGGCCAACTGTGCTGTTTGTTGGTGCTGTCGATTTTAGTTTGTTGATGGTGGGAGCTTCTTTTGCGGGCTTCGGAGTGTCGACAAACAGCTTCATGACGCCTTTGGCTAGGACTTCCTCGGTGACGGATCCCTCGAGATCCCGGATGACGACATATTGGGACGGGGTTTGCTGAAGACACTCATCCGTCTCGCCGGTTAGAAAGGGGCCTGAAGCGCCAAAATCGTCTTCTACTCAGGTTAGCTCAAGATACCATTGGAGTTCGGATATCCGCAGCACTTACCAGGTCGCTCGGTTTTACATTTGAAACAAACAGCTCGGTGAGGGTAGTTGATTACACCGCACTTGGGCGGTTAGCAAACGCCAAGTATGTTTTTGGCCGAGATAAATACCTTGATACAATCCCAGCCGTCGTCGTCCCTACGTGACTCGCGAGGTGGGTCTACCTCGTCGCGGTCCTCTGGGGGCGCAACCGTTACTGTAATCGGTTCGGAATCGAGGCCGCGGGAATGCTCAAGGCGAAAAGAAATGTCGGGGTAGTATCGGTCAAGAAAGTTCTCAGCGTCCGATCGACGATGGAATTCGACAAACGCAAAATAACGGCCTAGAGGGGTTGGGGGAGTAAGTAAGCGAGAGGCTACCATGGAGGGGAGAAGACAGAGATAACTAACCATCGTAGTTGTGGCGAACCCGAGCGACTCTCACCTTGTCGCTCGAGAAGTGACGGTCTCTAGTAATGTAGTCGAGACCGTAGAGGATGTCACGCTCGGTGGCATCCTCGGGAAGACCGTTTAAAAGGACTGCCCGGCCGGAGTCGCCCGATTGTCGGTGATCCAGGCGACGTCTATCATGATGGTGACCAGACCCACGATTATCAGGGACGGCGCCCCGATATCCGCTAGAACCCCGAAGAAGATGGTGATCCATAGGGCCGGCTTGAGCGGCGTGTTGCCCCAGATGGGGTCCGGCTGGAAGTCTCCCATCTCGATTCGAATAATCCGCATTGTCAGGGCCACCGCGGAAAGGACGATGGCGGTGCGTCTCAGCCAGGGGCGCATATCCTGCAGATCGAACATCAGGATGATCAGGACGTAGGCCATGGCCGTGGAGATCATCCAGACCAGAAGGTTGAGCAGATGCATCGTTGTAATGGCTGGGGTCGTCGCTGGTCTTGGAGTAGTAGCGGTCTCTCGGTATGCGGTGGCGGTCCCGGGCGGGTCCAGGGTAGTCGCCAACGGCCTCGCCGTCGTCGTAGTTCAAGTCTCTCGGAGGGTCTGGGGAATCTTTGCAGCGGGAGACGAGACGCCCAAGTTAGCCATTTCCAGCTCGACCAACAACCGAAAAGCACTCAAACAATGCCATGGTCAAGGTTTATCGTGTAGGCTATAGTACCCTTCCTCGACCGGCGGTAGCCGCCATCTCTGTCGTCGGAGCGGCGCGCATGGGGGCTTCGACTGCGACGGTCGCGATCGCGGTCTCGATCGCGGGAGTTGCCGCCATCGCGCGACGAGGGGCGATGCCCGCCTTGGTACATGGAGAGAGGATCGCAACTAAAAAAAAGGGGAATCGAGGGAAGAATGAGCAACGCCAGAGAGTGCGCCAGAAGATGCGATTGGTTTTCCAGCTAGACGTGGCTCGTAGCTGTAGGGTTGGAGGGAGAAAACCACTTGCGACTGAAGCGATCTTGAAGCCAAGAGCGGGATGGGAATGCAATGGAACGGGAGAGGAAGCTCACCTTTGCCAAGGCGTAAATTCACACCCAGCATTCCAATTGCCGAAGATCTGCCGCTAATCGGTTACAGTACGAGGAGACTCGGATAACGGTGTTGGTGATGGTGGGTCGCCCTTGTCAACTTGAATGAATCGAGGATGAACTTTGGAATTCAGTAATGATCGTGGTGGTTATTTTCTGAGTTTGTACTTTTTAAAAGGCAAGAGCAGAGAAGGGCTATCAAGAAACAGTTCACATCCTACTACTTTAGCCAATCGCTTAGTCGTCGTGCTCGTATGCAATTACTCACTCAGTTTCACTCAAATCTCGCATTCACATCTTGCTCACAATCCCAAACACTACAACCCCAGGGCTTGAACTTGTTTCTGTGAATTCGACATCATACTTCCAGGCCTCTCACATCCAAGCTATTCCCCCTGGTCTCAACTCGACTTCGGCCGAGCTAGACAAAGAAAGCTGTGGACTATAAGGAGGTCCTCGAGTTCAACACTTACCCCACCTGCCCGCCGGGACCTTCACCACAACAACACCAACTCAACCTCCCCATCACCATCATGGCCACCCCAACCTCCGAACCCCAAGATGACTCCTCGCTCTCCCAAGAAGGCTGCTACGTCGCCCTGACCAACTCCCCCCTCACCATCCAATCCGTAACCGACCGCGTGCGCTCCCCCCAAGCAGGCGCCATCGTCATCTTTGCCGGTCCGCAACCCCCTCCTCTCTCAACCCCCAACCCTCAACCCCCCCCCCCCCCCCTCTCCTTCAACCCAAACCCAAACCCAACCTCCAAACACTAACCCCCCTCCCCCCCTTAGGAACAACCCGCGACACCTTCGAGCACAAACCCGTCGCCCAACTCTCCTACACAGCCTACACGCCCCTCGCGCTACAAACCATGCTCACCATCGCCACCACCCTGCACTCGGAACACAGCCTCCACGGAATCGCCATGGTGCACCGGCTCGGCGCGGTGCCCGTCGGGGAGGAGAGCATCGTGATCGCGGTGTCGGCGGCGCACCGGCAGGCGGCGTGGCGTGCGGGGGAGGCGGCGCTGGAGGCGTGCAAGGCGCGGGTGGAGGTGTGGAAGCGGGAGGAGTTTGGGGATGGGGAGGGGGTGTGGCGGGCGAATCGGGATGGGGTGAGGGGGGAGCGGGTTGGGTGATGGGGTTGTCATGTCATGTAGTAGTCGGGTGGGGTTGAGGTTAGGATGGGTGATAGGTGTATATGATGTTTGTTTTGGGTCTCGGCTGGTTGGGATAGTTCAGGGTGGTGGGGAGGGCCTAGGTTTGTATGACGTCTCTGTCGTTGTGATCATCAAAGAGACAACGATACACACACACCGCAGCTCATGACACCCCAAACGCTGTGAAAGGCAACACCTAACCTTGTCCGACTGAATGGTTTTTTGGTTCGTGTATGTGTCGGCAACCCGGGACAGGCATAGGTTTGCGACGAGTGGTGACACAGATGGAGGCTCTGTGCATGCAAGAGAACTGGCACGAGAACACTCCTTCATTGCTGTTAAAGTAACTAGAAGACCACCACCTTACTCCCCGCCTAATCTCAGCCCACAAGGTATCTGGAGGACACCCAGAACGAGATCGGAGTGAAAACGTCCCGTCACTCATCCATACCACCCGATACAACACCCGCATGACAACCTCCTCTTTCGTTGACAAACACCCCCTCACCGCCTGCTTCAAATCGAGATACGGTTGAAACTGAGTCTTGGGGGTCTCAACAGAGAGATACCCGGCGCACCGGTAGATGATGATACGGAACTCCCAACACCGCTGCTGATACAACTCGCTCATTCGCCAGACAGGGACACTTCCTCGCTAGACAAACGCAATCGGTCGGTCGCCCATCTTCGAGAGCCAAATAAAATAGGGATGTTAACACCGTTCCAAAAAAAAGTACATCCAAAAATACCCATGCCATGATGTGACATCCAGCCACACAAATTCAAATCCCACTCCCAAACTCCCAGACTCCGCCCGCGCACACAAATCCCATAACCACCATTCCAACACTAGCCGCTCCTCTTATCAAGGCCACGTGCTCGGCCCAAACGTCTCCCCGGGTGGCAAGGGGATCTGCACCGCCTGGTTGAGCATATCCATGGTCCTCAGGGCAGCCGTGTTCCCGAACCAGCTCGGCGCTTGGGTTTCGCTGAGGTACAGGGCAAAGAAGATGACGAGGGTCGAGACGATGAGGCCGCAGTCGAGGGCCGACGAGGTGACGTAGTTGTACTGCAGCCACCAGCCGGTGCGGCGGCGGCGGATGAAGTAGTTGAAGGCGGTGCCGACGATGCCCCAGCAGTAGTAGATGAAGACGGTCGCGGGCGGCAGCATGCCCGAGCCGCCAAAGATGAGCGGCATGTTGACGTAGCGCCAGATGCCGCGCTGGTAACGCCGGGCGAGGAACCAGGTGATGACGGGCGCGATGGCGCCGGCGAGCCAGAACCACTGGAGCGAGCTGTAGAGGGCGTCGCCTGAGAACATGCGGGCGGGCCCGATGGCGCCCCAGATGATGGAGGCCGTGTAGAAAACGCGGGCGCTCGGGCAGTTCCATTGGTGAACCTGGGTCTCGGAGCAGACGTCGGGGATCGTTTCGAGCGCCCAGTTCATGACGGCGATCTGCACGATGGCCGACCAGATGGACGCGATCAGTTGGGACCAGAACATGACGCGCGGCGGGACCTTCATGTAGTGGCCTAGCTTGAGATCCTGGACGAAGTAAAGCGCCTGCGACATGCAGAGGTACCCATAGTTTTTGAACATCATCATGGCGAGGGGGCGGCCGGGGAGCATGTAGCCGACGATAAACTCGGTCAGGACGTTCAGGCCAAGCTGGATGTTGGTGATGGCCTGCACGATGCCGATCGGGATCGTCCATATTAGTGGAATTAGCATGCAGACGATATAAGCCCACCAGGGGAAGTTGGTATCCCAAGCGCAGACGACGGCGAAGGAGAGGCCGACCATGACGATGAACAGTACAGTGTACCACCAGTCCTCGGCGTCGCGGTACTTCTTCATCAACCGCATGTGAACATCGTCCTCCTGCGACCGGGCCAGCTTCCACTGCGTCCAAATCTCGCGGCCATGGTAAAGCGCGACATGAGTAATGACGGCGGTGATCGCGGCAAAGGAGAGGCCGTAGGCGAGAGCGAATTGCGTGGGGAGGTACAGGGGGGAATACGCGTTGTACTTGGCCTCGTCGAACTGCAGATTGTCGCCCAGAATGGCCGACACGTTGTACAGACGTCCGGTGTTGTCGTAGGCGTGCGAATTTTGAACAGGTAGGTAAGCTGAGTACCACATACCCGAGTAGTGGATTGCAAGCGAGATAACGACAAAGAAGGCCGTGATGCCTCCCACCACATTAGCAATGGCGTGGAAGGGCGGGATAAGCGGGGACATGAGATAGCCGGAGATGATACTCCAGTCCTGAATAAATCAGCAACGTCACTACAGTAGAACAATACAGCCCATGCTTACCAGGGTGAGGGGGAACAGGCCGAAGCCACTGTAGCCGCCAAAGAGCTGGTTGACGACGACGTTTTCGGGCCAAATCCAGGTGAGCCAGCAAAACCATGACAAGCCCATGAACAGATAGCCCGGGAACCAATACCACAGGAACGAGCCGGAGAAAACAAGCATGAACCACTTATAGCGGCTCATGCTCCAACCGTTTGCCCGCGCCGGGTCCGTTGGAGAGTGGTCGTGGAGGGTGTAGAAGAGCGCACAGTTGACGAGGTCAGTCGGCCAAATCATGGCGGCGGGCCAAACGAGAAACCTCCTTGCAAGGCCAGCCAGCCCATAGCCTGTGCACAGTGTCGTGATGCCGAACATCATCTGCCATAACCAGCCAAAGTTTTGGTTGTACCACATCCGCTGTGCAATGATGACATCGGTGGCATACAGCGCACCGCCGCCATAGGCGGCCTGGGAAGAGTCAGCAACTACTAGAGACATTGACCGGCCGGACCTACGTTTGACATGACCACAATAATAACGTGCTCTTTGTAGTTGAACGGCCCTGGCTTGAAGTTGAATTTGAGACCCCAGACATTGAACACTCGGTCGGGAAAGACCAAGTCCCAAGCCAGTCCAATGGGATAGGCGATTAGTTGGACGACGAAGGTCGTGAGTGAGATACTCGGGTTCCTGAGCGACAACACCATGTTGACGGCGGACCCAAGAGTGCAGAGAAGCATGCCGATTGTCCATGCCCGTATCGTGTTTACCGGCATGTCAACGTCGAAATTCCGGACCGTGGCTCGCACCTTGATGGGAAGCGGATGTTAGAACACGCATGTCTTCTCTTCCTTCCGACCCCATCCCCTCTTGAGAGGCCGGGCAAGCAAGCAGGCAAAGCATCAAAATCTCACTTCTGGATATGGCGAGTTATCCTCGGCTAGGATCTGCTCGATCTCGGCTCCCTTCTCGACATTGGCCGTGTTTAGCGCGATATCGACCTCCTCCAGCTCGTCCAAGGGCAGGTTCGGGTCGAATCGATGCATCTTCTCGAACTGCTTCAGCGATGCGAAGCCAGTGGAGTCGCCCTCCATCGATCCCTCCATGTCTGGTACCACATTTTCGTCTTCCCGCCGTCGCCGCCGGAGGGACTTAAGAAACCTCAACGCCATTTTCCCGGATTTGTTCTCCCAGCCGCGCAAGGCTGGGCCCGCTCGTGCTTTTCGGCGCGGCGAGGCCGGGTAGAAGGGTTCGGTCGAGCGGCAATCGCAGTCGTGTCGGCCGTCACGGTTGTCGCAATCGTCGCAATCGTCGCGCAATCGTCTGATCTTGGGGTGTTCGGATGAAAAGGACGGAACCGGGAGGGTATCAGGCGACGGGCACAGCGCAGCTAAGACAGGGGCGGTTAATGTCTATTGAGCGTGGACATGGCTGTCTTGCGCGCTCGGCGCAGATCGCTGAGCGGGGCTTTGGGGTTGACGGACTGGAATGCGAAAGACTCCGAAAGGGGAGAGACGCAAGAGAGGCGCGAGGGGAATTTGGTGGATTTCTACGTCGGCTCCCGACTTTGGGACTGGACAATGGCGCTGGCCAGTGCTGGCTGGGTCGGGTCGGTCTCTCTCCCAGTGGGCGCGAGGGGGGGTCGCCTTGGTGGACGGGTGGGAGAGGGCTTGGGAGGGACCCTGTTTCTGGAAGAGCACGCAAACCAGCCAGCCAGCCAGTATCGCGGAAAGATGCAGCACCCCCAGCAACGTTAATTGCTGACCTGCCTAAATTGGTTTGATGGCTGGGCGATGGGTCGAATTCCCGATGGAGAGACAGGGAACCGCAGGGATTGAAGCGGGGGCTGGCACGCCCAGAGGTCTGGGGCGCAGGTTGACCGTTTGCATGCCCGCCTTTTGAACATCGCGATCCGTCCCGCGATGATGCGATAACACTCACGCGTGCTGTCCTGGTGCGCGGAAGTGATCGTCGGCTTCTTTCGCAGGACAGCTGGGAACTCGGAGCCCATCCTCGAGACGATCCGATCAAGGGGGGCTCCTCCCCTGAAGCGATCTCCTTTCCCGGATCCGAGGCAGAACGGCTGAGAGTCCGCAAAACGGCGCTACAAAAACGCCTCCACATGCTATCCCGGCGCTCGCCACCAGGGCTGATGTGGAATCGGCTGCATGCCAATGTCTCGGCCAATGGCATGGGCGCCCTACCTTTCCTTGCAGCTGGTTATCTGAAAGCCTCTGATGCCTCTTATCTTCTGTCCCCATAGGCCCCGTTGCTGTTGAAGATAGGATCGCCGAACGGTCTCTCGGCTGATAGGCGCATTGGCTCGAGGCCGGCGCGACTACTGGAATTTTGGGCGTCACCACATAGTTCTTTTTGTCGTGAAAAGAAACAAAACATGGTCATGAGGGCTCAGGAACTCGTTTGCGGGGGAACAAGAGCCGGGCCCCTGGCCGAATTGACGGTTCATTGCGCCGTTTTGGGTCAACCAAGGTCTGGGTTTCCGGAGCAGGGAGTGCCGAGTCGAAATCCGCTTGGGTCGGCGACTTCCGTTACGGAACGGAGCTGCTCACCACATCTCAACAGCGAAGGGAGCACAATTGAGTTCCCGAAGCCTAGAGTCCATTCGAGAGAGACAATAAAAATGCAATTTTGACGAGCCAAAGACTGAGAGAAATTCGAAGCAGAATATCTCACGCCAATTTGAGAAGCCGCAGCGGGCATGAGAGGAAGCCGCGATTTCCGCATCGGGGCATTGGCCACCCCTCCCTCTTCCCGTTTGACCTCTGTGCCTTCCTGTGTTTCCCGGCGAGCATCGGAGCCTGGTTTGCTTCAATTCGACACCGAGACTCTCAAGCCGGCGCGATGCAGCCCAGACTATTGAATGCGACGCAGCCGACTTGCTCGACGAATCGAACATCATGGAATTTACCGAAGTGCTCGCGGACAATGGACCAAGAACTGTCTTCCACCACACCATTCCACGCCCAGCTCCCGTTTTCCTTGCTCCCTTCAGGAGCCGAGACCTGGGCATGGCCTAGCGTGGCATGGCATAGCATGGCACGAAGGAGACGGAGTCCCCGAGCCCGTACCATCTCCCCATTCTCAGCAACTCGCAACCACCCCCAAGCCTCTCGTGAGCTGAAGGAAAGCCGGAGGCCTTGAATGCCAGCCAGGTGTGTCCGAGGCCTTCTCCACCGCGAGCAACTCATTCGACCCCAGCTTCATATCCGATGGACACATGCGTTTAATATCACGCCGTCCCGGCCCCTCGGACCACCGAACAACAGCGTTGAGATGGCGGTCGTCCGCACATTAAATAGTATTGGGGCAGATAGCGTCCCAGCTTCCCGGCCGCGGACTCGCCAAGCAGCGCGGACGGCACACGCTGCCCCACGAAAATAGCATCGCATAAATTGAGCCACCTCCCGGCTATTTGTCGCAGATTATCCCGCTACCACAGCAGACACCATTACCGGAGACGCAAAGAGCTTGGTATTAACTTAGTTTAACTTTGATTTAACTTTGGTTCATGGCCTGCCGCAAAACCCGGGTCCAGACTTGCTTGTTATGACTTCCGTCGGGCGGCACATTTCGGGAGGGCAGGCGGCCGCAGCGGCCCAGGACGGTCTGGGTGTGCCCAGATACCATTTTTGACCGAGACTTTCCGTCCCTCTCCGTCCCGGGAACTGTGTCGTCGCGAGCGGCTGAGGGTGTCTGCAGAGTCACCAACCTCGGCACTCTGGAGTGGATGGCAATATAGATTCACCAACCAGAATCAGTCACGCTGCTCGCTTAGATACTCGAAGGAGCTTCATTGCTCACGACATCTGACCAGGAGATGTTGAGAGTTCTAGAATCTCGCAGATGGAAAATGTGGTGGACGAGAAGAGGAGTTCCGAAGCATATGCAAAGCAAACTAAGGATTCTCTCGTTGAATGCATTATTAAGCCCTTCGCCAAAATAAAAGTCGAATTGGAGGTTGTGTATGTTTCTCAACAAACAACCGTTGTCCGTTGTCCAAGAGCCGAGACAGAGTCTCAACCGGCAGGGCAAAAAAAGACAAATGACAGGGCTTGGCCGGGGATTGAACCCGGGACCTCTCGCAAGCAGAGCTATAGGGTTTTCCCTAAGCGAGAATCATACCACTAGACCACCAAGCCAATCAGATGATTAGTTGAAGGTTCAAATTCTTAACTCATATTGCTTTCAGAATAGCTGTCCTGTAAGTCAAAAGAATCATCCCTCGGAATCTTCATCCCCTCATCCTCCTACACATCTATGACTGTCATAGTACCCCCCATTATTAAACAAGAAGTGTAGCGAGTACACTTTGACTTTCGAACCACCAATACCTCAACCCTAAAAGTCTTGCTCTACAAAGTCCCTCTTGTCTTTATTCCTCCTTTCTACAACTATGTACGAAGTATACTCCTATGATACTAACCCCGTATAATACCACTCCCACCCCAACCTCAATCCAGTTCCTTCCCCTTCCCTTCTTGATCCCACCCTTCCCTCTTCAGCGCCCACTTCACCGCTCCCATCACATCACCCACCACCTCCTTCGGCTTAAACACCCCCTCCAACTTCCCACCCCTCTCCTCACTCCACACCCCCGTCTTCACCAACACCGACACCCACTCCGTCCCCTCCTCACTAACATACCCATTCGCCCCCGCGATATCACTCTCCGGGTTATCCCCCACCATATACACCCTCTCCAACGCCCCCACCCCACTGTCACCACTGTCACCACCACCACTCTCACCACCCCCACTAACCCCAGCAGCACCCCCCATCGCCCTAACCACCTCCCGCCGATGCCCCGCCAGCACCCGCTCCGCAAACCGATACGTCTCCCGGTACGGCTTCCCAATACACCCCCTCTTCAGCCCCTCCCCGCCCGTCACCCGCTTCCACAACCCCGCCACAGCAGCCTGGAACGCGCCCTGCCCCAGCCGCGGCAGGTGGTAGCCCGCGCTCCACAACAAATCAGCGTTGCTGAAGTACAAGGCCGGCTGCCCGTCGCGCTGCCAGCCGCGGTCGGGGAGGTGCGGGGTGTTGTTGAGCGGGGAGTAGGTGCCGAGGTAGCCCGCGTGCGAGAGGAGCAGGTCGGTGATGATCTGGATGTCGAGGGCCCAGTCGCGCGGGTCGTTGAGGACGAAGATGGCGTGGATTTGGAGGTGGGACGGGAGGTGGGTTGGGTTGGGAGGGCCGGGGTGGGAGTAGAGGGGTTTGGGCAGCGGTTGGGAGGGGGTGGTGAAGGAGGCGGCGGGCTGGAAGGGGAAGATGGTCGGGTCGGCGGCGTAGATGTCGGCGGGGGTGATGACGTTCTTGAAGCCGTACCTGGGGGGAGGGGTGGTTAGGGTGGGGGGTTTGGTTGGGAGGGGATGGGGGGAAGGGTGCTTGCTTACTCCTTGAAGATGGAGCGGCACTTCTCGTAGTCGGACCCAGTCACCAGGACGGTCTTGTCACGGAGGCTGTTCGGTCCTTCGAGCAGCTCCTGGAAGGGCGTGTGGGATTGGACAAAGTTGTCTGTCGATAGTTGCACGCCGAGTCTCGCCTCAAGGTCTTTGACACGCTCCGTCTCGTGCTTGCCGCCGCCGTTGGTGAGCAGGATGAAGGGGATGTTGTAGTCGTTCAGGAACTTGAGGACCCTAGTAGCGCCGGGGATCGGCTTGGCGACGTGAAGCAGAACGCCGTCGATACTGCCCGAGTGTTAGGCAACTCATTCATTCACCTCCCAGAGTACACAGTGTCGATAAACGAGAGGACCTACTCAAAAGCAAACGCAAAAGAGGGCGGCTTGCGCCCCGAACCCCCTACCTTGACATCATGCTTGAAGCCTCTTGTCCATGCGGTCTCTCGCCGCCTCCGCCCAAGTTCAGCAGTAGGCCGAGCCCGCCTCGCACCGGCAACAAAGGTGGATGAGAATCTCAGTCCGTTTGTCATACAGGGGGAGAGCCCGGTCCCGAACCGCGCCGGCAGTGAAGCTGCCAATCCCCGGAGGGGAGTCCTGAGAGATAGTTAGGAATTGTAATTGATGAAACCGATGGGATGAGTGTAATGATAAGAAACAGTAAAAGACCTAAGAAGGACATACCTCGAGATGGGGACCGCAACACTCGCCATTTCTCACACCAAACCCCTCACGTTGTGCTAGGTAATTTCAGAGCAAAGTCCCTGTTTATTCAAAGGACATGCTTGATGCTAGCGTAATGATTGTGTCTCTGAAATTATGAGACTGCGGGCTTCTTGAGTAAAAAGAAAAAAGTAAATAACCTGAACTGAAGCTGCAGTTGTCGTTGTTGCCCACCCATTGCCTGTCGATCGTACAGTGGAGTGAATACAGGGGCCCAATCTGGCCGGGCACTCGTGCCGGGGTTACCTGCCGACCCCACCTTGTTTCCAGCGAGGGTCACCAGACAAACACGGAACAGGGGATGGCGGTGCAAGGGAATCATGTGCATCGTCATCGATGCATGGGTTTGGCCGCGGAATCATACCATATTCAGGAGAGGAAGACTTAAAAACGTGACCAGCATTAGGAATGCTGGGTCTGTTAGTTAGAGTTAGTTTCTCACTCTCACTTCAAATGAACCCAGAAGCCAACATGATGCCGCACTTCCTCAACCAGACCCCCAACACCCACTGGCACGCACCAAGCCCCGACATTCTCAAGATAAACTGCGCATGCCAAATCGTTCCATTCATTCCATCAAGTTCCCTACAAATACAACAAGGCATCCCCGATTCCTTCCACCCTGGTTTCCCGGCTGTATTCCCGATAACGTCCCACGACTCGGCGTTGCTCACCACAAACCACACCTGCACCCCCGGACCTCCACATTACGATTACCCTCACTCTATCCCACCTCCCACCCCTCGCAACGCCTCACCGCGGAAACCAACAGAAACCAGCCAGCCATCCAGGAGAGTGCCGAACGAAGCAGGAACCGGGATCCGCCCGATCGTGGTGTTCCGAACAAGTCAAAGTAGGACATGCCAAGCCGTGCCGATATCGTCGTCGTCTATCCGTTCCGATTCATGAAACAAGGCGTTCTTTATCCATCATGGCCACTCCAACGGGTCCCCCAATATTCAATATCGAACTTTTGTCCTTCCCCCCAAGCCCACCGCCTTTCAAGCTCCGATCGAGTCTCACATGAAGCATACCCCCGAGGAAGGGGGGAACTTGATGCCAGCAACAGACCTCGACACGTAAGAGAATCAAGAAAGGGAGGGGGAGGGGGGGTTGATAAAGAGAGGTGAGAAAAGAAACAATGAATGCATCCCCCAAGCCAACCCCCTTTCCTCTCATGAGAGAAACGCCGCGCCGAAAAAACAGCAACCAAATCGAAACATGAGATTGAAACACACCAAATGCCGTGAAGGATCTCCAAGTCGTAATGGCAGAAATGTCGTCCGTCATCTGTCATCTGCATTATCTACCGGGAGCTGGATTCAGCGTTGGTGCAGCCCGGAAAGAAAACACACGAAACCCGAGGGGTCCCCACGCGGTCGGGCAACGTCGTCTCGACGAAAGATGTTTCCCTGAAGGCCTCGTGGGGGTCCATGGTCAACCGGGCTACCTATGATGGGCCTGGATTCAAGGTGGCCGACCTCGCCCGGTGAGGAGAAGAAGAGAGGCAAAATGCCGAAAAAAAACGTTTATGCACATGCCGAACCAAAGGAAGCCGCCTGCCGATATGATGTTATGCAACCCGAAACGCATCAAGGCGCGATCCGCCGAGAGAGGAAAAAGTCTAAGCCCGACAAGACGTAAGTCGTGATTTACTGAACCGTTTGTCATTTTATCATGGTGTCGTACTGGTTGGTGTCCCGGTCGATGAGCTATCGTACCCGGTCCTTGTTGCTGGAGAGTCCGCACACGCACACGCCCGCCAGTAGTAGTCAAGTGGCTGCTCAGGCACGGCTTACGTGGCTCACCGATGTCCGGCTTCGCTCGTCCTCCTCTATCACATCGCTTAGCCTGGTGGGGTGGTGGTGTCGGGGAAGTTGCTCCCAGCCAGGCGCGGCAAAGCCCTGGCCGGCGTACTCGGCCGTGCCTGGTTGCGCGCCCGGTTGCGCGCCTGCTTGTGCGCCCGCCCAGTGTGAGCTGGATGGTGGGTAGCTGGTGGGCGCCTGCGATACGGGGGTCTCATAATCCTCGGCGCCGGCATCAGATCTTCTTGCGCGGCTCGGTGACGTGGAGGGGCTGTGGAACGGGATTTTGTTGCCTTGTTCGTCCCTCAGGTAATTCCCTCTCCCGTCAATCATATATTCACCTTCGCTATACCCTGCATCGGAGTCCCCGCCGTATTCGCCCTCATCATTGCCACCGGTCTCGGGCTGCTGGTAGTATCTGCCACTCTGCTCACCGGCCGAAGCTGGCGACTGTGGTACGGGATTGGCGGGGGCAGGTGCAGATGGTGCCTGAGGGGCAGAGGTATAGACTGGGTATTGATTTCCTTGGGCGGCGACGTAGTCGGAGGTGTCAGCAGCTTGGCTGGTCGATCGGGTGTGCCGACTTGCGGTGCGACTTGGTATGGTCTGGGTCATCGGTACGACCTGCACTCCGCCGACGATCGTCGGCTGCCCCTGCTGAAGCGAAACGGTACGGTCGCGTTCTTCTTGTTCGCGGCGACCGAGCTCCTCCCAAGCGCGGCGAGCTTCCTCCTTGGAAATGAGCAATTCCCGTCGCATCTCGCCCACCAGCTTCTGGAGCTTCATATTCTCGGCGTCGTTCTGGGCAGCGACCCGGACGGCGTCGGCTCTGGCTTGCCGCTCGTGCTCCATCTGTGTCTCGAGGACTGCGTTTACCTCTTGGTTCCGCTCCAACTCTGAGCGGGTCTCGAAGAACCACCTCTGGAATTTGCGCTCGGAACTAGCGCGGAGGCGCTGCAGCTCGACCACGGCATGGAAGAGATTGGCACCAGCAGCCGAGAGATCGGCAACTTGTCGAGAGAGTTGCGTGCTTATCGGGTTACGTTCGGCCTCGTCCGTGTTTTCTTGGAGTCTCCGCAGCCAGAAGCTCGTCATGCCCTCCCAGTGCGCCGAGAGAGCTTCCCAGCGCTCGAAGGCATGGGGGAACGAATTCTTAATACGGGCAGAGCCCATGCCTTGGGTTGACGGCTCGCCCGTCTGCGCAGGCGCCGATGTGTTCATGCCAGACTGAGGCGCGGGGGTGAAGCTTTGTTGTGGTTGTGCTGTGGCCGGAACTCTGGTTGGGCGCAAAGGTGGTACGGTGGCCGATTGATGCTGCATGGCAGACGCAGACATGCCAGATGGGATTCGGGAGCCCGATTGGGCCTCCTGGGCACGCTGTTGCCGGCGTTGGGTGGCCGGATCGGTGGGTATATCGCCGCCTGGGGCAGCGCCAGCGACGGGCGGCCTCTGTTCAGCCGCCCGGCGTTGTGTCTCTTCAAGTAAGCGAGCCTCTTCTTCAGCACGGGCTCGCTCCATCTGCTCCCTCTCTGCTCGCTGTCTGGCCTCGCGCTCTGCCCGCTCGCGCATGATCATGCGAGGGCCACGAATCACTTGTTGCGGGGATCCAGTCTGAGCCGGAGGTGCAGTTGGCCGGGAGGATGTGACATGGCCATTGGTCGTGGGCGGGCCGCCGCCGCTACCGGCGAGAAGATCCGCCATCGAAGCGTTCTCCTCAACAGGATCGGAGGAGAAAGGGTGCGGTTTTCGGAGTGCTTCCTCGAGGGCCCAGAGGATGGCACTCTTGGTATGCTTGGAGAGCCGGACAGCCGGGTGAGGCTGGGGTCTTGTCGAAGAGGGGTATTGCTGGCTATTTTGGTTGAACGACGACGGGAGAACGGTCGACGCTTCTTCGGGATCGTCGCTCAGCTCCTGGGAGAGCTGCCGCCGAAAGGAATGGAAGATTTGCTCGGCCGGTCCAGATTGCGCAGGGTCGCCAGCTGTCGAGAAGAGTGGCCGAGGGCTAATGCCAACAGTGGCCGCTTCGAGGTGGGCCCGGCGTGGTGTAGTATCGGGGTGGCGGGGGCTGGGACTGGGACTGGGACTGGGACTGGCAGAGAAGCGGGGGGTTCGGCGGAGAGTCCGCTGGGAAGACGAAGTGGGCGGTCTGTCTTCCGGTCGGGGGCTTGCGGTGTCTTGTCGGCGAGGAAGCGTCCGTCGCTGGCGCTGTTGGACGGGTGTTATCGGGTGGTCGTGGAACTCGCTGGAGATACGAGGGGACGACGCTTCTTGACTGCCAGCAGCAAGGCCTCCCAAAGCACCAGCGGAGACTGGTGTGGAAGACAAGGCGAACAGTCACCACGCGCAGTGGTGACGTGAGTTTTGCTGCTACAGCCCGTTGCTGTGTGCGGTGGCAGGGTCAGAAAGATGCTGGCGGTGTAGGTGGACGGGGCCGACGTGGAGGGGTGCAGGAAGCTTGGGTGTGCGGAGCAGCCGAGGGACAACTCACTCACCCTAGAAAAAGCTGGGGTTGGTATTTCAAAGAGGGAGGCTCCGTATCTCCTCAGAGCAAGGCAAGGAAGATTAATCGGAAAGAATGGAAGAATGGAGGGGAAGAGCCTGCTCTCGAGCACTGCACAGGGGCCTCCAAAGGCTTGGAAAGGCAAGCTTGGAAGTGGCCGTGGTTGGGCGCTGTGCGAAAATGCGGGAGGCGGGACACGAAAAGTGCGTGGCTGGCAAAGAGGCCAAAAATCGCTTCGACGGATAACGTTACGGCGTGCAGGTGGTCCGCAGCGCCAAAAAATCGAAAATAGAATAAGGAGTGACTGGTCGCGCGTCTTCAGGGCATCTAGCGCCTGTGTTTTATTTCAGTTTCGTCGGGTCCTGCGACAAAAAGAGTGAAGCTGTCGGGCGGTTGTTATATCAGCATTTCGCCCCATATCCGCGTTGTTTGGTTTCGCGATGCTGGCTGCCCGACCAGCTTTCGCGGCCAAAACACTCCAACTTCCGATCCATTCGGTTGCACTCACCGCTACCTCAACACCGCGGCGGGAGCTGTTATGCTATGCAAAATGAAGGACTGTGGAAGCAGAGTTCCTGGCTGCTAGCGCAGGGCATACTCGAGTTCCAATGGCTCAAAACGAGGGTGCAATCGGCCGAAGCTCGACAAGTTGTTGTAGCTGTTGATTGTTGGGCGACTGGCGAATTTCAAAGATCGGTCAAGAGCTGAGAGTTGCCGATGGGGTAGCAAAGTTGCAGCCGACCAGGGGATGGCGCTCAGGTTAGCGGGTGCACGGGCCTGAATGTGCTCTGATGCTGGCTGGGGGGTTCTTTCCTCTGCTGAGCTGTTTCTACAATTGCTGCCAAACAGTTAAACGCCAGAAATCTCAGACGCGATGATGGCTCAACTATGAAAATTGTTTGGAGGAACGATTCTACGAAGGTTCAAGACACACAAATTGCTCACAGTATCCGTACAAGTGGCTGCTGCATATCCCGCTCAAACAAGGGTAAGCCGGGCCCGTCTGCAAACCAAGGCCGCACTGATGCACCTCAGCTCTCCTCGGACACGGCAAGATGTCTCGTCGGTTTTCGGAGCACAGCATGCTGACGGGCCCTGGACCAGGCTGATGATGTTGCCATTCGGAGGACAAGTTGCAATTCCCTATGCCCATCCAGCCTTGACACCTCCCAGATCAGCGGATGCTTATTCGGACACTCTCGCCAAGCTCCAGCCAAGCTCTTTCAGTCCACCAACCAACCAACCCTGCCGATTTCCGACACAAGGCCAAGTTTCTTCGCCAGAACCTCTTCTCTTCAAACCGAACTGACCTCAGAGAAAGTCACCAGATTGCCCCCATCGTCATCCGGGCGGGCTGAACTTGATCCTTCGGGAAAAAGCGAGGGGGTTGGGCCACTGACGAGGGGAGCTTGGTGGAGGGGAAGCTCTGAGTTGGCAGTACATGAAGTGACGAAACAATGGGCCTTGTCCTGCCAATCGCAGCTCAGCCTCAGGGACCCAGCCTTCCCGATAGGGCGGTTCGGGCAGGGGCTTCACACCCTCTTTCTCGCTGCCCCAGTCGGCGTCGTTTCTCGAGTCTCAAGTCCGTCCCCTTCCCTCGCCTTGGGCCGGAACGGCATTGACGGATAACGTCCTCTTTTAACTCTCCAGCCCAATGACTGCCAGACCTCGAATCGTGGAACGTCGGCCCCAATGGCATGTCAGGTTGCATTCCCGGAGTGACCATGCGATGACGCACCATACAATGCACGATTCGATGCAGCCTTGCGTAACTGACTCGAGCAAAAACAGCCGATTGCTCAGGTTGTTTCCGGCCCACGACAACTCTTGGCCCGGGAAACACGGGCGGGCGGCTCGGCCCAAGTCGCCGGGGGCAGCCGAGTGTGGGTCCGGCCAATCACCGATCCGGGGAAGGCGCTGGCGAAAAGACGGAGCTCCAGTCGGTGAGCCGGGCTCCAGGGTTCGGTATTGTGCGGGCCTCTGGAATCGATGCACACCGGCTAGGCTCCGAAAACTTCAAGCACGATTTTTCTAGAAAATAGACGAGTGCATTGGATCCTCGCTGTGGGAAAGGGGCAAAGCATGCAACCCAAGCAATCGACGAGACGGAAGCGTTCGGTTGTTTTTTTCAAGTAAGGTACCCTTATTGCCCTCGCCCGGAATTCTACCTAGCTTGACTACACGGTCTGGGCAGTCAATGCCGGTTGTCCTTTGAGGTATCCGTAATAAGGCTCTTTCCCGACTCGCACAACATGGAAAATCATGGGGATGGAAGGACTAACCGAGGGAAGGGGACTCGGCTCAGCCATCATTCTCGAAAGTGGCAGTGCCTCAGGCATCTCTTGACTTCGGGGGTTGTGCCTTGGTTAACTTCGATACCTCTTGCCTCTTGCAAAACGGGGACGACTCACCCTCATTCTGGAAGGCAGGGAGTTGCTTCACTAGACCCTATTTGTCCGTCATTTCCCGCTGATCTCACGGGCCGAAGCCACGTTCGCGACAACGGCTTCGAAAAAGGATAGGTTGCTTCGTACCTCCGTTCCTCTCCAAGAGCCATCCACTGTTACAAGGATTCGTTTCCTTCCCCTTTCAAGAAGCCAATTCCCCGGCCCGACAACTCGGTCCCTCCGACGCCAGTGAAGAACGAGGCCCCTACCAGGGGGAGCGATCACCTAACGGGTTCGGTTCCAAATTTCTCCCAAGCGGAATAGTCCCGTTGCTCGGGCAAGGGCCAAAGCGCGTTTGGCTTGGACTGTGTCCGGAAGAAGGCGAAGCAATGAAACCAAAAGAGCCCTCTCTGCGCCCATGCTTACCACGCCCTTTTGAGACACGAGTTCACCGGTATCTTTAGTTCGACTCTCATCGTTTTCCTGGCCATTTATAGACAACCCGACGCAGGGTCTTTTGCAAAAAGTCGAAAGGAGCAATCAATTTACGGTTGGCTTCCTTGAATGCAGCTTGAGGATTGGACGGTCAACCAAGCAGGACTCTGCGCTCCCAAGTTTCGCCCGTTGAGGTTGCGGCGCGGACCCCGGTCACCACGGTGACTGACCGGGGAGCGACTCCTTTCCCCGTCCACCTTCACCGGTTACATCTGCCGAGCATCCTTGCTAGCCATGTCTGGGTTTATTATAAGAGAATCCGGGGCCAGGCCTCAGGGATCAACACTAGCGCTCAAGTGATACAACTCAACAACCCCTTACCTGACTTCGACGTCGAGGGGTGATTTCTCTTATCCCCAAGAACCAGTGTCCGACCTGAAAACTGCGGTGGCAATATCCATCGTCTTCGCCTTTCATGGAGACGACTTGCTGCTCAATATTTACTCAGAGAGTGCCTGTGACAAATCGCACCGAGGGGAAACAGCATGCCTGGATTTCCTGATGCGAAACATGCATTCGCAGTGAGCCTGCCAGGACCGACGCTCTACAGCGGTTTTCAGGTGTTCGGCATTTTCCTGCTTGCCTTTTCCCCTGCTCTCGCTCTGACGGCCTGTGGCCTCAGAGTGTACAGCAGGCGTTTATCACACGGACTCGGACTGGGTGAGCAAGACAAGTTTTGGCAGAGCTACGACAGGTTCACTAATAAGACATGCAGATGACTGGTTGATCTTTCTAGCGGCTGTATGTCCAACCTCCACACCCTTCAGACCCGACCCTGTAGCTAAATGTTTACATCTAGGTGCTGGGGGTTCCGCAAGCTGTTTTCGCGACGTTGTGTACGACGACCCGAGCCCTCGAGGACCTAAGACGGTGCTAACATAGTCCTCCAGTCATACGAGCCGGAGGTTGGGGCATCCATGACGCCGACCTCCCGCCAGACATTCCGTGGAACCAAGGGGCATTCTGGGCTTACATCAACCGCGTCTTCTACACGCCCCTGCTTGTTCTGGTGAAGATCTCGGCCTTGCTGTTTCTGCTCAGGCTCGGTGGCACCAAGAGATCTGTTCGTCTAGCATGCAATGCCCTAATCTGCTTCTTGCTGGCCCAACTTCTCGCCTTCCTCCCCGCCACAATCTTCATGTGTGAGCCGATCAATTATGCCTGGCTTGGTACGAGGCACGGTAGCTGCTTCCGGGGAGATTACTTCACCGTGGCTCTTGCATCCACCAATATACTCACCGACATCATGACGCTACTGATACCCTTCATCGTCTTCCTACACATCAAATTGGCCAACAGAGTCCGGTACGCGCTACTAGCCGTCTTCACGCTCGGCGCACTGTAAGTTCCGAGACGAGCAATCCCCCCCCATTACAAAGTGTCTTAAGTGGCCCGGCCTAACAAGTCATCATCCCCGCAGCGTCACGGTCACGAGCGTGCTGCGCCTGTACTATGTGCTGAGGCTGTGGCATCTCCACCCGGAGGACCAGCACTACTCGCTCGGCTACACGCTCAACACGGTCGAGGTCAACCTCGCCATCGTCACCGCCACCATCCCGGCCCTCTGGCCGCTCGGCCGCCTCTGGTTCCCCGCCGTGTTCGAGTCCATGGGCATCAATCGGCCCTACCTCTACCCGGACATTGAGGTGGGGTACGTACTGTCCCAGCCCCGTGCCAGTCGCCAGGAGGCGCGCGACAGCAGTGCGGCGGCGGCGGCGGCTGGGGGGGCGACGACGCCGCACGCGAAGCCCGCGCTGAGAGGCAAGATATTGTGGCTGCAACGGCCGCGGCCGCCCAGCTTTTTGCGCCCTTTTTCTTCCAGCGGCGGTACCGGCGGTACTGGTGCTAGCGATGGCGCTGGTATTGGGCTCACGGACATCCGGGGTCAGAGGGTGTTCGGTGCGACGGCCGGACGGAGGAACCGCGCTGGCGTGGTGGCGGGTGGAGATGAGGAGGACGGCTTTGAGGACTATCACGAAATGATACGGCGGACCGAAGTTAGTCTCGTGCACGAGGAGGATGTTGCGTCGACACATCACGGGCCTTTGGGGAGTGATGCGGCGAGGTCGAGTTCCGAGATTAGGGGTTGACGGGCGGATGCCCCCCCACCGACACCGGCTGGCTGCCTGGCGACACACCCCCGCGAATGCATTCCTCCCAATTTTGGCGGTAGTACCAGACCAGATCGGTGGGATATCCGATCCGACGGAATGGGTTCTCTTTGTTACGGGTAGCACGGCATCTTATGGTAAGGGTTCATGGCCTGGGCCTGGGTACGCAACCCAGAGCAGGTGAAGGGTTACACAGCACGCTAAGGATGGTTCAAGGGTGCTTTTTTGGGGGTCAGCAGATGCAACGAGTAGGGTCTTTTGGGTTGGTTGCATACAGCAGTGGCGTTTTGGCTCCTGGCTTGTTCTGGGCTGCGGTCTCATCTCTTTTCTCCATCTTGCAGCGCGGATCGCACAACAGCACAACCAGTGGTAGGGCTGGCATCGGGGTTTGGCAAGGATATAGACGGTAATCGAGGTGGTGTCGTCGCCGACACTGTGGCGCTTTTACGATGTTGGGTCTGTGTCCGGAAACTTCTTGTGACTGATGTGCCCTGATATTGGCTGCTCTTTTGGTTGCTTGTGTTTCTTCTGTGTGCTCTGGGCTGCATTGGTCTAGTTTCAAATACTACATACAAATATGGATCGAACCAACAGAAGAATAAGAACACGGCGGGGTAATTATATGCGGTGAGGTGCGGTGAAGGGGCCGCGGGGAACATCCGCGGGATCTATTTCCAATTCTTCTTTCGACTCCAGGTAAACTCGAATGAATTCTCGACCACCTTTCTTAAAAAGTAAGAATTAGACACCCATAAACTTACTCACCCGTCATATTTTCCCCTCCTTTTCCCCCGTATCCATCACCCAGATTTGGTCTCTCTTTCAATCGATCTGATACATTTCGGTAATGTCCTCGTCCACTCATTTTCAACGCCCTGCCATGCCACTTCGCTCTCCTCCCCGGCTCTGGACCCCGCTTCCCGATCTAGACAAACCTGCCTGTCGCTACAGGATCGGCTTTCGGGTGGAAATAAAGCCACACACCCCTTCTCGGCCCTACGGCGGTTCGCTGCACGGCCAAGGAGCATGGCGGCGACGAAGCAACGTGGATATTTATTTACTCGGCTAGCTAGACCGAGATTGCCATGGCATTTCCGCCTCTTGAACCCGAAACACCTTGCCGTCGTCTTCCGGTCCCAAGGCCACCCTTGTCATCACCGGGACTTTATTTTACGGCCTGGTCCATCGTCCTCGTTGTCCTCGTCGGCAGAACACAGCTCTTGCCACAGCCCGAGTGGTTGAAGGAGCGTTTCGGAGGGAACAACACCCTGCATTATGCCCGTGACCGTCGAGCTGGAGTTTGCGAAACCTTGATCATCGAAACCTTGGTACCTACCTACCTAGAAGGCAAGGTAGCTATGATCGTGACACGCGCCCCTCGTGAAACCAAGGAAATCCAATTGCTGGTTGCTCGATGAGGCAAGACTGATTCCCTTTTCTGCCCGAATCGGGAATCAATTAGAAGCCGCCTTTCCGAATCGGATCATAGCAGAGACAAGCAGATGCAGTTCTGGCAGTTGCAGTCATGCAGTTCATCTCAGCTTGTCCAGGGAACGAACCCCGACGCGGGACCCACTCTTTGTTCCGAGAGACCGGTGGGAGGGTGCACGGCAGGAGAGCATCGGCCACAAAGAGGTCTGGGCGTCCCATGAGAAGGAAGGGTTTGGAGTGATTGCTTTTCGCTTGATTTCTTGCGGGCAACTTGCGGTCCCTCCTTCCAACAAGGGAAACCAAACAGAATTCAAAAATTTCACAGGAAAACTCTGCAAGCAAGCAGCGACAATCAACAAACTACGGCCTCGATGGATTATACTTTTTGTTGTTTTCCCTCACTTTTTGCGTCTTTTTCCGCTCGTTCTGTCAACAACTTCGACTGGCAGGGAAGACCTCTCCCAACGGCTTTCCATCTTGCCCCAGTCGCCCTGTTGTGGCTGTCACACAGCGCCGGCGAGTTCCGATTGGATCGACAGCGAGTCAACGACAGACTCGCTTGAGTCGAATCTTGGCAGAGCTTAGCGTTCCGGGAGATCGACAAATTGCGGAGCCAAGGGTGCGACAACAACTCGCAAGGGACTTCGCAAAGGCATGTCGAGTTGCTTCTGGCGCTGCAGCTGACAGGCAAGTCCGGACCAACTTTCCCTGGACGCGCTGCGCAATGTCTCGGCCTGCCTGTCGGTGGCATTGGCCTGCCCTCTCTTTTCCTGGATGAATTCTCTTCCAGCTGGAGTTGAGTTTGTAACCCTCGCCTACCCTCGACCTAACACACACAATAGCCACAGGGAGTGATGGGTGCCCTTTACTGCGGCTGTTTGGGGCTCCCTGCTTGCGAAGAAACCCCGGTTCTAGGCCCTTAGTCGAGAGACCGGCTTCACCCTAGAGTACCTACGTCTTACGGCAAGGTGCTACGGAATGAAGCCCAATTACCTAGGTACATACCTAGGTAGCGACCTTGTGTGCACAAAGCCTCCATCTCAACCTTCGCTGCCCGCCACTTGGTGTTTCCGCGGTCTTGTCAGCCCACCCAACCCTCCGAACTCGTGGGGCATTTATGCGCTTTTCCTCCGATAACGCATCCGCCTCGATGGAGTATTGCCCCGGCATCCTCCGTGGGTCTCGAGCATCCATTGCTTTTGCTTGTGGCGGCCTTGGGCTGTGCTGCGATACGTCATATGCATTGCTGGTGGGCTTGGTCAGTTACGGCAACGCCGAGTCCGAGCGCAGGTCGCCGTCTGAGGTACCTATCGCCTTATACATTCCGTTGGAGGCCTGTTCTCTGTGTTTTGCATTTGTGATGGCATACGCGGGGACACCTGATGGTTGCCCGACGTGTGGCGGAGGACAGTGTCAAAAACACCCCCTTGCTCAGCATCACATTGGCATTTTTTATCACAACCTCGCCCAACGAGGCATTCCTCGATACCCTCCCCATCCCTCGCATCCATGTAGGTGTTAATGTTTCTCCCCGTCCGATCGCCGATCTCCCTGTGGCGTTCCTCTACGATATCGCCTCCGTGTTTTCAGTCAGCTCTCGAAGCTTGGTACATGACGCAAGGATACCCAAGTAAAGCTTTAACCACGCCTTTCCCTCGGGCGTTCGCGCTCAAGCTACATGGTTTACACCACTTCTATTTTCCCTTCACTCTTTGCTTCTTCCTCCCGCCATTTCGACCATCGATTTTGTCACGACCGGATCACTATTCTATTCATCCACTATCACTCCATCATTTAACACACCACTGTTTTGTTCATATACCATCGATCCACCAACTACCACACCATTATGTTTCTAAAAAAGAAGCTGCAGACGGACAACGACACAGGCACGGGCGAGATCCATCGTCCGCCGATCCACCACGTCGCCAACTTCTCCTATCCTCGCACCGACTTTGTTCACTTGTATCGGAAAGAGCAGCCAGGTGCTCGCGATTCCCAGGGATCTCAGTCCTCCGCGCCACCCCTCGTGGAAGACCACGGATCTGACATATCAGCGGCCGAGGACGACCCTCAGCAACTTCTAAAGGACGACGCTCAGCGACTTCCGAAAGACAATCCTCGGCAAGTCCCAGGGGACGACTCTCGGAAACTTCTGGAGGACGACCCTCAGCAACTTCCGGCGGCGGATGTGAAAATGTGGAAAAGGTGGCGTGCGAGGGAAAGGAAGAGGGAGGAAGCGGAACGTCAGGCGCTTACCAACCCTACCAGTGATCAACAACTAGCAAAAGCGTCGGCAAACCCGCCAACGACCCACAACGATAGAAGTGTGGTTGTGCCGTCCCAGGAGCAACAACGACCCCATGCTCCAAAGCCCCCGCCTAACGCGTGCTATTCGCTGTTCCCTTCACCAAGCGAATGCAGGAGGCGTGTTGCTCCCGCACCTCTACACATACCAACAGTTCCGCAGCAGATTGGGCTGGCACCCTCTCCGATTTCTCCCAACTTCCCGCTCCCGCCAAGCTCACGAGGCGGCGTCACAGACTGGAGGAATTACACAACGGCGACATCCCGACCGGGCGTTTCGACGACAAAAACACCCGGTCCGGTACACAGCGGTTCTTTCGCCGCAAGCTCATCTGACTCGGTACCGCTACTTCTCCGGAGCCCCGGCCCAACACCGCCACATTCCCCTCCCAGCACATCTTCCTCCTCCGAAGCTCCACAGTGGCCTTTGGAGCCCAAGAGGTGCCCCCCGCCAGAGGCCAGTCCACGTAGTTTCACCCTAGCCAAAAAGACAACCCGCTCCTCGCCTTCGCTCGCGAACCTCGCCAGAGCGCAACGCCAGGAGGAAGCGCTGGAACCTCTCCCGCGGAAGCCGCCGACCCCCTCCGACATCCACGACCGGCCCCTACCACCGTTGCCGAGAGACCGGTTCCCACCCCCGCCCCCGCCCAACGTCTCGGTCTTTGAAGCCGACACGGACGACGAAGACGAGGCGCCCGAGGCCCGGCCGTCGTCCAGCGGCGACGCGAGGAACTTTGCCCGCCGCGTCATGCACGGCCTGGTCCGCCACCAGAGCCCGCAGCGGCAGCATGACGCGCCGCCGGACCGTGGGCAGTCGCAGGGGCAGTCGGCGGACCACAAGCGCAGCGTCAGCGACGAGGGCCCGTCCACTGCCACAGGCTCGTCCTCCTCTTCGGCGGCGGTGCCGGTTAAGGACAGGGGCAGCGGCGGGAGTGGTGCGAGTGGTGGTGGTGCGAGCGGCGGGAGGAGCGGCATCTCGCGCACGCTCAACGCGGCGGCGAGGTACAGGTGGGGCGGGCCGGCTGCTGGTGCTGGTGAGGGGGATGGGGCGCCCCCCCCGCGCGGGGCCGTGAGTATGGACCTGCCGAGGGAGGGGGTGAGGGGAGAGGAGGTTGTCGCGCGCGGGAGGTCGCAGCAGGATGGGGAGGGGTTGGAGAAAGGGGGTCGGTTTTTTGGGCGCATCTTGAGGCGGAAGGGGTGAGATGGGTTAGTGTTTTGACTCTTTCTTTTCTTGTTTCTTTTTTTTTGGTTTGGTTTTATCCCCCCTGCTTGCTGGGCTGGACTTTTATTTGTCTTCTTCTGGGGTTGGGGCAGGGACCGCTGCGCTGGTTGGGAAAGGTGCCGGGCACTCTTTCGTTCTCCCTTTTTTTCTCTCTTTATTATCGTGCCCTCTACGAGTTACTTCCCTTTGTCTGTTCTCCCCTTGCCACGCATTGGTTTACGATTACGGTTATGGTATGGTGGTTTGGTCTTGGGAAGGGGTTACAATATGATTATGACGGGATGCTGCTATTGGTATGATGTTATGTATATGGTATTCTTGTTTATACCCAGGTCTGGGCTGGCTTATGGGCTCTGGCGGGAGGGATTGGAGTTATGGCTGGGTCTGGGGATGGGGATATTGGGATATCGGCTTCTTGGTATGGGCATGGTGCGGATGGGTGGCGCAGTAGGATAGTCAGGCTACTGAGTAAAATTGAACTCAGATGACCTTTTAGTGTCTGTCTACGTCTGTCTGATAGGTGGCTGTACCAGGGTCTAGACAAAGGAATGACCGGGCGAGCTCTCGGTGGGTGGGAGGTCTGGCCCCAGAACCGGGTTGCTCAAGCTTCCCCGATTTCCAGTCTCCCCTCATCATCGGGTCTCGACCTGGTGTCACGGTGCGTGTTTGTTTTGCGTCACCTTCGCGTCGGTATGTGTTGTCTGAGATTACGATATCAAGTCGGCGACTCGGAGGCTGGGCCCGAGGGAGGCTCCTTGGTAAAAGTGGGGGGACGCGAGGGATGGAAGCATGGCTGGAGGTAGACTCTTTAACTCGGTGACAATGCGGGGATGGACGCGGGGATAGACGCATGGATCGGCCATGCAATGCAGGTGTGTGACCAAGAGACGAGGTCGTGCGTTGACTGGGACCGCAGGGGCTGCGGGAGGTGCATGTGGGATGTGACAGCATGATGGGGGGTTCGAGGGTTGGTAATGCAAGTGCCCATCGAGTTGTTGTGGCCTGCTTGATATCACATACAGCTCGGTTCTTGTCTCTGGAAAACTAAGAAAAATATAAAAATATGAAAAGTATTGAACTTTGTTTTCAATGTCAAATACAGTCTTGGTATTTCCATATATAGTTCCCTTTCTCTCTCAAGATAAAACATTAATAGCCCAGAACCGTGATCTCGTACAGCATCAAAACATCACCCCATAACTCCCGTAAGCCACACAAATTCGCCGTCGCCATGCATAGATGTAAAAAGAGCCGCAAAATAAGAAACCACCCATCCCAACCCGCCATCAACGTCATTCACCTCATTTCATCTCATCCCATTCATCCCATCCCATCCCATCCCATCCCAAAAACCCACGCCCCCCCCCTCCCCTTCAAACAAACGGCCTCCGAATCTGGCTCTTCCTCACCTTCCTCTTCTCCGTAAACCGCCTCACCCTCCTCACCCCCAACTCCCCATCCACCACCCCGCCCGCACCCGCACCAGCCCCACTCCCCACAACCCCCTCCCCAAACCCAAACACCCACCGCGTCTGCATCGCCGCCGGCAATCCCCTCCCCACCCCCATCCGCCCCGCCATCTCCCGCCGACTGACACACCGCTTCAGCGCCGCCTCCTCCCTCATCTCCACGCCCACCAGATACCCCAACACCTCCCCCAGACACGTCACACCATGCGGCATGCGCAACCCGCCCCGCGCAGGCAGCAGCGCGGCGAGCGCAGCGACATACAGCAGCAGCAGGCCCAGCATGACGCCGAAGGCGGGCATGTTGGCGAACATGCGCACGTCGCCCGCGCGCGTGGTCAGCGCCATGAAGCTGGCGCCCGCGAGGACGGGGATGAGGACCGACAGGGTGGCGACGAGGGAGACGGCGGCGACGCGCCAGTGGCCGTTGCGCAGGGCGCGGAGCGTGACTTGGCCGGGACCGCAGGCGGCGTAGTCGGCGAGGAGGGAGGGTTCGGCGGGGGCGCCGTTGGGGGTGTTGTTGCTGGTGAGGGATGCCCAGGGCTGGAGGATGCGGAGGTGCAGGTCGAGGGGTTGCAGGGCGAGGAAGAGGATGGTGCCGAGCAGGGCGGGGAGGAAGGCGAAGAGGAAGTCGGCTGGGGAGAAGGCGCCTGCTCCGGGGGTTGCGCGGAGGGTGGGGGGGAAGCCGTCGGTGAGGCGGGTGGCCGGGTGGAAGGTGGCGATGAGGATGGCGACGAGGACGCCGCCGGCGGTGAGGGTGGCGAGGAGGAGGGGGGAGGTGCGCAGGGCGAAGGGGAGGTATTTGCGGTGGGCGTTGGTGTTGTTGGTCGGGGAGGCTTCGAGGTCCGCGTCGGCGTCGGCGTGGTCGCCGTCGCCGTCGCGGTAGGGCTGCTTCTCGTCGTGGCGCTGCATGCGCTGGCCGCCCGTGGGGTCGGTGGGCAGCAGCGGGTTGGCTTCGTCCATGGCGCTGCCGAGCGTGTGCCAGACGCCGTGGCGGCCGTCTTTCCAGGTCCAGTAGCACAGCCTGTCGGCGGCGCGGTGACGCAGGGCGAAGCGGATGCCGTCGCGCCCGCGCGCTAGCTGGGTGCCGAGGTAGTCGTCGGCCGTGTTGGTCTCGGAGACGAGCGCGGCGATGTCGGCGAGGGAGCGCGGGTCCCAGATGAGACCGGTATTTTCTAGGTTGGCCCAGTAACGCCAGACGATGATAGTGGAAGCCAGCAGGGCCAGGTAGAGTGCCACCAGGGTCCAGGCAACACCTTGCACAGTAGCCCATTTCCAACTCTGGTCGACCAGGACAGCGGTGAAGAGCGAGCTCTGGAGAGGGATGGTAAAGCTCATCAGCCAAGTGACGAGGATAGGGACCCAGACGTTCCACGGCCCGACCAACCGCGGCCGCAGGAAGGACGGGTACATCTCCTGAAACAGGGCGCCTTCGCGCTCCTCTTGCGCCTCAGACGCTAGCTTCACAAATGGCAGCATCCTGAAGATGGTTGTGATCAGGAACTGCGCATAGAGCAGCATGCATGCGGCTATCAGCTGCGGCAGGACGCGGAAGAGGAAGTACCGCCCGCCGTGGATGGTGGCCCACTCAAGCAGGCCCTGGTGGAGGTGCGAGTAGACGGCGCTCAGGATGAGAGCACCGATCATGAGCACGCACAGGGCCATGAAAACAAACAGGGCCGGCGCGCGCAGCGGCCACGGCCTGAAGGTCAGGGGCGGCACATCGGCGGTGCCGGCGAGGAGCTCGTCCATTTCGACGGGCCTCCATTCGTGGGGCTGCGCGGGGCGTGGCCCCTTTTTTAGTAGACTTTCAGCTAGAGAATGGGCCGACTCTCGAGGGCCGGGGATAAAGGGGCGCGGTAGCTGGTGAGGCGGTGCTTCTGTCCGGGTGTCCTCGGCATGCGGGTGGGCAGCCGCGGGGCGGGACGGCAGAGAAGAGGGGCGGGGGGGTTGTTGATCGGCGGGTCTGGGTTGGTAGGATTCAGGGCGATGGCCGGGGGCGAGCAGAAGGCCGGAGGATGAACTCCCACTGCCGGAGGGGTCGACCGAATAACCGGTGTCCCGGTCCCGGTCTCGGTGGAGTGCCTCGATGGCGTACTGGATAAAGGGCGTGTTGTCGACACCAGGAGTGATGACACCCTCGATCCGGGCCAGCTCGTCCCGGAAGTCGGTCGCCATGGGGGGGTTCATCGTTGTCTCCCAGGCTGGCGGTTGATAGGCAGGCAGAGGGGGTTGACTGGGGACGCGGCGGTAGGGGCCCTCGACAACGACAGGACGCCCATACGATCGGGCGATGGTGGGAGGGCCAAAGACACCGTTCTGACCTTGCAGGCCCGATTCCGATGGAGAGGGGGGAGATGGTGTGTAGGGTGCGGCGGTTTGGTGCGCCGACTGGTGTGCTGTTTGCTGCGTTTGGGTGTGCTGCTGAGAGGACGAATTAGGGTGTGACGAAGGACCAGATCTCGGTCTCAGCTCGGGAGGATGCTGTGGGTGGTGTTCTAGAGAATGATTAGCACACCACTGACACTGAGCAAGGCGACATTCAAAAGGATAGATTCAAGGCAGCACACGTACGGGGCTGCTCCACATTATCGAACTCGAAGTGGTCCGAAAACTGAGAATTTTGAGAGTTTCGAGAGTTTCGAGAATCGCGAGAGTGGGAATGAGAGTGAGAGTGAGAGTGAGAGTTCATGCTTCCAGGTCCTGGTCCTTCAGACGAAACCTCACAAAAACCTTGGAACAGGAACCACTCGGCCAATTGCCCAAACAGAGGTCAGAACGCAAAAAGGATGATGCATGAATGATGCAGGAGGATAATGCACCGTGCCGAGGATCAAGGAGCGAGGTATTAATTCATGGTGGTCAGATAAGAGAGGTTGGGCAGACACAGGCTCTTGGGTCCCGTCAGAGTGCGGTGGTTGGGCGGGCGACCAGCCACCGCTTTTCTGCCTCAGTTGCCATTTGGTGCAGAAATCAAAACCATGGTCTGCTCGCTGGCGGACAGCACACAGCACACCGCTCGGGAGGCAAAATAACGCTTACCGTGGCATGCAATTGGGCTCCGATGTTCCTGTCTTGTACTTCATGCAGATTTAAAAGCATTGGGTTTCCACGTCAATTGTTTTTGCGTCGACCGGCGAGGAAGCTGGGGATTTCAGAGCTTGGATGGAATGAGAATGGCGGGGAGCGACTGGGGTGTTGGGTCTGCCAAGACTGAGATCAGGAGTGGGCCCGCACCTGCCAGCTTGGGCCGAGAAAGACCTACCCCTGCATGAAGACCGGGAAGAACACGACATCCCATTTCTCACAGGGCTGAATCTCCACTGCAACCACAGCACAGCACAGCATACTTCGTAGCACAGACGACTTCCATCCAGTCAAACTCATCTTCAATTCCTTGATCCAAAACTTCCTTCCAAGCTAAAAAGCCAACCAACTATCCACACGCCAAAGGAGATCTAGCTCAAGGGTAGCGACCATCAAGGAGCGGCGCCGTCGACGTGTCGCCTTGATAAATATACACTCCCCTGCTGTACTTCCACCGACTCACTCCGATTATATTTGGGCAATAATAGGGGCAGTGGGAAGCGTCGCCCGCACGCAAGCAGGCTAAGAAGCAGCTGGCATCTCCAGCATCAGTATTGCATGTTTTTGTCACCAACGACCCCGGGGAAATGAGAGGGAAGAAGGCAAGACTCACGGGTAGCACGCCCAATGTGTCTTGTCGTACACATCCTCTGGGTTAAGTTCAACCCCGTTGCCCACAGTCTCATCACAAAATATGACTAGTGTGCCTGCGGACCCTGAACACAGATATACGCCGTCAGTTTCCTCCTTGAACGTGCCGTCGACGGTCGTAACAGATAACTTGCCTCCACACACCCCGCATATCAGCCTAGGCATTGTCGTGTTGTTTGGGGTGCTCAAACAGTGAGTAAGAAGGAGAGGTTCAAAGAATGTTGTGGTAACTGGTCCAGCCGGTTACCGGTCGTGAGAATGAGATGGAGATCTGGAAACGCCGAAATGTGGAATTGTTTGATAGTGAACAGTTGGTGTTCAAGTTCGTGGGAGAGGATATACTTATACCGACCCAGTCACGGTTCTATCAGATGCTGGATACTTCTTAGGGGGTAGCAACAACATGCCCACCTCATCCCAGCCACGGCCTTGGTTGCTGCTGGGCTGGGCGTAAGGGCCACCTGCCGCGACGAGGGCGGTCGCTGAGCAAGAAGGCGCTGTCTATTATCGGGGCTGACCAGGTATTGGCCATGCTAGTTTGCTCGCTGTATCCAATGGCTACGGCCCATGATGAGCAGATTCATCACAGCGAGGACTCGGCCGAGGGGCGGGGTGACCGGGCGACCCGTGGCAGAAGACTTGTTGGACGAGACGACCACTGGGACATGGGCCGGGTCTTTACCGCGTCTCAGTATGGCAGGCGGGGTCCCCGAGTTGGGACATCGATGGAAATGCCTTCGTTGATTATCATGAAACGGCCGCTTGGTCCCTTCAATGGACATCGTCCTAGGCCCGGTCACCTGTGTCCGGGGGGAGGGGGCGGCGGGTGGTGTGGCCGGACGGAGGTGGTCCAGAGGGAGCTGAAAGGGGGGGAGTTGGGAGAGGTCTACTCGGGCCTAACCGGTACGGCGTCGCGTTTCATATGATGTTGTAAGTCAGTATATAGTCACATCCCCCACCATACCAAACTCTGACTTTCTCAACGGGAGACAACGAACAACTCAAGACGCCAAACCCCTTCCAACTTCGATTCCGTCGATTCCCAAAGCCCCATCATACTATTTCATACCAGTCACTTTCTGCTAAACCACACCGAAAACAAAAATGTGCCACTACTACCGCACCGAATTCCGCTGCAAGCACACCAGAGACCGAATCGCACCCCACAAAGGCGGCGGCGTCCTGGGGTGTGAAGAAACGAGCGCCAATGTCTCCGTTACAAAAGCCACCCGCGACTGCCCCCGCTGCGTCACGGGGAAGGCGGCTCCTCCCCCCAGCCGGGCCGGCGTCAACGGCATCACCGCCAAAATGTCGGGCATCCAGGTGTCCGCACCGCCGCGCGCTCTCCCTCCTAAGAGGCCGTCGGCCCGCTACGCTGAGACCGTCAAGCTGATCGTCGCCGCCAGAAAGGCCCAGCTGCGCGCCGCGGTGCCCGCCGCTGCTGCTACTGGTGCTGGTGCTAAAAAGCCCAACCAGGCTGCTGCGTCTCCCGCCCTGAGAATCCCGGTTGCTACTAGGGGTGCTGGTGCTCCGGTCGTGGCGCCCGGCGTGAGGGCCTCGGGTGGAAAGGCCGTCGGGGGCGCTCCCCCCACGGCCGCCTCCAAAGCCCCTGCTACTAGGGGCGGGCAGGTTGGGAACAAGGCCCAGGCTCGTGTAGTGGCCCCTGGTACTTCGCGTTCCTAAGAGGGACTGGCTGGCACGCACTGCTGGCGGTGCGAGGAGGACGGAACACAAGTTGGAGGGTTAAGGGGTCGGTGTTGGTAGTATCAAGGTGGCGGATGCATCAAACACTGGTGTTGGTGGACGCGGTAGCTGGCCTGCTCGCAACAGCAACACTTAGGTAGTCGGGAATACAAGCTGGATAGTTAGAATCTGTTTCATCTTTTTTGAGAGCCGTTGATGTAACCACACCATGCGGCCGATGGCCGAAGCCCACCAAGTTCACAGTGCCTTATCCTCACAGTTCCCGATACTGTTGGCCCTGGATAGGGGCTAGGATAATGTCCAATCCCACCTCAAGAGCTTAACATACACGACCAATAAAACGCTTACATTCATGTTTGTTGCAGTCCAAATAAGGTAACCGGGGGCCGAATCCTCCCGCGTTGCATCCATCAGCCGAGTGCATCGTCATACAGACCCGACTAGAAGGCCCAGCTGAAACGGCACAGCTAAGTCGAAACCCTCGGGCGTGATGTTGCACAACCCAGTACTACCTACGGCCTAACCAACCCACCAACGTAGAATAGTAGTATTAGTATGTATACCACAGCGCACCGCGACCTCCCTTTCACGGTTTGAGTCCCGAAACCTCCAACCAACACCCGTACTACAACACCACCCCCAATTATACCACATGCCACCCAATCGATCACACACACACCGGGATCAAATCAGATCCGACCATTTGGTCTCAAAGACCGGTCACCGCGCCGCCGGGCTGCCGGGAACCCCAACGCTCCCCTACCCCCTGTGCCTCACCCAGCCTGGAACTCGAAGCGAGAAACGACCGCGACACATCCACGCGCCACACGCCCGCTTCCAGCCGCAGTTTGAGACAGAAAACTTCCAACCAACGAGTACCGAAATGCTCCCAAACAAAGCCAGACCGGTACGACGTAACCTAACCACACGAAACCATCCCATGTATCAGGCCATCTCGTCTCAGGATTGGAAACAACTCCCTCACGGCCGCAGATACTGGTTATCTTTTCTAGATCATCTGTTGATGCAAATTTCCGTAGAACGCTTATGTTGAATTGGTCATTACAGATAATTATTGGGATACTACCACCAACATGGGCCAACATACTACCTGCCCCAGCCACGCCCGACCGCACGGGCAGCTGTTTACCACCCCCTTTTCGCAATACCCAACCCAACTCAACCCAACCCCTCCATTTCCTTCCCCTCCACCCCAACAGCCCATAAAGGACTCGCTCACCCAGCAGCTCCGCTAATACTCAACCAACTTAATCCTCGCCCGCACCTCCTCCCCCAGCTCCTCCGCCTTAACCAGCCCCAGCAGCACACAATCCCCCAAAAAGAACAGCGCCCGCTCCTGCGCATAAGAGAGGTAATCAAACTCCTCCTCCTCCGCACCATCCTCACTCTCCGCCTCCCCATTCGCACCCACACCCGCACCCTCACTCGCCCCAACCTCCACAGCACCATTCTCCCCAGCACCATTCTCCCCAGCACCATTCTCCCCAGCACCATTCTCCCCAGCACCATTCTCACCCCCCTCCCCACCCACTATACCCGCACCAGCACCACCACCACCACCCTCCAACTCCGGAATCTTCGCCTGCACAATCCCCCACGCAACCCACTGCGCGCTATTCGCAGTCCGCCACAACCTAGTCTCCTCCAACAGCGCATCAATCTCCCCCCTAACCGCCTCCTCCCCCTTCCGCTCCTCTTCCTTCCACCCCCCCGCCGGCACGCGCGCATCCAGCATAAACTCGACAATGGAGCTCGACGAGGGCACCGCATGCAGACTACTCGCACCACTAACCAGCGGCGACGCGAGACCATGACCGGGCCCCACGGGGGGGCTGGTGGCGGGGGAGTCGACGTAGGGGAACTGGGGGCGGTGGTCGACGTAGGCTTTGACGAAGCGGCGCTGCTGGTCCGGGGCCGGGTAGCGGGAGGTGTCGCAGGCGTAGGGGCGGACGGGGTCGTGGTAGTTGTAGGCCCACTCGGTGAAGTGGTTGGCGAACTCGAGGCCGGGCAGGTTGGCGGCGGCGTACTCGAAGTCGATGACGACGAGCTGCTTGTGCTCGTTGGCGGGCTGGAGGAGCGGGGATTTCTGGTCGTCGGGCCGGACGCGGAGGATGTTGCCGTATTGGGTCTGGGGAGGTGGTGGGTTAGGGGGGTTGTTAATACTGGTGGGGACGAGGAGAGAAGGGGCTTACATCGTTGTGGGCAAAGACGAGCTTGTCGCGGATGTTTTTGGCGTTACCGTAGTGGGCTTCTAGATGCTGGCGGTACTTGTCTACGAGGGCTTTGAAGACGGGCCACTGCACGCCACAGACGAAGCCGCGCGCGGCTGGCAGGTTCTGGGAATTGGAAAGAATCTGTCTATCGAGGAACAAGACCGTCTTCTCGACCTGCTTGAGCCACTTGTCCCAGTTCTTCCACACGCCCGGTCCCTGGTCCCTCTCCTCGCTAAGCAGCTCGACCCCGTCGTGCAGCTCCCGCATGCGTTTGGCAATCTGCCTGGATGTCTCGGGTTCCCGCATGCTGCCTGGGGTGAGCGGGTTGGCATTCAGGTACTGCTCGAACCTGCCATTCTGGAATGTCCCCAGCAGCCGAGGGCCGATCTTCTTCCGGGCAAGCCGCCTAAGCACGCCCAGCTCGTTCTCTCGGTCGATCAGATGCTCCACTTGGGGCCCGTAGATTCTTAACAGTACCTTACCCGGTTGTTTCTTGCCGGGTTCCCGGGGTAGCAGTGAGTCAGAAGGCGGCGACACTACATAAACAGCGTTGGTCAAAGCCCCACTAAGGCGCTCGACCGAGATGCTCTCGCCGCTGTCAAGCGGAACGCGCTTCCAGCCCTTGAGCCGTAGGGTGTGCGCCAGACGGATGATTTCATTTCTGAAGGTGGTCCAGTTCTGCCTTTCCTTCTCCTCCTTGCGGCTCGAGATGGAGGCAGAGTCGTCGGCGCCGGCTTTGCCACCGGTATAGGCGAGGGTCTTGGAGTTGTCGAGCAAGGCATCACATCCCGGGACCACGACGTCGCCGTCGTACCACTCGGTGTCGGACGACGCGGTCCGGCTGAGGGTCCTGCTCGACGATTTTCTCCGGTGCCTCCGCCCAAAGCGCGTGACGAGCTGCGAGAGGGAATTCAAACCCAAGGAGGCCACGTTGTCGTCTAGGATTCTCTGCAGCCGGTCGAGGGACACTTCGCTCGAGTCGGACTCGATGGAGTCGGCTCGGGCTCTGCCAGGGGCTGGGGTTGGAATGTTGACATTGTTCGGTGGTGATCTCCGTCGTATATGGGGCCTCCGGGACCCCTGCTGCTTTTTCTTAATCTTCTCCCGTTCGAGCCACTCTGCTACCTGGGATAAAAGCCGCTCGGTGCCCAGATCCAGCCGGTGACGGTGATGAGAATGACCCTGGTGGCTAGGGGCTTCTTCGGCAGAGGCGGCGGGGGTGACGGGTGCAGAATCAGGACCGCTCTCCATGCTAAACTGACTGATAGCAGAAGACCGCGAAGGGGTAGTAGATAAAGGAGGCCGTCCGCTAAGCCGCTTGGCGATGCCCGCAGAGAATTGTTTCTTTACCTGCGACTCGTCGGAAGGTGAAGGCTCGGGCTCAGCGATCTGAACAGCTACCACGTATTAATATGAAGTTTAAAAGGGAGAAGAAGAAGGAGACGAAGTGATTGAGGAACGGATGCGGAGTCAATGCCAGCTCATTGGGATAGTCGGAACGGGTTGTGTTTCCTGGGCGATAAGACATGCGCGTTTCAAGTGCCACATGAACGGGCTTGAGCAAATGAGGAAGAGCTTGTTGCGAATTCTGCCATGCGCTAGTTGAAGGCGTATAGCAAAGGGCCGGGGAGGTGACGAGTAGGAAAGGAAAGAACCAACCTTTGACCGGGGCGCTTAAAGGAGGCGCCCTCTCGGTGTCGCCATCCGTCTTTAAGGCAGAGCGCCTTGGCTGGGCTGAGGTTCCCGGGGACGGTGCAGACATGGTGGCGTCGGTAGCAGAACGCAGATAGGGCTAACTGCGAGTAGTTTCTTTCTCGCACTTAGCTTCCTTGACAAAAGCGGGAGAGATAGGTAATGATAATGAATGGCGAGGTCAGGTGGTTGTGTGCCCAAGCGCCAGCAATCGAGAAGACCCCGCGTGACCAGGTTCCGCACAAGAACAGCAAGGGGACGATAAGGCTTGTCAAGGATGGAGAAACCCGAGCGAGGATCAAAAAATGAGATAAAAAATACCTGGCTGTAGACTGATAGTGTGGTTTTGTCCAAAACTTTGGTGTTGAGTGTTCGGACGAGGCAACGGAAGGCGCTCACATGGGAAACTGCAGCCCAACAGAAATTAAAAACTTCTTCTGGCTCAAAACGGCAGGTATCGGTCGGTCGGGAACCTGATCTCGGCGGGGCCGTGGCGGTTGCATTATTTGGGGGTCCCAAAGCCCCACCACATCGATGTAAATGGGCTCGTGCCCAACCAGGATGACGTAGCTGGGCTGCACCCACCCTCCCGCCGTGCCATTTTTGCCCTGCCGGGTTCGAGAACCCGAAGGTCTGGAATCGCACGTGCTCAATTCTCTGGATACCAGGGGTTTCTGGTTCGTCGAATAAGGCGCAATTGGCGGTTTGGAGACCCGGATTGCAGCCCGAAAACATCGGCTCGGTGTCAGGAAAGGTACGCATACATATGCACCACGGATATCTTGGTCAAACAAGCGGAGATATGGTACATTTCTTGTATAGTGCGTCTACTGCCTTTTCGAAGCTTTAGCTCTTTTTCAACGTCCCCTTCCACTCCTTCATGTGGTCTAATATGACCTTGGCGGCCTGGTCTGGCGAGTGTTGCCGCCCAAGGGCCTCGACGAAGTCCCCCTCGGGATCCATCAGGTAGAAGTAGATGCTGTGGTCGACCAGGTAGTCCTGGCCCGGTTTGACCTCGCTCGGGGTGCTAAAGTATACGCGGTATGCCTTGCACATGGCCTTGATTTGCTCGTATGTGCCCGTCAAACCGATGAACTTGGGGTGGAACTCGGCCAGATATTCCTTCATCTCCTTGGGGCCGTCGCGCGCCGGGTCGCAGGTGACAAAGAGTGGGGTCATGACCCCAGGGCGCTGCTGCTCGACCAGGTCAAACATGCGCGCCATCTTGTCCAGCTCCTCGGGGCAAATGTCGGGACAGTGGGTGAAGCCAAAGTAGACCTGCGGCGCAAAGTTAGCACGAGGTCCACGTCCGGCTCTACGGCAGCGGGGTAGTACGCACCAGAGAGTACCGGCCCTTCAGGTCTCGGTCCGTCACCTTGTTCCCGTCCTGGTCGATCAATTCGAACGGCCCGCCCACCTTGGGCCTGCCTACGCCCTTGTTCGAGTCTGCTATCCTCTTGCGTTGCATCCGATCCTTTTCGTTCTCAAAATACCACACCAGGCCGGCGCCGGTAACGATGAAGAGAAGCCCGGCCTTCCACGAGAAGGGCTACACGACAACAAGGTTAGCCGCTGCTCGAGCCATCCTAGCATGACCCAGTTTCCCGCAATGCGTACCCCTGACCTATACCGGCTTTTTGCTTCCTCCACTGTGCTGTACTTGAACCGGCGCTGCACCAATGGCTGGTAGGGCTGGGACTGGAATCTCGCGGGGCTCGGAGCCGTCGGTCGCTTCGCGGGTGCGCTGCGGGTTGTCGACATGAGCCGGGTGCATTGCCCAGTGCATTGCCGCGGGGCTACCCTGGGTAGAGCATTGAAGACGGCGCGGGCCGCCGCAGTTGGCTGGGGCATTATGCCGGTGGTGGTGGACGTTGTCTATCTCGAAGCGCAGCCAAGATCTCAAGGAAGCTTCCGAGCTCAAGCGGGAGCTCAAACGATAAAATCGCCTGATTGGCGCCGATCGGTGGGCACGGTTAGCTGCATGCCAAGGTACATGGGTGGGGCAGCTCTGCCTCCTAATTTAATCATTTGTGTAATAACTGGACCTGGTATGCTTGTATTCGACTCACCCTTCACAACCGTTCAAGTTTCTTGACCATCTCTCACGAGCTTGAACCATCAAAACAACAAAAAGTATATACTGTGTAAAAGCAGTTGTACGGTTGTGATGACCATACTGACGAGCTAATACTACAATGTACACCCGGATTTCGCATGGATGATGGCGTTCTCATCCTCTTTCTTCGCTCCCGAAATGGCATCCGCCGACGGCCAACCGCAGCAGCAGGAGTCACGGGCAATCAAAAAAGAATCACCTGCGGAAGGAGAAAGTCAAACGGCCGATCAAAGGAGTTCTTCGCCCAACATGCCCCTCTCGGAACGAGGTCAGCCTACGCCCAGCGTCAACGGCACCGACCAGGAAGTAGGCGAGGATAGCCTCACGGGAAATACAACCAACATGCCTCCCAAGACTGCCGCTTCCAAAAAGAAGAAGGGTACCGCCGCCGCCATCAAGGCTCCAAAACGTGCCCGTCCGGGTGCCGGCGCAAAGAAAGGCAGGGGTGGCGGGCCCAAGAAGGCCAGAAAGGATGCTTCAGCCAAACAGAACGGCGGCGCTGACACGGCCGATGGTGGGAACTCGAGCGAATCCGACAACGGGCCCTACTGCCTCTGCCGCGGGCCCGATGACCACCGCTTCATGATAGCCTGCGATCGGTGCGAGGACTGGTTTCACGGAGAGTGCATCGGTATGGACAAGCACACCGGCGAGAGCCTGGTACAGAAGTACATCTGTCCCAACTGCACTGACGGTGGCCGCTACTCCACCCGCTACAAGAAGATGTGCTCGCTCTCCGACTGCGCCGAACCCGCGCGCATCTACGACTCGACACACCCCAGCATCTTCTGCTCGCCCGAGCATTGCCAGGCCTGGTGGGAGCAGCTCATCGCGACCCTCCCGCGGAGCAAAACCACCTCCGCCGCCGACCACCTCACCCAAGGCGAGTTCATGGGCCTTCTCGACGCTCCCCACTCGCCGCCCTCGCTAGAAAACGGCGGAGACACAGACCTGCCCGCCCCCAGCCCCTGGCACCTCGGCAAGCACCCGTTCTCCACCCCGCCCAACTTCTGGGACCTCCCGGCGTCGTCGCGCGCCCTCACGCCCGAGGAGCAAACGCTGCTCACTACGTCCGCCACGGAGCGCTACCAGCTCGGCGAGGAGATCGTCCTCTGCAAGAAGATGCTGCAGCTGATCGACCTGGCGCTGAAGCAGCGCGAGGCGGCCATCGCGGCGGGCAAGGGCACGGCCAAGGACCTCTGCGGCTACGACACGCGCCTCGACACCGTCTCGGCCACCCACCAGTTCGCCCTGTTCCTGCAAACCCCCCAAGGCGAAGCCATCTTCAAGACGGGCCGGTTGGACCCAGACCCCACCACCACTACCATTACTACCACAAACGGCACCACAAACGGCACCACCACCACAAACGGCACCACCTCCCCCCCCAAACCCCAACCAGCAGCACCCCCACAACCACTCCCCTCCACACACATAAACACCACCACCATAGCAACCGACCCCGACTTCACCCAAATGTGCGCCAAAAAGAAGTGCAAGCCCCACAACGGCTGGAGCGGCGTGCTGGCCAAGAGCGTGCGGCACGACATGAAGGAGCTGGCGGCGCAGGCCAAGGAGAAGCTGGACGCGGAGCAGCGGGTGCGGGACGGCGCCGCGGGCCGGTTTAGGCGGCGCGTGGGGGAGGGGAATTCCGTTGTGGTTGTTCTTGGGGGTGGTGTTGTTGGGGGTGGTGGTGGTGGGGATTCTCAGTTTGATTCCGGGGCTGGTGGTGTGGGTGGTGGGGATGGGGATGGTGATGGTGTTGTTGGGGGTGGGGGTGGGGATAGTGTGATGGGTGGTTGTTAGGATGGATGGCGCGGTGGGTGGTTTGGTGGTGGTTTGGTTGAGGAGGGATGGGATGGATGGAATCCGGGGTATGAGATAGGATGGAGGATGGGCCGGGGTGGAATGGTACCAGGTGGGATGGGATGGGGTGGTTTTTGAAGGGGTTGGTTCTGGTTTGAAGTTGGGTAGGGAACAACTCATACTCGTAGTAATTTTGGGACAGAGACAGTCGCGTTAACGCAACCTGGGTCGAACGGACATCCATTTAATTTCTGGCAATTGAGACATTTGGGAGTCATCACATGTGCACCGTATCTTGCCCACCTAGAGGATACCCCCTTTCCCCCAATAAGTACCCCGTCTCGCTGGAATCATGTTCATTCAAGTTCTATATAATACGTACAAGTTTCAAGCCAGGGACGAGCCGTTCGAAATGGAAAGCATCGAGGTAGGGTATAAGAAACAAGAAACACCGCAGCTCATAACAGCCCCTTCGTAACAACGTGACGTAAGTCGTAACCTGTGTAAACAGAAAGAGACAAACAAAACAAAAGGCCACCTCCGGCTGGTGCAAGCAAGGGTAACCCCCGCCCTTCACCCAACCAAGAAAAAACCAAACCGGATATTAAAATCGATCAATCGCAGCCGCGAGGCCCGTTTTCCGTCTTGTTTCGGCCGCGAGGCCCACCGAGTCTTGCCGAGACATTGCCCAAGTCGAGTGTGTGAACCCGCCCAACCTGCCGCCGATCATTATATATAGTTATCTCTCACCCACTCGTTGCATCGTCCCGAGTTCTGTTTCCTCGTCCGACCGTTAGTTATATCAACCAGCGGTCCTGTTGGTTCCCGCCATGGGAGAATCCCACCAGCTCGTGACTCTCTCCAGGTGAGGTATCTCATGCCTATCCTCCCGTTTTGTACCAATGTCGGTCGCGTGACCGGTATGTTTCTTCTAATGTGAACCAGCGTCGGTTGCATCTCCCGTTTGCGTGGCCGCGTTTGCTATAACTAGCAGTGGTTCCCCATCAAGTCCGGCGTTTCCCAGAACTGCTCGAATGGCCATGGGTGCGACGAGAAGACGATTGGCCGCCCTGCCGCCTCGACGAACTACTACCGGCGGCGCGGTCCAGCTCGCGCTCTAGCTCCTCGGCCCTCTGGCGGAAGCCGCGCACGATCTCGCGGATGCCGGCTATGCGGTCAAAGTCCAGCTCGAGCTCGTCGATCTGTGCCATGATGTCGTGGTATCGGGCGATCTCGGCGTCGGCGTTGTCGATGAGGTTGCCGGCGCGGTCGTAGACGCTGAGCGTCACGATCTGGGACTGCTCCATCAGGTACTCGAGCCGCTGCTGGATCGACTGCATGACCCGGTCGAAATGGCGGCCGAGGGCGCTGAGTGACGAACTGTCCATCATCACCAGCCCCTGGGAGGAGGCGCGGCTCGCGGCGCGCGATGAGGTCGAGCCCGCGCCCCCCGCCGCTGCCACTGCTTGCTGTCCATGCCGCAGGAGTTCGATCTGGTCCTCTGTTAACCCCAGCTGGGTGTCTGGCACGGCATTGGGATCCGCAGCGGGTTGTTGCGACGACATGGCGGCTGTCACACCAAGAGCTGAGGCTCCGATTCCGGCTGGCTGCTAATGTCGTGTAGCCTCGCGATTACCGCCCTCGGCCCGGATCTATTTGCTATGTGCCGATCGACGCAGGAGGACCGCTGGCGGAATTCCGGATAGTCAGTCGCCCGAAAGCAGCCGGGTCTACCTTGTAAAGGCGGACGTAGGCTACTCTCCCCGTCGAGTGCACTCCCTAACGCCTTCGGCGCGCTCACCGCTGGGTCTGCACCCGCAGGATGGTTAACCTTAATGTCTCCCGGCCAAGGGAACGATGCACCGTGTTACGGCCGTGCGAGAACAAGGTTGCGGGGTATGTGGTGACTGCGGTCGAAAACCCGGGTCCCCGGTTGCTGGCGGATGTGAATTCGACACCGATAGCTCGAGCGTCGGCGACGTTTTGGGCTCGTTCGGCGTCATGGTTCCGCTGGCAGTGTCGGTCACTGCGTCGATGCCATAACAGCTCGGCCGACAGGCGATTACGACGGTGTTGTGCGGGGTGCTATGCGACGGGAGTAGCGCTTTGAACGAGTGTTGAGAAGCAAGGGAAATCTGCGGGCCGGATGCGAGAAGCGATCGCAGCGGTCTGTGGCTGTCCCAAGTATTCTTTCCTCCTCTTGTGGTACACGCCCAATGAAGCTGCCAGAGCCGAGCCAACCGTTTCATTCATGTGTTGCGTCGCGTCCAGTCCACCGTCGGTAACTCGCCGAAATAGTGTCTGCGTATATATTTCCGTCGTTCTATGTCGGGTATGGCGCCTCAACCTCTCCGAGACATTCGCGGCGGCGTGTTCGACTCCTTGTTCAAGATCGGAGCCAAGGTTCGCCGGTTGGGTTTAATTATACCGCCTTTCCCCACGCGGGATGAGCATCAGGTGACAGTCAGATGCCGGACCACCCTAATTTGGGGTTGCGCCCGCCGAAAGGAATCCAAGCCGCTCAACTCGTGCAAATTACGTGACGTGCGTCTTAAAGCGCCGTGTCGTGAAAATTCGGACAAAAGTGTCGATATCGGGCAAATATTTTCGAACTCGAGCGGTTGCGGCCAGGGCCTATTGTGTAGGGATCGCAGGTGATACCGTTAGATTGGTGGCCAATGGTATTGTGTCCGAGTGACCGCACAAGCATCGGCGTTGATCATGGAAGTTGTTGAGTTTCCCGTGCAGAATCCCATCAGGCCCCTGGTGGAAACCACGAGACCCACAAGGACAACCGAAGAGCTTTGACATTGACAGGGGTCCAGATCGAAGCAGGTGAGACGAGACATTGGGTTTCGGGATTCAAAATAGTTAATTGTGTAGTTAACGGCAAAAGCAATGTCCGGAGGTCTCGGGTGACGTAGATAAAGCAAGCTTGAATGCACCTCAGCCTCCTTCCGCCCGCAGCGGCCGCGCAGATGCGGCCACTCGGCCTCTGAAGTGGCCTGGTGGCCAAAGGTCCCGTCTCCGGCTCTCTGGAACGCTCGGAGGGATCCCCGGTTCGTGGCGCCGCAGTGCATGGAACAACGACGCCCAAACAGGGGCGGGGACTGGCTGGTTTATCAACGCATGGTGAGCCAGTCTGCCGCTGGATTCACTCATCGTATTCGGCTCACGGCATTGGGAGCCTGCTGACGTTTATCAGCATGGTCCCAAAGCCATTGGAGGGCTGCTATTCGATCCATTCAACATGGACCGCTCGCCTCAGTAGGGCTGGCCAATTACCGGGCCCTGTAGACTGACGGTGGTTGACGGATTGGTGAGATGCGCCACAAAGCACTTATACTTGGTACGGGCAAGAAACTCATCTTCGACTTCAAATGTTTCAAAAAAATGGGCTTTTTGTAGATGCCGTCTTGAAATTATCTTGGAACTTTTCAACCCTCCGCGACAGTAGAAGACGAGAACGTGGAATGGCGCAAGAGAGACCGGAGATGCCCCTTCCGAACACCAACTCGCCTAGCAAAATCGTTCTTTCCAGATCTGTATCCCGCATGCAGGTCCCACGCCGAACTCGCCTTTTACCAGACGTTCTTCCCATACGGCTTGACTGTTGTAGGCAGTGACTCCCGGTTTGCATGCGGCATCACCCGAAAGACCCGTGGACCCGACAACCGGTCAGAAGGAGCCCATTTATATCCCAGATCTTGCCCTCGCTTCGCCCAAGAATGCCGGCTGAAGGTCTCTCTCATGGAGCCGGTTCGGTGTGATTGCGGCATCGATATCCCGCATCTCCGTCTCAATCCCCGCATCATCGCGAGTTGCGATTCCATCAATGAAAGATCGTTGTGATGCGGGGAGATGGCTTGCATAAATAGGCAGAGCTTGGAACATAGGTACCTAGGTAGGTGATCGTTCTCAGTACATATCAGTAATTGAGATAGTAGTCGTGAGACCAGTCTCAGTTCAAATCATGGTGTCTCTGTCAGGACTGGCCATCTTCGGCCTCACTCTTGTCTCGCGCGTGTCTGCAACCATCCTTCAGAATGGCCAAGTGCGAGAGGTCAACTTCCCGGATACTCGTGTTGATCCGTCCGCACACTCGTTCAAGACGTACCCGCCCAACGCCACCGAAATATCCTACAAGGGGCGGTGGGACTCGCAATATGTCTCTTGGTGGTCGTGAGTGGGCATCGCTTAGAGCGAGTACAATATTCATAAGGCTACCTGAACACTAACAAACACCAGAGCCCCGGGCATCAAGTTCGGCTACACCGGACAAACAGTGGCCATTTCTTTCGGCAACCTGACTGACGATGGCGTCCTGGTCGGTTACCGCATCGGAGGACTCGACTGGATCTTCACCAACATCACCGCCGGAGGCACTCACCTTCTCGTAAGCCCGGAAACACCAGGCTCAGGCGAGACGGGACCCATCAACCCGTGGACCTTTGAGATGCGGGTGTCAAACTGGGCATATGGCGTGCAAATCGATGCCGTCCATGTGGCCGACGGAGAGAAGCTGGTCAAAATTCCCGAGTTCGGCCGCCGTATTGAAGTAATTGGCGACAGTCTTGCCTCGGGCATGTACGCGACGTACGAGGGCTTGTCGAGCTGGGGCTAGTATGTCTGATCCAGCTGGCTTGGGTGATATGGCGCTGACAGGAACATAAAGCGGTCTCGGGGCTGGCCTCGGCAACACGGAATTTGCGGTCACTGCTTACCCCGGAATCTGCGTGGCAGACCAGGACTGCTGGGGCAATCCTAGGGGGCAGGTTCATCAATGGTTCTACACCGCCGACACAAGTTATCGCGCCTCTGTGATCCACGGTGGTGAGTTATCTTAGGTCTCACGGTATTCTGTCTGCACTCACACACAATACAGAAAACCCGGAGCCATGGGACTTCAAAAAGCAGCCGGCCGCCGACATCGTGGTCATCAACATTGGCACCAACGACCGCAATGAGGCAAACAACGTCTCGACCGAAGCCTACATCGATGCGTACACTAAGGTCATCCAGGGTATTCACGGAAAGTGGCCGAAGGCTCAAGTCGTTGTCATGGTGAGCTTTCTCTACCAAATCGAAAGGTGCCCGAGGTATCCTAACACAGTATCCCACAGTCCCTCTGGCTAGGCTTCTACCAGTCCGGCAACACGTATTTCCCCGAAGCCTCCCAAGGCTGGGTCAAGGAGATCTACCAGATGGTCGAGTGGTGAGTTCACCCGACCCCCGACACAGCCCAGCCCAACTCACCTCATAACGAACAGGTTCAACTCGGATGCCTACCTCCGCAACCCAATCATCTACGACGGAGTCACCAAGAAGACGTCCAACACAGGCAAGAAGGCGAAGCCTTTTGTCCACTACTTCAACACCACCGGCATCATGCAGCACAACGACATCGGGCCGCAGTGGCACCCCACTGACGTGGGCGCCATCAAGGTGGCCAGCCACCTCCAGCAGTTTATCCGGATGAAGTTTGACTGGGACTTTTACGCTACGGGGCCAGAGTGAGACTTGTCATTTTCTTTTCTTTAAAACCCGCCGATAGGAGTTGTGAAAGCTAACAAGGGGCGTGTTAGGGTCTTTCACGAGACACTGTACTGGAATGATGAGACTAATTACTGAGAAGTTATTAACTATGAATGTGTGAGAGGTTGGGCAATAGGAGAGAAAAAATATGATTGGAATGGAAAATATGATGAGCTGAGATGTGATGAATCAGAAGATATGATGAACAAAAAAGTATGATAAAATGGAAGATATTCTGCGGCGGAAAAGGCACACAAACCCGCCTCTGTCACCACCCCCTAGGTAAATTATTACTTCCAATTTTATGTACGTGATAGCCTGGTAATGATGACCAACTCTACGGTGAGTAATCTAGTTACCTTTTACAAACCAAGAGGAACTCAACAACTCCACGTCCACTTTGGTATTACTAAGTTAATAAATTGTGACAAAGCGGCGAGCGAGTACGGCGATGGTGGCCGATACTTGCTGAGTGAACTAGCTAGTTACCCGACCAAGGCTCGCCTCCCTATTTCCAACTCGGAGGTTGGCTAGTCATGCCTTTGTGCCATTCCGTTTTCTCACCAGCACGCCTTTACTCGCCCCGTCTGCTGCCCAAGAGGCCGGTGTGATTCGAACTGGATAACAGCCCGAGAGCTTTGCGGGTCGAGACCCGGTGATAGATCTGCGTGTGCTGTATTCACCGAGCCCTTCCGCCAAGTACGTGTTTGTTGTGTCCCCCCCCTTTACTCATGAAGCCGCCCGCAAAACTCCCCGGTGCTCCTGGGCATTCTTTGATCGCTCAGACAGATCTCTGCGCAAAAATTACGGCGATGTTCCGGTGGCTCACGACGCTTACTTCCGGCATCGATCTGTCTCCTGGAACGGAGCGGCCGGATCACTGACCCGCCGTTGGCGGGCAGACGGGCAGACAGCCTCGCTTCACCTCAGCCGTTTGGAAAACGGATTCACACACCGCACCGGGTGGTTGCTCGGGTCGAGCCGACATCCCCAAGCAGGTCGCCTACGCACTTTTTGCCCATTCTCGGCCATAGACTCGACCCGATGAGGTCTTATTTCCCGGCAAAACTCACTACACAGTACAACACACCCATGTTTACAAACGGGGAGGCGATCCGGCGGGCTGGCTGGTGATCGCCTGGCGCGTGTTCCCTCGCTTCCAGCCGCACTGCTCCGTACAAACGTACCTTGCTTGCGAGGCCCTGAAAGTCAGCTCGTCCTCGAAGTAACCGGTACTTCTTCCATCGCGACCAGGCCCGTCAACGCCTAGCAGGGTTGAAGGTGCGGAAGGATGGTTCCCTCGACGATCTTGACTTTCCCTGCCGGGTTTGCGCAGGGGGGGGGTACCGGGAGGGGAGGAATTCACTGCGAGGGCGGGACACCATCGCGGGCAGGGGCCTGGACTCCGGTACCGTCTAGAACTCGCCGTCGCGCGGTGATCGCGATTTTCCGTTCTCCCTTGCCCGCCCGCCGGCAGGGGGACTGGCAAGCGGGGTGGGGTGGGCGGCTTTGCCGAGAACGTGGAGACCGTTGGGTTTGTGGTCAGGAACCGCCGAGATTTGAGATGATCGTTTGTGGGTTTCTTCGGCTTTGCCCCATCCATGCCTGGTTTGGAAGCCCGAGCCGAACTTTCGCTGCTGCCTCGATGCGATTTACCCATGCATTTCTGTTAGCCATCCCTCCCTCAACTTCGGATTGGGGATCATGGGTATGTACAGCTCGCCACAGTCAAGAGATCGATACACCGCCCCTGACGATCCGACCGATTGTCAACGATCCCATGAACAAGGCTCGATTCCCTGAGGGCCGGCCAGGAGAGCCCCCGTCTATCAACAGAGGGTTGGACCATGATCCCGTGACTGGACCTCACGGGTGGAATCTTGGCTCTCAGGGACCTGATGTTGCTGCCTCCGGCGATGGCATCGCGTCGTCAAGATTACGTTCATGCGGAGTTTGTTGGCCGCTTTGATGGCTAAACTAAACATTCCCGCCTATACTCGCGCTTGGACCCCCTTACCGGGGCCGTCCGACTCGCCGTCTCGCGAAGCTGCGTGATGGAGGGAAGATGAAGTAAGGCCGTGGGCGATGGGCGTCTCGGACGGTGGTCTCCTGTATCAAACAGGCGGCCGGATATGATGCTCGCCGTGTTTGTCGTCGCTTGGTCATTCCCGTCCAACACAGTATGTACCACAACCCTGAATCAGGGTTAGCTATGGGCAGGCCCGGAGAGCTTACCCCTGTTGTTTACCTCGCCCCTTACCTCGGCAGCTGGCCGACCCGGCGTGTCAAAGGGTGGCTTTGACACGGCGCGTCTGAAACGCCAACCCCGTCTGACAATCCGGCCGCCGGAAAGGCGAGCCAAAAACCATCGTCCACATTTGGAACCGTTTTCACCACTTTTGTTTTTTTCTTGTCTTGGTGCGAGACTGGCGCACACGAGGCTGGCGACCAGCCTTGCTGGAGAACAAACGACCCAAGCCTGGCGAATCGAATCGAGATCCGAGCAACCCCGTCGTGATCGGCGACGTGGAAGATTGCTGGTCGCCATTCCCGGCGGGCGCTAGGAATCCCCTCCCGGCGGGCAGCGCGTCCCAATCTCATTTCCACCACACCTATTTTTACCCTGTATCACACAATGTGATGGCGGCATGTCTCTGATCCCACGCTCGTCTGCCAGAAATCCCACAGGGTCCCGCGGCCAGGTTTGCCTTGGCGAAGTTATTTGGGAGAGGGAGCTCACACGGGATACATGCGCGTGTGAGACATGCATGCAGAGACGAGATTGGTTTTGGGAAGTGATGGTGATGAGAATTGGGGGGAGGGGAGGGGCGCCCCAAGCCGCCCGAGAGATCCTTGGCCGCTGACTCGTGAGTTTGGCGAACTGGATTCGTCAGCGCTGGGCGTCAAGGTCTGGTCCGGTAGGGGTTCACAAGCGAAAGACCCGAGAACATGGGTACGGGAGCGGGTGGTGGTGCGTGCTCCGTGCTTGTCGTCGTTAAGTTTAGTTTAGCGCCATGATCTTCACGGGCCTTTCGGCGCCCATGCAGAACGCCGTCGTTTCAGCCCTTGCCATGATTCCCTGAGAGGCGTTGAAAGCGGTCGATCTCGATGACGATCTTCCGGGGAAGTGCGAAAGGATGCAGAAGCCGGAGGGGGGGTTCGATTCAGCTCGAACTTCCATCACATTGCTTGATTGCCTGCCTGAGAGCGTGCTCCGAAGTGCAATCAAACCCAGGAGCGCGGCCCTGAAGTCGTCACAAACTGCGCCGGCATCTCCGCTTGAGAGTCTCGGGGATGTCAGCGGGATCCCCACTGCGATAATTTCTGGTGTTGAGGCTGGTGGGCAAAGGCAGCAAGCAAAGAAAAATAATTACTACATCTTGGCAATGGTGGACTCTCAACTTCCTCAAGCGAGGCGCATTGATACTCGCAGATCCTTGCATATTTGTATGTATGGACAGACGGACGGCAGTTGCTACGGAACGTCGAAACGTGGTGTGTGGATGTTCGGTTTGACATGTGGCGGGCTCGTGTGATTCGAAGTGTCGTGCCTGGGTGCCTGGCAGAGAGTACGGGAGTGAAAGGGCGGGATGTGCAGTTGATGTGTGACGAGTATCCTCAAATCCCGTGTTTGTGGCGATCCGTGAAACGATAGATCTGGCGCATTGGGCAATGGGGCCGTCCGTGGCGCCGTGGGGGACGACAGCTGGTCAGCAGCGGCGAGTTCCCTCCAACCAAAGCTCCAAGCAGTCGGTTTCCCATGCGTGTTAACTAACTAGTGTAGTGTAGTGTACATACACTATTAGAATGCGCCATGCAAGACGGCGTTGGCAACGCATCCCATTGGGCTCATGGGTGCTGAGGGAATCGGAAATCGAGGAAGTCGAGGAAATCGAGACAACAACCGCTGAGCGCGGGTTGGGTTGGCGTGCATCAATGATGCGCAATATCCCCCTCATACCCTCGTGGCGCTAGATAACGAGCTGGTCGGGATGCCGATGCTAACAGCTTTGGCGATGTTGCGGTCAGAATTCCCGAACTCCGATGCTGTGGTCTCGAACCTGCCGATTGCTGTTTCCACAAAACCATGATCCCAGTTTGGTGGGCATGTTCGCATGTGGCATGGCACGAGCGCGCTGTTTCTTGCTCGGGGGGGCTCTGTGTTGCGGGGCGCCAGCTCGAGCCAGCCGAGCCACCCTGGGCAGCTCAACTCGCAAACTCATTCCTGATTTGCCAGCCTGCATTTGGCGTGCCCCTCGTCTTCGGGAGCTGGCCCGGACTGGCGCTGAACTGGCACTGAACTAACAACGACAGGGCTCCATGACATCAGCCACGCAAGTGCTTGATTGCCCGCCACAATTCACCATGCCATGCTCGATGCAGGAAAGCGTGGGCTCGCACGCGGGCGCTGATCGCTGATCGGCCTGATGCATGCTGCATTGATGCCAACCCCCGACGAAAATCCCCTGCTTTGCTTCGCCAAACGGTTCCCCATTCAGAATGAGATGCGCAGGGGCTTGGCAGGACCGGCGACCCTCGCTCGACCCTCGCTCGACCCTCGAAGGCTGATCGACAATGATTGACCAAAAGTGTGGTGGGGACCATGCACGACGAGGGCCAAGGATCGCCTTGCAGAAATGCAGATTTGGGCCAAGCAGCCGAACAACTCCAGAAAATCCGAGCACGGGAGAGAGACAAGGTGGAGCCCGATCAACGCACGCCAGAAGCGCGCTAGAACACCAGCAAGAAAACCAGTTGCCCGACCTGCCGACCCCCCCGCTCCCCGACGAAGGGTGTTGCTTGCTCGACACGCTGGGCTGACGAAGCAGCCTTCCCCGAGGGCAAACGAAAACCCCCCAACTGCCTGTCAACTAGCGCAACGAACCTGGAAAACCCCGCTGATGCGCGCAAGATAACAAGACTGTCAGGCCACACACAAGGAAAATAAAATACCTAGACAAAAAGAGATGGAAGGGCGGTTTGATGCACGCCTTCGACCCACTGCAACGGACATTGGGGTGATTTTTGGCAGCATCGAGCGCAGATCCCCTGCGCCGGTCGTCGCCTGTCGTCACCCACACCACCTGGGCACTCTCGATCCCGGACGACCTGGTTACCTTAAACTACCTGACAGCGTGTGCACGGTGCAACGGTTTTCATTCGAAGGTTGCGTTTTTTTCATTTCATTTTACGAGTTTTACCAAGCACACCGTGACCCTTACACGAACCGAGAGCCTTGTTCGCGTATTGCCGGGATTGAAGGGAGCGATGATCTGCAAAGCCCACATTTCTTCGATGGGACAGCTCGGTATCGAGAAGAGGATAGGGTGTCCTTTTTTTTTTTTCTCTCCAACCCATCCCCATCCACCTCCATAATTTCCTTCAGAGATTTTCACCCAGAGCCAACTTCGGGCATGTGCGGGCATGAAAGAGCGGGCATGCGCGTGTGTGTTGTTCTTGACCCTCCCGTCGACCCGTCGAAGCCGCCGCTGCACATAAGCGATTCTCCACTTTACTCCGGGTAACCCCCCGGTGATCTGCGATCATCCCTGCATCGTGGGGTATCCGGCCAGGGGTTCAGATCCGTTTCGGCCGGCGGCGCCGGGCTAACTTGATGCTCGCAAGACTCGGGAGCCCCCAAAAAGGCGGTCTGGCTGCGAGTGCAGAACGGGACTTGCAGTCGGTGACGGTGATGGGGAAAAATTGATTGTGGATGTCTGTCCTCTTCATTTTGGAGAGGGCCAACATTTCGGTTTGACCGAGAATGTACATATCTTGGCATGCGAATTTGGATGATGGGGGTTTTGAGTTTTTGAGTTAGTTTTGGGCCAGGGGGGCCAACGGCTCATTCGGGAAGCCGTCACCTCATCACCCATGGTCCGATCCTCTTGTTGCCGAACCCGACAATTTGGGCCGAGCAAACCCACAGAGTCGTTTTGAAGTAACGTTTGAGTTCTCGAACCATTGTACATACAGATTACACAGTAACCATTGTCTTGATTTCCGAGGTTTAGAGGTTTGCCTTCCAATTCCGATAACTAGTTAGCTCCGTAGTCCTGTTTTGGCATGGCGAATACTGTTTGGGATACCCCATGCGTGCACAATACCAACACCAACTTGTGCATCAACTTGCGTGTATCCTCCGGCTCAAGTCGGGAGGACCCTGCCTCCTCAACGTTTCGAAACACGATCGCCCGAGACACATGACACTTCTGGCAGGGAACGCATGTTGTTACTCTGTCTTGACATTTTTATTTTCCTCTTTTTCACCGCTATCTTGCGCATCTTCTCTCGTCAGCGCCATCCCTGCGTCCCCGGAGATTGTACAAATCGCCCAGGTGGGCGACTCCCCTGAATCTATACACATTACGTTGCTCCCGTTGGAGTGAACGTCGGTCGGATACATCGTGTCGACAAAGGGAAGAGTGACAAAAGAAAATAAAGTCATCCAAACAAAAGAGATCAACGCCCGTGTAAATGCTTCCTCAACCCAGACCAAAATATACGTCCCTTGTAAACCGGACTCGCCGCCTTCGCCGCGCCGTGGGATATCATCCTCCGAAGGGAACTCCCTGTCTGAGCAACCCCCTTCGCCACCATACCCATAAGAGAACGTGAGGTCCTTGCCGAAACACCACGCCCCCGTTTTTCCCCCATGCGCCAAGCCGTGCCAGATGATGGTCCATCCTTGAACTCCGTCTCGAGATAGATGATGATGGTCCGGAAGGAAAAAGATTAGAAACTAAAAAATACCGGTTGTCGTACTTGGTCGTGGGTCGCATATCCTATGACCGCCAGGGCCTGGGATGAAACTGGTTAAGTCTATGGGTGGTTGGGCTGGCTGCTTCTCTTTCTCGAAAATACGCCATGTTTTTGTTTGGGTTTTCATGGGTCGAAAAGTTCGAGTTAGGGGCGGCTCCCGCCGGCGCTGCTGGTGCTGCTGGTAGTGCTGCTGCTGTCGTAGTTGTGGCAGCCACGCTCGTGCCGCTTCATGTTGCTGCGCACGCTGAAGGCCTTGCCGCAACCGGGGAACGGGCACTTGAACGGCTTTTCTCCCGTGTGCGAGTGGCTGTGAATCCGCAGCGAGCTGGGCCGCGAGAAGGCCTTGTTGCACGTTTGGCAAATGTACCGGTCCTGGCTCTGGGGAAAGGATGCCGACGCTGATGGGGCGATGTAGTGATGGTGCTGCCAGGGGTTGCCGGCCGTCGGCGCAAGAGTCACCGACATGGGCATCGAAGGCGGGAAGGACTATAGCGACACATTAGTTACCATGCTCTGCGTACGAATCAAGTGCGATCACGACATACCTGAGGGAGCGCACGCTGGTAGTAGAGACCAGACATTTGCGTCTGCGGTGGCGCCGCGGATTGCATCGGAGGATAGTACGAGGGCATGGCCGGCTGGCTCATGTACGCAGGACCGGGGGCGTACTGGGGCTGGTATGCTGAGGCCTGGACAGAAACCCGCGGGACTGCGGCTGTGGCGGTCATCTGCCGTGCATCGGCCTCCATCTGAAGCGGTGGCGTGGCCTCGAAGTAGTAGTTCGACCCGTTCGGCACTTGGCTCACCGACCTAGTCGATGGCGAGTTGAACCCCTCAAAGGACGCATCCGAGGACATGGGCGGGCTGGGCGGGAGTCCTGTCCGGAGGGTTGCCGGGTTGGTGTAGTGCGAAGAGTTGGGCCTCGTCTCCGGCTTGGATGCTTGCGCTAGGGTCGAGTCAGTACCGAGCTGTCCCATGTCCCACCACGAACTGTTCGTACATTGCTGCTGCTGCTGCTGCTGCTGCTGCTGCTGCTGCTGCTGAGACTGGGGCGACGTTTCCGAAGTCGGCGATCCTTGGTCCGCAAGCCCGAGGAGGTTCGAGATGGACGGGAGCGAGCACTTTGCTGCCTCATCCATGGGCGGTGAAGGTGGAGGCATGTAGCCGTACTGAAGGCTCTGCTGAGGTGCGTGGGCATAGTGTGTTGTGACCATTGTGTTTGCCATTGTTGCTACGAGACAAGCCCAGCGGCGGGTGTGGGAAGGTGTTATTGGGTTGGTGTAGGGTGGTAGGCGGCCCTCTGGTGGCTGCAGCTTCGATGCAAGTGAGTCGTTTGTCAAGTTGTGAAAGACGTTGATATCTGAGTCGAACGTTGCTGTGGGGGCGGTGGTGTGGGTTGGATTAAGTACTAAGCATATGGGTTGAGAAAGAAGCTTGTTGACTTTTGGGATGATGGGGGTGGGAGAACCGGGGCGTTTTGTACCATCAGATCTCCCGGAGAACATCCATGGAGAATATGTGGAATGATCGAGGAAATCCACACGAAATCCACCGTTGATCCCCGGGACCAAGGCGGCCACAGGTGTTGTCACAAATTGGGTGTGGGTCTGACCGGCGGCCTGGGGGTGCTGTGCCAGACCAGGGACCACGGCCCACGGCCGATGTTGATCAGAGGAGACCCCTCCGCCCCTCCATCCGTCATCCCCCAGGGGCCCCTGTCTTGTGTGAACGAGGTCGCGCGGTACATGGTACATGCGTCCAAGCTTATAACAACTCCTCTTATGATGGCTCCGACCCCGGGTGCGCCTGAGCCCAATGTCCAGACCCTGTCGCCGGCCGGAAACCACACACAACAAGCGGACCGAGGGCCGCTGAACGGGTCCCGACTGATATGATTGCCATTGATCTGCCGAGTCCAAACGTCGGAGGCTCGTGCTGAGCCAAGGCCACCCGACACGTCAAGCCGAACGTTGTCCGATGCGATCCAGGGTTTCTACACAGTACACAGTAGAGCGAGAGACCATCAATTGAGGCGTGCTGCCCACAATGCTAAAGAGACTGAGGAGCAGGACGGTGCGCACGTTTTTGTGGCGCGAGCTGCATCCTGCGCACGCTAGCTCGAATGGGTGACACACTCTCCTGCATTTTCCTGGCTGCCGGTTTGCTGGGCTTCTTTGAAGCCACACGGACCACTTACCCAAAACAGGGGCTACTGCCGGGCCCAAGGCTTGGTTTGCGGAGGAGCGAGATGGGCGAATCGGTACGTACCTCCAGCCCCTGGCCTGTCACGGCGGCCGTGTTGGCGTTTTGGGGTGGGGACCCCTGTGCCAGACACACGGACGCACAAACTTGAGACGAGTATCGATTCCAAGCTCTCTTGTGCTGGATCATGGTAGGGCCAGCAGGGGTGACGTGCATTGGATTGTGCTGTGACCGGATGACTGAGTTGATCTTATGCCGTCCATCATGACGGCTTCAAACTACGCTCTCGAAACGGGCGCCTCGGGACCATCTGCCGCCCGGGTAGGGCATCGTCTTCCAGAAATCCGGTGATCTGCTGAGCTGTGCAGTCCATCGCCCGCTCCATTTTTGTGGAAGATCTAACGTTGTCTTGCTCAGAGCCGAGGGTCGACTCGCCGCGCCGTCGCGCTGGTTTGCACCGCGGGGACGGGCAGCATACATCAAGCGGCGAACACGCGGTCGCAGCATGCTTCGTGTCTGGAACTCTTGACTACGTTCTGGCCGGTTGGTGGCTTCCCAGGTCTGCGGTTTGACCGGAAGTACATATGTACATGCTTCGTAAACTAAAAGTTTCTGGGGCCTACGGCAGATGTTGACGATCGATGGCCGCTTCAAGAAGATCGCTGGAGTGCTGATGATGAGTGGACGCTGGTGGACCCCCGCCGTTGCTGGCAGTTGTTTCGCGCATGGCTTTGATACGACGTACCGTTACCGTCGCTTAGTAGCTCTGCGCCTGCGGAGTCCTTCCGAGAGGGATCTTCACCGGTCCTGTCAACACCAACGCTCACGCCTGCAAGAATCCCGATCTCGCTGTCATGGGCATGCCGGGTCGAACCAGTTAGTCAGGATTTACTGATGACTTGATTCCCCCGACGCAACCAACGAGAGGGTCTCGGCAAGGCGCTCGCGAAGGGGATTTACCGTGGCGGGGGGCAGAGGCAAGCTCATGCGCGAACGGCTCCGTGCTCCAGACCCGTTTCTTGAGAAACACATGGGGTTCTCGGAAACAAAGGCCCATCACAAGAGATCACCTCAACTTCGCGATCGAGAGAGTCTCCAGGGGCCAGTGGATTGTCGACGGGGTTCAGGGGTCCTTGATCATCAGTGGTAGCGAGTCTTAATGTTGACTGGGGTTCAGCCGGAAAGAGTGCAGCCTGTCTGGCCCTGTGTTTGACGTGCGGCAGGGGCCAGCGGAAAGATTTCGAGAAATCGGTACGCTTGATGCGCCCGGTCCGCTTTGGGCTTCTGGCAAGGCCGGAATGAGAAAGAGGGACAAGCAGATGGGCCTCTTGTGCCACATCCGTGCCACATCCGCGGTTCGCTCCAAGCCGGCCAGGCCCAAGTCCCAAGGCATAAGGACGGGACGAAATTCCCGAGAGCAGTCAGTCTCAACAAACCGAAACCATCTTGGCGTCGCTCAGGCATGGCCGACATGCAGGATTTTAGACGGCGCACCAGATGCAGACGATTGCAGTCCCCCTGCGTCGAGAGGAACCTCTTTGCATCATCCCATCTTGTCGTAGCACTTTTCCCGGATCGGAGGACTGCCAAATGCAACCATAAGCTGTGATCATGTCTGTACGGAGACTGCGTTGCTTGATGTCGTCTGGAGTTGCGGAACAGACAAGACTAGCTACTTCCTCCCCATGAATAATGGCAAGGCGTCGGTCGGGCATCGAGGTGAAACGGAAGATGGGGGATAAATGGAGGCAATGAGTTCGTTGATACCGATAACATTAACCATGACTGAAAATCGAATATTGTGTCTGTCGTGCCGGGTAGGTACCTAGAGGTAAGGTAGTTTAGGAATATAAGATAAAGTGAAAGTTTGTTGCTAAGTAAACGAGTGTGTCAACCCAGCACGGGCAACCCAACTCAACTCAACTCTGGCAGGATAAGCAAGCCCTCATCGGTTGAATTTAGGCAGTAGCAAACTCGAGAGTCAGCTTTGGTGTAATTACCGAAGTAGCTGCGATGATTGCTCCTTCTCCTTCTGTTTGAGTTGCCAGTTGGGGCTCACAAATTCTGATGTTCAGGCAAGAGTCCCCTTTGCGACTTCCGTACACAGATGGAGTTGGTATGGAACTCGACCTCGCTGAATGCCGGGTTGCTCCACTGTAACAAAATGGGGCCAAAGAATTTTCGTTCCTCATAGTAGGTCTCCCCGTGTCATTCCAGTCTCAACTTTGTTGATCACGGCCGGTCTGAAGATGCATCTGAATGGATGCCTCCGGAACCCCGCGATTAGGATCTGGGTCCGCGCCCGGTGCGGACCCGGTACCCGCCCGGTCATGGCAGAGGTCCGCTGCAGCCTTTCGCTTGCCATTGCCGGCCTCTCCGACCCTCTCGGCTCCTAAACAGCGAAGTTCCAGGCCTGGTTGCCGGCCAACTCTGCGGCACTTGCGGCACAGCACCCTGTCTTGCGTGCATACTTGGTAGTTTGGCAAGGAGCTTGGTACGGAAGAGGGGAAGTTGTGAACTGTGGCTTTGCTCTTTGTTTTTGCAGTCGCCCAAGCCACTCAAGTGGCTAGGCGTTGGGTTTTCTCATTCTCACCAACCTCCGCCAAGTCGCACATCGCATCGGGTCGTCGACGACATGATCTTTCCAGTCCCCACGAGCCAACGAACCGACAAACTGGGTATCCTTGAATCTTCCGGAATTTTCCACCGTGGAGCGAACGGAATTACCGACCAACACGAATCAATCGAAACTCCCCGATCGCTTGAAGACTCCTCCCCATCGACAGATCATTAATAACCTTCCGTCGCCATCGTTCCGTGGTTCTGGCTCGGCTTCGACATCGTGGACGGCACGGAACGGCTGTACTTCGGGCGCTCTTTGATTGCCGTTCATATGACGCATGATATACCCCAGCCTTTTTCCTTTCGACGATGGCTGGGCGAGCTGGGCAGTCACCCGCCTGCACGTCTCTGGTTCCAACGTCGCACTCGACTGTCGCCCTCCCCTGCAAGCAATACCGGTTTCCCAAACGGACATTACCCGCCTCGCGGGCGATCGACGAGGCGTCGGCTTAGCGCCGCTCGCTTAGGTTCTGGAAAGGCTTCAGTCCTCCTTCTGGAATAGCGCATGATCGGCGACCGTTTTCATCTCTTTGGGCTCGGGAAATATGCCACGCTGCGGTCGCATGTCATGTCATCAACCTCTAACTACCTTCCCTTTTCGGACGTCCCACGCGTCGTCACGATGGAACCTGCATCGCCGCCTCCATCGTCTTCTCTTCACCCTGCCATGTCCCCGCGCTCTGAAAGGCGACGGCTGTTGTCGTCAACGCCCGCGTCCCACCATCCATCCATTCAGAAAGAATCAATCCTTCAAAATGGATTGTAATTCCAGTCGGCAAGAGTCACCGGAACATTTCGCAACCCACCGCGCCGTTGTCCCCTGTGTCTGGCCCATGGGCAACAAGAGCTGTAGGCGCGAATTGAGCAAGATTGTTGAAGACTGCCTCGAAAGTTCCAATTTCACGAGAGACGGAGCAATGATGTAACCGCAGCTCCGACCTTGGTGGCAGCTTTGGCCTGCTGGACTGGCAGCAAAACTCCCCAATTGGTCCGGTCCGAGGTGGTGAGCAGGGGGTAAGTCCCGGTCCACACACCTCGATGCAACCAGGGCGATCTCCAAGGGGTGGAATAGAGTTTGGGAATCCGTCGATCAGCGCAGGGGAGATCTCTCATCAAACCGAACACTTGCCACCATCTCGGCGCTGTGTCGAGTTCTCCAAAGGCGTCAAAATAGCGTTACTGGGCAACGCCTTCGTGTCGTCAAGCGCCGCTCGACTGCTACCCGCCGTCACCGATAGCGGCGGAGAAGCAGGGCGATATCTCAGACCAGCCCGGTCCCAGATGCCGTCGCCCCACCCCAACTGCTATCACAGGAGCTCGCCGATTCGTGCTTGCGAGAGAGACCAGAGTGCGGCTGTGTCGAGTTCATTTCGGTGACGACTGAACAGGATGATCAACAACACAGTGCGGGCTGCTCGGTACCAGTTCGGCAAGCACATCCGGAGATCAGAAGTTGGGTGTGCATTTCCGATTCGACTGGGCGGAGCCCGGTACCAGCACCAAGGCTCAGGGAGGGTGTGATTATCGATCCCCGTTCCAAAGCTCTGGCTTGCCCAGTGTAACGCCAACTCTTCGAGCTTCCTTCTGGGGCTGGCCAAAAGCAGTCAGTCACTTGCCATTATGACCTGAAGGTTCACCTATCACGGCGAGCCAACTGTTTCGAGCTCGTCGACAGCTTCCTCCCCGCGTCACCGAAATCTCTTTGCTAATCTCTGTCGGATTATCACATGGGGGCCCCGAGGACATGCACCAAGGGCATGCCGATGAAGCTGTACTTGGTACGTTGACACGAGACATTATTCTTAGCCCGTGAGTGGCGAGGCCCGATAGTCTGTACGAAGAAATGCCACCGTTCCTTCGGTAGCTTTCCGAGAGGGCGCCGGTCTGAACCCCGACCTTGGGCTTCATCGATTCCGATTTTGACGGGGCCTCGCCGATGGCGGGTCGTGCCCCGTCAGGCTCTGACAGTGAGTGATTCTTGTCTCCTATGGGATCTCGGCGATCGAAGCAGACAACAGTCGCTCTCTACGAATACCAAAACTATCATCGACGGAACATTACTCCTTCAGAGAGGCTCGCACGCCTGGCCACCACAAGCGTTAATCGTTACGACACACGCGAGCCAGCCTCTTTTTTCGCGTTTCGAGCACAACATTTGTGTTCAACACGATGTGCTGGCAAACAATATTTCGGAACCCTCCGGTTCCCGGCTTCTCGAAACGGTCTCCCCTGCGGGGGTTTGGGGTTGCAGGCTGCTGTCGTCAGTTTGTCGTGGCAGCCCCTGACCGGTGTGCCGTTGGCAACATGAACGAGTAAGATTCCCGCCATCGGCCATCGAGAACGATCCAGGATCTTCCGATTGCTTGGAGCACCCTGCCGGTGCCCGCAGCTATCACCTGTCTTGTTACCCTGCAGCGCCTAATGCTGCACACCCAGCGACCCATCTGACCATTCATTCAGATCGACGATGGAGCCGGCTCATGAAGAACCAAGGCAACAAGGCAAGATGTGCAGAGGGTGCAACCAATCCGTGGGTTTGCGGCACATGTAACCGCCGGAGTCTCAACCGGAACGAGCGACCATTAAGAGGAAAGCTTGACTCGCTCACACCCATCCAACCCTAGGAGCTGCGACAGATTGTATGTAGTAAACGGTGAGATTTCGACCGTTCGATGAACGAGCGAGACGGCATATCTTCTTTCGAGGAGCTCGGTGGGTTGGTGTTGAGCAAGGGTATGTAGAAAGGGCGGTGTCGGCGGCACCTGAGCCCCGGTAACGACTCAGCATCTGCTGGTCCAGCCCTGCCTCCAAACCTCGCGGTCCCGGAACTCATCTGGGGCTTCACACGGCTCGGGATGATCATCCCACGCTGAGGTGACAACCCAAGGTTGCATTTTGATGGTGTCGATCCCCGTGTTGGGCAAGGCCATCATCTCAAGGACCCAACACCGCCAGCCACGGCCCACGTCAACTCGGCAATCATTTCCCCATGGGCAGAGTCTGGTAGGATTCCTGGGCACAATTCCTTCTGCCGCTGTCGAATCGGATTGTCGAGCGGTTGGGTGCGTTCTTGGGACGAAAGAGCTGTAATCGCCGACCCAGCCAGCCCGACAGACATCACATTTCAAGTGACAAACGCGCTTTTCCGCGCCACTTTCTTCTTTCCCACGCCTCGAGATAGCGTGTTCCATCAGACAACGTTCCTCGGTGCTTAAAAAAGAAGCCCCTCTCCCAGGTCGCCCATAATGGCAGGTCGATGCATCGGGGAGCCCCCGGGGAGGCGCATGTGCAGACCAACGGCGGGAGTTGAGGCAAGCGCGAAGTCTTGGGGAGCCTCTCCTGCATCAGATTGCGATTTCCCAGGGATGATTCCAGACTTCATGACCCCATGCTCCGGCACTCGATCCGCGCGTTTATCGTCGCCCCCTGGCCTCGGTTGCCGAGCTTGTTTCCATACCTGAGAGAGTTTTTTGAGCTGGCCTGAAAAAACCACAAAGACATAAACCACACTTCCCAATCAAAACAAACCCATCAATCGGACGATTGCTCGTCTCTGAGGAGTTCCCCGTGGTTCTAACCGATCACACGTCTGTGTGGGATGTTGTGAGGCTCCTGAAACGGCCATAAGCCTCAGTTCTTGCTTTTTCCCATCCTCTCATTTCTATTGGACAATTTCCTCGCCGTTTCTCGACCGTTGCGAGAAATGTCTCACCTTATTTTGGCCCCCCCTGGGCCGCGCCGGGAAGCGAGTCCCAAAGCATGCCCCCTGTTCACCAACCTCCTAACGGTTCGCAGATGCCTCGACTCGGTCGTGTTCACCCCAGGCGTCCAGACCGCACATCACGTCAATATCTCGCAAACAAAGGGATCGGTGAAACCACCTTGTTCGAGTGCCGCCGGTGGTGGAACCTTGAGCGTTCACAGTTCAACCATCTCACCCGGCGCCGATGACTGGCCTGCTTCTTGCGTATGCCTCGACTAGCGCCAAAAGAAAGTCGACACCATCGTCCGATGCCTGCAGGGCGGACTGCCGGGGGTTCCCCGCGCTGCTGGGGACGAAGCAAGGGCCACAGTCGCTGAAGCTCTTCAAGCCACACGTCGCACAACCCTTGGCTTCCGGGCCGCCCTTTCTCGACAAAGCAAGCGGCTCGCCAATGACCAACAAACCGGTTGCAACCCCCCGCGTCCAGCTCTGCCCTTGGAGAAGCAGAAACCGCAGGGCCAGCGCTCGGACTCGAAGGGTCTCACAAATGGAACCCCAACGGCTTGAACCCTGTTGGTGCCGCACAATATATTCCAAGGCTGACTGCATGCAGCAACGGACCGGGTCGATCACAGGACGGCAGCGATCGTCGATTCCCATCTCTCTTACTCATGCTGCGGTAATGCGTAAAGGCTGGACGAAAGGCAGCTCGGAGAAAATCTGATCTGGCCTCCCGCTCTGCGTCTTTGTGGCTTGCTGAAAGTTCCACTACTGCAGGATGGGACGGGGTTCTCCTGCAGCTTGCCCTTGGAAACCTTGTTTCTTCCGTCTCAAACTTTCTGGGTGGCGAGTCGTGGCAGCACTCGGAAGGTCTTCCCCCCACCGGCGTTCTCTCCGGGACCCGCCTTCCGACATCAGCTGTCACATAACGTTACCGTCCGCCTAAGATTGTTGGCCATGTTTGTCCTCGAGCATGCCTCCATACATATAGGAACCACTCGTAGTGTGCATGATACCTACTGTGTACACTCACTGTGGACCCATCACTCGGCCAAGGTCAGGAAATCGCCGTCTCTGCGAGTATCCGTGCAGCATCTCAAGCCCGAGAGAGAGACAGCGGAAGCGAGGGGCGGAAGGCGGCGGCAGATCGCCGGAGAGCCGAGGGCGGCTTCACTCGAGGACTGGGTCTGGCCAAGGACCGTAGCAGGAGATCACTTTCCAAAGCGGCAATCATGAGTGCATGGCTGAAAGGTACGATGGCGACTGGCCAGAACACTCCCAGCCCGTTGAATCTGTTTGCGCCCTCTTGTCCAACCCTCCATCGCTTGCCTGCTTGGCTTCTCGCTTCCTACCCCGCGGCGCCGCGGGCACGCCCTATGCACCTCTCCCAGAGCGGGACAGAGGCATCGCTGGGTACACACCACTACGACTGCGAGGGTTGCCGTGGCCCGGGTTGAAGCAGCGCCGATTTTCTGACGAGTGACCTGTCAGCGCCGAAGACATGATGTGTAGCACGGCAGTAGCGTCGTCTTCCGCCCTCGACTTAGTCAGTTATGACACGCCGGATGGCCGAGTCACTGCTTCCCTTCCCCCGGAAGCCCGAGCCGAGCCAGCGATGTTCACAGCACCCGGCGCTCTTAGTTCTTATCCTGCGGCAGCTCACATCAGTAACCCAGAGGCACGCCCCGTCCAAACCCCAGAACCACTGCCCTTTGAATAGAGAGCAGAACTGTGAACCATTCCAGCTGTGAACCATTCCAGCTGTGAACCATCCATTGCCCTTTGCATAGATAGCAAAACAGTGAGCCGTTGCCCTCTCCACAAGGAGCAGGACTATGATTGTCCTCTGCGCGCAGAGCAGAGAATATAACCATAAACCACCACCCTCTGCATAAAAAACACACAGCCATATCCCTCACACCCCCAACCCATCCATCCATCCTTCCCCGCTTGGCAAACAAGTGCGGTAGTTATGTCCAGTACCACAGCACACATCAGATCGCCCCAAAAGCAACACGCGCTCACGCCCTCTCCACCGGGATGCGCCGTTCGCAAAAGGATGTGCCGAACCCACCCAGCGCCAGAACCAAGATAGCATGGATGATGGATGATGGCTCAGCTAACCAGATGGTGTGATGGCATGGCGTTGAAGGGTTACCGGTAACCACACTCCCACCCCTCACCTGAGTCACCTCACCCTCACCCAAGCACCAAGCCAAACCATAAGAGAAAAAGCAACTCCCACTCAGTCCCGCAGCCAGCCATCCGCCATCTCCTCCCCTCCTCCAGAAGCAAGCCGATCCCCGGCGACACGGAGGCGAGGCGCGCTAGGCCGGGGCGTTGCCAGGCGGCAAAAGCCAAACGGCGGCAGCGTGATAGTGATAGAGCCGCAGCAGGCGCCATGCTTTTTCTTTTTTGAGTGAAGAATATCCCACCACCACCAGCCGCGAGTCACTGCCGCCCCCTCGCCCCTCTTTCTTGTGGAATGCCCAAGAACGGCGGGGATCGACAGGTGTCTCGGGAAAAACAATACGCAGTACTAGCAGAAGACACTGCGAGGAGAGTTGTATCGTTAACCTAATTAACTATAGGTGGAGCTCAGGAGACCAAAACTCCTAGCGGTAGACGGACACTGTAACTACTAAACAAACAAAGCCTGATCCATCCAGACCATCCCCCAAAAACGCCTCTTGTCCAAGTGCCACCCCGTCTGCCCAGCCGTCTCTCGTACGACAAATGAAAGTGTGTAAGCCGGGGGATTCTCCCCAGCCCCAAAGCGGCGATAATGATGATGATGATGACGATGACAATGATCTCCGCCTTCCGAACACCGTTATAGCCCAAGTCGTGGTCATGGCCATGAGGACATCGTCGCCCTGCGTTCCCGTCCAACCGCGGTTCCGCTAACCGCCCAGCGCTTTGGCCGACCGGCCGTCCTCCGCTGCCGTCCCCGACAAAGGGAAAATAAACCCAAAGAAACAAACGAGTGGCCCCAAAACAAACGCAATGGGTATCAACACCATACTCCTCCCCTTCTATACGCAACAAACACCCTCTATCCTGCTTATCCCTCTCTCTCTCTCTACACTCAAGTTCACTCCCCAGACCCGTGGGCTAGGCAAGAACGAGAGGGGGTACGAAAAAGAAGCGCATCAGGCGCTCCCCCTCTCGCCTCTCACAAATCCCAGACCCCCTAGCCCAACAATGGGCTTCCGGCGCACTAGAAACGGGCTCGGCATCTCGTCCCGATCCGGGTCCCAGATGGCCGGCTGCTCGGAGAAGGGCCCGCCGCGGTTTGCCGCCGCAGCGTGCTCCCTGAACGCACGCACGGGACTAACGGTGTGCTCGCTGGCAAAGACGGCGCTCATGGGCCTCCCACCGGCACGCGCTTGTTGCAGCTCGACGAGGGTGCGGCCGCGGATGTTGTTCTTTCCCGAGGCGGCGGCAAGTTTGTTGAGGACGGGGACCTGGGTGGTTCCGGAGGTTTGTTGTCCTTGTTCGCTCCCGTCCTTGCTGTTTAGGTTGCTTCCCCTGGAGGGCTTGCGGTTGAGAGGCGCCGAAGAGCCGCTGCCGTCGCTGTTGCTACTGCTTCCGCTGTTCGTTTTCAGGTTGGCGGCCGAAGGGATCTTGCTGAGGCGGCGACTGGGGCTGTTGCTGCGGTCGTGCAGCGCGCCGTTGCTTCCCGTGCTTCTAACGACGGTTTGCAAATCGGGCGTCGAGGCCGCGACGGGGATGGTCTTAGCCTGGAGCGCCGCCTGTGATTGCTTAGATTGCAGGCGGTGTGTGGGCATCGACTTCTGGGCGTGCAGTTGCGGGCGACCCTTGGAGGTGAAGGGGTTCTTGCTCGACTTGATCATGCGCGTCGGCGACGGAACTTGGATGTCGTCTTCAAACTCCGAGTCGGAGTCTTGGGAAGGTTCCCAATGTGGTTCACCTGCTATCTGGTTGGCGGTGAAGATGTTGTTTGGGTTGAGCATTGGCGGCTTGGTGCCGACGTTGCGACGAGGAGAGAGCGACAGAGACGCAATCGTGATAGGTGATGGCGAGTTCATCTCAATATCCATTGGCGTGCCGGCGGGTGCCATGGCAAACATCGTCTGAGCGCGGGCAAAGGGTGTGCGAGCGGCCTTCTTGAGCGGGTGCATCGACGTGTCGGGAGACTCGACGGAGATCTCCGACATATCCGTCGTCGAGGAAAGCTCGCCCTCGTTGCTCCCTATTGACGAATGCGGATAGTCGGACTTGGAGATGGAGGACCCCAGGTCGTGTCGGGCGTCCTCATCCTTCCTGTTCTGCAGCTCCATTTCTAGCCGAAGCTGAACCTCGTGGTCAAACTTCCTCTGTAGCTGCTCAATCTCTTGCCCAACCAACCTGTCGATCTCCAGCCGCGCCTTGACCTCCCATTCCCTGCGGAGAGACGAGTCGATCTCGTGACGCATTGAAGCCTTGTCTTGGTCCAGTGTCGTCATCTTGTGCTCGAGCTCCCGGATGCGCCTGCTGAGCGACTCCTCCTTGGCCTTCAGCGTCTTGCTGAACTCGTTCACCTCCTTCTCCCTGCGCATCAGCCGCACCAGGGGGATGTTGAGCAGCATCGCAGTGTCCGGCCTCCTGTCTGGGTTTACCCGCAAACAGTCCTTGATAATGCTGAAGAGCTCTGGCGAGTAGATTGCCGGCAAGGGCGCGATCTTGCCTTCTTTAATCTTTTGGACCAGTTGGAAATGGGTCTTGGCGTTGAATGGCGGCTCTCGTGTGCAGAGCTCGTACATGATGCAGCCCAATGACCAGATGTCGGATTTGAGCGTGTACTTTTCGGCGGCGCAGATCTCAGGTGACATGTAGAAAGGAGTGCCTACGTATGTCGACGCAAAATCGTGGGACTGCATCACCTTGGAGAGGCCGAAATCACCCAGCTTCACCGAGTTGTCCTCGCCGAGGAACACTATGATGGTCAGTTTCGACGTTCGTTCGCAAAGAGGACCCCACAGCAGACACATACCATTTTCGGGTTTGAGGTCGCGGTGCAGAATAGTCATCCCCCCCGATGGCGGCTTTGGCCTCGCGGTCGATCCCGGCCCGAGCACAGCCTTGCCTATGGCGGGCGGGTCGACGCCATAGTGGCAGCGGTACAGCGCCGTTACGAGCTGGGAGAAAATGCTCCAGACAAAGGCCTCCTCCGCATATTGGTTCTTGTCTGACAGACTCCGGATGACCCGCCCCAGGTCCCCGTTACCACAGTATTCCATGTAGAGGTGCAGGTCCTGGCTGGCTTTGAGGTGCTCGCGGTGGTAATAGCCGACGATGTTTGGATGGCGGAGGGTCGAGAGGATTTGGAACTCGGCGTGGAGCTGCTCGCGCTCCTTCTGGGACATCTTGAGGTAGCTGATCTCCTTCCGGCAGAGAACCATGCCGTCGACCCTGCGACGGACTTTTCGGATGACGCCAAACGAGCCATGGCCTAATGATGCCCTGTCAGCTTCTATGACACCCATGGCAATACATATCGGGAAGGGAGATGCATACCGATCTTTTCCAACACCTCGTACTTGTCGCTTTCCGACATGGCAGGCAACCTCGAAGTGTATAGTAGGGAATTGGAGTTGAAATTCAGGTGGCGAACTCCATAAGCAAACGCTGATAAATTGGGCAAACGGTGTTGCTGTTAGGTTAGTATCTCTCCCACGCGGCCGGTTGTTGAAAAAAAAAAAAAAGTGCAATTGGTGAAGGAGCAAGTCGTGGTTGAAGAATCGAAGTCTTCAAGTTGAAGTTGGTTGAACTGCTCCTGCCCTGTCAGAGAATCCTGGCATCCGCAGTCAACAAACCCCTCGCTGCCTAGGCAACCGTCCGCATTGGGCGAAAATCGAATCCGAAAAGGCAGGGGTATTTGCTCAATCGGGGAACGGCTCGGGTTGCGGCGGGGACATGAGTGTAACCCCAACCCTAATGCTCCTTTCATTCGCCAAACTTGGCAAACCCATGCTGCCGCGGTTGATTTTGACAACCGATTCGGCCACAACACCACCGGTTACCAACCCTCGAGACCTTCACATCCTGACAAAAATAAAAGTTTTAAATTATCACAGGCACCAAAGGTCAAAACAATCAATACCTAAAATTTCAATATTATTTGCATCATGTCAACTGGTATGTATCACCTCTTGGAGATCTGCCAAACCTCTTGCGCGCGAGGATACCGCCTGTGCCTCTTGCGGATGCTAACCACTCTCTTGACATGATTGCGCTTAACCCGGTCCAGTTGGTACGCCCGCTGTTTTTCGTCTGCGATGGCCTCTGCTTCCTTGGCCTGGAGCTTGTAGGTTTTCTTCTCTCGGTCCAGCTCCGCCAGCTCCGCCTGCTTTAGCTGTCGCGCTCTCTGGTCGAGGCAGCGATAGTCGAGTTCCAGCTGTTCCTCCAGAGAGGCCCTGAAACGCTCTACCAGTTTGCGCGGCGGCAGAACCGGCTGCGCTCGCCCCTCCTCATTTTGCCCTTCGCCGGCCTCTGGCCCCGCCAGGCGGTGTTGCCCAGGCCTCCCACTGCCAGAGTGCTAGAGGAAGAGTTAGCCATGTTGCTTACTTGTGTGAACACAATCACATACGGTCTCGGCATGCTGCTTATTTATGTTTAGAGCGTTTTGAGAAGGCCGACCCGGCTCGCTGGGCCAATCTCGAGGACGTGGCAGCGGTGCCGGTGTGGATACGGGCGGGTGCAGTAGAAGGTGGGGATGCAACGCCGCTTCGGGATACCTTGGTGGCGACACGCACGCGCCGGTTGCAATAGCCGGCTGTTGTAGGTAAGGATGATGCTGCTGGAACTGGATTGGCGCCCACGGGAAGAAAACCGAGTTTAATGGCGGTAACCGTGGGAGCCGGTTGCTCGGTGCCGGATACGACCGCGACTCGAGAGGAGGCAGGACAAGCGCTGGGGCGCTTATGGCGGTAACATGGCCGCCTTGGGATGTCAACGACGACAAATCTAGTGCCGCGGCTGCAATGGCCCGGACGTCAGTCGTCGGTGGGGACATGGAATTCAAGGTTTCGCTAAAAAGTAGGCGACAGTAGGCGAAAGTGGGCGAAAGAGAGGCACAGGGAAGCACAGCGAGTTGGGGACGGTAGCAGTGGGTTCACAAGGCGGGCAGATTCTTCGACAACTTGGACCTGGAAGCCTGATGTTTCACCTGACAAGATACACTTGCCCTACTCAGGAAACAGCACGATTTTGCGTTGTTGCTTTTTGGGGTAAAACCGATGAGCGGGTGTCATTGGCTTGGTCTCGGCCCGAGAGACGGGCTTGAGCCAAGAACTCGGGTCGGGTTGACTGCCGTTGGTCAGTGCACGCCAAGAGGGCCGGAGTGACATCCCTTGCGAAGTCGCTGAAGATTGTCCGCGCCACCCCGGCAGGCGGCCCCGGCTGGCAGGCGGCTGCTCAAGTGCGGCTTCCGAAACGGAGCACTGTGGGTGAACTCGGAACGCCACAGAGACCTTCGCCCCTTCTGATTCTGTAAGTGTAGATTGATTCCAATTTGACGAATCCTTAACTCAAAATTATTACTTTCCAAACATCTTTTCTTGGCTGTTTATATTTATTACATTATTTTCATTTTTCGTTCTTCTTTTTCTAGTTACTCTTTCCCTGCCTAGAAAAGGCTATAAACGATGGCAATCCGCAAGTTTGAGTTGGAGGCCAAACTCAAAGATGACAACAAGCTCATCCGCACGGGGGTCATCCGCAACGACCACCCCCTAGACTCGTCCCCGGAATTTCTGGATTTTTTGCAAGCCTGCCGGAGGGGTGATTTGAAGACTTGTCAGGAACTAATCTCAGCCGGCGTCAACATCAACGCCAAGGACAATTATGATTATACCCCGCTCGTTGTCGTGAGTAGCCGCCTGTTACCTGTTACCAGTCACTAGCCCTCAGTTCCTCACTGCCGCGTATGAAAGGAAATCAGTGTGTTAACTAGAATCAGGCCAGTTTGTGCGGTCACTATGAGTTGGTTCAGTTACTCCTAGAATCGGGTACGTTCCGTTGTATTCTGTCTTTGTCCGGGGTTCGGTACTGACGGGCTTCAGGGGCTTTGGCCGATCCCGACTCCTTCGAGCGGGAACGAGCCGTGTACAACGCGCTCAACAACAAGATCAGAAACCTACTCCTGTCTTACGACTACTCCAAGTCGGCAGATCCCTTGCAGCCATGGTCCTCCCACGTCACATCGCTGCTGGTCCGTGACAACCCCTCAACATCTGACATCACCCTCTCCGCCCCGACAGAGGACTTCCGCCTCCACAAATTCATCCTCTCCGCCAGGTCGCCCTATTTCATGCGTAAATTTGCCGATGCTCCAGAGACCGTCACTTGGAAGTTGCCTCACGCCATCCCTGTCGAGGCCTTTAGGGTCGTACTCCGGTATCTGTACCTCGGTGACCTACCCCGCGACTTTGTCGGCCCAGGGAGCGTTGTTAGCGAGGAGGAAGTCTTCAGGGGCGTTGATAAGCTGTGTAAGCAGCTCGAGGTCGAGAAGCTGTGGGAGGCCGTCTTGTCCATCAATGACCGCCGGTTGGCGAGGCAACGTCAACAGGATGAAGTTCAGCGCGCCCAGGACCAAGTGGATGGGTTCTTTCACGGTACAGTACTAAAGCACAAGGTCGAAGTCGACACCCGCCGAGCCGGCGACGTCAAGTGGCCCCGTCACAATGCCATATTTGCCGACTGCCTCCTGAGGGCGGACGATCAACCAGAGGGCGAAGACGAGAGAAACACCGAAACTCCCTCCGACGGAACCGCCATCCCGATCGGCCCGGCAGGGGAAACCACACCTAAAAATGGCACCTCCTCAAAACCATCCGGCCGTTCGGTGCTCTTCCCGGTGCACAAGCCTTTCCTGATACGCAGCCCCTACTTCGAAACCATGTTCTCCTCCGACTTCCTGGAAGCTCACGAGGCGGACCACCTCCACGTCATCAAAGTCGACTGCACCCCCGCGGTCCTCGAGATCATCCTCCGCTTTCTTTACACGGAGAAAACTGACTGCCCGCTTGAACACGCGCTCGATCTCCTCTACGCCGCCGATATGCTCTTGCTCGAAAAGCTCAAAACCAAAGCCGCCGTCACCATCTCCACCCTCGGCAGCGGCACCAGCAACGCCCTCGTCGACCGCACGCACAACAGCCACCCGGACATGCCCACACCCACACCCAACGAACAACTCCCTCCCCCCTCAACCGGCGAAGCCAGCCCCGCACCAGCACCCGCAACACCGGCCGTAGAAATAGAGCCGATCAACGTCTACGACGTGATCCGCGCCGCCTGGGACCTCAAGGTCCAGCGCCTCGAGGAGTTCGCCGCCCGCTACCTGGCCGGCCGCCTCGAGGACTACATCGACGAGGCCGAGTTCGCCGACCTGATCCGCGAGAGCGCCGACCGCATCCAGGCCCGCCAGGAGACCGACACCATCGAGCTGCTGGACGACATCCGCTACTACCTGTCCGAGCGTTTTCGGTTTCGGTTTGAGGGGGATGGGTTGGAGGAGATGTTGGATGATGGGTCTGATGGGTTTGATGGGGGGGATGATGGGGTTGGGGTTGGGGATGGAGAGGGTGATGGGGATGGAGAGGGTGATGGAGAGGGGGAGGGCGAAGGGAAAGGGGTGGCGGTGGATGCGGAAGGTGTGGAAGTGAGCGGTGGGCAGGCGGGCGGCGTGAAGACGTTGAATGGGAAGGTGGTTGAGGACGAGTTTGCCTCGGATGCGGTGAATTATCAGATCTTGCAGGAGAAGATTGATAGGATGTTGGAGGAGTTGAAGTTGGATGCGTGAGGGAGACTTTGGATATGAGCATGATGCGTAGGAGATTATGGATAGATTGATCGTTCTGCATCAGCATTAGTTAGAACTACAGCGATAAATACACGCATATTTCTTTTGTTTCGGTAGGGTCACTGTTCGTCGTAGGAACCGAGCAGTTCGATGAACTACCCAAAGGATACACTCGGCATCCATGCACCTAAATGGACCTCTATGGGACTACATGCATCATGCTTATGCTCTACGACACCAAAGAAAAGTCCACCAGACAGTCAGAACCAACACAACGGCCGCCCGGACGCCTCGTCTCCAAACTGCCACCAAATGCCCTCCTCCAGCAGGTTCCTCGCCGGCCCCAAAATCCTGCCCAGCTTCTACGCCGGCACGACCGGGTTCTGTTTCCCAAACACGCAAAACCCACCCCCCTTGGCCTTCTCGCGCGCGAACCCAACCTCCTCCAGCGCAAGCCTCTGCAACCCCTCCTCCCCCTGGGCATCCACAGACGAGCCCTCGCCGAGCAGGTAGCGGCGGTGCCAGGGCCCGACAAACATGCCCTCGGGGTCGGCGGCGGCGCGCACGCCGCAGAAGCGGCGCCAGTCGGCGCCGTACCAAGCGGCGAACTCGGCGGGCGAGACGGAGAACGCCTTGGCCCAGTGCGGGCGGCCGCCGAGGTCGCGCATCAGCCACTCGAAGGCGCGGTAGTAGCGCTCGGTGGCCTCGCGGGTCGGGTCGCGGTGGTAGGGGCGGTACATGGTCGCGTTGAGGTACAGGGCGGGACCGTCGTCCGGCGTGATGTCCAGGTAGGGGCGGTTCCCCTGCGCGGCGCTGGATTGTACCGTCGTGTCGCTCACGCGCACCTCGACGGGGCTGTGCACCCACAGGCCCTCGGCGCTGAAGGGGATGCCGTGGTCGACGTAGCCGGGGTCGCCGGGCTGCAGGCGGTTGAGCCACGCGCCGAGGCGCTGTAGGGCTTCGGGTCCCTTGTGGAGGGGGATGGCCCACTCGTTGACGAATTGGCTGTATAGGCAGTTGAGGAGGAAGGCCTTGTAGCTCTCCTGGCAGCCGCTCACGCGCGTGCTCTCGCCGTTGCGGAAGCCGTAGTTCAGCCCGAACACGAACCACTCGATCCACGGCGTCACCCGCGGGAACCAGCGCGCCAGCGCCAGCAGGTTCTGGTAGACGATATAACCCAGCCTGCTGTCCTGGAAGCTGGTGGGCGGCTGGCTGTGGCTGACCTTGCCCGAGTCGATGTCCTCCTTCTCCACCCGATCCCCCTTCCACACCACGGCGCGGCGCGTGTAGGGGAACCACCACACGCGCACAAACTCGGCCTGCTTCCACAGCACGTTGTCCCACCCCTCAAACAACCTCGCATCCGAGTCGATGGTCTGGCTCCACGCCAGCGAGAAGGCCGGCACGGCGCGCAGCGTCACCTCGGTGACGACACCCAGCGCACCCACCGACAGCAAGGCAGCGCGGAACAGTTCAGGGAGCTCGTCGGGCGAGCAGGCGCGGGTTATGCCGTCGGCCATGGTGAGCTTGAGGGCGACGATGCACTCGCTGATGAGGCCGTGGCGCAGGCTGCTGCCGTGGGTGCCGGTGGCGATGGCGCCGGCGACGCTCTGCTCGTCGATGCTGCCGAGGTTGGGCAGGGCGAGCCCGGCGGCGTCCAGCGCCGCGCCGAGGTCGCGCAGCCGGATCCCCGCCTCCACCGTGCACAGCCGCGCGTCCTGGTCGATGTCCAGCACCCGGTTGAAGTGGTCCAGGTTGAGCATCCAGGAGGAGGTGCAGGTCATGTCCGAGGGTGAGTGGCCCGAGCCCACCGTTGTTAGCCGGCGGCGGCATTGCCGTGCCAGTGTCACGGCGTGCTCAACCTCGGCGAGTGTGTGCGGTTGGATATAGAGCTCTGGGAGAGAGCTGAAGGTGCGGGCCCATGTGCGGTGGGTGTAGGCGGTGCGGGCGCGGAAGGGGGTGGCGTCCGGGGAGGTGTTGATGGCGAGGATGGTGTGGACCTCGACCGGGAGGCCCGAAAAATGGTCTGCTGAAGCCATTTCGAAGGCCGAATCGTGAGTTTGGTGCTCGATCCAAAAAGAAAACCACTCCTTGAGGCTGGTGAAGTTTACGTAAGGATGGCTCTTCTATTTGATCCTTGATGAAAAGAGGCCTAAAAATGAGACTGTCGATGAGTCTGTTGATGCTTAATTGTGACACATTGTTGCGTATTGACCCCAAAATTAGGTAACCTTGGAAACCTCCTCAAGAACGGTTAAGTGGAACAAAATGCCCGAGCTCGCCGAACACCTGATACAGAAGGCGCGATATGTTTATAAATCCTGTCATTTTGGTCTGGCCCACAGCGGAACTCTTCGGGTGTGGTGGGGTGGCAAGATGGCGGGGCAGCCCGACAGCGGCGATTGATAAGATCTCCGAGTCTGACCCGGGCGACATCGATCTACTTAGGGTTAGGGGTGCAGAGACAGTCTGGCGTGCCTGGCATGCCGGGGGAGGGACAACATCATGGTAGGGTTGAACAACCAAGCACCATCTGTTGGGATATGACCGTAAATTCATTACAAGAGCGCTTGAGCTCTTAACTGTTTGTGCGTCATAGGAATGGGTTCAACGGAGATGCGTCTCGCAGAGCACGCAGTCGCCGTTTTGTTCACATCATCACCTCAATACCATCCATCTGCTTTCCTGTGTAGGTACGGAGTTAACGACACTCGGCCGTGAAACATTTATGGCAATGAAGCCATCTTCTAGAACGTCTAGAGTAATGAAGTAAGTCACTAGTTGGTACCTATGTATGTCTGGCACGTTCCCCTGAGATTGCTTGGCGGTGCGTTAACCAGCCAACCCAAACCAGGGGTTAACAATGAGAGAAGGAAAGAAGGTTGACGGCGCCAAAGGACAGTCCAGGCAGTGACTAGGTGTTGAGAAATTAAGATACATAAGGGGCTAAGAACCTTGAGCGAGTCTCTTATTTATTTTGGTAACATAAAGACCATAGAAGGAATGACCTCTCACTTCGAGCTCAAGTGGATTGTATCATGGCCCAAGCGCGTAGAATGGCTCTTCAACACTGTAAGAAGACCTAATTTTGACCATTGGAAGGTCAATTTAGGTCTTGTCAAATTTTACCAACAATGGCTCAAATGTGTAGGTACCTAGGTATCCGTTTGGTCGTCTTCGGAGTTGAATGGCTCTGGTTTCTAAGGCGCACCTTCCTGTTGGGACGAAGAGATATTCGATGAGGCGCGTGGCTGCCTGAAAGTTAAGTTGAAATATACTTCTTCCAGCTCTTGTCAGTTAATTCTTTCCTTCATTTACCACGACCGTATCCTTCCCCAGCGCGGCACTTCCGTGATTCTCGACGCCATTCCCTGAACCACGCGACGCGTTTCGGCAAACCACGTCGCGGATCCGACAACTACATCATTTCTTCCTCCCATCCTCTACTTCGACCATCGGCGCCCTTCGTATTATTTGTTTCATGCCTCCTTTTTCTCTTTTATTCTGCACCGGACAACTATACTTACCCCTATTCGTTCATCCGGCTGATACTTACATTATCACGATCACGAGGAGGCTGGCAACGCGTTCTTCCAGGGCACAATGTTTTACAGTCACGAGAGTAAGAATACTGCGGTCGTGTAAACTCAACGGGTCGGCATGCTGACATGATCATGTAGTTCTCACCAGCCAGGCGTATGGTGTGGCGACCGTCTGGTACGAATAGTGGCGCTGGGTTTTCAATGCCAGAGTACTGACAAACTCCGTTTAGGCTGGTATCGACGATCGGGCTCAGGTCAACCACCCGCAAAATATCGCGGAAGGCAATCCAGGATGTAGATGTCCAGAAGGCATGCGAAACTATACTCCAGCCTAGCGCGCCCATCGCGTTGCGCCTCCAGGGGAGCCTGCTCTATGGACTCTCGAGGGTCTATTCGCAACAGTGTCACTATGTCCTCTCGGATGCGGAGAGAGTACAAGCCCACATGAGGGCCTTCTACAGCGCCCTGACTGGGAGCGACAACGCCCTCGACCCTCGCGCGGGGAAATCAAAGTATGTTTTGCTAAGGCATGATGAACTTGGGCGGCCAAAACTAACAGATGAAGGCGGAGGGAGCTGATGCTAGAGGACGATCCGGAGTTTGATCTAAATCCTGACCTTCCTGCCTTCCATTTCGACGACGACGGCAATTTAGTCGTGCCGCAGGGTAGTCAAGCTTCTCGCAAAACCTCATCTCAACTCTCGCCTCTGCAGCCAGACGGCTCTTTTTCCAGTTCTAACCGCTCAATCCTCGGCGGTTTCGACCTCTCTCAGTCACCATTCGGCGCTGGTATTATCCCAGAACCGTTCGGGGCAGGAACAATGACCCCGATCAAGGAAGACGGCGGTTTGATGCCATTTGGTGAAGAGGAGCGGGAACTGCAAGCACTCGACGACTGGGGATTCGAGATCGACGCTGACGGAAACATCATACCGGCCTTGGACGAACCGCAATTGCCGCCGCTTCCACAACCAGAGGAGCAGGAAGGTGCTGATCCTATTCAACAAGCCGGGATTATTCAGTTTGACGATCAAGGCGACATGATCATGAGCGGCGGCGACAATGTTTTCCCTTCAGACCCACCTCTTCCAGTGCAGCAGGAGTTGGAGGATAACCAAGCGCAAAACCAAGAACAGTCGGGCGGACCAGGAGAGCAGGAAGTTGCGGTTGAAGAGGAAGCCAGCGTCGGACAGGCTCCGGTGCGAATCCAGCGTAAACGGCGCCGTCCGATTCTGGCTCCCGATGACCAAACCAAAATCACACGGCAGGAACTTAAGGCATGGTCTACTAATTACCTCGCCAACGCCGAGCAGACAAGCCAGCCGCGCCATGGCGTCACAGCCGCCGAAGCCCGCAAAAACGCGTTCAACCTGGTCTTCGGCCGCGGCATCGCAGGCATCGGTTTCCCGACTGGCATCCCGGGCCTCCCACACCCCCTGGCACCACACTTTTCCGGCGAGGGCCTGCAAGCTCGCCTTCTCGGAATTATCATCCCAAACTCCAACGACGATGATATTGAAGCCCCCCGCGGCCGTCGTCGTTCAGCCCTCGAAGCCCTCGGCCTCGACCAAGACGACGCCGAGCGCCGCGTCCGCCGCCGGCTTAGCGAGGATGAAGACTCGCAACACGCTCAGCCCCAGCCCGAAGACGACACCTTCCTCCCCCCGCAAGGCGAGGAAGAATTTCCGCCTGTGGAAATAGGCAGACGCGCGGGGTCTGTTCTGCCCGATATGCCCTCCGACGTGCCCTGGAACCGCCCCTCCTCCCAGCTTCCGAGCTCCTCCATCAAGGGAGCAGGAAGCAGACCACCCAGCCGCCAGGTTAGCGCCAGCCCACTCCACGGGCGCGGTAGCCACCTCATCCCCGGCCCAGAAATCGAGCGTTTCAGCGACGGGCCCCAACCCTTCATGGGCTCCGATGGTTTCGAGCCTGGCTTTGCCGCGTTACATTCCGGCCCGGCCGACAGCATCGGCAGCGGCCCCGACCCCTTCATCCATGGCAGCGGCGGCAATACCCAGGACACTTCCCAGATGATACGCACCGCGCTGGACCGCGAGGGGCGCAATTTCCTCGACTATGTCGAATCCGTCGCCCGCGACAAGGGCGTGCCTGATGAGGAGGCAGGGGGCAGCAGCGGCGGCCATGCCGGCAACAATCGGAGGCAGTGGGTGAAATTCGGAAGCCTCTTCGAGGCGGAGGACCAGAAGCGCGCCGTCGTGGTCCAGGCGTTCTATCACGTCCTGTCGCTAGCCACCAGGAATGTCATCAAGGTTAAGCAGGACGGGCAGGGCGGTACACAGCCGTTTGGCACAATCCGGCTGGGAGTGGAAGTGTCGGTTGTGGACGATGATGGCCTGGGGATGATTGGTGGCGTCTCCGACTCCGACGATGATATGGTTTGAGACACGAGGCGAGTGAGCGCTTGCTGACTTGGCTGGCAACCGGCCGGCCCCGTTACGGTATTGCGTTGCAGAGCGGAGGGATGGGGTATGATGGAGGGTACATTCGGCCCTGGTTTCGGCAACGCGTTGAATGGGGTTTATCACAACCTCAGAAGACATGCTTCTATTTTTTTGAGATGGGTTTGCTGCGGGAGGCGGCATAATTTTGGGGATCTTAGCACGGCAGATACCACGGGTTTCATTTGCGCGGAATGGGGAGATATCATTGCTGAAGATAGACACAGCACATCATTAGCTCAAGGGAATCGAGATCATTCTTCATCATTGCATTACATTCGTTGTTTCTGATGGACATGCTATCACTCAAGATCAGAAAACGGCTCTTACCATCATGCCCATTACTCGTAAACATCATCATCGTCCATGGCACCCTCCCGGTCTTCAAACACCATGTACTCGGCCTCGACAGCAGCCTCGCCCATAACCTTTTCCCATCCCTCACGTACTGGCTCCAATACTGAGTCGTCGAACGAGAGAGAGGGAGAGGGCGCGGGGAGCGTAAAGACCGAGCCTTCCGCTTTGAAGGTGTCCGCGCCGGCCAGCTGTTCATATTGGAGTTGGTACAAGGCCTGAGAAGGCTGGTCGCCGTTCGTGACACCAAGAAAAGCATCCAGTGCCCGCTGCAAAACTTCCTTTGCATCTGGCGTGGTGAGGGTCGTAAAGTAGAGTGCGCCTATTGTCTTCAGTTAGCCTGGATCCTGCCACGTAAGAGGCTGAAAAAGTGCATTGAAGAGGAGTACATCAGAATGTCAGAAGTGTTTAGCGTCAGCGCCGAAGCTCAGACAATGTAGATAAGTATTCAAAATGGAGATCATCATGTACTCGGAGGGGTTGATGTTGTTTGGGGTAAACTTACTCTGACCAACAGGGCATTCCCCGGTCTCGCTGGAGTGAGCAGACAGATAGACCGGGTATTCGGATGCCTTCCCAGCCGCGGTTGACAAAGAACCCGCTGGGAAAGCGACGACTGCGACGGCAGGCCGTGGTGCCCCTTCCAAAGTGGCTTCGAATAACGAATTCAGCCGCGAGCCTACCACGGCTACCAACCTGCTGATACTCGTTTGATCGCTCGGGTTTTCGTCAGCGCGCACCAGACTCCGAGTCTTCACCGTGTCGCCGCTCGTGAGCTGAAGCTTGACTTGGTCCTCAACGGATTCCATCTTCTCAATGCCGGTTCCGAGCATGTACACGGCGCCACCGACGGCGCCGGCACGACATGCAACCTGCGCAACCTCCGAGAGACCACCCCACTTGGGGTAGATGGCGGCGAAGCCGGGACCATAGACGCCCATCGACGAGAGATGGCGACGGATGACAGCCAACCCGTCTTTGGTACTAATTCCCCCATCCAGCGACAGGGTGAGGGTGACGATGTACGTCTGCAAATCTGCATCCATCTTGAACCCTTTTTGCAAGAGATCAACCAGTGGCGCGTCGGCATACGGCTGCCATGTTTCTAGCTGCGGCGGGCTTTCGTAGTCAAGGACGAACTTGAGGAACTTCATCAAAAGACGCTTTCCCTTCGCCGAGACTGCGGTGGTCGAGAAGACTTCCTCGCGGGTAGATGGGATGCGTGTTAAACTCGGTTGCTGGGACGCATCCTGGGTAGGTTTGAAGATGTAGAAGGACCCCACGGCAAGGAACTCGACCTGGCGGTAAGCACGGGAGGAGACTAGCTGCGAAAGCAGTTCCGAGCGTGCGTGGATAAGTTGTGGTGCAAGGGCTAGCGAGTATGCTCGAGACGAGGACAAGCCAGTGGCATTCTCAGGTTGCGTGACGGACGCAGACTTGAAGAGGCCAGCGGTGCCTGCGGAAACTCGGCCTATCCACGACTCGACATCCTGAAGACTGAATGCTGCCTCGGGGCCGCCATAGAACTCGTTGGGATCTATGTGCAGGATTTTCTTCCCGGACCGCGAAAGAGCTCTTCAAGGAGAGGAGAGGCTAAGTCAGTCAGAAGGGCAAACTGAGGACTCCGCAGGTCGCTGAAAACTCACAGCGCAAGCAATGACTGCTGCAGCCCGGTGCCGCTGATAACGACATCCCAAAGGGTGTCGCTCAGTGATTCCATTTTTACATGGAGAAAACAAACTCCTAACGGGCAGGGCCGTCTGGAGCAGCCGGGTTTTGTGGGTTTGCGGGAAATGATGAAATGAAAAATGGAAAGAGGATTCGCAGGCAGCGAAAATTTGAATGAAGTCGAAGTCAAGAAGGTGCCTGGGCCCACATCTCAAGAGCAGCGGCCGGTAGATATTCGGCCCGCTTGTGTGCACGGACCACCCATACTCCGCCAGCAAAAACCCTGGAATCTGCAGGACTGGAAATTTCTCTTTTCGAAATCAGCGCTCGACACACCACGCAACTGCTGCTTCACACAAAGGCGTTGCGGATGGCGGAGGACCTTTCATTAGGACCTTTCAGTTGGGCGACAGATTAAATCTGTCTTCCTGTATCTCCTGCTCTGGAATTCACCTGTAAGAGCGGGTCGAAAGGTCTAGACACATTCCAATTCGCAAACTTGTGTTCTCTTTGTCCTTGAGGCTTTGAGAATACCTACATTGTCATGACAAAATATTGCGAAGCAATCGTAGATACTAGTGATCTACTACTCTTGGGGTTCGACTAGAAACCCGGGCTGCGATAGCGGGCGCGTTATTGCTGGTGTGTTGAAGTGGCCAGGAATCGCTTGCTACTGCTGGGCAAGGTCGTGCTGCCATGAGATGCTTCATGAAACCCTTGTCTGAATAAAGACCTGGAACTCCCTTGGGTCTATGCCCCAGGAAATATTTGATGAATATGTTGTGGCATGGCTAAGGTACCTAAGCTCTATGTTGCCGAGTGTGCGCCAACACCTCCCTACCTCTTTGCCCAGTTGATTCTACCGATTACCAAGAGAGGCAAGACGCGGGCTCTACTACAATAAATATCACACTAGGGAGGGATAAAGTAGCATATTTTAGGACACTTGATTCAAAGCCGGGCATTAGCTCTCTTTCTCTGACTACCGCCCAAACACTAGCCGAGGGGGCACGTCGGCGTTGCCCTCCCTCATACATCCCATATGGGTGGTGTGGAGAGGATTTCCCAACCCCCCGAAACAAAGTGAGGCAGATAGATACCCAAGTGATTGTTGGCATATGTAGTTCCATTTATTCTGATAGCCACTTGTTGAATCCACCCACAGATAGAACTTAACCGGTAACAAGTTTCCTAGGCGTTTTAGGGAGCTTTCCAGGGTCCTTCAGGGACACAGCTGGCTAGGTATCCTCCTCGGTCTCCAAGGGGTCTCTAGCCGGCTTCTTCCCCTGCGCTGCCCAACTGCATCACGGCCCCATTATTGTGGTGCTCAACTTTGACAGTCGGCTGTTTAGCGCGGCTGGCTAGGTCTCTATGAGCTGTAAGCCACGAAACTACGCGCCAAATCAATAACCTCCACCGGGTATCAGCTGTATGTACTTGGTCCATTTTCTTAATCAAACCCACAATCCTCACTTCATGGCTCCCTGAACCTCCTTCCACCTCTTCTCCGCAATCACCGCAAACCCGCGGATTAGCTCCCTCCCAATCGTCGTGCCGCCCTGCTTCTCGATGCTCTTGATCCTCGTCTCCCCGTCGCTGCAATCCACCACCATGGTAATCGCCTCTCGGCAGAGAGTCTCCTCCAGCCTATCCGGATCGAGGAGCAGCCAATGCCTGCCCTCAACAACGCCCGTCCCCACCTCGCCCAGCTCCTTCTCCTCAAAAACGGCAGCAGTACACGCCACCGGCAGCCCCCTGACGTTCAACTGCCTCTTTTCCGTCCTTGAGCACACCACCATCTCCCGCTCGGGGTCCCACCTCGCGACAGGCAGCGACGTGTTCCTCAGCGCCGCCACGACCGCCGCCCAGGCCGCGTCAAACGGGTTCCCGTCGAACGACACGAACAGCAGGTCAATGTACAGCACCCAGTACGCGACCACCCTGTCCTCTTCCTCCACACCCTCTTGCACCTCCTGCGCTTCCCCCGCCCCCTCCATCTCGGTATCCCCCCCCTCCCCACTCCCAGGCTTGCTCCAAACCCTCAAATCCTCCACCCCAACCAGCCCCGTAGAATGCAGCAGCGAATACACCCTCGTCGACAGCGTCTGCGCGAGCGCGGTAGGCGGCACACCGGGGAGGAACTGCGGCGCCGAGCCCGTGGCAAGCTCAATATTCGGCACGAGCAGATCATAATCCCTCAACTCGCCCCTCCCCAACAGCGCCCTCCCCCCTTCCCCAGCACCATCACCACCATCACCCCCATCACCACCACCCCTCTCCCCATCCCCCACCCTATCCACCGGCCGAAACAGCGGAATCCTCTCCACCGGCAACAACTCCGCACGAACACCACAGAGGACGGTGGTGTCGCCGAGGCGGACGAGGGAGCTGCCGTGGGCGTGGGAGAGCGACGAGGCCTTGGCGTGCAGCGGGCGCGTCTCGTTGGTGCCGCGGCCGTTGGTGCGGGCGGCGGGCGGGCGGGCAGGGTCGGCCGCGGCCGCGGTCGCGGTCAGGTTGCGCAGCAGGAAGGGGTGCGGCGAGAGGCGCGCGAAGAGCGGGGCGGGGAGTTTTATTGTTGGGGCCGTCATTTTTCCTTTGTTTTTTTTACTTTTCTTTCGGGGTGTTGGTCTGGTTGGCAGGGGTTTGGTGTGTGGGTGTGTATCTCGCTCGTGTGGCGGTGATGTTGGTCTTGGGCTCCCGGGCCCTGTTGTAGGTTATGCCGGTCAATCGGTCGATCGTTCGGTCGGGTGTGGTTTGTTTGATGTTGGTGATGGTGGAGGGGCGGTTGGGAATTTTCTGGGTTTCTTTCAGCCTTGCAGATGGTGGTGGGTTGCAACGGCTTGGGGCGGCCAATGGAATGATTTAGTGGATGGCCCGGGATTTTCAGTGCATCTCCGGGGTTGCAGGGCGGGAACAGCTGGGAATTCGGTGGGTCGAGCTGGTTGGACAGAGGTTCCGGGTTCCTCCTTTCAACGTGGAACGTACCTAGGTACCGTATGTAGAATGAATGAATTCCCGTGTAATCATGTAATTGCTTTTTGTCTTATCCTAGGAGGTGGTATCTTTGCGTCCCTGTCACATCTAATCTCTACCCGCCCATTCCTCATCATCTTGCAACCGACTCCAAAAGTTGGCCAGCACAGCTGCCACCTCGTCGGTTTTGGTCATGACAAGCTCGTGGCCAGCATCCAACACCACCGCCTCAAACCCGTCCTCACCCAGGACAGCCGTGGCGTCATGTATCAGCTCCTCCTTCACAATCACCGGATCCGACGCGCCCAGCACGAGCAGGATCTTCCCCCCTCTAAGCCCGGGTAACTCGTCCGCCGTGTCTTCCCATCCCGACCGCTCTCTCCTCGCCGCCAGCAGCTGCCCCAACGCATGCCAATCCTCCTTCTGTTCGTATATAGGCGCGTGCCGTATGCTGCTCACAAACGCCGGAATAAACCCCTTATGGTGCCTCAACTGCCATTCCATGACCGTAGAAACGGTATGCTCCGGCCTCCGCGCCAACAAGACCGCATTATCAAACGACTCGCCCCCGCTCGCATCACTATTCTTATGATGCTCCCCCCCTTCCCCATCCTTAACCCCCACCACCTCCGCAGCCATCCTCGTCTCCGTCACCTTCCCCCCATCCCTCCTTGGCATCAACCGCCTCCTAACAAACCACTGCAACACCCCCTCGGGAAACACCCCCGTCGAATACAACAAACGACTCCTCCAGCCCACATGCCCCTCCCTGACCAACCCACACCCAGCCACCAGCACAAGCGACCTCACGATCCCCGCAAAAAACCGCGCAAACGCCACCGCCAACCCACCCCCCATCGAATAGCCCACCAGATGAAACCCCCCACCCTCCCCGGTCCACGCCAACCGCGACGACGCCAGCACCAGCAGCACCTGCGTGACATACAGCCGCGCGTCATACCGCACCCCCTGCGGCGCGTCGGAATACCCGCGCCCAAACAGGTCGAACAGCATGACGCGGCAGCCGCGGCGGCGCACGAGGGCCTCGGCCAGCGCCGCCAGCGCCACGCAGGGCGTGCTGATGCCCGGGAGCAGGAGGACCTTGGCGCCGTGCTCGGGGCCCCATTCGAAGACTTTGATCGTGCCGTAGGGGGTGGCGACGTCGCGCCCGCCTGGGAGGATGTCGGGCGGGTAGGGGAGAGCGGCGATTTCGGCGGGGGAGAGGTCGGGGAGGTGGGTCTTGAGGGGGGAGGGGATGGTGGGTTGTTGTTGGTGTTGTTTTGAGGGGTTGGGGCCGAGGAGGGAAGTGGTTAGGAGGCAGGCCGAGATGCCGAGGGCTGCGCCCAGCGTGAGGTAGAGGGTGGCCGTCGCCCCGGCCGGCGGTTGGGGCCGGGAGGCGAGGGCCCAGGTTGACATCGGAAGTGTTGGGTTGTGTTGGTTGAAATGTGCATGAAATGTGGAGAGTTTGTTGCTGGGCCAGTGAAAGGGGGATCCCGGCTGGTTATTTCCGGGGTCCTCGGCCTAGTAGTGAGTGAGTTTTGGAGAGGTGGGAGACTCGAGAGGTAACCAGAGTTTCCGGAGGAGCGGCCGGTTGCCGAAAATAAATGCTGTGCGGGCGGACACCCTCGGCTCGGCAGTCAGTCTGCGGGGCCGCCTTGGCAGGTCTTGGCCGTCGGCGTCGGCTCCGATACCGAAATGCCACGTTGGTGTTGAGGATGGAGTCGTCGGCGAATCGGGTATTTCCGGTAGTGCGTGACGTTGCAGGTTCCTTTGTTCTTTGAAGACTCGAATCGTCGTACCGGGCCAGCCCGGTATTTCCGTACCAAGTAAGTTCTTGCATACGATGGAGAGGTCTTGATCGCCAGGGTTTGGCGGGGTAACATGGCCATTGTTACCCCCACCTCACAAGGCGCGTCGTCGGAGGCTAACACGAGTAGACTCCATCACTTTTCTCTTCGATACAGCTCTTTCAACCTCGAAAGCTGCCGACGGACGACGCCCTTTTCCTTCTCGACATCGCTATCCGAGAGCTCTAGAGAAGAGGAGGGCCGACCGGACCCGTTCATGTCCTTAACTAGCTTTCGCGTCGGCGGCCGGTCTCCGGTCCAAGATGGTCGGCTTTCCACAACGGCCAGCCATGACCTTGGATGGTATTCGGCAGGAGAGGCCTTCCCTTTGGATTGCTCTCCGGTCTGCTCGATTACCGAGACAGTTGGCCCCAAGAGCGATAGGTATGCCGACCGGTCTAGGTGAGGGTTGGAGGCCGAGTTTCGGCTTCGAAAGAGCTTCGGCATCGTGGGTCGATGAAATAAAGTCAGACGGGGTGATTTTCAGTTGATGAGATGTTGTCGGAACTCTGACAGCTCGATTTCGAGTTGGGGCGGGGATGTTGACCGTTCACGAGACCTTTAGTGCCCACATCAAAGGCAAACCGCTTTGGGGGGGAACCGGTTATGCAGGGTTAGGGTTTAACATGGGCATGTGGCCATGAATAGGGGAACTGGGGGGGCGTGGGGGGCTGCTTCGGGGGCGGATTGGTTGACCCCCGGGAAGGCAACAACGGCGCCCGGCGAATGAACGACTATAAGCTGCACAATCCGCGTTCTCTTACCCGAAAACATCAACATTCGTGAGGTAAGAGGCGCTTTGTGTTTTGAGCCCATTCGGCCCGATCGGGCTGCCTCGTTTCATCTTTCATGTTTTCCAGCTCACACCGCTGTCTGTCTTCCCAATAGCAGCTTGTTTCGTGGCGAAGGGGGCATTCAGCGGTGTCAGCCTCCGCTTGCAAAGACGGCAGCCAGCCGATTCTCTCTCAACACATGGAGAACGCCCCGTTAAAGACCACAAAGCTGCTAACTGCAACATCGACAATCTTCCCTTTTTTGTTGAGTCCGCGCTGAAGACATTATCGAACAGCGCGCGGTCGAAAAGCACTCAAAAGTCGGACAATGTGGGCGCAAGGATTTCGTGCGTAGGTGGGAGGTATATGTACCGCGGTTCGGTGCTATAAACATGCCGCTCTGTCCGCAAGAACGCCCATGCTCTTTGTTCCCATTTGATATCCCGGGCTTTTGCCTCATTCCTTGACGAGCTTCGTAACAGCGTCCTCGATCTGCTTGTCCGAAAGACCTGTGAACGGCAATTAGCCCATCTCCTTGCGGATCGGGTTTGTCGGCGTTTACCTTCTAATGACTCGCTCGTCTCCTTTCCGAACTCTATCGAAATCGTCAGCAAGTAGCTCCGTAGCCACACTGGCGATCGGACTCGACGGACCGTATCTCGCGTAGATCTTGGGGAGTGTGCCCTGGGCTTCACGCAGCATGATGGGGATCGAGGGGTTGTTCTTCTTCATGATGGGATATGCTCGCGAGAGGAACGACCTGCAAAGAGACAGGCAACATTGGTTAGCGGGGCTGTGGAAGGTTGTGCTTGAGCTTGAATGACATGACGCACCTCGTCGCAGTGCTGTGCTCGCCAGTTTGGCAGAAGAGGAAGCGAACCTCCTTCAGGCCCTTGGCGAAAGCATATCTGCCCGACATCTTGGCTGGTGTGTCAACGGACTTGCCGGCGAGGAATCGGGGCTCAATTGGGCGTCGTCGTTCTGAACCCGAAGCAAGCGGGAAGCGGGCTTTCCTGGTTGCGCAGCAATGAGGCTGATGGAAATGGGGCTTGACAGTACTGTGTAACTACGAGGCTGCAATCTGCATTGGTAATTGACCATAGTTGTTGCATAATTACGGCTATCTGCATGATTTACACGACACACATCGAGCACGGACCTCAAAAGTTTTATCCCGGATTCCCGTCCAGGCGGTGTCATTGAGTTTGCTGCCCACCTGCCATCATCGGACCCGAAGCGGCACATCCTTGTCGGAGTAATTGAAGAATTTCCCCTTCGGCATCTTTGACAATCGGGGCCAGAGCTTCCAATATCTCCACTCATTGTAGGTTTCGCATTCCCTCGAGGACTCTGCCGGCTGCCACTAACAAGAAACTCCCTTTCCAGCCTTTTTTTGTCCGACAAACCGCCAGCGCCCTTGTTCCGCGTCCGACGACCGGAGTCCGCCTCGCCCAAACCTCGAGAACAAGACTGCCACATTCGCAATCCCCACCACCGGCAACACCGACGGCGCGCAATCGCACCGCACGACTTCCCCGCCGCGGAACACCTAGTTCTCCCCCGAAAACACCACACCACACAAAACCATGTCTCCGTCGAGCAATTTCTTCCGGGCGGCCCGACCGGCCTTCCGCGCCCGCCAGTTCTTCTTCCGCCCCAAGCAGGGCGCCCGCTTCCAGAGCACCACGGCCGACGCCGCCGCCGACTCGTGGGCCAAGCGCATGTGGAACAGCCCCGTCGGGTTGAAGACGGTGCATTTCTGGTAAACCAACCCCTCCCCTCCTCTCCCCTCCACGGACCGAACCCCCGACAACCGCATGCGACAACGCCCCGCCGGGCAGTACGGATGGCATGGGATGACATCGCATGGGGCATGGGGCATGGGACATATGGACATGGAATGGACTCGGAAAAAGAGAAAAAGTGTGCTGACACGCAGCTCTGACAGGGCCCCCGTGATGAAGTGGGCGCTGGTGCTGGCGGGGGTGTCGGACTTTGCGCGCCCCGCCGAGAAGCTGTCGCTCACGCAGAACGCGGCGCTGACGTCGACCGGCCTGATCTGGACGCGCTGGTGCCTGATCATCAAGCCCAAGAACTACCTGTACGTTTTTTTTTTCGTTCTCCCTTTTTTGTTGGTGGGTGGTGATCGGCGATAGAGACTGACCTCGTGTGTGTTTTTAGCCTCGCCGCGGTCAACTTCTTCCTTGGTGTTGTCGGTGTCGTGCAGTGCTCCCGTATTATCATGTGGCAGCAGTCGCAAAAGGGCCTTCCCGAGAAGGTCGAGGAGGTCAAGGAGGCGGTTGTCAAGTCATAGATGGGACCCAGAGTGGGGAAAGAGAGTGTGTTGTTGGCAGGAGATGGAACCGATGCGGGAGCGTTACGCATCGGGTTAACTACTAGCAATAAAGGCTCGGCAAGGGGCGCGAAAATGGTCGAGTTCCTGAGACGGGGGACGGGAACGGAGATGTCAGGACCCGGACCGGGACAGGGCTGTAGATGGCGCGCGCCGGTCTCGGGTGTGTACAACAACATAAGCCGGCTTCGGCGTAATCGTGGGTTCAGCCAGCGCAGCGTGCTCTCTTTGTTTTGCATTGCACTACAGGGCGGAGATGGACAGGGCAAAAGGAGTCGGCGGTTGAGAGAAGCGGCAGCGATACAGTCGCGGCTAGGTTTCCAGAGTCATGATTCCAGAGAGATGGTGGCAACAACAAACTTCTCTACAAGACTAGATGTGTGTTGAACGCTTGCTAGGTGGTCCTGCCAATTGCTAGGACCACTGCTGTTGAGTCTATCCCGGGCTCTATACCGCTCGATCATGTCCGTCGCTCGCAAGTAAAATCGCCAACCGCCCAAACAGTCCGCTACAAAGGGATATCAGCTTACACGCCATGCTCGCTACATCTGTTGCCAGACCCATCCAAAAAGAAGAAAAAGAAAGAAAAAGAAAAAAAACGGCCGCCGGAAATCAACGATAAGAAACCATTCGAAGCCAACCAGCTCAAACAACCGCCTCGGACCCATTCAAGCCTCCCTGCACAGCAAACCCCTCTCCCCGCCCCCTCTCCGCTTTCTGCCTCAACTCCAACGGCGCCACCATCTCATCAAAGCTACCGCGCCGCCCCCAATTCATAGGCTGCCTCTTGAGGAACGCGCCGACGGCGCCCAGGTACCCCTCGTGGCGCAGGAAATAGGCCTGCTTGGCGCCCTTGGACCAGAACTTGATGGCGTAGCTGAGGGTGTTCATGGTCTGCGGGTGGCCGCGGATGAAGGAGCCGCCAAAGTAGATGTGGGAGAGGCCATGGATTTGCGATTGCAAAAAGGCGATCTGGCCAATGTTGTTGGAGATGGCGTAGAGGAGGGAGACGGAGATGTCGGCGGCGGTGAAGGGGCTGGACTCGTCGTGGGAGAGTTCTGGGTGTGATGGCTCCGACTGCTCCGAGGGTGACGACGGGGGGTTGTCTGAGTGTTGATGTTGTTGATGGTGTTGCTGGTCCTTGTGCCGCTGGCCGCCGCTGTCCTCGGCTTCTTGCTCCGCTTGCCGCTTCTTCCGGAAGACCTTGCCGAAGGAGCTGGCGATGGTGGTGCTCTTGAGCCCGATCTTGCCGTAGTCGGTACCATAGATGTCGCCGACGAGCATGTCTACCTTGGCGTTGTCGCCTTGCGAGGCGAGGTCCAGCATCTCGTCGAAAGTGCGCGCCCCCGTGAGCAGGCTAAGTAGGCCCCACAGGGTGCCGCCGCCTAGAGATGTGCCACCGACACGCTCGTATCTGCGCGGGCCGTGGACTTTGAGAAAGGAGACGCCCGAGCCGATGTTGACGAGTAGATACGGGTAGACGTTCTCCGAGGGCTCGACGAAGTGCATGGGGTCCGTCTCGGAGTAGGTGAAGACCTCGCGGGGAATCTCGGTGATGAAGAAGTCGAGACCGATAATCAAGCACTCCATCTCATCCTCCCGCAACACATCCACCCCAAGCACATCGCGGATGTTGTCATAGAACTTGTAGGCCCCTCCCCCGGTCGCCATCACACACAGGTCGCCAGGGCGGCGCCCGGATGCGCCGCGGCCATTGCTGGCAGCACCATTGAGTTCCAGGTGCTTGTCCTTGAGGCCACGCACAAACTCGAGGCAGTCATCGATGCGGTCCGTCTCAAAACTAGCAAAGTTGAGCCGTCCTCCCGGCTCGGTCGAGTGCGCTTCGCGGGAGAAGTAGACAAGCTTGGCAAGAGAACCACCAATCTGCGACGAGACCGAGGGTCAGCCTTGTTCGGCACCACCAAAAATGAAAAAGCACAATGACATCATCGGATGGAAAGGGTAAAAATGGGAGAAGCTTCGTACATCAATTGCGATATGGCTCACCACGGCTGTGTGGTTTGGCAGCCGGATGTCCTTTGTCTCGTGACGGCCGGGGGATCCACTGCGGCCATCCGGAGTAGTGGGGGTTGCCGTGTCTTGGTCGACGATAAAGGCGCCCTTGACATTGATGCGGACCGAACCCGGGTGACTGAGTGTCTCATCAATTTCAAGCGTGTCGGCGGTCGCAGTCCGCGGCCGACCGGTGGGCAGGAGCGGCCCGGCGCTGTTGTCAAGGGGCTGTCCGTTCTGGTCCCGGGCCTCTTCCGGATGCGGCCGGTGTGGCGGATCGGCCTGGTAGATGTCGCTCGGCATGATTCAATCGCTGTAGCCCGTCGGGATAAAGGCGGTCACAAACAGGAAAATCAGGGAGGTCTCATATGGATATCCATCGGGGTGGGTTTTTTCGGCACGGGCAGGCCGAGTGCAGTGAAGGTTTATAAAACTGGGAATGCTCAGAATTACATTGTAGAACTCATCCCGGTGTTTTCAGACTCGGTCACTGCGACGAAACCGGGCGGAAGTGCAAGGGCACGGCTGGAGCAAGCCGGTTATCGATAAGAAGGGGGGGTCCCTTTGCCCGAGGCAGTGTACAAAAGGGGAAGGGGCTTGCCCCGCCCATTGGCTGGAGTTCTCTCTCACACCTTCGGACTCCGGTCAACGTCAGCCGGCAGCCGCTGACAAAGACCAAGCCCGCTGGGATTCAATGCATCAATTAGAGGAGGGAGGGTATCAGCCTCGGGCAGCGAGAAACAAAGACCAATCAAGCCGGGTTTGACTCGAGATTGACGGTGCAAGCCACTCCTTGGGTGAGACTCGAAGGAATCGAAGAACAATCGAATAACAAGGCTCAGCTAGGGAAAGGAATGGGAAAAGGGAGGATGTGACCAGAAATGGCTCGTAAACTCTTCACGAGCCACGCTACCGAAGGTACTGAGGTATTTACCTAACTTGGCCAAGCACACTCTCTGCACCGCCTGTGAACAGCCGGGCTTGATATTGACAGGCCGAGGCAATTAATTGGGTGCATACCAAATGTAGGTATCTCACGCAAGATATGTATGTACTAATTACAGATTACTACTACTTGGTAACAAACCTAAACCGACATTCCTTCCCGTACCTATATGGCAAACCGACATCAAAACCACCAATCCTTAAAAAAACCCACCCCCCGGCACCGCCACAAACACGACCGTCAGCACGGCAGCACAAACAAACCCAAACACGATGCTCTGCACAAAGATGACATCCTGAATCTGCCGCAGCGCGGGCTCTTCCACCCACACCTCGCGGTCAAAGATCTTGCGGGCGATGTTGCGCCTCCGGTAGCGCACCACCCACGGCTCGTCCTCGTAGCTGTTGGCCGAGCCGAAGCTGTCGAAGGAGCGCTTGGCCGCGCTGATGGCGTCCTCGTCGTCGTCCAGGTCCGAGACGAAGAGCTCCCAGGGCCGGATGTGCCGGTGGTGAAACCCGTGGAGCACGATGCACTGGTGTTGGGTTAGCCTCCAAAGGACTTGAAAAAGGAGAAGGGAGGCATCTCTAAATGGGATGGGGTAGTGCGTACCATGCCCTTATAAGCACCCATCAACGTCGCAAACCCAGCGACCCACGCAATCGCCGCCAGGGCGCGGTACCCCCTCCCCGCACCAGACAGCGTCAAGACCACGGCCAAAACAACCCCGATCAGCGCCGCGCCAACACCCAGCCCCCACGCGAAGCACACGCGCGCCGGGTTGCCGTTGCAGATGCTCCAGCGGATGAAGTTGGGATGCGCCTGCAGGCGCAGGGTGGCCTCGGTCTGGCGGGCGACCAGGGCGAACGCCGACGGGTGGGTGGTGCGCGCGAGGGCCTGCAGGGCGGCCTTCTGCTCCAGCTCCGACAGGTTGAGCTGCCGCGGCGCGCCGTCCATGATGTAGGTCGCGATGACGCGGTCGAGTTCCTTGCGGAAGGGCTGGATGGTGACTTGGTCCGGCTCCTCGTTAGTTTCGACGGGTGGCGGCATGTGTTTGGGTGTTTGACATGACAAAGGGGGGAGGGGGGGTGGCTTACAGGGATCCTTCACACCGGCCGACGCGAAGGCCTGGCTTGCTAAGCTCCGGGAGTTGTCCGTCGGTGTGGTGGGCTCGCTCTCGATGCCCTTCTCGAAGTCGGTGCCCTTGAAGATGGTGGCAGCCCCCTTGGGGGTCTGGCGCGCCTTTCCGGCCTGCTCCTTCTTGATGCGCAAGATGGCCTCGTCCTCCATCGCCTGGGTCCATTCGGGGGCTAGCGAGAGGTCGGCCGTTTTGGCGGCGGCGAAGCGCCGCTCATAGTCCCGGTACCAAAGAAAGAACTGGAGGTTCTCTGCCGACCGCTCGACGTAGAGGAGGTAGTTCATAAAGTCGCGGATTGTGCATGGCTGTGCCGCTGTCAATTCTCGGGTCTTGGAACGAAACTCGGGGGACATACTGGGCAAGTTCCTCCTTCGAGGATCTTGTCAAAACCGAGTGCGGGAGGAATCCCGCTAGAAATGTCAAACTTGTCCGGCTGTAGAGAGGCGCTGGAAGCTCGATCATCGTGGAGCGAGGCTTGGTAACTGGTAGACTCTGGCTTCTCAACATAGGCTGGCCGGCGGTAGGTGAGTGGGAGTAAACCCATGACGGGGACGGTGGCGGATTATATAATCGACCACTGGAAAACTCAATAGAGGAGATAGGAAGGGAAGATAGACCCAGGCGAGTGGACAGAGACAACAGCTCGATAATACAAATTAGATAGATTACAAAATGTCGGAGGAGCTCAGAAGCGGGCTGGGGGCCGCATTCTGGACTGTTGGTGACCTGTTGGGTGTTGACATGCAGAGTAAAGGAGCAGGGAATGCTCATATGCCCCCAGCCTGCCGTCCCACACACTGAGCGATGTGTGCGCTGCGTGGAGGACGAAAAAAACGAGACTTCCGAGACCAGAGCCCGTCAAGAAGAGCAGTTTTTACGTGGCTTGTAGCCAAGAGCGCGTAGAAAGATCGAAAAAGAAAGGGAGAAAGGTTCGTCGCGATGGTGGAAGGCCGCTTTTGGGGAAGCCCAGGGCGGAGGGTACCATGCCATGCGGGCTCATCGAGGCTCATCGAGGCTAGAACAAGAGCTAGAATCCCTGCAGGTCCCACGCTTGGAGTTCCCCAGATGCGCGTCTGGTGGGTGTGATGGGATGGTGTGATCAAAGCTGTCAACTTCCCGTTCATCTGCGCACGTTTATCCCGAAATTTACCCTTACTTTGCGCATGTTGGCGCCCCCAAGGGGCCCAGCAGCTCTCGATTTTCATGTTGGTGATGGAAGATGGACTCGACCAGCTTCTGTGTTTCCATGGTTCATGCGAGGTGTCTGGGGAGCATCGGGAAGTTAGAGTGGGGGTTCGGCGATCTGAGTCAACCCTGCAGCAAATCAGGGCTTCATGACGGGCCAGCTTGTGATCAGCTCCCCACTTTGCCAAATCCAGAAGCGAGACAAAATATGAACCGCCAAGGGGCATGGAGGCTTGAGCGCCCGAGACGAACTGGGGAAAAAAAAAGAACCAATCTTGATAGGGAGCACACCACCATATCATTTGCCCTGGTCTCGTTTAAAACTGAGTACGTTGAGCTGCCGGCATTGAACTGGGTAATTATTCGTACAATCGACTGCTCCGAATGTTCGCAAGGTCGGGGGTTTGCAATGGATGTGGTTGGCTAAACTTGCCTTGGGGTGTGTGTAAGCCCTCATTTTCTTCTTTTTCTTTTTCTTTTCGTGCGCACCTCAGGCCTCCGTAAAAGGGTTGACCATTGGTGTGTGAATCTCTCCGTCTGCTGGTATCTTGTTGAAGCAGTAGTTCTGAAACTGGAGGTCCCCTTTGAGGAGACAAAAGCTGTGGTTATGGTGATGCGTCCACCGCCCTCACTACCTAGGTACCTACCTAGAGTTCCACCGGTGTATAAAGGGTAGGTACCTTGGTAGAACCCGTGCGCTTTCTGAAACTCCGTGTTTACTTGCTTGAAATACACTACTTTACGTATCCTCGCTGCCTAGTATATAAACGGGGTCCGGGGCAACTCTAATCGCGAGCCATATCACGACATCCCATAGCAAAGCTACCAATGCTGTTCACTAATCTCAACCGAGTCGACATCGACCCCATCCTTAAACCACCGCTTGCTTTCCTCAATCTTCACATCATTTCCACTCATCTGCCTCTTCCGCATCAACCCATTCTCCGCAAACGTCCAGTCCTCCAGCCCATACGTCCGCCACCACTGGCCCGTCCCGTCCCGCCACTCATACCAGAACTGGACCGCGATCTGAGCTCATCCCGTCAGCGGAACTGCACCGTACCCGATTTAAGCACTGGCTTGGGAGAACCAACCTTGTTGTCCGTAAACGCAAACAGTTCCTTCCTGAGGCGATACTCCCCTTCCTTGGCCCACTTCTTGCTGAGGAACTCGACGATAGCGTCCCGTCCCTGCAGGAAGGTGTCGCGGTTTCGCCAGACGGAATCAGGCGTGTAGGCGAACTGGACAAGCTCCGGGTTTCTGGGGCGTAGATTAGTAAACGGGAAGCCCAGTCGCGGATGGATAAGTCGTGTCTCACTTGGTGTTCCAGGCGGCCTGGGCGGCCTTAACCTTTTGCTGGGCCGTCTCACGCGTGAAAGGGGGGAAAGGGGGCTTGGACTCGGTCGCCATGGCTCACGGGTTGCTGCAGACAATGAGGTGTTTGGGGGTGGGTGATAATTTGGGTTTGTTATAAGATGATGAGAGTACAAGTTTAATATCTAGACATGAAACTGCTTCGGCGAATACCGAGAGGAGTCCGGAACCCCACCCGGGATGACGCAGCGCGCCCTTTGCTAACCGCCCGGGAGTACTATCCATTACCACGGTTCATTATTCGTCGATTTAGATAAGTGATCAGTGCTTCGTAAGTGGGAAATAGTCGAGAACATCACGACCGATATGTCCGCAGAAACCCACCGAAAGGGGCGACCGGACCGGCCGGAGACCGGCCATCTCCGGTCATCTCCGACCACCACCACGGGCGACCATGCCGTGTACCGGAGGTAGTTGCAGATCTCGGACCTTTCTCTCTTAAATTGATTAGTTATTCCGTCACAATTGATGCGACCGGGTCTTCCGGTTAGAGAAAGGTTGAAGCAGAGCCGAAAACCGTTTGGTCTCGATTGGGTTATCCAAGCAGCCGATTGCGCAAATAGGTTAGGTTGTGATTGAGTACCTTGACGTCCACCACATGCTGTGTGCGCCTTCCCAACCTCTCAATGCGTTGATGTGACGGGACTTGGAAGGATCCACCGAAACCATTGACCCCTCAACTTCTCTGCGCTATAAACAACTCCCACTCCCCAGCATCGACAACTTGAGAAACGAACCAACACAACTTGCCATTCAATCCAGACCAATAAACAACCATACTACCAACAACACCCCAATTCATAACTCACTCAAAATGGCCACCCTCCAACCCGGCTCCTCTTTCCCCGAGGACATCTCCTTCAGCTACATCCCCCCCACCGGCAGCCTGGACTTGACAACCTGCGGCATCCCGACCACGTATAACGCCAGCAAGGGCAAGTAAACACCTTTCACAAGTTACCTAGGGCGCCAGAAAGAAAAAAACACATCCCCAAGCGGAAATAGGCTAACCCCACCCACCCACAGAATTCCAAACCAAAAAGATCGTGCTGGTCGCCGTGCCCGGCGCGTTCACGCCGACGTGCCAGGAGCAGCACATTGTATCCTACCTCGCCCACCTCGCCGAGCTCAAGGCCAAGGGGGTTGACCGGGTGATTTTCATTGCGTCCAACGACGCCTTCGTCATGTCGGCGTGGGGCAAGGCGAACGGGATCAAGGACGAGTCGATTGTGAGTCTACACGGGCGGGGATTCACGCAATTAACTCTATAGGATTGGGATGGGCTGACATGGGAACAGCTCTTCATGTCGGACGCCAACGCGGCGTTCAGCAGGAGCATTGGCTGGGCTAGTCCCGACCGCACTGGTCGGTATGCCGTCGTGGTGGACCACGGCAAGGTCGTCTATGCCGAGGCGGACACCACCAAGGGGAGCATCGAGCACTCCGGGGCGGAGGGTGTCTTGGCGAAGCTCTAAGTGCAATTGTGGCAGTGTGAAGATTTCGGGAAGAGGTCATAGATTGGCTTGGTAGTTTCGGAGTCGGGGGTAGGTAGATGAGCCGCGCGCTCCATCATACATTCATAGAGGAAAGAAGCTCATCCCTGCTCACTCCGCTCCCGCGCGCCGTGCTGCTTCAAGTGAGACCAATGCATAAGTCGGCATTCTGTGAGCTACCCATGCAAATGGCCCTCCCCCGTCACGCTGGATCCATGCAACCGGCCCTTTCAGAAAACAAGCTGGCTCTGTCAACTTGTTGCGAGAGCAGAAACCCTATAAGAGAGCTGAGCAGGCAAAAAACCGAGTACCGACCGACCGACTCCAGCGTTTTCCCTTCCGGCCACAAGCAAGACCGTAAGATAACCATTCATCTATTGTGTGCTCCTTGCATGACCTGGCTTTCCCTTTGCCTCGGAAAAGAACACGCACCCATCCCGGACCAGCAAACCGCCAAAGACAGAGAGACCTTAGCGGGTGTTGGCGGCGACCTTCTGCTGCGCACCCTTCGCACCCTGCTTGCCGACGATGCGGCCGCCGGACTGGCCCTTGGAGGCAGCGGCGGCGTTCTTCGCCTTCTCGGCCTTCTTGGCCGCCTGCTCGGCCTGCTTCTTCTCCTTGCTCTCCTTGATGGCCGCCAGGCGGGCCGCGCTCCGGGTCTCCGGGCGCATCGAGCGGCGCTCCTTGATCACATCGAGCGAAGCACCAACGATGGCACGCTGCGACTTGACGGTGCGGCGAGTGCGCTTCTTGGCGACTTCCTGTTGGGGGAGTCAGCGGGCCGTCTTGCGGGTAGTCCTGAATATGTCCCTTCTCCCATGTCGTCATCGCAACCACCTCCCTCTCGATCGTTCCCATTCCCATCTTGTGCTCGGACGTGTGCAGGTGCGGAGAGATCGTACCTCAGAGATACCCTTGCGGTGTTGCCTCCGGTAGAGGACGGTCCAGGCAATGCGGCGGGGGTTCTTGCGCTGGAGGAACAGCGACTCGGACTTGCCGTTCTGGAAGCGGAAGACCTTGCTGTCGCCACGGACGTACAGCTTACCCTGTAATGCAGAACACGGTCAGAACCTTTGTTGTCTCGAACAAAAATCATATCTCCCGAACTCCCGACGCCAAATCTCCCCACCCCGGTCCTCGTCTGTCGTCATTCAACTTCGCGCGTAGCTCACGGGCCGCTGCGGGACTCGGGGGTGGGAAATTCGACGTCGGTCTCGATCGTAGAGATGGGCAATCCGTACCTTGCCGGGGTAGATCCGCTGGCCGGAGAAACTATCGTCGTAAGTCCTCATTTTGGCGGTGGTTGTCGATTGTCGTTGTCGGGTTGCTTCCTCGAAGTTCAAGATCCCACGTCGATTTTCGCCAAATTCTTTGGTGCAGGTTGTGGGATAGGGCTGTGTCTGTGATAGGCTGCTGCGCGAGCGAGGATGGCCCACTTTGAGATGTGGCTGTGCGGGGCGGCACGCCACCCCCTCTGCCCCTTCAGCTCTCAAACCCTAACCCTGTTTTCCCATCCCATTCACCTCCTCCCTCGTTCTCGGTTTCTCTTCCTGATGACTAGTTTAACGTACTTCAAACAAGCAGACTTGCGATGGGGAATGGAGCCGATGACATAGCGGCGGTTGTTTTGGGAGAATTCAGAAAGCTCCCAGCGAAGCGTCGGCCCGCTGTCCGCGATAATGGACTCCGGGAATGGGTCCCGTTGAGCGGTATTGTCGTGAGAGGTACCTTGGCTACTTTCCACTGGGTTTTCTATTAATATCCTGACTTGAGATTTTGAGGCTAGGTCCAAACTTCTTGAAGTGTGTGGCGCTGGCGTGAGTCTCATCCCTAAACCGGAACCCCCTGAAGGCCTCAGGCCCTCAGTTAGGTACTTGCCCTGGCAGTTGAATGTTGACACCCCTTACAGGACGGGCATGAAATGTCTGCCGGCGTCTAAGCTCCCACAGGCTAACGGCGTTGCCCTCCATGACTGGCACGCCGAGATTCTCGCCATCCGGGCTTTCAACCGGTTTATCCTCGATGAGTGCCGCCGCCTGGTCGAGGACAGTTCTGCAGAATCCGAGTTCCTCCGAAGGAGAACGCAGGATGAGCTGCCCATCACCTCGGACGAGTGTTGGCACCGCCAACCCTTCGCCTGGCGCGAAGATCTGACCCTCCACATGTACTGCTCCGAAGCTCCCTGTACGTATCTACCCCCATTCCCGCACCACCCCCCCCCCCCCTCCATATGCTAACAACCCCCCCAGGCGGCGACGCCTCCATGGAACTGATCATGTCCTCCCAAGAAGACGCCACGCCCTGGGACACCCCCGCCCCCCTAGCCCCTTCCCCACCTCCTCCCCCCCAACAAGAACAACTAGAACAACCACCACCTTCATCAACACCCACCCTCCTCGGCCGCGGTTATTTCTCCCACCTCGGCATCGTCCGCCGCAAACCTTCCCGCGGCGACGCTCCCCCAAGCCACTCCAAGTCCTGCAGCGACAAACTCGCTCTAAAGCAATGTACATCCCTACTAAACTCCCTCACATCCCTCTTCGTCTCGCCCCGCGGCGCCTACCTGGCCAGTATCATCCTGCCGGAGTCACAGTTCTCGGCGGCGGGGTGCGCGCGCTGCTTTTCGGCACAGGCAGGGCCGGGGGAGGGGGAGGGGGGTGGGAGGATGGCGCCGGTGGGCGGGCGGGTGTGGGACGGGACGGGGTATGCGTTTCGGGAGGTTGTGGTGCAGACTACGGGGAGGGAGTTTGAGTTCTCGCGGAGGGGGGTTGGTATGATAGAGGGAGGGGGGGAGGTGAAGGTGGTGGCGAGCAACCTTGCTGTTGCGTGGACGGCGGGCGGGGAGGTGGAGGAGGGGTTGATTGGCGGGGTGTTGCAGGGGAGGAAAGGGGTTGATGTGAAGGGGGCTAGTTTGACCTCGCGGCGGAGGATGTGGGCGGCGGCTGTGGTGGTCGCGGGGATGTTGGGGGATGAGGGGATAATTGAGGAGTTGGGGGCGGTGTCATACGATGAGGTTAAGGAGGGGAGTTTGTTGGCGGGCAGGAGAAGGGTGAAGGAGGAGGCAAGGAATGAAGCACTGAAGGGGTGGCTCAGGAATACTGGCGATGGCGGGTTTAGTTTGTGATGTCGAGATCCCCCATGGTATATAGTGGCATCCTAGAAGCTACACCGCAGCGACCAAGCCCATCGCCTCCCTCTGACATTGGTCACGTACTCCAGCGATCGACTGCACGCGTACAATCGACCGTGTGTTCCCCGTTGTCCCTCAGACCTAGGTTCTGGGGCCGATGTGATGAATACCGCAGAAACCGCCATTGGCTTATGGAATAACATAATCATGTATGTCCTCGCAACACCAAGCAACGCAGATAACGGAACAAATTGCGGTAGAGTTTTATTTCCCGGGATTAAGCCGTTCACTCGACCTTGTTCTCGAAGCTCTCGCCGGCCACGAGGTCGGGGATCTCATCGTCATCCTCCTTCTTCTGCATGTTCTGGTAGCTCTCGGCCAGCTTGCGGAGCGAGGCAAGCGAGTCGGGGCCGAGCTGGTTGAGGATACCGGGCACAAGCTCCGTCAGCTCCTTGTCCTCACCGTTGCCGTAGATGGCAAAGGTGTTGGAGGGGACGGCGGCGTGAACTAGAAGTCCGGCCGGTTAGTAATTGTTCCGTTACCCCCTCTCGACCGATTGTACGAACCCTTGGGAGCGGCGAAGTGGATGACGTTGCCGTCGCTCTTGAACATGTTGACCTCCTCAATAGCCTGGATGGGCTGGACATTGAGCTTCTTGAGCGACTGCTGCAGCTTCTTGTCGTCGCCGGCGGAGCGCGCGGGCGCGCGCTTCACCTTCCTCCGGGGAGTACCCTTGCCACTATTCGTCACAAAAGTTCGTCAGAATCTCGGATCACTGCGCGGGCGTCGAGGCAATTTCGGCGTGATTGAATCTAGACATACCCTGCCGGCGAGGTGGGTTAGTCGGCCGATCCGGAGCGGGGAAATCGAGAAGGGAGAAGCAGCAACGTACCGATACGAGCGGAAGCACCAAGCTTCTTCAACCGTTCCTGAACGTCCGCCATGATGTTGGAATGTGTCGAATGGAGTTTTGGTGGGGGAGGGACAAGATGGCTGGGGCGACGACTCGGTGAGCTCGAGCTTGGGTTGATCAGTCAGCCTAGGGCAGCTCTGGGGCCACTGCACACACACAACGCCTGGTTTGTCTGCTTCCGTGGGGATGCAATCGTCAGAGGTGCGAAATCGCGGGTCGGAACGTACTCTATCAATCGGGGATAAATTCGGTCCTTGTTTTACCTCGGAGTTTCTTGATAGGCCCGCGATGCCTTCTACCTTCTCTGGTCGTCAGTGGTTGGAGAAATTGTGTGCGCCTGGGCCCTGATATTTTTCGCCGTCGCATAAACTTTTACCCCACCTTGACAGCCGTTCACCGGCCTCACCGAGCCCCTCACCTTGGACGAATTCGGGTCTTCCTCAACGGGCAGGGTTCGGCAAGCAGATCAAACGAGCAGTTTGGGCAACCACTTTTTTATCCCTTAGGTGGTTATGGTAGAAGCTGAGATTTAGGCTTTATTTTTCGTAGTATTAGTTGACCGTTTTCAAAAATTTTGGCCACGGGCTTTACAGCGTTAACATGAACACCGAGATCCTTGCCTATCCAACCATGATGATAGACGGCACTTGTCGAGCTCCGAATCGAGCATATCTTATCCCTCGTAATTCGTCGCTGTGAGAGTTCCTTGTTGTACAATCCAAATCATACACATCGTACAATCGACTAGCCGCCCCTCGTTATCTGTTCCATTCGTATCATCGGGTGGTCGATGATTATGTAGACTCTGTCGGCAACCCAGCCTCTCTTCTCATGGCTTCTTTCCTGGCCTTCACCTCCTCTGCCGCCTTCAGCGCCTCAGCAATGGAAGCTTGCTTCACACGCTCCTTTTCTGCCTCGGCTTGAACGGTCCATACTACGACCTCGTTAACACCAAAATCCGGGGTATCTCCAAGGAGATCTAGCACTCACTTGGCTTGTCGGACTTTGAGTCCCTCTTGAGTCTTGTAACAAAGTCGTCAAACTCCTGCTGCCGCTCGAACCTCCGTTCCAGACTCCGCTTCTGGAGTTCGGGGTTGTATTTTTGGAAGAGTTCCTCGTCAGTGGGCTGTACCCATCTTGTGAAGGCTGGGCCGCCGACGCTGATGGCACCACCACTATCCCACCCTGTCAGCCAGATGCTGGTTCTCATGGGGCTTAGAAGAACCTACGCGACGAGCATCTTAGTCCATAACCACCAGTTGAAGGGTTTTTTGACCATCTTGAAGGGGATAACTCAGGATATTCGGTTAATTATCGGACCTCTGAGAATTAATGATGTCCGTTGTCCTTGGACAATTATTGAGTGAGTCTCTCTCAATTGGCTCTCTGTTCGCTCATCAAGACTCTGCCTCTCACTCGATGAGGTCAGCTGCTCGAAGGCGGCCGGATACGGCAGAAAATTGCCCAGGGAGGAAGGAGGCAAGGGTCCAGCTTGGCTGTGGGGCCAAAGTCATGCACCAGCGGCCCCGCTGAACCATCTGGGGCCGCCAACGGCTCTCGTCTCAGAATGTTTCTTCTTGAAAGTTTCTTTCCGGACAAGGCCCAATGACAGTGCGGCTGGCTCTCTTGCACAACAAGCCGCCTTCGCAAGACAGTATCGGGCCTTTCGCGCAATCACCACTTAGCTTTTGGAAGAGCCCAGCCAGCCTCTTACTTTAACATCACTCAAATGAAGGACGCAGTAAGCGTGTTGCAAGACGACACACACCACGATGAGAACACGCCTCGGGACAGACAGTAGCCGTCTTTGAAACACAAGCTGGGGCCATCCATGAACACAATCTCGGATGCCGGCCGGAAGACAAGGTGCAATGGCTCCTTTCTCGAATCGTACGTCTCTGTGACGTCGAGAAACCAGCTGTGGGTTTTCAACAATGCCCGCTCATGAAAGGCTCAAGAACGAGGTTGGTAATGAGGGGAGGACGAATACTCTGTATGTAATTTGGCGCCGCCGCAGGCTTGCAGGCAAATGCACTGCTCCATCCCCCTGAGCGTTTCGTTGCCAGTCCTGGCAAGCTCCAGCTGCACAGGAGTTCGGTTTAATTCCCGCCTGGTCCCCTCGACAGTCAGCCTGCAGCCCTCCCGTTCCGTGATCGAGCGTGGCGGGTAGGGGCCTCAACACCAATCATGACAACACAGCGGGCGGTTTTTGATACGTGGTCGTGTCAAGTAATTACGCCGCCGCGTCAACACTCGGCCGACCCTCGGGCCTGTACGAAGTACTCGAAAAGGCTTTAACGGGCAGGAGGGTGATCACCCATGCAAAGTGGCTAGCGAGCGATGGAAAACCTGGGAGTGTCTGACTCCGAGGGCGAATCAACCCACTGATCACCGCTGGGAACCAAATCTCGGAGGGGAAGACCCGGAGATAGTTCAGCTGACTCTTTCTCCCATCTGACGAGTTGTCTGTATTGGTACATACACACATTACATCCCGGAACTGCATCGGAACCCAGCCCGACCCTCATCACGTTTCACATCCATAGAGACTTTTCCAAGTTTAAGACTTGCGTTGAGAATAAAAAAAGAAACACGAAAAGCAAAAGCGACTGCCCTCTTCAGAGGGAAAGAAAACAACTGACACTGGACGCCTCGTCGGATCAATACAACAACAATTAAGGGTTCATTACACAGCGTTGTATCGAGACCCTTGACATGTGTAACAACCCCTGGGCCGGGGCTGGCCCCGCGCTGGGCCAAAATGGAACCCACCCTACCCGTCCGAAGCCTGAGGGGTGCACCGGGAAGAGCGGCTTTTAGCTTATCCAGCAAGGCACAATGCATTCCTGTGCCTCCGAACTGTGACCTTTTCAACGACCGCACTTTTCAACACCTTCCCCGGTCCCGCCGGCCATTTCATTCCTTGGGAGCACTGCATGCTTTACTGTTCCACACCTTTCCTTTCTGTATTTTTGTGCTCCAACCTTTAGACGCGCGTTCCTTTGAAGAGACGACAGTGACGACCATCACAGTTCCTTTCCCGAGGTTCTTAGGCTCTTGGCCGTGTTGCGGTTGCGCTGCGGATTCCTACGAGGCCGCCGACTTTCTGTGTCACCTATCGCCCTACTTCGGCGTCTCGCTCGACTCGCCGAAATAAATTTAGAACGACCTCCGGATTTGCCGACACCAAGCTTTTCAAATCGCCATCCAGTGCTGCTGCCATGCGATTAATCTAGACCGGCTACTGAGACGAACGACACCAACAAGTCAAACGGGACATCGACACGTACTCGGCACGTTGGCGTCATGGCGTATAATGGGCAATACGATGGGGGCCCCGGCCCCGGCCCCGGCCCTGGTGGGCGCCAGTATGGCGGAGGCCCGGGATCTCAGCGCCCGCCGCCACAGCGACAATATCCCCCAGGCCCTCCAGGACCACAGCAATACAATGCGCCGCCGCCTCAGCAGCAATACGATCAGTATCAAGACGGATATGGCCAAGGTTATGACGAATACGGCAATGGGTACGACCAGGGTTACGATCAGGGTTACGGCGGACAACAATACGACGACGGCGGCTACGGAAGAGGAGGACCTCCGAATCAAGACTATCAGCAGGAATACTACGACCCGGGCCCGAACGGACCTGGAAGGGGAGGAGGACGACCGATGCCCAGCGGAAGAGGCGGCCCAATGAGGCCTCCGCCTGGCGGCGGTGGTCGAGGGGGCCCCTACCCACCCCGCGGTGGCGGCTACCCTCAAGGCCCTGGTGGCCGAGGCTACCCCCCGCCCGGCCGTGGTGGTCGGCCAAACCCGGCTGAGCGAGCGGCAAACTCAGACCCCGGTGGTGAGTTTGGCAGCCCTTAGCCATCGCATGTCACAGCGGCATGCTAATAATCTATCGCAGGAAACCGAGGACCGCCCATGGGTGGCCCGAGCCCGGCCAATTCTGGTGACCCAGGCTATGCCGGTCCTTTCCCGTCATTCCCCGGCGCCGCGCGCAAGTCGGACCTGGAACAAGAGCAGCAGATCGTGGCACGCATGGAAGGTATGGACATATCAGGGCAGCGGCCGGGGCCGAGAGGTCCGAATGGCCCCCCACAACAGCGAGGGCCCATGCGCCCCCCGAACGGTTACGGAGGACCGGGGCCAATGGGACCTCCTCGTGGCCCGCCGCAAGCGTACCACCCACAAGACTATCCCGATCAACGCCGCGGTCCTCCGCCGCCAGGACCCGGATACGGACCGCAAGGAGGCGGCTATCAAGAGGAGAACTTCGGGCCTCCGTCTCGAAGCATGACGATGCCAACGAGAGATCAAGTGGACATGCGCCAAGCCGGTCCTCTTGTGCGGCGGGATAGCGCCCCTTTCAATGGTCCTCCTCCCCGTGGCATGCCGCAGAGACCGAGCACAGCGCAAGGGATGCGCCAACCTCGGCCTAGGATATACCCGCCGAGCGGCAACGGCCCTCCTCAGCAAGAAGGATACCAGGAGCCCCCACAGAGAGGCGGACCGGACTCGGGCTACGGCCAGGGCCGACCTTCGTCCGTTGACGATTTCTATGACTACTACGGCGGCGATGAAGGCTACCAGGGGCAAAACGCTCCCTCGGCTTCGGCTGCATCCGAGGCCCCGAATTTCGATGCCATGTCCGGGCAGCAGCCGAGGAACTCATTCGACAGGCACATGCAACCCGGTCAGCAGGAGCAGGCTCAACGCGGGCCCGGCAGATACCCCGAAGTGAGCAGGGCCAAGTCCCAGCCCGACTTGCGTAACTCGCAGACGGCCGTGTTCGAAATGGCAGGCGACATCCCGCCACTACCTACGCAGCAGCCCGGCCAGCCACCAGCGGGATTGCCCAGCGGGCCTTCGCCTTACCAGGGTCGTGCCGGCCCATCACCGGTGCCCGGGCTACCCCCGGGACCTGCACCTTACCGACCTGGTATGCAACCTTCGCCGCAACCAGGGCCGGGCCCAGATAATCTTCCCTCTCATCCCACGCCCGTTCGCCCCGGGCACATGCCTGGCTCGGTGGTCAACCTCAGCGATCGGCCGCCGCCGGTGAGGAATTACAGCGGCGCCACCAATTATAGCGGGAACTCGGGCCCCCCTCCCGCAGGCCCCTACCAACAAGGCCCACCGCCTGCTCAGCAAATTCCCGTGCAACCTGCGGCGAAGCCAGCGGAAGCGCCCGTCACCATCGAAGAACTGGAGCACCTGCGCGCCGTGGTCAAGAACGATGCCGGCGACCAAGTGACCGCCCTCCGCCTCGCTAAGCGCCTGGTCGAAGCGTCCGACGCGCTCGTGCCCAACCTCCCAGACCCCAAGGCCCGCGCCCGCTCGCGCGACCGCTACCTCGTGGATGCGCACAAGATCCTCCGCAAGCTCGAAAAGGCCAGCAACCCGGACGCCATGTTCTTCCTCGCCGACTGCCTCGGGCGCGGCCTCTTCGGCAGCGAGCCCGACAACGCGCACGCCTTCTCGCTCTACCAGTCCGCCGCCAAGCTCGGCCACGCCGCGGCCGCCTACCGCACCGCCGTGTGCTGCGAGATCGGCAACGACGAGGGCGGCGGCACGCGCAAGGACCCGCTCAAGGCCACGCAGTGGTACAAGCGGGCGGCGACGCTCGGCGACACCCCGGCCATGTACAAGGTGGGCATGATCCTGATCAAGGGCCTGCTCGGGCAGCCGCGCAACCCGCGCGAGGCCATCAGCTGGCTCAAGCGCGCGGCGGAGCGCGCCACGGCCGAGAACCCGCACGCGCTGCACGAGCTGGCGCTGCTGTACGAGAGCGCCGAGCCCAACGACGTCATCCTGCGCGACGAGCCCTACGCCTGCCAGCTCTTCCAGCAGGCCGCCGAGCTCGGCTACAAGTTCAGCCAGTTCCGCCTCGGCTGCGCCCACGAGTACGGCCTGCTCGGCTGCCCCATCGACCCCCGCCTCTCCATCATGTGGTACAGCCGCGCCGCCGTCCAGGAGGAGCACCAGAGCGAGCTGGCCCTGTCCGGCTGGTACCTCACCGGCAGCGAGGGCGTCCTGCAGCAGAGTGATACTGAAGCCTACCTGTGGGCGCGCAAGGCCGCGATGGCGGGGTTGTCCAAGGCGGAGTATGCGATGGGGTACTTTACCGAGGTGGGGATTGGTGTGGCGGCGAATCTGGAGGATGCGAAGAGGTGGTATTGGAGAGCTGCTGGTAAGTCAATCTTTTTTATTGTTACTCTCCACCCGCCTAGGAAATGGGCAAGAAAGAGTGAGCGGATGCTGACACCCAATGACAGCCCAGGACTTCCCCAAAGCGAGAGAGCGGTTGGAGGACCTCAAGCGCTCCGGCAAGAGCGGCCCGCGCGCTAGGGAGAGGATATCGAGAAGCAAGATTGGGAAGCAGCAGGAGGGCGAGTGCTCGGTTATGTGAGGGGCACGAGTGGGTGGCGAGGTGAAGCAGTGAGCACGCAAGTGTTGCCTTAGTCGGGGCATGGATAATGATGGGGATGATATGAGCTGGCAAGACGGTAACGCGGAGTGACCGAGATGATGGCCTACGAGGCGACGCGTGATCCGGAAAAGAGAGGAATGAATAAATGCTCGGCTTCTCAGCCGCTAAAATAGCTGCTTCGTTAGTAAGAACTTGGCGGAGTCGAGGTGCTAGAGGAAGCCAACTGGCCAGGATTTGTTTGTATGTACTTGTAGAAGCTGAATGTGAAAAGATGGAAAGGCATATGGCGTGCAGGGTGCCTGGATTCAAGTGTGATGCACAGGGTGAGAGGATGCATGGCGATGCAATGGCCGACTGACCGACTTCATAACATGTCACAGCTATAGAGGTAACCATGGGGATTTGTTAGTTAACAATGTGCTAGAGTGTGCTGTTATATTGCTCAATATGCCCCAAAGACAGAGTGCCAAATAACGACATAAGTGAATCCAGTAACCACACTTAAATTCCCAAACCTCCAAGGTATATATCCATCCAGACATTGCTGCATCCGCAAACACCATCCTGAACGACTATATCTCTCTCAGCTTGGGACCCAAGCCTGGCTCTATCCTGATTCATTTCCCATTCCCAACCGGCACCTCAATGTACATACCAAATATGTAGCAGGCCGCCCAACAAGAAAAACAAAACCACAAACAAGCAGACAAATAACTTCCCGCTCAAACGCCCCTTCTCTTCCTCGTCCCCGTCTCCCCCGTTCTTTTGCTCCTTAGGCTGACCTCCTTTCTTCTTTTTCTTCGTCTTTTTCCGGCTCGGCTTTGTGGTGGGACCCTGTTCGTCCATTTCGTTCGTCACCACAGGCTCGTCAGACCCCTATTCCTGTGCTGCCTGGTCCTGGTCTTTAAAGAGATCCCGCACACTCCCCCGAACCGCCTTCTTCTTGAACCGCTGCCGCGGGATTCGCAGCGAGCCGCCCGCGTCGGCACGGTAACCTGGGCCTCGGGCGTCGTTTTTGTTGTTGACATCGTCCGGCTGCTGGTCGATCACCGGGTTCTTGTTGTCGGCGTCCTTCTTTTCGTTGGTCACCGTGTTCTCGTTGGCAGCGTCCTTCTTGTGGTCGACCACCGGGCCCTTGTCGCCGTTGGTTAGTGCGGCGTCCTTCCCCATGCCGGCATCGTGATGCACCTCGGCGGTATCGACTTTTGTCTCGCTAGCCGGATCCTTTCTCTCCATCTTCAGCTCAGCGGCGGCGCCGTTAGTGGCCACACCCTCCTTCTCAGCACCAACAACAGCCGCCTTACCACCCTTTTTCTTCCCCTTACCACCCTTCTTTCTCTCCACGACACCCTTCTCCCCAGCAACCTTCTTCTCCACAGCCCCTTTCTCCTCACCTCCTTTGTCCCCAGCAGCCTTCTCCCCAACACCATTCCTCTCCCCAGCACCATTCTTGATCTCCCCAACCCTTTTCTCACCAGCACCAACCACCCCATCAGCACCCCCGCCAGCAACAGACGAGCAAACATCCTAAGTCTGCCCATCACCGCAGGCATGGTCGCGCTTCTGGTCCGCCCCAACCCCCACACCCACCACACCACCACCACCCACCTCCACCTTACCCTCCCCCATGCGATCCCGCCTCGGCGTCGCATTGTAGAGATCCCCATCCTCCACGCTCTCCAACAAATGACCGCCCGGCGTCGGCGTCGGAACCGGAACCGGAGCCGGGGTCTGCGGGCGGGCGGTGGCCCCCATGTCGTCTGCCTTGCCCACAGCCGCCTTGCCCTTGCGCTTTTTCTGCTTGGGCCGCGACGACGGGCCCAGCGCGTCGGCGGGTGAGGAGGACGCCCGCGGTGGGTGGGCGTCTTGGGCGGGCGGGGGGCGGGACGGCAGGGCGGGCGTGGGCGCAGCAGCAGCAGCCGCAGCAGCCGGGTGGTGGTGGTGCTGCTGCTGCTGGTGGTTGTGGTGGTCGCGGGGGTTTGTCGTCGTCGTCGTGGGCGGCGGCGGCGGCGGCGGCGGCGGTGGTGGTGGTGGTGGCAACATCCACGACGGGAGGCGCCTGTGCTCGGCGGCGCCACTCCCACTCCCGCCCCACGGACGGCGGCGGATCACGGTAGCGGAGAAGCCCAGCTCGAGACGGACGTCTCCGCCGCTACGCGCGCCCCGCAGCTGGTCCATGGCCTCGAGCTGGCGGAGGAACGGCATCTCTGGTGGTGGCGAGTGGTGGTGCGCGCTTCCTCCCCGCTGCTCGAAGGGGTGGTGGTGGTGGGTGCGGCTGGGGGGGTGGCCCTGGGGGGCCACCCAGTCGTCGGCCAGCGTGGGAATGCGGGTGCCCTCGTCCTCCCAGCGTGGGAGAGGGGCCCACGTGGGTGCGGCGGGCGCCACGGGTGCCGGAGCGGGTGCCGGGGTGAATTCCGGAGCCGAGCTGTCGAGTCTGGCCGTGTTGTGGTCAGGAATGTTGACAGCTGGCTCCTCCGGCTCCTGTTGCCCCAGGTTGGGCGGCATATCGCCAAACGTCGTTTGGCGAACCGGGCTGCCCGTGCCGAGCCGCTTGCCGTGAGGGAGGATCAAGGCGCTCTGCGGCGGGGAACCGGTGGAAGTCTCCGGGATGCGCACGCGGATGTCCATACTTCTCGTAGGCCTATGGGAAGAATGGATCCCACCCTCGGGGAGCGCGTTGCAGTTTTCGAACACTGCGTTCTCCGAGGGCGGTTTTGTTTGCATCGCCGTGCTCTCGCTTGGACCCGAGCTGCGATCTTGAACCTCCCGATGGGGGTCCCGGACTGGTGTGGCTTTGGCCGTAGAGGCGGACTGCCGAGAGGGCCTGGGGTCCTGGTCGTAGGGGCTTCCATTCGACGGAGAGGGATTCCCACAATCCCGAGAAGACGAGCTCCCGTTACCTGCCGACAGATGACTAGCCTTGCTTTGTCGAGGAGTTTGGTTCCTATACCGATAAAACTTCGAGAAGAAGGGGTACGTAATCTTGGCGGCATACAGCTGGGGGTGGCTGCAGATGATTGCTTTCGACCTGCGGACGGCCAGGTGAGTGCTGTCCTCAGAAACGAAGCGACCAAGGGCATAAAATAAGCCTTTGCCAGACTTCTTCAGCTCGCAGTCCTCCACGTGGCCCCACTGACCAAGGTAGTCAGCCACGGCAGTCCGAACATCACGGTGGGTTATTTCGCCGAGTCGAATGGGCCCGACGTGGACGGTGCGTGATTTTAAAACGCACCGCTCGCAGGGACACGGCGCGAACATCTCCGGTGGGCTTTGAATCATCACATGCTTATTCAAACAGTCCGGCCGGGGACGCCAGGTTCCGCGACCCGTATTTCCACCCGCTGCTTGAGAACCGTTCTGTGAATTGTAGGTGGAAGCGCCATTGTTGTTGGTCGACACAGAAACTGAGGAGGGCTGGCGACGATGCTGTTGAGACGCGCCCTCGGTATGCTCCGGCGGTCTTTGTGAGCGGCTTGGAAGTCGAGACGGGCCGGCAGCCTCGACACCAGCGCCTCGTGGGGCTAAAGAACGGCCTCGAGATATGGCGGATATTGGTCCCGATTTCGAGTGGTGGTGGCCTTTGGATCTTGACGGCGCACCCACGGTGGTATCGGTGGAGGTGTTGACAGATGGGGACCGCTGAACGTTTGAGGTGTCGGTTCCATCCGTAATGGTGACCGTCGTATTCCTCGTATACTCGAAGAATGAATTATCCTGGAGCACATCGTCCAGCGGCAGGGCAATGGTGCTTGACCTGCGCCGTACGTGACCAAATCGGGGGATGGAACTCGGGAGCGGCGTGTCAACAGCGACGTCGTTGGCTAAACTACAGTTAGTCACATCGTTCCAAGAGGAAGAAAATGTAAGAAGCCTGAGGAGAGGGGAGAGAAGAAGAGGTTTCATGTTGCACGTACCATCCACCGCGCGATTTTGCAACGAGTTCCGGGCGTCATCAAGACCGCTGGCGAGCGTATTAACGTGCGCGCGGTAAGGCTGTAGAGCACAGGGACCGTAATGGTGATGATACCAATACCCTAGCGCCCCACGCACAATGCCGAGAACCCACGCGTCGCAGTCGGCGATGTCCTGGGCATCCGGTGGCGATAGGATACTCAGGATATCGCACCGTTGATCCCACGATCCTAGGCGATGGCGGTTCTGCTCGTGGGTGAGCCAACGGTACACCCATTGCTCGGCTTCGCTGAAGATCGCTTCGCCCAGTTGGTGGTGAGCGGCCGAGGGGTGGTTGTTGGGACCGGGCAAAGGAACCCAGCACACACCGGAAGAAAAGGGCATCCGCGCCTGTTGGGGGACGAAGTTTTCCATCTTGGTCAAAATGCGGTCGCTGTTAATTGACAAAAAGGTGCCGTTAATAAACAATCGCAGTTACAGCACGCGGGAGGCATGAGAACCGCGCGCATCGAATGCTCCGAAGAGGGGAGGAGATGGATTTTACTTACTATGCAAAGATGTGTTGTGGGAAGAAAAAACAAAAAGAACAGCCAGTGGTGCGGAAACCGCGGGGGCTTTTGTGCCCGAGCAGTAACGGGCAAAGCGAGGGGAGAGTTCGGACGGCAGTGGGTTCCCCAGGAAACCAGGCCGGTCAAAGCCAGCATCTCATACCCATGCGCTTTTTAATACACCCTCGAAGTTCCATCGTCTAGTCTGATCACATATGGTGACGCTCGAACTCGATTTCCCTACCGCCGACGATCTGTTCCAAGATAAGTCATCCTTCGAGTAGGCGAGGAACATGGCGGTTACCATTACGGATAGAATTGGACACCTCGAATGTTCAGCCGCCGCCACCACCTGTTTCTCTAGCAGAGCGCTTTGAGTTAGCTTAGCAGACGTTAGCCCGTTAACAACTGGGCAGCGTTTCTACCCACCGTCGCGGGAAGCAGCTCAGTCACTTGCCGTCACTCACCACCACTGTCCTCGTCTTCACCAAATCAGAAAGCACGCCCCTCCAAAATGTGGTGGAATCTTTTAGAATCAGCGCAGTAGGTGCCACTAGTGGTACAATGAGTAGAGACGCAGCCAAAGCAAAGGGAGTAATGGGCATTTTCCCCGCGCACCAAGGTCCCAAAGCAAACTAGACCAACAAAAACAAAACACCCACAAAGCGGATTGAGACAGTCATGCAAGTCTCCGATGCATAGCTACCTCATTTGGGCAAGTCGTTCAGCATCTTCAGAATCTCCGACTCATTTTCTCCCGCCGCCACCTTGCCATTATTCCAATCCACCGCCTAAACAAACTCTCAGTCAGCCACCACATCCACTCCAACAATTAAGCAAACAACAACAAGAACAGCCAAAAAAAGAAATCAAGAAAAATGAGAAAACCTACCACCGGCCTCTGCAAGCTCTCGACATTCTCCCCAAACCTGCGCAGCGCCTCCTCCTGGTCCTCCGCGCCCTTCACGATCGTGCCGACACGCGCCTTGCCGACATAGTCCAGGATGGTGCGCAGCTGGTCGGCGGTGGGCGGGGCCTCGGTGATGTCGAGCTTGAACTCGGGCCGGCGCACGGCGTTGCTCTGCGCCGTGTGGTCGCTGGCCTGGTCCTCGGTCGAGGTCTCCGAGGCGGCGGCCGATGCCTGGCGCAGGGCGGCCGCGACTCGTACCGAGGCGGGCGAGGTCGCCTTGTGGAAGAGCGTGATGATGTCGATGGGTTTGTGCTTTGAGGGGGGGGTGGTGAGTCACGCTACACTGGTTTTGGAATGGGGGGGGGGTTGTTATTAGATGGTTTTGGTATGGTCATTCTTACAAATCGGAACATTTTGGATGATGGTTTAGCTTTGGATTGTGGGTTTTGTGTGTGCAATCGCGATGTATTCGATGTTTTTATGACTTCCCTGTTGTTTCGCAGCAAACGAATGAAGTGAGGTTGAAATGGCTCCATTCAGCGGCTCTCAAACGGACGGGACAAGGATCTTGCAAAAGGAGCTTGGGCCAGGCGACTCCACATGCCGCTGTGGGGAGTCTTGGCGCGAGCGTTTCAGCATTCGAATTTCGAATTCAGGTCTGGCATTCAGTTCTTGAACCTCAATTCAAGGAAAGAAAAGCCATCCAAAGTTACCGCTACCAAGTACGCACATCGCATATATACTTAAAGTTATATATGCACAATGTAGAATCACAATTTCATACTTTCCCATTTTCTTTTAGATTTTAGATCCTGTTTTCGCCTCTGGAAGCGCCAAGAGAGGCAGACGCCGTGAGTTTGCGTATCACAGAGCCAATCCCTGTCGCTGTCTCGCTCTCTTGAGACGAGGCAAATGTGGTGAATCATTCACATTGAGGACAATGTTGTTGAAAAGGGTGGATAACTATTCGGAATGTAGCATGTTTGACATCAGTCTTTCCGTAGAAATAAACGGAACCTTTTCTTTCTTTTATTTTACTCATTTCCAGCTGGCTTTCAAATAATGCGTTTCTGCCGAACCCATCACCACAGGTAGTCTTCTAGTTTGATAGTCGGCTGGAATCGGGACACGACAATGCATTGTTCCACAGCAAAACTGCCCTGGCAGTCCTGGAATCTATGACGTTTCTCGGGCAATCAATCGTCCCTTCTCCACGACCTGTGCCTGGCATGAGGTGGGGCGGGATGACGTCGAGTTGGAGAACCACCACAAACCTCATCTACAAAAGCATGCTGAGATGGAGTTTACTACTCTCTGAAGGTCAAACCAATTCCTTAAACCAGCAATTATCATTATCACTTCAGACCATTACAAAATCACAATGCAGTCAAACGTCGGAAACCCCCAGGTGTACGAGGCCGGTGACCAGCGCAACGCCAAGACCACCGAGACAGGCTCAGGAACCCGCTACCATGAGGGGACAGCAAATGCGCACCTCCAAAACGACCCGAGTATGACTGTGCTTTACCAATGTTGGATAGCAATGGACAACAGCTAATGCGCCTCTAGAGGATCAAAGATCACTCTCCAACCGGGCAGCCGCTGAGGTGAGATGCTCCTTGACAGCATTGTCCTTTTACTCCAACTAACAATGACGTCAAGGTATCCGAGGAACAACAAGAGGAATCTCGTGAGACATCACTACACAAACAAGACCCAACGCTCCCGGTAAGATGAGAGAACTTCCGTTTGGTTAGACGAAGCAAAGGCACCTATTTCAATCGCTGACTTCATGCCCCCTACGTGTAGGCCAAGGCGCACGGGAACGAGCCGTCAAAAGGCGCCAAGATCGACGCCGAGCTGCAGGCCGAGGAGGAGGCGACGCTGAAAAAGAAGGGCGAGAACATGCCCGGGAAGAAAATGTAAAGATCAATTGGACCACGAGTGTATGGGTATGGGTGTCTTGATATGAAAATTCATTCAAGAATTGATTGGTTATTCGTGGCTCACCGCTTTGCCGTTAACTAGGTGAAGAAGGGAAAAGTCGAGCGCTGGTTTGGTGAGGAATGATGGGTTGCGCCACCCTGCCTGTCTATCAAGGTGCTCGCGCCTCCCAAGCCAACAGCAACAGCAGCATCCTCCAGGGTGCTCTTTCCCGTGCCAGAAAAGATGCAAATAAAGGAGCTCCCCGAGCCTGGGCCATTTCCAATTCAGTTCCGTTCTGACCTGCCAAATGAGACCCTGGAATTAATTGAGCAACGTGGACCTTCTTTATCGAACCAGCTCAGCGCTGTTTGTCAACGTCATCACCGCTAAACGGCACCTATCAATACCTCTTTTTACCTTCGCCAGCATCAGCAACAGCAACAACAACAACCACCACCTAAAACATGACTTCGACCGATATCGCTCCACACTCACCAGACAGCACCTCGAGTACTCAAACAATGCCCGAACCCTCCCAGACTCCGGAATATACTCCATTTGCATCAATTACCCCGTCACTCGCAGAAGAACCAACCATGTCTCCAAATCGTAGCACCCTCATCGTCCACACCTCCCTGCTCTTCGACCCCATCCAGAAAGCCTTTCTCGAAAATGTCTCCGTCGAGGTCAACACAGAAACCGGTGCCATTGTCCGCCTCCATCACCGCAACACCCCCGACCTCCCCTCACCCCTGTCAAGCCGTGACATCGACCTCCGCGACAAAGTCGTGCTCCCCGGCCTCGTCGACTCCCACACCCACATCTTCCTCCACTCAGACAAGTATGCCAACCTCAACCCGCCCCCCCCCCCCCTCCTTTTTAACCTCCACCCTCCCCCCTTTTCCACCATCCACCCCTCCATCCCAATTCTAACCCCCCCTTCTTACAGAGACCGATTCCACTCCCTCCAAATGCGCGACGAATCCGCCGTCGAGCGCACCGTGCGCGCGACCAACCACGCCCGCGCCGGCCTCCTGGCCGGCTACACGACCTACCGGGACCTGGGCACCGAAGCGCTCGGCAACGCCGACGCCAACCTGCGCGACTGTGTCAACCGCGGCCTGACGCCCGGCCCCCGCCTCTTCGTCGCCACCGAGGCGCTCGCCTCCTCGGGCGGCTACGAGATCCGTACTGAGAATAAGTTGACTCGTGGGGGGCCGCTGGGGTTGGGGTTGCCGCGCGCGGCGGATGTGGTGGATGGGGTGGAGGGGGGTGAGGGCGGGGGTGAGGAGGCGGGTCGGGGAGGGGGCGGATGTGGTTAAGTTTTATGCGGATTATCGGCGGAGGGTGATGCGGTTCCCGCCGGATGTGGCCGGGCCCGGGGGGAGGGTGCTGTTTCCGCCGGATCGGAGGGAGCGGAACCCCGCGGTGGTGCTGTTCTCGCAAGAGGAGATGGATGCGATTGTGGTGGAGGCGAGGATGGCGGATGTGCCGGTCGCTGCGCACGCTGCGGAGACGAGTACCGCGCTGATGGCGGCGAGGGCGGGGGTCACGACGGTGGAGCATGTGTTTGCGGATCGGGATGGGTGTATGGAGGCGATGGTGGAGGAGATGTTGGAGAAGGGGACGATTTGGGTGCCCACGCTTGCGACGGCTGAAGAGAGTTTTGGGGAGGACAAGTTTGATAGGTGTAAGAGGGCCGTGAAGGCGGCGCATGATAAGGGGGTGAGGATAGCCGCGGGCGGCGATACCGGGGATTTCAACCATGGCTTGAACTGCAGGGAGATGGAGATCATGATCGAGGCGGGCATTCCGATTGAAGACGTCCTCGTCGCGGCCACGCATACCGGGTGGCATGCCTGCGGCGGTGACGCGTCGGGATTCCGGTTCGGGTGGTGGGACGAGGGCAACCGGGCCGATATCGTCGCCCTGGACACGGACCCGCGGAAGGACGCCAAGGCGATGCGGAAAGTCAGCTTCGTCATGAAGGACGCCCGCGTGTGGAAGCGGGATGGCCGGCCCGTGGACATGTTCCCTGCCACGCAGTGGCCGGAGGAGGCTGCGGAGTCGAGCGAGGAAGAGTGCATCCAACTCAGGCAGAAGCCGGGAAGGGCGGCAACATTTGGGATCCCGAATCCCACGGCGTTGAGCATCCGCGGCTCTGGGAACCCGACTCCCGCTGCGTCGGATGTGGGCTGGGAGACCGACTCTTTTGACGTCAAGCTCGCTTGAAATGTCACATTCTTGGGCTAGTGCGTCATCTATACCCGATATCTTTGGCTACAAAAGGTTAGATAAAACGGCGTTGGTACAACTAGACCGCCTGTCCGCCGGTTCGGATGGCCTGGCGCTCCTATATTTATGGTTAGGTAGAGCTAGAAAAAATAGAGGTTCCATCACAGTTTCTACAATACTTACACCTAAGATGGTTGGTTACCTTCTTTTGACCCGTACGATGGTTGCATTACGGTAACAAAAGTTCATTCTGGAAGGTATTACTTTATTTCATGAAGGCGTCCTGCATTGGGACTTTCGAGAACCGATCTGTGTTCGGTGTCCGATGGCGTCTCACAGGACGAGGTCCCACAACCGCAGTCTCTTACCTTGGTAGTGGAATCTGCGGAAGCGTTCTGTCAGAGCTTTTGTAAAGCCTCATAGGACGGCCAAGGAGGACAATACTCGAACAAGTCTAACGGTAACATTCATCCTGTTACTCAAGATCGAGTTCCGCGGAATTGGACATATAACTCTGAGATTTTGCGCAAGAATTGGTACGGTTGGGAGACTGTAGGGAAGTTCTCGGGTAGATTACTTGTGTCCCGTCTTCCAAAATAGTATCGGGGGGGTAGGAGGCGGAGGTTAATCTTTGTTCTTGCAGGCCGTGTTGTGAAAGCAGGTCCGTCGACGGTCAGGGGTCGGTCAAACAAACACTCCATCCCGTCCCACGGCACGTAGCTACATGTTTCACAAGGGAAACACCCAAAGAGTACAATCTCAAGAGATAAATGGTTCTGAAACGACATCTATGCTACGAGGGACGCCAAGTCCGACATGTGAAAGTGCCGCCTTGCCATCAAACCTCAACCACGCGACACGGAACCAGTTACACCACCACCCACCTTTGTACGAGCAACCCGTTTTGGTGACTGATTTTGAAAGTACTAAACCGCCACCATGCGCAGTCTGGACCATTCTCCAACCCTTTCAAGTCTCTCTCCTCTTCCCCCCCTTCTCCCCCCCTTTCCCAACTCCCATCCCACAACCACCACCACAACAACAGCAACAACCACCATGAAACTCCTCCCCACCCTCCTCACAGCAGCAGCCCTCGCCCTCAGCACCACTGCCCTTTCCCCCTCCTCCCCACCCCCCACCACCAACAAACGCAACCCCATAACCTACAACCCCCCAACCTGGGACAACGCCTCCCTGCTCCTCCTCGGCGAGCGCTTCCTGCTCTTCGGCGGCGAGGTGCACCCCTTCCGGCTGCCCGTCCCGTCGCTCTGGCACGACGTGCTCGAGAAGACCAAGGCGCTGGGCCTCAACACCGTGTCCTTCTCCGTGCCGTGGGCGCTGCTGGAGGGGAAGCCCGGTGAGTTTAGGGCCGAGGGGGTGTTTGATGTCGGGAAGTTTATGGAGGTGGCCAGGGAGGTGGGGGTGTGGCTTGTGGCGAGGCCGGGGCCGTATATTAGTGAGTGTTTTCTTTTTCTTTTTTTTTTCCTGGGGGTTGTGTCTTTGGGGTTTGGGGGTGGTTGGCTGACGATGTGGGGGGTAGATGGGGAGGTTACTGGGGGTGGGTTGCCTGGGTGGATTCAGAGGTTGAAGGGCCATCCGAGGACCGCGGATGTGGATTATTTGGCGGCGACGGATAAGTAGGTTGTCTCGGGGTGAGGTGGTGTGGGAGCCACTAGCTAACACGCTGATAGTTATGCCGCGAAGATTGGGGCCATCATCGCCAAGGCTCAGATCAACAATGGAGGGAAGGTGATCTTGTATCAGCCCGAGAGCGAATACAGGTATGTGCTCATGGTGGCATCCGAGTTGGGATGGCAGTAACTAACAACTGTAGCGTCTCGAGAACACTGATCGGTTTCAACTTCCCGGACCCCGGATACATGCAGTACGTGGAGGACCAAGCCCGAAGAGCAGGGGTTGTGGTCCCCTTTATCAACAACGACGCATGGAACGCGGGTCATAACGCGCCCGGAACCGGCGTGGGTGAGGTTGACATATACGGCCAAGATCTGTACCCTCTCGACATCAACTGCGACGATATGGCATGGGATAAGGGCTCGCTGCGAGATAGTCTGTACTCTTCTCACCTCAATACCAGCCCGTCGACGCCCTACGCAATGCCAGAGTTCCAAGGAGGCGTGGTTGATTATTGGGGCGGCTCGGGGTTCGCTCGCTGCGCAGAGAGGTTCAACCACGAACAGTCCCGCGTCTTTTACAAGAACAACTTTGCGGCCGGCGTCAAGATCTTCAATCTTTACATGGTAGGCTAGTCTTCTATGAAGCTTTAGACTGTGACTAACACGAACAGATATACGGGGGCACCAACTGGGGAAACCTGGGCTACGACCGCGGATACACTTCCTACGACTATGCTGCCGTATGAACCCGCCCTCATAGCATACACTCCTTATCCCTAACCATGAAAACAGGCCATCGCCGAAGACCGCACCATCGCCCGCGAAAAGTACTCGGAACTCAAACTCCAAGCCCAATTCTTCAAGGTGTCCCCGGGCTACCTCGAGGCCACCCCCGATCTCAAGCCCACGCCGGGCTTTTACAGCCCCAACCAAGAAATCACAGTGACGGCCGTCGTCGGACCCGAGGGATCATTCTACGTCACCCGCAAAACTGCCTACAAAGACCCGGGCCCTGTCAGCTACACCCTCAAACTGCCCACATCCAAGGGCGTAATCACAATCCCGCACCTGGGCGGCACGCTTACGATGCCCGGGCGCGACACGCGGATCCACGTAACCGACTACCCAGTCGGGGATACAACACTGGTGTACTGCACCGGCGAGGTCTTCACATGGCAGGAATACGAAGGCCAGACCATCCTGGTAGTGTACGGTGGGATGGGCGAGACACACGAGCTGTTGATGAAGCGGACTGCCTTGGGTATGTTCACGAAGACGAGCCCCGGCGTGAAAACCAAGCAGGATGGCCAGCACCTGTATGCGCAGTGGAAGACGACAGAGGACGAGGAGCAGTTCATCCGCGCTGGGAATCTCTACATCTACCTCATTGGTAAGTCCACCTCCCTATCAACGCCAACAACGCACTCCCAGCTAACCCCTTACCATCCAGCCCGTGAAGCGGCCTATAACTTCTGGGTGACCGACCTCCCGGGCCACAGCCCACTGATCATCCGCGGCGGGTACCTCGTCCGGTCCGCCAAACTCGACAGCGACGGCACGCTCGCCATCCGCGCGGACTTCAACCGCAGCACCGCCATCGACCTCCCCCGGGGCGTCAACACGGCCCTGCTCGAAATCATGGGCGTCCCCCGCTCCGCCAAATCCGTCACCATCAACAGCCACCCCACCACCCACACCCTCAACACCGCCCCCAACGGCAACAACCACTGGCTCGTCCGCACCGATTTCCAACCCCCATCCATCACCCTCCCGGATCTCCCAACCCTCCCCTGGCGCTACCTCAACACCCTCCCCGAACTCTCCCCCTCCTACACCGACGACCACCTCTGGCCCCTCGCCAACCACACCACCACCAACAACACCTACCTCCAAACCCCCTCCACGCCCACCTCCCTCTTCGCAGCCGACTACACCTTCCACGCCGGCGGCGCCCTCCTCTTCCGCGGCCACTTCACCGCCACCGGCCACGAGACCACCCTCACCCTCCAGACCCAAGGCGGGGTAGGCTTCGCATCCCTCGTTTGGCTGAACGATACCTTCCAGACGGACGCCGCGTGGGCGGGGAACAGCACGGCGGCGTTCAAGCGCGCGACGTGGCCGGTGCGGCTGGTGGCGGGGGGCGCGATATGTGTTGACGGTGGTGGTGGATAATATGGGGAATGCGCAGAATGGGTTGGTGGGTGGGGATGAGATGAAGGCGCCGAGGGGGATTATGGATTATAGGTTTGGGATGGGGGGTGGGGGTGGTGGTGGTGGGGGGGAGGCGCCGGAGGTGGAGTGGCGGGTGACGGGGAATTTGGGCGGGGAGGACTATAGGGATGAGGTGAGAGGGCCGTTGAATGAGGGCGGGTTGTTTGCGGAGCGGATGGGGTATCACCAGCCTGGGGTGCCGGAGGGGGAGGGGGGGTTTGTGAAGGGGAGGAGTCCGTTGGATGGGATTGAGGAGCCGGGGGTGGGGTTTTGGACGGCGGAGATGGTGTTGGATATTCCGGGGGAGAGGTGGGATGTGCCGTTGAGTTTTGAGTTCCCTGGGATTGATGCCGGCGGGGGATCGGGGCGGTATCGGGCGGTGTTGTGGGTGAATGGGTTCCGTGAGTTTTCTCCTCTCCTCTCCTCTCCTCCCCTCTCCCAACCAGTCCTTTTCTCGAGTGATGTCTGTCTGTCTGTCCCAAGGGGGTATCACAACTGAATTCACCGTACCCCCGAGACATGCATCGCATATGCACGGGAAGCTACCTGCTCCAGCCTACCTCATCTAACTTGCTCCGGCGCCGTCCCACCTAACACCGCCAGCCATATCCCAATACCTACTAACGAACACCTGCCGACAGAATTCGGGCGCTACATCAGCCATATTGGCCCGCAGACGTCCTTCCCCGTGCCCGAGGGCATCCTCAACTACCACGGGACTAACACGATTGCGATCGCCATTTGGGCAACTCAACCCGGCGGCGCCCGCCTCTCGTCGCTCAGCTTGAAGGCCGGGACGCCCGTGCTCACGGGCCGACAACCGGTTGTCAACGTCGCGGCACCGGCGTGGACGGCAAGACCCGGGGCGTACTAATTGACGATCTGATCCTCTCCCCGCACCTCTTTTTTTTCGGTTAGTTAGCGGTGTCAGTGAGAAACAATTGGATATTTCCCCTTTTGTCCTCCCGATTCCGTCTCCATGGGGCGGGGTCGTTCCCAATCCGGCACGCCGTGCAGTTTTTGTCTTGCAGTAGTCCGCGTACCTGCATACTTAGACTGGAGAGGAGCGAGGGGTATTCTGCGCGGCAAGACAGGAACAGGTCTAGTTAGCCTTTTTGGATGGGGACCGGGGTCAATATTTGCGGTGAGGCGGCGGTCAGTTGACCCCGGATTTGGGTTGTTGCCCAGCCGAAAACAAGAAAAGAATGAGAAACATCGTGTTTCGGTTCGCTTCGGAACTCTCTCGGTTGTGCTGTACCCCTGTCTGGCTGGCGGCGAGGCTTGGCCTGGGGTTTGGTGGCTTTTTCGCTGCCCGTCATCATCTCGCTCTCGCGGGAGGTCCCCAGGCCGAGTGTGCCAGGCTGGCGGGCTGTCGGCGGGGGTGGGAGGAGTGGCAGTGTGGCACAGCAACAAAGACATTGGTCGCCGAACCAGCCCGGGCACCCGGGCGACCAAGTTGGTCACTGTGCCTGACCCGAATGCGGGGAGCCGGGGCGGCAGTGGCGGATGTGAGAACCAGGCTGCCAGGCTGGCCGGCTTGGGGGCGTTACGAGACAATTCAATACAGTACGCTAACTCTCAGAACGGGCAAGGGGAAATGAAGGGACCGTTGATTCTTTGACTCGAAAGTGATGGGTGAGACATGATGCACACCGTAGACCTTTGTTCGGCTCACCGCTTTTGAGCTGGATGCCGACTCACTCCCGAACGGTGAAGTGGGTGCCGTGGTGTGGTGCGGTGTGGTGTGGTACTCGGTGTGGTGTGGTACTCGGTGTGGTGTGGTGGCGTGGCGCCGTCACGTCAGCGGAGCAATCGTTGGTGATGAAGGCCAAGGAAGGACCTCTCAGCCTTGCATCGTGTTGCGAGGAACCTGGACACCCTCAGCAGGAAAAAACCAAGGCAAGATTCATCAGCGGGTGTTAGCCGCAATTTCTGCGTTGCCACGCGTGACCGTCAATTGCAACCAGATTTCATGGCGATGCGACGTGACGAGCTGAGGAAGGGCTGCAAGGGATGCGCAGAAAATGCGGGGGATGAGAGCTGGGAAAATCGAAAGTCCCGGGGTGGCACAGGTGGGAAAGGGAAAGGGAAATGGAAGCGTGGAAAGGTTGCATTGGCAAGGACCAGGGACAGGGGGCTAAACCCGATCGAGGTTGACAACCAAGCAATGCCAAGCATCGTGAACTTCCGAGTCCAGCGGCAAACACCGAAGCTCGGAGCACAAGGAGGGTTGTTGAACATCGGACGGGAGCATAGCTCGGGTCTGGATTTGGCGGTGTAGATAAGCCACAGGCACATACGAGGTCAGGCGAACACCCGGGGGATTTGGTCCGAGAGGCGAAACGGTCACAAGATGATTGGAAGGATGGGAAGGAACGTTTGGGATCAAGTTCGGACTTTTTGGGATCAGATGGTTTCGATCAATTGTGTTTTTTGTGTTTCGCCAGCGCTTGTAGGCGCCCCGACTCCTAGCTATGTGACATGCGAAGATAAGGCTAAGAAATAGTGGTATCGTAGTGTATACTCCCCTCCGTGACTCCAGTAAATGCCAGAAACAAAGGGAATGCGTACACCGTCCGTTGTACGTTCAAGTCCAAATCCAGGCCCACCCAAAGTCCCGAACCCATCCGTAATGCGGGATCTGTCCTGCCAGTAAACCCAAGAGGTATCTCGTAGGAAATCCCAATACCGGCCCATGCTAGTCCATGCAATGCAACGCTCACCACCGCCAACCCATTAAACAAGATAAAGTAAAGAAGAAAGAAGAGAAGAGTAAAACGGCGCCAGATCAAATCTCAAAAGTCTCGTCCTCTCCAGCCAGCGGCGAGCCCGAGTTGACGAAAACAATACCCCGCCGCTTCCACCCGCCACGCCGGATAAAAGACTCTGCCTCGTCGGCCCCGTCGTCGTAGCACGGCCGGGGGCGGGGCCGGGACCTGAGCGCGGGTGCAGGGGAGAGACCGAGACCCAGACCCATCTCCTCGTCCGAGGGCTCGCCGAGGCTAAAGCTGCTCTCGCTGCTGGCGTCGCTGGGCGTAGGGGAGGGCGCTCTCCTCATCATGTTGCTGGCGGCGGCGGCCTTGGTCATGACCCGGGTTGGGTTGTTGTTGAAGCCAAAGTCGAACCCGTCGTAGATGACGGTGCTCTGGGTGGGTTGGTGGTGGGACGTTGACGGCCGACGGAGGCCCTGGCTGGAGCGGGCATGCCGCAGCTCATGCGGCTGGTACCGTCTGGAGGTGCTATCGCTAAAGGCGTCCTGGAGCGGCGGAGACGGGCCCGAGCTGAGTGATGGGTGCAGCCGGAGGGGATCCCAGTCGATGGAGAGGTCTGTCCGGCGGGAGCTCGTTGAGTCGAGCGAGGGCCGAGACTGCGAGCTGGCGTCGCTCGGGACGTGCCTGTGGTGGTGATGCATCTCTTCCTGACTGCTGAGAGAGTCTGCTGTGCTGTCCTTGCGTTGCTTGTGACTCCTGTGGCTCCGGAAGCTACGGAGGAGGCTGTGGTGGTGGTGATGGGTTGGGGTAGGTTGGATGCCACACAACATCACGCGGGATGTATAGACTTTTTAAGGTAGATTGCTTGTTATTGGGTGTAGTTGGTAGTCGACTGTTGTCGGTTGGAGTTGGGCCAGATAGTATTCATGGCTGTGTTGGTGATGTGAAGATCCAAGGCTGAGCAAGTCCAAAGCCGGACGGGTCGGGGAGGGTATTATACGAAGTAAGCAGAGCAGGTCCTGCAGGTCCCGCACCCCCCCGGAGCCTTTGTGCCTGACGACAAGTTCTGGGCCGATGGGGCCGATCGCCGAATATGACGGAAATGTGGTACCTTGCAGGGGCACCAGGGCCAGGTAGGGGGCAGGGGTTGAATGGGGAAGAGAGAGAATCGAAGAGGATCGGGCGATTATTGGCGTGTGGCTGACCAAAAATGGCAAGACCGGGTGTGTGACCTGTGTCGTCGCTGCACACCGTCTCAGCCATGCTGCATGAAGACCAAAAATGAGGACCAGAGGCGTATCCGCAGTAATGAACTCCGCGATCGAAGCTGGCATCGTGTTCCCATAGCAGACAAAGCCACTTCATCAGCAACCGCAACCGCAGCCGCAACTGCAACCTCCCGCAGGAAAACAATACGCAGTAACTGCTGACTTGCGCCAACAAGACACCCACACAAATTGTTGTCTCTGACACAAAGAGCCACGTTCCTGCTCCTGAAACCGTCATCGAGTAGAAAGATAAACAACTGATTGGCATCAACCACCAACCAGCGCCGGCTTGCATCATATCGATCCCCAGAACCGCGCGCAGAAATCGACCACGTCGACGTCATGGAGTGTGCAGAAACATCCTTCAAACCCCACTGCCCAGACACTCTCACAGAGCCTGTCTCCCTGGGCAGCTGGTTCCAGGTGGGGCATTCGGCGAGCGGGGCCGCTGATCTGTGCGCCCCGCGCACGTCCCATAATGCCCTGCCCAGACCAGCCCTGGAACATCCTGCCCCAGCCTGCGCATCAGCGGGTTTGCCCCTCTAAGCGCATGGACTCGCCCGGTCGAACGACCTGGACCCCGCGGCCATCTTGAGGTCGACCCGTCGTCAATGGCCATCGACTGGGCGAAACCTGGGGAAAACCCACCTATCTCGATGGGCTGGCCTCGCCCAACGGCCCGGAGCAGATCGCAAGCAGGGCGCAGCGTAGCAGGAGAGCGATAAGCAACCCCAGCGATCGTGAAGCACGCTTGAACAGTTCGGTCGTGTTGTCGCCCCTTCACCGCCAGTACCCCCGATCCCGAGGATTTCCTGCTGCGCCTAGGGTGTGGCAAAGGGAGAAGAGCTCATTTCAGGACCGCGTGGCATCTGCTCATGGGACCTGAAAAGCCCCCCGAGGGTTTTCTTTGACCAGGAAAGCCTCCTGCCTTCGTGATTGGCAGGTTCTAAATTGGGTATCAGCCACCAGATGCACGACTTGTTCCAGCAGTGCGGTTGATCCGTCGATCGCTTGTCGGATGCCTGTGCGCAGTGTGCGGAAACCGTCGAATAGGAGCCGCTTTCCCGTTGCTTGGCGGCGAGTTCGAACTTGGCACGTCTTGCGGTTACATTCGAAACAAGAAAGACAGGGACAGGGTTAAGACGGCAAACAGGAAACACGGGCCATCATCAAAGTCCTTCTCTCGATGTAGGCCGGCCTCGTCCGGAGTCATGACCCGGCGGAGATAAAACTCCAAGATGCGGGAGTCGAGAAACTGCCCTATCGTCTTCCCATCGGCGGTTTCCGATCAGTATTTCCAACCCGGAACACACTTGGAGCGTTGGCGCCGAAGTCTCGAATTTTCACCATCAAGGGTTCCTCGTCGGTCCCATCTCTCAGCATAAACTCTACTCCGGTTGGACCGCAGATTCTGCCAGATCGCATGATCCTGGGGCGTCAGAGCCTTTGAGCGTTATCGTCAGTCATTGCCAGGGGGTAGCGAGCACGCTCTGAATCGCATCTGGGGTACTGAATCGAACGGTCGGGGGTGTCTGGCATGACCGTTGGGCAATGGTGGCGCCGCGACAGCCATTCGCCACCGCCGAGAGTATTTTCATGCCGAGCAGGACCGGAATCCAGACAAGTCGGCTCGCGGTCGGCCAAACCCCGATTACTATTCAACTTTTTCCATCCGGTACCTTGGAGATAAGCCTTCTCATGACGCAGCGACAGGCACCGCCGCATCCCCCTGAAACAGGAAGGAACCCGAGTGCGCCAATGAGCATTCATCGATGATGCAAGCACGGCCAGCAAACATGGAAACAAACAAGCACAAGGTACGGAAACGGTATGTAATAGGTATCTGAATGTTTGTGACATTACTGGGCCACCGGAGCGGCCGCATTCCTAGCCATCACAGGCATCAGCACACCATCTTTGTGTCCTTTCTTGCCCTAGTATCGATGTCCCCGAACTCGAGTTCCCGTGACGGCTCTTAGCAGCCGCCATCATTGATCCATTGTTACCGACACGCAGGTACCCGTGAGTGCCGTGGTAGATCTGCCCGTCTCGGGCGGCCCGATGCTGCAGCTAGCCTTCAGACACGGCTGAATGCAGACTTTGGCTAGAACACACAAAGTTTTGCTTAACTCTCAATATTGAAAGCAATAACCCGATCGCCTCCCGAGTCCTCGGCGCTTTGTTTCTGTAACACTAGCCGGCGTTCTCAGAGATGTACCCCCCTAGCGCCAAAGACATTGACCGAGGGCTTATGCATCGCCCCGAAGTGCTTCGCATGGCTGAGGAGGAAGGATCGGGCGTCTAGAACGGCAGGTGACGGCGAATTCCAGCCAAATTTGGCATCAGGCGTATTGACCGATCGATATGTGATCCCTCCCATGCAGGAGCCCGTCCCGCCCGAGCTGCAGTTTGCGCCTAAGTTCGGTGCTGGATCCCTGTAGAGGGACGTCTGAACTGTGCTCTGGGCTCGCGATCGAGACGCGATAAGCAAAATCGATCCAGGGGAGCTTTTCGTCCGCCGATGGCGCGTAGCGGCACCATGTACCTACCACAGTAGACCATCATATCATCGCATCTCGCCTCCCTCTATCGCGTGTGGCTTCGGTTGTACGCCTCGCCTCACAGGATACCGTCGCTCTCCCCCTTCAGCCGCTTCACCCGCTTCTGCTCCCAGTTGTCGTTATCCTTGGCAGACAATCGCTACACACAGATCGCATTAGCCATCACATTTACTCACCCCCCACCAACCCAAGACCAAGAAAACAACAAGACAACAAAAAGAGAGAGATAACAAAACGCACGTAATACTCCTCCCTAATATCCACCTTCCTCCCGCCCCTCCCCACCCCGAGTTCCTCATCCCGCGTGAGCGTGCGCACGCGGCGGTCGTGCCGCTCGTACCGGATCGCCGTCGCCGGCGTCAGCACGAAGGACGCGCCCACGATCACGCTCAGGAAGGGCAGGCCGAACAGCAGGAACGGCCGCCGCGCCATCTGCGCCCGGTACCGCGCCCCGAGCGTGTCGGCCGCCGCGCCCGAGGTGGGGCGGTATTTGCGGTTGGGGAAGACGCCCATTTTTTATTCTTATTCTTTGGGGGTTGGTTGGGGCGGGTTCGTCCGTTGGTTCGTTCGTTCCTTCGTTTCGTGGGTTGGGGGTGTGGTGTGCTGTGCTGTGGGAGGTGTGCGGGTCGGCGGTTCGATGGGGTTGTCGTGAGAGGTTTGGATTGACTTTGTCGATTCAATTCCATGACGGAAGCTTGGGCAAGCTTTGGTGGGGCCGGGTCGGGGGTGGTGAGTAGGGTTAGGGTTACCTTGGTAAAGATGAAGGCAGACCTGAGTGAGAGTTACTTTCATGTCAAGCTCGGAAATAAATAAATGAGACCTCTATTCATAGATTGTCCCTCCAGGTCAGGTTGCTGTGTATCCAAGCCCGCTCAGTACTAACACAACCTCCCTGCCCAACCCAGGGACACCCTGCAGTCCTAGGATCTCGTCTACCTAACATGGAGGTAATATCCATCGTCGTAATTATGTCTTCTTCTGCTGCTCCTAGGGGGTCTATCATCGTATTCGCGTTCTTCTGCTATTATTACCAGATGACCGATTGCTGAATGGCCTACTATCTGAATACCAGCTACCGCTGCTCATACTGAGCGACGACATGGCATGATCGAGCCCAGAGATCGAGTGGCCAGTATGATGTGGGCTGAGGGGCGGAGCGAAGGCATCTCGTTCATAGCATGTCCGGCGTGAAATAGGACCCCGTCCTCGGTGGGGAAGTCCCATACACTAGGTCTCCCATTTCTCGGGCTTTGGGTGAACGCTTGCCACCAGTCAGGCGAGTCCCTTGCTCCGTAAAGCTGCATCTTTTGATGGAATATGCATCTAGGAATGGTACATTCGAAAACGTAGTATACCTGGTCAACAGTAGGGTAGCGAAGTGTTGCGACTAGGCACCTGCCGTCCTCTGTCCGGGAGAAATATGTATATACACGACGGCAACCATTGTTCATGCGGCCACATTCTGCTGCTGATTCACTTTCCCTTGGCCGCTTGCCACAGGAGGCTTGCCATTCCGCTGTACCGCACATTAATGTTCCAATGTTATTGTTTCAAGACTTAAGTCACTCACACTAGTGTTGCGCTGTTAGCACGGTAGTCCCGCACAATATTTGAATCTTGAGCACGAGGAATAAAGTCTCTAGTTGTTACTCTTTCGATCAGTTCGTTTGGGACTTGATGTACCTATGTCCAACTCGGTGATTTTCTTTGATCCACCCTGGCGCTCGGCATTGTGCGCAATAGGACAGGTAACCTCACAATTAAAGGTATTGGGAATTTAATATCACACGCCTCGGCCTATTCTGACAGAAATGTTGACATTATTGGGAGTCTCTATGTAACTATCTCCCAAAGCGCTGTCCTCGCTCTGGGACAATCTATATAGGGGTTAGGGTTCCCCTGAATGAAAGGGGCAAACGGGGCAAAGTAAACAAACTCGGGGGAAGCCCTCAGGTGAAGCAGGCAGTAAGGGCTCTGCGGCATGCAACTCCGCAATCCATGCCGAAACGTCCATGTTCACCCTTTTTATAAGCCTCGATCACTTCTCAGCATCGATGATAGAGACATTCCAGAGTCAACTACCTATTACCGTCGTAACTTATATACCTGCCTACTCGAATCTGCTATAGGGAACATCTCTACTCTACGTATTAAATTTAGACGCCGGTACACACATGTTACAGGCAACGCCCAAAGAAGGTTGGGGGAGTGGAATAGGCATATTGCCGATTCACCCTCCGGCCCCTAGGAAAAGAGCTTTTCGTCCAGGGCGGGCAAACCACATCCAGTATTCTCAAACACAAACTGGAGCTCTTCCACCCCTCCTCTATTTGCACTTGACCGGGTGGCTGCGGCATCGGGGGGCGCCGGAGTAGGTAATAGGTAGTCCGGCCGAGATCACCGTGCTAGCCCTCCCCCCTCCCCCCCGCTGTTGGGATGGGCGTACGACGGCGGGTGTTTCCTGCCCTCCCATCAAGCCCTGCCAGCGCACTTGGAATCGGAAAACTCTGCGTTAGCTTTTTTTTCTCGTCGGAGACCGTCCGAGCCTCCTAGCGAGGAGTGAGAACAAACCTGGTTTGTACGTTGGTATTGAAGAATACCTATGAATGAAGAGTGGTATGTTGAACACCCACGTCCAGTATCCAGTCGCGTCTCCAAATTAGGGACATACCTGGGATGATAAAATAGAGGGGAAAACGGTGTTGGTGCTCATCACAACTTGGAAGCGATGGGAACGGCCTTTGGGACGCACCACTTATATAAAGTAAGGCTAAATCAACTGGACACCGCATAATCAGAGTATGATAAAAAGGCCTTTCTTTCCTTCTTCTCCATTAATTGGAACTAAAACACGCCTTATTGATGCACTGTATGTTTCCAACTTTTCTTGATTTCCCCGGGGTATCTCTCTCAGGGTTGCTCGGGACCACACCAACCTACCAGTTACTGGTCTGGTGTTGCCCGGGCAGTTAACGGTTGGTCCGTCTAAACTTGGCTGCCGCCTAACACTCGGCCCAACCTTGAAAGTTCCAGGTTGGCACTCAAAAATTGCAGCGCATCTGAACTTCCTTCATTTCCAGGTTGTTAACCACATCAACAGCCCTCGCCTTTATTAATTGTACCGCGTTGCCTCTCGTCAGTAACACACAGCAAGCCCTCCACCTCGCACCACATCACCCCCTCAGTTACGGCACAATGAAGGGGCACAGCATCCCTGACACCACGGTGACAGACTCCTCAAAGCAGACAACCCCGGGTTTCCTGCGCCTCCCTCCTGACGTCAGGGAACGCATCTTCCGGCACCTTGGTATGGCAGGGTGGGAGGGCGACAGGCGCAGTGTTGACCTGCATGGCCGTGCCAGCATGTACGGGGTCCCGCCTTCCAGATTCTACGGACTGCTGCTGTGTTGTCGGATCATCTACGCCGAAGCAACAGCGCTGCTGTGCTCGACCAACCGTTTCTTCATCTACTACTCGGGCCCAGGGTCGCTCAAGCCTTTGCACGCCCTGACCCCCACGTCACTCGCATCTTTGGGCCATCTCAAGGTCATTCTCAACCAGGCCTCTTGTCATCAGCCAAGCAGCGAGTGGTACGGTTACTGGTGTTGCCGTGGGAAAAGGAGGATCGACGAGTATGATTGCAGTAACGCTGCCCACTGCAATATATCTCAGCACAGTGGACGACACCGTCACCCGTTGGCCAATCGCGCCCCATTCGACTATGAAGGCGATTGGCGAAACGCCCAAACTGTTCTTGACGAGTGGCAGGCGGCCGCCGCCTATATGTCGCCCCATATCAGCGCCGACCAGTTGCAGCTTTCCCTCGTCTGCGACATCGACCATGAGCAGAAGGACTCAATCGGCGTGGCCGAGCAGGTTGTGGCGCCCTTACAACTCCTACCGCGACTCAAGACCTGTTCTGTGCGGCTTTGCGCAACGCCCACTCGTCAGCTCCGGCAGCTGGCCCGCGATGCAGCTCTGCGGGCCCGCGGTTTCACTAATCCATACTACAACCCTCACCCCGCCCTGACAACTCTCACTACCTTACCACGTGAACTACGCCTTCGCATCCTGGAGTACACAGACCTTATTACCCCTTATAAAGAAGTCGGGTGGAGCAGAAGCTACGGTGCATACTCTGTTTATAAGCGGAGTTGCTTGGGTGATGATTACATGCGTTGTGTATTTCCGAATCATCACGGATGCCAGTTTACAATGTGCTCGGAGGCACCTGGTCTTTCCGACGGTTGTTTTTGCCGCCGTCGCCACTCCGCGTTTTCGCTAGAGTGTAGATGCTGGACTCCTCCCGGGCCCGCCTTGTTTCTAGTCTGCCGCACCTTATGCCAGGACGCACAATTCGTTTTCTTCTCGGGGAACCGCTTCATAGTGGGCGACTCGAAACTAGGGAAGTGTGGCCACCTTCCAGAGGCACCGTCTGTATGGTTGAGTGGACGCGACACTCAGCCTGCTGGCTCCTACCCTTACAACCGCTTTGCTATCTCTCAGTTCGTAAAGGAAATCGTCCCGGTCCATTGTCTCGCCTACATCCGCTTCCTCGAGCTAGTCTTTCCCCCGTATTACCATCACGTCTGGCCCCGGCCGGAACACCCTGCGATGAAGAACTGGCATGCCACGGTCCACTGGCTCAAGGATAAGATCAACGCTCCCGGTCTCACCGTGAGGCTCGTAATGGCGGATGTGGACGGCGGGCTCTTGGAGTCGGATCGCGGCCGTTTGACGGAACTCGAAGGAAAAGCGATCGTAAGAGCCTACATGAACATCTCGAGTCCTCTGAGACACTTAACCGCCGGGAATGACGGACTCGCCATGTTTTATGCCCAGTTCGCATATCCCTGGGCATGGACCGACGTTACAAAGAACTGGGTTAGACGGCATGGCCACGATCGGCGCGGGTGGGTCGAGCCTGAAGAACGAGAACTTGAGGATTTTGCAGAACGCTACGTTATGGGTGCCCGGTATGACAAGCTTTATGGCGATAACAGAGAGTTACCAGACAAGAGCATGTGGCAGTTCTGGGGCATTCTCGGGTATTGATCGAGCATTCTCGTGGGAGGGCCCCCTCTGTAATATAGTCAATTTCTCGAGGACGAGCAATTTCGTATGCCTCAAACCCCCCATGACTGAACTGTGATTGGGACATTGCCGGAAGTTTTCTACCATGCGGCAATCAAGTCTACCTTCTACGTGCTAACCAACCAGGGCATCCCAACACAGACTAATCCACCACAACCACGGCCGACACCCATCACATACACAACCTGTCTGCAGACCGACGGTGTACATACAACCTCGCATGCAACCTGTCCGCCAGCCAACCTCCCCCGAGGAACATGGCACGACGGGGCCGCTGTCCACTCACCCACCTCCCGCCACGCCATCACGTCCCCCCCCAGAGATTACCGTGCCTGTTATCGACCCACCACCTCCCGCGACCTTCCGCGATCCTGCTCACTCAGCCCATCCTTGCCCGTAGCCTGCGCCAGGCCCAACGCTGTTGCCGGAATACGAATACAAAGCCAAAAGGTTTGCGGGCTGGGACCCGCACAAATTCTGGATCATCGAGGCCAATACGAGAGTCTCCGTATTCCGCTGCCACGGTTGAGGTATGGCTGCCTCACCTTACTTGGCAGCAGGAAAAGGTCCGCGAGGGCGCCAGGATAGGATGGTAGCTAGATAAAGCGGGTTGGCTGGTCGGAGGTGTATGCGGGGGTTGTCGGGGTGGAAAATGGGTTTGTCTGTTTAGCGGGGTAGACATGGAGTGAGTGATGGGAGCGGAATGCACACCCAATGTTAGTAACGTCGCAATAAATGAGAAAGCGAAGAAAATGCCAAAGCCGGAACGAGTTGATTAACAAGGTGAAATTTGCCCCGCGGCCAGGGGCCGTCCCTCAGCGCTCAGGCTATCTACAATGCTAGAGTACACAAAGAAAAAGGGAAATCGGGCAGCAAGGCGTTTATAGCACCGAGAGGTCGCCGAATCTCTCCTGTTGGCGGCATCAGTATTGCAGACTAAGCGGGCGGGCTGGAGAAAACCGACCTTGTACCCCGGCACGGACCAGCGGCCCTTGGACACGAGCTTGGAGGTCTTCTCGTCGATGCTGGGCTCGGCGGCGGCGACCTCGTCGACGGTGAGGTCCTCGAACGGCCGGGCGTCCTCGATGTTCTTGAGCGTCTTCTCCAGGTCCTTGAGCTCGAGGTCGACCTTCTGCTTAGTGGCCTGGGCGTTCTGGACGGCCTCGACCTCGAAGGCGTCGATGGCCTTGAGCTGGCGGGAGAGGTCGTAGGTGGCGGGCTGGAAGGCGTTGAAGCGCTTCTCGATCTCGTTGACGATGGCCTGGTTCTTGAGCACGGCGCGGTACTGCGAGAAGTCGACGGCGGTCGGCTGCTCCGAGAGGAGCTGGACCTTGCGGCGGACGTCGTCGTTGCGCTTCTTGAAGGCCTGGAGGCCGGCCACCGTCTGGCCGCGAAGGCCGAGGGACGTCGTGATCTTGGCCCAGTCGACCTTGAGAGCTGCGCTTCGCTGTAATTTTTCGAAGGTAGAAACACGAAATTAGCTCAGTTCCGCACCTCCTCGAGCGCTGCAGCGCCAGCTTCCGGATGCGCCCCAATGGAGTCCGACACCAATACACATATGGAGTGAAAGCTCCAATTGATTCGGGGGACTTACTGCGGCCATTTTTGCGGTGGTTCGGAGGTGATCGGGAGTGGGGAGTTCAATCGCTGTCGTTGCTTCGAGTTTGCCGAGTGCAAGCAACGTCTGCCGGCGCGAGCTACGGTCACGTGATTGTTTACGGAATGAACCGGCGGTGCGACTCCTTTCAGGGTTCCTCAAAATATTTACCTATCAATTGACACCAGTCTCCGTCTTCCAATCACGACCGTAAAAGATCAAACCAGGAGGTGAGGTTCAAACTAACGGCAAATGTGAGCCATGGGTAGGTGGCGCATACAACTCTTGAGACTCCAAAAACTCGAACGGACAAGCATCACGCAACAGCAAGACGCAGAAACGAAACATGACGGAACAGCTTGTATTTTAGCGACTCAAATACGGCCGCTAACTGACCAGCAACGGAGATCGAACACCGAGAACCGGCAGAGCTTCTTGTCCGCGAAAATGTACCCGAAAATCCATGGACAACCCCAGCGCCCGTCAAAGACTAGACACTCAATGCCATGATTGAGTTGACTATATCGTTGTCGTTTTCTTTCAGCGCTTTGATTGCCTTCTTCCGGGACACACTGGCCTGGGTCATGACGAGCTCAATGTCCTTGTCCTCGATGCCCTCCGCGTCTACCTCCTCGCCATCGTCCTCCTCCTCCTCCTCCTCCTTGGCAGCCTCGTGCTTGTGGTCGTGAGTGTGGCCAGCGTGGTCGTGCTCAGCGGTCTGGTTGGCGAGCTGCTGGGCGGCAGCAGCCTGGGCGCTGGCGTTGAGGTCCTCGATCTTGGCCTCGCCGAAGACGCTGAGCAGGGGTCAGCGCCAAGCTCCACCGGGACATGTTTTGGGGGAACTTACATGTAGGTGTTGCTGTTGGGAGACTTGTACACTTCGGGGTTGTTGATCACGAAGAGGATCTGCCCATGTCGGTTAGCACCCTGGACCCCTCTCTTCCACATTCGTCACCCGGCCCGTGCCCCGCACAGCAGCGGTTCCGGGCTGTGATTTTTCTGCTGCACTCACGTTCTTCGGGCGGCGGAGGGTGACACGGGTGATGCCCGGCACGCGGGTGAGGTGCAGCTTCTCGATGGCCTTGCGGGCCTTCTTCTCGTTGCGGGAGTGGATCACGGCGGTCGAGCCGGCGGGGAGGCTGGCATCGCCGGCCTCGGCATCGGACTCTTCGTCGGAGGACTCATCGAGCTCCTCGACGGTGGGCTTCTTGGTCTCCTCATCCGGGAGCTCTTCGATGCGGGGGTCGGCCATTTTGAAGAGCTAGGAACATCGCACTTTGTCAGCGCCCCGCGCTCCGCACACACAATTGCTTCCGCCCTCCACTGAAACTGCAATAGCAGGCGCCTCCGTGGGACACGGGCGCCGTGAAAGGCATGAGAGCTGGTAATTCTCGAATCGGACTCACATTGATGTTGGAAATGCCGCTAAAATGGGTATGCGGGGGTTGGAAGGAGCTGGCAGATCGTGGTGGGAAAGAAATGTTCGGGTCCAATTTTCAGGTAGGGCTTGTCGGCATCGCAGAGGGTCAAGGACGCTAGTCCCGATTAGGTAATCATTATGGTTTCCGAGTCCCTCTCTATGTACGCAGCAGGCCGCTCTCGCTTTCCGAACTCCGGGCATTACAGCATCTGCCAGACATGTCAAGATGTCACCAAGCGAAGCTACCATGTACGAGAATCTAGGCATATAGAACAGAAACATTCGCCGCCGCGGCACTCCGTAGAGTCTCGTATTCTGATGGCTCACAGACCTGCGCACTATGGCGCCGTGCTTGTGGCATGGGCAGCAGCCCGTAGGGTCTTCTTGGTTGTTTTTGGCTCAATTTCGCATTTTCCTTATGACGCCGGTCACGTTGATGATGTGACATACAGGTCTTCCGAAAGCGACGCAAAAAGAAACCCAGCAACCCGAATGCTGATGTTCATGCAGACCGTTCCAGAATACCATCCTCCCCCCCGAAAAGCCATGCCGGACCAAACGCTCCCCATCTAAAGCAGCAAATCGTTCTTTATGCCGCGGCCCTGATCTTGGCGAGAGCCTTGCGCTCCGCGAAGCGCCTCTGCTTCTTCAACCGCATAACCTTGAAGCGGTCGAAGTCGGTGAGCGACTGGCGGCGCTCCTGCTGAAGCTGCTTCTTCGCCCAGTTGCCCTCGGCCCACTTGCTGTCGACACCAGCAGCCTCCCACGCCTTCTTGACGGTACCCGACCGCGCGCCGCGGGGGAGCTTGTCGACGACGATAGGGGTGAGGAGAGTCCGGGAAAGCTGGACGACGCCGCGGGGCGTCGCAAGCTTGTCGTCTGTGGAGGGGCCGTCGACGAGAGCCTGCATACCAGCGGTTTAGTTTATTTCCCATTCATACAAGCCTCGATTGCACCCGCGGGCTTCGCAGGAGTTCGGGTTCCACGTACGCGCTTGTGGTCAATGATCTCGACGATGGTGGCCAGGCTGCCGCTCTCGAGCTTGAGCACGCGCCCAACCTCGACGCGACGCCAGCTTGTCGCTCCGATATCGATCGATGCCATTTTGGTCGACGTTCTAATGCGGTCGGTCGTGTTAGCGAGGGAAATCTAGCGGGGCGGCGGCGAAGAAAATCGTGCAAGATGCGCAAATGGCGGGAAGAGATGATCGTAGTCTAGAATTACAAGGGAGTAGGTAGGAAATGCTCGGCGTACCTTTGCTGTTCTGATGCCGTCAAAGAATCGGTGTCGCTGCCGTTCGCCGATATCAAGACCGATTTTTGTGCGCGTCTTGGTAATTGGCAGGGCTCGAACAAAATTTGCGGAACAGTTAGTGCCGGTTCCGAGCGCTCTGCAGCTGCAGCCACTTGTGGGACTTGGTGGGACTTGGCACTGTGGCTGATAATCCCCCCTCGACCCCCACCTTCCCGCTCAACTCCATCCCCCCCCGCATTGCTATCAATTGCGAGAAATCGCTGATTCTCCTTCGATTTGTTCCACTGTTCTGCTCATAATTTCCTTCATTGGTCCAGCGTCCCATGCACTCTTTTGCCGTGTGCTTGAATAGGTACCTACCGATTAGTGGTTTTCTACGCAGGACCGAAGTAACTATGTTCCACGCGTTCATGTCACTCGAAAGAACCATGTCATCTGTCCCTCGCAGCGGCCGATATTTAGGGCATGGCTTTTTGTATTTATGATTCTGTGGGTGGGCGGGCAGTCCCTCCCCCCTCAAATTCGGCAAGCTCCAGGATTGTGACCGGTTGGTGATGGTGCTCATCTCCAGACCTAAATAAGGTAGCGAGCGAGTGAAGAACGCCGTCGGCAGCACGCTTCCTGATACGCCAAGTCTCGGGGTGGGCCGCCCGAGTCGGGCAGTTAAGAATCGTGCTACCCCCGATTTGGGTCGGTGACGGTGCCTCTCTCGGTTGGCGCAACAGTGTGTCCCCGGAAACCCTCTTACATCTACGCATACTGGTCTGTTTGACCCCCAGCAAACACCAGAGGTTGCATATCAATAAAAATCTCAACGCCTTCAAGCAGCACCGATGGCTCAACCTATGGGCCTCACGGCCGCCGATATGGAATTCAGCGAAGCCACATTGGAGCAACGGCAGCTCTCCTGGAAGCTGTGTGGCCAAAATTGGGCGTCCCCCATGTCCATCGACGACTACGTCGACCGGGAGCAACACATGGCGGACCATGAGCTCAACCGGGATGGCGGGTGCCAATACTGGGTGCTCTCTCTGAAGGGATACCCGCGACAGGTCATCGCTAGCTGCGAAACCACGCGCAAACGGATGCTCATCTCGGACGGCGGCGGCAGTCCTACCCGCGAAGGCCATGGGTACGCCGTCGCCAATGTCTACACCAATCCGTCCTACCGCCGGCAAGGGATGGCGGCCTTCCTACTCCGCCGCGTGCAGGAGCGGATGGACACCAACAGCGACTGCAGTGTATTGTACAGCGACAGCGGGCGGAGCTACTACGCCGGCCTGGGGTGGGCACCGTTCGCTAGCCACCAGGCGACACTCACTCTCCTCCCACTATCTCCCTCAACCTCAACACAACCCCCACCCAACTGGTCCCCCACAACCCTGCAAACCCTACCGCTCCAAGCCTCCCATCTCCCGGGCCTCTGCGAGCGGGACCAAGCCCAGCTCACCAAGGCCTTCAACGCGCTCCCTGCCGACGACCGCAAAACCCGCTTCGCCTTCTTGCCCACGCACGGCCAGGTCTCCTGGCACCTCGCGCGCGCGGCGTTCGACGCCGGCCGGCTCTTCCCCGGCATCGGCGCTGGCGCCACCCCGGCCCCCATCATCGGCGCCATCACGGCCGACAAGTCCGCCTGGGCGCACTGGTCGCACGACTGGCGCAACAAGCGGCTGCGCGTGCTGCGGGTGGTGCACGACGGCGCCGCCGGCGCGCGGGGAGCGGAGGAGGCGTTCGCGGCGCTGCTGGCGGCGGCGGTCGTCGAGGCGCGCCGGTGGGGGTTCGCCAGGGTCGTGCTGTGGAACCCGGTCGAGGCCGTCCGCGTGGCCTGCAAGGGCGTCGGCAACGCGCAGCCCGAGGGCGTCAAGGTCGTGTTCGAGGACCGCGTTGAGGGCTGGATCCCCAGCCTGAGGTGGAATGGTGTCCGCGGGGTGGGCGGGATCGCGTGGGAGGAGCATAATGGGTATTGTTGGTGTTGAAGTGTGTTTCTTTTTGTGGGGGGGGGGTGGGCGTTTGAGGGGTTGGGGGGCTTATGACTGGCTGGGCTGCGTTTGATCTAGCGATGGATAGATCGGATACAGAGGATATGGTACAGGCGTCACGGACGTTTCGGTGGTTTGGGAGAGGCAAGACTCGGTGAGACTCGGCTGGTCCCGAGATAGACAGATAACCAAGACAATTGGACGGCAATCCAGGGCCCAACTCATGAATTCGAGGTTTTAAGCTTTTACAGTGAGGCGACATCTAAATCTCTTCAACAGCCACCTGAAGGATACTGACTGGAGGTTAGTTTCTATGTCAATAGCGCTTGCCGCGCGAGGCCTTCTGCCCGGTTTCCGCGTGACCTAATGTGGCCGTTTGTTGAAGGCTTCGGATGCCCCCAAGATTAATCTCACGGCGTTACGAGATGAGGCGCGCCAAACTGGAGTCGGTCTCAACACCATGCCATTAGCCCCCGCCCTACGTCGTTGCTTCCTAGACGCTGACTCGGCTTTCCTAGTAGTGCTCGCTACTCGCCAGCTCGCACCCTCAACACGACGGCACCCCAGCGGATACCTTCCTAAGGCGCCTTTACGGGTTCACGACAGGGTGAGACATTGCAAATTTCCCACCGAGTCTCAGCGATTACTAAGTAGCATAAGTCGGTGGTAGAGGACAACCGCCCTTCTGTTTAGCATGAAATATACTGGTTTTTCGTTGTCTCCTAGTTGCGTAATTGGATCTGGTCTTGAGGGCATTGAACAGGTGGGCTAAGGGTCCAGTGGCTGAAAAACGAAGGCTCTCGATGATGTCGGGTATCAGTGTTGCTATCCAGTACCTTGCACAGTAGGTCTAAGGAGTTGGTACTGCTATCCACTGCCGGCAGAGATCAAGCAACGGGAAACAGATAGAAGAAACTAAGTGAAGAAGAAATTATATGGAGTAAATGTAGTTCCCCTGGACTTCTGAATAGCTTTCGTTTCGTTCCTTCAGATTGACGCGTCGACCTTGACCTCAACTTTGAGTGCCAGTGGGGACCTCCCTCCCGGTAAAGATGAGTGGATCAGCGGCTTGAGCGGAGAGAAAACGTGTGATCGGCCACCCCTGCCGACTCCGGGCATCCCTGTGGTCCTGCGGTGCGAGACGGGGCCAACCGAGTCCTGTGCCAATCAGCTCATGCTCGCATCCTTGCCTAGACCAGGGGTGTTATCATCTCAACTTCGCATCGACCAGCGAAAACTCATTCCCCTTTCCATCTCTTCCTGTCAGTGGTGTCCTTTGCCATGGCAGACTGACCCATTGACGCCCTCAAGCGGTATCGAGAATTCAGACAAATGGAAGCGTCGCCAAGCCGCCGAGAATGCCCCTTCAACCGCTAAAGACGACTGCCGTCGGCGGCCGCGACCCTTCCCTCCTGTCGCCCTCCGACTATGACGCCGACGCCGTCTCCATTCGCAGCGACCAGGACACCGATAGCGACGATGACGAGCGCCAGTTGCGCGCGAGGAATAGCCGGGAGCTGCGCGCGCACGATAGGCTGGTGTTGATGGAGGAGGAGGAGCTGGACCATTTGGTGATCGAGACCCGGAAGAAAAAGAATGGACAACGGAGGGGATCCGGGCTGCCGATACCGAATCCGCTCAAGCTATTGACCAGGAGGATGAGCGATGCGTCGCCGTCGCCGTCGACGTCGAGGAGTCCGTCCCTGCAACCGGGCGAGTCCGTCGAGGACCTCGGAACGGAGAAGAGGAGGGTGAGACGTCAGAGGAGAAGGATGAAGCGGGACAGACTTCTCTCCGATGCGCAGCATGGCGAGGATGGCGAGTTGATGTATGAGATGGAGGAGGGCGGCATGAAAGACGGGAGCTCGACGGGCGAGAGCAGCGACCGGGACGACAGCGACGAGGTAGACAGGAAACGCTTGCTGCATGTTGCCGACACCACGACGAAACGGAAACGCAACTGCCGCCGGTGGGCGCTGCTCTACGCGATCATTGCTGTCGCTTTTGCGATCCTCGTGCTGGTGGCATGGAGGCTATCGCTGGACCGGAAGAGTCTAGGCTACAACCCGAAGATGGTCAGCAACGGCACCGCCATGTTCGCCCCCACTACCCTCATCATCAGTTTGGACGGGTTCCGGGCAGACTTCCTCAATAGGGGGCTAACCCCGAGGCTCAACGCACTCGTCAAGGAGGGTGTCTCGCCGCTTTACATGAACCCCTCGTTTCCGAGCGTCACCTTCCCCAACCACTACACGATTGCTACAGGGCTCTATCCTGAAGCGCATGGCGTTGTTGGCAATAGCTTTTGGGACCCAACTCTGCAGGAAGAGTTCTTTTACACCAAGCCTTCGCGGAGCATGGATCCCAAGTGGTGGGGTGGCGAGCCCTTCTGGGTGACCGCGCAGAAGCAAGGCCTCAAGACGGGCATACACATGTGGCCAGGGAGCGAGGCCCACATTCTTAATGTTGAACCCACGTACGTGGATAAGTTCAACGGAAAGGAGATGCTCTCGCGGAAGGTGGACAGAGTCTTGGAACTTTTGGATATGCCCGACGCGGACCGTCCCCAGATTATTGCGGCGTACGTCCCGAACGTTGACGCCGACGGGCACAAATACGGTCCGAACAGCACCGAGATCCAATTCACGATTCAAAAGGTGGACAAGATGCTTGACAGCATGTTCAAGGGCTTGGAGGACCGGCATTTGACGGATATCGTCAATATCATCGTGGTTTCGGACCACGGCATGGCGACTACCGACGTTACGCGGCTGATACAGCTTGAGGATCTCGTCGACACCAGCAAAATTGAGCATACGGACGGCTGGCCGCTCTTTGGGTTACGGCCCAAGAACCCCGACGACCTTCAGGACATTCACCGGGAGTTGATCGAAAAGACCAAGGGGAATCCCAATCTTGAGGTCTACCTCCGCGATGTCGATATGCCAGAACGGTATCACTTCTCCAACAATGAGCGCATTGCGCCGCTGTGGATTGTACCCAAGGCAGGCTGGGCGCTCGTTAACATGGACGAGATGAACTTGAAGGAAGCGCAGGCGAAGGGCATGGTGTACCATCCCCGAGGCCTTCATGGCTATGACCATGAACATCCCTTGATGAGGGCAATTTTTATTGCCCGGGGCCCGGCTTTCCCGCACAAGCCGAACAGCCGAATCGAACCCTTCCGTAAGCCTTGCTGTCCCTCTGCGAGTTTCTCACACTAACAAAGTCAGAAAACATTGAGATTTACAACATGCTATGCGATTCCGTCGGAATCACCCCGGTCCCGAACAACGGCACACTCCGACTACCTCTAAAGCCGATCGGGTTGCACGACGACCCCGGCTCAAACGGCCTCGAGACACCGGCCGATCCGGTGGAGTCCCACACTATCTCAACCTCGCCAATTCCGAAGCCAACCAAACCCGTGTTGGTCAACCCTGTTACAAGCAGCATTGCTGCGCCGGTTGCGCCAACAAACACCGTCGGAGTTGACAAGCCCGCGCCACAACCCCAACCCTCTCAACAACCCTCGGATTCGAGCGACGACAGCGACAATGATGGTGACAGCGATAGTGACAGCGATAGTGACGAGGACGATGTCGCGGACAAGGTCGAGTCTTCAGTCAAGGACTTTTGGGAGTGGTTCACCGGAAAGGTGGGCAATTGGTGGGGGAAGGTCACTGGCCATGGCAAAGGAGAGGGGGAGAGCGGCAACGAGGGGAGTTCCTCGGGGTAGCCGATCCCGTGGTTAAGTTGGGGCTTGCTTTTTCCTTCTTCTTTCTTCTTGCATGCATGCATGAGTCCCAGCCGTCGGCGGCGTACTCGTGTTGGCTGAAACCTCTCACTGTGTTGGTGTTACTTGGCGTTGGGTAGCTCATGTCGGGCATGGTTGGCGGGTCTTCTGAGTTGCTTTTGGGCATTAAGCGTTTGAATAATAGCGAGAGGGTTAGATATCATGGTCATTCGATGGGTTTCAAGTAATCTGAATCTAATTCCACAAAGTGACGGAAGCCCTTTATGAGAAAGCTAAAAATAGTAGTTACTCGATTGTCTGAACTCTCTTTGCGTACCCCTCTCAACCCTTTTCATTGTTGAGGAACGAGGTACCTGACTTGAAGGGCCTTTCAGGTTGTACTCACAAACTGCGCCGCTAAGGAGGCCCTTTTCCAGACCGGGCACCTCACCCTCGTCGCTGTTGGTTTCCAGCTTCCAGCCGCCACGGGGCCGGCCTGCGGGGTTGAATTCTTGTGGGGGCACGAATACGCCCCATAAAAGTGGACTCATCTAATGATCAGTGGAGACCGACATGTCAAGCGCGCGCGCACAGTGAGTGAGAGACCGCGCCATTGGTGATCCCAGAAATGGAAGTGCAATGCCGGGCAAGGCTCAGGCCGAACCAGAAGTTCGGGAACACGAAATGACAGTTTCTGCCTCTTTCCCATACTGTGTACCTCAGTCTGGACCTTTCGGTTCCTGGTGTGGCGGCCACTCGCCAATTGAATTTGGCCCCGGGAAACTTCCTGCGCTGTCGATCAGCGATTGTTGGTCGCGTTGGCGGGGCTTCTTCGCCTTGGTTTATTCCTTGTTCTCCTTTGTCAACGCGAGATTTGAGTCGAGGCAGCCACGTCCAACCTCAAATAGGCACCACTGCCACACATCCGACAGAAGCCGCCGAGGGAAGAACAAATGCGTTTCCGATGTCGTGGTGATCCTGTTCTGCGTTTCTACTTTCTACCTACCTTCTGTGTAGGTTAGTAGTCTGGGGTCAGGTTATCTGCGCCGCATTGTGCACCCGCGCCTGCGTTCGATCTCAAGCTCAAGCCTGCTCAAGCCTGCTCGAGCCTCGTTCGTGCCTTCCCCCCCGAACGCATCACCCACGCGCCATCAACAAATTATCCACCCATCGTGCCCCACGCTCTCCCTCGAACTTCCATAAAGTGCCGTCCAACCAAGGATTGTTGCCCGTGGTTGTCGCCCTTCTCCTGTACCTTCCCCGTCATCCGGGCTCGACAGCCACCACTCGAGATCCTAGTATGAAGATGAGAAAATAAGGCCATGGCTTCCACAAGAAACAACCATTCAGCTTCGGCTGGCCTGTCTTTCGCCGACGATGCGCCCGAAGACCCCGCTGCCATCATCGAGCGCCTTTCGGATGAGTTGACAATCCAGCAGGCTATGTTGGCCTCTCTCCGCGATCTTCCCGAATCAAATGCGGAGGACATTGAGGATATTAGGGCGAATATTGCGGATCTCGCACGCCAGATCACCGAAGCAAAGGGCGAAGGTACCGTTTCGCCTGGCTATCGGCTGCCGGTCGCTATGTTTGCTAATATGCCGATTACGTAGGCCAGTTGGCACGTTCGAGAATGGGCGATGACGGAGGTACGATCAGTATATTTCCCAATCGTTCTCTCAACCAACACCACGACCGAAACTAACAACAACCAGGTGGCCGCAGCAGCCAGGGTACATCAACGCCCTCTAGCAATACACTCTCGATACGCTCAGATTCGGGGGACGGGTATGGGTCGGGCCCAGGCATCAAAACACGAAAGCGTTCTATTGGAAGCTCACATTTGGGTGCTGATCCGCTACACCGAGGTGTCGCCAAATCGCGGCGGACTACTCCGAGTCCGGGTCCTAGGGCCTTGAACTCTGACTTTGGAGCGTTTGCCGAAGACGACTTCTCCCAGGTTATTGACCTGACCGGGTAAGTCGGCTGCATGTTCCACGAAGAACGTCCGGAATAGTTCGAGGAGCCGCGGCGTTCGGCTGTAACCCTTACTCGAGTGCTAACCCCTTTACCTTAGTGACGATGACAATGCATGGCGGTCAACCATACAACGACAAAAAGAAGCAGAGGAACGCTTATCCCGAAGGAAGACGGAAGTAGACAGAGATGCTGCGTTGGCGAGGCAATTCAACGGGCGCGCCTCACAATCCCCAAACGGGCCGACTTTCGCATCGCCATCCCGGTTGGGCCAGAATAATGCCTTTAACCGCATCCTAGGCAGGTCTTCTCAAGCCTCTCCATGGTCAACGGACCGGGCCGACCGCATCAAGCAGGAGCCGGGCCCATCACTGGCGACGAGACCCCATACCTCGGTCAAAACGGAACCGATGAGCTTCACGGGGCGCACCGGTGATAGCCGTCGGGCGGGATCGTCTACAGTCAAACCCGAGCCGATAGAGCACGGCTTCCAAATCCCGGGGGCATATATTGATTCGGAAGAGGAGAACGATTCCTGGGTTGGTAGTTCACGAAACTCATTCGTCGCCCCTCCTCCCCCCTCTCGGCCATCCCTGCCTTCACTGTCTTCACCATTCTCTTCATACAATGCAGCCAACCTGCCTACACTACCATCATTGTCACGAACTGGGCCATTTGGTGTCCCTGCCATCGAGATGGCCAGGCAAGCCTCGATTGCACGGCAAGAAGGTACGCCTTGGCCGCCGGTCGGTCCGATCAACCCGCAACTGCATGCAAATGGCAGATCCCCCGAGGGTACCCCGAATGGGCGCTCTTTCGTCATACCGTCTCTCAATGCTGATCGGCCAGGCTTTATGAGCAACGGCGCCTACCACACCCCACCGGGGTCGTCAGTGTTTGGCGCTCCTCCCAGTCTCGCCGACACTATCGGCCGTGTCAATGGGTTCAACTTCGACAGCATGACCGATGTGAACGGAAATCCGTTGAACGAACGCCTCACAAGTTTCCTGGACGACTATGTCAACGACCCTAGGAAGACCGAGGAGGATATACAGAATCTTCTCTCAAACATCCGTCCGGATATGGATCTTCCCGAGGAGGAACGTGGGGAAACCCCCGAAGCCATGAAATACCCTCTTTATCCGCACCAACAGCTGGCTCTAAAGTGGATGACAGATATGGAGGATGGAACAAATAAAGGCGGCATCTTAGCAGATGATATGGGTCTTGGCAAGACCATCTCAACCCTCGCATTGATGGTCTCTCGGCCGTCCTCTGAAAACATCAAGGTATGCGGCTCTCGTCACCACGCGCACACACCATGCTTTTGACCTCTAACACTTTGCAGACCAACTTAATCATCGGTCCCGTCGCTCTCATCAAACAATGGGAACTCGAGGTGAAAAAGAAAGTGAAAGGGGCTCACAAGTTGAGCGTCTTCCTTCTCCATTCCAAGAAGCGACCTTTCTCCGAGCTCAAGAAGTACGACGTCGTGCTTACCACATACGGGTCGGTAGCCGCTGAGTGGAAACGCTACAACAGTCACATCGAGCAACGGAACGGGTCAGCCCGGTACGTCGAGGAAGATGACATGGAGCTCGCCAAAAAGTGCCCGTTGCTTCATCCACGAAGCAAGTTCTACCGCATCATCCTGGACGAGGCTCAATGTGTCAAGAACAAAGACACCCAGGGGTCGAGGGCTGTCCACAAGATCAACGCTACCTACAGATGGTGCCTTACTGGCACCCCGATGATGAACGGTGTATCGGAATTGTACCCTCTCATTCGGTTCCTCAGAATTAGGCCGTATTGTGATTTCAAGACCTTTCAAAGGGTAAGCGATACCCGCAACACACCCCTGGACCCCGGATGTGGCCCCTAACTTGCTTGCAGACATTTAGAGGACTCACCGCGAAGAGCAATGTCTCCACTTACATACGGGACAACGCCATGCGACAACTGCAGGCTGTATTAAAGGCAATGATGCTGAGACGCATGAAGAACTCGGAGATTGACGGCAAGCCCATTCTAACACTGCCACCGAAGACGGAGAACTCGGACCACGTTGTCTTCTCCGACGACGAGCGCCAGTTCTACCAGGATCTCGAGTCGAGGTCTCAGGTCCAATTCAACAAATTTCTCCGTGCGGGGACTGTCGGCAAAAACTACTCCAACATTCTTGTTCTTCTGTTGCGTCTTCGCCAGGCTTGCTGCCATCCTCACCTGACAGAGTTCGAGGTCACTGGCGCCGCCGTTTCGGATGTCGACATGGTAGCTCTGGCCAAGGAGTTGGATACCTCGGTGATTGAGCGGATCAAGGCCATTGAGGCGTTCGAGTGCCCTATCTGCTATGATGGTGTACCGGACCCGCTGCTCGTCGTTCCATGCGGTCATGATACTTGTACGGAGTGTTTCACCTCGCTTACGGAGAACATGGTGCAGGACAACATCAGGCTAGGCGACGAGAACAACCGGGCCGCCAAATGTCCGGTCTGCCGTGGGCCGGTCGAGCCAAAGAGGGTTATCACCCTTACTGCCTTCCGGAAGGTGCATGCGCCCGAAGCTCTTCCAGCCGGCGATGATGTCGCCGGTGATGATATCGCCGAAGAGCTTTCCGACGTCACCGACTCGGATTCAGACTCGGATAGCTTTTCGTCAGACAACGAGAGTGAGCCTGATGCGGACCGTTTTGGAAATCTCGCAGGTTTCGTCGTTCCCGATAATGAAGGTGACGATGTCAAAAGCGAGACCGTCGACACCGACGAGGAATTGGACGCTGCGGCTAGGGCTTTGAAGACAAAAGGGGCCGATCAGGGCAAGGCGGTAAAGAAGTCCAAGGCGGCCAAAAAGCGGGGTGGGAAAAACAAAAAGAAGAGCAAAGGAGAAGGCAAGGCCAAGGCCGAAGAGATCAAGCCTCACATGCTCAAGCAGCTACGCAACGATGCGGATAGGAACAAGGAAGCCCGCCGCCGGTACATGCGTTACCTTCGCGATAACTGGGAAGACTCGGCTAAAGTCACCCAAGTTATCGAGCTCCTCAAGGAGATCCAGGAGACGGACGAAAAGACCATCATCTTCTCCCAATGGACCACCCTTCTCGACATGATCGAGTGCCAGATCAAGGACAAGCTCAACATCCGCTACTGCCGCTACACGGGCAAGATGTCGCGCAACCAGCGCGATGAGGCCGTCCAGGACTTTGTCGAGAACCCCCGCAACACCGTCATGCTCGTATCGTTGCGCGCGGGCAACGCCGGCCTGAACCTAACCGTCGCGAGCCGCATCATCATCTGCGATCCGTTCTGGAATCCCTTCATCGAAGCACAGGCGGTCGATCGCGCCCATCGCATCGGCCAGCAGCGCGAGGTCAAGGTCCACCGCATCCTGGTTAAGGAGACGGTCGAGGATCGCATCCTGGCCCTGCAGGAGAACAAGCGGAAGCTGGTTGAGGCGGCCCTCGACGAGGGCCAGAGCAAGAGTGTGGGGAGGCTGAGTGAGCGCGAGTTGGCCTACCTGTTTGGTGTCAACTCCGCGAGGCGCTAAGGGGATGGTATCTTCCTTCCCCTTCCTCAAGTGAGTTCATTGTTTGGAGGCGTTACGACTACTGCCGTGGCTATAGCACGCTGGCTGTCTGGTTTCTTTTTGCCTTTTTTTCTTTTTTGTTCGCGGAGATTTATTGTTCGAGTAACGGCTTGCTCATTTCATTGCCAACCTCGCTTCACAATGTCACGGAGAATGGAGACCTCGCGGTCATGGACATGACTAGACTTTTCGCCTTTGATGACAACGGCGGGGCGGGGGCTTTTGACGGGGTGCTGATACCCGGGATGGATGGGAACTCAGTAGAGGTCCGGACTGGACTGTGTGCTAGATGTATATTTGCTCGGTACCCCGCAGCGGATGCCATACTTATGAAGTTATGACGCGATATGGCTTTAGCAACCCAGGTTTTACGGGGGTGGTATGGTGGTATGGTAATATATATATTGCATTGTTATTAGCAATTCGATCTCTAGTGACTGTGATGGGGGGCGGGTGGGGGAGGCTCTCGCCATCTTTGCTTTGTACCTCATGATGAAGGATTCCCCGCGAGTGTTCACTCTGCCATGTAAGGTGTAACAACTGAAAGGTCTTTGCCGATGGCTTGTAAATGTACCCTATCCCGTTTGCGAAATATCGGACTTTTAAACACCCGTAAAACCTTGTTAGTGGGTGAGGTGCCTCCTTTGCAACGCATCTCGGCCATGTACGCCATTTTACCAACTTCGAGCGGCCTGATCCTTGCGAACATTTATTTCAGGTTCGCTTTCGCGTGTAGATTATAAATTGATATCCAACAATGCTGCTATGTAGTATGACGGAATATTTTGAATTCCGACAGACCTGAGGTAAATCTCGATAGATCGAAGACTGGCAGAATAGTCAAAGAAAAGACCACGAAGAGCAACACTCGTTCGTCGGTCTGGGTATCCAGCACGCTTCCCTATTAAATACCAAGATGCACTTTCTAGCAGAAACAACCCCCCGTCCATCCATGCCCCCAACGCCGTACCCCCAACTCCGTCAACTCTTGAAGATCATGGAACTCAGTGGCCCTGGTGGGGTGGTCCGGACCTGTGCTGGGGTGGCTCGGCTAACAATTCGTGCGAATATGTGTGCTGGGGGAGCTCATAAATAGGATGTGGCGCGTACATCTCGGCCCTGGTCGCAGCGTCCATCTCGGCCGTTATTGTATTGTCCATCTCGGCCCTCATTGTGTTGTCCATCTCTACCCTTGTTGTGCCGTCAAGCTGCTGCATCTGCTGCACTTCGGGTGACGGGTACGGATGTGCTGGCGCCTCCTTCTGGTCCCACCCATACTGCTCGTATTGTGCGGCGGAGGCACGGGCAAGAGCCGGGGAGCCGTACGACGGGGCGGGCGTCTCAGGGCCGACGGTAGTGGAACCCTCATCGACATCTTCTGGGTGCTGGAAAGCTTGCTGCTTCCTTCTCCGCGCAAGAACAACAACGGCAATGATGACACCGAGTGCGATGACACCAAGCGAGACGCCAACCCCGATGCCTGCCTTTGCGCCGGTAGAGAGCCCGGTATCCGAAGCGACTGCTGAGTTTGTGGCGGACGGTGTTGTGGATTGCGTCGCCTGGGGCGGCGGGGCCTCGAGAGAAGACCACGCCTTCCACGTCTTGTCCTCGTACTTGATCTCGCTAATCTGGCCCTTCACTGTGTAGAAAAGCCGCACCATACTGGACTTGAGGTCGTAGGCCACAGCGAGTTCGGCGTTGGGCTCGTCGGCCTGAGGCCAGTAAGCGCTGGATTGGTTGGCTCGTTGGCCCCAGGTATAGTTCTGGTTGGCCACCGTATACAGATTGCGGTCATTCCCGATGTACCACAAGAAGCGAGTATAGGCGTTGTCGATGCTAACTCCAATGCTTTTGGTCCTTCCGTCCCAAGCTGGCAGTAAAAAGGTCGTCTCGGCCGTCTCATTCAGAGCGATGTCGGCTCTGATGGTCTCGTCGTCAACGTAGCCGCCGTCTAGCGGACGTGGCAGGGTTGCTGTTGGAACACGTTAGCAACGAAATCGGGAGATCACAGACATGGTAAGGCATCGTACTTCGGAACCAGGTCTCGTCGCTATTCCACCGAGTCACGGCGATGTTCTGGTCGTCGCGAGGGGCCGCAACGGTGATGTTCCCCTTGCCACTAAAGGCGGCACCCAGGGCAGGCAGGGAATTTATATCCTGGGAAATGATACCCCGATGTTCCCAGTCGGTATCGCGCGTGTAGTGAAGCTCATTGATGGCGCCGTCGCTATCGTGGTAGTACACGCGATAGCCCGTATCCTCGCCGAGAACAACGGCAGCGAGCCCCGAGTTAGAGTGAACGGAAGCCGTGTCGGGGCTAATCTCCCAGTTCCCTTCTCCCTGCGGCTCAAACCGGCCGGTGTTCATGTTGCAGATGTAGAGACCGTTGGCAACCCTGTTCTCTTCTGTAATGTACCAGAACGAGGCCCTAACATGCTCGTTAGTAACTTCAGATGCTGCTGGCGGTAAAGGGGGGGCGCATACTCGGTGTCCTTGTTGTTCCACCATCCTACCCCTGTCACCGGCGTGCCAACCTTGGGTTTGTATTTGAGTGAGAACACACTGCCGTCGGTGTATGAGTACTTGGCTTGGTCGCGGCTGTTGCAGGCGCTGTAGCGGATCTGGTTCGTCGTTGAGTTCTGCAGAATTATCTGGGGCCCGATCTCCGTCCACCAAGCTGCGATCGAAGCCCGTGCCGGAGAAGCCGCAGCCCCCAGGAGAAGCAGTGTGGATAGTAGAGGCGCCATTGGCACCGACTACACACTCCTCAACCCGCCAGCGCGAGAGGAGCACGCCGGGTCCAATGTGTTCCCGGCGAATATTCTCACAGCGCCCGAAGCGAGACCCGTGTATGTACAGCTGAACCTGCCGCCGATCTCGGTCGGAGGCGCCCGTGACACAAATAGAGCGGGGTGGTTAGTTATAAATCGGGAGGAAAATCCGAATTGGGGCGTCGTGTTGTTGCCGAGGAGGATACCTCAAAGGTGCCCACGCATTCACGATCTCAAGATCGGCAAAGAGAAGGAGAAAAAAGTGAGCGACCGGTGACACGAGCCTAACTTGAAGGTGCGCGCGGGGAAGAACTTGAAGGAGACACACCGGCAGACTGGGCGGGTAGGCAACGGGTTCGATCGGGGAAAGCGCAGTTCAACAGGACTCCCTCCTCGGCGATGCTACCACCGCCAATGGCACTCACCACCGTCACCAAGCTGACGGGCGCGGCTGCCAAAAGCCAGCGAATTTAGGGGCCTAACCATCTAGACCCGAAGCGGTATCTTTTCTCATCGCACCTTCTCATTCTGGCCCCTTGATAGTAGCCGTTTGTGGATCTAGCCGTTCAGGCAGGAGAGCCCAGACACCATCTGGGCCCATTTTCTACTGACAGGGGCAGCCATGTGGACGACTCAAAAGCCTCTCGCTGATCCGCGCTCTCGGTTGCAGCAGCGCAACTCGGCCCTGCCCGGTGCAGATCGACGGGGCTCCCGCCTCGGGGAGAGGTGCCGATGAGGGGTACAGATTGGTTGACCGGCGGGATTTTGGAGTTGAACAGAGAGGCATCACTCATCCATCACCAACTGTGAACAGAAGACGCAAGCTGTACGCCAAAGGTACCGCCTCCAGGATAGGTAGTCTCTCCCGCTTACCAAGTACAAACCTCGTAAAACCGTTGAACCAAGCTCCACAAGCTTTAATCATCCTCGATCTCGGGTGGATCAATAAACACGACGATGAAAAATAACCCCAAGAGAGAAAAAAGGAAAAAAAGAAACCGGGGAAGCGAGCTCTGTCATTGGACAACACACAACTCGCTGGCTCAAGCAAATGCGTGTCCCCAGCCAACCCCAACGATCCCGCCTTTTCCCCCCCAGGCCAGCCCACCATCCGGTACCACACTAACACCATCCACTCCCCCAGCACCGCTAAGCGAGCCGTAACCTGTTACCAAGCTAACCCCTCAACCCTCCAAACCGGCGGGCAAGCACCCCTGGTCGACCACGCCAAGAGAAACGCTTACTGAGCACACCTCCACCCCGAGCTCGCATGCCCGACAACCAAAGCGAATCGGAATGGAGAGCTCGAGTTCAGCCTTCGGCGACCAGTTGTCGATTTTCGACTTCGACGCTCTCGGCGTCCCCATCGATAGAAGCCTCTCCCAAGCTGCATCAAAGCAAGCAGGGGAGTGGCCCAGTGGTCAGGCTGGGATCAGCCGGGGGGGGGGGGGGGGGGGGGGGGGGGGGTGAGGCGGTTCTTATCTTAAATAAATGTTGTCTCGAAAATTTAAGATGGTTGATACCGGCCGGCATCTTTACGAGGGAGATGATTGACGTGACATCCCGCAAGCGGAAATGCGATTCCAATTCGTGTCTCAGTTGTTTCGATGAGAGGGGGGCCGCAACATTGCAGGGTACTGGGTACAGAAAGGGGGTTAGGCTGTGAAACAAAATGGCAGGAATATCAAGAATCTGTCTGTCTGTGCCTCACCATCCTCCCGGCTTCACAAATACCCCCCTCTAGGCAACGAGATAGATGCACAACAAGGCAGGTAGGAACAGGTGAGCAACAACTCCCAGCAAGCGACACACCCACATCCACTGGTTGTCCCTCGTGTGACAGCACACATGGTCATCTTGACTGATGAGCAAAGAGTCAATCCATTCACCCCCCTTCTCTTCCCAACAGCAACCAAAAAAAAAAAAAAAAGAAGAGTCAAATCCCCCTTTTAGAAACCCTCGATACCCCTCTTCACGTCCTTGGCCTTGATCCCCGTCAGGTCAGACTCCGGGGGGTGGTACTTGGGCCTGCCGCCCAGGATATCGCCAATGTCCTTCATTCCCAGCCAGAACTCAGCCTTGGGCCGGCGGTTGGGCCAGTCGGTCTCCTCCTCCTCGACCTTGGTTACGGGGGTGAAGACGACGCTGGCCCCCTTAATACCGATGACGGTGGCGCTCATGGGGTCATTCTTGACCTTGTTGTGAACGTTGCGGCCGAACTGCTCGAGGTGCTGGATGCAACGGATGGCTAGGCGGACGGCGCGGCAGCGGTCCATTGGCGAGGGTACGCCGCCCTGCTGCATGTGGCCCGGGATGCCCTCGCGGCTCTCGAAGCGGCCGTGGGCCTCCTCGCGGAGGATCTCGGCGATGAGACGGGCGTTGTAGACCTTGGAGGCCTTCTCGTTGATGAGGATAAGGCGGCCTGCGCGGGACTGGCCCTGGTCCTGGGCAAAGACGGATTTGAGGTGGCGCACGTCGGCCGCGAGCATATCCAGGCTAACGCCCTCCTCGGGTGTGTAGACGGCGGTGGCGCCAACGCCCAGGCCACTAAGCGTAGCGACGTACCCGGAGCGGCCGCCCTGGGTCTCGATGACGAAGACGCGGCGGCGCGTGGCGGACGCCGACTGCTTGATCTTATCGCAGTACTCGACCAGCTCGTTGAGGCACGTGTCTGAGCCGAGCGAGTACTCGGTGCCGGGCACGTTGTTGGAGATGGTCGCGGGGAGGAGCGTGATGGGGATGCAGAGGGAGGGGTACTGATCCCTGGCCTTCCGCAGCTGGGACACGGCGTGGAAGGCCTCGAAGCCGCCAATGAGGAACAGAGCATCGAATTTGTAGTGCTCGATCAGATCGGCGATTCTCTCCATGCCGGACTCGCTAGGAAGCTCGCGGTTCGTGCCTATTTCCGAACCGCCTTTGCTTGCCCAGCCGTCCACTTCAAGCCAGTCGAAGGGGCGGACGGCCCCGAGAGGGGAGTCGCCGTGGTGCCGGGCAAACCCAGCAAACCCGTTGTAGATGGCAACCGGTTCGTGGCCACGGGACAGGCAGTACGCCACACCAGCACGGACTGCAGCGTTCATACCGCCGGCGGGAGCGCCGACGTTGATGAAACCGATTTTCATGCGCTTCAACACAGGTCAGTAGTGGAGCAGTTAGGTGGACGAAGATGCTGGCACCTACATCTTTTTCGGCGACCTGCATCTTGTGGTTCACCTGAACGGCTGTTGTCATCATGAAGGACCTGTACTGCTCGGAAAACTCGGTGTCACGTAGCCCCATGGCTCGGTCAAAGTCCTGACACTCTATCGCCTTGGCCACCATCTTGGTTTCCTGTACGGCTTCCATGAGCCCCTTCCTGACAATCTTATTTTCGTTGATGGTAATGACGCATGTGGGTGTGTCCGGTGTAGCCTCTAAAACAGCCTTGACAGCTTCCACGCCCTGCAGCGTTGCCAGCATCCGGTCGTATGCGACGGCGGTTCCGCCACGCTGAACATGGCCGAGGGTTGTGATGCGGGTGTCGAGGCCGAGGCCATTCTTGTCGGCGAGCAGATCCTTCACCATCTCAGGGCTGATCTTGTTTCCCTCCCTATCGAGGGCCCCCTCGGCGATGATGACGATGGTCTTGCGCTTTCCGAGTTTCCGGTGCTATCGCTCTCTGTTAGCTTTTGCCGTCCCAAACCGTGAATGGGCCAAGGAGGGAATCACGAACATGTTCGACAATCCCACACATCTCCTCTCTCCAGTTATCCTCCCTAGGCTTCTCCGGGATAAAAATGAAATCTGCGCCCGTGGCGACACCGGCCATCAATGCCAACCACCCACAATGCCTCCCCATGACCTCGACGACGAAAGCGCGAGAATGTGACGAGGCCGTGGCTTCGATGAGATCGACGGCGTAGCAGACCCGGGCGAGGGCCGAGTAGCAGCCAATGGTGGCATCCGTCCCGGAGAGATCATTGTCGATAGATCCGACCAGGCCGACGATGTTCAGGTGTCGGTAGGGGGCGAGTTGCTCGGCCGTGTACACGCCGGTGTCCTCGAGTTCCTGGATCAGCGACGGCCATTCGGCGCGAAACCTATCAGCTCCGGTGAGCGAGCCATCGCCGCCGCAGATGATGAGCGCATCAATGCCTTCGGCGATTAGGTTCTTTGCGGCGGCCAGGCGGCCAGCGCGTTCGAAGAATGCCATGCAGCGGGCGGTGCCGATCAGCGTGCCGCCCTCGGACAGCCAACCACGCACATCGAGCCATTGCATCCTACGTATTAAGTTGCCGCCACGAACAAGACCTTCGTAACCCTCGTAGACGCAATAGGCCTCACAGCCTAAGTGGATGGCCATACGGACGCAGGCGCGCACAACGCCGTTCATGCCGGGCGAGTCGCCGCCCGACGTCATGATCGCGATCTTCTTTTTGCCCGCCATTTTGGTCGTTGCGGGCGGTGTTTGTGAAGCGAAAGATGGGCGGTATGTGAGCCTTCGTGGGTTGCGGAAGAGAACGGTGATGGGAATGGACAGGAGAGCGAAAGCAAGGAGGGCCCGGAATGGAGACCAGACGATGGAGAAGGGCCGAAGAGGGATCTTAATACTGGATATGGGCATGCTCCAGGCGGTTTGCCTGGGATCGCAAATCCTAGGTCGCGCAGTGGAGGAATCACTTGAAAGGAGCAGCGAGTTACTCTTCTCTTCCTTTGGAGGCGTCACTTGTTGCGGAATCGGGGTATTTTAAGATCGTACGAGGTCATGAAAAGCAACGCGGCGCTCCGGACTTCCTGGGCCGCCTCTCCCTCACAGGAGCTCTTATCTTATCGTGAATTAGCGCGGGGCATATTCCGAGACCGCAGGAATCTGAGACAGCTGGTTTTGCTCCCTGCTTGTTTGGCTATCCGAGGACGGCCAAGTCGGCCAAATATTGATTACACCGAGCGCGGCATGTCTACAATTGGCAGCCTTAGCCATGTGTTTTGTTGGGGTGGCTTAGAAAATTGTGAAAAAGACTTGGGTTAACTGCTCCGTAGTGGGGTTGTGAACGCTGTCACTGAGGGGTTTTACGGACCCAGTATCACCGCAATGACATAGCTCCTTATGTAACCGCGAGGGCGGGTGGGGTTTGCAGAGCAAGGATGAGGCTCTCAAAGCTTGATCGCAATTGAACATGATCAACTTGACAACGTAAGGCAATGGCCTGACAGAGTGCCTAAAGTGACACGCAACATGCGGATCGGACGGGTTGTTGTTCACAACCGGAGGGCAACTCGTGGAATATTAAGGTACAGGTATTTACAAACATACCGATACAGTAGCCAAGGTTGAGTCCATGGCTGCTGTTGCCCTCGAATGATCGTCATTGACATGGATCTTGGCTGAGTGTCTGCCGAAGGCTCTAACTAATTGTATGTACATACCGCTAAGTCCCTTGCCAGCATTTGTAGACTGCTCAAGCCCTCCGATACCCGACCGCTAAACCGAGTGGTAGGCGTCTCCTTGTGATGGAGAGTGCTCTGTTTGGAACTCTGGCTGGGTGACCCTGGGTCGGAATCCGAACAAACTCGCGGTTAGTGAGTGCCCCACCACTTACCACTCACCTGCTTGAAGATGACATGGGTCTTGGAGTTGCGTTGCATCCCGCCTTGCATACACTACTATCCACTGAGCGGGAAAGCGGCCCCTCGTGCCCTTCCAGAGCGCGCGAGTGGTCAACGAAGATGATATCAGTGATATGCAGACCTGGCTCTGAGGGAACGGGTTACCAGCCCGGCAGTGTTCAAATACAAGAGTACCGTGTAGAAAGAACGAAACTGCCTACCTAGGTAGGTCACCTCAGCAGTTCTCGCGTTTATTTCAAACCCAAACCGAAGTTACAAATTGCGTTGCGATATGTACCAGATACCGACCTAGGTACTCAGGCTCACTAATAGGATGGCTCTTCCCCCCTTTCTTTCCTCGCGAAAGCTTTCACGGCGTCCATCAGATTGGTCGTCCTCTCCGCAGTTAACGCATGCTGTTCTGTTCAATGCGGGGATCTCTCTTGGGGCTTTCTAGTCTCGTGAGATATATCATATGTGCTCATAGCCTCATAGGGGTCCATGTGAGCCGCATAGGTATTTTTCTACCTAGACTCGGAAGGCCTGCGGCATGTCTCCGTTCGGAGTCAGCTCCAACAAAACGGTGGGGATGCGGTCTTCGATCCAGATCTCTGAGGGTTTGAGGACCTGGTACCTTCCAATAGGTTGGATGCAAGCATCCTTGAGCTAGCGGGAAGATGTTAGAAAGCTGTTGTACCTTGGGTTTCAAGACTTAACGCATGAAGGGCAAACAACGCACCTCGGCCCCGGACACGCCTCAATCAAACAAGACGATACCCCCAAGAAACTTACTCAACCCAGTAGCCTACAACGTCGGTGATGCCGCAGGGGTAGCGCTTCCAGGAGCAACGAATGGAAACAGCACTTCCACATGGATCGGATGAGCGCCAGGCCGGTGTTGAATCCTTTGAAATAGGCAGCGGCAGTTTCAACCGCTTCTTTGCTGAGCGCGAGACTTTTCTCGTAATCGACGCAATACCAAACGTGATAGCCTTCATTGTATGCGTCACCGACCGGAAGACCATCCACTATCTGCGCGTACATGTACGCCTTGGGCGCGTGACCGCTAGATAGGATGACATGCAGTACACCATCCAAGGCTGAGACATGTGATGTTGCTCAGTTCATCGATGCCACTTTGTTTTCGGTCGCCATCGTGATGGAAAAGAAGCACCTCGTGGTGGCTGGAAGCAATTTGCAGCACTCGAGGGGCGGAATGGGAAACGTCAGGTGAGGGAGGTGGAATAAAGAACTGATACCAGGTTAGAACCGACGATGGGTTGAGAATGAACTTTGACGGCCAAACCAACTATGTAAATAATAATAGGTTGGTACTCGTAGTCCATCACCACCGAGTGTCAACAGCTTCCGACCCGTTGTATCGCTTGGTCCTTGTCGATCTTTCTTTTCGCACCGCTATGGCCGAGATCTCGAGGCTTTCAATCGCCCTGAAGGTGCCTGGTTCTCCGCAGCTACACCCATTCCAACCAAATTCAGTGGAATACAGATACATCGCCTCCGCAGTCAATATCGGACTCTCAATATTAGAGCAGGACCGCAGCATACGTATATTGGCCTCTATCGCCTCGCAATTTGACAACTCTGCATTGGATTCGGCTTCCTTCGGAAACAACGAAGTGGTAGCACGCCGATGGACGAGTTGGTTCGTAACGCAGCTTAAAGCCAACACTCCAACTGTTATAGTGGATGAGACCCTGAACAATCTCGATATTCTGGGACATCATCCTAGAATGCACTGGATCGGCCGCCTCGACCAATTCCCCTTTCGGCGACAACGTTTCCAGCTCAATGCGCAGGTAGGTGCGTAACTACCATCGATTCATACCTAGGTACCTAGGTACGTTTCTCGATGGTTAGGTACCCATTGTACTAACGAAACATGAAGAGAGTAAGGTCCATGGTCGCTGCTGGAAACGGCACCTCTGATGCAAAAAGGCAACGGTTCCGGAACTTCCAGTTCGCATTTGCAACCGTTGTTGTCCACGAACTCGGCGGGCGCATGTTGATTACTTGGCTTAGCAAGGGTCGTCAGGGCATTCCGGGGATCATATCAGCCGCCATATATGATAACGGGGTGTCCATGGAAGAGGCTGGCCCCTGTCTCGAGACGCGGCTCTTCGGCGGAACGACCAAATTTTATCGGGATCCGAGACAGGATGACGACCAGGCAAGCACCACAAACTGTCAGATCACTCGGAGACCTTTTGATTCTGTCTAACCACTTGTGTCCGCAGGCCGGTGTACCTTACCAGATCGACGAAAATGGTTGGGGCTGGAGAATTAACCCACATGTTATCAACCGCGTCTGCAACTACGGTACGTATTTCTCGGGTTATCCGTAACACCTGGCCTGGTGGTCCCTTGAGAGTTGAACGAATTTGCTGACATCGGCACCGCTGTTAGAATTCACTTTCCCGTTTGCAAGGACCGGAGACGTGGTAGATCCGCGTGAAATGCAGAGCATGGCTCGCTGTTCCGACAGTCCAGCTCTATAGTTGGTTCGTTCGCCTGGTCGGACCTCGATACCGCACCAATCGGTGCCTGGTTATTGCGTGCGGGTTTCGCACGTGAAGGATATACTAAACAGAAGCGTAAATAGTCTAATTAGCGGCTGCTTCCTCCTAAGAAAAAGACAACCAAGATAGAAATCAAACTTCTCGATTGGTATATAGTTTCCCCGACCATTTTGGCCAAAAGAAGCCGAGTAATGAAAAAAAGAAGCCGAACAAAACAAAATAAGAAGCCGAAACAAAACAAAATAAAAAGTAGGTTAGGCAAATATAGTTTCTTTAAGCTTTCGAATGACACTGGTTCTGTTTCTCCTGTCCAGGTTTGGTCGATGTTTGCACTTGGAGTCCGGCTGTGACCAAGCGCCAGGCACTGCCAAGACCAACACAAGACGTCATTCGTACAGATTACAGATTACATGGAAACTCGGTGTAAATTACGGCCACAGCTGAGAGGTTGAGGTACACAGCAACAAGGGTACACAGCAGCCGAGGTGGGATCTGCGACTTCGCATCTCCAATGCTCAAGAAACACACCATGAAAAACCGACCATTCTCGCTGCAGCCGCGCTCTGCGCCGCAACAAGGACCGCGATCCATTAACGAGTTCATACAGCGACTCAATGCCGAACCAGGCGGATTCCGCGCCGTTAATTCGGCCGAGGTGCGCCAGGAAATCGAGGCCAGCCAGAATGAAACCGATGGCGACAACGACGTCGACATGACCGGCGAGGCCTCTGAGGCTGGCAGCGACATTACCGAGATAAAAAGCATCGCCACTGCCCGCGACGAGATTCTCCGCGCGATACTCCAAACTCACCAAACGTCACTGTTTTCCCTCGACTTCATCTCCCTTCTCCTCTCCAAGGAGAATCCCGCCCAGGCTGTCACCACTCTCAGCACTAACCTGCGAGATATGGTCGGTATCGGGACCCTCGGTGCGACCATGCTCGACACTCCGACACCGATGACCCAGAGCAGGGTGTCCGATCACAAGATGGTGGCCATCGGGAAGCGCCTGGTGGACTTGAACAAGGCTGCGGATACCGCTCTGGCAACATCGAAGAGGCTGCAGCGGGAGATTAGCCTCGAAACAAAGTACTGGTCCGAGGTGCTGGGCGTTGGAGACGACGGATGGCAGACCTTCCGGTTACCCCATGAGCCCCAAACCCTGGGGGTCAAGTTCGGATTCTCCAACACTGCCCCAGAGTTCAAAAACAGCGGCATCGCTCCCTTGAGAAGAGCAGAAGACGGGTCCGTCAAGCTGGAACACGGGGCCATGGATGGCGGCTCGAAACGTCTCCAAGCCAAGATCCTACAAAATGGTGTCGTTGTCGGGAGGTCTTCGCTACCACAGCCCCTACCCCTTGACGCTCCACTCCAGGACCGCGTCAAGGAGTCGCGAGACACCGTCTTTGCTCAGGAGCTGTGGCACGAGATAAACCGAGAAGCCCGCAATAAGCTGGACAGCGTTGTCACCATCGCAGAATCGACCGCTACCTACAACCTGGATAACACAACGACCATCTCTCTCCAGCTCGTAACCCTCGGCAACGAGGAAGAAATAACGACACAGCACCCCGGAGCCCAGGACGCCTTGGCGAACGAGTTATGCACCATTCTAGGCCTCCTACTCAGCAATGCGCACCGGGCCAACGACCTGAAACGGTCCGAACCCAGCGTCAAGAAGGGCTCGATCCCTCCATACTCCCTGTTGAGGCCCCTCATCGCCTATCACAAGTACGGCCATTCCGTCCAGCAATGCGCCGAATCGCTCACAACCTTGATCTCCGTCCTCCACTCCGCCGGCGTCGCCTCCTCCATCACCATGAAAGAAGCCCCGCTGCGGCCCCTCCCAGGCAGCACGACCCCGGCCTCGACATCCCTCGCCACCCTCCTCCTCAAACCGCCTCCGGTGCAATTCGACCTGACCATCACGCCGGCGTCGCGGCTGCGCATCCTGCTCAAGCCGACCCTCCTCTCGGGCGCCGCCTACTCCGTCTCCTTCCTCCCGCCCCTCCAGCAGCAGCAGCCGCCCAACTCGCCCGTCAACCCGCTCGCCGCCCTCTGCCCCACCGCCGCCGACGACTACGCCGACCCGGCCAAGCTGCTCGGCTACCTCTACGACGCCGTCCCCTGCGCCCTGGCCGCCGCCTACTACGAGCTGGCCATCACCCAGCAGCAGTCCTCTCCCATTATTGACGGACAGGGCCCGAGCCAGGGGCAGGGCGCGGAGGCGCTGTGGGGCATGGACGCGCAGGGCAAGGGCATCGTCGACCTGGACACGGGCGGAGAGTACGGCGTGCGGTTCGAGCTGGTGCGTGACCCGGCGACGGGGCGGTTGGAGCTGACCGCCGAGGGGAATTGTCTGGAAGCGGGCGAGGCTGAGGCCGAGGCTGGGATCAAGAAGGAGGAAGATGGGAACGGGGACGGGGACAGGGACGTGAACGAGGGAAAGATGGACGGTGGGCTTAGGAAGGTGCACCACGAGTGGAGGTGGCCGGGCACCGAGCTCAAGGCTGGCGCGGTCGCTAAGCAGACGCTGAGTAATGGGCCTGGGAATAGGGAGTGAGGGGGCCTGTGTGTGTGTAGTTGGATAATATTTGCGGATATCTTCTCGAGGGTGGACATACTGGGTACACGGCATATTGCAAGCGAGCAGTCTTGTCCAAAACAAGTGGCAAGCATCTCGAGCCATCTGGATTACTAGAGTACACAAAGATACGAGTCATCAAGGAAGAACTAAGCAACTAGTCGAGCTAGAAACTATTGACGTGATAAGTGATCCAAAACACCACAGCTAGGGGACGCAAGCTATCCCCAATCCGAACGCAAGCAAGTCCCATATTTCGCAACGTAACAAACAGCAACGGTCTAATCGTAATCATCATAACTACATGCCTAGCTAAGCTACACCCCAGACAAGATATGTGCCTCGCAGTACAAGAGTCTAAGTAACCAAAAAAGAACAAAACAAAACAAAACCAGAAGATACATCCATCCATCCCCTCCTCCACGTACACATCCCACATCCCACCACCCCCCGGCACAAAACAATCCAATTCAAAAAACCAAAAGCATCTTATTCTTTTGTAGGTCATCAGTGTCGTTAGGAGAACATGAACATGCCGGTAAGGGTGAGCAAGCGACAAGCAGAACGGGGGAAGAAGCCCCCCCGATCCCACCCACCGCCCAGAGCTCATTAGAGAAAGCAAAGCAGCAGCAAAACAGAAGATGCCAAAAAACAAAACCAAAAAAAACCAAAAAACAAAACGCAAATGCCAAAAAAAAACAAAGAGATCCATCAGTCATCATCAGTCAGTCAACCCGTTGCCATGCTCCCCCCACAGCCCACCCTTCCCACCAACCACCCAAGCCCAGTCTAAAGAATCATCAGATGCGTACGCTCGCTCGCTTCGTATCACGTCATCACATCATCACACTTTGCTCGCTCGCTTTTTGCTTTTGCTCAACCACACCCCCCACAAGGGAATAGGGAGTTAGGGTAGGGGAGAGATGTTCATCAGTGGCGATACCCCCTCCCCGGGTGGCGGCTCTCGTAGTGGACCTCGCGCTCGACGACGCGCTCGTCCTCGTAGTCGACCGAGTAGCGGTGGCGGTGGTGGTGGTGGTGGTCGCGGTGGGCGTAGTCGTCGCGCCAGTCGCGCTCGTAGGCGATCTCGCGGGCCCGCTCCTTGCGCGCCGCGCGGATGCGGTCCGAGAGCTGCACCAGCCGGAGCACGTCCTCCTGTGTGGGGTGTTAGTTGGGTGGTTTGGGGGGGGTGGATTGGGGTGTGTGATGGGTGGGGGGAAGGGAAGGGGGAAACTTACGTAGGCTAGGTACTCGACGATGTAGTAGAAGAACTCGGTCTCCTCGAAATCGTAGTTGAGTTCCTGGATGGCCTCGCGGCAGACCAGGTCCTTGGTGATCTCGGTCCAGGTGTCCGGGCGGGCGCGGGCCGGGGGCGTCGAGCCGCGGATGGAGATGCGGCGGTCCGTCACCTTCTCGATCTCGACGTCGCGCTCTCGGCTGGCGCCGCGGTCCTTGTCGACGACGTGCACGCTCAGGCGCCTCTCGCGCTCGGGCGCCGGGGCGCGCAGCTCCGTGAAGCTCGTGGTCGACGACACGGCCGAGCCCTTCTCCTCGCGCTCGGGGACGAACTTGGCGCGACGCACGCCGCTGTACTTTGCCCACGTCACCTCGGCGCCGGCACCGCCGGCACCGTCCATGCGCACACGCTCTGTCCCGGGCGGCACATCGATGATGGCCCAGTCCTTGGTGATGCCGTTCCAGGCCTCGCCCATCTTGCCGCGAGAGTCCAGCTTGTTGGTGATCTCGTACGCCTCATCGCTGTAGTCGATGGTCGGGGGAGCCGCCGACTGGGCACGCCGGGTCCTGGAGACGCTCCGTCGGCGCTCAATGTCGACGTGCAGGTGCTTGCGGTCGGACTGAACGACAACATCGTCCTCCCAGGTCTGGGCGGGACGCCGTGATGGCCGCTCCCGAGAGACGGACCGACCGCGGCCGTGGGTGTGGGAGTGCTTGTGGATGTCAACTTCTGTCTGGCCTCTCGAGGTGTAGATGTCGATCTCAGTGTCCCGGTGACGGACGGGTGGGGGCGGCGGCGAAGGGGGACGGACTGCCACGACGCCTGGCGGCGGAGGTTAGCGGGCAAGTCTCAATGATAGCATAGCAAGTAAACCCACCGTGGTCGATATCCCGGTAGTGCGTAATCACTTCTCGCTCCACCGTCGGCCCCTTGATGACCTTGGGTGTGGGCGGGCGCGGAGCTGGGCTCGGAGCACGCTCCTTTTCCCGCTCCGTGATCCGAATTCGCTCCCGTACATCGGTGTCGGGCGAGGGCGACCGTGACTGCGGGAGGAAGCGAATCCTGTCGGCGGGGCCACGGCTGGACTCTCTGGCGATGCGGCGGAAGCGGATATCCTCTTCAAGTCTCCTCGGCGGCGGGCTGACGCTCCTGGCCCGGTGGATTGTGCGGGATGTGATACGAGTCGGGGCCGGGCTAGGTGACCTCTGGCGGGGCCGCTCGACGGTCTCAACTTCTCTTTGTCTGAGGACCATTTGGCCCGGCTCGGCCCGCCTGTGTTCCTCGCGCATAAAGGCGGGGACGCGGTCATTCACCCGCTCGCGCTCGCGACGGATGTCGGCATCGTCATATTCCCGGACCACGGTGCGACGACCGAAGTCTCTGAGCTCCCGCTCGTCGAAATCGACTCGGCTTCTCGACATGACTGCTGCTTGCTACTGCGGGCGTTGTTTCTGGGGTGTAAGTTGTGGCCGACCGGCGATCGGGTGGGGCAGGTAGGTAAAACGGTTGACCTGAAAGAGGGCGGGGGAGGGGCAGCCTTGTCGAGCAGAGCAAGAATGGATGAATGGCCAGATAACCCGGCAAACAACGGTCGAAGCCCGGTGTTTCGAGTGTGTTTAAGCTGCGAGAGAGAATGTCGAGATTTTCGTGCGGGTCGAAGAAACCGGCGGCTGCTGCTGGAGGAAAATACTAGTTCAAGCCGGCTGAGGGGGGGGGGGCTGTGACGTTGGTCGGACGGGGTAGGAGGGGGACTCGTGGGCGGGAGCCAAGGCGGGGCAGCCAATGTGACCAAGGACCTTGGCAGACCAGCCTCTTCTGGGAAAGCTGTCACTCGAGAGGGAGGACTCGGGATTGTCTGTGGGTGTGAGATGGTGGTGCGATGGAATGAAGCCGCAGGGTCCCGGCCGGTATTAAGAAAGGGCGGCCAAGGCAATCGAAAGCTGCGAATCGGTATGAGATGCCGCAAAACAAAAAGGGGTCGCAATGACGGGCGCGTTGTTGGCCAACCTGGTCGATAGTTATTCTTGAAGGCGGAGGCACACTGGACAGCCGTTTTCCTTGCCGCACGAGAGAACTGGGGACGAACTGGGTTGGCCCAGCGAGTTTCAGGGTCGGACCCGGCTGGCGAAGCTGGCCAATTGTTCGGGATTTAATTTGGTCTCGAAACCAACATCGTCATCCCACAGCTGCTGCTTCGGGGTCGCAGGCCACTCCCTGCGCCCTAGATCCGCGCCTGCCTTGAGCGCTAGCAGCCGAGTTGTCAGTTCATGCTGACAGGCTGAGACCAGACGAACTGTTGGCTGCATCCTCCATGTACACTGTGCATAAGCGCCGGATGATGCAGTGATATACAGTGTAGAAATGTCAATATTTACACTGTGATTTACCCTCCCACAATTGTGCAAGAGAGCAAGAAATAATGAAATAACTAATGAAATCGGGGATTTGGGTGTCAATTTGCGAGCATGTCATGCCTCAATTTCTCAGGAAACCCCCGAGCCCGCGAGAAGGTGAGACAGCAGCAAGCACAAACTTGAGTTGCGTTGTGTGACACAGGCCGTCGAAACGCACACGAGGCCGCCTCAGCAGGTCTGGTCGTTGCTCAGCGGTCCAGTGGGGCCCCGAAGGAGGATGTCATGCCACTGACGCCTTGTCGCAGGCACTCTTCTTGCACGCGCCAACCAAGACACACATTTGGGAATCTGACGCTGTGTGCTACCGAGAACCATGACAAGAGAGAAACACGCCGGCCAATCACCGAGCATACGCTCTTCCGCTTGCTTTCGGTCAAGCTTTTACGTTCCGCGGAACCAATAGGAAGGGTTTTGGTCCCGGTCATACCTCCATATGATCATCATCAGCCTGGCGGCAGCCGGCCGCATCTCGTGTTGCTCGAGACCTGCGCTTCTTTCGTCGGTTAGGTTGGGCATCTACACTAGCCTCGCTGTGAAACAGGCTCTCGAGGCAACTTTGACCTCGCGCTTGCAACAAAACGTTGAGTTGACGCCACGAACTATTGGTCTTTGACAGTGACGCAATGTTGCATCGAGGCCACCCTTCCAGAACCAGACCAAGCCTCTAAACCAACCCCAAAAATTATTGTCGCCAATCGCATCGTAAAGGTGCCCCCGAGCCGTGCCTGGGCGGACCACAACGATTGACGACCATCTTGAATCGAAAGTCCTGCCCTGCCTTTCCTTCTGTCTTCGAGTAGACCCTGGTGGCGTGTCCGAACCCGGAGGTCAAGTAACTGAACCCGAACCCGCCGGCAACTTGAGAACCTGTGCCTCGCCCAAACCTCCTTGTTGGTGGTGTTCAAACCGACAAAACCAACAACCCACATGCATGCGGCAGGGAGCGGCGCAACGACCGGCCCGGCCCAGCGCCCAGGCCAATGTAACCCGTGCCACGCATCTGTTACCATCCTTCCACCAGATTGCCGAGGAGAACATTGTAGAACGCCCCCCTGCCGTTTCGTTTCATCTCTATGCCGTGGTGTGCTGGAGGGCGACCACTAGGTCTAGGTAGTAGCCACGGAGGCCAGCCGCCGCCAGCCCGCATAACACAGGCCACCAAGTCAACGGATGGGAAGTCGGCACACAATTTCATTATAAGCCCCCTTGGCGGGCTCGCTCCCACGTTGCAATATGATACAGAGACGCTTGTTGCCGCACCTGCGCCGTCCTCAGAAAAATGCCACCTCCAGACTCCCTAGCTAAGCCGAGAGAGGGCAGTTAATACAGGATCTTGCCGGATAGCCGAAGAGAGAAGAAATGCGAGGCAAGTGATTATGCCCTTGCCGTACAAGGGGTACAGTTTAGGTAGTCCTGGATGAGAAATTGTTGCAACACCTTCAAAGGCCCCGCGTTGCCTCGCTTAAGCGGCTCTGCGACTGATCAGCAACCAACCGGTGAATATTCCACTGCGTCTCGGTACTCACGCCTTTCTGCCGCGTCTCTTCGGCGCAGGGGCAGGCTTCTTCTCCACAGCCTTGCGACCCCTCTTAGGCTTCTTGGCCGGAGTGGACTCTTCCTCCTCTTCCTCCTCGGGCTCGGACTCAGGGGCGGACATCGGCCCGGAATCGGCTTCCGACTGCAACTCAGATTCCGGCTCAGGTGAGGGCTCCTTCACTTTCTTGGCCCGCGCGGCCCTCTTCTTAGGCTCAGGCTTCGGCTCCGGCACTTCGTCGACTTCGTCTTTGGCAGCCGCCTTGGAAACACGCCTGGCCCTAGCTGCTTTCTTGGGCTTCTCCGGAGTCGGTTCAGGCTCTTCCTCTGCTTCGCTCTCCCCCTTGACAGCCGCAGCAGCCTTGGCCCCACGCTTTCTCTGCGCCGCTTTCTTGGGCTTCTCTGGGGTCGGCTCAGGTTCTTCCTCCGCCTCACTCTCCTCCTTCACAGCCGCCGCAGCCTTGGCACCACGTTTGCCCTTCGCCGCTTTCTTGGGCTTCTCTGGGGTCGCTTCGGGCTCAACTTCCTTCTTGACAGCGCGCTTCGCCTTCTTCGCCGGGGGCGCCGGCTCGTCGGCTTCCTCATCATCGGCCTCAGCCTTCTTCCCACGGCCACGCTTCGCGGTTGCCTTCTTGGGTTTGGCCTCGTCCCCAGACTCAGGCTCGACCTTCTTCTTCTTGCGCTGATGGATGCCTTTTTGGCCGGGTACATTCATCTCGGGATCCTGCGACACCCGTGTTAACCAGTTACCCTGGCATAAGAACACAACATAAAAGTCCACTCACGCCATTGAAGTCCTCGGGGTCGATATGACCTTGGGTGATAACCCGCTGGATTTTCTCCCGTACATCAGGATGATCCCTTCTCGCCGTTAGCATGGCCACACCCTTCCCCACGCAAAGGAAAGAGCTGCACTTACTCGAGATCCTCCCAGCCGTCAACGGCATCCCATCGGTACTCGCCATCGGAGTCCTTGCCAATCTCGTTCTGCATGTTCATGACCTGCTCCCCCGAGACACAGCCCCTAGCGAGAAGTCATCGTCAGTTACTCCCTCTTTTGTCACTATTCTCGAACGGTCACCTACCAGTGCCTCCACTGCCAACTGCCATGCTCGTGGATAGTGACCCAGGTGCCCATGCGGATTTCGCCCTTCATGATCTTCTTGCCTGCATCCTTGCAGGCCGCCACCTTGCAACCGGCCCGGTTGTTGGGCGAGATTTCTGTCCATAGTCAGTACGCTGGGTTATTCATTCAACCCCATGCGTGGCTGCATCCCATTGTAATCTGCAATGGTCGAGCGAGTCGGTGTTGCGGACGGCGGGCTCGAAGCTCTGATCTTGAAGCTCCATCCGGACGGAGCTTCACTGCTCAGGGATGAAAGCTCCAGCAAGCTCCAGAGCATCGCTGAGTGGCGCGGCGTGATCGATGAATTGAATGGGGAAAAAATAAGGAAAAACTTACCGATGCGATAAGACATCTTGACAGTAAATCCACCTGAAAGATTGACCTTCCTAACAGGTGCTTCTGGAAAATCAGTGATGAAAAACAAGATGTGGTCGCTGGTCTGGTGAGCTCGCGTTTGCTGAAGACGTTCCGGCGGTCAGCGGCGCAAAGCAAGGTGCGCGCGTCAGTGGGGCCGCGATCTTCAGGTTGGATATTCTTTGTCCTGCACGGTTTGAGGAATCAGAAATGCGACAGGGCAAAACTTTGATGGAAAGCTGATGCACACCTTACGTAGGCAGCAGCAGAGATTTTGTTTGCAAACGGAGAATGGAAGGCGCGTTAGGGAAAGAGTAAAAAAAACAAAATCGTTTGGCCAGGGACCTTGTGCAAATTGGCGGGGAATCAATTCCTGGGCAGTTAAATTGCCTTGGAAACTCCCCTTCTCCAACCCATTAAACTTCACACCAGGCATCACAGAGGGATGTATTTGCTTGGATGTTAGAGAAAACAGTCTTGGATGAGCTATTCCCAATGTGATATCCATACAATCCCGTCCCATCATTCATCATTAATCACTTAGCCTCGGAAGATGCTCGTTACGCTAAATCGCCATCACAAAAACAAAAGCAGCCCCTTAACGCCTACAAGAAAGGACACCACCCAATATACATGGCCGTCAAATTCCTCGGATTGACCGCCGCCTTGATCAGCTCCTCGACCTGGCCCTCCACACCGAGCGGGATGCTCTCCTTAGGCAGCAGGCCCGTAACCTTGCGGCGGATGCTCTCGACGGCGCTCGTGGGGTTGAGCTTGACCTTGGTGCCCTCGTGGTGGCGCTTGGTGCGCTGCAGGTCGAGGGTGGGGTCGTAGATGAAGGCCTCGAGGATGGTCATGAGCGTCTCCTGCTGCTGTCGGAGGATGCGCAGCGTCAGCTCGCTGCACCGCCGGAAGGGGCCCTCGGTCCGGTAGATGCCCATGGCCGCCTCCATGTTGTGCGTCAGCCGGAACGGCACGCACTCGGGCTGCGGGAACGTCATGCCCTTGTCGAACATGCAGTTGAAGTCGACGTGGAAGATGCCGCCGTTGCCTTCTTCGAGGAGCACGTTCTCCCCGTGTCTGTCGCCCAGCCCCAGGATCGTGCCGACCATGGACATGACCGCGCAGGAGCGCGTGTACTTGAGCCGCGCAGCGAACCACGCCGACGGGTTGGGGAACTGCGCGATGAACCACTCGGGCAAGACCGGCGGGTACTTCCCCAGGACATCCTCGGTGAAAATGCGGATGTTTGCGGGCGAGGCGGCAGCTTGAATCATTTGAGCTGCGAGCTCCGGGTAATTGGGTACAATGCCGCGCGACTTGTAGATGGCAAGCAAGATGTCGCGCAGCGTCTTGAGCCCGTCCACCCACTCAATGATACCACACTCCTCGTTGAGCGGCGTGACGGCGTACGTGCGGATGTAGAGTTGACGCCTGCTGGATTCGGCGTCCCGCTTGAGAGACCGGTTGATGAGCGTGTTGAACTCCATCAGCCGCTGGTCGGTACGGAGATCGTCTTTGGGCTTGACCAGCAGGCCATACTGCTTACCATCAGACCCGCAGGCCGTAAGCTTGCGTGGTTTCGCCAAGGATCCGAGAACGAGGACCTGGTCGAGGAAACTTCTGATGGTGACCACGTCCCTGGAGAATGCTTTGTGTTTCCGGGAGCTATCCGTCAGTGTCGGTAGCGTGGCGGTCAAAAAACCCTCGACCGGTACCACTAGCGGACAGGGCGTGCACTGGTGGTTGAAGTTGAGATCTCTCGTGATACTCGCGGTCGTCGTCCTGTTGTTTGGAAAATCGCCGTTTTTGCAAGCTAGCAAGAGCTGTTCGGCCAGCTTCTCGCCCACTTTCAGCAACGACTTCAGGTCATGGGACGACGCATCCGCCTTCTTTCCAAGGTTACGAGCAGCATGTAGGATTTGGAGTCCTCTGGTCCGGCGTTCGCCAGACTGTCTCGACGCCATGAGCGGGAATAGACTCCATAAGGCCTGCTGGGGATGAGCCTCGACCACTTTCAGAATCATCTGCTCCAGCACCCTGAACACCTCCATATTAGGATGCGCTATCCTTGCCACAATTTGCGGCAGAGAGGTGTAGAATACGTATGCTGGCAGGCGAATTATGTTTTTCTGGAAGTTCTTGCATACTTCGTGAAGGATGGCCCTCCTGCGCATCTGCAGCTCCCGAGATATCGATACTTTGCCGTCGGGCGTTTTGTCGTTGTCAACTTGAGCACCCAGTTCAAGGAATAATGTTAGAATGCGCGGCAAAGTCTGAGAGAGATACTTTGTCCCATAAATGAGAGAGCGGAGATAGTTCTCGATCACCAGCTTGGCCGTCTCGCCGCTCAGATATGAGTCGCTCTGGTCGTCTGGTTTCAGCGCCTTCTCCGACTCCAAGATCTTTTTGTAATGGCGTCCAAGGTAGTAATGGCCCTTCTCCCACTTGGAGTGTGTCTTGGCTGCTTGCTGGTATCGCGTCCGAAGTGCTGCAGCATTTGTCTGACCCGTCGAGTCGAGCCACTTTGCAAGGAGGAGGTGGGCTCTTGCCGTCAAGAGGTTGCGCTGTGTTGCCGGCCCCTTGCTCGAGGTCGGTGGCACACTGATGCTGATGGAGCTGTCATTGATGAAAGAGTTGGTGGAGATGGCGAGTTGCAAGGTTTGGATGGCCTTGCGGTGATGCCCATCTTTGTAAAACAACCGGGCGTTCTCGATGACAGCGGAACCATCTCCAAGCTGCTGCGCATGCAGCACGGCGTTGAAGGACTGATGCATCGACCCGGCTTTTCTCGCCAACCGCGCGCTGGATAGCCATTGTGACGAGATGTCTTCATTCCCAAATTTGGGTCTAAGCGGGTCAGCAGTTGCGCCCAACTCGGGGGGAATAGATAAACATACCGCATCAACTCCATCGCCGCTCGCCTGATCCCGAGCAGATACTGTTTGTCACTCACGTACGCCCCGAGAACCTCGAGCCGTCTGTCCAGGCTCACAAGGACGCCCTGCTGATCGCCGTCTCCCCTGAGTTTCTCATTGGCAATCATCTCCAGGTCGCTCAGAACATGACACTTGAGCATGGCGTCGTGAGAAGCGCGCAGCGAAGCTGTCGCTGAGTATGTCATGGAACCAGCCACCTTGTCCCTCAGCATCTGAATATGCTCCTTGAACTTGTCCACATTTCCGTTTTTGAGGCAGAGCAGGGCTTGCCCGATGCCGAGGTTGAACACCTCAGAGACATCTCCCGCGCTGTACAGCTGAAGATACTTCTGGACGGTTTGCCATCTGCCGGTGGCCCATGAAGCTTCGACGGCGAATGGTGCGATCCTGTTTATGTTGTTTACGCTCATGCCTTCGACATAATTGAGCAAGACATCTACAAATATGTCAGTTGATTGTGTTCCTCGCCATGCAAGCAGGGATATGCTTACCGTGTTGTCCGGATTCCTTTAGACAAGTCAAGAGATCTTGTTGGATGTCCGCATCCTCGGGGGACTCGGCAAGCCGGATCTCATACCATGTCTGCGCTGCCGTCCACCGCCCGGCTTTGCGGTGGTTGAGGGCCTGCTGATCCAGGGTGACATGTTGCAAGTGTGCCGATACACCTTCGAGACCATCCGGGTCATCGATTTGCGTGTAAATACTCTGCAAAGTCTGCAAAATACGATCGTTCTCTTCCCTACCCGCTTTATCCTCGCGGCTCTCAACGTGCGGCTCCAGAAAGAAGAGCGCTCGGGCATATTCGTTGCAGTCAACTGCTCGCTGGGATATCAGCTCCGGGTCAAGAGAGCCAATAACTCCCTGGACCCATTTGATCTGTTGCTGGTCGCGCTCTGTTAGTCCGTGTTGGGACTTCTTGACCTGCTTCCACCTCATGCAATAGTCAAGGATGCGAAACACGGCCTGTTCGAGGTCAGCTGGCATTTCCGAGAGGAAAACGAAGTGAGCCATACCTGATAGAAGAGCTTCGCCTCCTCCTTTTCCACATACGAAGCAGTCTCCGGGGGTTGGTACTTCAGCATCGCCACCAACTCAGCCGAGATCTTGTTCCTGAAATCGTCCGTTCTTTCCTGGCCAACAATGACATGCAATACCACATACGGTAACAGAAACTCAGTCACGGTGAGGTCCTTAACCTTGATCAGCCGGCATAGAGGCTCGAAAACAGCTTCACTGTTCAAGTTTTGGCCGTTGCGCAGGAGGTCGAGAACAAGAGCTCTGAGCCAGAAAGCATACGACCGCCCGGGTTTGAATATCGGATAGTCGGTCGGCTGCTGCGCCATAGGAGCAACTCCGAATCGGGACGATAAGAACGGTGTCAACACCTCCCGTGTGTTCTCCGAGAAAGTCAGCCACTTTCTGTAGATGGCCTCGTTGACGCCACCTTGACTTTGTTGGAGGTGAGCATAGTTGAAGTCGGTTCTCAGGAGAAGCTCCTGCATCGCATAGGAGAGGAACCCCTGAAACTTGGTGTCGGCGGTTGACAGGAAAGCCTTGACGAGTACGTTCTCAAGCATGAAGGCGACAAAGTCGGTGGTTTCGGACGCATCTCCGAAATTGTGGGTGACGACAAACTGACTCTGCTCGCGCACCGCCTCTAGGCGGTTTGAGTCTACGCAACCAACGAGGCCAACCGCCTGGGCGCAGAGCCGGGTGACATCGAGATGCCAGCCATTGTATTTCGCAGAGCAGTTCAGCAGGGAGCGCATGAGTTCGGTGACAACAACCGAGTTTGGTTGCTCGCTGATGGCCGAGGTTTGAAGGTAGTCTTGGTTCTTGTCGAGGAATGCAATTAGCTCGACCAACGCCTGCTCGACCACTCCGGGGTTCTCATGGTCCAGTCGCTTGGCGAAAACAGCAAATGCTGCCTTGTTGTCCAAAGGCTTTCGAAGTCTATCCAGCTCCTTACAAACTTCTGCAAGATCGTCTACGTGACTGAGCGAGGGAAGCTGATAAACGTGGTCGGTCAAGATGCTGTTATGGCCTTCCAGCAGAGTCCAGATCAAAGCCTCAGCTTTCTTCTTAGTCAACCTGTCGAAGTTCTTCCAATAGGAGCCAATGATGAAGAAGGTGGTCTCAATCAATGCCTCCACGTCGGCCGCTTCCATGTGAGTGAGCATGACTTCCCAGCAGGAGAAGGCCGCAGAGCGCAGTTCGTCGGATGCCAGAGCGGAGATGAGGCAAGCCGAGATTTGCGGACGAGCAATGCACACGAAGGTGTTGCATATCCTTATCATCTCTTCCATAGCCCCGAGGCACCGCTGCTGCTCCGAGATTGGGGGACTTGAGAGCCAGGTATCATTGATAACCTCGCTCAACCGTGCTGTCAAGCCGAGGGCGTGCTGCTGAAGATAGCGTCCAACAATCTGTGCCTTCTTTCGCTTGTCTTTTTGGTCCGCCAAAAGGAGAGTTGCCATGGTGGTCAGCGCTGCTCGAACCTGCATACAGCTAGTTAGTCTCTCGCGCTTTAATGATCATGGGTCAACTTAAGTCAACTCACCCTCGCCTTGCGTTCATCGTTCGCACCGGCACTGGCCTTGAGAAGCTCCAGGGCGATAGGGAGGGGGTCTGTTCGCAGCAGTTCCACAAGCTCAAACCTATCCACATGAGGAGACACGTGCCCAAGTAACGACATGGTATGGGAGGCGATATCAGGGGCATCTTGCACAAGGAGGAGTGCCAAGATGGATGGCAGGTTAGCCGCATCCATGCACGCCTCCCAGGTTTCGGTGTCACCCCGTGCCTCGGTGATCTTCTGGATGACCTCCCGTTTTTTGGTCAGGACCAGCCAGGGCAGGGCGTGCTTCTGTAGTGTGAGCAGAAGGTCAGAGACACTCATCTGCATCAGGTCGGCAACCAGCTGGGCCGTCTGGGGTTTGGATACTAGGTCCTTGACGACGGAGAACGCCAGGTTTGCCCAGAAATGTTGGAACAACTGTGCTGGTGTTTCTTCCCTGAACTCGGCAAGATTGAGGATCTCATTGAAAGCGAGGCCTGACACGATTATGTTGCGGTGTCCCAGATACTCGACCAGTGTAATGACGGCCAGGTTGAGCTCATCAACGGACACGACCTTGCCGACCTGAGCCCAAGCCATGATGCAGGTCTCGTTTAGATTTGCGACACCCTTGTCAGAGACTGACTTGAGTATACTCAAAGCGTTAGCCCTGTTCCTTTTCAGAACTTCCCAGTCGAAGCCCGGCGTGGGTGGCTCTGAGATGAAAATAGAGAGGGCTCGTCCGGCAGCAATGCGGAGTTCTCGAATGGAACTTTGTAAGGACTGGAGACACCATTGCCCAGGACCAGATTTCTCCAGGTCCCAGAGCTCGCTGTTTGTCGAGTGCTTGGTGAGACGTCGGAGAACAATCATAGCAGATACCCGAAGTCGCCGGGATTGTAAGAAGCTCGGAAGCTTTATGATACTGCTGAAAATCGAGATTCCAATACCATGAAGTTGGTCAAGTCGAGATGCAGCCGGCAAGTCGGTTAACTTCGTCTCTGAGCAAAAAGAACACCAGAAAGCAGCTGGTGTTGATTGCTTTGACCCCCTCAGCTTCAATGTATAGTCAGCGGCACAGGGAATACGGCAAACGAGGTCGATGAGATGGCACTGTTCCTCTTCGTCCATCGCGGGGAATTGATCACTACAATACGGTTAGTTCGACGCCGCTGGGCACGCAAGGGGAACACACATTATACAAGCCCCCAATTCATCTACCGAGGTGCCGGGGTCACAATTCACCAGCCGGCACAATTGGCGGGTGAGCTCGAGAAAGAGTGATGGCTCGTCATTATTGAGCTTTTTCCGTTTGATAACCGGGTCACTGGACCCATCACTCTTTCGTCGGAGCGCCAATTTCTGAACTTGAAGACGGACGTCGCCATTAATAAACATGGCCGGCTGAGTTTCCTCAAGGGAACCTTCAGGGTAGTTGGTCGTTACCTCAGTCAGAAGGAGAACAGATCGCTAAGGCATAATTAGCAGGGAGTCTACTACGCGGGGGGGACGAACCGTACCCAGGTATCTGTGCCTTCCCTAACTGTGCAATCCCCTGAAACTAGCCGTTGAGCAGAAGGGAGCAAGCCGGAAACCACAAGCCGTGAGGTTGGTGCATGATCGGCCGAAGCTTTGGCAAGACAAACTAATGCACAGCAAAAGGTCCGTCTCACAGCCACGCCGTCGTCGTCCTGGGCGAGAAGCGGTTGGGGAGTTTGCAAGAAATCTGCGCAAACCAAAACTAAAGTTGCGCTGGCTTTGTGGTAGAGCACTGCTTCTGAGCCATGGGAGCCACTGCGAGAGTCTGCCAAGTCTGTGGCTATTTGGAGAACCGGGTCCAGGCCAATTCCAAGAGGATTTGGCCAGCTAAGTAAGATCGAGTTCAGCGGTTGCAATGTGTCCAAGACCCAGACCAGGTTCTGGCCGTAAAGTAAAGAAGCCTGGGACTCTTGTGTGTTTATAACGCCCTTGATTATTTCTAGTATGCCTAGCGCATGGCGGATGGCGTGCTCGGCGTCTCGGAGTGTGAGGGTGCATCCGCGTGGTGCACCATGAGGTAACGTGTCGAGGAGAGCTTGGGGCGGTAGCTTGATTTCGATCGGAGTTTCGCGCGAAGAGGGGATTCTAGCCTTGAAATTCGCAATAATCGCTGCAAGCCAAAGAGTCAGCCAACGCCGCAACCAGGGTCCAAAGAAATCCAACTAACTCACCACTCAGATTCGCCCTAAAGTACTCCATCAACTCCTTCCCCAAATCCCACAGCCCGGTATTTCCCGCAGCCAGCAGCAACACACGTTGGCACAGCTGCTCAATCTCCCTCGATATCCCAATACACCGCCGATGGCCCAGCATGCGCAGCAACTTGGGCAGGATCCACACCCAGAGCGGCTCGCCGCCCCTGCCCAAAAAGGTCTTCCCGTCGGTAGTGCACTTCAGCACCGTCGGTGTCTCCTTGATGGTCACCCACAAGAAGTTGACGGCCTTGAGCGCGTCGGCGCGCAGCCGATCCCGGTCGGTAAAGGCATCGTCGAGCTTGAGACTTTCGAGGAAGACGCCGCCGCAGACATAGACGAGCAGGTGGTTGTGCTCGACACGCTCTTCGTGGGTTTTCAGACAGGTAGGATCGTTCTTGACCTTCTCAATTGCAGCAAACAGTCGCTTTAGCTCGGTTGTCTCGTCGGGTCGCGATGACTTCGAGGCCGTAGTTGAGATGTTCTCGACGAGTTGAGCGGCGAGGGTTGACGGCGGTGGCCCTGTGGAATAATCAAAGCCAAGGTGCTGCTGGTTCTGGTAGCCGGGCCGGGCCGGTTTGCCATGCAATTCGGAAGCCATTTGTCGCTGGCATCATCGGCGCGGCGACCGGGGAAGCAAATGGTGTTGGTGATGCGACGTTGGGGAAACACGCCCAGTGTAAAACCGGTGGGGAGAGACGCGTTTACGCGGGGTCTCGAAAGTTTGGGGCGGCCACGAGAGCACGTGACGGTTTTTAACGCATAGTAACCCTAACCCTTCGAAATGGGAAATGGAAGTCAAACAGGGGGGAACACTCGGCACAGAGAAACACCTATCTTTCCACAACCCTCGCAAAAGACATTATTCGGATATTTTCCTATGCTAATCGTACCCAATATTCCCCCGATGTCTAGTCAGCCCTCCAATAACATCTCATGTGCTGCTCAGCAACTTCTCAACTGCCCATTTGACCGAGAAGTTCCTCAAATCCGAGTAATGTTGCCCAACGCCAACAAACAGCACCGGTACATTCGTGGCATGCACAATGCTGACCAGCGTGCCGACCATGTCTCCGACGGTGTCACACTTCGAGATGATGAAGCCATCCAGCGACCGGCCGGACCCAAAAGCGGCATTGAAGTTCCTGGCTTGGGCGACTGAGTCGGTGCCGACGAGCGCCTATTAGATAAGTCAGCATTCCTGCGCCCTCGGACGTAGGGGGTAAGCTCGGGATCAACATACCTCGCCGACCATCAAAATCTTGTCCGGCTGCGCAAACTTGGCAAACTTCTCTAGCGAGGACATCAATCGCTGATCGTTGTGCCTCCGTCCAGCGGTATCAATGAGCACTACATCGAAGCCCTCTTGGGCAGCAAAGGCAACCGCATCCTTGGCCACGGCTGCGGCATCCTTGCCGTACCCCTTCTGGTACAGCTCAACTTGTCCACCCTCACGGGCTGTCAGCTCCTTGAGATTGCGAACGTGCACTGCCAGCTGCTCAACCGCTCCGGATCGGAAGGTGTCACCGGCGGCGATGAGCACCTTGTACTGGTTTTGCAGAAGGAAAAAGCAGATTTTGGAAAGGTTGGTGGACTTGCCGACGCCGTTGACGCCAACGATGGACATGACGTAGGGGCGGGCTTTCCGGAGAGAAGTAGCGGACGGCGCGGTAATGGCGTCGATCTCGCGGAGGAGGTCGAGGGAGGATGTCGGGGTGAGCATCTTGGTCAGAGAGGCTTCCATGGCTTTTTGTATCCTCGCGTTTATGCCTAGTGTGTGTTAGCGGTGATATTTCAGGGGCACCGGGGGAGGGAAGCAGGCCTACTCTCAAAATTGCCCGTCTTCACTCCCACGAGTTCCTTCTCAACGCCCTCGCATAGCCTCACAGCGGCCTCACGCGCAACGTTCTTCTTGAGAAGATGCTCTTCCATGCCCTTCATTGCCTTTTCGAGGTCCTGCTTCGTCAAAGTCTTGCCGCCAACAACGTTCCTAAACAGTCCCCCAATGGCACTCAGGCTCGACCCAACAAGGCCGCTTGATCCCTCGGTCTTAGTTTCGGCGTTCTTCTTGGCGTCGGCATCCGCCAGAATGGAATGAACTTCGTCACCCAAGTCCCTGAGCACGAACTTCCCCTTCGTCCTCGCACCCCACGTGGAGGAATCCACTTCCTCGACGGCCCCCGGTCTCCCACCGGCGTCAACCTCACCGCCGGAGGGGATGGAGTAATCGAGCTGAACGTCGTCGGTCTCATCCGCGAGCCCATCCGCATCCCATTTCCGCCCACGTTTCGCCGCCTTGGCCGGCTTCCCCTTCCGGCCCGGGCCTTCGTCGCCCGATGAAGGTGGCGCCGAATTGGTATTTTGGATTTTTCTCGCCCGTCTCGACATTTTACCACCAGGCCCGGGCTTGGCCACCAACAGGTGGCTTGCGCTGGGAGTCGACGGGCGCGAGACATTGGGTGTCGCAACTGGGGAAGCTTCGGCGGATGATTTGTCCCGAGATGTCTGGTTGGTCACGAGAGCCGGCGGCAAAGGGGGATCGTCACCTGGGTCCTCCGACGTGGCCTCGTCGATGTATGCGCGTGTGTCCGACTTGCTGCTGCCCTGCTCGAGCTCCTGAAGTTGTTGTTCGAAGTATTCGTCAAACTTGATACACTCAATGATGGTAGTGTTCGGCTTCTTAAGCTGGTCGCCGTAGAGACTCAAGAAGATGGCTTTGATGTTGTCGACGAGCTTATCGATCCAAGGCAAGTGCAGGAGAGAGCGGTAGACTGCCTGTCACAAGTGTCAGTCAGTGGCAGTGGCGAGAAGCTGGAAGAGTGGCTTCCCAGTACTCACGACGAAAATGATTCCCAATTCCTTGTTGAATGTCCATCGTAGGCTGTGCTGGTCGTGTTTGTACGGTGGGTTGGTGGCGGCAGATGCGCCATCCTTTGCGCCGGCAACGGTGCTCTTCTCCTCGATAAAGACATCCGAGATGAAGTTATTGACTACCGAGGGGCTGACAGCTGCATAACTCCTGGACCAAAGGACCACTCCTGATGTGTTGATGATCTCGAAAGCGTCCAACATGGTGAATCGCAGGTCGAACGCCGACCTTGTTGCTGACTTTTGCTGATGCAGAAGGACGGACGGACTGTGGACTGTTCTCTGCCACGAGTTCCACGCTTGTAGGTGGCAATCGGGTCCCGGACTGCAGCCCCTTGTCCTTCTAGAAGAATCGCATTCAGTGATTGGCGTGGCCCGGGGGCAGGCCTGGGCGTGGCGGCGTCAGCCGTGGATTAACCGGGCCAATTTGCTGCCAAGCCCTGTCTTTCAGGGGACGCGGCATGCAGCAAGCTGACTGCTGAAAACACATGTCCAAAAGCAGCCAAACTTGTCGCATTTCGAGGGCAGCCCAGCTCCCATCACCACCACACATTTCAGTCAATTGCCGATCACGGTGACCGATCCGCCCGCCGCAAAAGTCCTCACCTCGTCATAATCAAGCCGCATTGTGTCCGACCTTCCATTGATCGCGCATCATGCAGCAACGAGCAACCTACGGACGCTCCCCTCCTCTCCACCATCCGGTGCCGCAGCACGTCTCGACAGTTCCCCAGCTCCGGTCCCCGCCTCCACCAACTTCACAACCCCAAGGCGGCTACGATGGCAGCCCGTACCCGCAACAACCACACCAGCAGCAGCACCAACAGCAGCAACAGCAAGGTCCGGGGCCAGCGGGAGGGCCCAATATTTTTGGGCAATATGGCAACTTCATCAACGAACCGACCGCGCAGATAGCGTCGCACTTTGGCCAGACAGCGTTCAGGCAGGGGCAGGAATACCTTGAACAGAATGTATGTCCCGGCGCGATTCCATTAGCAAACCCTTTGTATCCCCGTACTAAACCGAAACCACCAGGTGAACCGCTTCGTCAACGTCTCGGCCGTCAAGCACTATTTCATCGTCACCAACTCTTACGTAATAAACAAGCTGTTCCTCGTCCTCTTTCCCTGGCGACACAAGCCGTGGACCAGACGACAGGCCACAGGGCCTTCCGGCCAGGAGGCCTGGTATCTGCCACCGCGCGATGACATCAACAGCCCGGACATGTATATCCCCGTCATGTCGCTGGTCACGTACATATTCCTCCGGGCCTTAATCTCCGGGCTGAAGGGCGAGTTCCAGCCAGAGCTGTTTGGGTATATTGCGACAGTTGCGATGGTGGCCGTGATTATAGAGATCGGGGGGCTGAAGGTGGGATGCTACCTACTGAGCATCTCGAACGAATCGCAGCTGTTCGATCTGGTGGCATACTCGGGGTACAAGTTCGTTGGCGTGATTGTTACGATTAGCGTGGCCGAGGTGGTCAATGGCGGGAAAGGGACGGGAGGCTGGATCGGGTGGACTGTATTCATTTACACCTTCTTGGCAAACTCACTCTTCCTGGTAAGGAGTTCTCCCAAAAGATCTGCCAGGTTGACGGTTTCATAACTGACTTTTGGAATAGATGCGGTCTCTCAAATACGTTCTCCTGCCCGAGAACAACAACGACAACCGGGGTCCGATGCAGACGATGCACCCACTCGACTCGCGGGCAAAGAGAAGCCAGCGGACGCAGTTCCTCTTCTTCTACTCCTATGTCGTACAGCTGGTCTTCATGTGGATCCTATGCCGGTCCTAAGCAGCCGATCAGACAGGCGGCATGGGAACGGTTTGGTTGAGGGTTGATGGCGGGATGCAAATTATAAACCAGAGCGGACAGCGACCAGGCGATCAACGCGAAATGTGAGATAATTACAGAGCATGTACTATTACTATACATGGAGAGGTGACTTTTTAACTTGGGTGTTGACTCGTTTAACTACGCGAGCTCCCTTTCGGGTCACACGTACCACCACCCTTCTCAACTCAACATGGAGAACTTAAGGGGACCCTGGTACGCTCACCAAAACCACTAAGCTGCAACTGCAGAAACGTCTGATTCTCCTTCAATTGTTTCATGCCACATCCGTTCATGGCCAACCAGTGAGACCACGAACGGCGTGGCAAGTGGGTCCGGCGGCGCGTTGCACTCGCTTTCGTCACAAACATTCAGCGCCGTCTCAGCTCTCACTCAACTCAACACCATTTCTCATTTTCACACCGCAAACTTCAATCCTCAAAGAAACACTCATTTTGAGGTTCGGGCTACCTTATTTCACTCACCACCACCATTAGCCAACTCACTTAAAATAACTACAACAATGGCGCCCCCCATTGTGACGGCGACCATCCAAGGCGCCGTCATCTCCGCCATCTCCAACATCCTAGCTCAAGCCATCACCGCTCATCAAAACAACGTCCGTCTTCACAACCCTCCCCTTCCCACCACCCCAACCCCCAACCTCACCAACCCACACTAACCCCCCTCACAACAGACACCCCTCATAATCGACTACATCCCCGTCTTCCAATACGCCCTCTTCGCCCTGCTCTCCACACCGCCCAACTTCCTCTGGCAGGACTTCCTCGAGTCCGCCTTCCCGGCCTACCACATGGCGCCGACCAAGGAAGCCATCACCGCGGCATCCGCCGCCGACGACGCCAAGCTCGACACCGACGCCGCGCGCGGCCGCGTCATCGAGCCGCGCCTCAGCAAGCGCAACACGGCGCTCAAGGCCCTGCTCGACCAGACCGTCGGCGCCGCCGCCAACACCGCCCTCTTCAGCCTCTTCATGCACGCCGCGCGCCAGGCCATGGCCCACCACTATGCCGCGCGCGCCGCGGGGGATGGAGATGTGCGGGCCGGGGGGTTGGCGTTTCTGCTGGGGGGTGCTGGGGCGGAGGCGATGCGGTATCAGGATGTCGCGTGGGCGAGCGTGTGGGCGCTGACGCGCGCCGAGTTTTGGGGGTTGATCCAGGCCGGGTGGCGGTTCTGGCCCGCGGTGAGCTTGGTGAATTATGTGTTTTTGACGACGGTTGAGGCGCGGAGTCTAGTGGGTGCGTTGGCTGGGTTGGGGTGGGGGATTTATCTGAGTCTGATCACTGCGCAGTAGGAGTGAGAGGGGCGTGTGTCGGAGGCGTGTGTCGGAGGCGTGTGTCTTGGGTAGGCGAGAAATAGGAGCCCCTTGGCCGGGATCATTTGATATCGCATTGAATTTAGGAGAAGTGAGATGACAAGTTTTATGTGGAAGTGTTGTAGATTGGTCGTGTATGCGACTTGGGTGCGCTGAGTTACCCCCGACATCAAGATGGTGAGTTAGACAGATATCTACAACAACTACAGATTACTGGTTATTGACTGGAAAAATAACCACATCACTGTTTTCACGGTATAAGACTGTCTCCAGTTGCTAATTCCAACTTTTCTATCTTGGCTCCATAACTTATACTCATTACATATTAATTCTAGCGACAAGAGGGGACCAAAGCGATCAAAAGACAACTTCGCATAAATCTACCGACCTTCCTTGTGTTCACATCCTATTTAGAACAAACCAATTACCACATCTATAGCCCACACTCGTTCTACCCCCAAGCCTACACATTACAGACAGACAACTGCTAGCCAAGAAACCGAAACGCGAAGCACAACGGAAGAGACAGTGGTATATTATCTCAAACAACACAAACTCCATCTGGCACCCGCCGCCAGGGAAAGAGCGGATATAACCTGGTTTCCCTCCTCATTGACTTCATCCATCATCCCCCCCACTGTCCAGTCTCCATCCATCCAGCGTGTCAACAACACAACAGAAAAAGGCCAACGGCCTATATATCGTAACACAGAGCAAAGTACAGCAAAACAAGCACGCTGAAGCGCAGCCCGCCTCATCAAGCCGCCCAGCCTTCGCGGTGCTCGACCAAAGAGAGGAAAAGAAGAGAAGGAAACTGAAAACAAAAACAGGTAAAAGCGTCTGGGTACTCGGTCGGTCAAGACAACGACAGGAAAATGACAACAAATCGCCGGCAGGGCAAGAAAGGAAAACACCACCACCAGCTCCTCCTCAAGCAAGCAAGGCAGGAAATGAAACAAGAAAGCCCCCGCCTCCCCCTTTGTTCGGTTGGAACCGACCAGCCAGAATATTAGTAGTACACCCCCCTCTCTCTCTCTCACCTCCCCCCTCCCCGTCTATCCCCCGCGTATACAAAATTCCAGGCCAACCCCCCCCCCCTTTCACCCCCCACCTTTCTCAATCTACTCACTTCCCACCACCCGGACTATCCGGATGGCTCTCATCCAGCCTCTTGCGCCAATCGGCCAGGCTCTCGCTCAGGCCCAGGCCGGCGCCCTCGTCCTTGCGGCCCCCGGCCGCCGCGTTGGCCGCCGCCGCCGCCGTGACCGGGTTGGCGTCGAAGTCGAACGTGTTGCTCAGCCGGTAGTTCTTGTTGGTCGTCTCCCAGTGGCTGCGCAGCGTCTCCAGCTCGTTGGCCAGGCTGTCCAGCGCGGCGCTGTTGCGCGCCTCGCCCAGCCCGCTGCCCCCGCCGCCGCCGACGCCGCCGGCAGTTGTGGTGACGGTGGTGCTCGGGGCCGCGGGGTCGTAGAGGCTCTCCGCTTCGCTGGCGGTGGACTCCTGGCGCAGGTGGCCGGGCATGCGGTGGTGGTGGTTGCCGTTGCCGTTGCCGTTGTCGCCGCCGTTGGTCGGGCTGGCGGTGGCCATGCCGATGGATTCCGAGTTGAGGCTGGGGACTTGCCTGCTCCGGCGGCGGTAGTTGTCTACCGATAGCTCTACTTGGTCGAGGAGCGTGCTGACCTTTTGCTCGGCGTCCTGGGCGCGGCGCTCGAGGAGAGCGTTTTCCTGCTGGAGTTGCTCCAGGTCGCGCTTGGAAGATTCTAGGCGGCGGCGCGCCTCCTCGCTGCCGTGGACGGCCGAGTTGCGTTCGCGTTGGACGTTGGCGAGCTCTTGTCGGACGGACTGGACTTGTTGTTCTAGCCCGGAGGCGGTTTTGTGGAGCTCAGTCTGGAGCCTATCGATCTCGGCCTGGAAAGTTTTCTGTTGCGTTTCCCAATCTGCGGGGGCCTGCTGGGTCCTGGGTGTCGAGGAGTCGCCGCCCAGCCGCTCTTCCAGATCGACCACCTGCTCCTTCAATTTGGCGTTCTCGGTTTTGTACCGCGAGATCTGCTCCTTAAGCTGCTTCAGCATCTTCTCCGTGCCCTTGACGTAATGCACGGCCGACTGATAATCGTTATCGAGCTGGGCGAGTTTGTCGCGGTATGTTGACTCTGACTCTTGCGCCTGGGCCGCGGCCTGGGTTCTGCTCTCTTCGAGTGCCGACTGCGCTGCGGTGAGCTGCTGCTCGAGCTCCCGCAGACGCATCTGCTCGGGCGACCCTTCGCGGGGGCTACCCCGTGGGCTGCTACGCGACCGCATAGCCACGGTGGGTGAAATCCCTCGCTCGCCGAGGATATCCTTCAAAGCATTGTACTGGACAAGCATAGCATTGCTCTCAAGGTGTTGCTTGGACAGTTGCTGCTTGAGCTCCGAGTTTCCGGCCTGGAGAGATTGCGTGTCCCTCAGAGCGTTCTGCAGTTGCCGACGAATGGACACGCCCTCGCGGCTGGCCTGTTCTTGGTATGCCTCGAGTCCAGCGATGCGCTCTTCCGCACCCCGTAGTTTGTCTGCCGCACTATCCGCTTCCTGCTGGTACTTCCTGACCAAGGCATTAGCTGCGTCAACCTGTCCCTGGAGAGCACGGATCCGTTCGGTATCGCCAGTGACCGACTTGGCAGTGTCCTTCATCGACATCTTATCCAAGCCAGCCATCACGGCTTCGCGATGCACCCGCGCCTCGTTAGCGTGCTGCTCCGCCAGCTCCTCGGTGTCTCGTAAGCGCTGCGTCGCGGCAACAAGCTCGGCGGTCCGCGCCTCGTGTTCGGCCTTGAGCTTGTTGAGCTTTGACTCGACCGTTTCCCTGAGAGCCCGCTCCTCGTCGAGCTTGCGCTCCAACAGAGCCTTCGTCTCGGCGGAAGCAGCCACAGCACCGCGCAAGCTAACAAAGGTCTCGGAGTGTTCTTTGGAGCTCCCCGCGGCCTCGGTGTACTTTTGCTCGAACTCTTCCTTTTCGACGCGGAGCATTTGCGCTGCGGCTACGGCTTCCACAGCGGCGACCGACTGCTCCCGCGCCTCTCTCTGAGTCATGTGCAACTCGGCCTTGAGCCGCTCGAGTTCGGATGCGTTTTGCTGCTTGTAGTTCTCAAGGTCCGTCATCCTCTTGTGCGCTGCGTTGGCCGTGTCGTCTGCGAGCTTCCGCGCCTTCCTTTCCGCCTCGTACTCGACGCTGAGGCGGTCTAGCTGATCCTGGAGTTCTTTCTGGGTGTTGAGGGCGTAGGCAAGCTTCCTCCCAATTTCGCCGGCACGGTCGTCCATATCCTTCTCGCTATCGAACTGCGGCGTGCTGCTGACGCTCCCCCCTACACGTGCTGCCATTTTAGCCTTGGCGTAGATTGCCTCCTGGATAGCGGCATCCCGCTGTTTCTCAGCTTCAGCGATTTGTTTGGCCGCCAAAACTGCCTGTTTGTCGACGGATGCCTGGACATTGGCGAGTTCCGTCCGCATAGCAAGCAGCGCTTCAATGAGTGGTTTGTCCTCGTCATCGAAAGTTTCCATGGCGCGGTTGTCTAGTACTGGGCTCAGTGACGCATTGGGCATGTAGCCAGCTCTACGGGCTAGTTCGAGCTCCGACGCATACCAGGCATTACGGTTTCTGGAAGAATCGAGTTCCTTGAGAAGGGCGACAGTTTGGGAATTCCGCGTCGATGATCTCCTGCCCAGCGGGTTGCTAGGTTGCCGAGTTGGCGGAGGAGGAGAGGCTGGTCGGGGTATGACCTGTTTGAGAGCTGGCTCGGTCGAGCTGTCAACGGATCCTTGGCTTCGCCCTTGTTTGGTCGGTTTCGACTTCGCCGCATCGACTGCCTGAACGTCTGCTTGCCTCGAGGAGGAACGTGGTGGGTTTTGTGTCGGGGGTGTACGCCTTCCGTTTGCGGCGGCAGCACTTTCGACTTCCCTGAGATTTGAAACCTGTTGTGGGATAGGGGATGTCACGGGGGAGAGGGAAGGCTGGTCTGGTCGTTCCAATGAGGAGGTCCTCGGCCGAGGAGGAGGGGCTGCGCTGAGCCCTGGTTTCGGCGCCTGTCCCTGGGGCGGTGGGCCGGCAGGTCCTGCTGGCCCCGTGGACCTCGGAAGCCTGGAAGGGCCGTTGGGGTGGCCGTTTGATGGATTAGGTTCGCCAGTTGGTGACCTATACCCGTTGATGGCGTTGGGTGGTCCAATTTGTCTCCTAGAATCGGGCGGGCCGTTCGAGCCGTCGCGTGATGGCGTATTTCGGGCCGAATTCTGGGCTGTGACATCGCTGGGGCGCCTGTTCCTCGGAGCATCTCGGTTTGCGGCTGCGTCATTCGGATAGCGAATCTTGGTCGTATCGAGGCAGTACACAAGCGCCAGGTCGTTGACGGCGGTAGCGGCAGAACTTGGCTCCCCCCCAACAACGACAACCGTCTTGCCAACCGCGGTCATGCTGTGTCCGGATCGCGGTGAGGGTGACGGTCCCATGTTTTGGAAGGTGTACCAGCGGAGGGAGCTGATCCTAAACGCCGCCAAATCGCCGAGGTCTGCCCCTTCCTCCGTGCGGCCTCCGAAAATGTACATGACATCATCAACTATGGCGGCGGCGTGGCCTTCCCGCGGAGACGGAATGTAACCGATACAATCAAGCTGGGACCAGAGATTCGTCATGGGGTCGTAACACCAGACGTCATTAAACCACTTGAACCCATTTGTGCCGCCAAATCTAGATAGTCTTAGTGAACGACGCTCCTCGTTATAAAAAGACGTGGGGAATACTCACAGGTATAACTTGTCGTTGAAAGTCACGACGGAGTGGTTTGTTCTCGCCGGCGGTAGTTTCCCCTGCGGTGGCGCCCCGCTGTCACTGCTAGCAATGAGCATTTCCCAGCGGTTATTGGGCATCTGCAACTGGTTCAAGTCAAAGGCCGCAAGATCATTCATGAAATAACCCTCCACTTGGCCACCAAAGACGTAGATCTTCGAGCCTAGAATATTCAACGAGTGCCCGTATCGACCTGATGGCCGGGGCCCGGTAGGTAGTGCTCTTGACCATTGCCTCGTCGCTATCGTGTGTCAGCAAGCGTATCAAAATGGGAAACCGCGCCGTCGCCCTTACATGTATTCAAGAGGTAGAGGGTCTCGTCGAGGACATCCGATTCCTCAATTTTCGTGTCCCCGCCAAACACAATAAACGCATTCCCTACCAACAAGCTCGAATGGCCGACCCTTGGGCCTGGCCCCTCGGCGGTGGTGGCGAGCGGGTAGCAGGACATGTTCGCGCCGGCCTCGACCAGCCACAAGTCGCCCTTGACGGTAGAGCTGTTGATCAGGCCACCCATCACGTATATATCACCCTCCTTGGACGAAACCGAATTCACTGCGGCGCCGTATCTCGGGAATGGACTCGGGTGTGACGAAGTGTAGGTCAACCGGCGCTGTGACCACGGGTACAGCGAAGCGTTCGGGCTTTGCCCCGGTTGTGAGGGCGCGCCATTGCGAACCTAGCATCACCACATGTTAGCTTCTTGTTCTGGCGCGCAGGTAAGGTATGTCGCGGGTCGTTTGCGGGATATGTAAACGTACTGGTGGTTCGCTCGGATGCTGCTGCTGGATTTGGGCCTGGGGAGAGGCTTGCGGTTGTTGGTCCAGGCTCTGGCCTCTTTGGCGGGCGAACTGCTCGGGGCTGCCCATACTGCCGTCGTTATCGAGCGAATGGAGACTGCCGGTAGGTGTAGATCGAGAGCCCTTGTCTACTCTCACGCGCGCGGCCGCGCTCCCCGCCGACGACCCCGAGCCCTGTGGTCCATCTCGGCTCGAGAGTCCGCGGTCCTGATGCTTCTTCGACTTGAAAAGAAATGCCATGACGGGCCGAGAGGATCGCTTGCGCCCAGCTACAATGTCCGGGGGACGTGCTGGGAAAGCGCTGTTGCGATGTCGGATAGATTCGCCCGTGGGGCCGAGTCTCGAGAAGATGCGCGCTTCTCAATTGACCAAACGAGCGTCGGAGCCGGACGGGATCGTGCAGCACCCAGTAACGCCGTTCGCGGGCCGGTGCAGAGGCAATTCCGAAACGGGAGGCGTAGGGATGACAACGATGGAGTCGACACACTCGAGGGTGGCGATAACTAGGAGAGCATCGGCTTCGCGGTGGAGTTGGCGCAGCACCGGAGTTCAGTTTTGGTTGTTCCGGTCAACCTCCCGTCTTTTTTTTATGAGGGGGCCCCTTGTCAGCGAGCACCCCGTCCTGAAATGTGAAATGGATAGCCGCCTAAAAGGGGGAGCACCGTCGGAAAAGCAAACAGGTATTCGGACGGAGGTATGTATTACACGCGTTGTCGCGCAAGCGAGTGTTACTGGAATTAATGCTCCCGTTGCCGACGAAGACTGCGGATCTCCGCTGGGAAATGGATAGGTGTGTGGAAGACAAGTTCAATCGGCGTGCCACTCAGAGAATTCACAAGCTGGCGGCCTGAGTGAAGGTGCAGTTTAGCGTCGGAGGCGCCCGTGCAGCGCTGCAGGCCCAAAGCGCAGAGCCACCAGCACCCACGGGAACAAGTGGAACCTTTAGGTACCTACCCCCATCAACCATCACCGGCACACGGGCCACGGGCAGCCGGGAGTGGAGCCATGCACCCGCCGCCTTGCAGAAACCCAAAGCATGCCACCAATCACGGCCCCTTTTTTGTTCCGGCTTCCAGCTTGCGAAGCCAAGCCCGTCTGGTCAATGAGCACGAAAAGGGGGAGAAGCATGGACAGGACCTGGAGGTCAGGTCAGGGGTAAGAGCTCTTCGAGAAGCACTCCCCTTCGGACCACTCATCGCTCGGTGTTTCCGGCACACGCAGCAGCATTTTGGCACAGTGAGAGGCGCTGCTTGGAAATCTTACGTAGGTTTCTGGCTCAAGTAACAATTGCACACAGCCTGCCTCTCAGGTCCCCCGCGGCTGATTCTATTAATGGAGCTGCCCTTCCAGCTGACATTTGTCTTGCCGATCTCAACGGTCCTGCTCAGCCGGCAGACCAACAGAATAACCATTTCTGCGCCAGGAAATGTCAAAAGGCTCGAAGGTGACCATTTGCGTCTTTCACAGGAGCAAGTCTTTCCAGGAACGGAACGCATTTAAACGTGCGTGGTTGCCATCGGCCTTTCGTTACAGAAGGATCTTTTTCGATGTCACTGTGCCGTTGGTTCGGTGCCGACAAACCGGTCCCGCTCTCATGCAAATCATCGCCGGTTGTGGGATCCACTGCCGGTCGAGCGGCGTTTGTCGGTGGACGGCAAGTTCCCTCTCATTAGTGCATTCAGCTAGGGCCCTTTGAACTCAGACATGGAAAAGGGCTGAGGTTGATAAACGTCTTCTCTCTCTGCTTGCTTGCCGATTAGTGAGTTATGTATCGAACCTGTTTTATGTCTGTGCTCTGTCTCGTTCCGACCAGGGTGACATTGGACCCCGGCTTGGGCTGTTTCATGTTTCGCCTTAGCGAGATACTTTGGACCACTCAAGTGCCATGGCCCAACTGCTTGGTCTGACAGGAATCATGAGTGTGAGGGAAAAGAAGTCGGCAATGGAATTGATGAGCTGAATACGAACATTGAACAAAATGGCAAACGATCCTCTTTCTTTTATTTCCCATGCCTTCTTCCTCTTTTTTTTTAGGACGTTACCCAGCGAAGAAGAGAGCTCGACGTTCAACGAAGAAAGGGTCATGTCTCTCTGTTTGGGTTTCACTGAGTCTCGAGTCAGCCTGATGATAGAGTAATTGGCACAGCCGAGCCAGTCTGGGTGTGGTCTCCCAAGCCTGAGAACCAAACCGTTGATTTGACGTTGTCTCGGTTCTGACACTCTTGTTTCTGTTAACTGGTAGTTACTCGTTTGTGTGGTTTTGTGTTGCCAATAATATGTTTTCGTATTGCTCGGTCTTCGATGTGTTCAGCACTGACCGCCCGTTCCCCGGTGTCTTGCTTTTTGTGACTGGCCTCAGTGGCCGACAATTGAAAGGAGTGAATGTGTTGTCACGTGTCAGACTCTCCAGGCAAGACGCGCCTGCCGATGTGAGGCTGAATTGCGTCGGCCAGCCTGCTGCCACATATTCTGTTCATCGGGTAGGGAGGCTCGTGATAGGTTGGCGTTCGTGGGGTCCAGTTCCACTTCTTTCCGGGGACGTGCGGTCAAAGTCGTACGAATTGCACAGGAACGACTTGGACGAGCCAAGCCCGCGTGTGTGCTGGAGTCTCGACCGCGCTGAACGACGTCAACCCGACCGTTCCAGCCGCTTTCCACACAACCTACCTGCGACTTCGCAACTCGTTGAATCGATCGAAACCAGCATCCCTTGTGTCGGCAACCTTGCGCCCCCGACTATCGGGTAGACACAAGGTCGATAGGCACGAGTGTCGCTTTGCTTTTGATGTTTGCGTGTTATTAATTAGGTACTTCATCACTGTCGCTGTCGCTGCTGCGGTTGAGTGCTCAGGCAAGTCAGCTTGGACTCGAGACTACACCCACCCGACACAGCCCGCACTGTCGCCCGCAACCCGCAGCAGACGAAACTCTGCCCCACCTCCGAATTCTGGTCGACTTCTTTTCTGGATCATGACGGGGTTTGTCCGCCGCCCATAGTTCACCATGACGGCCATTTCTCTCGACGTGCCGCAGCCTGCCCAGCATGGCCGAGGGCAGAGCTCGGCTCAATTCTCTCGGACTGCTACGCTGGCCGCCTCCGCTGCTTCCTCTCCAGCCCGCCACCCCGGATCTTTCTCCCGGCAGACCACCCATGCCATGTCGCACCTACAAGCTCAGTATGCCGAAGCCTCCGCGTCGGCGTTGGCGCCGCAGCCAAACGGCAATGCGCGCGCCGTCTCACCTGGCCATGCGCCCATGCGCCCCGGGCAGCCTCTTGCCAATGGAAGACGAAACACATCGCCGATCCCCTCCTCCTCACGACGACCCTCGAGCGCGCCCGGAGACAGTCAAGCTGTCGCGTCGGGTAGCCGCGTTGACGACGGACATGTCGAAGAGAGCAGCCGTTCCCTTGTTGCGAGACCGACCAAACCGCCTTTACTCCGATCCAAGAGCGAGCACCACCCACGTTATGACGAGGCGGACGACGATGTTGAGGAGGAATATTATGACCTGGGCGCCCGGCATGGTTTTGAGGACCACTACCTCTCCGAGGATGTCATCGCCCACCTTGCCAATGTAAGTGGCACATTTGTTACAATAATGGTGACGGCGGTTGGTGCATAGTCTGGAGGCCAGTGTACTCTCGATCTGCCGCCACCGTATATCCAGGCCTGTCTGTGTAGACTTAAAATCTACTCTGGATAGCGTCCGGATAGGTCTCGCATGCCCCGTGCTTGCAGTGGTTTCTCGCGGTGTGCTGCGCCTGGCCTGAAAGGACCTTGGGTGCCGAGATCAAAGGGGCAAAGTTGCCAGGGAAAGGTGTGGCTGACGTGCTTTGCAGAACTGGTACATGTACTTTACCGACAAGCGCCATGAAACGACGGGAAAGCCCAAGACACCTGCTTTTGAGCTTCAGGACTGGCGCATGCGTGATCGACTCAAGACGGTGTCCGCCGCTATCGCTGTGTGCCTAAATATCGGCGTGGAGCCGCCGGATCAGCTGCGGACCGCACCCGGTGCCAAACTCGAGGCCTGGCAAGATCCGACTGTCCCACCAGTGAGCAAGGCGCTCGAAAACATTGGCAAGTCGCTACAGGCGCAATACGAAACCCTGGCGCTCCGAACCCGCTATAAGCAGTACCTTGACCCGTCCATCGAGGAGACCAAGAAATTCTGCATCTCCCTTCGCCGAAATGCGAAGGACGAGCGAGTCCTCTTCCACTACAACGGCCACGGGGTACCGAAACCCACTGCTTCTGGCGAGATCTGGGTCTTCAACAAGAACTACACGCAATACATCCCAGTATCGTTGTACGACCTCCAGCAATGGCTTCAAGCTCCCACCATCTTCGTGTGGGACTGCTCCGAGGCGACAAACATCCTCAAGAATTACCACAAATTCGTCGAGAAGCACGAGCAAGAAGATGAGGAACAGGCGCTCAAGGACCCGAACCACGAGAAGACTAACTACCGTCCCTACATCCATTTGGCAGCTTGCGATTCCAAGGAGAATCTGCCAACGAACCCCCTTCTTCCCGCCGATCTTTTTACCTGCTGCTTGACGACCCCGATCGAGATGGCTCTCTGGTTCTTTGTTTTACAGAACCCGCTTGACACCAGTGTTTCTCCCGAGAGGGCACGGAAGCTTCCCGGGAGACTCCAGGAACGACGGACGCCTTTGGGGGAGTTGAACTGGATTTTCACCGCTATTACGGACACTATCGCCTGGACGACCCTTCCGCGCCCTTTGTTCCGCAAGTTCTTCCGTCAAGACTTAATGGGTGAGCATCCCTCCGCTTCTGATTCCCTTACCTTGAACGAATACTGATTCAACCCCCACAGTGGCGGCCTTGTTCCGCAACTTTCTCCTGGCGCAGCGAATCATGCCTGTGTACGGGTGCAACCCTCAGTCTTATCCCGAGCTTCCCGATACCCGGCGACACCCTCTCTGGGAGAGCTGGGACCTTGCTGTTGACATGGCTCTAGCCCAACTACCGATGTTGGAGAGACGGGAAGCCGATGGCGTCCCGTATGAATACGTCAACTCGACTTTCTTCACAGAGCAGCTCACAGCTTTCGAGATCTACTTGACCAGGGGCGACGCGGTCTCTCAAAAGCCACCGGAACAGCTGCCCGTAGTTCTCCAGGTTCTCCTTAGTCAGCAGCACCGGCTCCGAGCTCTGATCCTTCTGGGCAGATTCCTTGACCTCGGCCCCTGGGCCGTGCAGCTGGCCCTGAGTATAGGCATCTTCCCCTATGTGCTGAAGCTATTGCAATCGGCTGCCCAAGAACTCAAGCCTGTCATGGTTTTTATCTGGACCCGCGTCTTGGCTGTGGACATCTCGTGCCAACAAGACTTGATCAAGGACAACGGCTACACTTACTTTGCGGCTATAATGAAGCCGCAAGAGACGTTTCCGGTCGTCGGCGTGGTGGTTTTGGATGAGCACAAGGCAATGTGCGCGTTCATTCTGGCCATGCTATGCAAGGGCTTCAAACCTGGTCAGATCGTTTGCAACTCGACTGACATCATGACCTACTGCCTACATCACATCGAGCACCCCGAGAATCCTCTGCTCCGCCAATGGTCGTGCCTCTGCATCAGCCAGTTGTGGAGGGATCTTCCAGACGCGAAGTGGAGAGGCATTCGGGAGAATGCTCACTTGAAACTGTCGTACCTAATCAAGGACCACTGTCCCGAGGTTCGCGCCGCCATGGCGCACGCCATGACCACCTTCCTCGGCATCCCCGATATAACCGATGAGGTGGCAAGGATCGAGGAAGGTATCGCTTGGGCGATGCTGGAGCTGGCGACTGACGGCAGTCCTATTGTTCGGAAGGAACTTCTCGTCTTTTTTTCTCACTTTGTTCTTCGCTACGAGAGCAAGTTCTTGGTTGCCGCCTACGAACAGCTTCTCGAGGAGAAGGAATACCAGTTGTCGTCTCCGCTAGAGGACGGCCTGGATCACAAGATGGGCCTGCATTTTGCGCGGCGCGAGAACCGTGAGAGAGACGGAACCATCACACCTACTGCGTTTGGTGTGGCCCACGATTCGGTCTTTGCGGCATGCTGGAAGCACATCAACATCTTGAGCGTTGATCCCCACCCCGAGGTTCAGAGGGACGCGACCAATATCTTGGACTACGTCCACCACGCGCTGCTGCACTCTCCTGTCGGCGCTCAAGCGCAATCTCTCATGGACGAGATCCTCCGGCGCGCTAGAAAAGTGTCGAGGGGTGACATGAGCCAGAGAATCAGCGTTGCCGGCACCCGCACTGCGGCAGCCCAGCCAATGCCATCCCCCGGTCTTCTCAAGCGGACAGCGAGCTACCTATTCGGGCCGCTCATGGGGACTCTCGATGCCGCCGCTAATGCTCCATCCCCCCCAGCAACACCCAGCTTGCAGAGGTCGTTCTCCCAACGAAGCCGTAAGGGACCGAGTCACGAAAACGCCCCGCCTGAGCAGCACGACCAGGTCACATCCCCATCAAACTACCATATTGCCAACGAGCCGCTCTGTGCCGGTTACCAGGAGCGCCAGCTCAGAGAGACACCTACCCTCCCCCTGGCCAGCACATTCTTGGACTGGTCAACCGAGTATTTCCGCGAGCCTCAAATGAAGGCGCCCGAAGCCGAGGAACCCGGCAGCAACGAGTATAACGAGCGGTTGTGGCGACGAGCACGCAATGAGGCTGTTCTTAGAGAGACGCAGCCGCAAAAGACTCACGCCCGGACGCACAAATGGAACGGCCAAGCGGGTGTCATCCTCACTGGCTCGCAGCCATCCAAGATGACTTTCCACCAGTTTGAGAATCACATTGCCGTCGCCGACGACGGAAACACCATCACAATCTGGGACTGGAAGACTAATTCCCGCAAGAGCCGCTTCTCCAACGGCAACCCCGAAGGATCCAAGATCTCGGACATGCGGTTCATCAATGAGGATGACCAGGCTCTCCTCATGACTGGCTCTTCGGATGGTGTCATTCGCATTTACCACAACTATGACAACGAGGCAGATGTCGAACTCGCGTCATCATGGCGCGCGCTTACCCACATGGTCCCATCTAACGTCAACTCCGGGATGGTCTTCGACTGGCAGCAGGTTAACGGCCAAGTGCTGGTGGCCGGCGATGAGCGAGTCATCCGGATATGGAACGCGGGCCATGAGATGTGCACGCACGAGATACCAGCGCGATCTGGTTCCTGTGTGACAGCGTTGGCGTCGGACCAGATGACGGGCAACATCTTTGTCGCCGGCTTTGGAGACGGCGCCATCCGCGTCTTTGACGCGCGCATGAAGCCGCAGGAGACCATGGTTCGCAAGTGGAAGGACGAAAGCAGGCAATGGGTGCGCTCCGTACACATGCAGCGCGGCGGCCAGCGCGAGCTGTTGTCTGCCAGCCGCAACGGCAAGGTTCACCTCTGGGACATCCGCATGGAGCAGCCGCTCAAAACGTTCCAGACAACCAAGGATGTGTTACGAACTGCGAGCACCCACGAGCATCTGCCCGTTTTTGCTGTGTAAGTGCCCCCCCCCCCCCCCGCCGGACTTCTTTTCGTGAGCCAGAAACTGACCGCTTATCGAACAGTGGCACCTCGGCGCACCTCGTCAAGGTCTTTGACTTTGATGGACACGAAATCACTCGCGTCGAGCCCTACTCTGGCTTCCTGGGCCACAAGGCCGCTCCGCTCACCGCCACCGCGTTCCACCCGCACCGTATGCTTCTAGGCTGTGCCGCCCGTGGCGACCACCATGTCAGCCTTTATGCATGTGGCAATGAGAGGGTTGGCCCGTTCTGAGGAATGTTTCCCTGTTTGCCTTTTTCTTTCTCTCCTTTTTGTTTCCTTGGCACCAACTGCATTGCATGTTTCTTTCAGGGTTGGCTGGCATGGTGGGAGACACTACTGGTTATATCGGCAACTTCTCATTCCCCCTGGTTCTTCGGCGTTTGGAGGGCATGCGGTCGGAGGGATACCAAGTGGCGTTTCGGGTACAGGCATAACCTGAGTCGGAACGGATCTAGGGAGTTTCTCAGCGACGTTCTTGCGCTGCGGCTATTGGTGGCGCTAATTAATACCTTCATGGCCACTGACTCGTCCTAGTTCTGGGATCTTTGGGCTCGAATGTCGTGGTTTAAGTTTAGACTCCACGTCGAGCTGCTTTTCTACTTCCGCCACTTGCTAGGGTTTGTGATTTCTTGATTGCATTACTGTGGTATGTGTCTGGCTGGCATGCTAGTGTGCTTCTTCTTGTAGATGATCTAACTAAAGCCTTGACATGGAACCCTTCATTCAGCTGAGCTCGCCGCGGTCATTTCATTTCTTATGGCCACCGACGTTTCGTTGAAGGAGTCGGATCATCAGTACGCCTGCATAAAACGGACGCTGCGGTAGAAAGGAAAAGGGGAACGGGGTCTTAAGCTCGCGAAGTCACGTCCAACAAGACTTCCCCTTGCCCGTGGGCTACTTCGATCACCACAGAAGGGGATTCGCTTGGCCGACCGCTCTCAATCCGGGGCCCGCATTCATCAATTGAGCGGCCCAGAGAGCTTGTCCTCCCTTGACTGGATTCTTACTGGCCAGCCACACGTCCTTGAAATCACACGAGTCACTCATGCCGAATGAGTCACCCCGCCGACTGATGATCTACCTATCAATCCCAATCATCGTCGTCATCGCCGGGTTTCATCCCATCCCGGCTGCTCTTGATACCCCTGCCCCCACCCGCAATCCTCTCCTCCTCGGCATCCTCCGCCGCCCTCCTGCGCTTGAGCACGCGCATATCGCTGTCCTTCAGCGCGCCCACCTCGACCAGTATCTTATCCAGGTCGAGCATGCTCATGCGGACCCCGCCCACCGTCGCCAGCGTGACGACCTGCTTGACGAGGTCCCCCTTGTCGTAGACCAGGATGGTCGGGCAGTTGCGCTCCGGGTAGCCCTCGATGGCCTTGTCGGCGCGCATCTCGCAGAACTTGATGTCGCCGTACTCGCGCGCCGCCTGCCGCCAGAGCTCCGACAGCACGCGCGACTCGACGTTGCTGCCCTGCGGCGAGGCCAGGTTGACGAGCACGGGGCCCGACTGCGAGGCGATCGTCACCTCGCGCTCGTAGTCCGGCTTGGAGAGCGGGTAGACCGAGCCGTGCACCGACGTCTTCTGTAGTGCCGAGAGCTCCTGCATGCGCTTCTGCCGGTAGGTCTCGAGGAAGGCCTCGTCTTCTTCGTCTTCGAGGTCCGAGAGGTCGGATAGGTCCTTGCCTTCGAGCCGGTTCTCGTGCGCGAGCCGCCGCCCCTCGAGGATGGCTTCTTCGATGAGCGGGGTTGGGGAGGGCGGCTTCTCGGGGATGACGCCGTGCTTGCGGAGGATGTCGTTCCTGTGAGTCATGCTGTTAATAATGAACTAAAAGGATCACACGGCCAGGCCGGTCTGACCATTCTGTGTCGGCATTGGGGTCATCTATGGGAACTGCGATCCGTTGTTCTGTTGGTGCTGCCATTTTGGAAGCTGTCTTGGGGGTTGCGCCGTAATTTCTTTCGGGGTGTTTTAGTTTGTCATACACAAACAACTCCCAGAAACTGCAAACAATCGGTCGGTGACGGCAGACAAGCTCGATGTTATGAGATATTGCTGCCTAATAGTTGTTCATCGAAGCATTCGCGTCTTCGAAGTGAAGACGTACGTACCCCAAACGCCCCCACCTCGAATGTTCACCCCACCATGCCTGCTGTTCCGCACTGCCCAAAAGGTAGCCCCACTTTGACTTGCATCAACAGGGGTTAACCCACTTCTCATTGGTCACGCGAGCAAGCCCTAACAGACTTGCTCCAAGGCTAGCCAAATTTGCCTTTTGCTCCTCACAGACCCAAATTTGGCCTCTCGAACTTTCGTTCCTGCTGGGCCGCCTGAAAATCCCGTTCGCAACCATCAACGAGCCAGAGTCTGCCGCCAACCCCATCCAGATTTCATCAATCAAGCTACTGCTCGTCCTTTCGACATTCGGAAGTAATCAGTCAAGATGGTAAGAAGCCGAAACTCTGCCCGATTTTTTCGCCATCCTGCCCGTTCGATGTCCCCTCGCGAGTCACGAGCCCTGCGTCAACACCACATCACGCCGGGAGGAACTCAATTTTGGAGCCGACCACCGGACTTTGGCCACGACCCAAAATTGCGGCGTGATACGAGGCACTTGCGGGGAACATGGGACTTTCGACGGGCAGGAGGAGGAACTGATGGCTGATGGTTAGAGGGCGTTATGCTGACGGATGATTTCTCACGAAAAGGTTCTCGCCGTTGATCTCCTCAACCCCAGCCCGGCTGCTGAGGCCCGCAAGCACAAGCTCAAGGTACGCCGAGATGCCGGCAAAGCCCCCGCCCCTCGGTCGATAATGCTGACAATATGCAGACCCTTGTGCCCGGTCCCCGCTCCTTCTTCATGGACGTCAAGTGCCCCGGGTGCTTCACCATCACCACCGTCTTCTCGCACGCCCAAACCGTCGTCATCTGCCAGGGCTGCACGACCGTCCTCTGCCAGCCGACCGGTGGCAAGGCTAGGCTCACGGAGGGCTGCTCGTTCCGGAGGAAGTAAGCGGTTCGCTCGCGACTGTTTTCTTTCTTTGGGCATCATGGCATGGTAATGGGGGTCATCTCGGTATCTGCAAGGCTGGTTCGAGTTGGGCGTCTAGACACATTACTCTCGATCGTCAAAATCAATCTCATTTGCGGATAGAAGATGGATTCGCCAAAAATCACCCCGCACAACAATCTGGGAGGGCGTTTGGGGTCCGGATATCTAGCATCATCGACTTCTCCGACTTTCTCTCGATCTGCGTTTTCCGATCGTTCGTCTTGTCTTTTGCTGTACAGGCAGGTGATACTGCATGGGAGGATCGCTGGCAGAGGCATTCTCACAAGCGTCTAGACTCTCTTGCCACGGGCGGGTGGTAGGGCTGCTAAACGCGAGGACGTGGAGCGCTGAGGACCGCCGAGGGCCTCGGTGCGGTGAAAGAAAAAAGGGGGCATCATTGTTGCTTTACGACGACAAATTGACGAGATTCCATGACCAGCTAATATGTTGGATTGATGTGAGTGACTGCCTACGTTGCGGCACAGTTGGGTGGTGCCTCCGTGTTTCCGGGCGGCCCAGCAGCACCACCCGGGGCAAGCCAACGAACCTGCGACGTCTTGTGTGTGAAGCAGTCGAATGGAGTGTAATGTCGCAATAACGTAGATGCGAGCAAGTTCACGGAAGATGCGGAGTGTTGGTTGGGCGGAGTATGGTATTTTTGGACTTGTTTCACAACAACCAGGCCAACTCCAGGCCATAACCCCGGATGAGATATCCCACCCCGAGCCTCCCGGCCAATTCCCAACGTGCTGCGCCAAAATAAAGTGTTTCATACAGCATACGGCCGCGCCTTGGGCCACTGACGATGTGTTCTGGATGAACTTATTTCCTAAAACCGAGAACCCTCAGCCACGCTAATGAAGCCAGGGACCGTGATGTTCGTTTCACTAAAGGAAGCCTTGCCAACTAACAGTCAGCAACTTAGGTACTGATATGAGAATCATCCTGCCTGAATAGCCAAGGGATTATGAAGTACCACGGAAGGTGCATTGTTACGGATATTAGGCGAGAAACAACAAAGTTGAATCCAGCTCCATGAAATGAAAGAGCTTGAGAGTGAGGCACATCCATTTCCGGCAGTTGGCCCCCTGTCTGACCTTCAGCACCGGACGCCGAGGCTGCACGTCCCAGCCCCGACTCCCAGCCCCGGAGAATCGACCAATCCCATGCAAGCTGATCCAATTAACGCGTCAAAACACGCTTGTCGCGCCTTGTTTTTGCAGAGGCCCCCACAGTCGATTACCGAATCGGTCAGCTCCCTTTGAGGTCATTTGGTTTCGGCTGCAGCCCCAGCCTCCCAGGGGCTCTTTGTTCTTTTCCCCTCGATGCACCTCCCAACTACCCCCCATTAAGTCATTCTCGTGGGGTTCGACACAATCACTCGAGTCCTCTCCGACACAGTATCCCAAAACTATTCAAATCATCAAACAGGTTGAAGAAATGGCTGGTCCTCGCACGAAGCGGCAATTCGCCGGCGCAGCCAGTGATCCTGCGCAACGGTCCATCACCTCATTCTTCAATCGGGCTACGAATACCGCTCCTTCGGCCGACGCCGCCTCAAAAACGTCAAGCCAATCGACTTTCGACGGCCCTCCTATCCCAACACAAGTCCAAACCGACCTTTTAAATGTCGGCATGCGGGTGCGCAAGGCCATCCCAGAAGGCTACAAGACCGGCAGCGCCTACAGCGGCTTCACGCTCTGGGCTGAAGACAACAACAACAGCAACCCCACCACCACCGGCGACTCCTACCCAACCTCCACCAACCCCAGCGCAGCACCCACCTCTTCCTTGCGCGAACTGGAACCTTTCTGCGGCATCAACCGAGTCGGCGGCCTCGCCTTCCAGCCCTCCCACAGCAACAACACCAACACAAATTACCAGCCCACCAACGACGACGACTACATGGACGACCCGGACGCCATGCCCGGCCTAACAAGCAGCCAAGACACCATCACCACCATCACCAGCAGCACCTCCCCCTCCCCCGGCCCCCTCAACATCGCCACCGCCTTCGCCCCCCACCCTCCGACAACGACGACGACGCGCAAGCGCATCTTCACGTCAGACGAGGACGACGACGTCAACGGCGCCACCGCAAACAGCAGCAGCACGGCAACGCTCCCCTACCGCGGGCCCGTGCGCCTGAGCAGCGACAGTAGCCCCGAGGCGTGGCTGCTGGAGGAGGAGATCTCGCCGCGCAACGTGACGCCGCCGGCCGGGCTGTGGGAGACGGCGCGCGTGCTGGCCGTGCCGCGGCGGTCGCGCACTGCGGGGGGCAGTGGTGGTGGTGGTGGCAAGGGTTTTGTTGCTGGTGGCGGTGGTAGTGGTGTTGGGGGTGGGCAGGAGGAGAATGTCATGGTTGTGGTGCGGCGGGAGGATGGGAATGATTTTGAGGAGGCGAGCTTCCTGGACTATGGGCTGACGGGGGATGGGCGGATGGAGATTGAGTGAGGTCGGGAGGAAGGGAGGCATGTGCCTGGGGCGGGACGGTCCGTTGATGGTGGTGGGTTAATGGCATTGCGGGCTTGATGGCGTTTTTGTTTCGCACATCTCTGCTGAGCATTGGGCAGAGACGGGTTTGCATTATACCAGGGACGGAGGCGGGTTATGGCTTACTTGCACTTGCATGTGTTTCTGAGGGCGACGGCGTTTAGCAACGGGGACACGGTGGACACACCGATGGGGTTGCATTCTGATTACTGCTCGAGTATACCTACGACGCGTAGCGCGAGCAAATGAAATAAAACATTAAATAAGAGTTGCCTCGTGGAGTGGTGAATGTGGCTCAACGCCGTAGTATCAGTATCAGTGAAAGTCTAAGTAGACGCCTGAGCTTGTAGTAAACTGTGGTTATGATTGTTTACTGGGGGACTCTGGGCTCCAGAACGAGTGACTGTGACCGGGCTCATCAATAACAGGAACTTTTAATGTCCATTAAAATAAATGATTGTATCCTCCCTAAATCCTAAGTTCCTTACCTGTATCGCGCTCCATACACTCTACCTCTCCCGATTATAAAACGAGCAGATGGCATGGCTGTGCCAGACTTACAGCGCCGGAAAAGGGTCCCGAAACTCGAGCAGGTCCCTCTGACCGTAGAACTCACCAGCCACTGTCAGGACCATGTTCAGGGTCGCCCGCATGTTGACCCGGGCTTCGGCCTCGCCCAAGGTGGCCGTTTCCCCGTCGCTAGCGTCATTCTGCTGGTGCTCAGGGGTGTCAACACTAGCCGCGGCTGATGACTCTTCTTCCTGTTGTGTGCCCGAGCTCTCCTCGAGCCGCGCCAGCAGTCGGGCCTTGGCAGCCGCAATGTCAGCCCCGATGTCCTTGTTATCGGCGGTTGCGGGCGGCTCGTCGTCAGTGACCTCGCCCTCATCAACGTCCATGTCCGTCTCCCCATCTTGGTCTTTGCCATCATCAGCGTCAGCGGTGGCGGGGGGTTGACAGCTCGTCGACGTAGCAATAGAGCGCTCCTCCCCATCTTCGTTCAAAACCACCTCCTCGACGAACTCCTCCTCGTCATTCTCATCGCTGTCCCCCTCCAAACCCCCCTCCACCTCCTCCCTCAACGCCTCCATATGCGCGATACTCACCATCATTAGCACGGCCCTCTTGCCCAGCTCCCTCACCCAGCCGACCTCGGCGTAGTCCAGCTCGCCCTGGTCCGGCAGGCGCGCGAGCAGGGCCCAGATCCAGCGGCTGGTGCGCGGGCGGAGCTCGTAGCCGCGGCGGATGAACTTGCCGCCGAGGATCACGCGCAACAGCTTCAGCACGCTCTGGCGGTCCAGCGCGGCGACCTGCGCGGGCAGCGGGTCGGTGTGCCGGATGCGCCTGGTCCACACGCGAAAGGTCCACGACCTGGCGCCGAACGAGCCCACCTCGGTGCCGTGGTCCCGCGGAAGGGCGTCGATGACCGACTGTGGCGGGGCCCGGTGGAGGAGGGCGCGGAGGCGCAGGAAGCGCGCGGTGAGCGAGGCGAAGTAGGCCTTGCGGAGGGCGGCGTTCTGCGCGGCGACGCGGTCGGCTTCGGCGATGGGGAGGATTTCGCCTTCTTCTGCTTCGTCGGGATAGGATGCGGTGGACGGATCCGGGTCGGGCGCTGCGGTGTATGCGCCGTCGTGGTAGTAGCCTCGCGAGTCGCCAACTCCGTCGGCGTAGATGCTGCGGTCGATGGCGTCGGAACCCTGGAGATGGGTAGGGATCTCGGGTCCGGCTTTGGGGGCGACTAGAACATTTGGAACGCCGCTTGCTTCTTTCCTATGAGGTACTTACCATTAGTTTACCATGTTCTTTTTGTCTGTTTGTGGTTTTCACGATTCAGGTTTGGCTGGGGGATGGGAATTGTGATTTAGCAAGTGTTGGATGATGGCGCGATCACGAGAGAATGGAAGGCTTACCGGACTGCTCTGAGATAGGCGAGCGCGTCACCATTCTCTTCAAATTCCAGGTCGTCATCGGATATTTGGGCGGATTCATCGTCATCGAGACCCGGGAAGGCAGCTCGCTGACCGTAGGTTGGATCGGGTTTGCCTTCTGCCTGCTTTGGTTTGGGGTTTTTCTGTTCTCGGCGTCGCTTGTTTGATGACGAATATGATGATTCGTTGTCATCACCAGCTGTGATGACATTGTGATTGCGCTTCGGTCCCATCGTTACTGTTTGGAGCTTTTAACGTTGGATCAACGGATCGCGGTGTTCGCGCATTGAAGTTCAGGAATACTCGGGGTTCGGGAAACCTTGGCATCTCTTGGTCGCAGTATTGCTTACAACGATTTACAAGGGCCATGGAGAATTAACCCCCGATAAATTACCAGATAGCCGATAAGCGACGGGACAGCTGCCCCTCCATGCCCCGCCAAAAAGATGGATGCCCCTCAACTCCGAAGTGTGTCAGGCCGGGATCTTACAGTGGTGACTCGTAAATTTCGACTCACACATCTCAAAGCGCAAGGAATATATCACCATCCTTTCCAGCCCAGTTACACCAATTCCGCACCCCAGAAACGAAAATTATCTCTAACCTACAATAACCCCGAAAATGCCTGAACCCTCGGAGAACCCAGCTCCTCCTCCGGCCGAGACTCCTGCTGCCGCTCCCGCCGCCGAGGGTGGTGAGGGTGGTGAGGCCGGCGGAATTTCGAAAAAGGCTGCAAAGAAGGCGGAGGCTAAGGCCAAGAAGGAGGCCGATAAGATCCGTCGCGCCAACGAGCAAGCTGCCGCCGCCGCCGCGTCCCGTGCCGCTGTCCAGGCCGAGGACCTCGCCAAAGACAACTACGGCCAGGAGACACACGACACGAAGCTCTCCGCTGATCTGGTCGACGTCAACGTGAAGAATCTCGGTGATGAGCACGTGGGCAAGACGATCGTGCTGCGCGCCTGGATGCAGAATGCCCGCATGCAGGGTGCCAAGATGGCCTTCCTTGAGCTGCGCGAGGAGGGCAACTGGTCGATCCAGGCCATTGTGGCTGCCAACCCGGAGGGCACCCCCGTCAGCCGGCAAATGGTCAAGTGGGTTGGGGCGATCAACCCGGAAAGCTTCGTCATTGTCGAGGCCACGGTCAAGAAGCCCCTCGCGCCCGTCACATCCTGCACTGTCCAAAACTACGAACTACACATCACCAAGTGCTTTGTTCACGCCGCTGCCCCCACTGTTCTTGGAATGACCCTCGCCGCGGCGAACCGCCCGGTCGCCAACTTCAGCGACGAGGCGCCTGTCGAGCAGGAGGTCGAGAAGCTTACTATTGCCTCTGCTGGCGAGACCACCGGAACACCTGCCGCCAGCATGCTTACCCATCTTGACAACATCGTGATGCACAAGCGATCCGCCGTACAGCAGGCAATCGCCGACATCCGTGGCGAGATGAAGGAGTTGTACCGCTCATATCTGAGGTCCCACGGTTTCAAGGAGTTTGAGCCCCCATGCCTCATCGCCGCGGCGTCCGAGGGCGGCGCCAACGTGTTCCGCATGCCCTATTTTGAGAAGGAGGCATTCCTTGGTATGTGACCGGCTCTAAGCTTATTATTGAGACAAACGCTAATGCGTCCAAGCACAATCGCCGCAGTTCTATAAGCAAATCGAGATCGCGGGCGGCCGGAAGCGCGTGTTCAGTGTCGGGCCCGTGTTCAGAGCCGAGAACTCCAACACACCGAGACACATGACCGAGTTCACCGGCCTCGATATGGAGATGGAGATCAAGAAGGACTATCGCGAGGTTGTGGTATGTCGGCATTTCGAATATTGTCATCAGTATACCTGCTAAATCACGTGTAGGAAGTACTTGAAGGTGTCCTCTTCCACATTTTCCGCAACATCGAGGAGCGCTGCGCCGAAGAAATCGCCCTCGTCCGCTCCGTCTACCCCTCGGAGGAGTTCCTCCTCCCCGAACCCGGCAAAGAGGTCCGCCTGACGTTCGCCGAAGGCCAGAAGCTCCTCCGCGAAGAGGGCCCCGAGGAGTTCCGCAACGTCACCGACGACGAGGACATGAGCACGCCGCAGGAGAAGGCGCTGGGCGCCATCATCCGCAAGAAGTACAACACCGACTTCTACGTCCTCGACAAGTTCCCCGAGGCGGCCCGGCCCTTCTACGCCAAGGAGGACCCCGCCAACCGCAAGGTCACCAACGCGTACGATCTGTTCATGCGCGGGCAGGAGATCTGCTCTGGCGGGCAGCGTATCCACGACCCCGTCGAGCTGGAGGCGCGCATCCGCACCAAGGGGATCGACCCCGCCAGCCCGGGGATCAAGGAGTACGTGGACATCTTCAGGCAGGCTGGTGTGCCGGCCCACGGCGGTGGTGGTATCGGTCTGGACCGTGTCGTGGCGTGGTATCTGAACCTACCCAGCGTCCATCTGGCGGCGTTCTATCCCCGCACGCCGAAGAGGTTGCTGCCGTAAGGGAGGTGTAAGTGTACTCTCGTCAGGTACTGGTACTGGGTACTGTATGGCCACGGTCCTGGACTATGATCTTGATGAGGTGTGGGATTTTTGATGATAAGCGTGCTAGATAGAGGACTTCTATAGACTTCTGTGCTTGCTGCCAGGGAAGAAGTGCCATCATTGATTTTCTAAACTGATCCATAGTGACACCTATACGTGTGGCCGTCTCTGGGCCACCGTAATTTGACCGCCTGCCTGGCTGCTGGTTGGACCGTCTTGCTCTTCATCCGTGTTCTGGCTGGCAATTGGGCCATTTATCTTCGGTACGATATTCACTTCCTTGATTCTCCAGTTGGTGTTGTTGATGATCTCATTCTTGAGTATCTCGAGCATCTTGTTCGTCAGTACCATCTCCGCGTCCATCTCCAGCCTCGTCGTCACTTTTCGTCCGGCCAGGCAAAGATGTGGTGTAAGGAGTTCTTGCCGTCGCCATCTTTGGCACCAAGACGGGCCGGAAACCCTTCCGGCCAGCCAGGCCCCCTTGACTTGGTGAATGAATTCGTCGTTGTTGAACATTATTATAACTACCTTCAAGATCCATTCCTCCCATCTGTCCCCCCCCCGAATCTGCCTGCCTAAAATTCGTCCCTCAGATCCCCCACCCACCCCAACACCTCCCTCTTGTCATCAATAACCCTCCCATACTCCAACAACAACCTCAGCACATAAACAGACATATCCTCCTTCCTCAGCACCTTCGCCGCCCACTCCCTCCCGGCCTCCGCAATCCCCTCACCCACGCTATCCCTCCCCTCCTCCCCCCTTCCCTTCTCCCCCCCACCACCACCACCCAAAAAATACCCCAAAATCCCCCACCAATCCCCAAACCGCCCATCCATCGGCACGAAATGCTTCCACGCGACCAGCCGCGCATCGTGCCACTCCCGGAACAACGTCGCTTTTATTGGAACACTCGTCGACCTCAAAAAACCGAGATACCGCCCGCTGAAAGAATTGCCATCGATATCCGGCAGGTACTTGTGCGTGAACTGCGTGGCCATGGGCACGCCCTTGACGGGGGTGAAGTAGGGCGCCGTGTAGTCGCACGAGGGCGAGAAGCCCGTGTTGCCGCAGGCCAGCTCGGTCAGCGCGATGTCGGTGGTCTTGGCGATCCAGCCGGGGAGGTCGGCGCGCGCCGCGGCCGGGAGCGGGTATTGTTTGTCCGGGAGGGCGAAGTTGGGCGGGGGTTGTTCGGTTTGGGCGGCGGCGACGGCTTGGGCGAGGAGCCTGGGGCTGTTCATGGCGGCGAAGCGGTGGCGCTGGAAGGCGCGCCAGTTGTTTTCGCGGTTGCGGCCGCCGGTGGCCACGCCGCGCCAGATGGCCGAGGTGTGTTTGGAGGCCCAGGGGGTGGCGGCGGCTTCGGTGCCGAAGAAGCGCTCTTCTTCGCTCCAGTAGATGGGCGCCGGGAGGAGGATGTCGTTGTTGCGGGAGAGCTTGGAGCCGCCGAAGACGGGGATCAGTGATGCGGTTGTCGAGACACTGATCGGCTCGACGAAGATGCCCTCGAGCCCTTGTAGGTCTGGCTGGTGGCAGAAGTCGGTGCTGAGGGTATAGTTGGCCACGTAGCCGTCTTTCATGTGTGTAAGGCTAAATGGGCTAGCGATAGACGGCGGTTTATCGAAGTCGGTAATAACCTCAGCTTGGCGGGCTGGGCTATCAGGCGGGCACCCGCGACGCGCGATAAGCCAGTAGTGCTCTGTCTGGTCAGCGTATTACTCTGAAAGAAGTGACCAAGGTAAAGCGTACTATCATGCTCCCACTGTACGGGCGGTACATCGCTATGATCCTCCTGAGGCGCTTCCAGCATTTGTGTGCTGAAGCTAGATACTACACTCTCAACATTGACGATCCTCTTCGTATTCGCCGCCTTCTTTATATATTCATCTATATCCTCCCATGGTACCATCATACGCGGCTCGTCCATAGGGTTTAACGCAAGATCCATATCCGGTAGCAGGTGCTCGACAGTCTGGATCATCTTGAGCCAGATCTGGGTCCACCACCAGTCGCTACCTGTCGACACCTTGCCATTGCGAATCTGGACACGCATGTCAAACTTGAGGGCATCCTTGCGGATCCTGGCGGGCGGGACGCCCCAGAACGGTTCTAGATCATGGTAGATCTGGTCCCAGAAATCCTCGACGATGATAGCGTCTCGTTCGGTGGCAAACTCGTACCATTTGTCGAACCCTGGTGGGGGGTGTCGACCTCGGCGCTTTCGGTAGGCGGCGGCGGCGGCTGCGAGGGTTTGCGTCGACTTGGAGAGCTTGGCTGCGAACTCGTTCTCGGCGGTCCGGATGAGAGGATCGATGGGGTGCTTGTTGGCGCCTTGCTTGCGCCCGACCAAGAATGCTATTGTGTCCGATTTTGGTAGGAGGTAGAAGGTCAGGGTCAACAAGAACGCCGCCACAATGTAGCGACGAAACGTTGAGGGCCGGCCGGGGAGCCTCATCTTGCGAAGAGTGTCGTGACCGAGGAGAAGGAGGCGGTTTCGCAAAATGGGCGAGGCAGGCAATGTGCGGCGCATGCCAAAGAGATCATGCTAGTTGCCGTCGGGATTGGGGTCGAGATTGAGATAAGTACCCAGTGCCTCTTCAGGCGGTCACGAATTGAAGTGCCATCGGATCGGCAATGGCAAAATGAGCGTTGGTGCGAGCCCGCGCTGAGCGCAAAAAGACAGAGAGCCCAGGCGTCGCGACTCGCCAGGATGGAGAGGCGGGGGAGCAGGGGTATGTACGTCCGGGCGCGTATGTCCGAAGAAAACTGAAACCAACTGAACTGGCATGGGAAACTGGGGTACGTGGACCCCACTCGTGTACGGAGGTGCAAAACTGAAAATAGAAAACGCACGGAAAATAGACACACCCCCATACATAGGAGGAACCTCCATAGGTACCTATGTATCTCGGTTCCGACCTACTCTGGCAGCCGATCATGAGATCTTCAGTTATGGCTTATCGAAAAGAATAGTGCCCACGAATGTCGCGACGTGTTGACCCGTTTCCCCCAATTTTTATCAACCAGTCAGCGCATGTGATTCAAAAATGGCGACCTTTCCACCGATTGATTATGACGATAGCCGCACCCGCGTTCCGATTCGTGGGAGATGATGAACCGAGGCGCGCATCAAGACTGCTCCTCCGAGCCAGGAATTAGTCGAATATGGCACGACAGCGACCAACCGCAATCTTGATTTAACTTTTCTCCCACAGCGTAATCTGTCCACTGTAGTTATGAGAAGATGTGTGTTGGCTACTATGTGCCCCGATTATTTTGTCACCGAGGTACCAGCTCACCAGGTACGTATGTCCGTACTTTGGCGGCCCTGCTAAACCTCCCGTGATGCATCTAGGTACCTATATATACATACCTAGGTATGTAGTATGTATGTACAAACATGTGATTAGTGCACCACCCGATCACAACCATGTCGAGCTGCGGCGCCTCCTCCCCAAACAAGTTTACAACCCCCCAACCAACACCGACTACATCTACATGACCCTGTGCCACCCCGTCCCCGTCCCAGACAACTCAACCGGCGGCGGCGTGGTAGCGGGGGAATATCCCCTCCCCCAGCCCCACGGCAACCCCCCCGCCTGGCCCATCTCATGCACCGCGCCGTCCCCGCTACCATCCAGCTCCCTCGGCGGAAGCTTGTAGTCCCCCTGCACCTCCGCGACGGTTGTTGTTGCTTCGGTTGTCGGTGTCGTTGCTGCGCCTGTTGCTGCCGGAGCTGGAGATGATGGTGATGCCGCGCGACCCCGCCGGATGAGGAAGACGGCCACGACGCAGATGCAGATGAGCGCGACGCAACCGACTGAGGCGCCGACTATCATCGCGGTAGTGGTGGTGTTGTTGTTGTTGTTGTTGTTGTTGTTGTTGTTGTTGTTGCTGCTGCTGTTGTCGCTGCTGTTGTCGCTGCTGTCGCTGTTGTTGCTGCTGCTGTTGTCGCTGCTGTCGCTGTTGTTGCTGTTGCTGTTGCTGTTGTCGGCCGTGCCCATGGCGGAGGTGGTGGTTGAGACGGTTTGGGAGGGGGAGGTGCCCGTGGTGGTGACCTGGGAGGTTTGAGAGGGGGAGGTGCCCGTGGTGGGGATCCCGGAGGTTTGTTGTGGGATGGGTAGCGGGCTTGCTGCTGTGCTGGACGAGGCCGAGGACGTGGGGGTGGTGGGGAAGGCCTTGTAGTGCTGCGTTTTGTCGACCCTGTTGTCGCAGGCTAGGTAGGTGAATACGCGAGTGGAGTCGCTAGAAAGGGTCAGGAGGTCGGTCGAGCAGTGGCGGGGCTTGCTGCCGCCGCTGTAGCATGTTAGTTCGTGCTCAACCTCGAGTAGCTTGCGTGTACGCAGGCATGGGCATGCTGTGGAAAACCTACCAGGTCTCGGTTCCCAAGGCAGGATTCCCAGACCCGCAGCCCGTGGAACAGGAGAAGCTATCAACACAGGCTCCGGCCATCGGACAGTCGACAGGGTTGCCGGTGGCGCAGAATCCCCAGGCACCCTTCACGAGGTCAACCCGGATGTCGTAGCCGCTCCGGGCGGTCCGCTGGAGTGAAGAAATCCCATTGCGGAAGAGGGTTGAAAAAGTGACAAAGTCGGTAGTTTCCTGCCGCTTGTCGAGCGCCAGTGTTGTTCCGTCATCAGATGGCAGTCGTCGCCGATCCAACAGAACCGACGCCGTCACCGTTTCAACGCTGCCGAGGAGAAGCAGTAATAGAAGGGAGAACGGAACCATTGGACCACAACCAGGGGGTTGACCATCGAAAGAACAAAGGCCCGTGGCAAGAAGAAAGCGTGGACCAGAGCCGAAAGGAGAAGAAATAGAGAGTACAGAACCGAGGTCATCGGCCCTGCTACCTCTTCTCGCCCGTCCCCGGCCATTGGGGGCCGTAAATACCCCCGGTGAAGCGCGCAGTGAAAGCAGCGTGCGCCCGGGGGTAAGATGACGGGGACGAATCACGAGCCGGCCTGGTGCGCGCTTTCACAATTTGGCCCCTGGCACGCCGCCATATCACCAACGAGCCGCCCCGGCGGCACGGACGTCACCCCGGACGTCACCCCGGTAGTGTCCTCGTCGGGTGGTTATTTTTGCCGCTTCACCTCACCACCTCACCAGAGACGTGCCCTCAATCATCCATCATCCACTATGTTAAAATTACCTCCACTCTCCCCCACTCTCCACCCCCCTCCCCCGGCACCCCGATCCACCCCGGCCGCGCCCCCGGAGAATGAGGAGGCGAGTCCCTCAGTGCATTCGGGTTTTCAGGGAAGACGGCCTGGGGGGTTGACGAGCGGGCGGTGTAAATGAAGTGGCCGTTGTAAATCATGTCGTGCTCAACACTTAGGCTTGTCGGCTTCTAGATGGAGAGTTTGAAAAGATGTATTGATTTGTGAGAACCCGGATCTAATACAGCACAGCGGTGTAGATCAGGGCGTCGGAATTTCTCTTACGGCCAAACTCGCCATACGGTTCGCGGTGTCGCAATCCGTTTCCCCGGGGAGTAGCAAGCCGGCCGCGACATGGTCCTCCAAGTAAGCCAAGAAGTGTCTCTCCCACGCTGTATCCGACAGGTTCTTTCGAAGGCCGGCTTGTAGTAGCGCCGCGATGGCTATATCGCAGCTCTTGCTGTTCCAGGCGGCGATCTGTAGCAATCCAAGCGAGTCGACCTCCGAGATGGACGATACATCTGAGCCTGGTAGATAGTGCGCAATCGACAAGGGCAGGCTGGAGTAGATGGAAAAGAGGAGCATCATCGCCTTGCTCCGTGCCCAGTTGCCCAAAAATGTGCCGTTTCGCGCATCCTTCCAACTGTGGAGCGTGAAGCGGAGAGGGGAACGCTGCTGCTGTTCCTCCCAGAGCCCGGAGAGGAGGCGCTCTTGCGCATCCTCCCGGAGCCCTAGGACGGCCTGTTCGACCATGGGAACAACCGCACACTTCTCTTCCGCCTCCAACCTCGAGGCAAAATAGACAAAGTCGCGATATACCAGGTATGAATCGAGGCTTTCCAACGTGTTAACGGTGCCAAGGGAGGCGATGAGATGGGCGAGGTAGCGAAATATCAGCATCGAGCCGCTCTCCAGGCGTCCCTCAGGTACCCTCTCCCTGAGAACATTGGCGCCCTCCCCGTCGACCATGTATTCCTTTGCCGACTGGTGGATGAATTGCACCGTCCTGCCGTGGTTGACGCCGTTATACGCCTCGGGCGCCTCAAGCAGCCCGGATGAGCGGCTGTATAGTCGATGATGCAGCTGCTGCAGGGTCATGGCCCGGAAGTCTACGCTCAATGGCCTCCTTGTGGCGAGAAAGAGGGAGGCGCCGAAGAGCGTGTAGATGGTAAAGGGCTGCTGCCACGCTGCGGCAATCCGGAATATGTAAAAACCTTCTTCCTGAGCCCTGGCTAGGGCACGCGAGGAGGCGCGGCTAGTCCGTAGAAGGGCCCGTTTGTAGAGATCGCTGAGCTCGGAAGGGATGGTTTTGAGGGTCTCGGTGAGTTCTTCGATGCTGTCACCCTCCTGAAGGCCCTCCACCAACTCATCGACGACAAGCTTGACCCAGAGGAAGACTCCCTGCGCCCGAGCGATGACCTTGGCGGAGAGTTGACGGAGAGAAGTCTTGCCGGCGGCGCTTAGCCCTCCGCGTGTGGCAGCCGTTCCAATTCGGCTCTCGGTATAGGTGCGAATGTCATTGACGGTGTGGTGGTGAATGACGAGTGTTGTGCAACCGGCGAACTCTTGCTTGAACAGATTTTCCGGTCGTGAGGCCAAGCATATCCGGAGCCGGATGGAAGGATTGGTTGCTAAGCTCCGGAGTGAAGTTATCATGCGCAGAAGCCCTTGGTGGTCGCCGTGATGCTCGTCGAGCGCATCGAGGAAGACGCAGAAGTTGAGATTGGAATTTACTTTCTCCCCGATCGCTTCGATGGTCTCCTTTATCAGTTGAGGAGTCCAAACGGGAGTACCTGGCGACGATGCTCCGGAGTCAAGCACCCCCTTCTCGGTAAGAAAATGAAATAGGTCCTGGAAGATGGACTTTTCTTGGGATAGGAACTGGAATAGCATCTCCCGGGCGAGGCCGTCGACGGACTTCTGTACTATTGAACCGCGGTCATGGAAGAAGAAGGTAATAATTTTCCAATCTCCATCCCTAAAGCCTCGAAGGTGGCTCATAGTAACGGCGCTCTTTGCGGCGTATTTCATGACGGTCGACTTGCCGGAGCCTGGCTTCCCCTGGACCCAGAAGATGGGATGGTCGACGTGCCCCCGAAGCCAACTTGTGAAACCAGGCGTCTCTTCAAAGAGCCACCCGTACGTGTCCTCAAAAGGCTGTTGTATATCCTCGAAGCGTTGTCTGACCTCGGTCGTATTCAGTGACGCCAAGCAACTCTGGTAAGCTTCATCAAAGATCAAGCCGTCGGGGAAGTTGGTATTCCGATCAGAAACCTCGTCTTGGATTCTGCCTCCTGCCCCGGTGTTAACATCATGATGCGGAACCCCCTGTCCTCGTATTTCAGCCAGCCATCTCCGCAACACGGCTCCCACACGTTGGAAGTTGAGATCATCCAATGAATGGAACTTGGCCATATTCCTGTGAGTTGCATATAGATGCCCACGAGTCTCGTGGAAATAGCCAATGGTAGCCGAATGAGCCTTGACAATTTCGATGCCGCCGGTGCTGAGCTCTTCCCGGAATGAGTGCACTCGTATTCGGCCACTTGCCAGGACCTGGCCAAAGGCCCAAGAAATGCGCTCTAGCACCTCGGACTGAGTTTCCAAGACTCTGAGGATCTTTGTGTTGGAGTCCCTAAGGAACAGCCTGGAGATACCGAAGACGGCCCTTGCCACCGTTGCCATTTGTGAGCCTTTGTGTGGTGTGCCCAGAAATAGGACGCCCTTTGTTGCGGATAATATGGTTTGGTTGACAAGACCACCGCTCTGAGAGATGCCAATGGCGTCTTTGACCACGATACCACCCAGGCTGTGCGCGATGAAAATGATGGGGCGCTCGGCCTCGCCGTCGCCACGTCTGGTCGTTTCCAAGTCCGAGAGCAGCATTTCGGCATGATGGAATACGGACGCTGTCGACGTGGCTCGAAGCAACGAATCAATTTGGACGTCGTAGCCCCATGTCATGATGCGAGCGTTGGGCATCACTTGTGGAAGCAGGTCCCGAGGCCAGAAGACTTCGCCGCGAGCATCATGAGATGCCGACTCAGAGTCATCGCTATCGGAGTCTTCAATTTGGGGACTCTGCTTGAGACGGCGTACGTCTTTTGCTGTCCATGTCCGTTTCGGGTTTCCGAAGAGTCCATGGACAAGGACAATGCTAACCTTTGCATTAGAAACAGCAAAACCGAAAGCCACCATGAGCGTGAGAGGTAACTCACTCTATTTCGGCAGCACCCGCTGGCTCGTGTACGATGGTGATACCGATCCGATTTACGTTGCTAGATCCGCTAGCTAGATTTTGCGTACGAGTCGACCCGGTCGGGGGTTGGGTCAAAGGGGTGAGAGGTTTTGCTTTGACCTCAGCAGCAGGCTCAGCTGATGACGGAGAGTCGGAGCATCTGGAGATATTATTGGTACTGGCCGGCTTGGGCTCCCGCTTCCTTGAAAGACGTGCCTTCAACCGCCGCATTCTTATGCCGAATGCAAGGCCGATCGAATGAAACGGCTGGGCGCTGCTGGCAGGGACACTTCGGTCGGAAGGCGGAGCGTTTGCTTTGGATTGACGGGAGAGGGGAGCTAAAGCTGCTGAAGTACCACTCAGGTACCTGCCTAGGTAGGTAAGTACCCCGCATTGCTGACCAGACTCAGTACCTACACTTTGTGGTATCCCTCCGCCTCTTGCTTTTCCTTTTATATGTCATTTTATCGCGACTCAACATCCCTAGGTACCTAAATACTAGTAACGGGGAAACAGTTGTTTGGCTAGGAGTTAGAGAGTCCCGAGTCAAATCAACTCCTATTATGATGGCCAGGTGCAAACCTTTGTCTTAACATTGGACGACCTACTGCCAGCTTAGGCTACCTACTATCACTCCTCCCCAGCCGTACAGTGCTGGATTAGTACCGCAGCAGTCTCGCCCGGTGCGCCTCCGCACGTTGCTGCTGCATCATTCGCACGACCGCCCGAAAAGCGTCGGCCACCGGTGCGTGACCTTCTTGTATGGCGGCCGAACATTCCACGTGTTTCATCTCCAGGGCCCGCGCCAATGCCCGCCCTTCTTCAGCCGAGACCTCGCGTTCCCAGACCCGGTCCGCTCTCGACCCGACCAACACTACAGCGGGACGACGCATCATCACTTCCGCCCCCCCGCCTCGGCCTCGGCCTGATGCCGATGATGCTTGCAAGATGGCCCTGTGCCATGTCCGTGTCTTGGTAAACGGGAGACGACGGGTCACAGAATAGACGAGCAGCAAGCCGTCGACGCTGCGGATCCAGCTCTCGAGGAGTGGCGTCGAGTATGCCTCGTTTCCGCCTGTGTCGAGGATCTCGAGCGTGCAAATCCGCCCGTCCATAACAGGGTGGGAGATGTGCCAGTCTTCCATGGTCGGGTTGTAGGTCTCGGAGAAGACGCCGTTGAGGTACTGGAAGCGGAATTAGCATGAGTCGTTGCGATGCCGACTGGCCTTTTGAATACGCGTCGGTGTTCAGCTTTTACTTTGGTCAGGCAGGGGGTAACCGTACCCGTTGTACCAGAGCCGTCTTTCCTACTCCCTCGTCTCCAAGAATAGCTATTCTGTATGTTTCGCGCTTCCCTTTCGGATTATAGGGTTGTAGGGTTAATAACGATGGTCCCGACTTAGTCGAGGACATGGTGGAAGACTCAGGAATGGGTTCTAGACCTCCTCTTGGCTGTCGCGCGAGCGCTTTTCGTATACTTGGTCTCTGAGCTCCCAGTAGGGCTCTCACTTTGAAGGGCGGCCTTGTGTTTCTTCTGGTCAGTGCTGGAAGGCCTGGGAGAGCGAGCGATGGGGCCGAGGATGGCGGCTCTTCTGGCGCTCTAACCGCTCTGTCGTCCCTCAGAGGTACGACCCCCGAATTTGCCGCCTCTGCTGTGGATATGTCAAGTAGGCTGAACTCGTCGTCCGCCGGCGAACCCCCGGCCAGAATGTTGGTGAAGGTCAAATTCGGTCCCAGCTCACCGATCTCGGCGGCGGAGACCGGAAGAGCGATGACGGATAACACGGAAAAGATGTCGTTCAGACTGAGATCCGACAGCTCGGTCCAGCCGTGACTGCGTGCGGTGGATGTGCTAAAAGTCATGGTCTCGTCTACCTTCCCTTGGACGCGGGCGTACGCTCTGGACTCGTTCAGTTGTAACTCAAATGGCCGGTTGAAGATACTGTCTACAAGGGAGTTCGGTCGGGTGTTGGGGTTGCTGTTGGCCGTAGGGGTGCCAGGAGACGCGAGCAGCGACGGTCGACTGAGCATGGACTCGGATTCATCCAAGAACTTGATCGAATCAGCCTCACTTTTGAGTATGGAGCTAAATGTTCCTAGTTGCTGCCGCAGGTTGGCGTTCTGGTCGAGGATTTCTCTGACTGTCTGCTGCAGCGTATCGAGGCTTTCTTGGGCGGCGCTGTCAGATGCACTGCGGCCAGTCAGTTGGCGGACTAATAAATAATAAACTAGGAAACAAGCTTCCCCAGACGGGTTCCCATACCATTGAAGGACGTTGATAATCAGCAAGAGCGATGACTTGTGGGACTGCAGTTGCTAGATGAGTTTCCCAATCTTTTCCTCCCGTGAAGTCCAAGCCAGCCTGTCCCATACGTTTCCGCCAACCGTGCCCAAATCCATGGCGGCCTCGAGCTTTGAGAAAGTCAGGATGAACTGGCGGAAGGTTATGGCGATGTGCTTGAACTGGATCATCTCCATTCGCCGAGACGGCAGCGTTGATACCCTGTCGATAAGTCCCTTTACCGACGTGAGAACCATACGTGTCTCTTCTATCTCGTGGAGGGCATGCAGTGCCGACTCGGGTGCATCCGAGACCTTTCCTACGAAGGTGGAAATAACAGTCCATATTTGCCCGGAGAGGGATAAAAGCCCGGCTACCGAGGCCGCGATTCCTAGGGCCTCGGCCATGGCGGCTGTGACATGTAGTTGAACCTCGCGCTTGCTTAGGTCGCCTTGGGTTAAGATGATGTTGACGTTTGACGCACGAGGCTCCGAGACTCGGAGGTTCTGGAGCTGGCTGCTGATGTGGGAAGGCACACAACGAAGGAGTGTGTGGATTTAGCTCTGATGATCGTTGATGATCACTAATAATGTGAGCATCGAGAAGTCTACCCAAGGTAGGGAGCTAAGATCCTGCATTGTTAAGTCAATATAAGAATCTTAGACTTTCAGTATTGACTCCTGGAGGTAGCCCCTTTGACTCCAATGCCCCATTTTATGTAGTGTGCCTTGCCTAACCGCCCAAATGCACCTTGCAGCCGTCTAGCCAATTGTATGCACCTTAATGGATGCGGTCATGGGCTCATGGCCAGGCATGAGACAGTGGCGGCAGTCAGCGAGGCACTGCAGCGTGAGCTTTGCGAGATAGGTATCTTGGCAACCTGGAAGTCTTGGTAAACGTTCTTTGATTTAATACTTACGGGTCTCATCTGTGAATATTTTTCCGCGCGCTATCTTCAAATAGTGTTCCGGGTTTGGTGGGTGTAAAGTCGCAACATTTGTCGTGAGTCCAGTCGGGGAACATACCTCTTGCAGGAGAAGATTTCACGGTTGTATAGGCCCATCTCATTTTGACAACAGTTTTGCCCATTGCAGGTGAGGACAATATGAGCGAGCGCTAAATAATCAGCCGTGGCCCCCAACCACAAGATGGTAGGGTAAGTTGGGTTCCTCCCAAACAGTTTACTGTGCCACAAAAGCCGAACATTATTCAATAAAGAACTGCGCAGACCCTCAACAGCTAAAATGCCGATGGAAAACGCTCTCTTGAGAACCGAAAGCCAGGAGCATTCAGTACACCGTTAGTCAAGGAGCGCGGTTGGCCAGTGTCGGTTGTCCCGAAAGATGCCAAGCTGAACTCGAGACTTGTGCTGCCCGTGCCATCACATGAACGGATCACGTCCAGTTGCTCGAAGCCTGACCAAGATTGACCAATATTAGGGCGGCGATGGATGCCACCAATTACAACCATATTCCAGAGAACGATCAAGAACCCGGGGAGGTTCCCGCTGCGAAATATGCACCAGCTACATCAGCGCCCACCACACCTGACCAGCCTGGCGACGGCGAGCTTTCCGATGGGCTGATCCTGAACGAGGTGGACCCGGCCCCTAGCGTTTCGGACCCAACCAGCGAGTAAACTTGTATCCCACCTAGGTAGGTAGTTATATGGAAGCGCACGGCTAACTGTAGTTTTCAAAACAAGCCTGGTGCACGTCGCAGCCATCGATTCTCAGGAGGACATGCATACCTACTCTGGACGAGCACCAGGGCCCGCCGGCTGCGGCGGACGGAGCAAGTGACGCGGACGCGGCGCCGCGGTCCACAAGGCCGCCCCCGCCCAGCGGGTTGGAACCAAGCGGGAATCGGGATAACGGGAGGGTTGCTGACGAGGTTGTGCTAAATAACCTCGAGTCGGAGCTTACTCTGAGGGGTGAGGATGAGGCATATTGGGACATAGCTCCGACTTTCTACGCATGCACGGGCTGGCCGAGAAGGAGGAGGTACTGCTGTTGGTGAAACATGAGACGCTACGGAAGTATTAGGCGAGGGTTGAGAGCCTATTTACCTAAATATACCCAACTCCCTGGGTAACCGAGTGTTGGTGAATATTTCACCCTACCTCAGGTACCTAGGCTCAAATGGGTCGGAGGTTTGAAACTCATCGTTTTCTAGTTTCCGGGCGAGCAGAACAGGAGGGTAGAGTGATCAAACAGATGACGATTGAGAGCCCTAGACTTCTGATTTACAGGGGTTAGAGACCGAACTGAGCTGGGTACATACATACAGGAGTATTTGCCGTCGGCGTTTTCGGTTTGTTACGGTTTTCTGAGTTTCTGTGCTGGCTGTGTCGTAATTACAGGGGAATTCGAGCTTCTGTGGCTCGGCGGTTGGGCTGGGGTTGCGCACCGGCCACCCCCTGAACCAAGCGGCGGGCCATCCCAGGTTCCCGATTGCCACGCTCAGCCAGGACGATCAGCTCTCGCTCACTCGTCGCCTCACGCGTAGTGAGCAAACTTGCAAGATGGGCACAAACGACCATGGACTCTCCTCCTGCAAGGTATGTCCCGATAGGTGATACCAGTATATGCTCGATAGATTTGACCGGCTTTTGCAGTTCACTCTCGGGCGATCCACTATTGTAGCATCCGGCGAGTCCCCCGACAGGATTCACGACAATGTTTTGCGACTTCACATCCACCGAACACCATTTGACGATTTCCTATACAGCATCTTCTCCCGCCTTCCGCTGGTGGTTTTGATATTCCTTACTCCCGTGTTCCCACAATGGGCCCTCCCCCGAACCTTTATCCTCAAGGAGCAGAAGCCCGATTGGGACGAGGAGTTCGAGAACGAAAAACGCATGTACGCTAGATTGCGTACGCTGCAAGGCTCCGTCATTCCCATCTGTTTCGGTGAAGCATCAGTTGAAGGCCGTAGGGCGTTGGTCTTGTCGGATGTGGGGCGTATCACTTTATGCGATCCGCCCTCCTTGGAACGAGATAGGGATGAGATGGCAAACATGATTGACGACGCGTTTCGAGCTATCACCAAGCTCGGTGTCGAGCATGGCGATATCAAACTCGATAATTTCCATCTGGTTAGCACACGTGCTGGTGATAAGATCATGATAGTCGACCTCGAGTCCGTGACCGAGATTGGCTCTCACCGGGCACCTGAGCGGGCTATGATCTATCCTGCCGACAGATTATACCGCTACTGGAGAGATGCGGTAGAGAGCGACCGTCGGGAAAAGGAAGAAGAGCGTCGGCAGCGCGCCAGGGCACTCCCCAACCCCGAACAACTACGCCGCCTGAAGGCGCTCGGTGATGCCCGCCGTTTGGCTATTAATTCTACTAAATAAACGGGCCGTATGTCTACCTAATCTGCTGAATGCTCTGCGTCTTTCGTAACTACCTACCTACCTAAGATAGGAGGGGACGTTGTGACGTTGCCTCAACGTTACGAATCACCCCGCCCTTTCATCCTGCGAAGATACTCGATCACGGCCCGAGTACGAAGGATCGAGTGACGCTTATGCACTGATTGGCCGAGGTTCTTAGCCTGAATTATTCCGACCAACCGTTGTTTGCCACAGTCAAAGGTTGCCTGTTGGCCTTGGCCAAATCCTGACTCCCGTGCTGGCTCCGGCGAAATGACATTGTTGGGATTTCAAAGACGCAGCTACAAGCTCTTAGCTCTCTGAACTCCTAGGACACTACCTTGGCATAACACTGCAGACAATGGCCGAACAGACGCCCGCACAAGCGACCCTACTCGGATTGCCCAGAGAGCTCCGCCTTCAGATCCTAGAGGAAGCCATCGCCATCCGCCGCGCGGCCCCGGCGTCGCCCCCGGCCAGCCAAACCAGGCTCAAATTCCGCAATTTGTACGATCAATTCTGCTCAAATAGTACCGACCTGTACCTTGAGGATGCCGACCATGCAAAGAGCGCCCAGCCATCCCTCCTCGCAACAAGCCGCCAAGTACGTGAAGAGACGCAATACCTCATCGGGCGCGCTGCTGGCGAACCATACCAGCTTGACGTCATGTACGTGAACGGAATCGGCTTGATGCCGAGCTGGGTATCTCTCCCGTGCCTCAGCAAGAGGGTTCGGAAGCTTGATATCCGCATCCGCTTTTTCGACACCCCTGATACTCACTCGTACAACGACGACGACGACGACTCTCCTCCTCGGCCTACGTGGAATATAAAGGTCTTCTTGACTGTCTATCTCCTGCGGGCATGTTGGAAACCGGGGGCATTCGATGTTGATCCTCGAAGTCCTTCCGAAGGAAAAGCCGTAGAACCTTTGGCAGCGGAAGGATACTCCGACGAATGGTGCGCAATTGATCACATCGCCATCACAATCGAATCAACGGACATACCCATGAAACCCCATCCTCAGCCCCGTTTTCCTTCTAACAACTACGACATCATCCTTGGATTTGACAAACCCTTCGGCTACAGCATTTTTCATAGGAGCGACGTGTGGCCGAGGCGTAGGCGTTTTGCACCCCCGCCGGGCAAGCCGAACCCCCGCTATGGCCCGGAATACCATTTTGCTTGGGAGGTCCTCAGCACCATTCGGGCCATGGACTTTTCTATTACCCTATCCGGTCCCTATAATGGGCTCTTCTTGACCAATGTCGGCCGGGTTGAGATGCTCGTTGACGACAATGTCTGCGACGGGTTAGATGTCACGAGGCGCTTCTGGGAGCTGTATAAATTTTCCGAAAATACCAATGGCCCTGGGTGGGATGTTAATCAAGCCGCGGACAAGAGGAAGAGGCTGGGGATGTGGACTGAGGTGGGGGCACATGTGAGCTCAATGTTACCTACTTGCTATGCGTGAGTCGAGTCACACCCTGGCAGTGTCGATAGTTGCATAGTTGCACAACTGGGAGCTTCATGTACTGGTATTTTGAAGTTGCCTAAATAGTACATTGATTTTGAGAGTTCCTGGGCATGATGGATGACAAGGTCTAGGACAGTCTCTCAATACCCAGGTGCCTTGTCATCCCATAGCTATCTAACACAAACGATATCTACATATAAAATGGTGGAAAGCACTCGGAACTATATCATCTTCATACTCGTCAACACAGAGTACTACTCAACACATAATGGGAAAGCTTAACATGGGAAGTGCAAAAACTCTGCCATCACATCCCTCTTGATACCTATTCTAGAGAATAAAGAACATGTGGAACAAGGCCATGGTAAAAAGGAAAGCGGCGTTCACAAACAAGCATATGAAAAATTTAAGAAACCCGATAACACTTGCGAAAAGCGGAATGGTAATGATGGGAGTGAAACTGCACACTGCGAGTGAGTAGGTGGCTAAGGTAAGGTAGTCACATAATTGGATGGTTCATAGTTTGATCCCCCATATTTTGTTCCCAGCCCCGCGGCCTGAGGAACCTGTCACTGCCATGCTTTTGCCTCATCTGCCGATAATCATGTAGCCGAAGAATGCCTCTGTTACCCGCGCTCTTTCCCTGTTAATGGCCCGGCAGCGTCGCCACCTTGGGGCCTCAGGGCAGCACCTCTATCACACTGCTAGGCCGCTCACCTCCTTTTCGTCCATAATGGGTACACAGTGCTCATCTGACCCCTCGTAAATTCCTAACACTCACTCCGTCCCTAGAAATCCCAACCCAAACTTACAAAGTGGCGGCCAGCTTTTCTCCTCCAACCTCGCAGTTTTCTTGCCCATTCACCTTGCAAGCGAGCTCTAAAGCGAGCACCGAAGCAAACCCTAAAGGCACATTATGCCTTCTCGCAAGCGTAAGTGCAAATCATGAGTCTATTCCCCTTTTTATTCAATTTCCATCCCCCGGCATCCATTCTCATTTTCTTCCTGCAATATTCTCGATCAAGAACTGATCAATCGAGCTCGAGCGACCCAACTAACCACCTACTTTGTCCAGCCTCCATCCCGGCACAGCAGCCATCCACTCCGCGCACCAACCGCCAGGTAGTCCTGACGGGCCGCATTGGAAAAGACCACGGCAGCAGCAGCGCCGACAACATAGGCAAGAAATACCCCAAGTTCATCGCGACCATGGCCACGCCCAAGGGCAAGAACAACAACAACAACAATAACCACCCCGACAATAACCACCCCCCGACCCCAACCCCAACCGGCTCCCTCCCATCCATCACCCTCACCACCACCCCCACCACCCCGACCACAATCCCCTCCCCCGCCCTAGGCCGCCCCCGCGGCGGCGCCAGCCTCGAGGGCGGCAAGTACGGCCGGTGCCCGCGCTGCGCGACGGGCCGCCGCATCCGCAGCCGCTACAACCCGCACGGGTCGTCGGTGCACCGCGGCAAGTTCCGCTTCGTGTGCAGCAACAAGGCCGAGCTGGGGTGCGGCTATTCCGAGACGTTGGACGACGACCCCGCGCTGTGTCCGGATTTGTTTTCGGGGAGGGGGGGGGATAATAATAATGGGAAGGGGGGTGGTGGTGGTGGTGGTGGTGCTGGGCAGGGTCAGGGTGGGCAGCAGGGTGGGGGTGTGGGTTTGGGGATGGGTGGTGGTGGGCGGATGGGGAGGGCGACTGTGCTGGTGGGTGTGCATGATGATGATGAGGAGGAGGAGGAGGAGGAGGGTGACTTTGAGATTCTGGGTCACAGCACCGTTGTGACCCCGTCCAAGGCGTTTGGTCGGCGTGTTGGCGTTGCGGCTACCGCTGCCCGGGACAAACCGCCGCAGAACCTGGGCTGCCCGGAGTGCATGGTCGGTCGTCTGACCAAGCGCCGTAGGGATGGCTTCCGCTTCACTGAGACCATGCTCGTGTGCGAGAAGGCCTGGGATGGCAAGGACATTGTTGGCGGCTGTGGTTATCAGATTGATATCGGCGCGGATCCCGTTGAGGAGGGCTCTTCTCGGGGTGCGAGTGCCGGTGCTGGTGCTGCTGAGCGTGCCGCTGCTGGTGGTGTGAGCGCCACGGTTGCCAAGGCTCGGGAGGAGATCAAGAAGCTGAGGAAGAAATCGGCTCGGGAGATCGCGCGCGAGAAGAAGGAGATGGACGAGTGGACGGCCCAGGAGCGGGCGAGGGCCATGGCCAACCCGTACGCCGCGGCCGTCATGGTTGCCCCGAACGCCAAGGCTAAGAAGAAGATTGTCGTCGACCTGACTGACGACGGCGAGTTCACTAGCCTCCCGCCCCGAGGCCCGCCAGGTGGTGGCGCCGTGGGAGCCTACGCCCCGATTTTCATCGACGATGACGAGGACGAGATCGCCCAGCCCATTAGGTTCAACAAGCCGACCAAGTTCAACAAACCGGACAAGTTGGCCAAGATCACCAAGTTCGACGACTTCGGCTCCGACGATGAGATGGACCTGGTTCGCCTCGCCGAGGAGGCCACCGAGGAAGTCAAGGACGGGATGAACGATGAGGACGAGTTGGTGCTCATGGAGCTGGCCGACCAGTTTTCGTCGCCCATGTCTGCAAAATGAGACCCCTCCAGCGGCCTCGGGCGGTGCAGAAACTGCGGTGGAGGTTTATCAACATAATACACGCATATATACCATGAGAGCGGGCGTTTTTTGGCGTCTGGGACACATGGAGGTCAGGAGCGAGAAATTGGTCTTTTCTTTCGGTGGTTATCATCATACAGCTCATTTCATTCGGTCCATTCTTACTGCAGCGGATTTTAACACTTTCAGCAGCCAACGAGCCTAGATCGTGAGAGGAGATCAATATTGAGCTAGGTATTCAACTCAGTGTTCCATGGGGCAGCTCCAGTGACGATGGCCTTATCGTATTTATGGAAAGGGCTAGGTACCTCGTATTTCGCGCGACAACGAAACCAACCCGATTGAGGTTTGTCTGGTTGAGAACCATCACGCGCAAGTAAAATGTCCATGGGCCGGGGTGTTATGGGAGTTCCGTGTTTCTGACGGGATATCGTTTTGCACAATGCCAATGTTGTGACCAATGGCCTTGGAGTCGAGGGCTCTGAAGCACCGAGGACACTTTGTGACCTCGTCCTAATTAGGTAAGTGGGGCTCGCGAATCGCGAATGCGGCAGGGGCACGTGAGGGGCACTGGGGATGTCTTGGAGTTCCCACAAATACAGAATTCATCTGCAACAACCCGAAACCCTATTTGAACGCCAGAACGGTCGGTAGAGCTTGGAATTATCCTGTTGAGCAGTGCTGAGATTTATTACCGAGACCAGGGTGTCTTGTGTCGCTTTTTTGTGTCATCTTGCCGCGAGCCCTGGCTTCAAGTCATGTGCTCGAGAGCTCACTAACCGGGGGTTGGAGTGCTTCCGGGGAAGCCAAGATCGTCATGGTGGGGCTCGCCGCGATGTTGACCCCCCAGTTGTGGGAGACGCGACTGACGCGACTTTGGTGTCCCCCCTCGGGTGCAAATATCATATTTGACTTTTCCCCTCCTTCTTCCTGGACCGCGCCAACCCTGCTTCCCGTTCTTTGTTCGATTGTGTAGGTAGGTACCTATATGCTGACACGGCATTCCTCTCTTCCCTGTCTGGCTTCACTATCTCGGGTAGCTTGGCTATCTGGTTTCTCTATTGGTTCGGCCTCTCTATCTGGTCTCTTCATCTGCGTCGTCATCTTGCATTTCTGGTTATCGACATATCATCATGTCTTGGTGATTCGATGGCCATTTGACGTGCGCCGGATACTACCTATATAATCTCGCATCCCCGTCTCTCACACACCGTTTCGCACGCACTCGCACTTTTGGCATCTCTTCCCCCACCTTCCACATCTGTTGACCGGAGTACCAGGAATTATCACAATTGCAAAAAGAAGCGAAAATCCGGGGCACAATGGCTGATGAACCCACGCTTCCTACCCTTCCTCCTCCACTCCCGGTCGGCGACAGAAAGAAACGGAGGCGGAACCTGGACTCTCCTCCCACTCAATCCTCCGCCTCGAGTGACCCGGCTTTCTTCTCTAGTGACGACGATCCGGCACTCGACAACTATCACCACAATGGACGCCGCAAGAAGCGGTACGTGGGCACTTGGTTTAACCAGCAGCCGGCCTCATCAGATTCCGCCATGGGAGAGGAATCGCTCCCAAGCTACCCTCCGCCTCGCCGCAACAGACCTCCACAGCCTCAAAAGCGAGAATTTCGACGACAGCTCGACAGTGGTGTCTGGATGGGGACAGAGGGTTCCCTTACCGACACGGATGACAGCTTCGACCTAGAGCCCGCTGCTGCCAAATTTCCCGTCGCGTCGCCACGAACAAAAGTTCTAGTATCCGCCCCACCCACCTTCTCGCCGCAGGAGCTGGCAGCCCAACGGATTGCCCGTACCTGTGTCGAGCGTGGGACCGAGCAGGTTGATCTCAGGTAAGCTTTTGTCGCGGTCCGTTTCCGTTCAAATTCTAACATTTAACCTAGTTCGCTGAGCCTGGAGACCGTTTCGCCAGAAGTAGTGAAGCTCATCTCCGAAATCTCCCCCATCCCCACCGTTACCAGGGATGTCGCCTTCGAGCAGAGGGATCCCGAAATCCAACTGTACCTTTCTCAGAACCTCTTCCGGAGCTTTCCCACCGCGATTCTCAATCTCGAGCACTTGACTTTGCTCAGCCTCCGGGCAAACAATCTCGATCAAATTCCGCCGGCGATCGGGAAGTTGACAAACCTCGAGGCCCTCAACCTTGGCCAGAACTTCATCCGCGTCTTCCCCGGCGAGATGCTAAACCTCCTCCACCGCGGTAGCAAACTCCGCAATTTGGGTTTCCAGCCCAACCGGTTCTGGCAACCCGACACCACCATCGCCACCGCTGACACCATCGCTACTACTACAGCGCGCAGTGACGAGTACGACAACCTAACATATCCCAACCGCCCTACCACCAAGCTCGAGTCGTCCTGGTCTGGCATGACAACCAAGATCCACTCCCGGAGCGCTGTTCAGTTCATGGACGGCACCCACCAAACGCTCTCCCGCTTCGCCCTTCCCGACATCCCGGGCGCACGCGGTGCTCCCATCGAGCTAGAATCCCTGACCTCTCTCGCCGTGCCGAAGGAGTTCGCCCCCAAGATACGCCAGTCGACCACTCCCACCAACAAGGCTTTCAACCCCAAGGGCGCCCGGTCACTGTTTGAGCTCGCCCTGCGCGCAGGCATCACCTCGCCGCAAGTTGAAGAGGTCCGGGCCTGGGCCCTCCACGCCGAAGATGCCCCGAGACACTTCTCTCCCGTGGTGGAGCGCGCCGTCAAGATCCACCGCGAGGGCGGCGTCCGTTGTGCTGTCTGTGGCCGCGACACCTTGATCCCCATGGCCCAGTGGGTCGAGTTTCGCCGTATTGGACGCACCACGATCACGGTCGATGCGGATGGCAAGGAGGTGGAGAAGTTTACAGAATTGGGAGGTGCGGGTGAGGAGCTCCCGGTGCCGTTCCTCATGGTGGGCTGCTCATGGTCGTGTATCCCAGCCAAGCTGGAGAAGGAGGTGGATGTGAAGGGCACCACTTGATGCGGAGGAGCCGTTATCACAGGGCACTGCGTAGTTTCAACGGGTTCATGGTTCAAAGGGGAGCTCAAAGGGTCATTGTCTGGCAGGGAGATTCAAGAGGCGTTCATGGGGGATGACGACGGGGGGATGACGATGGAGGAGGATGACTACGGAGGCTATCTAGGCGATGGCTTTATACCCAGAGGGGAGGATGGCTGGTGTTTCGGGTCAAATAGCGCTTGAGGCGGAGGCTCAAGTTTCGTGTACTTCTGCAATTTTCAGTGCTCGTTCAGCTGCGGGAACCTGCCACTACAGCGGAATGTAGAATATCGTAAAATTTCAAAAAACAAAAACAAGACAGCGCTTAGAAGACCAAAATCGCCTAAATCCCAATGCATTTTACAGCAATTCCTATTTGTCAAGCAACAGCAGCAACCTCGAACTCCAACCGCCCATCCGTTGTTAACTTGTTCCGTTGTTGGATCACTGACGCTTGGCACTGTGCCAAGTCTGTAATATTGACAGGGTTCCAGGCCGCTGGCAAGCCTTGTTTAAACGTCACCTCTCGCCAAAAGCTCCATCTCCATCGCGTCACAGCAGCTGAGCTTCCCCAAGCTCAAGCTTCGCCATCATCATCATCATCATCAAACGACACACCCCCCACCCAACAAACGTGCACGAACGAAACCAATCCGATAATCCCCCATCATCACCAACCATCAATGGCCCACGAATAAACCCAATCAACCAAACAACCAACGAACAATCCAACCAAACAAACAACCCCCAACCCCAACCACGCGCTCCGGCGCAACCTCCACCTCCAAGATGCGACGACCGCACTTCCTCCCAACCCTCCTCTCCCTCGCCACCACCTCCACCCTCCTAATCCCCACCGCCCACGCCGTCTTCCTCGACGAGGTCGGCCACACCGACTACCACCACCAGCTCCTCGGCCTGCCCCAGCGCGACACCACCTTCTTCCACCGCCCGCGCCGCGACGACCGCGCCAGCCTGCTGTACACGCTCAGCGATGTGGGCGTGCTGGGCGCGGTGAACCCGGGCAGTGGGGAGGTGCTGTGGCGGCAGCGGCTGGGTGAGTATGGGGATGCGAATGGGGATACATATGGGGATGGGTTTGGGTTTATGAGGGCGGGTGAGGGCGAGGGGTGGGTGGCGAGTGCGTTTGGCGAGGCGGTGCACGCGTGGGATGCGGTGAGCGGGAGGAATAAGTTCTGGGTGGGGTTTGAGGGGGCCGTGGTGAGGGACTTGGAGGTGATGGAGATGACGGAGAGTGGGGAGGGGAGGAAGGATGTGTTGGCGTTGTTTGAGGAGGGGGTGCGCGGTGAGACGGTGCTGAGGAGGCTGAGTGCCGAGGATGGGAGCGTGGTGTGGGAGTTTCGCGAGGTTACCAAGGATGTGCCGCTGCAGGTGAGCACCAACGTTGAGAAGGTCTTCGTGGTCAGCCTGAAGGGCGTCGCCGGCGCGTATAACCTCAAGGTGTCGGTGCTGGATATGGTTACGGGCAAGCGGCTGGATGAAATGGTCATTGGGGCCAAGGCGGATGTCCACGGAAAGGAGGATGTCATTCTTGTTGGGGCCAACTCGGCTGCCCCGATCGTGGCATGGGCTGACGACGCCCGCAAGACCCTGTCGGTTAACGTGTTGGGGACCAAGACGAGGCAGGAGTTTGCACTGCCGGCAGATACGGTTGATGTGGAGATCCACGCGCCGCATTTGGTGCAATCGCAGCCGCACTTTTTGGTTCACAGCAAGACGGCTACTGGGCACCGGGGCGAAGTCTTCCACGTCGACTTGAAGACGAATGCCGTTTCGAAAGCGTACAGCCTTCCCCTTCTCGCTGGACCTGGATCCTTCTCGACCAGCTCCAGCGGCGCGAACGTCTACTTCACCCGCATCACCGAGGACGAAGTGATTCTCCTTTCGTCGCATTCCCACGGCGTGCTCGGGCGCTGGCCGCTGAAGACCGGCGATTCCAAAACGGCTGCCATTCACGCCGTTTCTGAAGTTGTCAAGAAGGGCGGTTCCGACGACAGCTACGCGGTACGGGCCGCAGCGGTCACCGACGTGGATGACTGGGTGTTGATCCGCAATGGCGAGGCCGCGTGGACTCGCCATGAGGGCATGACCGGTGGTGTCGCCGCTACATTTGCCGATATCCCCGAAAGTGAGGATCTGGCCAGATCGCTTGAGGCAGAGGCCCACAGCAACCCTCTGGAGGCCTACGTTCACCGCATCAAGCGCCATATCAACGACCTCCAATACCTCCCCGCGTGGATCGACAGCCTCCCGTCGAGGTTCATGAGCAGTGTCCTCGGCACGGATGTGCCTTCAACCGCTGGTAAGCTGGCGCGGGACAGCTTTGGCTTCCACAAGCTTGCTATCCTGGCAACAAAGCGCGGGATGCTCTATGCTCTCGATGTTGGTAACAACGGCAGGATTGTCTGGAACAAGCGGGCTTTCCAACTCCAAAAGGGCAGCAAGTGGGACGTCAAGGGAATCCAGGCGCACGACTCGACAGGAGAGGTCACGATTCTCGGCGCCAACAATGACTTTGTTGCCCTCAAGGGCGATACTGGTGAGATCATTGACGCAAAGGGGCCGAGCCCGGAGGCTACCACTCAAGCCACCGCTCTTGTGGACACGTATTCCGGCAAGCAGCTCATTCGGATCGGCCGCGACGGGAAGATCGGCGACCTTCAGGTGTACAAAGCCCCAAGGCAAACTGTCGTCACGCGCGGCCACGATGGCGAGCTCAAAGGTGTCGTTTTCGTCGCCAACGGGACCAGCTCCTACGAATCAACTTCTTGGACCTTCTCCCCGCCACAGGGCCAGAGGATCGTGAACATCGCAACACGCCCCGAGCACGATGTCGTCGCCTCCATCGGCCGTGTCCTCGGCGACCGCACCGTCAAGTACAAGTATCTCAACCCCAACACCCTCATCGCCGCCGCCGCCAACGACAACGCCGGCACGCTCACGATCTACCTCCTCGACACCGTCTCTGGCCAGATCCTCTCTTCCTCCAAGCACGACGGCATCGACCTTGCCAAGCCCATCGAGTGCGCCATGGCCGAGAACTGGTTCGTCTGCACCTACTTCGGCCAGTACACCCTGCGCGACAACACGGCCAAGACGATCAAGGGCTACCAGATCCTCGTCGCCGACCTCTACGAGAGCGAGGAGGCCAACGATCGCGGCCCGCTCGGCGACGCCGACGCCTTCTCCTCGGTCGACCCCATCGACGTGCCCACGGGCGGTGTCGACCGCCCCTCGGTCGTGGCCCAGTCCTACGTCCTCAGCGCGCCCATCTCGGCCCTGCAGGTCACCCAGACCCGCCAGGGCATCACCTCGCGCCACCTGCTGGCCTACCTGCCGGAGTCCCACGGCATCGTCGGCATCCCGCGCGGCATCATCGAGCCGCGCCGGCCCGTCGGCCGCGACCCCACCCCCGCCGAGGCCGAGGAGGGCCTGTTCAAGTACCACCCCGCCATCGAGGTCGATCCCAAGAGCGTCATCACCCACGAGCGGGATGTTTTGGGTGTTGAGAAGATTATCACCGCTCCGGCTATTGTCGAGAGTACGAGCTTGGTGTTTGCGTACGGCGTGGATGTGTTTGGCACGAGGGTTGCGCCGAGTTTCCTGTTTGATATCCTTGGCAAGGGCTTTAACAAAGTCGCCCTGGTGGGCACTGTGATGGCGCTTCTGGCTGGTGTGATGATGCTGGCTCCGGTGGTGAGTATTTCGCTATGTTTATTCCGTTGACGATGCTAACGCGTTCGCAGGTGAGGAGGAAGCAGATTAATTTGCGGTGGAAGGCACCGATGTAGATGTGTATGTTATGATATGTATGTTTGCATTGGGATATAGATGTACATGAGGTAAACAGAGTTCATTTTAATGATTTGTCGGGTATCTACGAGTTCAATCTCAGTGGTGCTGTTGGGTGTGCCGTAAATATCGTGCGGTTGTGTCTGCCAACAAGCCTCTCGAAACCTTGGTAGGTAATCTGCCATGCGGCCTTGCGCCTAGGCATAGTGCTCTACTCGATCTTAGTACTATCTGTTTATTAACATTGTTTTGGTACCATCCAGCAAGTCTCGACATCAACTCTCCTAAATGGAGAACGCTCATCGTCGCTACCCGCCAAGGCATACAAACCCAAGGTTTGACCCACCCAAACAAGCAATTGGCTAGCATCCTCTGTGGCGCAATTGGCTAGCGCGTCTGACTGTTAATCAGGAGGTTGGAAGTTCGAGCCTTCCCGGAGGAGCTAAAACCTACTTTACTTTTTGCTTTTTTCGTTGGGCGACATCTTATTTTTCCTTCATGGCAACACCAGAAGAAGTGGTATCGTGCTTGTTGGTTAGCGTTGGTAGTGCAAATTGGTCAACTCAGTGCGAGCGTCCAAGCTACCGGCACAATCTGGGGGTACAAGAGTATGCTATGGCGGAATCACAACTATTTATGATTGTATATCAAAGAAGTCACTTTTCTTGCATTACCCGTTGGATCCGTGACAAGCATGCGTGTCCAGCAACGTAATCCCATTTCAATCCACCGCAAAATCCACCGCACCCCCGAAGCCTTGCAGGCGATTCTAAACCCAAGGAAAACTAAGCACCAGCCTCGGTGGTTGAATGCAAGGCACGAGCCGGTAAACAACGTCTTTCCCTCAGAGACCGCCCCATGCTCGCCCCCAATTACCTACCCATCATGCTAAGGCGTTCCGTACTTCTTCATCGTTATGTTACAAACCGCCCCCTCTCTCCAACAACCCCCTTCAAACTGCCCCTCCTCCCTAGACCAGCAGCGCGGCTCCTTTCAGTCATCGTCGTCAAAGATCTGATACGTGTTCTGCAAGATGGTATCCACCACCCGTACCTGCCACCCAGCATCCGAGATGTTCGACCCGGGCGCGGTGCCCATGAGCGTGGGCCCGAACACGATGGCCAGGTTCTGGGAGCTCATCCTGTTGGCCGACGAGTTGTCGATGACGCGGTGCAGATGCAGCGTCAGGGCGCGCAGAGTGGCGTAGTTGGGGTCGGGCAGGTTGTTGATGATGGCGTGGAGGGTGTCGCGGCGGACGATGTCGTCTTCGTTTTCTACGCCCGCGAGTTAGCCAGGTGACGTTTGGTGCGTCCTAGGAGACGGGTTGGACTTACTGGCTGCTTCAACGAACCCCATATAGTGCTCCCTTGTCAGCAGCGGGTCGGGTAGATCCCGGAAGAACTGCTTTAGCAGACCGGCAACACTGTTGACATCATGGAAGAAGTTTTCGGGGTTACGGAAGTCGAGGTTGCCGGATGCAGAGTCTTGGGGGAGGGGAGTTAGTTCGCGGTAGAAAGGTTAGGAGTGCGGGTAAGTTACGAACCTGTATCAAACTGGGTTTTGAGCTTGTTAACGTGTGGCACGGAACCAGACAGCCGGTAAATGCCCTCAACGTTCAGACCAAACAAGTCCACGGCCTGGATACACTGATACACCACCATAGGTACAGCCAGCCCGTCTCTTTCGTAAAGCTTGGATAGGGTGAGCCCGAACACGGGGCGCGGCGGGGCCATTTGAGGGGCAGCTGGCGGCGATTGCCTGTGCGCCTGAGGAGGCACCATGGCCGGAGGTTGTGGAAACGCGCTTGCGTTCTGATTTCCTTGCTGAGACGGTAGCTGCGCATAAGGCGGTTGCTGTGATTGCTGTGCTTGGGGGCTCTGGAACGATAGCGCGCCGAGTTGCGGTGGCCCCTGCGAAGTGGCAGAGCTGAACGAACCGTCAAACCTGGAAGCAGACGGTTGGGCTTGGTGTTGAGGAGCGCCCGCGCTTCGATATTGTTGACCCGCAGGGCTACTACCCTGATTCATGGTGCTCCCGTGACTGAAGCTTCTCTCATGCTGCGGTTGGGAAGGCGGCCGCGGGGGGCCACCGAGCATCGGGAGAGAGCCCATACTCTGGTTATAACTGTGTCCCACAGAACCCTGGTTTGGGGGAGCGGCAGGTGCGTCGGAGAAAGTGCTTGCCCGAGAACCCTGGAAGATACCGGCCGGTGGCGGTTGCACGGAGCTCGGCGGTGGTTGTTGTGGCGTGTTCTGAGTAGGAGCCGTGGTGCCCGTAGTTGGCGGCCGATTTGATGTTTCAAGGAGCTAGAGGCGTCAGTTTGGCCAAGCAAGTCGTAAACGGAAACACATACATGATTGCGTTCGTATTTGGGCAGCCCTGTCCTTGGTGGCAGCCTCGGGTGTTGGCCGCTCAAATAATCGTTTAGATCCTTGTCATTGTCAATGGCGAGGACGCTCTCTCGTAAACTCCGCGTCTCGGGCGCCTGCTTGAGGGGGCTGATACTGAGGCCATTGCTGAGCACTAGTTTCTCATTGAACGATGCTAGAGACTCGTCAGCATCCTTGTTGCCCAACTTTCCCCGGACAAACGTACCAAATTTCTGCATCTGCAGTGCCAGCCCAGAATCGCACTCCTTTACAATATCTTGAAGCGCCTGCACAGTTTCTGGCCTGGTCTTTGTTTCAAGCTCGCTCCTCTCTGAAGACGCAACCTGAACCTTCCCCTGGTAATCTTGTTCTGCAACCTGAGCCTTCCGGAGCAGGTCCTCTTCGTGCCCAGCACCAGATTTGTGCGCTTTAAAACCAAACATCTTCCCACCAGGGCGGCCGGCTGAATCCCCAGTTCGGACGCGGTCGTACTCCTCGGCAAGGCCGTCGTACTTGGTCTTGGACTTGCGCAGAGCGACCTCGAGGTCAACCACGCGCTGCTCAGCCGCCAGGCCACTCTGCTTCCACCCCTTCCTAGACTTGTCGGCGACGAGGGCTAGCTCTGTCAGGTCTTCGGACATTGTGTGTAGCGACATGGCAAACTGTATCCCGTTGTCGGCTATGCGCTCGTGGACCGCCATCATCTCCTCATACGCGCGGCCGAAGGTGCCGCCGCGATGCTCGCCCCGTTGCATGCTGTCCTGTGATTGCCTACATAGCCTCTTGAGGGAATTTGCGTAATCGTCTTCGAGTACTGAGCGCTTCTTGAGGAATTGCGAAAACTCCTACAGTCCGGGTCAACTACCACGTCGGTCATGGCGGCAGGGGCGAATGTTCATACCTTTGCCGAGGCAATGCTCTGCTTGAGCCGGTTGAGCATCACCGAGATGCCAATCTATGTGCAAACCATACATGAGTCGATTGAAGGGAAAAGACCAGTCGGGTTGGAATGCGCACCTCTGATGTCAGGACATCTTGCACCTGGGTTCTCGTTTCTTCGCTCAGCGGGGGCGCGGTTGGTGGTCGGTTTCCGACTCCATTTTCAGGAGCCGGTGCTGCTGCTTCTGGCAAAGACATGGCGCTTGGGGATCGAGGCAGTCGATGTTATCATTGACTGCAAGGTGGGTGGCTGCGAGCTTTGTTTTGTTGAAAGCCGCGGGGTTCAGAGTCGAGGTTCGGGGCGCAAGCTCCAGGTCGGGCGGGCATTACGAGATGATGCCCACACAACATGGCAGACAGGGGCCACGCGACCAATCCCGGAACGGCATGGAACGGCAAACCGATCCCCTCCAGCGCCGTTGCGCATTGCCAAGCTTCACCCGACTCCAAGCTCCACTAAATTTTGGAAGGAAGCTCTGTGGGCCCCCACGACACCCTTGCTGCTCCCCTGAGACATCCTGGTCATCCACCTTCAAGCAACAGTCTGTGCTTCACCTCGACAACTCGAGCAACAACCTCGAAACCAATAACGAGGTAATACAATTGCCAGCGGTAGCTAACCTATTGAGATCCTGATTTTTTGGCTCAAGTTCTTATTTCTATCAAGTTAAAGTGGCTCATGAGGCCTCGAGTGACGAGAGATGGCATGAACGCTACCGTTTCAACTTTGCGAGCGACCCGAAGAAACGAGGTCGACGGTTTTGACTCGCACAACCGAGAGGGGACCGCCATATCCCATCGGCCAAAAATAATTTCCCCGGTTTGACAGGCGTTCGATGGCAATCATTAAGGCACATCGCAGGCCCACCAACCCGAACCTCCCTCCAGCGAGGGAAACAGCAGCAATGTTTCGAAGCCTTCATTGGTTAACGTGTCTCGGATCCAGCATGTCCCAGGTTTCCCACTCTACCGGAAGCCCTGTTTCGGGACTTGACATCCGGGCAGTGTGGTAGCGAGACCGGAATCATTGTGGTGAAGTCGGCCGTGTCAATTGGCTGTGTATCAAGGAGCTACCCAGACCGCTCAAACCACCCTGCTGTGACACAGCAAGATTCAGTGAGAACTGCTGCTTCCCGCACGTCTCGCTTCGCCCGGCCATCAAGCGGTTCGCGCGCGGATTCCTACAGCGGGCCGCCTCCGGAAACCACGAGCCGACTTTCGGCTCCCATGGATGCGGCATGCCGCTGTCCAGCAGATTACACCCGAGACAATCCGACTAGGATGCGCTCAGAAGAGACATGGCTTCCAATCTAGTTAATTATCTCGGCCAATGGACGCCCTCAAGGTCGGGGTGATCCGCCGCTGGAAACCGAGTCTTTCGGACCGCACTCGTGCCAACAACGCTGCGATATCCTGCCACGGCCGAGAAGTTCCTCGTCCGACAATCCTAAGTTCCACAAACTATCCCCAAAGCCCCTCCGACCCCAGACCCTGGTGTTCTACCACCGCCGCGGTATCGGTAGCACTGAGGTATTCTGCAGCTGGCTATGAGACGACCCATGTCACCGCCGCGAGGAACCGGCTACGTACGTGACCCAAAGAGCACGTCGCCAAGTTGCACGGCCGAACCGAATTTGCCAGGACTAATGATTGCTTTGTAGATATGGGAATCGAATATATCACACTTAAACACGTAGGGTATACGACTGCCTGCCGACCTTTTTAAACCCTCGCACCTAACTCCGGTGCTGAATGTATCCCCATGGGTGTCTTTACATGCACTCAGATAAAGCCCTTCAGAACGGCGGCTTCAGCGTTAAGGATGGAGGAGCCGGCAGCACCGACGACAGCTGGGTAGGGGTCAGCCGTATGTTCACTCGCTCGGGGCCTTGGGAACTCACTGTTGTGACTCAAGGCGACAAACTTGATGTCGAAAATGCCACTCTCGTCCTCGCGGACGCGGCCCACACTGACGGTATAACCCTTGGACAAGTCCCGGTCCAGCCGGGGCTGCGGCCTGTCAGGCTCGTCAAACACCATGATGGACGGCTCCGGGGCCGAGGGGCAGCCCAGCTTCTGGGCGTCGGAGACGTAGCTGCGCATGGCCTCCTTGACCTGCTCGGCCGTTGGCGGCGGGCGCTGCGCGAAGCGCAGTGACACGCATGCGGTGTGACCGTCCATCACGGGGACGCGGTTGCATGCGGCCGACACGCGCAGCGTCGACTGGTCCTCGACGGCCGTCGCCTCGGCGTTGATGCTGCCCAGGATCTTCTGCGCCTCCGTCTCCAGCTTGTCCTCCTCCCCGGGGATGAACGGCACCACGTTGTCGATGACGTCCATGCTGCTCACGCCGGGATACCCCGCCCCCGACACCGCCTGCATGGTCACCACCGAGACGGTGTCGATCCGGCCGAGCTTGGCCTGCAGTGCCGCGAAGGGGATGACCAGCCCGATGACGGCGCAGTTGCTGTTGCACACGAGGAAGCCCTTTTCCAGGTTGTTCGTCTTGCGCTGGTGCGGGATCAGGTCGAGGTGGTTGAGGTTGACGGTCGGCACGACGAGCGGCACGAGGGGGTCGCGGCGGTAGTTCTTGGCGTTGGAGAAGACGGCCTTGTTGGCGTGCTGGAACTCCTTCTCGATCTCCCCCGCCACGTCGCTGTCGAGCCCGCTGAAGACGATGTCGCAGTCGGCAAACTCGCTCGCCTTGCAGTCGCGCACCACCAGGTCGCCGATCTCGGGTGAGATGGGGCTCGCCTGCTTCCACCGCACGGCGTCGCGGTACTTCTTGCCGGCGGATCGTGACGACGCGCCGACGGCTACGAGACGTAGCGACGGGTGTTGCTGGAGCAGCAAGATGAAGCGCTGGCCGACTGAGCCAGTGCAGCCCAGGACGCCTGCCAGAAGAAAAAGGTGTCAGTCAGTTCAGTCTAGTCCCAAGACTCCAGCGGGGTAGAGACGGCGCTGTCTCGGCACCTTACCGCAGTTCTTTGTTGGCAATTGAGACATGGTGGGTGGTTTCTGTGGTATTATTTGGCCGACTGCCGTATTGTTTGACAGAACAAGCTTCCAATAACCGGGGGAATCTAGGGAATATATCTCCAAACAGGTGAGTCAGTCTTCCCCGATCAGGACTCGGTGTTTGAACTTTTTGTCGCCGTCGCCCATGCCCCGCCACGCCCCGCCATCGGAGCCGGGTGGGGACCGTGGGGTTGTCTCCAAGACTCCAACAGGGGCTCGAGCGGCAACAATCCACCACGCGATACCGTAGGGCTGGGTCCTGCCAGAGAGTGACATTCCCGGCGTGTGTTGAGACGGTATTTTTCAAGACGCTGTCATGGGTCGTATTCTGGCCATGGCTGGCACGTAAAGCCCCAACCTGGAAAACAGGAAGTCGAATGTGATGTCGGGTTTTGGAGTCTTCAGTGTTCCAAGACGAGAATACAGACAGGCATGGGAATTAAACTAGGGCCAGACGACAGAGCCATTTTCTCGAGATTCGACATGTCATCCAGACTTCTTTCGACACCGATCCCGCGCCATCTCGGTTCCGCGCGGCATCCAAACTCTTCGTCTATTAAAAGTCCCTCGTGGAAACCAGACGATGTCTCAAATTAGGAGCATTTTCACCGGTCATTCATCAGCTCGCCAAGCCATTTCCTCCCAATCCACTCAAAACGCCACCGCCAACCCCCACCACTTCCTTGTTCGAGTCGGTGAAGAAAGCAGAGGGACGACATTGTACGCGCATGACATGTTGCCGTTCTTGTGAAACTAAGAAGTGCCGATGTCAGGAATCCCAGCAGCATGCAGAGCAGGAAGCCGTCATTCGCAAGCCATCTCGTTGCACTGCCGAAGCTCAACATCGTCAACAACTCGTCCAGCAGTGTTCATGATTCAGCCGTCCCGCCTATAAAATCCCCCATGTAACGCGCCCGAACGCCCGCCAGGCGGCGCCGAGACCCTTCCAAGCGTCCCATCTCGCATTAGCTCCTTCAGCGGACAAGGATCATGTTTCTCTTAAAAAATGGGCTTGGGACGGCGATGCGAGCCTCACTCTTCTTCTCCCGTTTCCGCAAGGCGTACGGCGTTGCTGGCATTGGGAATTGCCATCGATAGATGTGTTGGCATTAATTCATAATACCCTATTTGCTTGTAACTAGCCAGCGTTAGTATTTCGTCCCACAGTTAACACAAGGTAGGATCCCTTTGTCCCTACCCACAGCCAACACTCTTCTTGCACAAAACGCTCGTTACCAGGAAGCCAGCGTGTTCCCCCCGGGCTAGAGTAAAAACCTACAGGGTTAAGCCCTGAGTTGAACGTCAAACCCTAAGAACAATATAGGACACCATAGAAAAACATACCACGGGTACACCAGAACTAACCGAGCGTCAGGAAGCACACCATGGACGTCCCCTCAAGAAACGAGCCGTGGAGCGTCGTCGACATGGTTGGCCTATCCCCCCCCGTCGACTGCTCCAAACCCTACGACACTTCCACACTCGCCGGCAAGACCATCCTCATCACAGGCGGGGCCTCGGGCTTCGGGGCCGCCTTTGCCCGGCACTGGGCCAGTCACGGCGCACACCTCATCATCGGCGACGTCAACGACCGTGTCGGCGAGGAACTCGTCGCCGAGCTCCGCTCTGCCCCATCCACCAACCCCGGCCAAGTCATCGTCTACCAACACTGCGACGTGACATCCTGGCCCGACCAAGTCTCGCTCTTCCAAACCGCCATCTCCTCCTCCCCAACCCACTCCATCGACGCCGTCGTAGCCGGCGCCGGCATCATCGAGAAGGGCGATCCCCTCACGCCCTCTCCCACCTCCCCCTTCGACCTCCCTCACAACCTCGACCCCTCCACCAACAACAACACCCCACCGCCACCACCCCCGCTCAACATCCTCGCCGTCAACCTCACCGGCGTCATGTACACCACCCACCTCGCCCTCTACCACCTCCCGCGCAACAACAACAACGACAACAACGCCACCCAAACCACCCCCCAAGCCAAGACCCCCACCCCCACCAAAACCCATACCCCCGACCGCCACATCCTCCTAATCTCCTCCATCGCCGGCCTGTGCCCCCTCCCCGGCCAGACCGAATACACCGTCTCCAAGCACGCCGTCATGGGCCTGTTCCGCGCGCTGCGCGGCACGGCGTGGGCGGCGCACGGCGTGCGGGTCAACGCCATCGCGCCTTACTTTGTCGACACGCCGCTGCTGCCGCGCGCGGGCATGGCGCTGCTGGCGGGGGCGGCGAAAGCGGAACTAAGGGATGTGGTGGATGCGGCGACGAGGTTGATGGCGGATGAGGGGGTGAGGGGGAGGGCGCTTTGTGTGGGGCCGGGTGTGAGGGTTGTTGATGGTGGTGGTGGTGGTGGTGAAGGGGAAGGGGAGGGGGGGGTTGGGATTGGGGGGGTGAGGGTTGTGGAGGGGGAGGGTGGGGTCGGTGGTGTGGAGGGGGAGAGGAGGCAGGCGGTCTGGGAGGTTTATGGGCATGATTATGAGAGGGTGGAGGCGTTTGTGTGGAGGTATTTGGCGGTGATGAATTTGATGAGGGGGGTTAAGGGGTGGGTAGGGTTTATGAGTGATATGGTGGGGATATGTTTTGGAAGGAGGGGGAGGAGGTAGAGGGTGTTTGTCTTCCCAGAGTTGTCTTGTATTTGGCGGCTACTAGACATATTGCCGCTCTGCCTTCTGCGCTGTAGATGATGGATAAATAGGAGCGTTGCACCCTGCCATGTTACGGGCCACACTTTCCTGCCCTCGAACTTCATACCGTTTCTTCGCCAACCAACGAGCGCTCACTATCCTATCTGCGAGTTCGTCAAATAGCCTCTGCACCTGCTCGTCCTCCCACTCCTCTCGGCCAGCCCCATCATCTTCTCGCCTCCGCTTCCCATCCATCCCGGGCAGCCGCCACAACTAGTGCCAGCGCACCCCAAGCATGTAGAACTCGTCGAACTTGGTTCCGTCGTCTAATTCCCTGGCATAGTGAAGTTCCGCCACCTTGGTGCTGTGGCCTGCCATAAGGTCCATAACCTCGTTGTCCCCTTCCTCTTCCTCCTGATCCAATATGGCCAGCTGCTCAGCAGCAAACTCTCCCCGTAGGTACTTGCGACCAAATGCAATCGCAATGTATCGCCAAGTGGTAACCGTAATTGGTTGGCTGTAGCTGTGCTGGAGTGCCGCCTTGACGGCGCTAGTCATCTCTCTCCCAGATAGAAGGCGTGGGTTGTTGGTCGCAACTTCCTGAGAGAATATAAACTCGGTCTTTCCCGAGCCTTTGTTGCATTCCACTTCCAGACCCCCCGCCGAGTTCATGTACCGCAGGGTGAGTATCTCGTTGCGCCGCAGCGGGAGGCCGCCCGTGACGGGAGGTGTGCTGCCGCCAGGAGGAGTTTGAGAAATCTTGATACATCCCCCTGGTACCTCTTGACCCGGGCATGGTTCAGCGCCCCCTGTCGTATCCAGTCTGCCTGGTGAGCTTGGTCTCGCATCGCCCTGACGGTCAAGTATCTCTCCGCTTGAGCTACCCATTCCGAGTTGTCTGGGTGTTGGAGGGGATTTACGTGTACCGGGCACTTAAGTGGATGACGAAGGGCCCAGATTTCGATGGCGACATCACTACGGCGGCATGCACAGAGTATTCCCAAGAGTTTCCGGTCGATGACGGCGACGAGAGTTTGTCGGGGCTCTTCGATGCAGACTTTCTCGACCCCGCGCGGTTCCGTTGCGACAAACGCTCCAAAGAGGAACTCATGAAGCACCATGGCGACAGTGCACACGATGCCATCCTAAACCGCTTCCTCGGCTACTCAAGGGAAGACTGGCAACGTTCCATTACCCTACTCTGCTACCTGCGTATGTTCTGGAACAGGCCCTCCATTCACTATGACCCAAAGCGCAAGCAGGACTTTTTCCGCCAGTACTGGGCGGGGCGTGAGACTGGCGAAATGCTCCGGAAGGTGGAAGATCGCGAGAAGGAGGATACGGCCCAGCGTCAGGCTGACTTCCTGACCATGTACCGAGAGATCCAAAGCCAGGCTGGTGTAGTTGGCGAAATTGCGGACTCGTTGCTGGCCGTCCAGTCGAATAATCTGGATGCCCCAGCTGTTGGCGAGTTGCATAATGAACTGCTTCCCGAGGTAACTATCAAAATTCCTTATACTACTCGTCGTCAAGAGGCTGACGGATAGTATGGTAGAAAAAGCAGATCCGGCTTGCGGCTAATGAACACTACCTAGTCTGTGATAGCTACGGATTGGGTCAAGATGCAGGTTGACCTCTTTCGATGATCGCTTCTTCTGTATCTTAGTTTTGCATCTGGTCGCAGGTTTTGCTGTGGCAGACGATGCTGAGGCGTTGCTGCCATGAATTTCTTTTCTCTTTTGTTTCTTTTCCTTTCTCTTTCATTCCTTTTCTTTTCTCTATCTTTTCTTTTCTTTTCTCTTTCGCTTCTTTTCGTGTCTCTTTCGTTTCTCTTTCGTTTCTTTTCTTTTCTCTTTCGTTTCTTTTTCTTTCTCTTTCATTCCTTTTCTTTTCTCTATCGTTTTTCTTTTCTTTTCTCTATCGTTTCTTTTCTTTTCTCTTTCTCTTCTTTTCATTTCTCTTTCATTTCTCTTTCATTTTTATTTTACTTTAAAGTTTGGCTTTTTATTTTATTTTGCGGCAAACCGAGAAACGCAACACGGGACGACGAATATACAATGGAAGGAGCGCACCACAAAGCGCCCTCATCAACTGGCAGGCGCAACGGCCTCCATCCCCCGCCCTCTCCCCCAAACAAACAAACTCCCCTCACCATCTCCCAACATTATCCCTCCGCCTGCACCCCCGCCCTCTTCCTCCGCATAGCAACCAGCAGTTGACACCGTCCTTCATGGACAAGCACAACGGCATCCATTGGGTTGGTAGCCTTCTGTCCATGTTTTCGACCCGTCGATCAACCGTTACGAAACACTGACAGATGCATGGGACAGCCACGACCCAGCAATCGACCTGTTGTGGGACGAACTTGTCGCCGAGGTCAGCGACATCATGGGCCAGTCATTTCCCATCAAACACATGGTCAAGCCATCGGGACCTATGAAGGTCATTTGCCATATCCTGTGGCATTATCCGACATCCAACGCCAAAAAGACAGATTACGGACATGTGATGGACCGGTCGAACCTATCGCTCTTGGTGCAGGTGACCAAGATCGGTGTCCCGCAGACAGTGAGGACCACAGACCTCATACCCATGCGACATGAGGTGGTCCGTTCCGAAAAAAGTGTGGCTTAGGAGGACACCTTTGGGGAGCATTGGCCAAAGGTCCGAAAGCTATTCCTCGACTTCAACTATCATCTTCTACTGCAAGCTCCGGTCTCCCTTGTTGTTGGCAAGCATGCTGGCAAAGCTTTATCCGAGTTGCTCACCAAAGACCCACCACATATTGTCGAGACAGTGAGCCGCAAGGGCCTTGCTTCTAAGAACTCGCGACACGAGTTCCTCATTATCCGTTCCTCGGTAACTCGTCACATCCAACACTTGGTTTTCTTCACGACTCACGGAGCTTACGCTCTCTACGGCGCCTCAAATATGTCATCCGCGATTATTTCAGATGTGATCTGGAATGGTGTTGGTGTTCTCTCGGGCCTCGAGATCGAGAATACATCATGGTTCACGTGGCGAAGATCTCGGAGCAAGATGGCCGGGACAGACCCTTATGATGCTGCCATTGCCGTCGCGGGCTATCCGAGTCTCCAGAAGGCATGGGTTGCCCAAGCCGCCGCGGGTTATCCGAACCTCCAGAAGGCATGGGCTGCCAATGCCGCCGCGGGCCATTTAAATCTTCAGAAGGCATGGGCTGCCCAAGCCGCCGCGGGTTATCCGAACCTCCAGAAGGCATGGGCTGCCAATGCCGCCGCGGGTCATCCGAACCTGAAGAAGGCACAAGCTGCCAGTACCGCAGCGGGTTATCCTGGCCTGAAGAAGTCGCTCGCCGTCTAAGCCGCCGCGGGTATCCCAGCCTGAAGAAGGCACACGCCATCCAAGCCGCCACAGGTTAACCGAATCTCCAGAAGGTGCACGCTGCCAACGCCGCCGCGGGTTATCCGAACCTTCAGAAGGCACACCAATGCCGCCGCGGGTCATCCGAACCTTCAGAAGGTACAAGCTGCCAATGCCGCCGCGGGCTATCCAAACCTCCAGAAGGGACGGGCTGCCCAAGCCGCCGCGGGCCACCCAAACCTCCAGAAGGGACGGGCTACCCAAGCCTCCGTAGGTTACCTAAACCTCCAGAAGGGACGGGCTGCCAATGCTGTCGCGGGTCACCCGAATCTGAAGGAGGCAGTGGAGAAGAGAGCGAATGCCCTCAACGCTCACAGACGTGCTAAACTCAGCGCACTCCAAGGTACCGTGGAAGTTACACAGTTCCTAGCAAACGCAAAGGAGGGGACCAAGACATCACTCTACACCAAATGGGAACGGGTACAGAGCGGTGCTTTAACCTCAAAAGCCGCGGAACGCGAGACGTATCAAACGAGCGATATGGTATCACCCGATAGACGCACCGTTTGGCGTACGTTGGCAGGGCGACGGAGGACCACCATTCGACGAGGCTGAGGTGAAGAGCAAACCAAATCCCGCAATCTCGATCAAACCAGTGCAACGACTGCGTCGCGGCGGTCGATATGATGGATGCGTTTTGTTTGCTAGCCGAGTTGGATAGTTTGGAGCGCTTCGGGGTTCTTGCTGTGTGTAGAGTAGCAGCCTCTGCCAAAGGATGGTGGTATTTATCATGATGTCAATTTTGCGAGTCTCGGCGTTGAGCTTTGCTACACATGTTTTTTAAGGCTGGGGTAACGAAAGCATTAACCTCCACTATTATTAAATAATATCTGTTTCGAGCAATTACATTTCCCCATCCGTAGTTGTTACAGCCCAGCCCCCCAACCAGTGTTTGGGCGCAAGCCGGATCTGCTTCTCCCACTATACTGTCGGTCAGCCTCTTGATAGGGAATATGAACAGTTGGGTAGGGAGTTACCTCCCGGAGCCGGTCTCTTTCTTTTACCCGATTTTCTTTTTATTTAATACATTTACTCCCCCCCCCCCCTTTTCCTTTTCTTTCTTTTCTTTTTTTATTTAATATCTTTTGCTCGATTTCTTTTTCTTTATTTTCTTTTTACTTGCTTCCTTGCTTTCATTCCGAGTTCGGCCTTTTGGCTAGAAAGTGCTAGAAAGTAGAAAGTGCTAGGGCAGCAGCGGCCTTGAAGGCCTTCTCGAGGTTTAGGTATCCCACAGCGGCTTGAGCAACCCGAAGGCGTCTTGCGACCAATCTTTACTCGTGGGCGCCGTGCCGCATTGGAGAGATTGCAGGTAGCTTTCTTGGTGATGCGAGTGTTCTTGACGTTGAATGCGAATGTCTTGCGGTCGTCGCCCCCCAAACCCACCAGGTCGATGGCCTCTTCAAAATCGATATCCTGTGGTGGCAGGCCAGCCGTGGGGGTTGAAAGGGCGTATGAGAATGCGACGTCGGCGTCGGCACCTGTCTCCACACCCGCTGGTGTGTTGCTCCTTGTGGGTCGACCCGTGGCATCGTGAGTCGCCTGGAGGAATGATGGTGCAGTACCTCCGCAAGCCAGCGATGAAAGGGCTCGGAACAAATTCGTCGAGGCGAATGTTACGGCAAGGACTGTGCAAGGGGGCCACAGAATCGGGAATGATGGCCATATGTTGCTCAACAACACTGGGATCCCAGTCCTGAAAGTCGCTGTGGTCGTTCGCAGGCGTCTGCGAAATGTACGCACCATAGCGCTCCAGACGTGACTGGATTTTTACAGCCCGGGCCAGCTTGTCCGACACTAGTTTGATCGAGGTTGCGAGATTCGGTTTGCTCTTATAGGTAGGCACTGGTAATGAAGTTGAGGGGTGAACCATCCAACGTGAAACTCGACAATGACTCTCCATTACGTGCTCCATAACCCATGATGTATATATATTCCTCCAACGCCCGCACCCCGCCCTTTTAATCATTTCCCAACGCTAGCAATAAACACCGCCCCCTCCGCCCCAACAATTCATGCCCCATTCACCTCGCGCTGGGTAACTCATACGCATATGGACTCTGTGGGTCCATCTCGTGGGCGCCATGCCCCTCCGGCATCTCAGACAGAGCTGGGACGTACGGCGGCACACCGTGATATCCCTTTGGCTGTTCGTGGTACATGTCGGGATCCGACGGGGCGACCGCAAGGTGCTGGCGCCGATGCCTCCGCCAAAGGAAGAAAGCAGCGAGCGCCAACAGCCCAACCCCGAGCACCACTCCCACGGCAATCCCGGCAATGGCGCCCGGCGCCAGCCCGCTGGATTGCGCCGCCTCTCCGGACCCCGTCGTCGTGCCCGTCGGTGGCGCGGTCGAGGACGCCTCGGTCGCCGCGCTCTCGGTCTCGCTGCTGGTAGCCTGGGCGCGCACGATGTTGTAGCCGTTGATGGGCGGGGCGTAGACGGTGGCGGCGTCGTCCTGGACAACGGTCGAGGTGGACACATGTGTGAGCACCGTGGTGTCCACGACGGTGTCGGCGCCGTCCTCGCCCGTGGCGGTTGCCGAGCTGGTCAAGAAAGTGACGCTCACGTAGGCGATCGTCACGCCCGGGTCGGCGATCGACGAGCACTGGATGACGGACCGCTGGTTCTGCGGGAGGATCGCGCCGAGCGTGTATTTTCTGCCGGGTTTGCTTGTCAGTCGCTCGGTCTAGACGATCTTAGCCTGTTGGCGACGTACTTGGGGCAACAGTAAGTGTACTGCGCCTGCGACGCCGAGTTGCTCTCGAGGACGGTGCTGTGGACACCACTATATGCCTCCGGGCAGACAAAGGTCGGTCCCAGCGCCGTTGAGGGCCCCGAGTTGGAAGCCTGATCTTGATTCCACCACGGACGTTGTTGCGGGGGAAAACAGCTATCTGCGCCGGGGTCAAACCGCGTGTAGACGGGATCCCATCCCAACATCGTACCGGCGTTGACCTGGCGATGGATTCCTCCTTCGCCGCATCCTGCTAACGACGGATATGGTGTAGGGAGGGGTAGAAAGTTTACTTTCGTGCCAAATAAGGTCCCCGATGTTGTCTCGATGTCGGACATGGTGTGGCTCCTTGCTGCCCGGTTGTTTTTTTGTTTTTCTTGAATGAGCCAGGCCGTCACGGCAGGAGCAAGCTTGAAGAGTCTGGGCGCGCGTATGCTGCGCCGGGAAAGGATTGGTCAGCGTTGCCCCAGGGGTTATTCTCGCTGCCTTGAGGGCTGGCTCGCTACGGCCGAGTTATTTCTGGTCGGCAAATGGCTGGTGACAGGGGGACGGGCAACTCGACAAGGCTGAGAAACGAGTGGACAGAGACGAGAGGGAGAACCTCGAAAACTTCGATTTTGTAGACTTCGGGAAGTCATACCCTGGCAGTCAGTTAGTCTGGCCCTCGGCTTCGCTCAATCGGGAGCCAGAGGCGTTTGATCCGACAACCATCTCTTTGGCCACCATCCCTCATGTTCAAGGCTTTGAAACGCATCCTCAAGAGTGTGCATATGTGGGTCGGACCTGTCGCCGTTCGTCTTCTCTCGCAGGGCTGAGCCCAAGCCCGCGGCCGGTTTTGGAGCCATGACGAGGGAATGGGAGATGTGTTCATTTGTTCATCCTTGGTCACGAACGAGAAGGCGAAAAGGATAACCTGACTTGCAACCGTGAAACAGCAAAGTACTCAATCGATTCATCTCTGTCCCTCTAAAACGCTACCATGCACCTCAGAGTAAACAATAGCGGAAGGGAGATCAGGCAAACCACCCCATGTTCGAAAAGCCGCTGAAGACATGCCCGTTCCCAAGCCCAGCATCCACGGCAGCCGGACAAGAAATAACCAGGAATGGCCAGGTCCTTGTAGACAGACACTTTCGACACCCCAATGCGCCCTCCCCGGAACCGCGCTCGACTCCCGCGAGCACGAAGGCCGGGGGTAACCCCGAGAACACCGCGCAGATGGAAGCGATCCGACCAAAGAAAAAGAAACGAACTCCAACTCCCCGCCATGGATCCCTCCCACTAAAAACCCAGCAAAACGAAACACAGCCCACGCACCCAGAGGTATCGGATCCCACCCCAATGAACCATTTTATATCAGCAAGCAACCGCAATGACGATGATGGAATGTGACGCGTCGCACCAATGAAACACCACCGTGATGGAAGAACCAAGCAGAAAAGAAAAAGAAAAATAGAACAGTATCGCTCGCGTCCCATTGTCGGCAGATGCAGCAACACCGAGGCAAATAATGCCACGCCCCGGGGAGGTGATCTGGTTGAAGGCGAGGAGGAGAGAGAAAATAAGAACCCGTCTCGTGAAGAAGTGTAGAGAGATGGGATAAGAGTAGAGATGGGCGCGCCGGATGCAATGCCCATCTCCGTATGCGAAACCATCCAACCCCGATGAAATAAACTAGGCCGGTATGAAGAGAGAATAAAAAAAAACCACGATGCGATCCCTTTTGCCGATGGTGTGTAAAGCGCCGGTGCTGTATCAGTCCTCCCTTCCCAAGTCTTTTGCTGGTATACCCCAGATGTTCATGTGCCTGTGCTTGCCCCTAGTACGATGATGATCCCCCATATGTTGTGTGTTTTTGTTTTTTCTTCGCTGATGCGTGTTATTCTGGTCGTATCGTACCGCCATTAAAAACCGGGAGGGTGTCGTCGCGCAAGTCCTCGTGTACTGGTAAGGTGCCATGGCCCCCGTTCATGCGCTCGTCCGCTGCCGGAAAACAATTACCACCCTCAGTCCGGTCATCCACTGTTGGAAACCATGCCAACCTCTCCCAGAACTCCAACGCATCCCCTTCATGACCGTCAAGGGGATCCGTACCACTGATCGATGCAGCTTCTGGGACGATGATAATGATGCCAAACCGACGCAACGCCTCGGACACATGTCCCACTCACTCCGCCTCCCCCATATGACCTTGCGCCCTGCTTGTGCTCATCATGTATGTGCAAACCCGAGGTGAGATGCATAGCCGCGTGACCATGGCCCATTAAAGAGCCCCCGAAGCCAGAGTGCTCTTTCCCAAATCCCGAGGGGATCAAAAAAAGCAGACTCTAAGATTCTGATGCCCGCCGCGAAACCCAGTCAGAAGACCGACAAATGCAACAACCGAAAGACCCACAGAACATCGTAAACCCGGGAATCATTACGTACGTAACATGGTAAAAAAAGATAAAAAAAGAAAAGGGGGAAAAGGAAAGCATAAGAAGAATGCCTGGTCCGAGATCGTTACGCCGTTGAGCTGCTGCGCTTGAAGATGCCGCAGCATGCGAGCAATGCGCCGGAGCCGTTCCGTTCGCAGTGTCTTGGTTTGGGGAGGCGGAATCCAGGGCACGCCGGCGGAGTTGAGTAGGGAGACGACTGAACGATCTCGGCAAGTCGGAAGATGAAGACGATAAAAGATGACCACCATAACTCCTCGTTGAAACATCCAGGCTTCATTAATCATCGACCCATCATATAAGATGAGAAGGCCGAGGCAGTGCCAGCCATCGCAGGTCCGTTTCCGCTGTACATGCCGCCCCACGGGTTGCTGGGCCCGTTGGAGCCGGTGGGGGAGGCATACAGGTTCGCCGCGCCGGTGGCAAGCACAGACGACGCCGTGTACCCGCTACGGCTTGAGCCGAGGCCGGGAGGTGCGCTCAGACCTGGTGGAGGTCCGTTGGCGGTTGTGAATCCGCCGGCCGACCCGGAGTGGATTCCGTTCATGCTGCCCATGGCACCCGCGCCGTTCTGAGCCTGGTTCTGACCGGAACGGACACCGAGCGGGTTCTTGGAGAAGCTGAGGCGGATGCCGCCTTTGACGCTGTTGTGGAGCAACTGTCCGTAGAGCTCGTGAAGAGCCTTGGTCGCAAAAGTGACGTCCTCGAACTCGACGAAGCACATGGGTCCGTTCTGCTTGGTCCGGAAGCAGAGCCGCTTATATCCTCGTTGCCGCGAGAACAGGGCCTTGAGTTCCTCTTCCGAGGTGTCGAGAGGCAGATTGCCGACATATAGCGTGTTGCACGGCGGGTTTTGGTCGGCGGGGTTAGCCGGAGGGAAGTTGTTCATCCGGTGTGGCACTTGAGAGCTGTAGCCCGTTCCGGGTCCGCCCATTGTGGTCGGTGACATGGTATTTGACAACCCGGAGAGCGACCCCATGTTGCCGTGGCCGTAAAACGGCATCGGAGTGTGCGCGGCCACGGGGCTCGGGGAGGTATTCAGGGACAGGCCGGCCATGTGGGAGATGGGCAGCTGCGGCGCTGTCTGGCGGCGCTGCAGCCCGTTCTCAGCAAAGCCAACCGGATCATTGAGAAGTTCTTTAGTCTCGTCGTCTTCGGCGGAATCGATCAGCGACTTGCCCGTGATCTGAGCGCCATTGGCAAGGTGGTTTCCGATCGGCGACTGGGGCCCAAAGAGGTTCTGGTAGGACGGGCCGGTTTCGTGGGCAGCCAGGTCTCCTCCGTACATGGGGTTCATGGGAGGCGAGATCTTCTCCAGCGACTGGAACGTCCCGTTGAATCGCGATGTCTGCCTTGACGACGGGGCCGAAGGGGTCGCGGAGACGGCCCCGTTGGGTGCGCTCGTAGACATGTCATTGGGAAATCGGTTCCCTGACGTCGTGGGGCTTGCGCTGCCCAGGATCTCGACGACCATTTCGGCATCGTTCGAGATGTTGGACCTGCCATCGAGCATATTCTTGGCCTCCTGAGCGCCCGCCGGGCTTTTGAACTTGAGAACGGCGGATCGGAAGCCTGCATCGGCGGATTGCTCGGCGGGCAAAACCTCGACATCGACGAGGTCCTTGGAAAAAACCATCATTAAGCGCAGCGACTCCTCCGAGGTGTTGAGCGGGAGGTTCCGAATCAGGGCCGAAGAGAGCGTTGGGGGCGTCGCGGATAACGGTGTCCCCTGCGGCTTCTGGGCGTCGCGATCATAGGAATTGGCAGTCGGGTGAGACGGCGGATAGCCTGATTGAGCGGTGGCGGTAGGCCGGTAGGCCTGTGGTGGCGGGAGATATGCTGGGACGGCCATGGCAGTCTTTGTCGCGAGTGTGCTCGCGGGGAAGGGACTCGAGCGGTTCGGCGTCAGAGCGGCGTAAGAGCCGTTGGTGGACGCGCCGGAAGTTGCACTGGGCGGGCTGTAATCCCCGTTCATGCCTCGCGCAGTACAGCGTTGCGCGCGGCGAAGGAGAAGGTTCTGAATCGTCGAAGCGACGATCGCGCTGATCGAGTGAGGATAACGAGTGGAAACGCGCGGCGTTGCGCGACTCGAGTGGAGAAGCTGTCAGGTACCGCGAGGTAAATGAGAGGGCTGATGTGGTTTGTTGGAGTGGATTTGTCTTCGCTTGGGACGCGGTAGCGGATTCCAAGCCGAGTAAAAATAAAAAATGGCGACGGTGAGGGGCGCGCGCAATAGGACAGCGGGTGGAGGAGCGCGGTGCAGGTACAGATTACAGGAGCGCAAGGAGAGAGATGACGGGAAGGGAAAAAAAAGTTGGGGGTTGGAGGAGAGATCTGGTGTGGGATGGCCCGGGGGTGAGGGGGGCTTGCGCAGCAGGCGTGGAGGAAGAGCTGTCAGTGCTGCCACAGCGGGACTTGAGTTTTGGCGAGGGAGGAAACCGCTTGGGACGTTCCAGTCAATGGGAAGCTTTCCGGGGCACCTCATCGGGGTGGGTGAGTGGATGGTGGGTAAATTACAACCCCTTACAGTATTCGTACCGGTTGGCGCTAAGGAAAGGATCGGAAGTGTGTGGGACAGTGCAGCTTTCCAGAACCAAACTTTTGCACGTTGGCCAGACCCCCCTGGCCAAGATCGCGAGATGGACCAAAGGAAGATATTTACGGACGCTTTGAGGACTTACCTTTTGACATGGAACGGATTAATCAAGAGTGATGCGAGGTTGCTATATGGAACGGTAAGTGGAAACGGAGAAGTTGCGCGACGGAAGAGAAAAAAAACTAATTGAGACCTATGACGGGGGTTCACTCAGGTGCCATCATCCGGATGTATCCGGCGTCTTCGGATACTAGGCATATGGGGTAAGGTCAATGGGGAACGGCGCGGTTTAACAAGAAGACCACTTGGTATATAAAAGAGCGCGGCAGCGAGGTTTGGCTGAAGCAATAGGTAACTACCTACCACCATGGCAAGCTTGCCCACGATCGTACCTGAGCTTCCCACCCGCGCGGACACAAGCGTCGATCCAGGGACTCCCTCAGTGCCTCGATCTTGTTGGGTAGAGGCCTCGCTGGGGACTATATATTGAGATGATGCTCGAACTCGCTGCCGTATCGCGGCAAGTTCGGCCATCGATCAACATTTCGGGATCGGGAACTCGTCAGGCACTCGGTCGTGTCTCGTGTCTCAGAAAACTGAGGGAGATCCAGCCTCGAGCCAGCGCGCCAGCCAAGCACCTAAGCTCGAGCCAAACCAAACTTTTTGGAAGGGGTGGGTGGACTCGAAGAATACGCTAAACCGAAGACAGCAACACCCTTGCATCCAAGAATGGCGAAGTCTCGAAGGCGGGGCCCACCCCACAGCGTCCATCCACTCCGAGTGCACATCACATCAAGACTCTGATCTGAGCACGGTTGTTTGTCTGCGCAAGTCCACAGTACGAAGATGAGCAGATAATCTATCCATACTCCATACACAGTAAGTCTTCGCAAACACAAGCTCCGTCTTTCATCCCGTTTTTTTTTTTCCAACGCATTTCTCTCGAAAGAGTCTGTTCGGAGTTTATGCACGCAAATGAGGAGGAGGCTCACCGGTTCGGTCGACGCAACCCTTCGAAGGATTGGAGCTGTGATGAGAGATGCAGTTCATCCGGGCACTAACCAGCAATGCAACCCTGTGGTTGGATTACCATCAAACTGACCCCCGTCATTGTTTCGAGTCAACGTGCCTCGAAGCCCTGCAGGGCATTCGACCACGTCTGGTGCGAGCCGTTGAAAGGCTGCGATGGAAACGCCACATTCCGCCCGTGGTGGAGGGGCGGCACACCCTCGAGCCGAAAAGTCTTGCCGTCGATAACCACAAGCGCCGATGAATAGCTACATATATCGACGCGTGTATCGGTCCGGCAAAGTGGTGTGCTCGATAGCCCGCGACAGAGACCGGTGAGAGGTGAATTAGTTGCGCACCGGGGATTGTATCCACCGCCGGCCGCCACACCATCTCAGCCAGACGCGCAAGAAGAGGCATAGAGATTACACCGGCTGCATCCGACCCCAAAGACTTGGTGTCGAGAGGGAAATAACCATTGGCTTTGGTGGAACCTGCAGGAGGGGCAGGGCTCATGGTGCCGAGGCTCTCCTCCACAAGTAACCTGAAGGTGCCGTGGCCTCTCCGTCCGAAGGGGGCAACTGAGAGGCATCGTAAACCTCCTTTCCCTTGGTACGCGACACAGATTAACTTCGTACTCATGTTTGATGGCGTCGCAGTGACCCCAGAGAAAAAGGGGCTTGGCGGACACCCACACACGACGAGAACAGCCGAGCGTTTCGGTGCGCTCCCAGATGCCGTACATTGGCGATCTTGGCTGTTTCCAAGGCGATAACAGCCAACCTCCGCCCCAGCACGCCCAGGCACCGGCATCACCCACGCGGCAGCTCGACTCTCAGCGCCCTCCCGAGGCGCAGAGGTCTCCTAGCATCCGGGATACCACACAACTCACGCATCCGACGGTGGGCTTGGTACATCCAGTACTTGCCCCGGCGCATGGAGGATCGCTCGGTCCGGCCTGGAACCGGAATGGGGAAGGATGCTTGGTTAAGTGCGCAACCACTTCGGGCTCAGCTGCTTGAGACTCGTTGGGCGAAGGGGGCCCCGATTTGAAGGAGATAATTTGCGCCCGCGTGTCCTCGCTCTTTCCGGATCAAGCGCTGAAACAGGGCCGGCTCAATCGCGGCCTCAGGCCTTATCCTCCCAGCGAGAGATGGCCCGGAGCTCACGACTTGTCGAACAAGATCCCGCCGTCGCACACATACTGTGTGCATAGGGCTACGGGAAGAAACCGCCGACAGAGGCGCGCGCGCAACCTGCAATCGACAGCCGAGAGGCCATGCATGCAGCATCCACGATGCGAATTGCGGCCGCAGCCGTCGCACGCCTCGACTAGCCTCGTCTCCCGGAGCAAAGGCAGCGCTGTAGCATGGAGTACCACAGGGATGGGCTGTATCTGTTGTTCAACCCACCATCCGGCCTCCTGAATTCAAATCACCACGGCACTGTCCAACAGGAGACCCTATCTCGGTCACGCGCTGGTATTTCACGGGGGCTGCAGCGCGGAGGAAACGGTGAGTGGCTGGCTTGCGGTATCTGTCGCACAGGGAGGCGTTGCTCTGAGATATCGGAGCAAAGGCTGTTCGTCAGCAAAGCCCTGAAGGGGAGGCCGCATTCCGGGGGATTGTGGTCGGGACATTGAAGGTGACGACCGCCCTCACACAGAATCCCCTTCCAGCCTCGAAGCACACTCGGGACGCCTAGCCAACCAAGAGGGGCGCTATGCAGCTTCCCTCTGGGCTTCCCTCCACTCGCGCTTTCGTGACCCCCCTCCTGTTGGGCCCGGCAATTGCCAGCCTGCATAACCGTTCGGTCGGGCAACTGGAGCACCCCTGAAGCGGGAGCAGGAGCAATACCACACACTTGTCTGGACTCGATCAGGACGAGGCCAAGGGACGGGTAATCAAGTCCCCCCCCCCCCCCCCCCCCCCATTTCGTGGATGGGACTCGACTTCTGCCACACCAGCCCTACCATACACATACTTTGGTACTGCAGGCGCCCCAGCCCCCCAGACATCACGGAGCAGGCGCACACGCATGCCTCGACGGGCATGTTCCTCAGATCGGCCTGCCGCAGATCGCTTTTGATCTTCATTGCGCAGCGTGCAGACTTGCCGCATTGTTCCCTTGAACCGTCCATTTCACGGCGGCAGGACTTGCCGGGTACTGTTTCCTCGAACCCTGAAACGGCTGCAAGTCAAAGAAAAGTCGGCGCGCTCTGAAAGAAGAAAGCCCCTCGTGTCAATCAGAAGACCTCGAGGCGAGTTACGATGGGGAAGAGGTAGTTACCTAATTATTTACCGGTTTCCTCGCAGCCATTACAGCGGTGTTTTTGACAGACCGACTGTGCCCCACGCACCAGCTTTCGTACCAGCCCTCCACCACATGTCAAGCCAGTCACGTCTTCCATCTGGCATCGTCCCCCATTTTCACACTTTTTTTTCATGTCGGGCGAACGCGAGGAGCGGCAGGGAGGACTCCAACCCTGGCGAAAGCCTGGCTCCCTGTGCGGGGCGAGTGGGGGCTTCTTGGGGTCCCGGCGCATTGACTCCCTCCGGAACCTTGCGAGACAAGCTTCTGCAGATCTCCTGGCCTGGGCTCAGCTCTTGGCAAGGGTGCCCATGCCTCGCTCCACAGCATCTCGATCAATCAGAGGCCACAAAGCCATCTTGATTCCTCTCCTGGAGGGACAGAATTGTGGGGACACGCACGGCACGGTGCCAATTCGCTCTGCTGACAGACCGGACCAACTTTCTTTCTTTTCTGGTCAGGGAATGGCCATTCCGCCCGATGAGACGGGCCAACCACATGTTTGAAGCCAGAAGCATGGCTGCATGGTCACAACAAAGGCACGGAAGGCCATGACTTGCGTGTGCGGCAAGTCACATGTTCTCCACCACCATCGCCGCCCTTGCATTGATTGTTGTTTATCCTCGAAGCATCGAGTCCCCTTTGTTGACAAATAAATGGACTTGGCTCAAGGTTGATAAGGGACACCATTTGGTTGTTGTTTTGCTTTCGGGCCAGAATGTCACCCCGTGATCCCCCTGATCCGAGATAGGACGGAGATAACTCAGACAACGAGACACCAACAGATCACAAGAATAAGGGGTAAGGCAACAACGTGGAACAATGTGGGGGACGGGACGGGGAAAAAGAAACAAAGCAGGGACCGCGGGAAGACTGGCTCGGGGAGGAAGCAATACCGGCGAGGTTTGTGTAACAAAGGTGAGTACCGTATCCGTGACTAATCGTGGACGCGAAGGCGAGTTTGCAGACCCAAACCTCAACCCACTTTCCAACTCACAAGGGATTTGATGGCATTGGTAAGAAACTACCAATATTCCGGTTCTGCAACTGTTCAAGGCCTCGTAGACGATTAGGTAGATTCTCCATCAACCGGTTTAACATCGGAAAAAAGATCTTTGCTATCAAGTAAACCAAAAGAGGTACACCATATCTCCATTATCACAAACCGTCAAAGTTCACATCCCCTTGCGCCCAACCCATCGTCATAGCCGTCCACAAGTCATCCGGCACCTGCACACCACCAGGCTCCGGCGCGGCTGCTCCGGCCCCTTGCTCCGCTCCCTGCGCTCCAGCCGCAACAAAAGCACCGGCAGCAGCCAGGCCGTTGTTGAAGGTCTCGTCCCAGTACGGGTAGTACGGCTCCAGACTGCCGTCCATCATGGGGCACCCGTTGGTGGCCGAATCGTGCTGAACCGGCACCGCCCCTCCCGCCCTACCAGACGCCGGCGCCGGAACGGGGTGCGGCGGCGCTGCCGCCGCCAGAAGTGCCTCCACCTGCTGCTGCTGCTTCTGTTGTTCCTGCTGCTGTTGCTGTTCCTGCTGCTCCTGTTCCCGCCGCTGCCGCTCCAGTTTCACCAGCCGCCTCATAAACTTGCGCCGCACCATATCCAGCACGATCCTACTCGCGCTCAGCACATCCATACTCTTCGCCTGCCCCGCCGCCGCGCCCGGCCCGGGGCCAGCAGCAGCGGGGGGGGCCGCGGGAGCAGCCGCGGCAGCGGGAGCAGGCACCGCCATCGCCGCCACAACCTCCCCGCCATCCTCGCCACCACCCAAGCGGCAGAACCGACCGATATACTCCTCAAACCGCACCAGCCCGCGCGCCGCGCGGTCGTCCCACTCCGGGCAGACCAGCAGGGGAAAGGACATGCGGAAGCCGAGGATGATGGCGAGGATCAGGGCGCCCCACTCGACGCCGATGAAGGCGTTGAAGTCGCGGGGCGCGAGCCCCAGGAGGAAATCGTACAGCGCGTGCAGCGCGGGGACGACGGCGATGAGCCGCGCCGGGTCGGCGCGGAAGGCGGCGGTGCCGTCGAGGGCCGGGCCGAGTTTCACCGAGGGGAGCTTGAGTAGTGGTGCGCCGGAGAGGAAGACGCGCGTGAAGAGCACGGCGAGCCGGATGGAGGGGGTGGAGGCTACGGGCGGGGTCATGCGGGCTTCCCACTCGGTGAGCTGGGTTTCCATGCCTCGTAGCATGAGGCCGATTTGGTACTCGCTCTGGGAGCGCCCGCGCTGGGTGCGCCGGAGTTCGTTGGTTTCTTCGACGAGGCGCTCGAGGCGGGCCTGCCAGGCTAGGATGTGGTCGCCTTGGAGGGGGCTGTGGTGCTCGAGGAGGTCGCTGCAGCGGGCGGTGTATTCGGTGTAGCTGAGGGAGGAGGAACGGCCCCAGGTGGAAGCAGCGCTGGGGATTTGGTTAGTAGGGGGTTTGACGGTAGGGGTGAGGGGTGGGAGATATACGATGAGGCGAGGTAGTAGCTTGCAAGATACAGCCTGACCTGTTCGAGGCGTTCAGGGGTCATGGGGACGTCCATCGAGTCGGTGCCGGGGTCTTCGTCTAGTTCGAGGTCGCTGATGATGTCGACAACCATGCGGATATACTGCAACGACTGCTTGTTTTTGGGTCGGAGATGAAACGGGTACCTTCGACGTCAGCGCACGGAACCAAACCACCATTCCAAATGCGAACTCACCAAGCGATATAAATCACCAGGCCCTGAAGCAGCTCGATAGTCCTCTCACCCCCCGCCACGAACTTCAGCCCCAGAATCTTCCGAAACTCCTCATCATACAAACTGTGCCCCTGCAGCGTACTGCTGCCACTCGCAGCCGCCAGCACCGCCAACAGCACAAACGGCCGCTCCTTCGCCATACTCGCAACCGTCTCATCCGCCTTCAGCACCACACAATGAAAATGGCTCATCATGGCCTCCCTGAACGTATCCAGCAGCTTCCCCGCCGAATCGAGATTAAACTGCGGCTGCAGCCTCAAGCTGGCCAGCGTCCTCGGCCTGCCCTTGCCCCCCTCACCCTGCGACTGCGCCTGACCCCCAGACAACAACAGACCGTGCGGAGCCGGGACCGCGGCCGAGCTCGGCGGGGTCGACAGGGCCGACGCGCCGACGGGCAGGGAGGAGGCGTGGGAGAGGACGGAGCCGACGCCGGACACGGAGGCCTGGTCCTGGTCGAGCCAGTCGTAGTCGCCCATCTCGCGGTCCCCGTCGCCGTTTGCGTCGTTGTCGTGGTCGTAGTCGTAGTAGTCGTCCTCGCCCTCCGACACGTTGGGCACGAGCTGGTCGATCCCCTGCTCGTGGGTCAGGCGCAGCGCTTCCATCGAGTCGGCTATGTCGTCCTCGGCCGACATGGGGATGTCGATGGTGAAGGTCTTGGAGGGCCCCGGGGGAGGGGGGGTAGCGCGGTGGGGCGGGCGTGGAGGTGGTGGAGGTGGTGGAGGCTGTTTTGGGGTTGGGTCTTTTTGGTTGTGAGGAGGGGGTTATTTATTATTTGGGGGTTAAGGGGGGAGGGGAGATAAACGAGACAAACGAGGCCAAGGAATAAGATGGATGACCAAGTAAAGCAAAAAAAAAGGATGTTACCTTTTTGGCTGTCTTGGCCGTCGGGTTCGTGGGCCAGTCTTGAAAATACACTCCCGTTTGGAATCAAGACATCTGCTCAGGGCGAGGTAGGTCAGTGAGTGGTGATATGGGGGCTAAGAGTAGGAGAGCGCAAAGGGATAAAGGGAGAACAGGTTGCTACTGCTTTTAGTGGCTAAGAGTGGCGCAATCCCACTCCAGAACGGGGGCCCAGTCCGGCTCGCCTACAACTTACCTCTTGCAGATTCCCAACTGGGTGCTTGCCTGGCATTTGACCTTAGCGGCCCTACATGCCTCACAGGCGTTGGTGATGCGGGGAGCCCGTGGGGCCGAGGCCGGTTGGGGTCGAGCCTCTATCGTATCCATGCTCGGAACTTGTTTTCGGGAAGCCGGGGGATAAGGCAGGATGCCGCAATGAAAGGGGGAGTCGTCCCAGTGGTGGACTGGTGGTGGGATGGACTATGGGGCTATGCCTAACGATGATTACCGATCCAGAACGGGGGGTTCAGCTGAAGCCTTTGAGTTTGTCAGTTGCTCGTGTTCCTCGTGCGTCTTACTGAGCGACTTGCTTCTTCGTAATGTTAGTCTTCCGATGCGCCTCGGCGATTGAGAGATACGGGCCCGGACTGGGATCGAATGGAATTGCCGGGTGGGCCCGGCGGCGGAGGAGTGGAGAGGAGGGAGTCTTGGCCTCCGAAGTGTCACGGAAGATAAAAGATGACGGAGGTCAAGTGTGGAGACAATTCCCGTGTGCGAGCTTTGAATGCGGCCCGGTCTGCCGAATCCAGTGCCGGTGCATCAGCATGTAACATTGGGATTGCTTCCATCGACCACTAACCTTGTTTCCAAAAAAAGAAGAAAAGAGCGATAAGATATTAAGCTAGCTGACAAGCACGCTGGGCTCGTGGATCTAGTATGAGTTTCTCAGGGTCGATAGAATGAGTAGCTTAGTTCATATAGAGTAAGTAAGTTAAATTAGAAATAGTTAAGGAAAGGTTATTAGAAGAGATAATGAACTTTATATTAGTTGTTGTTACGAGGCTACCGGTAGTATACTGGGAGAAGGAGACACGGCTTGCGGCTAAACACTACCTAGGTAGTCTGTGATAGCTACGCATTGGAAAATCCGGTATAGTGTTGATTGAAACAGGTATTCTTTAGGTACGATAGGGGTTGGTTAATTTCGAGACTAGTGTAGTGAAGCCTATCATCATATATTCGAGCTTATATTGAAACATTGAAAAGAATTACCCCCTCCCTATTCGCTTGGTCCGCATAGAGTAAGTTAAATAGTTAAATAAATGCTACATACCTCCCTTCCCCTCCCCTCTCAGACCCCCAAGCACCCCTCCTCAGCGCACCTCACAACCTGACAGAGCGCCTTCATTAACACCGGCTCAACAACCTGAACCTCCGCCCCCTCCGCACACCCACCGTGACCCATCTCCCCCCCAAACAAACTCCCCTCTCCATCCCCCAACGCCACCTCCCCCTCCCGCCGCATAGCCGCAACCAACAAGTTAACACACCGACCCAGTCCCGCAAGCAACACCTCCCCAGCGACCGCCGCCGGCCCGCTGCCACCCTCCTGGCACACACCGCCACCACCAGCACCATGAGCCCCATAACCCGTCCCCCCGCGCGAAAACCCACTACTACTCCCACCCGTGCCACTCCGCGCGCGGCTGTTGTTCGTCATACTCCGCACCAACCCGGACCCAAACCCCGAACCACCACCACCACCACCACCCCCACTGGCCGTGGGAACAAACAGCTCACTCAAAGCGTTCCTGTCCCGCCGGCCGGCACGGCTCAACACCCTACGCCGCGACGACGACGCCGACGACGACAACGACAACGATGACAACGACATCGACAACGACGAAGACGACGGTGGCGGTGGTGCGGCGCGGAGAGCGGCTGCTGCGGCGGCGGCTGAGACGGGGTCGTTCATGCCGAGGAGGCTGGCGGCTTTGTGGGGGATGGTGAGGTCCTTTCTGGCGGTGGCGGGGTCTTGGGATGGGGATGGGGAGGGGGTTGGTTTGGGGTTGGGTTTGAAGGCTGGGGTGGGGGTGAGGGTTGAGGTTATGGTTGAGGTTGAGGTTGAGGTTATGGTTGGGATGGGGGTGGGGAAGAGGCTGGTGAGGTAGTTGTGGGCGAGCAGGTGGGCGTAGAGGGCGTCGCAGAGGTGGTCGGGGGCGGAGGGGAAGATGTTTCTGAGGGCTGCCCAGGCCGGGGCTGGCGGGGTCGGTGCGGCGAGGCTGAGGTTGGACATCCCGAGGGATGGGGGTTGGGTGGTTCCGGGGAGGGAGTAGGTGTGTGTGGGCTGGAGGTGGTGTTTGCTGCTGCTGCTGCGGCGGGATTGGCCTAGCCAGCTCATGTTCCACCGTTTTGACGGTCTTAGGCTGTGGGAGGCTCGCGAGTAGATGGAATCGCTTTCGGGGTTCCCCAGGTGGCGGTCCAGGTCTGCGCGGTGCTTGACCTTTTTAGAGTAAGCGCGCATGGTCTCGATGGAGAGGCTCGAAGTGAGGAGCATAGTCTCCGGGAAGCAGGATATCGATACCCGGAGGGACTCTATGACCTCCGGGGGCAGTGGAATGCCATGTGCGCTTGATGTATACGGCGTGCTTCTCTGGGGCGAGGCGAGCGTTTCAGCGCTGGCCTCGACCCAACGGCGGAGATCAGGAAGTGACGGCTTTCCCGTAAGCGCTTTTTGGTATGCCCTAGCGCTTGGTTCGTCGCCGTCGTCGAGAATCTCATTCTCACGAATCGCCATTGAGGACGATGGCCGAGCATGGAGACGGTGCCGGGCCTGGTCTCTGCTGGCAAACGCTATCGGAGGCGGCGCGGATGCGTCGATGACGATTCGGCCGTTAGCCGTCTCGATTATTGGTACAGTAAACTGAATGTCCTCCTTTGGAATGCCGCCGCCCTGTCCGAGCTCCTCAGTTACCCTAGCTGGGACTGCCACCCCTCGGGATTGCGATGTTACCGAGAGTGGCTCTGTGCGATAACGGTCCCATTCCAGTGACGAGGTCCGTTTCGGGCCCCTGGCCACGGGTGAAATCTCGACGATGCGCGCCTTTTCGAGATGTGGTTGGTTTGGGGGCGTGTGCGGCCGTGAGCGAGTACCACGGCAGCTACCGGGAAAGTGGACTTCGGCGGTAGCTTGAGCGGGCCCGGTTCGATCAACCGTTGGTTTTGACGGTTCAATCATGTCTCCGTAATTGCCGGGATCCAAGACAGGTTGATGCGTATCAGAAAGTGAAGTTCTTGCTGTAAATACCGAGCTTGCTGGTCCATCTTGCGGAGAGTCTGGGTCATCTTCGTACCAAGTGCCGTGTGAACTGCCCTCTCTGTTTGAGGAATAGGAGAGCGCGGGGAAGGTTGGTGAGTGTGTGTTGTGTGAAAAAACCGAGGAACAGCGACCGGAATCTGACGTGGCGGCAGTGGCAACAGATTGTTGCCGCGTGATGGTTAAGTGAGGCACCATTGCTGTTGAAGGGACATTGGATGAATTCAGGTATCTGTTCTTGATCCCAAGTCGTCCGTCGCTGTCAAGATCCTCAACATACAACCCTGCTTCCTCCTCCACAAAGGAGGGCAGCAAAGTTGTGCTCATGCTGGGGGGCTGCTGCTGGTGACCTGCGCGGTACGGAAGAAGCGACCGTTGGAAGGAGGCGCTCGCACCCGAATCCGGCGCCGCAAGGTCCGCAAAGGGACGACCGGCGGTCATAGCTTTCGACATGAATATGCTTTCCGAGATCGTAAGGTCTCCTGCAAGCAGCTCTAGAAAGTTGCAGTCGACAGTGAGCTTGCTAGCATCCAACTCACAACTGGAAGAGTACGATGACCTCGTGCTCGAGCCAGTCGGCCAGGCGGGTGAGGATAACATCAGGGATCAGGGTCCTTTGGGAGGACTCGATTCAGATCGGCTGTGGCGTGTTATCCCTGCGCAGATCGTGTGAGAGCTCTGTTCTGTGCCGTATGCGAGAAACAAAACACTGTGTAACCGAGGATCCGGGACAGCGATCCCGAGCGAGGCGTTGGGAACGGTGGACAATGCCTTTCTGCCAGTTTGACGATGAGGGCGTGGCATGATGGGGAACCGGAGGCATCATCAACTGGGAAGACGGGGGCGTATAAGTCTCACTCCTTCCTGGCTTCTTATCAAGTAAACAGCAGGGGATATCAGAGGACACGACGGAGTGCGATATGCCGTGACACCCAAGCCCGTCGCCGCTGTCATTCGGAAAGGGAGGGTGGCCGCGCTGCTCAGCAGTCCGTGCCCGTGTACAGCGCAAACAGGGCACTAAGAAACAAGAAGAGTGACCGAGACAAGTCAATCAAAAAGTTGGCTGCTGGCTGGCCGTGCATTGAACAGGGAGCGAGAAGGCAACCAGATCACCGCGTTCCAAGATTTGGTGGTGCGCCATGCAGTGAGCAAACGCAAGAGGCATCCTTCCAGGTTGGCACACCACCTGGGCACTCTCATGGCTGGATATATGCTGCAAACTGCAGGCAACTGAGCCACCATATTCTGTGTACATAGCCTGAGTAGTGCAGCGAGGTAAATAGGTACCTGGCTGGTCCGAATGCTGTCCGGCCCAACGCTGTTTCGTGGCGGCTGGACCTCGTGTTGAGAGGGCGAGTGATCAGAGACGACGGATAGGTGCAGATGCCGCAAGGGACACAAACTCAAGTCACCTACAGATGAACCCCTGTCTTAGGTCCCGAATTTCAGCGGGATCAAGCCATCTGCCGTCCTGTCGGGTAGGAGTTCATGGCCGAATAAATAAACAAACAGAAAGGCGTGCCTGATGAGAGACAACCATCGCTCGAGCCCTCTCTGGCACCAAGGAACAACAATCAAGATCGCCCAGCCGAATCCGAGATACGATCCGAACCTGTTTCCGGGGGAGAGCTGAGCGCTGCAGCAAGCCGGGACTTTAACCATTTACCGCGATTACCCGTGCAGTGGTTCCCGGGGGGAGGTGCATCTTGCATCCCGCTATCGTTGTCGGCAACCACGAAAGTCTGGTGTTGACTGCCCGGAACCCAGGAGCTGGAATGGCCCCACAGGAAGCAAAAAAGGAAAAAAAGAAACATCCATGCAAATGAGGGGAATGCATTTCGGGTCTGATGGTGGCTGATGGCGCCTGTGGTTACAGAGGGCACAGTATGAAAGAGACTCAACGTCCAACAATGGTTCGAGAACGGCAGGGAAAATGTGAGATGTTGGTGAAGCATGCAGGCGGGGGATTGGGAACGGCCTGCAGGGATAGAAGGAGCCAACATGCGGGCCGGGAAGTCGCCTTGCGGCTGAAATTCGATGTGACTGCTCACTGCTCCTCAAGACACTGGACCCACTCTAAACGTCAAAGCTTCTGTGCAACCAATCATGGGCAACGGCTCGAAGGAAAAAGGAAAGTGCCCCCTACTTTTTTCACCAAAATTTCGATGAATGCAGGAAGCAGCAGCTGCGACCTGACACAACAACTCAATTTTCCACCCAGACTCATTGACCAGTGACGCGGCTTTCGGCATTCCGTCTTCGGCTTACTGAGTGTGTTCCCTTGCATGTTTCAACCCGCACAGGGCCTTGTTTCTGTCTCACCACGACACCAACGCAGTGAAACCATCTCCCTCCATCGGCCGGAATTCAAACTGGGGGCCGGCCGCTTTTAGCGTCACTTAGGGAAAAAAAAAGGCACGGGAATTCGGGGCTGGTTGTGTTCCACTCATTGAATCACCTGGTCAAGTCGGTTGGGTTACCGAGGGAGGGAGGCAGAGAAAGAATTTTGAGAATTCCTGGCGAAGTCGACGAGACAACAATTATGCTTTCTGAGGAATTCGTCTCGGCGATATGTGGGGCTCCGCTCTCTTCCAACACAGCCATCGCAAAAGACGTTGGCATTTACTGCCACACACTCAGCCCCACATACTCAGTCAAGTCGACCTTCAAGAAGAGTTCAGTTCCAGTGAACTGCCTTGCCATCAGCGAGTCCCACGTCTTCACCGCTCAGCATGAGAAAGCCTACGTCCATGTCTACTCCAGACTCCGGGGGAACCAAGAGGCGTTTGTGGCCTTCCCGGAGAGGATACGATGTCTGACGCTGGTCGGCGATGTCCTCGTTATGGGCACCATGGAGGGCAGGTTGATGCTCTGGGAGGTGAGATATGGATAGCCAAGTCAGGAACTTGAGAGTGCTTTGGTTGCTAACGTTCATTTGTCATAGACATGCACTGGCCGGCTAGTGTCAACTCCGGCGCGCCACGTCCAGGCAGTCTCCTGCGTGGCTGCCACACCCTACCACGTTCTCACGGGGTCCGACGACTCGGATATCCACGTGTGGTCGCTGCCCCAGCTGCTTGAGCTGGATTCTGCCGCCGAGCACGAGCCGCAACGGAGTCTCTCCAACCACAGAGCCGCCATCGTCGGCCTTTCCGTGAGCTCCAGTGTCAGCAGCGACACAAACTTTTGTGTTTCTGCGAGCAAGGATAAGTCATGCATCATTTGGAACTACCAGACTGGCGATGCTTTGCGGACGCTTCTCTTCCCCAGCTTTCCCCTGTGTCTGTCCCTTGACCCGTCTTCTAGGGCCGTCTGTGTCTCCTGCGAGGACGGGTCGCTCTATTTGACCGAAGCGTTTGCCGAGAAGCCTCTCTTGGGGCCAGGATCCGAAGAGGCTACCACGGTCGTGCAGGTTTCCTCGCCCTTCGGTGCCACACTGCCGGACGTGGGGCCGGCTTCCTGCCTGAGCCTGAGTTACGACGGCACGATGCTGCTCACCGGGCACCCCAAGGGCCAAATAATGCGATGGGACATTGCGGAAAATAAGTCGCCCGTCGAATTGGCCAACCTCAACGCCGCCGTCACCAATATCGGCTTTGTTTCGCCGTTCCCAATGGACAAGCCTACCAAGACGGTGAACATCATCAAACCGTCACAAGCCGAGCGCGCGTACACTTTCGCCGCTCAATTCGACTCATATTCCGGGTCGGAAACTAGGTTCGATTCGCTGCTCAACGCTGCGGGCTTTCCGCGGGAGGCTATGGAGAACGCCATAGCGGCGTTCAGTCAGCCCGTTGCCGAACCTGCTAGCAACCAAGTCTTGCAGAAGCAAAATGAAGAGCTGTGGGATATCATAAACGAGCAGAGAGCACTACAAAAACAGACGCTCCAGCGTTTTGCCGAGACCAAGTCCAACCAGTGAGATGTTGGTCATGTTTGCAATCTCGTCAGGCACAGAATACAGTTCAGGGCGGCTTATTGTTTGTATACCCAATAGAGTTCTAGATACTGGAAATGTTGCACAAATTTTCTAATCCCATGATGTTCCAAGGCGACTATTAGCCCATGTCACGTCGCGGTTATACTCGGCGGTATGCAAGGAAAACCGCCTTGTCTTTTCACGTGCCTCATCCTCTGACCAAATGGATATCTGGATGTTAATTGCCGATGATGCCACACGTGGTGCACAACAGTTTGATGTCACACGGAGTCGGCATCACTAACACGGGGTAGTGGTTGTTGTTTGACAGGTAGCCAAGTTAAGTCCCAGGATGTATCGGACTACCCCTCGGATGTTGTTCAGGTTGCCAGCTCGAGAACGGATCTTAACATCAAACGCTTGGATGGCACAAAGTACCCCTCAGATCGCCCTCCTGTTTTATCCTGTGCCACAATAAGCCGAGGTTGTACGAAGAACTGGAATCTTTTGACATATGCCATGCAGGAGTTAGGGGCCGGACCGCCCCGGTGACACTTTTAAATCACCGCTTCGTTGGCCGCTGAAATGAGTAGGTAGTATATGATGCTAAAAAGCAAAATAATCTACTAAGCCAGCCAAGTCTATACACAACAATCCCGTCTAACTTACAATGCTCTATGAACCCCTGATGTCTCTAAGCCCAACCAACCCCTGACTGCATGTCTCTCCGTGAACACCGATCCCCTGATGCATCACTTCTCACTTCTTGAACCGAACATGCCCAGGCTGCCCCACCTGCCCCCTCTCCGCTAAATCAGCCGGATTCCCCCCTCCGCGCATCCCACTCGGGCCAGCCGCCGCCCTCCCCTCTCTCGGGTCCACGACGGCCGCAGTAGCGCCCCCATTATCCCGCCTCGGCCGCCCCCGACCACCCTGCAAAGCAACAACAGAAGGAGGAAGGCCACCCCTACCATTCCCATTCCCATTCCCGCCACCAGCAGCACCACCCTTCTTATCAGCACCATCAGCCGCCACCCCGACCTCGACGCCGTTGACGACGAGCTTCTTGGCACTGGCGTTGCTGAGCGCCAGCATCCCCGCCGTCACCAGCAGCAGCGTCATCATGATTAGGGAGCCCGTCTGGGTCATGTTGCCCGACAGCGCCGCCACCAGGTACACGATCAGCTTGGCGATGGCCTCGAGGTAACCCTCCACCTGCGTCTTGCGCCGGAGCCTTTGTGCGGGGTTAGATGACCTGAAACCTTTCCGTGTAACCCCCCCAAAAAGGGGGAGCCGGTGATACTAGGAGGGGGCGGGGGGGGGGGGGGGGGGGGTTACATACCAGCTACGGGCGGTGATATCACGAATATCGGCCGCCTTACCACGCAGACGGACCAGGGTACGGTGTTCAGCATCATTGAGACGGACGAGGAACTGGGAGATGCGCTGGCGCGTGGCAGAGATGGAGAGGCGGCGGTGCCGCTCCGGGCCGTTGCCCGCCGCCGCCGCCGCCGGCCCCTGCCCCTGCCCCGGCCCGCGCCCGCTGCTGCGTGTCGTCGACTGTGACCGTGATGACCCCTTGCCGCTGTCGGGGGATGCTCTCTGGCCGTCCTTGCTGTTGTTGTTGGACTCGGCCGCCCGCTGCTTGATCACCCAGATGTTGAGGAGGCGCGAGACCATGAGGGCGAAGATCAGGATGAGTGCCCACCCTGCCTGTGTGTTAGGTATGTACCAGTTGTGGTTGGGGGGAGGGGATGGGGTGATGGGGGGGCTTACAGTCTTTGAATATGACGATGAAGACGATGGCGGCGAGGGTGAGGATGGGGCCGGCCAGGTAGAGCGCGTGAGAAACCATTCCTCTGCCCGGTGGCTTACCCTCCTTCCACGCGGTGGCTTCGTCCCCGCTCTCGGACCGGTGCAGCTTGTACCGCCCCCGGCCTTCTATGGCACGACCGACGTCGAGAGTTACCGTCTCGCCGGGCTTGGCCACGCTTTGGATGTATGTGGCGGTGGCAGCGTTGTTGAGCTTGAAGGTCACGGCAGAGCCCTCGAACTCGTCGACAACATCGACAACAGATGCGGCGCCGCCGCCCCTGCGGAACAGGTCATCAGCGGCTTGTTGGTAGTGAATCCCCGGGGCTAGCAGTAGAATGTCTATCCAACTGGCCCCGCCCGTGATGACCGTCCGTTCGGCAATACCATGCAGGTCGGCAAGCGCAAGGACACCTGAGACAGAGAGTGTGAGAGTAGCGAAAGGCTTCTGATTCCAGCCCTCAATGAAAGACATAACGATCTAATGTGTGAGGAGGATCAACCTCACTCTGTTCCAGCCCTCGATGGGCAACTAAAGGAGTGACTTGGGCACGGTACCAGCCGTGCCGTTATAATTCGAGTAAGTGAAGGAATGACAGACCGCTGACAGCGTAAGGATAGTCTGGGATAGATAGATAGGTATGTATGGTATGTACACGGGGGTCGAAAAGGAGAGTGACCGTGTGGGAGACGACCCCTTTCCTTCGACGACCACCATGGCGGAATAGCCCTGTACCTTAAATGCTTCCATTTCGAAATCCGCGCGAGTAGAGAAAGTCAGAAATCCCTCTGACGTGCCTAGGCCTAGAAACCGGGCTCATTGTGACACAGGGGTTTAAGAGGCCGGCCATAGTTTCAAGGCCGATGGCCATATTTTAGGCCTCGTGGTGGATAACAAATTATAGTGCGATCCCCACAGAGGTCTGTTAGTGGCCTGGCCGAAACAGCCCAAAGGGTTGAAAAATATTAGGTTGAAAGTGCGGCACAGTCCCGCCCGCCGCATCGAGAGATCCAATGTCGTGGGGGTACAGGCGCACGGGGGGTTGAGATGGTCCAAGCTTCCTTCAATGCGGGGCTGCCAAGACAGCTCATGAGTGGATGCAAGGACCTGAGCTTGAATCGTGGGTCCCGCTTTTTCAGACGTCGACCTTGAATCTCTCGTCATCGACCACGTCCCGCTCAAAAGCGGCCTGCACCCCAGGCACCAACAATTGCCGTCGACACAGGAGGCAGTAACGTTAGCTCATTACTCGTGGAGTTTAATGGAGATGCGCTAGGTTTCAGCGCCAAACGCCCACTGTCCATTGGGACCATTGGCACAACCCTGGATCGACCAAGCTGCAAATCTCAACGACCTCGACCATGATTCGTCGCCTCCTTCTCCTGCGCCTCGCGGGGTCTGGGAGGCTCCTACGCACATTCGCCCACAGCACCGCTCCCCGCGCCGCCGCCCGCAACGAATTCCGTGGCCGGCCACAGCTCCCCTTCCTCTCCGTTACCTCCACCCGTGGTGGACGAGTTCGCTATCTCACAACCGAACGAAAGGCTCAGCTCAAGTACGAGATCAAGACCGGCATTAAATACACGGGTTACATCTGGATCGCTGGATTCGCCCTACTTGGTTCCTGGTTCGCCATCGTCCAGGAGCGCCTCGAGCGCAGGTATCCCACGCCGCACGAATGGAGCTACCGAACACGCATGGACTTCCGTGGTGGCAACTGCGCGAGGTTCGAACCGTCCCCGGGCAAAATCACAGACTGGCTCCAGGTGGCGTGGTGGTTTGAGACGACCGTGAAGCGGCTGCAAGACCCCACCATCGACGGGAAAGATGTGAAGGACGCCCCACACGACCTGCCACCGGGTACGAAAGATGTCACGGAGAAGTCGGAGGAGTGGAGGAGAGGGTATTATGAAGCAATGATGGGATATGCCAAAGCGGCCGAGTACGTGGAAGGCTGGGTGCTGGATAAGTCGAGGAACATTGTGTTCCCCGCAGGAACCATGATCGGGCCGTCGAATCCCTACCCCAAGCCCCTCCCCGCCGGCTTCAAGGGCGCGCCCAGAGAGGAAGACTGCGAGCTGCGGTTCGAGTCGCCCGACGACATCTACCTCCAGATCCTCCATACACCAGGGTTCACAACCCGGCAGAAGATCGAAGCCGGCCTGGCGTACGGTTCCTGGCTCGACTACAAGGGCGTCAGCGGCCCCGCAAGCATCATCTTCGAGGACGCAGTGCAACTCGCCGCCACCGAACGGCACGACCTCCCCGCCGAGCCTCTCAACACCAAAACCTGGACCCTCAACGACGCCGCCGGCCCCCCGTCAGAAAACCTGCTCAACTCCCTCACAGCATACGCCACATTCCGCGCCCGCCAGGGCGCCCTCAACTCGGCTCTCCCCATCCTCGTCTCCATCCTCAAAGCCCGCCGCAGCCTTCCCGCATCCACCTCCATCCCAACCCGTACCTCCCTCTCCGCCGCCCTCAACCACAACAAACCCACCCAACCCCAACCCACCCAAAACGGCAGCAGCAAACCCCAACAAAAACCCACCATCTACTCCAAACTAACCCACCTCCTCGCCCCACCCCCTTACCCACCCCCGCCACCAGACGGCACCGCCCCCCCGACGCGCGACGCGCTCGACCTCTGCCAGGAAGCCGCGCTGTCCCTGCACATCGGCGAGATCATGTACACGACCTCCCCGACCGGCCGCGAGGAAGGGCTCGGCTGGACGCGCGAGGCCGTCGACGTCGCCGAGGAGCAGCTGCACCAGCTGCCGCAGACGGTCGACCCGGACAGCCCCGCGCGCGCCGCCTGCAAGGAGTGTCTTGCGACGGGGCTGGGGAACTGGGCGGCGATGGTTGCGCGGTTGGCGAAGGAGGAGGAGAAGAGGAAGGCTGCGTCTGCTGATGGGGGGAGGAAGATTGCTGGGAGTGGTGGTGGGGGGTGGTTTGGTGGGTTGTGGGGGGAGGGGGTGGTGGCCAAGGTGGAGGATGTGGATCGCTGGGCGGCGGAGGAGAAGGTTATTGAGGAGAGGCAGCGGAGGGTGAGGGAGTTGTTGGAGGATTTGAAGCCGCCGCCGAGAGGCATTTTGTCGTTTTTGCAGGCTTGATTGACGCTGGTTAGCTTGGTGTGTTTGTTCGTGGTGGTGGGGTGGTGGCTGGGAGCTTGTATAAATTGTTGGACGAATGTATGGATATGGATGGGTGGTTGTGTTCGTTCAGTGTCGTATTTGTATTGTACAACACGCTCATCCGTCGAGCAACGTGGGACGGGCAGGCTGGCAGGGTCAGATTAACAGTATCTCACAGGGCGGGAGACAGAGGGGGGGATAAGCTCAAAATTGAGGAGGCTGTACTGGCTATGTGGTATGTGGAATCCCCAATACCTCGCGCCAATTGCCTCAAGAGTGCTAAAGCTCTAATCTAAATCAAGTCCAATGAACCGAGCGCCTTCGCGTGAAAGAGGAAGTGGTGCTCTCTTGCCTTCCTAGTGGGTGGCCGTGAGATCCTTCATCTCTGTCACCAGCTCCTTCATGTCCTCGGCGTTGGGCCCCTCGCTGGTCGGGGGAAACGGAGTCTTGTCGTCGCTATGAATGTTGACTCCGCCCACGCCCGCCACGTCATTCTCCTTCGCGGGAACCACTTTGCTGTCGGTCGAAGTGCTGGGACCGGTGGCCTTGTTGCTAGTGCCCTTAGCCGGCGCAGCATCCTTCTTGACTTGGGTGGTCTGGTTGACCTTACCGTTCTCGGTGTGCGACTCGCCGCCAGTACCATCGTCTTTGCCATCTGCGACCTTGGTATTCTTTGCCTGGCCCTCGGCTTCGCCGTCGTTATTGCTATCCGCCTGGGGCGCACCCCACCACGACGAATTACCCTCGGTCACGATGCCGCCGCCATCCTCGCCGAAGATATCTATGATATCGTTTTTGTATGCCTCGCCTTCCATAGCGACCTGCTGCATCCACTTGAGCACCGCCGACTGCGCCTCGACAGGTATTGTTTCGGTGACTTGGGCTTTGCCGGCGCTGAAGACCGGGCAGCCAAACGAGGTGAAGCCAGCTGCGCCAGGGTTGCCGTTGGGGCCGGCGATGGGGTTGTCGAGGGGCGTGTGGTGGATCATGTACGCGCGGCCGCGCTGGCCAGGTCAGTATCTTCCGTTACAGGCAAACAACTGGGGGAAACCGCCGACATACCTCCCTCATGAACCGCTTGAACCCCTCGCACTTGAACTCCTTGGAGCTGTAGTAGCCGCCCAGGATCGCGAGGCAGCCCATCCGGCCCCCAATCTTCCCCCACACCTTGTCATCGTTCAGATACCTCTCCACCTCATCCGCAGTATCGCCCACGGCAATGACATCAAGCTTCGCATCACCATTCACCAACCCGCCATCCATCAACGCCTCAAAAACCGCCCGCACATGCTCCGCAACCGTCCTATGTCCAGGCACCTCATTCACCTTCGGATCATGATACCGACCCAAGTGCACGGCGCTCGCCATCGGCACTCTATGCCGCTGGACGGGAGTGAGACCGCGCGCGCCCTCGGGCCACCACCACAGCTCGCCGGCGTTGGCGAGCACGAAGCCCGGCGGCGACGTCTTGCCCATCACCGCGTCGGCCAGCCCCACCGCCGACCCCCGCGCCACCCCGCCCCGGCCCCCGATCACGCGGTGCGCGAGCACCCCGAGCGACTGGCTCGACTCGTGGAAGAACACCACGACGCGCGATGCGCCGGCTAGGTTGGGAGTCGTGCGGATGGGCACGTGGGGTTGGGTGGGGGGTGTGCCCAACGGGAGGGGGATTGTGGTGAAGTTGTGGGCGTCTAGGCGCTTGTGGATCTCCTTGCGGACGGCTTCTGAGAGGGGGGTTAGCTTTTTGGCGGGGGTGGGGTGGGTGGTGGTTGACTGACCGTTGAAGGCGAAGCGCTGGCGCTCGTTCCAGCGCTCGTTCTTGGTGAGGAAGTACTTGAAGTAGTAGTCGGGGTCTTCGATGGAGCGGATCTCGTCGATGTCGTTGATGAAATATCTTGGGAGGGGCGCATGTGTTAGTACGGAATGAGAGCGACTACCCGGGTGCTAGCAGCGGAGGTGGGAAAAGACGTACCCAAGCTCCTTGAGATCCGATGCGAAGATCGGGTCTGCCGGGAGGCCCGACCAGCGACGGCGAAACATGGTTAGTCGGTTTCGTGATGGCGAATGTGCGACTCTTGTTAGACGAGAAGCGAGTTGTGGTTTTGAGAATGGAAGACTGCAAAAATGGAAGGGTGGAACGGGAAAGGGCGGAAGAGTGAGAGAGTAGAAGAGCGGGAGGTACCCAATGGAGGTATGGGGGCCTTTGGGTGGAGATAATAGGAATCTAATAAAATGGTTCAGGATCGCTTAATGTCATTGTACGGAAGGGGCAGGAAGGAGGGAAGGTCGGTCGGTTGCAGGGAAAGGGGACAAAATCAACAACGTCCTAAAAGCCCGGGACGGTTTGGGCCTCAGCAAACCAGCAATCGAGCCAGTTTTCCTGGGAAATAAGAGGATTTGCGTATTTGCCATTGCCCTGAATGATATGTGGTCTTAGGGCGGATAATCACATAATATCTGTCACATTGTTTATGGTCTGTGTTGGTTCGGACAACAGCGGCTGGGGTGAGGTGTAGTAGAGAGAAAAAGAAGAGGGAGAAGAGATGAAAGCGGGACTGGCAAGTTCAGCGTTGTTAGATTCAGCTTGTTTATCCTATCGACCTTGACATGGGGGAGACAATGAAAAATTAGACATGATGTAAAGTAGGAACGAGTTAGATCAGGCAACACGGAGCAGCTCCATCATCTCGTCATCCGAATTCTGAGCAGCGTACCACAACGGCGTTCGGCCCCGATCATCTTCTAATGTGATGTCAGCGTCCATGCTGAGTAGAAGTTTCACAGCGGGTAGATGCTTCTTGGAAACAGCCCAAGATAGGGGTGTACGGCCTTGCCCATCTTTCGAGTCGACATAAGCACCCCTCGCACATAGAACCCCCAACGTCACTTCACCCACTCTCCTCGACAGACTAAGGGCAGCCCAAGAGAGAGGCGTATTGCCTTGATCGTCTTTGGCGTCGATCCGAGCACCACTGCCATATAAAATCCTCACAATCGTCTCCTTTCCCGCACCGGCAGCCCAAGATAAGGGCGTGCGCCCTTGTTCGTCTTTCGTATCCACCAGAGCACCACTGCCACAAAGGATTTTCACAGTCGCCTCATCACCCGAGCCAGCAGCCCAGGATAGAGGCGTACGGCCTTGTCGGTCTTTTGTATCCACCAGAGCACCACTCGCGCAGAGGACCTTCACAATCACTTGATTATTTAGACCAGCGGCCCAAGATAGTGGTGTCCGGCCATCCCTGTCCCTCGAATCTGCGTCGGCGCCGCTTTGAAGTAGAGCTTCGACAACAGACGTGTGGTTCCAACGGGCGGCACGAGTTAATGGCGTACAGCCGCTTTTGTCCTTCAAGTCGAAATGAAGACCACTTCGGAGGAGGAGTAGTGTCACGGTGTCTAGACGCCCTTTTTCAGCAGCATACGAAATCGGGCTTCGGCCGTCCACATCCCCCTGCTCAATGTCGGCGCCCGCCTCGGAGAGTAGTGTCACAATGCCCAGCTGCCCCTTTTCAGCAGCATACGAAATTGGGGTTCGGCCGAGTCTATCCCTCTGGTTGGCATCAGCGCCCTCCTTCAAGAGAAGCGCTACCATGCCCAGCTGCCCCTTTTCAGCAGCATACAAAATTGGGGTTCGGCCGTGCCTATCCCTCTGGTTGGCGTCAGCTCCCTCCTTCAGGAGAAGCGTTACCATGTCCAGATGCCCCTTTTCAGCAGCATGCGACAATGGGGCTCGGTCGTTTTTGTCCCCCTGCTCAATATCGGCGCCCTCCTTGAGCAGAAGCGTTATCATGTCCGGATGCCCCCCTCCAACAGCATGCGACAACGGGGTTTGGCCATGTATATTCCTGTGCGAAATATCGGCGCCCTTCTCGAGTAGCAGCGTTACCATGTCTATATGCCCCCTCCCAGCAGCATACGACAATGGGGCTCGGCCCGACCATGGGTCTGGAGAATTGGCATGAATGTCGGTGAAGGGAGAGTCGAACAGAATTTCTAACAAGGTAGCATCACCTTCCTTTGCAATATGAAACAACGGCCCTCCAAATTCCAAGAACCGAAATCTGGTGCTAAAGTTCCCGAGATGTCTTTTCTCTTCCAGGGACTGGTTTAACAACCCGCGAAGCCTAGAATCGGATGGTTGGCCTTGTACCTCTGCTTCCAGGAGCACCCGAACCGCCTCAGTGCTTCCGGTGGCCAGCGCAGCAAAGAGAGGCGGGCCGTAACGCGGCGACGGATGGATTCCTTCCTCGAGATAAAAACAGGAACCCTTCGGGGGGCAGAACTTGATGAGGTTGGCTAGGTTCTTCTGTGCGAGGAGATAAAGGAGGTTTACTTCTTCACCGTATCTTCGGATTTTGACTTCCTCAAAAACATTATTGAGAGCTTTCCAATAATCGAGAGGGAACTGGCCGAGGAAATCCCCTTGATCCAGCCCGCAGTGCTGAGCGCTGTTCGCGTGATGAAGAATTTTGAGGATCGAATATTCCAAGAACGGAAACCTCGAGCGCATGATTTCTCGATATTGATCAGCTTCAGCCTTGGTTCCCGCCGGAGTTCTTGGTGCATGGACATTCTGATCGATTGCAGCCTCCACCTGAGCCAAACAAGAATCTCTCAGGATTTCATGGCCACGGCCCTCAACGTTCTCGGAGGCCTCATCCCAGCGGTATTTGTACCGGCCTAGCAAGAAGTCGCGGACGGATTCATGGATGAACTGAACCACGAAGGCTTTCCCCTTGGTTTCAGAAAGCCCTTTGGACCATTCTTTCACCGTGATCTTCATGGCGTCCAAGTCAACATCGTCTTGGTCCCAGGCACCGGAACAACCTTCTTCACCGAGACCAAACTGAACGGCAAAGTAGAGCTCTTGAAGCTTCATGGGCCGTTCCGCAAAGAGAATCCATTTGAGACAGATCTGCAGAACTTCCGGGTTTTCCCCATCTCGCTGGAGTATCATTTCGAACAAGTCTCCAAGCTCCTTCGGGATCTCCCGTAGTCGCCTACCCATCTGCTTGATGGATTTGCTGGGATAGTCTTTGTTGAGAATGTCAACGACCAAGACAACCCAGAGGAAGATCATCCGGGATGCTTCAAGGAGGTCCAATCGAAGAGACTGGGCATCTTTCGACGTGGGTAGACGTAATTTCTTCTTGATATATTGTTCGATGTCCTTTTTGTGACCAGCCTCATTCTCGAGGATGATATTGCGGCCCTTCGTTTCGATATGGGGATAGTGCCGGCTAGAAAGGCAGATGCCTAGGGTCAAAACCAATGACGTTAGCTATGCCGTTCCTGTTTTCTTGTTTAATATTCAATGCCTATTGTTGCTTCGCCTTTTTCCTTTCCTTCTGCCGCCTCACTACCTTCTTCCGTTTAGTGGGCAATACAGAGAGGGCGAGATGGTGCTTGGAGGCTGCGCCAGAAACAGAATGAAGGATGGCAGGAGGACATATATCAGGGTAATACGTACGAAGCTGAACTTGGTTGTCTTGCGCGAGCTCGCAGAGGTCCTCAAAGAAGCCCACCATGTCTCTTGCCTGGTGATCGTCACACTCGTCCAATGCATCAACGAAGATGGTCAGCGACCGATCGCCGAGTTTCCGAATGGCATGACTAAAGGTTTGTTTCAGAGCCTCCTCGTGCCATCCGTTGGCCTGGATATTTCTTGCACCATCCGCAGTCAGCGCCTCCTCGAGACTGTCTTGCAGGTCTGCCTCCTCCTCAAAGAGTTGATGTAGGAGTGATCGGTAGAGGCCAACAGTGGACTTTTCTTCGAGCGTGCCTCGGGCAAGGAAGAAAAAAGATAAAGTGATCGGAGAGGCACCGCCCCTTGGGTTGCGCTTGGCGTCTCTCTTAACCTCCTCGAACAAGAGCTTCATCAGAGTTGACTTCCCGGTGCCGGGATGGCCCCAGATCCAGAGAAAGCCACCGTAGCCCGACTGCTGTGTTGGGTCGCGCCAGGATGTATATTCCGGCTTGGTGAGAAACCAGCGGCATGTCCCCCTTTGAGCGGCTGTAAGATTTGTCAACCGCTCATCGATTTCGGTGAAGTAGAGCTTCTCTATGATTGACTGGCGTGTACCGGTGGGTATTCGGCGATTGTCCTTGTCGTTTCGGACCCCTTGCGGCTCGGGAATGGATGGCTCACGGTCCGTACCCGGGGACTGGCTGCGGCTTGCGGATTGCCTGTGCTTGGCCGTGCCAACCCGGCTCTCAATTATCCCAAGCATATGGGTCAAGGCGGCCGCAACCTTCGTATATTCTGGATCTTTGGGTCCGGAAAAGCGACACATGTCCATGTGGTTGCTTGAAATAAACTGCTTCGTTTCAAGGACGGGGTTGTTCAGACACGAAGACCAATCTTCAACAACCTTCGTGTCGAAAACTAGGTAGGCAACAGTGTTAGCAACACATTGCCGGGCCCTTGAGGATTTCAAGCAAATAAAGCAGAGGATAACAGAAGTTTAGGGGTTGAGTTGCGTGAGTGACGTACGTGGTTTAAGACCGTATTCTTCTTGGAATGAGTAGACTCGGAAACTTTTCTCCTGAGCCATGACGAAAAACTCATCCATCAACTGTGCCAATGCTTCAGCATTCGGCACGAGGGTATTGACAATGTCTTTGTTGACCTGGACACCGAGCGCCTGGGCCGAAGCGGAGAGGATGTGATGGAGGAAACTTCTTGGGTCTGCTCCCCTGTGTGGCGTCCCGAAAAATATGATGCCGTCGGCTGCTTCGAAGATGCTATAAAGATGAGGTTTCGTCAACTTGCAACCCCGCGATCTCCGGAGTGCCTCCTTGACGATAATTCCACCGAGACTGTGAGCGATGAAGAGGACAGGGCGATCTTTCTCGTTCAAATTGCGTCGTAGAGATTCAAGGTCGCACAAAAGGTCCCAGGCATGGTCACAGACGCTTTTCTTGCTCGGTGACCGCCCCGTAAGTCGATGGCCAACCCTTGTATCGTACCCATACGTGAGTATTCGGGATCCAGGGACGGTTTTGGGAGCGAGATCAGCCGGCCAATAGATATGTTGCTGTTGTTGCTTTTCGATGCTCACTGTATCGTTGATGTTTATGTCGTTTACCAGCGTATTTTGGCCGGATTGGGACCCGGAGGAGGGAGTGGTGGAAGCGGCAGCTGAAGAACGCCGATTGAAGGGGTCTAGTTTTCGAATCTTGGAGCGCCAGGCATCATCGTTGGGCTCGACGTCGTAGCCATGCTTTTTTGGTCGGTTTCCCGACGGCGATTTGGCCTTGCATAGCCAGGTGTTCATGGGGTGACCAGTGAAACCATGCACAAATACAATGCTTCTAGATATTAGTTGTCGTCTGGAATTGGATGGGTGGGAAACGTGTGCTTCAGGAAAGCAACATACTCGACGGTGGGATGCTCCCCCTCATACAACACGGTGAACCCCTTCTCGTTGACCGAAACATGGTTCGACATCGCAGTGTCCTCGCCCACGCTGTGCGCCGCCTCGCTGTCGAATCTTTATAGCGGCTTCTATTGAGTGCTGAATTACTAGGGAACGTACGGTTGAAGTGAACTGGAGCTGCTCCCAAATTCTGAGATGTCGGAAACACGCCTTGCCCGGTGCGCAAGGCTGCCTCTTGGGCTGCATGCTGCGTGCATCAAGCCATTGACACATCATTGGCTGCAGTCACATTGCGGCGGCCTGTCAACATGACCACTAATTTTGGGGGCGAAAGGGGGAAACAGCGGGTGCTTCTCAGGAAGTTGTTACTTGGTACTGTTTATATTCCTGTCAAATCGTGGTTCCCACCCGGAAAGAGATTCCGTCTGTAAACGGAGGATTTGGCGAGCAAATAACCGCCTACCTAGTGACTGGGGGACCGGACATGGCGAGATGGAGATCCCGACTTAGGCGAAGTGCCTATTAGAGCATTTGACATCGGGCCCATCTTCTTCTTCGCATCCCGAGCAAAGCCCAAGACTGCAATGAAAAAGACGTTTGCGTCGTCCAGAGACAGTGTGATACCAGAGACACGGTCCTCGCTAACATTGGCAAGCCAAGAGGCTAGCAAGGGAGTGACAAAAATTAATTTAATAACAAAACCTACTCCGTAGAGTAGTTCCAGATATTAAACTGAAAAGAACAGATACTACACTTGATCTAAGCCATAAGGCAAAGAGAGCTAAAGAAGAAAAGAAAGAAGGTTAGAACTTGAAGGGGCAGACGATGTTTTATACTTGTAAGAGTAGGTACCTAGTTGGTCTGTGCACATCTGCAATTGCAGATGGAGTGCACGGGCCACTTCTTCGCAGAGTCCTCTGGCTGCTTGCTTGGTGAAATTGTGCCACACCGCCCGGCAGAATCCCCGGAGACATCAGCCATTCAGCGCATAACCATCGCCGTTGACCCGCAGCCGAAGACGACGACATATTGAACGCCAATCCACCCCTTTCAGTACCAATTCCCGGTCCTCCGCCGGATTACCGAGCATATCGCCAAGATGTCCATGTTCAGGGCAAAGAAGCTCGATCTCGGGTGCTTCACCAACATCAAGATCATCCGCGACCACTCGAAGCGCAAGGCCTACGAAGCCGCCGAGGCCGAGAGGTACTAACTGGCCCCGCTACTCCCCAGGCCTCAATCGAACGGCGCTGACACACAGTCCGCAGGCAAGCCCTCCGCTACGTCATTCGCAACACGACCCTCCCCGCCCGCACACGCGCCATCGCCCAGCTGCAGTTGACCCAGATGCACTGTTACACGCGCCCGACCCAGATCCGGAACCGATGTATCCTCGGCGGGAAGGGGCGAGGTATTTTGAGTGATTTCAAAATGTCAAGAGTAAGGGATGCTCGCTTTTTGGGAACGGGATTGTGAAAGGCTGACCTTTGATAGTACAACTTCCGGTTGCAGGCGCTAGCGGGCAATTTGCCCGGTGTGAAGAAGGCCAGCTGGTAAAAAGGACGACAGGAGTCTTGGAGTTGTTCGAGTCCGTGGCAATGGATGACATTGGGGCTTGTGCCGGCTGGACTGCGGGAGTTGTGGGATACGCCCCGTTCCGCTCTAACAGAGGCACAGACAGATATGAGCAGATGGGAACATCGAAATCCTCATGTATGCCGTGTACAAATCTTGTTACAATATTAAACGCATATGATAGAGTACCCCTTCTCCGGACGCCTAACCTCATGCTATCCCAATCCCATCTATCATGAATGGTGTGTGAAACACCACCTCGAAATGTTGAAGGTTTTTACAACCCGTATCCTTACAGTGACTTCCCGGTCGTCTCCTCGGCCGCGACGGCTTGGCTTAGGCTGTCCGCGGCCATAGCCTTCTCGCCGGCTCGCTTCCTCAACACGTTCTCAATGAACGCCTCACCGGCCTTGTACGACGACCGGACGAGAGGACCGCTGGCGCAGTACAAGAAGCCCATATCGAGGGCACGTTGCCTCCAGAGCTCAAACTCATCGGGCGTAACGTACCGCTCGACCTGGAGATGCCGCTTGGTGGGCCGCATGTACTGGCCAAATGTGACGACATCCACGTCGACCTTCCGCAGTTCTACCAGGATGTCAGCAACCGTTCTTCAAATCTTGCAGAGGCAGAACACTTACCCCTCAGCGTTTCCCAAAGCTCCTCCTCCGTCTCCCCCAACCCCAACATGATGCTGGTCTTGGTGATGATCCCTTCCTTCCCCTTAACCTCTTTCACATGCCCCAGCACCTTCAGACTCTGCCTAAACGTAGCCCTCCGGTCCCGCACATACGGCGTCAGCCCCTCCACCGTCTCGACGTTATGCGCATAGACATCCAACCCACTCTCTGCCACCACCTTGACCATATCCAGATCCCCCCTAAAGTCCCCCGTCAGCGCCTCCACCAGCATGGTCGGCTTCTTCGCCTTAATCCGGCGAATCGTCTCGGCAAAGTGCCGCGCGCCGCCATCCGCCAGATCATCACGATCCACACTCGTCAAGACCACATACCCCAGCCCCCAGCGCGCCAACGCCTCGGCCGTATTCTCCGGCTCGTGCGGATCGAGCGGCGGCGGGGCCCGACTCGTCTTGACACTACAGAACCGACAGCCGCGGGTGCAGGTATCACCCATAAGCATAATCGTGGCCGTGGCGGCCGCCTTGCTGCCGCCGCCCCAGCACTCGCCGATGTTGGGGCAGCGGGCCTCCTCGCAGACGGTGTGCAGGCCGAGCCCGCGCAGGTCGGCCTTGATCTTGGCGAAGCCGGCGTTGGCCCCCGCCGACGGGATGGGGGTCTTGAGCCACGCCGGCAGCCGCGTGATGGTGCGCTTGCGCCCCTCCGGCCCCACCGTCGCCGTCCGCGGCGCGTATGCCTCGCTTGGGGGGAGGGTTCCTGGTGTTGCGGTGGGCAGGAAGTCAGTGAGCGATGCTACGGTGGTGTCTTTGAAGTAGGTCGGCCGCCGCTTCGTGATGCCGTTGGGGGCCGCGGATGGCTGCTGCGGTTGCGCCGCGGGCGGGTCGGAAGGCGGCGGGACGGTGGCGTAGGCCCGGCACGGGAGGGCGGCGGCCCGCGCGAGGGAACGCCGCAGCGGCGCTTGTATCCTGTGGAGAGGCATCGGGGATGCCATTGTGTTCTAGTATGCCGTGTGCTTAGGAGGGAAATTGACCGGCAAGCACGGAGTTGACTTGTCGTCGGCTAAGAGCGGCGAAGGGCTGGCGAAAAAAAGGCTCCGGCCCGGGTGCAGTGCAGTTTGCCTCTTGGCGTCATCGGAAGATAAGGTTGCCAAGATGCATAGGGGTTAGGGTTGGACTGCTGCACTGGCACACTGGGACGGCTGCCCTTGACAACCGAGCCGAGAAACCCGATTTCTCGCGGGACGGTTGTGAATCAAAAGAGGCCCGCGGGCTCACTCCCTGAGTTACAGAGCTAGTTATGTCCTGGTTTTCGACACCGGATCGTATATTTCCGTCCATCACACAAGTTGGCTTCCTCTCGATGCCGTGAGATCGTCTCCACTCCTTGTCGCCTCTATCGCTGGCGTTTCCACGCGCTTTTGGTTCGTGAAAGACACTCAACGCTCGTACTGTACGAAGTAGCAATCCTCCTCGCCAAACAAATAAAAATACGTCCCCATAACCACCGGACAACGCGGCACAGTGGTAACATGCGGGGAATCCGAGGCAGCGCTAGTTAGCGGTTTGCAAACGAGTGGAAGGACATGAAGTGATGATGAAACGAAGCTGCGACAAACCGGAGCAAACATGCCCTTCCTTGCACGGCAGACTCTAGGCTGAAGACTCACACAGGAGATCATTCAAAGTCGCCGCGAGGGCTGAATGCACCGTCGTTAATTATGTATGTACTGTGTAATCAGCGTGGGCTTCCACCTTCCTTGGACGTTCGTTTGCTTTTCATTTTGTTGGGCTGACGACACCCATGACGTTTTGGTTCCGAGCCAACAAGAGCGGCGAATTCGGATCACAAAGCGACAGTCAGTCGCGAAAAGAGAAGCGGGACTAATCGTGTATTCATGTAATCGACTATTCAAGGATATAAAGAACATCAAGTCTTCTTGTGGTAACTTCCAGGCCTTCGAGAACAAAGCTCTTGCATGTCGTGCTTGGCGGGGCGGTTATTGGCAGCGGCGCTGGGCATGTTGATACCTTAACATATTCCCTCCCAGTTTTGGTATCAAATTGTTGGAGCTATAAGTGGAGTATTTTATCGCTTCGAGTGCCACCTGACACAGCCTCGTTCCCGGCCACCCCCCCTGGCTGGCTGGCGTGTCGCCTGCAAAACAGGCTCAACCGCCGCCTGCGCAACGTCTTTCTTCATTCCGCATCTCACCACCACCGCCGCCGAATACGCTCGCCATCGCCCGCCACCGCGCACCGAATCTTCCACAAACTTATTCGATTCGCGATCGCTCTACGTTAAACGAAACCTCCGTTCCGTCAACAATTTCCTCCACAGATCGTCAGAATGGCTTCAGGAGCTTACGACCCGTTCCAACCCAAGGGGCAGGGCTCGCAGGGCGCGCCCGATGCGCCGGGCGGCCCGAACCATGGCGTGAACGACATTCAGAGGGTGGGTCGATGATCTATTTGGATTTTCTTTTGGCATCGGTCGGGGAAGCAGTGTGTGAAGCTGGCCTCGATTGCGCATCCGAGACTCGAAACTATCGTCGGGCGGCAAGCGACAGCATCGCGCTTCTCGATGGGCGTGCGACAACCAACCACCTTACCGCAGCGCTCAAACCAAACATTTCCCACAACAGATTTGCGGAGAACCCCCCCCCCCCCCCCACAACACAGGACACAATGCCACAGGATATCTCCGAGTCTCGTCCCGCCCAGCTGTTGTCTTAGAGGGTTGGATAGCTTTACCTGCGACAACCCCAATATCACTAGCGCGCCGCCGAATGCCGCGCCGGGCCCATATGCTGCTTCCACTCCGACCGATTTGAGATTTTTGCATTGAGTGGAATTATCGACTGACACTCTCTACTAGGATATCGATGACGTTATCCAAGTGGCACGCGAGAATATAATGAAGGTCGACGATCGTGGCGACCGTTTGACCACGCTGCGAGACAAGTCGGACGGCCTGCAAACCGAGGCCCGACATTTCAACGACCGCGCCGGCAAGGTCCGGAGGAAGATGTGGTGGAAGGTGAGCGGATCCATGGCATCCCTCGTCGTGTGTTGCGCCTAACTGTTTTTAGGACATGAAAATGCGCATCTGGATTGGTGTCGGCATTATTGTCCTTCTCGCCATCATCATCATCCCAGCTGGTTTGTGGCTCCCACCTGCTTCGTCCAACCCACGTTTTACTGACGAGTTTTCTAGTTGTTACTACGCGGGGGAACTAATTCGACGATAACCATGACGACTCGATATCCAGCGGGAATGATCGGCGCTTATTTTCATTTTCACTTTCTGGGAGTTTGTTTTCTGGTTTCGCGTCTTCATTCCGCTGGCCGCGCTGGCTGGCAGCGGCCCGCTTGGCGTTGCGTGGATCTCAGCTGGCGTAACGCTGCCTCCGAATGTAGCTGTACTTATGATGATTCGAGGGAGCAGGTTCCCCAATGCGTTAATCAAGTTACGACGAGTCTTCGGTAATGCTTACCTTGGTATCTTACTTTGTGGCGGCGGAAAGCAGCGCATTGGATTGCGAGACCTTGTTGTGCTGAGTTGGGGGATGACCCTGAGGAGTGAGTGTTGGATGAGGTATTACTTTGAGGCGCTAGATTACTCTCAAAGGTCGTGCAAATAGTGCCATCCAGGTTCATATCTTACCATGACACTGCTCGCCTGGTATTTCGAAGACGAGTAACTAACCGTTTTGTGTAAACACCACATGGTGGATGACTCTTCAGATCAGTGCACGTTGAGCGCCTTGGCAGAACAGGGAGCTTGTGGTGAAAGCGAGCTGAGAAGATGGGTCGTTTTGTCTCGCCCTACGACGGACGTGCCTCGTCCTCGCCTAAATTAAACCAGGCGATTTTTGCATATGGTAGACAGCTGAAGCATGCGCCATTAACCTGTTTCCGAGGGAATGGCATGTTCTTTTTGGGATCACTGCTGCCGTACTGGGTTGCGTGCCGAAGTCGCTCCGCATTAGCTGCAGCCACTGACCAGGGCCTGGGTCGTTCCCCTCAGCAGCGGTTTCGGTGTCAATTTTTTTTTACCTTGGTTGCCCCTCCACCACACTTGACCGACACTTGCCAGGTCCCAAACCTTTAAATACCCCCCCTGCCGGTCAACCATTGACTCCGGCTTTGCTTCCGGCCTCGACCTCGTGCCATTGACTCTCGGCAGGGCCTCCGCCTTTCCTCCGTCTTTGCTCCCTTTGGTTTCCCCGCCGCCAATGGTAGGTGGTCCGCTTGGAATTGACTCATCCGAGGTTTTACGGTAGTTGCCATTGAGCGCCTCCGATTCGTTTACGAAGCTCCCTCCTCCAACCCACCACCCAGGTTCGGTTACTGTTTCGAGACGTTCTCAACCTTCATTCCTCGGTCCGCACGCCCTTTTACGTTCTCTCCCAAGAACAGCCCGGCCGCAAAGATGCTTTCCGCTTGTGCTGTTGCCGTTAGGGCGGGCGCCCGCCGCAGCGTCCGCCGTCTCCCCCGGTCACGCTCCGTCGCCGTTCCCGCCGCCCTTCGCCGCGAACGACTATTCTCCTCGTCCGCCGTACGAACTACCGACATGAGCACCCGGGGTATGATTGTGCAGACTCTCTCGTCCGTCGGGTCCAAGCGGGAAGTCCAACAGTACCTCTCGCTCTTCACATCCGTCTCGTCGCAACGCTTCGCTGTGATCAAGGTTGGCGGCGCCATCCTAACCGACTACATCGACGAGCTCTGTTCCAGCTTGGCCTTTCTCTATACCGTCGGGCTCTACCCCATCATTGTCCATGGTGCCGGGCCGCAGCTCAACACTCTGCTGGAGCAGGCTGGCGTCGAGCCTCAGTTCGAAGAAGGCATCCGGGTGACGGACCCCAAGACCCTGCGTGTCGCGCGCGACCTCTTCCTCCAGGAGAACCTCAACCTTGTCAACAAGTTGGAGGAGAAGGGTGTGCACGCCCAACCCCTGACGACCGGCATGTTCAGGGCGGACTATCTGAATAAGGAAAAGTGGGGGTTGGTCGGAAAGATCACCGGTGTCAACAAGCAGCCCATCGAGACGGCTATTAACAATGGCTATCTCCCCATCCTCACCTCCATGGCTGAGACCGACGACGGCCAAATCCTCAACGTCAACGCCGACGTCGCCGCCGCCGAGTTAGCCCGTGCTCTCGAGCCCCTGAAGGTCGTTTACCTGTCTGAGAAGGGCGGTCTTTTCGACGCCGGGGGCCAGAAGATCTCGGCCATCAACCTGGATGAAGAATATGAGCACCTCATGTCGCAGTCGTGGGTCAAGTATGGCACCAGGCTGAAGATCAAGGAGATCAAGGAGCTGCTAGACACACTGCCGCGCGCCACCAGCGTCGCCATCATTCACCCCGGAGAGCTCCAGAAGGAACTTTTCACAGATTCCGGTGCTGGCACGCTCATCCGCCGTGGCAGCAAGCTGCTTTCGGCCACTAGCCTCTCCGAGTTCAAGAACGTCGACACGCTCAAGGAGGTGTTGATCCGGGATCGGGAGGGCCCTGACGCGCTCGCCACCGTCGACAAGTATTTTGAGTTCCTCGGCGAGAACAACTTCAAGGCATACTACGACGGGCCCATGAATGCCCTTGCCATTGTCTTGCCGGCGAGCGATGGACGCCAGGCTACCCTTGCCACCCTCACAATCACCAAGTCGGGGTGGTTGACTAACGTCGCCGACAACATCTTCACCGCCCTCCGTAAGGAGCACCCCCAACTCGTCTGGACCGTCAGGGAGGACGACGAGAACCTCGGGTGGTTCTTTGACAAGGCCGACGGTAGCATCACGCGAAATGGCAGTGTGATGTTCTGGTATGGAATCGAGAACGGCGAGGAGGTCGTGCAATTGATGAAGGACTTCACTCAAAACGGTCGCGCCATGCTTGGCAACTCCAACCTCGAGTCGCGGTTGCAGCGCGCCGCGACTAACGGCGCAAAGTCCGTCCCCCAGCAAGCTCGCTCATACTCGACGCTCGCTCGCCGTCCTAGTCTCTCGACCCCGGTCTTTGGTCAGACCGGCCGGAGGACGTACGTCACCCAGACCAACCCCAACCCTCCGATCGGCAAGAGGAACGCATCCAAGTCCCAGCCCGCCAGGGTAGCGCTCATCGGCGCCCGTGGTTTCACCGGCCAGGAGTTGATCCGCCTGCTCGACTCTCACCCGAACATGGATCTCCGCCACGTTTCGTCGCGTGAGCTTGCGGGCACGAAGCTGGAAGGGTACAACAAGAAGGACGTCATCTACGAGAACCTCAGCCCCGAAGACGTCCGGGATATGGAGCGCCGTGGTGATATCGACTGCTGGGTCATGGCTCTGCCAAACGGAGTGTGCAAGCCGTTCGTCGAGGCCGTCTACGATGGCCGCAACGACTCGAACCACAAGAGCGTCATCGTCGACCTCTCGGCCGATTACCGTTTCGACAACACGTGGACCTACGGCCTCCCCGAGCTCGTTACCAGGGCCGACATCACCCAGGCCACGCAGATTGCCAACCCCGGCTGCTACGCCACGGCGGCGCAGCTCGGCATCGCTCCCCTCGTGTCCCACCTCGGCGGCATGCCCCACGTGTTTGGCATCTCGGGCTACTCGGGGGCCGGCACCAAGCCGTCGCCCAAGAACGACGTCAGCCTGCTCACGGACAACATCATCCCGTACAGCTTGACGGGCCACATCCACGAGCGCGAGGTCAGCGCGCAGCTCGGCGCCCAGGTGGCCTTTGTGCCGCACGTCGCCGTCTGGTTCCGCGGCATCCACCACACCATCTCGATCCCGCTCAACAAGACCATGACGTCGCGCGACATCCGCCAGATCTACCAGGACCGCTACGCCGGCGAGAAGCTGGTCAAGGTCGTCGGCGAGGCGCCCCTCGTCAAGAACATCAGCGGGAAGCACGGCGTCGAGATCGGCGGCTTCGAGGTCGACAAGAGCGGGAAGCGCGTCGTCGTCTGCGCCACCATCGATAACCTGCTCAAGGGCGCCGCTACCCAATGTTTGCGTGAGTCTACTTCTCCGTGTGTCCCATGTCTGTCGACGATTGCTAACGCCAGAAACAGAGAACATGAACCTCGCCCTGGGCTATGCCGAGTACGAGGGCATCCCCGTCATGTAGATGGATCACGGCCGCACGTAGACAGGCGTTCTTCAGAGTGGTTGGTTGGTTTCCAGAGCTAGGGCCCCAGGGTTTCATACCACATGTCACATGTCCTCGGCACTTGTGTCTTTTCTTGCTTCTGCTGTTCATACGGTTCGTTTCCATCTTCCGGAGTTTGGAGGGCAAGCTTCGTTTCGAAAATGGGTTTTCGGCTTCTTCGGCTGCGGGACGATCAGGGTTTTTGACGTCGTGGGCAGGTTTTGTATATAGTTGGGGAAGAGGAATTTCAAGGCTGGATGGTTTTCTCGCGTTGCGGATTGCTTGTCTTTGACTGCGTCTTTTTTAGACGGTGGGATGTTGCTCAGGGGAGACGAGGTTGATTTGTTGTGTTGTCATGCGTGCGTTTCCTCAGGATTCCCTTTTTCAGGGGTTGCGCGTCAAAAACCCAAGCGTCCATTTGCCAGTGCTCGCTCGTGGTCTTTGGGTACCTAGGTATAGTGCCGGGATCATTCCTGCCTGCTTAGGCACACACCGAGACGGTAATGTTTACGGGCAGTGATGTGGTTCTTGCAGCATTTATTGCTTCTATTTCTCTATGGCTCGAATCTACAGCGGCACTAGAAGAGTAAGGAAAATGGGACTTCCTTGATGCTTACAATTGGATTTGAGACGACGGTGCGTATGGCTGGAACGGAAACAATCCTCCGCGTGTGGACGGATATGATAGCTTCAAAAACCTCGCAAAACCGTTGTGACTTCACAACGGCCGGGGTCAGATGAGGAGAAAGAGAGTTTGCGTTGATTCCCTTTCCGGTCCGCTCTACATTGAGTGAGGACCCCGGTGAATCAAGAGTTGGCAAGGCCTGCTACTTGAATTTGAAGCCTACTCAGCCGTTAAGAAAGGGGCAACATAAGTATGATAACGGCGGAATGGACGGGGCCGCGAACAGGTAACCCTGAGACTTCGTTAGTGCCGACGCCGAATTTGTGTCTTACCAAAAGAAGAGTGGCTCGGGGGTACGGGCATCGGCGACGGCTGTTCGGGATTAGTGGTAGGGAAAATGGGCGATTTTCCTTGAACCACTTCGACGAGTTAGCCCTGGTTCGAGGAAGCAGTGCATTTTCTCCGGGGGTTCTTTCTCCTGGTTGACTTTCCCCTCGTTGTTCGAGACGTCCGTCCGTCCATGCAGCCCCTGGGTTCGGTGTTTTTGTTCGTGTGTTTTTTTGGTCTTTTTCATCATTTCTTTTTTTTCTCCTTTATTTTGTTCTCGTGTGGATGATATTCTCTTGAGATTCCTTTCCATCCCTTCCTTTCCCGTTCTACCCATGTCTATGTTTTTTTCTTTCTTATTTTCCTGCGGAGGCGAGTAGCACTCCGGTCATTCTATTCCGGAACGGTAAACTCGGCGATCATGCTGTACTGGGCACCAGCGCCAGCCCAAACGAGTCGCAAATCTGCAACGCTGGGGTGGGCAACCCGAGTCGCAACCTCGACCTCCTCACCCTTCTGGGCGATCTGCTTGGTCAAATTGAGGCCCCATGTGTAAATGCTTTGATCGGTCGCAACCGCAAGGCTGTGCTCGCTCGCAGCTGCCACAAATGCGGCTGGGAGTCCTGGGATCGTTGTCGGGATCCCGAGGAAGCTCGGCCCCCGCGAATCCCGGACGACAGACTGTGGCGGCAAGGTATCGATCTTGAGGCCGGTAGCACATGAATAGAGCCGGCCCCAGGTGAGACACCCCCCATCCTCGGTAACGGCAATGGTGTGGAAGTTGCCTCCGGTGATCTGTTTTATGCGCGGAAGGTCCACCAACCCCTTGACGAGGGTGGGAACTGAGATGGCGATGGTATGCTGGTGGTCCGATTCATCGTTGCCGGCTTTGTCGAGGGCCCCAACCTGGCCCGCGTTGTTGAAACCCCAACTATACACTAGGCCGGTGCGCTCGATGGCAAAAGAATGGTTTGAGCCGCTTCCGATCTCGACGATGTCCTTAAGCTCGGCAACCTTGCGTGGGATAAGTCCGACCTTATTCCAGTCCACAACCCTGGAAGAGAAGCGGCGGCCGAGTTGGCCATCAGTGCCTTTGCCCCAGGTGTATACGAAGCCATCGGCCGTGAGAGCTAAGACGTGGTTGCTTCCGCAGCACAATTTGATAATGTCCTTGACCGACAGAATCAGAGCCGGGCGGGACTGCACCTGGACGGTGGGTGTGAATGACAGCTTGCCGTCCTCTGACTGTAGGTAGGTTAGCACATTGAACCAACCTCAAGATGGAAACTGGTGGCCTACCCTGAAACTGCCCCATCCGTAAACGCGACCGGTGCTCGTCAGGGCAAAGGTGGCATTATCGGTAGCCGCTACTTGGGTGAAGACGGTGTCCGGCGGCACAGCACCCATGTCGACTATTGTTGGAGTGGATTCTTTTGGGTTGAGGTCGCCCCCGTCATCACTGTCGCTATCGTCATCATCGACATCCACCATATTCTCCTCCCATGTCGTGTCCCGGCCAAGTGCGCCATGGTCATTGACGCCCCAGGTCAGTATCTTGTTGTCCTGGGTAAGTGCGACGCCATGCATAGCACCGAGGGAGATTTGGACGACCCCCGACTCTGAGAGATAGGGGTTCACGCGCGGTTTCCCAATATTCCCAGACTTGACGCTAGGGCCGAGTCCCAACTCGCCGCCGCTGTTGGCGCCAAGAACGTAGACGGTCAAGGGTTTGGTGGGTCTTTGGCTGAGGATGGGCAACGCGCTGCTGGCCCGCTGTCCTGCCGCTGTTTGGGATTGATGTGATACTCGTGGCGCAGCGCTGGCAGTTTGAGCCTGGATGAGACTCTCGGTTGCCGCTGACGGTTTCTGTCGTTTCGGTCGGCCTTCTGGCACAGCGACGTCCCTCTCGCGCGTCCTCTTGGAAGGGGCGCCCTTGTGGCTCCTTGTGGTTGCTGTCGGTTTCCTCGGCGCCATTTCGTCAACTCGGAACCTAAACCTACCCAGCCGGATTTCGTGATGGCACCCAGTAGTTTGTTGATGGATGATTTGAGAAGAGCGGCAGTCGCGAAGTAAAAACCCAATTCCGGTCGTTCTCATTTTGCTGACCGGCGGGAGCATTTGTCAAGGGGCGCGATTATTAGTCATCTGCTGAGTATTCACTGGGCTTGGCTGCGCCATTCCACGCCATTCCAATTTGGATTTCTAGACCCTGGTAACTTTCCCATTGTGGCACATCTTTTTCCATCAGCTGTGTGTGGTGTTCTGTTGCCAACAAGCACATCTGTGGGTGGCGGGTTGCCGCTCAGATGTTGAAGTGAAACGTCTGGGGAACACTCAAACGTGCCTGAACCTGACAACGGGATTTGTGTGGGGCCGACCTGCTTAGCTGTATTCCCGGTGAGCCCATAACGGCGCATGGAGTCGGCATTAGGTTGGGCGCCCCTCCTTCCCCTCCAACTCCTCGAGCTCCACCCCATAACGTCGTTGGGATTTCGAGTCAGACCATCATCAACTCGGAGTTTCCGTAGATTGTTGTCATCAACGGTTCTTTCTTACTTTTCCCATGTTTTGCAGTTGGCTTTGAGGACTCCAATTGACAGGTCAAACAGTGCCAACCCCAATAACCTTTAGAGAGCAGCCGAGCAACACATACCGCAACCTCCGCAGCCTCTCCAACTTCTGCAGCATCTCTCGTTCTGTTCATTACGACGACCAATCAGACACACCGCATCATGATTGAGCTTCCCCTAGACCACGGCTCATTGGAGCACCTCCTCCCCGTCTCCTGGAAGACTCAAATTACCGCCTGGCTCACTGAGGACACACCCTCCTTCGACGTCGGCGGCTTTGTCGTCGGCGAGGACCAACGCACGGCGACACTCTGGGGCAAATCTTCCGGTATCCTCGCCGGCATCCCCTTCTTCAACGAAGTCTTCGCCCAGTGTGGGTGCACAGTCGAGTGGCACTCCCGCGAGGGCTCTCACATCGAGACCCATGGCGACAAGACCGCCCTGGCGACTGTGAGGGGCCCTGCGCGGGGTCTACTGGAAGGCGAGCGCGTAGCGCTAAACATTCTTGCGCGGTGCTCGGGTATTGCCAGCATGAGCCGTCGGCTGCTGATCAACCTACGCAGTGCCGGCTGGCAGGGTACCCTGGCAGGCACACGCAAGACTACTCCGGGGTTCCGCGTTGTGGAGAAATATGGCATGCTCGTCGGCGGCGCCGATACACATCGCATGGATCTGAGCACCATGACCATGCTCAAGGATAACCATGTTTGGAGCCGCGGAAGTATCACCCAGGCCGTCAAGGCAGCCAAGGCTGTGGGCGGGTTTAGCTTGAAAGTCGAGGTCGAGGTGCAGAGCGAGGAAGAAGCCGACGAGGCCATCGCCGCTGGCGCTGACATCGTCATGCTTGACAATTTCACCGGTGAGGGTGTCAAGGCCACCTCCCGGCGCCTCAAAGAGAAATGGAACGGCAAGAAGCATTTTCTGGTCGAGGTTTCTGGGGGATTGACCGAGGACAACGCCGAACTCTACCTCTGCAACGGTAGGCTCTTATTCCGAGACATAAGTAGTATGTGGCAAATTTGCTGACAAGCCTCGCAGATGTCGACATCTTGTCGACAAGCTCCATCCACCAGGGTGTGCGTCACATTGACTTCTCCCTCAAGATCAACGTGGAGAAGGGGGACGGCCCGGTCGTGTCAAGTTAAGCGAGCGCCTTGAAAAAAGGCTACAGCCCGCCGGGGGTGATGAAAAACCCACCTATGTACACAGGAAATCACAGGTATCCTGCAATGCAAAAAGTTTTCCACGTCTGGTCATCTGATACTCCGAGGTCCATTTCATCCCCCCGTGTTCAAGAGGATGAAGCCCTGGAGCAAGGGCTAACTAATGAGAGATGCAGCTGCAATCTCACAGCTGCAATTTCACATTTGTCTTTCACCGCTTCTTGGTGCATCACTGCACCCGTGCTTCGTACCTCTCACAAATGGCATGCCGAACCATGGGCAGATGCGCCAAGATGGGCGCAGGGGTTCCAGGTTGGTGAGCCCTTGCGGCTAATCGTTCCAAACATGGCATCCCCACGTGGCAACCCGCCCTTTCAGACCGGGATTGGACCGCCAGGCTCGACTTTCTTGCGCACATGTCTCTCCTGTCTGTCTCCCAGCGGCACAGAACTGGGTTAACTGAGCGGGCGGCAAATCGATTTCCCCATCAACAAACACCCGCCAAGAGAAGCCCCTCGGACCCCTGTCTCTTCACATCTTCGAAACGGAAGTATTTGTGATCGACACGAGGGTAACGAGCCCGGCGATGGTGTCAGCCGCAGTCCCCCAGTCCCGCGGCCTGTTTCAAGTTCTTGAATAATTCGTTGACGCCAGCCTGGTTAGCCCGAGATTTGTCGGTCCCATCGCCATTGCCCATTATACGTTAAAGGACAGGGAATGAGGCAGGCCTCCCCTGCTCAAACCCCCTCCGGACCTGGCCCCGGCCGCTCTCGGCGTTGAGGAAATTTCCTTGCGCTTCCCAAGCCCCGGCCCTAAACCCGGTAGAGCCCCTGCTTGATCTCCGCGCTCTTCCACGTGGAGAAGGAGTGAGACCCCAGCCAACTGCAAGACATGCCCGGCACGCACCAATCCCGATGCCAAGACTATCGCCCCCAACCCGAGCCTCCCCGTCGTGCCCCAAAATACCCGACCCGTCCTGGCCGGTCAGGACCGCGATACGTATGCCTGGCTGACGGAACTTAATTTACTTGAACCACAGCGCTACCACCTAGTGTATATACAACTTCACCGTCCTCCCAAGCCTCCCGTGACCCCCTGTCGCCATGTGGTTGACAAGGGTCAGCCCGCATGGATCACAGACAGTGATCCTTGTAACCACGGTTGACAACGGCGAGACAGCTACGAGCCTCCATGCATGGATTGCGGGCGGTGGTCCTTGTGTGGACAGATGAGAGCCACAGGGATCCCAAACGGCGGACTTTAGCGGACTGTGAGGGCTTGTCCAAAGAAAGGCCATGCTGTGATCGACAATTCCCTATTCTTGGAGTGCCTCGTGTCCCAACCACGGAATTGCCCATGACTGAATGGACAGAGCTTTTGCTCGTCGGCGTTGTGTTTAAAAATTCGAGCCTGTCCCTACCTCGGGGACCATACTCACCACCCCGTTATCACCATCCAGTCGTGCTTGCAAACCCCCCACACAAACGAATACTCTCAAAAAAGCTCCAACCAGAGCAGCAGTTTCTCCAAACCGGAACCTCCACGTTATCCTCTTCCCCTTCCCGCTCGACGGGATAAGTGCAGATTCTCTTCTCTTCTCGCCACCGATCCAGCACCCACCAGTGACTAGCGGAGCATAGCTCAAACTCATAGCCCTTCCCAATGGACCCTCAAGACAACACAAAAAGCTGGACCACCCTCTTCGTCGAGAACGCCCAAAGCGAGAGGCAAAAGCGGGAGCAGCACACGGCAGATATACAACAGTCCATCCAGCACTACACCATAGCAGCCGAGGACAAGATCAAGGCCGCGCTGGGCCCGGAAGCGGCGGCTTTGCTTCCGGGTTCCACGGCTGCACCGCCAGCAAACCCGCCCGTATGAGGCTTAGGGATAATGATGTGACACAAGGGGACGTGGGGATTTGGTGACGCGGGGCAACAGCGGTGCATATTCCGGGGTAAGCTTGTGTGATACAGATCTTGCACTCGGTATCCTCATTGCTGACGTATTTCCTCCCTCAAAGGTTAATGGTGTTCAACGGTTTCTGGTTGGGTATACCGGGGAGTTTGGGACGATGGTCGGAACAATTGCTTGATTGTAATAATTCCCCTGGACATATTTCCTAGGTGATTTCCGGTGTCTTGGGTGGTGTTATGGACCGGTCCACTATGTAGATCTCAACTCATGCATAGGACGGAACTTTTCACAGTGGTCCGTCTCTCGAACAAGCAAGGAAAGGAAGCATATAACATCTAGCCATCGCCAATGGCATAATGGTATTGCAATGTTTTTCGTCTCCTTAAAAGTTCAACCAACGACCCAAACCCAACCTCCAATCACCAGGTCACGCCCTCCCAGCCCACCACACAACCACCAACACAAACCACCCTCCCCCAACCCACCACAAAAAGAACAATACCCCCTTCCCCCCTGCCGAAACCCCGAGTCCCCCCATCCCATCACCAAGGAACCAAGCAAACCCCAAAAAGAAAGCGAGGCGGTGTGGCTACCCGCATACGCCGGGGCCCACCTCTCCATGCGGGCACCCGCACGGAAGATGCCTTCTCCGCGCCCGCCGCGCGGTTTCCACCCCCTTTGAGGGAAACCACGCCGGCTATAAAAAAATGACGGGGAAAAGAAGAAAAAAGAGGGAGAGCCAATTATCGGTGGCGGAGACGGGGCCGGGAGCTGCGGCTGGTGCTGGGCGCGGGTGGGTGCAGGGTCGGTGAGAGGGGGGGGGGGGGGGGGGTGGTGGTGGGTGATATTGAGATGGGGTGTGGGGTGGTTGTGGAATGGTGGTTTTGATGGGTTGGGGGTTCTCTTGAGAGTTGATGCGATGATGATGGTTGTTGTTGTTGTTGTGGGTGGGTAACGTTGTGTCTTGAGAGGATGATAGGGGTTGCTGAGTTGGCTGGTCGTGGATGTATAACCCGCATTCTTTTCAGAAGTACCGTCGGAGATGTGAGGGAATGAGTAGAGAACCATGTGTGTGTGCCATGTATGTACTTCCTCTTCTTGGTCGTTGCGGTTCGATACTACGGCCCGTGACGTGATGGAGGGGGAGGAGGGTGATACACCGGTGTCATCCTGCTGCAAGTGCCCAGGCGGGTGGCCGCAGGGATGCTGTCAGCTTCGCTAGATACGGGTTGCGGCATGAAGATGGGGTAAAACAGGGAAAGATGTGACTGCCATTGTGACTTGGGGACTTATAAGATGATCGCCTTGAGACTGCCACCGGGAGACTGTTCTCTGTCCTGTAGCACGACAACCGACATTTTACACATCCCCAACAGCTCGTACTCTCTTCACTCGATTTTCACCAAACGGCAATATGCTCGCCAACGGTGACCCCGAAGTCTCCATCTCGCCTACCGAGGCTGCCGACACCCCTCGCCTAGCGCATGCCCTCGACAACAAAGCCGACGCAGGGCCAGGGGGAATGAACCAGGCAGCCGACAGCGCTTCTTCCACCATTGTCGACCTGGACCTATTTGGGCGTGGCGAAGAGCTCAGATCGTCTCTGTTTGCCGACTGTTTTGAAGTTGACGGAAGCTATACAACCGGTGGAAGTCTATTCTCGGGAGACCAAGGCACCACCGACACCTATGCATGGGCACTTGCGTCGGACGAAGCGCAAGCATGTGTTCGATGGTAAGTCGGGCTTCCCAGTGAAGACTCAAGAAACATGACTAACGAGCAGGGAAGCTTTCACGGGGGGGATAGCCCTTCCACCTGCCAGAAGTGTTTTGTCCAAGCCAGGTCCGAAAGAGTGTGGTCTGTCCCCCGAGGCGGCCAGTGCAAGGAGGACGACAAGAACAAGAAGCGCAACAGAGTCCGGGGACGACTTTGGGGAGATGGGGAACCATATCCTTATCCGCCTCGGGACAATCGAAGACCACGGGGGTCTGGTTCTCTCCAGTTGTCAGTGGGAGGCCCGGAGTCGCAGGAGGCTGGAGACCAGCCGTCGAGTGTAAAGGCTTAGTTGTCGTGGATTTATTCTGACATTTGGTCAATATAACTTGTGAAATAGCTTAGGAGTGAAATTGATGCTGATTTTTGAAGTTCAAAATCTTGATGTTAAGCTATATGCTTTGGTTGTTGGTGCGTGCTGTGTGTGCTTGGTGCCTCTTGAGTGGCTTTCACGCTGGCCCCCCCTGTTGGTTTGGGCGGGGTGCATGACTGAACAAACTCCATATTGTTGCCAACGGAGTAGGTTGCCTCTGAAAGTATTTTCAAGGATTTGACGTCTTCGATTCGGGTGAAACAAGCCTGAATTTAGGCCACAGCATCAACGGACAATTTGAGGCCGATGGGAAACTGCATCCGCCTTCAAATGCCGCCCGAGTTTGGTGTTTGCGGACGGGAGGAACTGGAAGGAGTGCCCCACCCCCACAACCCTGTCACTTTTAGCAGCGAGGTCGGCTGAGTGCTCCCAGCCGGTCCCCAGCAGGTCGCCGGGTGACTCAAACCCAGGCCAACCTTCATGGAAGCAAGGAGGCGGCGTCTTCTTGCCCTTTTGGGGATACAGGGAGGCCAAGCTCGTGGTATGTACATACCACAAACTCTAGGCAAAGATGGACACACGAAAGCCTGCCCTGCCGTGTCTTCGTGTTGGTACTGAGAGCAGCTTTGTCCTCGGAGTGACTCGAAAGCCGCATTCCTTAAATAACCCCTGCCCTTAACATTGACATAAACTCGGGATCTTCTACACTCTCCGAGACTCTCTCATCTGCCTTCTCCACCTTCCGAATTGATCCTTGGATTTCACGTTCCATTTCTTGCCGTTCCTTCCACAACCAGACCAACCCGAAACTTTCCACACGCACAGGAAACATGGTGTAAGTGCACCACTTTTTGCACGTCCTGACCAACATAAACCAAAACCAATTGGCCAGTCATAATCCCACAACAACTCCTGCCTTCCCTCCACAACACCTCTCCAAAACCTCCGCTTATAGCAGAATTACAAACAGCACGAGCAAACATACAACCTCCAAAATGGCGGAAACAATACCCATCATCGAACTCGACGGCCGAACAGGCGAAGGAGGTGGCCAGCTTGTGCGCATAGCCTGCGCGCTGGCGGCAGTCGCATCCCAACCAATTCGCATCACCAACGTAAGAGGCAATCGTGAATCTCGCGGTGGTGGCGGCGGTATGTTTATCTATCCATCCACTCACTTAGTCACTCAGTCACTCGTCCATCCATACACACACTCACTCGCCTACCCGTTCACACATCTAATCCTATACTTTTACTAACAAAAAAACCACAAAGGCCTCAAATCTCAACACGTCACCGCCATCCAGTACCTCGCCGAGGCGACGGGGGCCGACGTCTCCGGGCTATCCGCCGGCAGCCACACGCTCGAGTTCCACCCGCAACTGCGCCCCTCCGAGCTCGCGAGCCGCAGCATCAAGATCGCCGCCGACTCGCCGGCGGCGTCCACGATGCTGATCTTCCAAGCCGTGTTCCCCTTCCTGCTCCTAGCAGGCAACAGCAAGGGCGAGGCGGTCCGGCTGGAGATCTCGGGCGGGACCAACGTGTCCTTCTCGCTGTCGTTCGAGTACCTGGACCAGGTGCTGCTGCCGACGCTGCAGGAGGCCTTCGGCGTGCGCGTCGAGCGCCGCCTGCTGCGCCGCGGCTGGAGCCTGGGCAAGCAGCAGCGCGGCGCCGTCGAGTTCCGCTTCACCCCGCTCCGGCCGGGCGAGCCGCTCCGGCTGCGGAAGGAGGGGACCGTGTACGGCGGCGAAAATGCGCTCTTGGGGGACGTGGACGAGGTCGAGGAGATCGACGTCTCGATGATCGTCCCCGAGCAGATGCAGGAGTCGTTGGAGGGCGCGCTCGAACAGAACTTGCAGGATCTGTTCCCGAATGCGAAGGTTGAGTTCAAGCTCACAGAGGACAGCGGCGCTGATTCACGGATATACGTCCTGTTGGTCGCTAAGGCTAAAGGGGGGAAGGTGCGCTGGGGGAGGGATTCGCTTCAGTCGATGCCTAAGAAGCCTAGAGGCAAGGGGAAGGGTGGCTTGCCGACCCCCAGCGCGCTGAGCGAGAGCATCGCCGGAAATCTGTCTAGGAAGCTATACAGCGAGGTGGTAGTCGGTGGGGCGGTCGACGAATTCTTGCAGGATCAGCTGGTCATCTTCCAGGCTTTGGCCGAAGGCCGGACATCCTTTCCTCGAAGTGACGCTAAGGACGGCCTCGAGCAGGGGATGACAAAGCTAGCCATGGACGGGAAGATGTCTAAGCGGGCTGTGGACAAGCCATTCGGCGAGGGGAGCACCCACACATCCACCGCCCGGTGGGTGGCATCGAAGTTGCTACCGGATGTTGCATGGTACGGCGATGGTAGAGTCTGCGAGGGTGTCGGGATACACATGGAGAAGTAGTCAAGCCTTGGGTTTCAAGGGGTGGCTGGCGTTGCTTTATTCATGGGCGTCGTTGAGTTGGTGCTTGGGTTGAGGCGAGGCGGAGGCTAGTGGTTCAAGTGTCTTTCTGAGCGTTAGTAACTGATACCCAAGAAGCGTCAGGCAATAATGAACATTAGAGAATTTCTCCAACCAAAGGAATGATGGTGAACCAAACAAAACACGGCGAAGGGAAGGTGTGATGCTAACCCATACCGACTGTGCATGTAAAATCATGGCCCTATGCTGTCATGCTCTCATTATCGTATTCCACACATGATTCATCTATGACGCTCGTACGCCTCGGCTTCCTTCTGGCGCGCTTCGACCAGCTCAATAACCTCCTGGCTGTAGAGGTCATCCAGCTTCTTGTTTCCAAGGAGCACCTCCTTTTGGTGTCTGACGGCTTCCTCCTTGGTCAAACAAACCAGGTCGCGGAGCTTGAGACTGGCCGACTTTTGCTCATCATTCCCTTCTCCGATCCGAACCAGAGTGGTCCCCTGAGGCTTCTTCCACCGGATTAGCATGAGCTTGGTCGGGATGCCAGTGACGGCGCTCCTGCCCCGGAAAGCTTCTTCGACGAGGAAAGCAACGTCGCCGGGCGTAATGGGCACCTTGAGGCCGATGCAGACGTCTACCCGGCCGCCCTCAAACATGCGGACGACCTTCTCCTCGCTGGCTTGGACGTATGCCAGAATGGCATCGTACATCTTGTCGCGGGCCTTGGCTGGTTGGTAGTCCATCGGATAGCCTAGGAGGTTAGCTATTGCTAGGTCGGCGGTGGAATTCGGCTTACCTGTAATCTTGAGAATAACGTGGTTGGCCGCGACATATCCAAACACAGCCGGCATGGTGCCCAAGACGGGGAGGATCCGCACGCGGAAGTCAGCCAGGACACCGAGGTCGCCCACCGACCCCTTCTGGAATTCTTCATCAGCAAGCGGCAGCAATGCCGCCTTGCCCTCGCCCATCTTCTCAGTCGAGTACACGACCGGGATCCCGCTAGTGATACCCTGCAACTTCAACCGCCTCCTCGTCGCCCTCGACAGCCCATCCTCAAAGCTCGCCCCAATATCCCCCACCATCACCCTAGTCGGATCACTCTTCGTCCCGGCCCCCATAGCCGAGATCACCGGCAGGCCCTCGTCATGGCAATACTTCAGCAACTCAACCTTGCTCTCAATATTATCAATCGCATCGATCACAAAATCCGGCCTCCTCCCCTCCTCCCCCTCCCACCCCTCCAACACCACCCCGGCCACACCCGCCTCAAACTTCTGCAACCGCAAATCAAACCGCACCCACGGCGCGACCGCCACCAGCCTGCGCTGCAGGCACTGCACCTTCGGCAAGCCCACATCCGCCAGCGTCGCGACCGCATGCCGATTCAGACTACTGAGCGTAACCTGATCAAAGTCCACCAGCCGCAACCGCTGCACGCCCGAGCGGGCCAGCGCCGCGCACGCGTGCGAGCCGACCCCGCCGCACCCGACCACGACGACGAAGGCGTCGCGCAGTTTATGTAGCCCGGCGTCGCCCAGGAATACCCGGTTGCGCGCCAGCTGCTCGAGGATCAGCTCGTCGTCGAAGTCGCCGTTCTGCGCGCGGTGCGCGAGCGCCTGGTTGTGCTCGTCTTCTTTGTCGGGCTTGGGGAGCGCGCCGATCCGCGTTACCTGTGGTGGTGGGGGGAGGGGTCGGTTAGTGGGGGGCGGTTTGGTTTGCGGGGTGGGTAAGGTTTGAGACGTTGAGGGGTTGCGTACTGATTGGAGAGCTGGGTCGGTGTCGCCGGGCTGCGGGATGGATTGCTTCAGGCGGGAGACCCGGTCGCCTTCTTGCAGGCGCTGGTAGCTGAGGATTGCGCCGGCTGCGACGGCGGCTGAGACGACGGCGGTTGCTGCCAATTGCACTTTTGGGTTGGATGTAAGGGAGGACATGACGGCGTTAATGGGGGGTTTATGTTTTAAGCCAATGTGTTATGGAGTCCCGTGTAGCATTCTCTGCGATATGGTAGACAATTGGATGGCGAGAGACACAATGGTTTGTTTAATGGTGTTGTTGACTTTAGCTAGGTGGGATCGAAAAATCAATCCAGATCTTGTGCCAAAATCGTGGTTTCGTCATTCATCTGAACAGGGGTAGCTCTGCCGAGACCCTTAGCGCTATGCCTGATATAGGTAGTTAGCGCTACTACCCCCGCTATCTCCGCCCGAAGACCCCTCGAGGATTCCACTTGGCAGGCACGGTGGCACAGGAGGCCCTCCATCCCATTTGGCCGTTCATGAAAACACAACTTCACAACAAACGCTGACTGCCCGTCAATAACTCTCCAGCCTACTCATCAACATGCCCCTCATTTATTTGGGTATATTGTATAAACCTTGAGCATGAGACATGTCCATGTGGTCTACAATTCCTCACCCCGCCTTTTAGGCTGGAATGAGCATCACTGCCTGACTGACCTCCTGCGACATCATGGCCATTGCATGTGGAAGGAAAGCTTACCGGAGAAGGAAATTTACATAGTATTGGGGGTAAGCTTCTAGGCCGGGCTTATTTTCCTGATGTTTTATACCCTTAGATACCTATTTCTCGAGGCTGTTGTGTTTCCTGACGTCGCAGCGGGATCCCTGTCCGGATCGTACTCGTCAACGCTGATAACCGGAATCGCATTCGGGTTCGCATTCAAATGCTACTGCCGGTGCATGTCCAACCCCGAAAGAATGTCGCATTCGAATCCGGGTTTGAGGCCCCCCGCATCATCCAACGTACTCGGAACTATGTACGAATATCCTATGGACCAACGTATTGTTCATGCATGTTGGTTCACCCTAGCACAGTAGCATCCACCCAGATGCTCCGGTCAGACTCGGGTAGCACTCGAGGCTCGACCTCAGCCTTGAGAGAACCCCTGATCTACCCCGCAATCTAGAGGACTGAAGATGTGGGACCCATTCGTGAAGGTAGACCTCGTGGGGGCTATAAGAAGGCCTCCCGTCCCTCCTCTCAGGTTGAACTCGACACCGCACAAGCCGACAAACATCCCGAGCTCATAAGATTGCAGAACCGAGACCTTCTTCATAAACGCCCAAGAGCCTGACCGCCCAACGGCTTCAACCACAAACAACAACAAGATGACTTCAGCCCAGGGCAAGACTGTCATTGTCACCGGCGCCGCCGGCGGTCTCGGCAAGGCCATCGCAACCGCCTTCCTCGCAGCAGGTGCCAACGTTGCCGTTTGTGACGTTCACGACGAGCGTCTCGCCTCGGTCGATGAGGAATGGTCCAAGTCATACCCCGGCAAGTTCCTGACGCGGAAGACGGATGTCACAGACGAAGCCTCTGTTCAGACTCTCGTCGACGATGCCGTCGCCAAGTTCGGCCGTCTCGACGTCCTTGTGAACTCGGCAGGGATCATGGATGGGTTTGAGCCCGCAGGTGCTTGCTCCAAGGAGAAGTGGGACCGTGTGCTCAACGTCAACCTCAATGGGCCCTTCCTTACCACCAAGTCGGCCATTGACCAGTTCGAGAAGCAAGAGCCCGGCTGCAGTGTCATTATCAACATCGGCTCCATCGCCAGCGTCCACGGCTTCAAGGCCGGCGCTGCCTACTCTGCCTCCAAGGCCGCCCTCATGTCGCTGACCAAGAACACGGCTGGCTATTATGGAGACAAGAGCATATACTCCATCGGGCTAATGCTAGGCGGTAAGTCACCAGCCTTTATCCCCAAGCCCTCCCAAAACTGCCTAAGGTAGGCATAAGAAAGACAACTAATAGATTTATTCAGGGATGGACACCAACATCACAGACGCATTCGCCCAGGGGATGCACACGGAGGCTTTCCAAAAGGTCGGGGCCTCGCAAGCCCCCTTCCGCCCGGAGTACCAAGTACCCATCACCTCGGTGGCCAAGTACTGTCTTTTCCTGTCCGACCAGGACATCGCCCCTTCTGCCAACGGGTCGTGTATTATGTTTAACAAGAACTGGCCCGAGGCATGAGGTGGCAGTGGAGTGGTAGGTGGCGAAGGTTGAGTGTCGATTTAGAGTGGGACTAGAGAAGATCCAGGAAACATGCAACTAGATCATGGCCATAAAGCAGTTCTGGGAAAAGTTACTTAGAGTCTAAATGCAAACCAATCCGGAGAGTGAACAAACCCCCCTATGCAGCACCATAAGGCACATCCAAATACCACCAGTCACCAGCTGCGAGCAACAAATTCGAAACACCACATACGATTCGTCCCCAGAAACACTATCGAGACTACAACTACATTGACTACCAGGGCAAGGGAGCGTCGAGAAAGAAAACCAAGCCAATAACCAAGCCAACACGCGGAGACAGATCAACCAAAGCCCTCTCACAACTTGTCCACCCCCCAAAGAAGAAACCCCAGCCATCTGCCTCTCATCCCCCATCTCATCTCAACTCCTCCAGTTGGCGCACGGCGCATGGCGCTACCGCTTAGTGGTAGCGGGGAACGCAGTACGGGCTCTGGTTCTGCCAGTTCATCTTGCAGACCTGGTTCCAGGGGCAAGGGCCGCCATACTGCATCAAATCAAAACACCCACGGTCAGCACTCAATTCCCCCCCCCAACCATCTCAAACCCCCCCGGCAAAGAAAGAAGGAATACTCACAACCCAGTGGCCCGAATAATCGCAAACCCTGAAGCCCTTGTTGGTGGTGGTGCACGAGTAGGTACCCGGGCGGCACTCGGTGGGCGGCGGCGGCGGCCAGTAGTGGTTGGCGCCCGCGGCACCGGCGGCCTCGGCACCACCGGCGGCATCGGCCTGGGGGGCGGCGGCGGCCGGCTGGGCCTGCTCGTCGACGGCCAGGGGAGCGGCCGCGTTGGGCTCGGCGGCGTTGGGCATGACGGCGGCGGTGGCGGCGGCGGCCAGGGCGAGGAGGGAGAGGAACTGCATTTTGGGTGGTGGGTTGGTTGGTTGGTTGGTTGGGTTTGGTGGTAGTGTTGTTGTTTTGAGTGGTTGTGGATGTGAAGATGTGTTGGAAGCTGGTGGTGAGAGAAAGGAGAGGGGATGAGTTGGGTGATGGGGGTGGTGGTTATATACTTCTTGACCTCGTGTTTAGATTCCCGTTGAGTGCTCGACAACTCTCCCTACGTGCCATACGAAATGAGTGTTTAAGTGTTTTGGTGGTGATTAGGGCTGCTGGAGAATGCTGGTGGTCGAATGTCTCGGATGCCCCTAGCCCGACCAGTCACCCCTAGATAAGACACCATGCCGAGCAACGTGCCTCAACGCAGAGTAATAATACCAAAACGCAATTCTCAGGCCACGAAAAAGAATGTCCCGAGAACCCAGTCGGGCCTTTTTACTTGGCCACTCTAAAATAAGAAAACCGGCCCTCAACCTCGCTGACGATTGCAATGCAGGGCGAACTACTCTTCCAAGGACGGCCTTTTGAGCATTCCTGCGCGCGTAAGTTGCATTTCAAGATCCAACTTTTCGTTCATATTGTTAGACTCTTGGTATCCAAAAGTCTGCCCGGCGTAAGCCTATCGCCCAGCCTCAAGCAACTGCTTGGCCGTGTCCCTCAACTTGAACTTCTGAATCTTACCGCTCGCCGTCTTGGGGTATTCCGTTACAAACCAAATATGCTTCGGCACCAGATGACTCGACAGATGCGTCCTCACCCACTCGCGAACGCTCTCCTTAGTCAAGACCTCCCCCTTGCCCGCCGTCTCTGCCTCCTCGTCCGTCGCAACGCCCTTGTGCGCAATGACAAACGCGCCCACGCTCTCCCCATACTTTTCATCCGGCACGCCGATCACGCTGACCTCGGCCACCAGCGGATGCTGGAAGAGGCAGTTCTCGATCTCCAGCGGGTGGATGTTCTCCCCGCCCCGAATGATCAGATCTTTAATCCGCCCCGTGATCTCCACATACCCGTCCTTGTCCATGCTCGCCTCGTCCCCGCTGTACATCCACACCTCCTCAACCCCCTCCTCGTCCGTCTCCACCCGCCTGACCTCCTCCGTCCTCTCCTTATCCCCCCAATACCCCTTCATCACCAGATACCCCGCCGCCGCCAACTCCCCCCTCTCCCCAACAGGCACCACCCGCCCCGGGTCCAGTGGATCCACAATCTTGACCTTGGTATGCGGCATGACCTTCCCCACACTCCGCGTCCTCCGATCGAACGGGTCCGTCGGCGCCGTCATACAGCTAACAGGACTGGTCTCGGTCATACCATAACAAATCACCAAATCCTGCAACCCCAACGCCGCGTACAACTTGCGCATGATCGACTCCGGCACGGAGCTGCCCGCGCCAATCCCCTTGCGCAGATGGCTGGGCAGGGCAGCGGCCTGGGCGGCGGGGAGCAGGTGCGGGTGGTGGTGCAGCAGCTCGAGCATGGCGACGAACATGGTGGCGACGCCGTAGAGGCCCGTGGCGCGGCGGGCGGCGGCCATGCGCAGCGCCGCGCGCGGGTCGAAGGCGGGGGAGGGGAGTAGCAGCGCCGCGCCTGTTGTGGCTGTCGCCATGTAGCCCAGCACCGAGCCGAAGCAGTGGAAGAGCGGCGGCGGGCAGACGATCAGGTCGGATGGGTCCAGCCCCATGCGGTGGGCGATCAGCGCGCCGTTGTTGAGGATGCTGGTGTGGGTGAGCATGGCGGCTTTGGGGTGGCTGGTAGTGCCGCTGGTGAATTGGATGTTTACTGGGCGGGTGGGGTTAGTAATGGTTAAGGAAGATACGTAGACCTATGAAATAAAACATTGATAGGTGAACTGGGCTGCTACTCACTTGTTTCGGTCGGGGACAGTGGGGAGTCGGGGGTAATGGTGCGAGCGGCAAATGTCGAGGAGGAGGCGCGGACGGCGGTTAGGTCTGGTATGAGGGAGGTGAAGAGAGCCAACGAGCGGAGGGAGGCCAATGGTGGAAAGCCACTCAGTGGATGGGAAGCAGAGTTGTCGACTACTACGACCGTTTTGAGCGAGGAGACCTCGGGCGATTCAATGCGCCCTGACTCAAGATCCGGGACGATGGTTTGTAGCAGCGGGAGGTTACTTCGCCCGCGACAGGGCTTGTAGGCGAGATCAGTGACAGCGCCGATGATCATCAGCTCGACCCCCAAATGATTGAGGGCGGCAGTGACCTGCTTGGCGTTGAATCCTGGGTTCAATGGCACAAGGATAGCCCCGAGCTTGAAGATGGCGTAGGTAAGGGCGGCAAATTCTGCAGAGTTTCCCAGGCTCACGGCAACACGATCGCCCTTCTTCACGCCCAGGGAGCGTAGGGAGTGCGCTAGCGCATTGGACGCGAGGTCGAGCTTCTCGTAACTGAGGGTTGTTTCCAGAGCCGGAGGGACGGCGTCTGCGGGTATGTTCGGGAGCGCATCGTGGGTTGTGGTCGGGGTGCGGGAGATGACGGCTGGCCTGTCACCAAACTCTTTGACGATGGAGCTGAAGTGCTCGGGGATAGTATGAGGGAGCAAAGGTGGCTAGTTTCCATTAATATCAACCTACTACCTAGTAACCATCGACTCGAACCGGTGCACTTCTTACCTCTGGTGGCCCTTGGTAGATACTCCGCGTCAAGGTGCTGACCGCCCTTACCGCCCTAGCTGGAACCCGAATGCGTTTCCTCAAAGGTCCGCCATGTAGCCTCGAGGCGCAAAGTATTGTAGTCGCAGACCGTGTCCGAAGACGCATTGTAACTGAATGCTTCTTCGCTTTCCTTCTTTTCTTGTCGGTCACGTAATTCCACCAAACAGTTGAAACAAGGCACGATGTCGGGTCGCCGCAAGATGCTTGAAATACGAACCAGGCACATGAACTAGATTGAAAGGCAAAGAGAGGAACCACATGTCATTCACCAGCGGGATCTTCGTCGATTGATCAACCCGCGATCAACCTCCCGACCCCTCGTGTCACACAGCGCGAAGGCCGAGGCAACCTCTTGAACAGGGAAGGTCCAGAGGTTCGGTGTTCTTGGCAGTTGGAGAGAATGCGGGGTGCAGGATTCCCCGCAGCAATGGCTTGGCAGGCACTGAGAATGTTGGGGTTGAGAGGGTGTTGACCGCCCCCCTTTTTGAGTCGAGAATTAGGGGTTGGGCAACATGTTTTGTTTCCTCCTTTGTTCCAAACTAATGGTTCGTATGCTCGTTGTGTAACCCTCTTGAGATGGAAACAAACCGCTACCAAGTACATCATCCGTTGATGTCATCAGCGAGCTGTCAATGTGGAGACACCGAAGTCGGTCCCGCCATTCTCCATGATTTTCAGCGGGAAACAACCCGACCATCCATACTCCGTACCTCGAAATACAAGGCATCAATTGATGCACCTCTACGGAATGTGGACATTAAGTCTTCGAAGGCTTCCAACAGGATGATATTAGGGGACATGCTTTTGTTTCAACGGCGATGCCGGTCGATTGTCACCTCAACTGTCTAAAAGTCTACCGACAGAAGTTAACGAGATGGACATGGTAAATCATGTTCGTCAGCCACTCCGACCACCCCCAAAGCGCGCGTTGCTGGCCCGCAGAATGAAACGCGCGGCCCATCAACAACCAGCCCCAGCTCCGCCTCCTGTTTCTCCCGGCCCACCCGCCGGCCAACGTCAGACTGGCCGCGTGTCACCGCAAAAGTAAGATGCTCACCCTCGCCCCAGTGTCTATGCTGTACAAACACTCCAAAAAGAGCACGGAGCAACCCGCAGTTTTCTGTACACTTTCTAACCCCCCCAGCACACGCTGTCCTGCCAGCCAGAACCGTCTGGACACAATGCAAGTTGCTGCCACCATAAGAACGCCGAGCCATGCAGTTTTGGTAAGATGAAATTAAAAGAGGATAATGGTCGTAGTCGAGGGGAAAATAAAGTAATATCGTAACGATGGGACAAACGATGTCGGAGAGCTAGCCGGTTTGCTCGCCGATGTGCCGCTCGCTTTCGGGTTTCCATGTGCCTGTCACAAACCGAGGTTAGCACTCGCGCGTCGTATCTCAAGAAAAGAGGAAATGCGTACCCTCAAAGTCGTGCTTCACAAATGCCATGGGGTCGTCATAGTCCTTGGCACCCATCTGCTCCACCCCCGGCGAGAAGCTGGTGATGGGCAGGACGACGACGTCCCCGACCCGCCGCGAGGTCTCCATGCCCGTAAAGTTGTTCCAATCGATCGGCCCCGTCGAGTGGCTCATGTCAAAGAACCTCTCGTCGTTGAAGTAGTCAAAAATGACGTCGGTCCAGAGCGCGGGGCCGGTGAACTCGATGACGCTCTTGTTGTTGAGACCCTTGAGCGACCCGTCCTTCTTGCGCTCCAGCGTGCGGTTGGTGATCTGCCTGACGATCTCGCGCAGGACGGGGTGGCCGGCCTTGGCCTGGATGGTCCACTGGCAGAACTGGATGCGGCGGCTGTACCACTCCTTCCAGTCGGGCCGGTCGGGGTCGGCCTCGATGCCGATCACCAGGCCGACGGTGTCGCGCGGCACGGCCGCGGGGATCCAGTCGACGGCGCTGCGGAGCGCGTAGGTGTCGATGTCCGAGTAGATGCCGCCGCGCGCCAGCAGGATCAGGTAGCGGAAGAAGTCGGCCTTGAGGACGGGCAAGGGAAGCGCGTCGTACGCCTCGAGCACCTCGGGCACCGACGCGTACAGCAAGCGGATCAGGTTCACGGCCACCTGGTCCGTGATGACCTCGTGGATGAAGCCCGGGTGCTGCTCCGTCCACGTCGCCTCCTGGTCGCGGAAGTCGAACTCGCCGTGCGCGGGCGTCCATTTCCACGTCTGCCAGATGTATGCGGGGAACTTGGTCTCGACGTCGTAGGGGAATTGGTAGGCGAGCTTGTCGTAGAGCGTCATCTTGGACATGTCCTGCATCGTCTGCTGTCCTTGGGGCGCTGGTCGGTGGCGGTTCACCCCGGCGGGTGGGACCGCATCGTTCGGCGGGACGGTCTCTTGCGAGCTCTCCTTCGGATTGGAGCCGGGGTCAGAGTTTGTTTTTGGATATTCGACGGCTAGCGACGAGGCGGCTGGCGATGTCGATCGTGTCGTGAAGAAAAGGATCGTGATGAAGATTGCCGCGGCCACAAGGGCGCGGCGGAAGCTGAGCATTGCGCCGAATTGCTCGTCTCCCACGACCCAACTATTTTAGCTGCCCTGCGTTGAGTATTTGAACGCTTAACGTAGTATCCGCGGCGGGCCGAGAAGTAGTCGTGTGAACGGAAGGGCTGAAGCGGTGTCTGCGCCTCGTCTCGATCTCGAGTCGGGATGGATAACGCCGGTGGATGCGAAGAGGGAATATCGGGGCGGTGAAGCAACGAGGAGAATGAAAACCGAACAAAAAAGAAACAATAAATTGGCCCCGTCGCACAAATTCGCGTCAGGAATCGAGAAATCGGTGGTTGCGAAAAGTCGGTCCGTCGGCGACTCTTGCGAATGCTGCCCCTTGATAGGTAGCGTGACAGGGGAGCTTGCGAATTGCTGGGTGGAGAAGACTCGGATGGGCAGGGGTTCAAATCCGTGGGCCGCCGTTGATCATACCTGGATTTCAAGCCAGACAATGAATGACTGACTTTGGAAAACCCGGCCACGAAGATCGGGGCCAGGAATTTGTGACAACCAGGGATCGCGACAGGCGGAATACCTCGCGCGACCTGCTAAATTTGGACTCCCACCGGGTTTCACAACCAGCCACGTCTTCTTTCGGACGGGTGTCGCTGTTGTGGCCTCATATACCCAACTGTCTTGGTCAATATGCGGTCGAGGGGGCCCACGAGTTGAACACGCCAAAACTGCGGCCTCTCCTCCCCTTCTAGAACGATTTCAGGGTCGAGGTTCGGGTTGAGATGAAGATGCCAAGGGGGCGCGTGTCTGCTGGCCGAAGAATGTGGGGGGCAGTGTCATCCGAGACAGGGAGAATTCTTGGCGGCGTCCAATGACGTTGGCTGGCCTGTGCAATGGCACCGTTGGCCTAAGCGAACAGTATTTTCTCATAGGTGTCCTCGGTGTCGTCTCCCTGAACAATGGCCATGAGTGGCTGGCGAAAGTAAGATGGCAGCGGCTTTCCCATGGTAAAAGGATGAAGGAGTGCTCGAATGGATCTGCCGCGTCGAGATTACACGTCATCCTCCTGCACCGGAGCCATGCTTCCCCCCGTTTCCGAGTGCCGCTTCACACCACAACGACCCCGGTCTCACTTGAGCGGCAACTCCCGAGGATTCTTCCAGGAGCACAAAGCTCTGAGCACAAGAGTGCTGTCACGAAGTCAAGTCATTTCGCTCAGATTCGAGGATCTCACGTTTTGGACGGCTTTGAAGCCCTCCTTTGTGGTTCACCTTCGGGCGCCTCCGCTCAGCCCCATGTTTTCTCCCGCGTGGTTGCCGTTTCTGGTCACTTCCCGACGATCGACTTGACGATCTGCTTCCTTGTTTGTGCGGATTGAGGGTGGGGTTCCCCAAACTTGAAACGTGTGTTACCCCTTGGCCCTTGCAGTCGCCGATGCGCCCACACGCGGCCAATGTCTGCCAAGCAGTCATTGCAGCAGCGAATCCATCCGATGCTGAAAAGCCGAACTGTCAAACCCCACCGCTTCATCTGTGAGCGATATTTCAGCCGAATTGCAGGATGAGTGAAATTGTTGATCACTTCCGTGTCTGAGGAAGAACGGTCCCCGAAACTCCCGACACACAACAGCTCCGAACAGCCGTCTTCTTATCTCTGAGGAGACACCGAAACCAGACCTGTCACCCACAACCGGACCTGGCCGGCCCGACGCCCGGCCAACCCTTCCATCCACTCAGATTCTCTCCTATTGGCCTTTCGACAAAATCCAGTTGCCAAATCCGACTCCAGACCCTTTTCAGCCTCTCGACTGCAGCCCCGCTCTGCTCTTCCCCTTCGGGCGCAGGGCGGGTGCGTGCGTGCATGTGCAAATGCCTGCTGGGAGGGTAAGCTGTACATAACCGTACATTTTTCACTTCGTACGTAGGATAGAAACAACATGCACTTTGCAAGTTGAATGTGTCTGTTTGCATTTCTCCTCAACCACGAGTGGGGATAGTCAGGTAGGTCATCATTTTGCATCGCCGAGAACGTTGTGGACACTTGTGGCTCGAGACAAAGAGTAACCTGGAAACTTGATTGCTCATGAGAGCTCCGTCTCTATCGCTCTTTGGAAGTGACAAGGCCAGGTAAAACATACCGGACAACGATACCTCGTGCCTTGGGCTCCTCTGCTTCGCCCACACCTCGGCAGGCAGGGCCAGCTCTCGTAGGCAGGGCAAAGCAGCCCAACCGAGCTCTCCTGACCTTGTGAACACGCCCCAAAATATAGGTAGTATTCCCATACTATGACAGCTACATTGTGAGGGGCCCATTCTGTCCCTTGCCGGTGAGATCCTGCTCATAGTCGTCTCTTCCCCGCCCTGAAGTATACGACGGTTGTTGTCCTACCAAGTGCGCTCGACCTTTAGGACTAAGGGTCTCGTCAACACGGCGACGTTGTGTCCTCGCGGAGACCAGATTTATCCCCCTTGGATCATGCACTGGGTCACTTTCGGCGCTTTACTGGCAGTTTGTCCGTCTTGGGCATCCTCGCATCCTTCCTCCTTCTCCCAAGGGGGAGCCTGACGTAGAGTTTTCGTGGACAGTTGCGCTAGGCGCGCAATGCCGTCTCATTCGTTGTTAAGGGCAGTTGACTCGCATAAAATTTTTGACACCTTTTCATGACCCGTATTAAACTTTTTGACACAAGTGATGGACCGTTCAGGACGGGTGGTAAGCGGGTTGATACTTCGTACACCAGGGTGCAGGGACATTCCTGCTCGGGTACATACATTGCTTCTCCTGTGTACGCCATGCAAACGAGCAGATACAGCCGTCCTGTCGTGAAACCGGTGGATTTCACCGGTCCGCTTGTCTGTCCTTCGCCCAGCCTGTCTGTCCTTCGCCCAAGTTGTAAACAAGATTGAACGAGAAGAGGAGAGACTAGCATCGTGGGAGGGAAGGCTTGACGACGTAGCTGGTTGCCTTGCTGTGTATTGCATCATCAGCGGGTCTCTGTTACTCCTCCCGGGACTGACACATGTTCGCGAAGGGTTTCGGTTGAACCCGAGTCACGATATCCCAATCTTGCACTATCTTCCGCAGCCTTACGTAGCTGTCAAAGGCAAACAACACGTTGAAAGGTCTAGGCGCAACAGCTGAACGCAGTTGTTGCCTCGTTTGGTGCCCGGTCTTGCACGTTGCCTTTTTTAGGCCTCTTTTACGACATGACGATTGGCCCGATCGACGCTGCAAGCGGGAGCGGCTCAACCTTCCGCGAGAATGACGATAGATGTGTGCGGGGTCCCGAGATGCCTTCAACCTGCAGGTCGTACAGAAAAGGTTGGGGATCGAAGCGCGCATACCGCAGCGGGGCGGCTAACCTGAAACCTGAGGCATCTATCGCCAGCCTGCCTCGAGCAGATGGATCGAGGCATCAAATAAATGCAGGCAACCGGGCAAAAAGCCCTAGGTACCAGGCTCAGTAGGTCACATACACTGTGCCGAAGCATTCCACACCGAAAGCGAATCAGCAGAACAAACATGCCAACGATCGATTGCACTGTCACCAACCCACCCGTTCTTCGGTTGCCTTCGAGGCTGGCCTTATGGTCCCTACACTTGAGAACCAACGCTGAATGACTTCGCGAGTGTTGGGTGGCTCTGGGTCTCATTGGAAGCAATAAAAAACGTCGAGGCAGCCAGGACGAGAGAAGGCAACCACATGTCCGCTTCCTCATTGGTCAGGCGTCCAAGCCCGACGTCATGCAGAGATTGGGAAATGTGACCTGTCTCTCGCAGCGACAAGTTTGTTCTAGGCTTGCGAGGCAACAACACCTTTAGCTTCCCCGCTAGGTACCTTACCTACCACTGACCGAACGGGGCGTCCTAGGTCTGGCAGTAGTGCAAGTACAATTGTGAGAGAGTCCAAAGCCCGAACACACTTAATAGGTATGGAAGATGCCGTGTAAAGATTGCCTGCTTGTATACGTCATTGTCAGACCAAAGGCGACCTCATCGTATCGGGCGTGGTAGGTTGAACAAGGTGTTTCGGAGAGGTAACTTTTGGGGTTGCCCGTTGGTACCTTCGTTGCTTCTGCCTCTGGATTCAGCCCCGTTTTTCGATCGGCGCCCGGCCGGAATTCCGTATGGGTGCCTTCTCGGCTATGGGTATCTGCATGACCTCTTGTATGTCTTGGATCGGGGACAGTAAACCGAAGTAGGCGCTTCTCGGCCCCGGATGTCCATGCCTGGTTTGCCTTCGTCGGCCGATGCAAGGTCCGGGGAGCCCCCTGGGAAGTCTCGGAGCACCGGGTCGGCCCCGCAGGTCCGGGAATCCCCACATCCCGCGGCCAGTCGGGGGCTTGGCATCGGTAGTGAGGGCATGCTTCTCAGCTCGCGCCGAGAAAAGTTGCCTGATGTGGCGATGCTTTTTGATGTTCAGCTCCCCGTCTTTGCGTTTGCTATGTACATAGTAGAGAGTCTCTCAGTGAGGCCCGTTGCGGGGATCGAGAGCCCAACATGAGTCGGGACGTCTCTGCGTTGCCTTTACTAGCAGCGCCTTGTGGTTGAAGGGCAGTAGTATCAGAGGAATTACTCACTTTTAAAATAGGATAGTAATATAGTTAGGCCGCGGTCAGCAACTTGCGAGTTAACTGAACGCTTTCTCGCCGACAAGCACACCGTCGGGCGCCGGGATTCCAGACGGGATTGAAGGCTAAAAGTGGATCAATCCCGGTCCTCTGAGCTGCAGTGGAGTCAGGGGTTGAATTAACTCGTCGGTTGCCGCGGTTACCGCGGTTACCGCAAGCTTGACTTTTTTACCCCTGAATGTCCGATTTCCACCCAAATTGCCCACACCGGCGCTATGCAGAAGATAAATAACCTTGGGTACCGACGGGGTGGAGCGGAGTCGGGCGTCAACCTTTCTAAAGGGTCGTTAGCGATGGGAAAGTGCAGGATGTTGCAGCCGTGAGACCGGTGTATGCAAGATGTTAAATGTAAACCCGAAGTCGTCGTGGTACCCAAGCAGGCCCGTAGTTGGATTGACAGCGCCTCAGACACGGCATAGCTCGTTTCGCAGAGGTGTGTGGGGATGAGATGAGGGTGGACAACGGCAGACGACGCCACTGAGTGGCAATGGAATAAGTAGGGAGGCAACTTTCAAGCCGGCGAGCTGCCGTTTCAAATGAGATTCCTTCCGGTTTTGGCTTTCTGTTTGTCGAGATAGGGGATGAGACGATGCATGTTTGACATGTCTGCACCCGACAGTGCGAAGTTGATCCGGCATCTTGCATTTGAACTCGATGTAGAATAAAACAGCAACACATGTATGTGCACCTTCATCTCGTCAGGGCGACACTCATCGATGGCACTAATCTGCAACTAAAGACATCAATGACAAACTTGTCGTCTTCCAATCTGTTACAAGTTTCCCAACCGAATACGCGACAAAGGGAAAAAAGAAACGTGGTGGCTTGAAGGGGCTCTGGGAAGGGGGGAAGGGCTAGTCCGTGATAAGTAAGAGTAACTCAATGAGCCAAACCCGGTTTGATACTAAAGGTTCGAAGCCCAGCTGAGGCCCGAATGGTGGCCAACTAGCCAAGGCCAACTAAGCCGGAGTTGCCACATCAGTGGCGAGAAAAAGGGTAGAGCCAGGAGGCCGTTCCCGGTTGATAAACCGGCTGCGTCGTGGAGTCCCCCTGATTATCTTCAAGCTCAACATATTCTGGAAAGGTACCCTCGATGGCACAGTCATCCCACCCTTCCTCTTCTTGTGCCTGGTCTGCCCCGTCGACTCGGTGGCTTGCAGCGACATCAAGATCGCCTGGTCGGTCGTTCGATTCGGGTTTGTTGGGATCCTCGATGTCGAGAGTCTGAGGATACGGACAAGGGGTATGAATCCCGAGTGGGCCGGGAATATCGAAATAAGCGCCATAATATCCATGGGCCTCGCCCTCCATGGCACCTTGAGACATCACGTAGTCTTTTGGGTCTGCCTCCCAGGGCTCGACGGTATTAGGGGTGTCGGTATGGTTCCTTTTCTTTCTTCCATATTTTGTTGTTTCCTTCTCGGTATACTCTTCTTCGATGAGTGTTGTGCGTTCCGATCTACGAACCAGCTGTTAGCTCCTCGCTTACGGGCTGGGGATGGGGGCGATGCTCACTGAGAAGGAAACACGCGTGTCGATTCCCCGTCACCATCATCATGATTGACATGGTTCATAGGTTCAGGGCTCGCCGTCATGTAGCACCACCCTTGGTTGGAATAAGTAGGCGAATAAGCCCACTGGTTCGAATCCATCTGTGGGGCGCTAAATCCCAGCGGCGGTGATGGGAGAGAGCTGTTCCCGTGAAAGGGGGCGTGGGGGGGAAGCGGTGGCTGATGACTCGGACCTGGATCCATCGAAGAGTCCGATAAACTTGTGAAGCCGACGGACGATGTTCGCCCAGCAGATGTCGGATAGGCCGCTGGGAGTCTCATGGCGCCCGACACCGAGATGCGCGATGGGTCGGAAGGATACCGGTTGGGCACCGAGCTGTCGTACGCACCGGATCGATGTCTCTTGTCGGTCATGATGGAGAAGGCTGTTGTGATCTGAAGGTCTTTAACGAACTCTTCGAGCGACTATGGCGACTGCTTTCCGACACAAAGAACGCCGTGCTGTTGTTGAGGGTGGCAAAAGGGGGAGGGGATGTGTTATACGCTTTGGGCAGCTCATTTTGAACAACAAGGCAACCGATGGAAGAACGAGGCGTCTATTGATGGAAGCGGTGAAGCTGGCTCAGGGACCTTCTTGCAACACCAGCCAGGGGTCGCCCCGGGTCAAGGTCGGGCGCCTTGGGGAGAGATGACCAAACGGATGAGGGCTTCACATCGGAACTCGGACCGGAACGCCCGCCCTTGCACTCAAATTCCATGTGCACTGCCTCGATGACCTCTGCCGCTTCGACATATCCTCTTTTACGACCGAATCAGGAGCGGCTTTGGTTGTCCGATGAAGGACATTTGCCGGTTTGAGGAATCGAGGCGGAAGGGTGCATAAGGGATCGCGTTGTTCGGTCGTCCAGGGCGCCAGGAGATGGGGCGCATCGGTTCGCATAGTCATCAGGGCGGAGGATTGTTGCGATTTGATTGCGGGACTGTGAGCAAGGGCCGGAGGGCATGTTGCGTGGTCGAGTGGAGGATGATAGGAGGAAGGGCGGGCTGCGGGTTCGAGGGGACATGCCACAAATAACCTACTCGGGGGAAAAGGGGGGCTGGCTGTTCAGGAGGATAAAAGCCTCTTATTTCTAGCCATCCGAAGAGAATCAGGAATGCAGGATTGCACCTCTCAATCGTCTTCTTTAACGCCTTCTGCAAGCTGTGCCGTGATCACACACTTATTGGGCTGGCCGCTGCAGAGCCGGCCATGCAGAAGCGAAGCCCAGCCCACCCTCGTACTGCCGACGTATGCTAGAGGGTGTGGTCAGGGCGGGATGCCCGCTTTCCAGGTTGCAACTGTTCTATAAAGTAGCCAGGAAATCGCTTATTGTTTCACTGATCGCCCCCATATTAACGCAGCCTCCTCCGATCAGAATCATGGCTAGGGTCAGACTACACATGCAATGGCATCCCGTCTCGTGTTTACCCCTCTATTGATGGCAGATGTTTGTCGAAGCACCAAGCCTCTCGTTATGTTTGTTTGGTGCCTGCAGCGGTAGGGGGTGGGAGGGGGGAAGGGGGAAGAGGGAAGGCTGGGTCTGTCACGGGATGACGGGATGAATGACCCATGGACGGGGCGGTTTCTTCCAGTGGTATGGGGCACCTTCCCTTGTTTTTGTTTTTGCGACTTGCGCCTTTTCCTTCAATCTTCGAATTCCTAGAATCAACGCTGCCTGCCGCGGAAAAGCTTGACCTAAAGATTTGCTGGAGCATCTCTGGGTGCGCCATGTTCGCCTGTACATTCTGGCCCTGAGTTTTCCTCCATCCCTTCTCGAAACCCCGCCGCAACCAAGTGTGTTTAATCGATGCTAACGTGGGCCCTCGTGCCGCCGAGGTGATGTGTAGACTGTCTGCAAGCGATGACGAAAGCGTGCGCGCGCATATTGCCGATGGCTTTCGTCTTGCATAATACATGCAATCGCCACCCACCTCTCGAGACCGGCGAACTTGGCACTCAATATCGCCCCGGCATTGCCTCGTGCTAGCCGTCACCGTTCGGCCGGCCGTGTCTTAGTTCGGCGGCTACCCCGCCGCATGGCTTCGTCTAGCTCCAGCCCCATCACCCATCGTCAACGAGCCCGAATAGGCATCACCGGGTGCTACAAAGACACCCCAAGCAAGGAGAAGGCCTTGAGCCGCCGCATAACCGGCGTTGGATGATGGAGATGGACGTCTGCTTTCCATTGTAATGTGGAAGGTGGGTAGTTTATCGACTTCCGGGCCGCTGATCGGCGCTCTTCGCGCCGGCTGCAACCCCTACCTAGCTCGGGCTGCATGGGCAAGACGCCACCCCCAGCCTTTCCCCAGTTTTGACAGTTGCATCGTCAAGAACTAAAAGGGATGTAATGGAGGGAGACGGGCGCTAAGTTGGGAACAAAACCTGTTGCTCGCCCGTGCATTTCTGGTCAGCCGGTTGGAGAGTTCTCGCGTCTCTGCTTCTGTATAATGACACAGTTGGCCAACGCTTGGCACCATCATCGCCACCCCCTATACGAATACAGGTATGTGTTCCCTGCAACAACGCCGCTTGACTTTCTTTTTCCTGGTGTTCTGAGCTCTGGTTCTTCACTAACGTCTGATAGTTTGTGACGCCTTTTGTGATCATCTCCCCCTTACCCGGTGTCACATCGTTGGCAATCTCGCCCCACCCTACATGAGTTGTCCTCGGCAGTCGCCGTTCTTCCCAGCGCGACGCTGTTGGCCGAAAAGTTGCAGGCTCCCCCCGACGCCTCTTCGAGTAGCAAGATATTTCGGCTATCGACATTCCACTTAGCGCAAGCCGTGCCCATAGGGCAAAGAGAGCACACGGGCCCATTGGTGTTGCCGGTGGCAGTCAGGTTCCATCCCCCCACACCGCCTGGAGTTGAAATAAGCTCAGCGACACTCCGCTGGAGATCAAACCCACCTTCAGCGGTTCGGCCCGTGTGGGGAGCTGTCGTCACCCGCGAGGTTCACCGCTGCATGATCCCAGTTCTGCTGGGTGATTGGAAGGCCAGGGGTGAACGTCAGTGGGCTTGGGCTGATGCCTGGGTTCTCTCGACCGCCAGACCGTGCCCAGAACACGGCAGGGCGCGCACGTTCACGCAACACCCGTTCAGCCATTCGCCAAGGAACTGGGTGCGAAGCCAGCCAGAGCACCTGGAAGCCCAGCTCACAAGGAGAGCCGGATTTCGGACGGGCGGCTCCACCCGAATCCTGAAGATCGGGCTGACGGGTGATCCTTCTCACAACGACACGGCGATCAGACAAGGGGGCTGTGGCGTCGGCGGGTTTCACAATCAGCTTGGTCTCTCCAGGAAGTCGAGGCAAACGGCCGCGGGAAGTATCATTTGGCGGGACTCTGGCAAGCCCACCCTTTCGGGAAGCGCGGTTTGTCGGCGGCGCTGACGCAATCATTTTCGTCGGGACTGCGGGAAGCAGCAGAAAACCTGAACGGACATTAACGGAAACAGCACCTGCTTGTGCCACGGGTCCTGGGCCGAGGCATCACGTCGTTGATGATTGGGTACCAGGGCGATTAGGCCGCGGGTGACGTTCGTACAAGTAAGCCGTGCATCGTCGGGCAGGATAGCAACATTTGGGATGTACTTTAGATGTGTGTACACACAGTATGCAACAAAGCACGAAGCAGCGCGAGCTCGGAATGTGGCCTTCCGTTGCTTTTTGCGCTGCCAGTATTTAGGGGCAGAGCTACCCACTAGAAACCCCCCCCTGAAGCTCGTAATTTTTAATCACCGGCTTCCCCCCGCAACATTTTGACACCAATGCATCACCCCGCGCGAACCCGAAAGATGAAACAACTTTTCGATCTATGATCGCGTCCAATTGAGAGTCCTCCTATACCACATCTACAACGCGGTCTCCATTATAACCGACTTGAGTGGCGGGTGGCGGGCGGCGTTGGGGAGTGGCGGTCAATTGACGTCGACCATGCGACGGCCAAGCGAGCGACGACGGGAATATCCGGGATCGCCGGGACCTCTTGGCTTCCGCTCATCTCGGTCGCCTGAAACGTCAATCAAAAAAGTTAAATGCTTATAATATTCATGCCATCTGGCTGCTTATGTAGCAGAGGGTTTATACGCGGAGGGAGCTCCTCATTATCATCCCCAACCCCCCCCCCCCCCCAACCCTCTCGGTTTATTTTCAAAAAAAAAAAGACCCTCGGTATGGTACCCGCCCCAAGGTAGCGACGCCGTCATACCCAAAGTCTGGCTCCCCTAGCTAGCCGCAGCCGCCCTATGTTGGCCGCTCTCGCCTGGACCGACGACGCCCAGCACCCGAGGAAGTCCAGCTCCGGCCCCGTCGCTCCCGCCTCGGCCTCGACGACGACGTCGATGTCTGCCCGCCGCGGGTCGTCCCGCTAACCTCCCCGTGGCCGTCGCCGTCGCCGTAGCCGGCGCGCGCCTCCCATTCTTCCTCCTGCTCCGCCGCAGCACCAGCAGCAAAAGACCATCCGATGGGCGCGTCCTGGACTTGGAGCCATGCCGTGGTTTGGGGTCCCCAGTGGGTGGGGGGCAGGGGCCCGGTGGTTGCTCGTGGCGGTGGGGAGGGGGTGAGGCGGCTGGTGTATCTTGTTAGTCCTCTGTTCTTTGCGGTTTTTCTCTTTTTTTTTCCCCCCCTAGTTGGGGTGTTACCTGGAGTTGGGTTTAACTCACGCATCGCGCCGGGGCGGCGAGTTCGGCGAGACCAAGAACGGCACCAACGGGCTGGCGGCGGCGGCTGTTGGAGTGTCGTCGGCGGCGGCAAGGTCCGCCGCTGGCCAGATGCCGCTGCTGATGTCGGTGTCGGGGTGGTCGTGGTCGGTCAGTCCCCGGGCCCGCTGGGCGGTGTCGGGGGTTTGCGGCAGCGAGATGCTGTCGTAGTCGTGTTCTGTCTGCTGGGTGGCTGGCGGCCCGTGCTGCTCCGGTGCGCTGGGCTGGCCGCCGACGTCTCCTGATCCGTGGTTGGTTTTGGCTGGTGCCATCTTTGTCGATGGCGAAGGGGTCTGTGGGGTAGTGCTTGTGTCGATGCGGTGATCAAGTTGGTTGCTGCGTCAGAGTCGAGTGGCTGAGATAAAACGATCGTTGCGAGAGAAAGAGTGTTGGATGGAACGAAATGGAAGAAAACTGAAGAAGGGGGCCTTACTTTGGCTGAAGTGGGTGGAGACATCAGTCCGTGGCAGGCCGTCTTGTACCACGAAACAATCTGCTTCCAGGTATCTCGGGCCACTGGGATCAGGGATTGGTTTGCTCCCAGCCGGATACATCCCGTCGGATGGCCACTCGGGGGATGGCAGCCGGCCAGGCGGTGAGCGGAGGCATTGCCCCTTGAAACTGCAGAACTGCGATATAACATGGCAGGCAGACTGCAAATTACATCTTCGGCATCGGCTGATCAATAGACAGGGGTCGATAAAAACGATGGCGGACCGGAGGGGACAACGGAGTGAAAAGTCTTCCTTGTGCACGGGTCGGCAAATGCCGCCCAAGATGACTCCGACTCTTGACACCATTGACAACCTTCGGACAAGTCATTGGCGAAACGCCAGACGTCCTGGTTTGGCGACGAGGAACAAGGGGAAGGTTGGTTTCCCAGGACCATGCGTTATCTGGTTTCGAAGAAAAGCCCGATCGTGTCCTGTGGGAACACGGCAATGCATGTCGAGGAAGAGGGCCCGTCTGGTCGGGTCAGGCTACTTTGCGGCACAGATAGCGGTCGTATGCGGCTCCGGCAGTCTTCCAGAAATCGCTGTGCGGCGCTCTGTTGGGCGAGATCTCTCCCGCGACTGGCTGGGACGGCTGGCTGGGATGTCCAGATATGGCGGTGCCAGGGCGCTCGGGGAAGAGTCCGGGATGGCGGGGGGGCAGACTCTGACAACGGTGGCCCCGGATCAAGCCTGCAGAGCCCACGGCCAGGGCTGACTGATGATCTGCGTTTGGCAGCAGCTTCTTGGCGGGCGCTAGACGATAGAGGATTTCGTATTTTGGGGGGGGGTGGTGGCGTCTGTTTAGGTCGTAGTTCGGGGGGGCACAGCGTGAGGGGAATACTAGTAAGCATTGCCAGTCCTTCTTTCTTGTTTAACACATACCTACGAGGGAAGAATCTCAGATGGGCCAGCATCTACCGTCAATCTTAGCCTGGCTTTCCACACTAGAAAGGGGCTTTGGGGTTTGCTGCATCGTGCCGATTTGCGGGCGCACGCCTCACCGATCCCGGGTGTTTCCTTGGAACCCGGAAGAGAGGGTAAGGGAGGCCAGGGTGAACTGCTGCCTCCAGGGTTGCCTCTCTTCTGGTCAGCTAGCGGCAGCGAGTGGCAGAGCAAAGAGCGATGGGGGCTTGCCGCCCAGCCCAATCCTGCATATTCGGCGCATCAACCCCATGCATCACCGTTCCAACGATCTTGCTGCGATCCAACATGGGGAATGATCTAACAAGCTTCTAGAAAAGCACTGATAAACAGCCTCACTTGGCCCTGCATGTCAATATTTTATCTGGGTGCTGGGCGATGTGTAAAATGTGCGGATCTTGTTAGGCACAAAGCAAGGTACCCTCTCTTGCGAGCTGCGCTGGCGGTGTCACGAATGGTCTGCCTACCGGAACGCGGTTCCGGAGCGCAGCAGACTCGAGAGGTCACAAGGTTTGACTGAAGCGGCCGGAGACTCCATTCCCCCCTCCACTCGTGCCCGCGCCTCTTGCTCCAGGACGCTCGCACGAGTGTGAGAGAGATGAGGCTCAACTTGACCGCTCCTTCTGGGCGGAATCCACAGTAACATTCCACTGCAAAGTGAAATTACTTCCACGTCAGCGCTGAGAGGCTGGAGGAGATCCCGGGTCGGAATGGTTTGTGAGTGGCCTTTGGATCCACATGTTGTGCCGAGTGGCGTGCAGGACCTGAGAGGTGCAGGACCTCCGGCCTAAAGAGTATGTTCAGGACGGCTCCGACGCTTAAACCGCCTTTGACGGACGGGACCCCATCCATCTGCGAGCGCCTGCCCCAATTTTGGGAACTTGACAGCTGCGGGTGTCGGGCTGGGGCATGAACTCAACGGTACCTGCCTCAGGTTGGTGGCAGCTCCATTCTCGGAGACGCCACCTACCCGAATCGCCGCGAAGAATGCCCTTGTTCGCAGGCGGCTATCTTGAGGTACTATTCCTTTGTTGCATGGAGCCGCCGCGTTGGAGAAACTCAGCCAACCAACACTTGTTGGACAATGCCAAGTCGAAGAGGGCACCGAAGAGAGCGGCTAATTTCCCGTGCCCATTACCAGCACTCCCGTCTCAACAGGAACCACCCCCCTAAGGTGGCACGGTGGGTAGGGACCATCTCTTGCCGTTGGATTCAGTTTCGGAATCCCCGACCTGGGGAAGTTCTGACAGAACGGCATGCATGACGCGATGGACGAAACCAAACCAACCGCCAAGTGACTTTGCTTCTTCGTAGCCTCATTGGAGGCACGGCGTATGCAGGTCTCTCATTGTTGCACATTGATCCCTTCCTGCAAATTGGCGGGCGACAGCGAGATCCTGCCGAGGTGTGCATCGGTGTGTGACCTGACGATTCAAGAAACAATGATTTTTCATGCGTTCTAACTGGCCCAGCGTGTCGCCCCTCAACCCCCCCCCCCCAAAAACCAAACCAAACAACATAACACAGAGTGCGCCCCCCTAAGAAACATACCCGGACACATGGGCTTTTTCGAACCCCCACGGGATACCTCGCCGTTCCTGATCTTCGGGCGTCCGGCTAACCGTGGGTAGGGACGGGTTTAGTTTGCATGAAACCCACGAGAGAGCTACCTACAAGTGCACTTCTATTGCATCCTCGGTGACAGCAACCCGCGCTGCGCTCATGCGTTCAACCTTCCACTACCCCCACTAAACTTTGCCGGCTTGCAGGCTTTTCAAGGCGCCCGAGAAATTGCACAACACGAACGCTGCAGAGAATAGGGGGCATGTCTCACATGACAGGAATATGTTACCGGTGCTCCGGCGAGCTAGGAGGCTCGCGAACGAACGTAGGCATTCTTCAAGCGGGCTCTTCTGCCGGCGCTGTTGTTGACATTGTGGGTGGTGGGCGGGGGGGGGGGGGGGGGGGGAGCGGGTGCATCGCCCAGAATTCCCGTCCTCTCTCAAAGGGGCAGGGCACACACACGTGTCGCACTTTCGGAAGGCAGCATACCCCCCCCGTGCCCCTTCCCCCACACGCCCCTCCCTCCCACGCGCAAACATCGAGGTCGGATCACCCAGGGCACATCTCAGTCAAGCATCGCACCCCTTCTGGCGCGTGTACCCAGTGGGCGAGTGAGAAGGCGGGAGGGTGGACGGATGGAAGTGATGCGCTGTCTCCCCGTAACTATCGTCAAGGGTGGGTTCAACTTCAGCCGTGTCCGTGTCCAACTGCCCGGTCCCGACACCTCGTCGCCCCACGATGTGGCTCGGGATAAGACCGACCGCGTTGGAAATGGCAACAAGAGTAGCCGCCCTGTTTCCAACAGTTCTGGAAAGGGTTGGGCCACTCACAGCCACACAACGACGACGGACTCTGACCCAAGTCATCTCCCGCTTCGGCATGAGATGGAAAAGAACAAACACGATCCGAGTGAGACGTCTACGAATAGCCCGATCTGATTGGGAATTGACCCAACCCCCGCCGGAGCGCGGAGCTGGCAGACGGGCAGCTTGTTACATTCTGGCTTGCCCTGACCCCTGTCTACATAGTCAGCAACTGTGGACTTGCCCTGAGTCCTGTCCAAGCAAGTGGGCTTGTCCTAACCTGTCTAAGCAAGTGGGCTTGCCCTGACCTGTCCAACTGCCCTGACAGGGGTTGGGGGAGTTCCCACTGCCCTGACAGGGGTTGGGGGAGTTCCCACTGCCCTGACAGGGGTTGGGGGAGTGCAGTTGCTTGTTCTAACGGGGGACGGCAAGTCCACAAGTTGCTTAGACAGGGGTCAGGGCAAGCCCACTTGCTTGGACAGGCCAGGGCAAGCCCACTTGCTTAGACAGGGTCAGGACAAGCCCACTTGCTGGGAACTCCCCCAACCCCTGTCAGGGCAGTGGGTACTCACCCAACCCGTCAGGGCAATGGGTCCACTCATTACCAGACACAGCAGAACACACGGGCACGTATCGTGCGTAGGTATGTATATGTACTAGTAGTGAGTACTACGGAATACATACATATGTACACAGTACATCAGACGACTCCACCCCTTGCCGGAGGAGTGGGGGCTGCCTCGACCCGGGGTGCCGGGGCACCTCGGGCGCTCGACATTCAGCCCGTGAGCTCGGTCGACCAAGGGATGAACGCCGGCCAGCGAACTGCCAAGCCCAGAACACATGCCGCGCCTGAGGAATCGCCACCAGGGTCCGGGTGCAGGAACAGCTCGTTGGCCCAAATGTACCGTTGTGTAAACGAGACCATCCAAGAAAAGGCCCGTCAAAGCCACCGACCGCCATGGGAAACTGGCCGATTTGGCTGCCACCGCACGAAGCGGTCAGCGGTGAGGGAGGAGGAACGAGTGGACGCGTGCATGTACCGGCGCTGGATTTGCCCGATGAGGCCGATGGCCGGAAGTTGTTGCAACAAGACCGCCGAGTGCTTCGTGCAAAGGTGTGAGTATGGGCAGAGGCCAACCCCCTCGCCCACGGGGCGAACGGCAGCGAATCAAACGCCCTTCCAAGCGTTCCGACCGCATGGAAGCCAACCGGTTCCGATAGCTAACCTTTTACCCATGCGGCACCTTTACGTTGCGGCCATGTCAGATGCTTGGGTGAAGAGTGAAAAAAAGATAAAAAGCCCGTTCTCCCCGTTGCTCTCGGAGACATCACTAGCTCATCCTCACTCACCTCTTGACTTCAACAAACTCTGCATAGTGCTGAACTCCTAGCCAAACTTCAAGCAACAACAGCGTTGATAAAACAACACCATCAAAAGGCACACGGGCACAGCTCTTCTCAAATCCCAAGCTCTTTTATTTGAACTCTCCCATCATACGTAACTCAACTACAAACACATCTACGCACCACCCTCTTGTCCTCTCGTCACATCCCTCCTCGCCATCTCGGTGTAAAAAGCACTACCCACCACTTGCCACCGTCCACGAAGAGTCCCAATGCCACCTCCTTCAGAACTCTCGTCCCAACCCCGCCGCCGCGGCCTCGGTGACAACGCCCCCAAACCACCCGTCAAGCCCGGCTACTGTCCCGACATCCATCTCACGGACGATCACCCGTGTGCTCCTTCTCCACCGCAGATCTTCAACTCGTCCAACACCGAGCTCTGGCCCCTCCCCTTGCCAGCCACAGCCCACGAGCATCATGATTTCTTCCCAGAATGGGAGCACCCGCCCGAGAAACAGCAACAGCCGCAGCCGCAACCGCAACCGCAACCGCAACCGCAACCGCAACCGCAACAACACCCGACACCCCTAATGTCCCACCACACCGGCCACGGCACCTCCCACTCAGAGCTCACGCGGCTCTCAACCCGCGAATACGCCCTCCGCGCGGCCGACCCATCCGACTTCGCGTCGGCGTGGGAGCACACGATCCTGCCCTTGCTCACCGACGTGATCAAGAAGCACTGCACGGGGGACTTTGCCGTCGACGTGCACAACTTCCCGGAGCGGTCGAGCGAGGCGGTGCCGCGGGTGATCTACGTCACGCTGCCGGCGGATATGGATACCGCTACGCTAGAGCCGGCTGTGAAGGATGAGTTGGAAAAGGTCGTGCCGGAGAGGTTCGGTCCGGTGTATTTGAAGTTTCGGAAGGGGGATTTGCAGAGGTCGCAGTGGTGGTATGTTTATTGGTTTTTCTTTTTCGTCTTTTCGTCTTTCCATCTCTTTCGCGGTGTTGCTGGTTGTGTCTGGGGGGTTCACCCCTTTGGGGCAACTCCCTTGGGCAACCTCCCCTTAAGAGACCCCTCTTGGGTGACCCTTTAAGCAACCCCCTGAGGCACCCCCCTTAAGGCACCCCCCCCCCCGCAGGCGAACCTTTTTGAACAACCTCTGGGACGGTCGTTTGCACGGCCATGGTGATGTGACTGACCTAACAACTCCTCCCTAGGGGCGACGCCGGAACGACAGACAGCGTGTGTGAGCCCAAGAACGTGACGTATAAACCAGAACCTGTCGTCGGCATGTCGATTGGGCCCACGCGGGGGCTGGACGCGGCATCGCTGGGCGGCTTCGTCAGGGTCGGGTCCAATCTCTACGCCATGAGCGCCCGCCACGCGTTCGAAGATTCCATGAAGACTTGCGAGCTGCGCGTCAGCCACCCGGCCCACCCGGACTTGGCTCTGGTTGTGCCGCCTGACCCCAGAGCTAGGCAGTACAGCATCGGGAGGGTGTCCATGTGCTCGCCGTCTGGGACGTACCGGCCGTCGTTGACCTTTCAGGGTGTGGCCGTTCCAGAATCTCGGAAGATGGTGGAGATGGACTGGTGCGTCGGATTCCCCTTTCGCCCTTTCCCCCCTTTCTCCCCTTCTCTCCTCCACTCCCTTTTCTGTTCCCAGCAAATCCTGGAGGCCATCTCCCCAAGAATCTGCCTCCATCCCGCAACCGCCCTAATGCCTCAAGTCGTGAACGCGCTCGCTGACCTTGTCGGATAAGGTGTCTGATCGGACCTGTGCCGAATGGGAAAAACGTGGTTCCTATTCCGTGCTACGAGATGAATCGGCGGGTTGCCGTGAGCGAGATGGCTGTGGTGAAGGGCAACACCGAGGTCTATGCCATGGCTCGGACGAGTGGCTATTCCCTCGGCTTCACGTCCGACGTGCCGGGTGTCCGGAGGTACAAGGGCCAGGAGCGGAGGGACTGGACGGTCCGCCAGTACTCACCCTTCAAACTCCCCAAAGAGGGCCGGGCTGGCTCACCGTGGCAAACGGTAAGACAGTGGGTCACGAGTGGCATCGGCGTGCCAGGTGATTCCGGGGCATGGCTGATCCAGCGATCCAACGATGCCGTCGTGGGGTTAATTTGGGGTCGCAACCACGACAGCGGGAACCCCCTCGAACGGGTCCGGTTCGCCTACTTTACCCCTATTGTCGACATTCTAGCCGACGTGGAACAAAACCATGCGGATGGGCAAGAGGTCGCCCTGCCGGTATACCGGGATCGGGGATTACCACGAGACAGCCGGTATCACAGCCCTCGAGAAACGGTAACGGCGGACATGTCCCGGGACCCGTGGAACGTATTTGCCACAGGGTCTATCCAAGAGCACCGCCAAGTCCAAGTTGACCTCATCGAGAGTCAGTTTGTCGGTAGCAGCGTGCCCGCGTTGGAGGCGGCATTCAACCGACGGCTTTCGCCTCTGAACGAGCCCGTCGCGGACGGCCCATCCGGCCCCCGTGTCGTGGAAGGATCCATCCTAGAGGCGGATCCGCCAACCCCTTCGCCTCGGAGCGAAAGGGGCGGCGGCTCATTATCGACATTGCGTTCCCAGGAAAGGTTGTTACTAGGGATGGGCGCCCACTCTGCCCGTGACTTGTCCGTGCCGGGGCTCTCGACCACGTCCTCGATACATTCAGGCCCCAGCATGGCGAGCGATAAGCCCGAGGTTGTCATTGAGGGTACCGCCGTTCGGGTTGTTGGAGAGCTTGACACCGACGAAGAGATTGTCGAAATCGAGGAGCCTATCCGCGCGAAGGCCTCGTTTGCCCCGAAGTTTCAGGCGCGATCGGGACGTGGGCGTGTCCTGATGTGAATTGAGTTAGTCCATAGTTAACAATTGACGGTCGAGCCGCCCTTCCAAGCTCGGTTGGCCAAGTGTTCGAATACATGGCGTCATTTTGAAGCGGAACCTGATTGCCGTTACACAGACGAGGCCGGGACGACCTCCCACAGGCTCCCAGAGAAGGTGGGAAAACTTGTTGTTTTTTCTGGATGCCTTGGATCCAGAACTCAATGGAGAGGGAGGGTGAAGCGATGCGTTTCCTCGGTGATACCCCGCCTTCCTCAGGCTCGTCTCATCGCTCGGGCAACTTCCCGCTGACCGCGCAGCGGTTGAATATGCGGCCAGATGAAGTTGGTCAGGTTCGGTTGCCTTCAATAAAGAATATCACAAGGCTTTCGCATCACGCTCGTGCAGCCGGTGAACATATGTCATAGGTTGGTAAGCAAGTGAACCGGAAGTGCACATTTTCCGGGAAAGTCGGGATAAAGGAGTTCGGAGACGAGGCTGAAGCTGTTGGTTGCCTCCTGACGTTCGGTCGGCGGGCCGATGACAGAGCGATATGCTGGGCATGCACGAGGTGAGCACGACCACGCGGACCCGGGGCGACGGTAGAGGTTCCGGAATGCCACGGGATGATGCTTTCTTCACACCTCTCGGGCGGGGCAAGGTGGGGGAGGACCACGGGAGACGATCATCTCGGTTGAGCTCGGGCCGAATCGTGGGGTGTCCCAGCCGCACGAATGCAACTTCAAACAGGCACCAGTAGGCGACCGGGCAAACCTGCGTCACCCACCTTGTTCCAGAAAGTCTCTCAACCCTGTTGCCATGCAAGGCGAAGGCGCAATGTAACGCTTTCACCGAAAATATGTACCTCTGTACCAAGTATATCGTCCTCGGGCCAAGGTGAGCGAACCTTCGACGCGGCCGCTTTCCGCCGTCTCCGCCGGGACAACAACCGGCCGATTGCGTCCTATGTGTGCATTCGCGAATCTCAAACTCCTCAAAAGGACCACATCGGCCGACGGACAGAAGCGCCGGTCAGGAACCCCCCATGATGAGTGACTCGTCCACATCAGCAAGGCATTCACAACATGGACTGTGCTGCCCCTCTGAAGCTCCCTCCTTACCCCACAGGAATTCTCGACTACATGTTCCTGAAGAGCCGCTCACTTTCAGATTTCAGACGACCCAGGAGAGCGGAACCATTTCCACTCCCCCTCCCCTTGGGCTTTATTGATTGGTCGGCTAGATGAAGGCAACCACGCGGCCAAGCGGCACAGCCAACATTAGTCCAAAAAGGCCAACCAGTGGTGTTTCTTGGTTCCAGACAAAATCGGGCATTCCACACACAGTCAGCCGCGCGGGCACCGAGGACGGTCAATGCCGCTTCGGGGTGGCGCCTATTCGGTCACGAGTTTTAGACAGAGATGCGAATTGAGGCACGGGGCCTTACTACGCGTCTTTGACGCCTCGTCGCCACAAGCAAGGCATATATCCCCAAAGCGGCGAAATGCCCTTATTCCGATCACACGCCAGACGGGCACCGCTCGCGTGACCATCAGCAACAAATCGTCCAATCCGCTTGAGAACCACATCACTGGGGGACCTCGGTGACGCTGGCTTAGCCGCTTACTATAAAGCGGTAAGCCGGCGAGGTCGGCGACCAGGTAACTCGCGGTCGTTGGGTGTACACAGCGTAGGGCTTAGACCAATCGTGGGTGTTCCCGAACCCGAAGCCGTTTTGACGCCGCGGCTCCGCCGACGCGCCGTCCCTCAGCGGTATGTTTCAAGTAATCCTGACTGCATGCCGTTGCACAACTGCCTTCAACACCAAAGGAAACCACGAGGCAACCGAGCACGTGCCGCAAAGGAGCAGCGCCGCCTCGCCGCCTTCTCCAGGCATGTCAGCGGGGGCTTGTGGGGGCGGTATTTAAAGTTTGATCACTCTATGGGCAGCCTTGCGAGATGGCACAAAATTGAACACCACGGTTCTTCAGCCTGGCAGCTTCACCGACTCCATGTTTGAATAACCCTCACCGGCACGCGCAGAGGTTGCCGAACCCCCAAAAGCCAAAGTGAAGAGGACGAGAAAAAAGCAGTCGGCTCAACCACTGAGTGTTGGTGAAGCGAACACGTGCCGCCCTCTCCCGCGCCGGCTGGCCGAGTACGGCGTGGGGGGCGCGACAGGAATGAATGATCAAACACCGAAGTTTCCTACCCCCAACTAGACGCCTTCAGATGCCTTCGCTTGAATGGGGGAGATGAGAGGCGTCTGCTTCAGGGATTGACTTTTTGCGCGTCTGGAACAAATTAGACATGTGCTGCTGGGGTCGGGGGCGGGTTTGAAAAAAGGAGGCGGAGGAGACAATGGGAAACATATCTCACGTAAACCTGAGGGAAAGCGTTCGCACTGGTTTTGTGACAAGGGTTAGTAAAGGTGTTGTAAGGGGGGGAGAGGTTACCTCAGTAGTTTTAGTCTCAATGTACCACTTACTCCCTCTCCATACCTCCGAGGTACATGACCTCTTCCATGTTGTAGAACAACGAGATGACCAATTATAACTCTGATGTCGACCACTAACAAGACGAAAGGTCGACGGATGATATTAAATCAGACGCTTGCAGACGCTTGCAGACGCTTGCCGACGCTAGTAATTAGTATAGTTGTTAATGTTGGTCTTATTGCTACATACATGTAGTAACCCTTGATGTCTAGGGCTATGGTTACAACGCGGTCAGATGAGGTGATCGTAACAGCAGCCTAGGTAATCAAAAGTCTAATGGCAGCAACCGCCGCTGTGATGATAGAGTATAAGGTCATTCTTTAAAATCTAACTAAAAACAAACGATTTAACTTGCATCTCCAAAGTCCGTTACATTACATTACTTGATTAACCTCAAGATTGATTTTGCCTCTCAAGTACGGCCGCCAAGGAAACAAAGGGCAGCCATTAAAGGACTGGGGACTGGAGTAAGGAAGAACAGTTCACTTCTTGAGTATTTCAGCAGGATCTTCACCGCGGGTTGTTTATACCCGCCGGGTGCCTTTCTCAAAGCGGCATTCGTATGCTGTGTTGAACGGGCATGCTGTGTTAACTTGAAGCGGTTGCTCGCCGCGGGTGGTTGTCTAAGATCTCTTGGTCATCAAGGTCTGCGTCATCCTGGGGAGATAACTTTCTCTCCCGCTCCTGGTCATTGGGAGCAGGATGGGTACCCTCAACCGGTAGGTTGGTGACAAGAGTTTTATCGTCGACGGGGGCTTGGTAGTCTATGACGGCGACGCGAGGTGCGTTGTCTCGACCTATGTCGGAAAAAAGCCGTTAGCTTCGTGTGGGGTGATGGATGAGGCGCTGGGTGCAACTAACCAGAGTTTGTCCGTCTGTCATCGAACAGCCACAGCTCCGCTCCCAGTGCTGCGAAACAAGCAACTGGGCTTCTCGTTCTGGGTCGAGAAGAGCCGGTCTCGACTGATGGAGCGGGCTCGTGCGGGGGCCGTTGCGCGAAGCTTCAAACTTACGCCACGGCCCCGGCGTCAGGAAGTTCACCGTAATCCACGCTCGCCCCCGGAGTAGCGGGCATCCTGCCGGGGATTTCCAAGTCCAACTCGACGTCGTATGTTGGGTTCACAGTGAACCTCTTGGTCTCCTTGTCGAGTTGCAACCACTTTCCGCCCTCCCTCTCCGCGATCCGGCGTCCCAGCCAGATAACCCGCTCCCGCCTCTCTTCCTGCATGCTGGGCAGCTCGAAATATTTCTCGTCGTCATCAATCTTCTCCTCAGTGGAAAACCACCCATCGGGGAAGTACTCCTCAACCCAAGGGAAGCCTCTCATGGCGAAATCATCCGGAAGCGGTCTCTTCCGCCGCCCAGCGCCGGTAGTCGCACCAGGACCGGCAGCGCCTACGCCGCCCTCTTCCTTCTTCACCTCGAAACCGTCTGCCTTCCCCTCCTCGCTCCCGGGAAACCGATCCCCCTCCAGGAGGGAGGTCAGAGCCCGAGATGACACGCTTGTCGCTGACGATGAAGCCGCGGCGGATCCATTCAATAACGTATTTAGCATGAAAGCTGTGAGTTTCCAGGGGAAATGGGGTGCCACGTGGGCCATGGCGTCAGGGCAAAACGTAAGGTGGTGGATTAGGACGAGGGAGACGTGTAGAAAAGGCAGGATATTAGGGTCGCCAAAGCGGCGGCAGACGATATCGTAGGTTCCCGTAAGAAGACGGAGGGCGTTGGGCAGCTGCTTGGCTGGGGAAGTGTGCTTGGCGGGAGTCGTGTTGGACGAGGGGGTTTCCGAGGCAGATGCATCTTGCATAGGTTGATCTTGCGATTCGACAGTCTCCTTGGAATTGGCGCGAGAGAAGGCCTCGAGGGCTGCAGCGATGGGGTTATTGTCGTCCCCGTAGCCGGTGACACCGCAGATGTTGGCGATGGCGATGTGGTAACTATTTGTAAATCGTTAACGTCTGAGCTGGCTATACAATCTGATGGCCACTTACCCAGGTTCAAGCCACCGACGAGTGGAGCGGCCAATGTCATTGTCGAGGAGCTGGAGAAAGGTCTCCAACGTGGTTTCCCAATCCTCCGGCTGCTTGCCACTGAACAGGATGGCATGCAGTTTCACAAAGTTGCGCTCAGAAGGAGAGAGCCGGTTCTGCTGGGGATTTCCGGTACGGGACATGATGGGCTCCAACAGAGTCATGATACTCTCGCGTGCAGACAGAAATGGCATCTCCACACACAGCGATTTCGCGTAGTAGTACAACTGCTGCAGCGCATTGGGACGGGCAAGGATAGCAAGGTGGTGATAGAGCCGCCCGGTCGTCGGGGCCTTGTCAGAGGCGCGAGAATACCAATGGCGGCTCACAGCAGTCCAAACCTCCCGGTCCCGGATATCGTCATCTTCGATCGCCATACGGTAGCGGCCGAGATCTCCCAAGCACTCTATCCACGTGTCCTCAAACGCAGGAACTGTCTCGTAGAGCAGGGCCATCATCGAGTAGGCCATGTAGATGAACGTAAGCATGTGATCCAGACTCTCCGGGAGTCTGTGTCTGAGAAGCTCAAGGAAGCTGTGAATTCCGTGACGCCACATCCTCGCCGGCATGGCGTACTTGGCAGCCAATCTTCTCAGCGCCGGGCTCGCCGATGGGTGTTGAGAAGCAAGGAAAAAATCGTGGTGTTCGTGAAGGAGCGTCCGGTGGAGAGCAATCAAGGCCTGCCATTGATCATGGCTAAGTTTGTTGGCTGGGTCGGTTTGAGAACTCTGGTTGTTGTCGACCTCGATGCATTTGCTCTCCACTAACACCAGGCCAGCGTAGATGCCCTTCACCTCGGCCACTAGCTGCTCCTGGGAAATGGGCCTCGTCTCGGGCTGCTTGATAATCTCGGTTGCTTCATCATCCTCGGCGAGCGGGAGGGCCGGGCCCCGGGCTGGGGCGTGAGATTGCCGATGCGCCTTCGGGAGCGAGCCGGAAGAATGACGGTTGCGCTGGTTGTTGGCGACATTGGACTTGTCATACGGACGTCGGGGAGCGACGGCGTCACCATCAGTCCACAGTTTCCCGCCCTGAAAGGCGCCCCGGGAAAAGTCGGCGGGGCTGTCATCACCAGCCGGCGGGGCTGCGACCTGGGCCTTGGAACGCTTGGGCGGCGACATACTCCGAGAATTTGAGCTCTCCCTCTTGACGCTGGGGGACCGGCTCTTGGTCGCGCGGTTCCTAGGGCTTGTTGCTCGGGGGACCGCCTTCTTGCGGTTGATCACCGACTTGTCGCCCGGCGATTGCGCAGCCTTCCATTGGGCCTGTAAAAAGTCCATTTTTTCCTTCTCCGTGGTTTTTTCAACAAGCAGCTGGGGGTGAGAATCTGAGTAGTGCTCCTCGAAGCTCGTGAAGGCGGTCTCGGCAAGGCCATCCTGAGGGGTTTCGGAACTTTGAATTTCGCGATTGCAGGCCGGACACCGGATGATCGTGGGTTTTGGTTTTGACGCCTGCCGCTTGTGGTCGATCCAGCGTTTATTAAAGTCCATTTCTCATAAGGTAAAAACGTATAAGGCTCAGTTAAGAGCTCTGGTGAAATGTTAGGTGCGCAATGCTCATTTCCTCTCCGCTAACCCGAGTCGCGGGTTTTGATGTGCGGGGTCGGTCGGCGCCTGAGGATGTGAGGGCAAAAGGATGTTGCCACGAGGAAATGTTAAGGATCTGAAGACCTTTGCGCACCTGATGAGAGGGTGTCTCTGAGCTGCCGGGGATGCGCGCAAACATAAATACCTAGAGAATAATGCGCTGTTGTTCTGAAAAGGCCACTGAACAAGCGAAGGTTTTGGGCCGCGGACGTGGGTGGGGTCTTTTGGGCATTCACACAAAAGTCCCTCCGTACTTGGTCTGCCTAGCTTTTAGTGCGCGAACCACTTGAGCCGCAACCTCGGCGGGGGAGTTGGCCATCCCCCCTTCCACTCCTTGAACAGCCTCATGGCCAGAACTTGTTTCCTCTCTTCATTGTGATTGCGCCTCTAGGCATGGTTCGCTCTAATTGCCCATTTTACCGTGCATTTGACTGACCGAATTCATATTCGATGCCCCATGTTCGATGCGATCGAGTTTATCAGCCTCACCGTTTCAGCTGTCGCCCTGCTCCTGCGGGGGACGGAAGAACGGGGACCTCTCCTGTGCACACCGTGGCGCATGTGCTTGGCGTTCTACCGTGGCGGACCGCTGAACAGTAATCTACACACAGTATATACCTACCTTACTGACGAAATTGTATATCTTCACTCTTTCAAACCCGGTTTGCGTTGCGCTAATCGAATGGCGGACATCGCGAAAGCATGTGTGGCTCATTGGGTGGCAAGCCCGGCTGTACCGAGCCCGCGGGGCCTGCTGTGTGGCAACGCCACGGAGTGTGGCTCGAGGTTATCTTAAACCACCCTCCCTCGCCCGCGTCACTGCACTTTATCAAAGCTGATAAGTTCTTTTGATTCCCATGACCCAGTGCCACCCAGAAGGAAGCTGACAAGTGAGAACCTGACCGGAGGTTGCCACCACCCCGAGGCCGCCCGGTCCGACGCGGCTTTGACAATTTTTGGCCACCACCGTGGTATTGCTGACAAGCTGGTCAGACACCTCGTATCATCGGATGTCAACGAATCAGTGTGCCGAGACTTAGGCCGGCAACTCGGTGAATTGAGAACTCTTCATTGTCACGCAATAGTCTATCGGCCCGGACGTGATCCGTGTGGGTTGCCTTGTTCTTCACCACATATTCACTACTGGGTTGGCTGGAATGCTGAGAGCTGTGGAATTTTCAGCCAGCCTTGAGGCAGCAGATAGGAGCGCGGCGTATTGGAATCAGAACCTATGGGACGTTCGTTGATCGAACGTTGGTGGGAATATCTTCTCAGGCCACATGGAAGGGCAGCGGCGGACCCACGTTTTCGTGAGTCAAGCTCCCCTCGGGCGACAGCATCGCAACTGCCGGAGCCATTCCAAAACTTGAGGCGCCGAGCTTTTGAATTTCTCTCGCCCTCGATTCTCCTATCAGTGTTAGGCAGAAGCAGCCGCGCCTGGCACAATGGGTTCGATTTAGGGGTGTGATGAGTCACAGCGAAGAGTACCTCGGTAGGTAGGTACCCCTTCTGCCTTGAGCTTTCCAACAGAACAGAGAACAAAAAAATCAAATATCCAACGGCCACGTCAAGCCCAGAGGGTGCTATCCATCGACCACGTTACGTCAGTCCATGGTACACTCGGTGCCGCTGCGGAGGTTGGGTGATCGTGGAATGGATATGAGGACTATCAGTTCCAGAGATCGATGCCTGGATGTGGCGAGATAGACTGAGAGTGAGACGGACTCAATTCCAAGTGGTTGCGAAACTTTTACCCTTGCGGTCCGTTGCCCGCGAGACAGACAGGAAATGATTGGGTGTTTATTAGTCCAACGATTCACCTAAACGTGGCACATTTTGCGCTGTTCACCTATCCAATGCTGCAGGCCACGACGGCCGAGTGCAAGGCGGGCCTATGTCAGCTTCTCAACTCAGGGGCCCTGTTTGTATGCCTCCGGTTGACTTGTACTTCGGGTGTGGTTCCGTGACTTCCGTCCCCTGAGTTGAGTCAAAGTTGTTTCCATTCAACCAACCATCAAATGTTCGCACGCTGATTCCTGTCACATATAATTTCTTGCGTCATCCTACAGGTCCCAGCTAATTCTCGGGAACTGACGGACTGACATGAAATGCGTTCATCCCCAACGAGGGACCGGACCGCTGCATGACAGCCCACCAACATGAAGGCATCTCGGGCGTCAAATCGAGTGAAGGAAGAATGAAACAACACAAACTACCAGCGTTGCCAGAAAACGTTTTGAAAGGTACCCAATCAATTTCTCAGCCTCAGTCGGGGAGATGCGGCATGGGTTGTCCGTGGTTTCGACAATCTGTCCACCTGGCTGGACAAAGAGCATTGACAACACACCGCTCCCGGGTGCGCGGGCCTAGCTTTTCCCCTCTTAGCCTAGCAAGTGCTTGGTGAGCTCTTAACCGACGGCTCACATCGTGACGCCTTCCGAAATGCTGGGCAGATCCCCGTCTCTTTCGGCAGTGGGTTCCGGGCGATATCCGATCCCTGGTTATTCGTACGTTGACGCTTGCTCAGGCTTCATGCAAGAACGCCCAACTTATACATACAGGAGCTAGGTCAAGGATGCAGGTTAACAGGCCCACGTCAGGAGAGCCGCACTCGGGCATATTTGTGGATTGTTTGCCTTTAGGTAGACGGAAGAAGGCCAGAGTGAGAAGCTGTTCGAATCGCCCTACTTTGAGACTGAGGCGAGCGAGCGTTGGGGTTTTGGTACTCCGCTGCATTTTCGGGGACCCATCCAAGCTCCGATTCAGAGCGCGTTGTGGGAATGGTTGTCTGAACTCATCGGGCCTGATAACTACCCCACATTGGCGTGCATCTTAACTCGATGTTGGTTGCCAGTAACTAACTGCCGCGGCCGACCGCTGGTCGCCTTCAAGTTGCATGATGAGGATGGATAGGGAGGTACCTCGGCATACGTTGATACTTGGTCCGGAGCCGCGCTGAGCCGCACCACGTTGAAGGTTTGTTTTTCGTCGTTCGATTTCACCGCCTCCCATCGTCCCATGTACATGGGTGCCTACTGTTACTTTGCTCCCTTCCTTCTCGGCGGGCTGCAGGGAGGTTGCCTCGCGCATCCGGCCGTGGACCGTCAGACAATGAGCCCAAGCGCCGATAATTGGTTTCGCACAATGTGTGTCAGTTTCTTTGTTATGCAACACAGGACGACACATCAGATTTCAGACGAAAACAGAGCGGCTGGGACAGTGCAGGAACTTAAGTACAAGACGCCTGGCTGGACGCATGTGCTCTTCTCAGAAAATTTGCTTGTTTGTGTGTGGCCCCGATGTGAAGGAATCGAATTGCCCGGGAAGCCTCCGATTCGGCAATGGTAAATCGCCCCACAAGGCAACCAACGCAGATCCATTCCGTGGCGAACCACAACCAAGAACGGCCCCGAAATCAGAAGACCAAGCGCCCTGAACTGCGCCGAGTACCGTGTTAAAACAACAAAAACCTTGCCAAATACGAATAGCTATAATATGTATTCTATACATGCGTGAATGCAAACAATCCAGCCCGCATTTCTCACCTGACCCAGAATCTCGCCCAGAGGGCCGTTGACCATATACAACCCTAACCCTAACTCAAACGACGAAGGCGAGAGGCTTCCGCATCTCGAACCTGCTCGAAGCTGGATGCGGACGAAGACCAGGCTGGGGACGAACTACATAACTCGGGCGGCCGCGTTTTGGTCACGGCAAGGGAGACAAATGCCGGCGCTTTGATCCCGACCATCCAACTAAAAGTGAAACATTCAAGTTCTCCAATGGTTGCCTTCGCCTCAGAGCCGCGTGCATTGACAGAGCGCAAGCCGCCGATCCAATCAAGGGCCACAAGGGGGAGGATGAAATCCCCTGGGCCGCCTCGCAAGCCAGGCTGAATCGAGCTGAAGCGCAGCTCAAATTGTTTGCGCCCGTTGAGACGGCCACACCGAATAACTAGGGTGCGTTGTCGCCTCGGGCGACCGGGCCAGGAAAATGGTCTGTCGCCTTCCGGTGCCTGGTGGATAATGAGCAAACATATAGTTAGGTCCCAAACAGAGGCACAGACACAGAGGTAGGGAGGTAATCCTTACTCGGTACTTTCGGGCCACGATGCACCCGGGCGTAGGTTAGGTGCAAGGCACCCTCTCGGCTGTTTCCGCGGCTCCATCGACGGGTGATGCCGGCTCCCGCATGCATAAAGTGCATCTCGAGGCCCTATGCATAGCTACCCAGACTCGAGGACGCGCCGGGCTGCGGGCACCCGAGCCATCGGGCGCGTTGTGCAGTTTAACTACACGCAGCCTGACCATCAGCCGTGCCTCAGCATAAACTCTGTCCGACCCATCCGATTCTCGTCTCTGACGCGCTGCGCCACTTTGAGTAAAGTTGTGTTTCGGCTGGGAACCAACCTTTCGGGGTCCACCGCGCGGTTGTGAAACAGGTCGGGGTTCAAGTACGTATCACAGACCGGGCATGCGTACACACACCGAATCGGTGAGCGGGGACGGGATTCAAGCGCCGCCGGGCGGTAAGATTAAGGTACCTATCTACCGAGGTAGGGAGGTAGCTACGGTAGGTATGTAGATCTGCGGTGTCACTCACCTATCTCACTCATCTGATGTTTTCCGCATGAACCACACGTGTGCAGCTTTTCGAGATACCCTGCTATGTAACCAGAAATAAACCCATGTGTGGGGGGCAACGGCGGTGCCCCGTGACGGACCTACCATGTATGTGTAACAAATCTAAAGTTTGTAGCCCGGTAATGTCAGAGATACGAAGCTAGCAAGCGGTCCAAGGTTTCACGGGATGCGTAGTGACGACGACAAGCCCACCGAGACTCTCCCTGGGGGTTACGAGGTCTATTCCCTTCATATCGATGTATTCCGATACAACTTATGTTCTAGGCGGCCATTGATAATTTAATCTATCATCATGACTAAGGTTCTGCCTGCCTGGCGCGAGGGAGAGTGGCACAGTGTTGCATTACATTATCGGTGTGCGGATGACTCGGAAGGTCGGGGCGGCTGGAAGACAACGAAGTCCTAGAAAAAAGTAAAAGAGAGTCAAACTAGAAATAGGTAATTTGGAATTCCGAGGCCGAGATATCTAGGTCCCTTACCTCAAGGTACCTAGTCTATGAACCCAACCGTGGGATATTGAAAGAAAAGGAACCCAGAACCAAGGCAAACACCGAAGTACCTAACTTAATATGGCATGGGGTGGTTACATCCTAGCACTCTAATTGTGTGATACATAGAAGTCGAAGTGTCCGGTTAAATACATTATCTTTACCAGGTAGCGGTTGGTAGATAGGCAATAGTCGGTTCTTAAACCATACTCCTTTCCTCCGTCCCTAGGTAACTACCACCTACCTACCCATCTACCTTCTAACTGCAGTGGTATTGGTGAGGCGGGAACGGTGTTGCTGTGTTAAGGCCTTGTAGAAACGGAAATCAATAAAAGTCAATGTTTCACGGTGGGTATGATCAAGACATATAAACCACGGAGTATTGGTGCATTCTTAACTCCCTAAAATACCTACCTAGGTCCTCAGGTTGTTGCTCATTGCCGTCGAATGATTCCACCGGCTTCCATGCCCGGGCACTTACCCTCTTATCGCCCTTATCACCACGTCGTGTAGGTATGACCATCTCCGGCCTTCGTTAGTAGCGAGCAGCTGAGTTCCCATCAACATCCCACATTTAACCGCAGATACCAAAACTCAGGTTATTTAGATGTGAACCTTCTCTCGCCCGGTTGCTGAGACACCTCCATAAGCGGATCCGGCAACAGTCCGGCATTCACCGTTAAACCCTCCGTGACGCGATTTCGTGAGTGTCGTACTGTCCATCGAGGGGTTGGAAACTCTAGTAGCCTTCTGGGACTCAGCCCAGGTCAGATCGAGAGCCAGAGGTTATGCGAGCAGCTTGGAATCACGATCAGCACCGGGAACTAGACTTGTTGCTTGGATTAACAATTAGAGCGATGGAGTCTGCTGTCACGGTAGACGCAAGATGACAAGCCTAAGAGCGAGAGAGAGAGAATGGAAAGCGAATACACATAAGTAACAACGGGAACAACCCGAAAAAGCGCAAAACCATCTAGTTTATTTACCATGCATCTTTATTACGGCAAACGTTTTCATCACAAGGCCAACAACAACAACAACAAGCAACCGCTCCCAACCACCAACTGACACGCTCCACCGGCATCCATCCATTTCATTTCAACATCACCTGCGTGTACCTATCCAACACCCCCAACCTCCCCCCCTTCCCCTCCCCACACACACCCACCACCTAAAAGATCTGCTCCAACCCCTCCCAAACCGCCTCACCCCCCTCCAACCCCGCCTTCTCCCTCCGCCGCCAATAATCCCCATTAAACTTCCAATACATCTCGCCCGTGACCTCACACCTCGCCTTAGTAAACCACGCGGGCACAAACTCCTCGCCCCGCTCCTCCCTCTCCCGACGCCTCGCGCGCTGGCCCTCCTCGAGCCGATTCTTCTCGGTGGCGGCAAAGTCGTACTCGCCCTCCTCCATGGCGCGCTGGTCGGGCCGGAGGCGGGAGTCGGTCGGGGCGATCCAGGGGCGCAGCTGGTCGTCGATGTGGTTGAAGGTGAGCACGAAGGGGGTCAGGTTGAAGGGGATGCCCTGCGGGCGCGGGTTGGCTTGCCAGATGAGGAAGGCCTTGCCCGGGTCGGTGATGCCGGGCCCGCCGCCGCCGCCCTTACCGTCCTGGGCGGCGGCCGCGTCCGCGTCCGCGGCCGTGGCGTCGTCGATGGTGGCTTCGAAGCCGGGGGTGAAGCGCGCGTAGAGCTTCGAGTTCCACCGCCCGCCGAGGCTGAAGCGCACGCGGTTGTTGGCGTCGACCACCTTGCCGGTGATGACGTAGGCGCTGGATGCCTTCCAGCCGCGGGCCTTGAACTCGATGTGGCAGACTTCGCCGGTGGTCCAGTTCTTGATTTCCATGGGGCCGTAGTTGTCGACGACCGGGTTGCCGGTGATGATGCCCACGACTGAGGATGTGACCTTCTTCCAGGTGTAGAGATCCTCCTTGCCGCCGTGGGTCGGGCGGAGCTTGAGGAACCAGGTGCCGAGCGGGTTGATGTCGAAGGAGCGGCCGTAGAACTTGGACTTGACGGCAGACTCGCCGTAGTAGGTCCACTTGGGCGACTCGGCCCAGGCCGCGCCGATTGGCGGATGATGGCTGACTTGCTCGATGAAGAAGCGGTAGTTTTTGTCCGGCCTGACATACTCAAAGGTCTCACCCAGTAGCGGGTTGAACGGCTTGGCAACACGGCCGATGGTGGACGCGTATTCACTGGCAGCGAATGCGGCAACGTACAACAGGCGTTCCACAGAATCTGTCCGGTCGGCGGCGAGATCTAGGAGGTCGGCATACTCCATATCCTCACCGCATCGGTAGAGGAGAGAGGTGGGTTCGTTGAAAGAGACAGGCAGCGTCATCTTGGTCATATCTTTCCCGACCATGGACTTGAGAATACCCTGTGCGTGATGTGTCAGCCAAGAGTCAAAAACAAACCCTTCTATGAACTTACCCAGAGCGAGATTTTCGGACGATCATCCGCATCCATCTTCAGCCGTGTACGAATGCCGTTCTCGTATCCTCTGAACGAGCTGCTGATGTCGTAAGTGTCAGAGATAATGAGCTGCTGCTTTTCTTGAGAGGCGGTGAGCTCCGATGGTGGCAACTGTGACACCTCAACTTCGCCGGCATCGACAGCATCGAAGAACTCTTCCTCGTCGGACTCGGACTCGGAAATATCCGCAATTTGGTCCATCACAGTCTGTCGCCTAGACATGCCGATAGTGGGTGACTTCGCGGTTACGACTTCCGCTGAAGCCTCAGTGATACCTTCTTCTTGGATGGAGACCTCGGCGGCTTGGGCTGTTGAAAGACTGGCTTGGCTGCCTTCAAGGATGCCCTTTTCAACAACTTCCTTGAGAATCCGCTTCGTTATCCTCCGCTTCGACTCGGATTCGCCAACGCGGGCCTCGAGTGCCTCCTGTTCCTTGGCGACCTGCGCCATGCTCTCTTCCCACATGCGCCGCATTTCGGACTCTCGGTCAAGGCGGTATTGCCAGTAGGCATCGCGATCTTTTGAAATACGGAGTAGATCTCCGACAAGTCCGGTGAGCGAGCGGATGGCAGCGTCATAAGTGGCCAGGCCTTGCGACATCTTAGGATCGGACAACGTGAGGGTCGGATTCTTACTCGACTCGAGGAGAAGGGCGGCCGTGACGTGAGCCATGGATTCGAGCTGTAACTTGGCCGACTGGGCGGTGATATTGAAGGCATCTTTGTTTGCCGGTGGGGCATCCTGTCCACTAGACCCCTCGCCATAGTCGTCATCATCGTCGGCGTCATCAGCAATGGTCCCGCCACCATTGCGATCCGTCTTGTCCGCCTCGGTGGCCGCGTCGGCGAAGTCATCTTCATCGTTGCTACCGATGGTGGGGAAGCCGCTCTTGCTAGATGCGCGCGCCGAGGAATGCATCCGCGTGAGCTGAATGCTGCTGCGTGACTGTTCGGCAACGCTGGCGCTTTCACTCGCTGGTTCTGAAAGATGGGAGTGCTCGGCCTTGGCTTGCTTTAGCAGCTCGGCGTTCCGGGCTTGTTGCCGTTCCTCTTCCTTGGCTTGGTCCTTTGTCCATTGGATAGAGTTGTTAAGGGCCCAAAACCAGCGCTTCGCTTCGACCTCGTGGTTCGCTTTGAGGGTGTACTTGACCGAAGACTTGCCATGAATCTCAAACTTTGTTTTTTCATCAGCGCTCATGTGAAGCTTGGCGATGCGCATGTTGATAGCGCCACGGCAGGCAGAGCCCGCGTCATCCTGGTGCTTATAATAGCTGAGGACACCGTCTTCAAGGACAAACCACCGCAGCTGGTACCCTTTCCGATAGTTGGTCCATTTCTTGAGGTAGCCCTTCATTTCCCGCGCTTCCCGTCCGGCAAGCGGGTCGCCAGGTGTCGCCGTGGCCGCACCCTGAGTAGTGGAGCCCAGAACAGCCTTCTCCTGAATGCCCCTTTGTGCCGCCACGGCAGCAGGAGACTTCTTCAGCATGGCACGGGTGATTTCGTCCTTGGTCACATCCTGCGGTAGCTTCCCCTTGCGATCCCGGCGGAACGGATCAGCTCCGTGCAAGAGAAGAACCTGAATCAGCCGGCTATTTTTGCGGCGAGCGGCCTCGTGTAGCAGGGTACCGCCGGCTTGCACCGTGGTTGGCTCCGATGAAAACTCGGGGCTGTTGATGTCCAGAACCGTCTTGAAGCGCGGTTCCTCCAGTACCTGCTCCAGAACCTTGAGCTCGCCGTGGAGGATGAGATCCTGGATTTGTCTAACTTTGTTCTCAGCGAACAAGGACCTTGACAGCTGCAACTGCTGGAAGATATCGGGATTTCGAGCGAGGTCGATGGGAAGACGGCCCTGGTGGTTGGCAATGGCATCGTTGATTTCCTTGTTCTCGAGCAGCAGACGCACAACCTGAGTGCGACCTTGCGCTGCTGCGACGTGAAGGGGAGTATTTCCATCCCTGTCCCGCGCGTTGATGTCGAGGGAACCGGCCCCGTCGGACAAGACATACTCAACAACAGGCTGTTCGGCGCACTGGATGGCCAGGTGCAAAATTGTAGTATCCTCGAGGGCACCTGATTGAGTTGCGAACGAGGAGGTGCTCATGCGGGGTGCGTTGTCGGCGGTTTCGCGGATGGCCTTGGAGATGAAGGCGGTATCGCCGTTCCGTAGGGCCTCGACAATTCGGAACTTTCTGACAGACGATTCGAGCGAGATTCCTTTGTCTGTTGGGTTGGGAGACCTCCCACCAGCAGCCGAGGGGGTATTCGAGGGGGTCCGACCCATGGCGCTCCCGGCTACAGAAAGCCTCGAACTATGGCCCTTGACGGGTTGTGGGTGCGCGGTAGGAATCGACGACTCGGAGTTTGTGGCTGCGCTGGATGTTGCCGAAGTTGTGTTACCCAAACCCAAGCCGCTCGATGCGGCGTCCTCAGTTGAAGACATCTCTTCTTCGGCCCCCTTTCGCCTCAGCAAGGAGAGAGCGGAGGATTTGGTTCGTCGATGCGAACTAGGTGCAGAAGGGAGAGTTAGCAAGAGTAACTACTCGACAACATCCAACACCTCCCACGACAGCCAGCGTCAGGCAATATCTTCTTTGCGAAACTCTCGTCGCGCCGCCCTGCCGGCAGTTGTTGACAGGGTCCAACAATGTGGGTAATGGGTCCCTACCTCTCCCCCGCGTCAGGCATGGTCCCCGCAGTCTCCGGACCAGCAATCTTCGGGCGGTTGATCGAGTATCGGGGTGGCTCAAGTTGGCCGCGCGGTCTCGTGGGATGTAGTGGTTCCGAATTCAAAACTGAAATGGGAATTTCGCTAGTCAAAGATTGTGGACGTTCTCAAGGGCGAATCGTCGGGGTATTGAGGTGAAGCAGCAACGTGGTGGGCAGTGGTGGGGAGAGTGGAGATATTAGCTTTAAACACCGCCTTGGCTGCACTTCCAACATCCCTGGTCGGCCAGGGTTGGAGAGATGACGTTGGCCTTGGAGATCCGCTTGGGCAGTTTTTGGGTGATCGGCTCAAGCGAGAACAACAACCCCACCCAGACAATGAAAACTGGCACCCCTGGATTTCACGTGCCTTGACGATTGCTCGTTGGGGGGCAGCAGGAACCTTTTCATTCATGACAGTCCAGACAAACGCCTAGACTTCGCTAACTAAGCGGGGCGCTGAAACATCAAGATGCGGCGAGACACGGCCGTTTTTTAGGCCAGAAACATTTCCAAGAATCGGCGGTATTAATAGACTGGTCATATATCAAAATCGGTTGCCAATTCCCATATAAAGTCGCATCGCACATTTATTCGAAGGCTGGCAGCTTCCCGTGTGACGGTAATCATTTCTCGAGTTCCCCTGGCATCGCCTCGTCTGATTGGAAAAATGATGTCCAGGTACCTCGTGTTACCGGAATAGGTTGAACAGCTCACTCACAGCCAAGGGACGTTAGCTTAGCTAATCGATCCTGCTCACAGCCAGGCACCGCCCATCAGCCAGAGACGGAGTTCGGGAATCGAGCCCCGGAATCAGTGCCGACAGAGCCTCGGCAACAGGCGTGGGGCCCTGGATACACATGGGATCAAATGTGGAATCTGAACCTTCGAGTTCATGCATTGCGACATTGAACTTTAAAACCATTGTTCGCATCAAATAAAGCCCCGGTTTCCCATTCTACATTACATACATATTGGAGATATTCCAAGCCAATTGAGCATGCGGTATTAGTTACTGTTTTTAGTTATTTTCCCGTACCTTATCAGATCTCAGCCACCCATCTCACCAATTCGCATCAATCCCCTGTTTTACACGCCGCGGGAGGAACCCCCTTTCAGGATCACCAACCAACTGAGCTCCTCAAAAGCCCCCAACCTTTCGTTACGAGACACCCAACCGCGGACCTGCATTCGGCACAGCCTTGGGGTCACGATGAACGATCGTTCGACTCTGCTCAGGCCGCCCCCTGAAGACCCCAATAAGGCACAGATTGAGAATGCATTGGAGGTGACCGAGCTGGCCGTATTGGGTCCTGTAAGTAATTCAAGCGTACCATCCCATGTTTGCATCTCAAGGTGCATCACATCATGTATCGCGTCATGCGTAAGGAACCGTTGCCGGTCCGTGTATGAAGGGTGCATGGGTGCTGTAGCAACAACTTAGCCACATCCCCCATTCCCCCTTCCGCCCCGCAACCGCAACCACCTGAAACCCCCCCTCAAGGACCACAAAGTAACACCCCCCTCCTTCCAACAGAACATCTTCACCAACACCCGCCAACCGTGGCACCCGCCGGGCGCGCGCGGCATCTACGGCGGCGCGGTGATCGCCATGTGCCTGGCCGCGGCGCAGCGGACGCTGGCGCCCGACTTCCTGGTGCACTCGTGCCACTGCTACTTCTTGCTGGCCGGCTCGTCCGAGCTGCCCATCCTGTTCCACGTCGAGCAGGTGCGCGACGGGCGCTCCTTCGCCACCCGCACCGTGCAGGCCCGCCAGCGCGGTCGCTGCATTTTCACCACCACCATCTCCTTCGTGCGCGACTCGTCCGCGGCGGCGGCGGCGGACGAGGCGGGCGAGGAGGGGGAGGGGAAGGGGAATGAGAAGAAGAAGAAGACCGTCGAGGTCAGCCACGCGAGCGAGATCCCGCGCGGCGCCGACGGCCAGCCGTTGCGGCCGCCGCCGGACGACTACGCGGGCGAGCCGGAGCTGATCTCGCAGGGCCCCTTCCAGGGCGCGCGGATCGAGGTGGTGGACGTGGGCGGGGCCGACAAGCCCGGGGAGAAGGTGACGCGGCAGTGGGTGCGGGCGCGCGGGACGATCGCGGGCGGGCAGGCGGCGCAGCTCGCGGCGCTCGCCTACGTGTCGGACAGCTACTTCATCGGCACCATCTCGCGCATCCACAAGCTGTGGCGCTTCCCCTTCCGGGCCGAGGACTTCGACCAGCTGCCCGACGACCTGCGCGCCAAGGTCAAGACCCTGCACTACTGGGAGGGCCTGGGCGACGACCCGCGCGACATGGTCGGTCGGCCGTCCATCGGCATGATGGTCAGCCTCGACCACACCATCTATTTCCATGAGCCGACCAAGGTGCGCGCTGATGACTGGATGCTCACCGAGATGCAGAGCCCGTGGGCCGGCGACGGGAGGGGCGTGGTGATGCAGAAGATCTTTAGCAAGGACGGCACGTTGCTGGCGACTTGCGTACAGGAGGTATGTCCCTCCTTCTTCTGTTTGCCCGCCAGACTTTGACTTGGAGGAACGCTTGCTAACAAACCGACGTTACTATTCAGGGCCTTGTCCGTCTTCAGCAGCCCACGCCCGAGGGGAAGGAGTCAAAGCTATAGATTAACGCACACGCGGCTATTTTCTTTTTGTAGATCTGTTTATAATTTCTGGGAGCTCTGTTCTGATAGATTTGTGGCATATTGTACCATCGTCTGTTGGGTCACTAATATAAAGTTAACGACTTGAAAAATTCTTCGAGTCAAAATAGTATGAAGACGGAAAGAGAGTAAGAGTGGTCGCATGTCCCGATAATAATCGTGGATATAAAGCAAGTCAATTGTTATGCATCCTCTATCTTCCCAACTTTGCAATGCTAAAACGAAATGCTACGGCCAGTTGGCTTTGCCCAAAGACACGAAAGGCGGAGGAGACCAACTCGGTAACAATGTTCCTGGGTGCTCAGTGGAAGATGATGTTGTAAATTATGCTCTCTCTGCCTCTCAGCTGTCAGAGCAGTATATATATGGACGACTCGTGGTCCTTTATGCCTGCCCATCCCTTGCCCCCAACGGCTCTGGTGATATTTTGCTATCCCCGATCGCCAGGCGCCGGGCTGCCACTGAATCCTTACTGTATTTCTTCTTCTCCCCCTCACCACACCCTCGTCACCACCCCGTGCCAACTCTTACAAGCTTTGGTAAAGCTGGGTATCTTTCCCTACAACGCCCAGCCTGTCTCACATGGAGACCTTTCCCCCTTTTCCCACAGAGATGGCGTGTGGCCTATGCAGAAGGCAGAAGATGTTCCGTGCGAATGAAACGCCGAACGTGCAATTGCAAAAGTCGCGCCTGGAAGAAAAAAGAAAGCCGGGAAATAGATCTACTGTCGGGAGGGCACACTAAACTGGACTGGCGGCGTGGGGCTGCCACCCTCCAGTTCGGCTGCCGGCTGGAAAAGCGCCCTGATCAAATGGTGACCCCTTCCAAGCGGAGTACCTTGGATTTGTCCCCGAGGAACTGGGAGCGGAATTCAATGATCCCGCGCGCTATTGTGTCGAAGTCCTTAACTTTCTGGGCCTTGAACTTCTGGAGAAGCTCCCGCAGGCCCTGGATGAACCGGCTCTTTTGCTCGCCACTATAGTCGTCGGAATTTCCAAGCTCCAAGAGGATTTGGTCATCTGGAAGGTAGAGGGCCAGGAGTCAGCTTCCACGGGGGGAGTTGGACGTTTGATGTTAGCAGTCCGTTTACGGCGCGGGTAGACTCACCCGGAGGACTGATAGAGCCAAAATGCTGGAACTCGCAAGTAGCAGGGCACTGTTCTCCAGTAAGTTCGAAAGGGCAGAGTTCCTTTTCGGGATCAATTCTGTTGCTGTAAGTCAAAGACCTCAGGCCACCGGCAACTGAATTTTTGTACTCCGGGTGGAATCGATACGCATGGAAATAACGAAGTGGGCTTTCGTAGGGCATTAATTTGCTGTCAGACGGAGACGTTGGGCGATCATGTACCTGCAATCGAGTTAGCGTCGAGGTTCTGATGATACAGGAAGAAACGACATGTACTTCTCCTGCAACATCTGTCTCTATTTCTTGCACTGCCTTCCTGGGTTGCGCGGCGCCCGAGATTTGGTCAGGCAGTGGGGCTAGAGATTCTGCGTCGAAGCTGCTGGTGAGCCCCGCTGTCTCCGGGCTGGGTGACCTTGAATCCAATTCCATCGGTGTGGTCTCGTCGACCTTTGAAGGATCCGCTTGCTCGGGTAGAGGTGGTGGGGGGGTGTTGTTTTCAGCTTGCTGCGACTCTGAGGACAGAACCGAGGCATCTTCGTCATCTCCTTGAATTATCATCTCACCATTCGGCAGCGGTTGAATTTGTGCCATGGTGTCGGACAGATGTTCAGCAGAATCGGCATCGTCAGATTCAACGGTGCCGAAGTCAGCAGCGGAAGGTGACGGTGACCCGCCATGCGACCCTTCTTGTGGCCCTTCTTGCGGTCCTTCTCGCGGGGCCTCCTCTTCGACGGTGGATGCGGCGCCAATGCCTCTGTCGGACTCGGATCGAGCTGATGATGACCCACCAGTCTGGATATCAATTGAGGGGCTTCCCGTTTGCGGAGGGAAAACCTCGTTCTGTTGATCAACAGTGTCTTTAGCAGTGCCAGACGACAATGAATCACCCGAGTCATTTTCGGAATGTAACCCATTAGGCCGTGGGCTGTCGGCTGGAGGAGCCGTCTCAAGTTCTTGCAGCTCATCAGCCAGCCTCTTTTGCTCGGCAACGCTATTGTCGATCTCGGCCTTCAACCGTGCTTGTTCATCCTGCAGTTGTTGCATTCGCTTCATCCTTTCCGTGAGGAATGATTCAACTCTGGGAATTTCAAGGCTCACGATACGGCCTCGGCGAAGCTCTCGCTGACGCGGATCAAGGCGCAGCATGTCCGCTGGTTGAGAAAGCCGGGGTGATGACGCGTCCGGTGGAAGCTGGGGAGAAGCCCTTTCTGAGCGATTCGGGCTGCTCATGGACTCAGCCGGTCGGGCAACTAGGACCCGAGGGCTCTCGCCATCCTTGGACTCTGACCCGATTTGGCCTGGCGTCACCGAGCCACCCGAAGACTGTTTGACTTTTCGCTTGGCTTCTGCAAGGGCAATCTTCCGTCTCATATCCTGGATTGCCTTTTCTTTCAGATCAAGCTCAGTCCGCTTCTTGCTGTTAACTCGGCCCCCGGGTGGAGTTATGGAAGGCGCGGGACTCGAGATCTGGCGCGGAGGGAAGGAATCCGTAAGTGGTGGGAAGTCACGGACAGCCGGCCCACGTTGACCAAGCGAGCCGCTCGATTGAATCGGCAATGTCTCATCACCCGGCGATTCCATGTCCATATCCATGTCCATCTCCTCGTCGTCAGACTCGTCTGTAACATCAATAATGAGCGACGTCTCCTTGCGGGCTTGGGTGAAGGGCCGCTTCGCCGGGGCTGGCCCTGCTGAGTATTCAACGAAATCTGAGGCCACTGGACGCTTGCGTTGGTTCGAAATCACCTGCGGGGCATTTGCTGACAACATCAAACCAGGCAGCGGTTGACGAGGTTGAGATGGCGTTGCCTGAGCGCTGGCCGGCGTGTGAGATCCGTTTGCTGCCCTGGGACCTGTGGGGATGGCCAGGGGAGCGGGACTGTTTGTTGAAGTAGGTGGAGGAACGGACGCTCCGTTGTTACCCCCCAGGCTAGCTGTGTCGGTTGTCGACTTTTGAGCTTCTCGGGATTTTTGTAGCGCGGCTATTTTCTGTTGGATCAGACGCTCTTTCTCGCCCCACGTCTTAGGTTTGGGCGGTGCTGGAGCTGGCGGTGCCGGCGCGGTCTCCTCGTGTTGTGCGGTTGACTCGGTTCGCTTAGGTTGTGCCGGAGCGGGCGTGGGCGGGTTTGGTGCTGCCGGTGCTGCCGGTGCTTTAGCTGCCTTCGCTGCAAGGAGCCGTGCGATGCGGTCTTTTCGCTCCTCGCCTTTCCTTGTCTGTTCGGATATGATAGATGAGTCCTTCGTGGCGATAGGGGCATGTTGTGGCTGCGTGTCGGAGGGCTTGCTTGGTTTGTCCGAGTCGGCTCCGCTGCCCTCGATTTGCTGAGTTGCCTTCAAGGGAGGCGCAGAGGAGCCCGTATTGGCCTTGGGCATGTCCAGACGAAGATCCAGGAAAAGGTTCTTGATAAGCTTTTCGTCGAACCCCTCGTCGAGGTAATTTTGGTATTTGACACCCAAGGGCCATAAACGCAGAATTGCCTTCTGCGCCTCCTTCTTCGCTTCCTGCAAGGATGCGAAAGCACTCAATGGATCTGCTTGCGGTTTCGGGGAGGAATCTCCGATCTGGGCTGAGGCACCGTTCGAGGACGTGGTCGGGCCTTGGGGAGCAGGTTCCAGGCCTGGCACACCGGGCTTTTGCGCCCCAGCAACTGGCTGGGCGGAGCTTGGTTGAGCCCTCTTGTCCGCGGTGGGTTGTGGCGTCGGGATTTCGCTCTGAATCTCTCGCGGAGACAGGAAGGGCGAGTAGGACGCTGAGCGCTCATGACCTGCAACCATTAGCACTGCATATTTGAGACAAGAAGCCGGAAGCGACCGAGACTCGTACCATCATTCCTCCTAGGTTCCTTGTCGCCACCATCGTCGTCCGAGCCATAAAATCCACCGTCTGGTGTATCAGCGGCGCTTGGTGGTTGGCTGAAATCTCCAACCGGAAATGGTAACGGCTTGGGAACTGGCTGTACGGGAGCATCCGATTCCTCTTCCCGCGGCTCGTACAGATCCTCAAACTGGCCCTCGCTCAGCTCACCTTCCTCCATATCAACGTCCGCAGTTGGATGCGCGGCGGTCGGGGCGGGTTGCGTTAGTGGTGGCGGGCCAGTTTTCGAATCGTGGGTGGCGTTAGCCTGGGGGCGGTGGAGGTTGTAGGGACCTGATCGCGAGGTCTGCGCTGGCGGGCCACTTGGTGCAAATGGCGCAAATCCAGGGGGCTGCGTCCACGACGCAATGCCAGATGCGAAGTTGTGAGTCTCGTGGGGAGGTGCGCCGCCTATCCCAAGCCCTGGAATATGCGTAGCATTCAGGTCGAAAGCGACCTGTGAAGCATCACGATGTATCGGTGCGGCGGAAGGATTGTAAGGGGGTATCTGGCTGGCCGCTGGGTAACCGGAGACGTTCGGGTAGGCATACGGTTGAGGTGGGTATTCGCCATGATATTGGCCGTAGCCATACGGATTAGGGTATTGCGACATGGCGGAAATTCGACGATGGGTGTGTCGCTACAGTTCGTGCATCTCGATAATCGGCGGCGCAGTGGGATTTTGTGAACCTGAATCTTCTTGGGATCGTCAAGATCAATGGATTCGAAGCGCGCGCAGGATACAAAGGTCTAGGTATCGAGGTCCTTTGTCGAGAGAAACAAAGGGTCAAGCGTCGGTCGTGATCGTGGGGTGCAAGACCAAAGCACTCCAAAAGCAACTGCACGAGAGGAGCTAGCGAAACCGAAAATGGCCGATGGGTATTCGTATGATTCCAATAATGATGAGAATCGCAGAATAAATATCAGCTCGAGTTGCGTTGTGGTTGCTCTCCCGGGTTGAGTTGCAGATTACCTGGTAGCTCGCGCGACCGAATTGTTCAGTCTTGGTTGGCATCGATTTGCTCGAAGCGCGTCCGTCCGATGGCGAAAAGAAAGACATGGACTCACAACCCGCACAATATGCGCTAGTCCAGATCTAGTAATGAGTGCACGGTCCAGGCCAGTGACATCAAGCAAGGCGGGCACTTCCCGGGTTTGTTTACTCGACCGGGGTGTGCTGGGGCAACCACGAACCAGTTTGAGGTTGGGCGGCATCAAGGTAACCCTTCTTGCTTCCTTCCTTTGGTCCAGCAACTTCCGCTCCTTAGGGAACCAAACCAAACCACCTGGAGAAAGGAGGAGCTCACGGCCAGATTTATCCGTGCTTTTTGCTTTTTTTGGCTTTCTCTGCCCTTGCGATCCCACCTTTTTTTGCCCCGCATCGCATCGCATTACATGCAGCGCTTTGGCAGGGCTTCATTTTCCTGAATGTTTACAGGGTCCTGCAACCTCAGCCACGCAACACCACCACATTGTTTTTCCGACAGTATTCCATGATCTCTTGGATTCCTAGTCCTCCAACAGAGGCGCACCATGTCGGTCCGCAATAATCCTTTTGCGAGGAACGCCGCGGCGTCGACCGGTTCGAATGGTCTCGGCCGCCCAAATTCTGTTCTCGCTCCCTCATCACCGTCTCTACTTGCAGGGCCTCCCCCTCCACCCTCCCACGCCAGGGCGAACTCCCATAGTTCCCAGAGCCCTCACAGCCTTGCGGCAGCGACATTGGCGCCACCGGCACCTATCCGAAGCAGCCATGCCCGCGGCACGTCGCGAGAGGGGACGCCTAGTTCGAGCACATTCGCGCCGTCGTACCTCAAAACCGAAGACATGCGGAAGCCCACCGACGTTGTGAAAGGGATTGAGGGCGAGAACGACTTTTCAGGCAGAAAGTATGTCTGGCTTAAGGACCCGCAGACGGCGTTCGTCAAGGGCTGGGTTGTGGAGGAGCTTGATGGAAACAGGCTTTTGGTTCAATGCGACGACGGGAGTGTGAGTGTGCATTCGGAGTATTGAGTCTCGCAGTCTACTGACCAGGGAACAGCAACGGGAAGTAGACGCTGAGAGCGTTGACAAAGTAAACCCAGCCAAGTTCGACAAGGCAAACGACATGGCAGAGCTCACACACCTAAACGAGGCTTCGGTCGTCCACAACCTCCACACACGATACATGTCCGATTTAATCTACACTTACTCCGGGTTGTTCTTGGTGACGGTCAACCCCTACACCCCGCTGCCGATATACACCAATGAGTACGTCAACATGTACAAGGGCAGGAACAGAGAGGACAACAAGCCCCACATCTTCGCCATGGCCGACGAGGCCTTCCGCAATATGGTCGATGAGAACGAGAATCAGAGCATTTTGGTGACCGGTGAATCCGGTGCTGGAAAAACTGAGAACACCAAGAAGGTCATCCAGTACCTCGCCGCCGTCGCTCAGTCCCAATCCCCGGTAAAAAGCAGGGGCAAACAACACTCAAATCTATCTGCCCAGATCTTGCGGGCCAACCCGATTCTGGAGGCCTTCGGCAACGCCCAGACCGTGCGAAACAACAACTCCTCTAGATTTGGCAAGTTCATCAGAATCGAGTTCAACCGGGACGGGTCGATTGCTGGCGCCTTTATTGACTGGTATCTCCTTGAAAAATCTCGAGTCGTACGGATCAACGCCCAGGAACGCAATTATCACATCTTTTACCAACTTCTCACGGGCGCAGACCGGAGGATGAAACAGGACTTCCTGCTCGATGGGTTGGATGTCCAGGACTTCGTTTACACTCGCGACGGGCAGGAAATCATCACAGGGGTGTCCGACCATGATGAGTGGAGTTCCTTGATGGAAGCCTTTTTGGTCATGGGTTTCTCGGATGAAGAGCAAGCCTCTATTTTACGCACCATTGCCGCTGTTCTTCACCTCGGAAACATATCAGTTGTCAAGGAGAGCAGGTCTGCAGACCAGGCTCGCCTTGCGCCTGATGCCAAAGAAGTTGCCGCGAGAGTTTGCAAGTTGCTTGGTGTACCCCTCGAGCCCTTCCTCCGCGCCCTGCTGCATCCCAAGGTCAAGGCAGGCAGGGAGTGGGTGGAAAGGGTACAGACACCAGAGCAGGTCCGCTTTAGCATTGATGCCCTTGCAAAGGGTATCTACGAGAGGGGCTTTGGCGACCTGGTGACCAGGATCAACCGCCAGCTTGATCGTGCTGGGATGGGCCTCGATGACACCCGCTTCATCGGTGTATTGGATATTGCTGGTTTTGAGATTTTCGAGAAGAACAGCTTTGAGCAGCTGTGCATCAACTACACCAACGAGAAGCTGCAGCAGTTTTTCAACCACCACATGTTCGTCCTAGAGCAGGAGGAGTACGCCAGGGAACAAATTGAGTGGCAGTTCATCGACTTTGGCAAGGACCTGCAGCCTACCATTGATCTGATTGAGCTTTCCAACCCGATCGGCGTCTTCTCGTGCCTCGATGAAGACTGTGTCATGCCCAAGGCCACCGATAAGACCTTCTCCGAGAAGCTAAACTCTTTGTGGGATAAGAAGTCACAAAAGTATCGGCCTTCTCGGCTGGGACAAGGTTTCATTCTCACGCATTACGCCGCCGAGGTCGAATACTCCACCGACGGCTGGTTGGAGAAAAATAAGGACCCCCTGAACGACAACCTCACTCGTTTACTCGCCGCGTCAACCGACAAGCACGTTGCCAATCTCTTTGTCGATTGTGCAGACCAGGATGATGAAGCTGGAGGTATGCGCAGCAGAGTCAAGAAGGGGCTTTTCCGGACGGTTGCCCAAAAGCACAAGGAACACCTATCGACCCTCATGGGCCAGCTGCATCTCACTCACCCCCATTTCGTTCGATGTATCCTTCCCAACCACACCAAGCGAGCAAAACAATTTAGCGGCCCGCTCGTCCTCGATCAGCTACGGTGCAACGGTGTGCTTGAGGGTATCCGTATTGCCCGGACGGGCTTCCCCAACAGGCTGTCATTTGCCGAATTCCGGCAGCGGTACGAAGTCTTGTGCCGCGACATGCCCAGGGGGTATATTGAAGGCCAGGCGGCGGCAAAGATCATGCTCGACAGGTTCGGTCTCGACAAATCCTTGTACCGGATTGGTCTGACCAAGGTGTTCTTCCGCGCTGGTGTCCTCGCCGAGCTCGAAGAAAAGCGTGATGCATTAATTACGGAAATCATGTCGAAGTTCCAGTCCGTTGCTCGAGGCTATATGCAGCGGCGGATTGCATTCAAGCGTCTCTATCGAGCGGAAGCTACGCGGGTCATCCAACGAAACTTCCAGGTCTACATCGACCTCTGTGACAATCCTTGGTGGCAGCTCCTCGTTCGGATGAAGCCCCTCTTGGGCGCGACAAGGACCGCGGCTGAGGTCAAGAAGAGGGACGAAATGATCCGCCAGCTGAATGAGCAGATGCTACTGGAGCACGACAATCGACAGAAACTCGAGGACGAACGGCGGAACGTCCATGCCGAGATGCTTCGGATCCAGCAGACACTCGAGAGCGAGCGTGCGCTAGCGCTGGACAAGGAAGAGATATTTAAGCGGCTGCAACTCCGAGAAGTGGAACTGGAAGATAAGCTGGCCGGCGCTCTGGAGGACCAAGAGAAGCTCGAGGACCAGTTGGATAGTCTTCTTGAAGCCAAAAAGCGCGCCGAGGACGACGTGGAACGGTACCGTGCGCAGCTTGACCAAGCAGCCAGCATCATCGCGAGGTTGGAGCAAGAAAAGTCCGAACTCGCTGGGCGTGTTGAGGATCTCGAGCGCGCGATTGAGGACATTAGCAAGGCTCAGGCTGACCGCAATGAACAAGAGGCGGCCCTGGAAAGCGAGATCAAGATGCTGCAAAGCCAGCTCTCGCTTAAAGACCGCAAGGCTCGCGACTTGGAAGACAAGCTGCTCAAGATCGACCAAGACCTCGAGGTCAAGCTAATGACTGCTCAAAAGGAGCTCCAGTCCTCGAAGAACAAAAACTCGCAGCTCATTGCCGAAACCCGTGAGATCCAGCAGCAGTTGACTCAGTTATCCAAGACTTCAACGGACTACGAAGACCTCGTGAGGAAGAAGGAGAGTGAATTGGCTTTGCTCCGGTCAGACAATAGGAAGTTTGAGACGGAGAAGCGTAGCTTTGAGGACCAGATGAAGAGCCTCAGCGCAGAGAGAGAAAAGGCTGCTGACCGGCTTCATGAAGTTCAAGCCCAACTATCTGCCTTGAAATCTCAGCAATCCCAGATCGAGCGGGAGGCAGAGGATGCAAAGAGGCTCCTCGAGGCCAGGCTTTCGGAAGATGCTCAGGCTGACGAGAATCGGCAGATCCTTGAGTCTCAGATCAAGGATCTCAAAGAAGAGCTGTACAATACACAGATGGAATTCAGCAGAGAGCGCCAATCGCGCGATGATGTCCAGCTGCTCGGCGAGCACAAGTACCAAAGCCTGAAGGATGAATACGACCATCTCAACGAGTCAAAGATCACCATCGAGAAAGAGCTCTACGCCCAGCAAGACACTCTCCGCCGAACCATGGAAGCCCGCACTACCGCGGAGGAAGAACGGGACGAAGCTCGCGAGGAAATCCGGCGGCTTCGCGTCGCCAAGACCCAAGCTGAGGAAGCTCGCCGCGAAGCTGAGATCGTCGGAGAGCGAGCCGCTTTCAAGGTCGCGCGGGAGCGGGAGGAAAGTCTTCATAAGGATCTCGAGGCCGCCCATGAGCGGCTCAAATGGTTCGACGACGAGTGTGCCAACCTAAACCGCCAAATCGAAGACCTGAACAAGCTGATTCTCGAGTCCGGCGAGTTTGGGCTGAAGAGCGACCAAGCAAAAGAGCGTATGGAGCGCGAGCTTCATACTGTGAAGAGTCGGCTCGCTGCCTCCGAAAACGACAACCGTGCCCTCCTCAACAAATTACAGCAAAAGGGTCTCGAAATCGCCCGGTCATCATCGCGGGCAAGCGAGGCGTCCCGTGGTCAGGTTCTTTCTTTCCAGCGCGAGAAGGCGAAGTTGGAGGAGCAGAATACCAAACTCAACAAACAGCTCGGTGATTCGCATGTCACCATCGCCTCACTAGAGAAGCGGCTCGAGAAGCTGCAACTGAGTCTGGAGGATCTCAACCATGAAGTCGCCAGGGAGGTGCAGAGCAGCCGCAATGCTGAGAAGGCTTCGTCTAATTTCACGGTCCAGCTAGCTGAGGCCAACCGCACAATCGAATCAGAGAAGCAACTTCGAACGCAAGCACAAGGCACTGTGCGCACGATGCAGTCTGCGTTGGATGCTCGGGACGCGGAGCTCGCGGAACTGCGAACCCAATTGCTGAATGCACTCAAAACGGTTGACCCCGAGTCAGCCCCAGTTATCCAGCCAGACGACGGTCCTGATAAGTTCATCAGCAAGAACTTTGACTTGGTCCGAAAAATCGAAGATTTGCAGCAGGACTTGCGTGTCCAGACAGCCGCCCGTGCCAATGCCGAGGCGCAACTGGCAGATTCGAGAGCAGCTAGGAACGAGTCTCCAACCAGACGCGGCCTCGACGACGTCGAGGCTCCTTTCAACATGTCACCGACACAGGCGCGGTCTAAGCCTAACGGACGCCACTACTCGAACGCAACGACACCACCACGTCGGTTCGCAATTCCCGACACCGACCACATCCATGATTCGGTTCGTTCGGACAAGACGGCGGATATCCTGAGCTTCAACAATCGCATGGATCTCAAGGCCGACGTCGAGGAACTGCAAAATCAGTTGCAGCTTGCGCAGATGCAAAACCGGCACCTCCAGAACCAGCTAGAGCGCTCGGAGCCCTCTTCGGAAGTTCAAGCCGATGAGAGCGGCCGGATGCGGAAACTGGAACAAGCAAACGGCCGGCTGCATGACATGCTAGACCAGTCCTCCAAGCAGGTATCTGCTTTGGAAAAAGCCCTCCACACTGGTGAACTCTCGCTTCGGGACATCCAAACCAAATCCCATGAAGAGCTTCTTGACCTACTCCATAGTCAAGAGGACTCCCGCCGGTCGATTCTGCACAGCCATAACGATGCCATTGCAGAGTTGACCGACATGAAGGGGCACGTGGAGAGGCTGAGGCATGACCGAGCGAAGCTCGAAGTGGATTTCCGCGACACGAGATCGGACCTGCAGGAGATCTCGCTTGCTAGAGATCAAGAAGCCGCTAGCCGGGCCCAACTCCTGGAGGAATTCGCCGATCTCCAGATCCGCATGGACGCCGAAACCTCCAAGCTCACTGATGTGACTGCTAGTCTGAACCTTTACAAGAGCCGTGCCGACGAGTACTTCAACAAGCTGGAGCAGGCCGAAATTGCGGTGCTCAAGGCGAGCCGCGCAGAGCAATTTGCCAAGGCACAGGCCAGAGAGGCGGAAGACAGTTGCGCCGATATGATGGCGGAAAGAAACCGTCTTGATACCACCATCGAGGATCTCCAGCTCCAAACTCAGAGACTCGAGGAGAAGATCGAAGATATGTCGACAGACTTGGAGTCGGCCACGCAGGCAAAGAAGCGGCTGCAGCACGAGCTTGAGGACTACCGCAACCAGCGAGCCAACGACGTCGAGGACAAGGAATCGAGCATGGAACAGCTGCGCAAAAAGTACCAGGCTGAGTTCGCGACCCTCACAAAAGAGCTGGATCTTGCCCGTGAAGAGAAGCTCTTCAAGCAGGCCGAGATCGCGAGATTGCGCGAGGAACTCGACGATCTCCGGTCCAAGTGGGATGACGAGGTGCTCAACAGTTCAACCTGGTCTAAGGAGAAGGCCCGCCTGCAGACCACACTCTCGGATGTGGTGGCTTCTCGAGACGAGGCGGTCACCGCCCACAACGAGGCCCAGGGCAAGATCGTATCTCTCTTGTCACAGGTCCGCTCTCTTCGGTCGTCGGTGGACGAGGTCACGGCCGAACGTGACGGCCTGCTTCGCGAGAAGCGGAGTATCGAGGCAAGATTGGAGGAAGCCAAGGCTGGCCTCGAGGAGCTCGCCAAGAGCGAGAGCCCGTCGCTTCGCAACGCGGCCAACATCGACAAGGAGATTCTCGACCTCAAGGCCGGGCTCGCACAGCAGGAGGACATTGCCGCCGCAGCAGTGGAGAAGATGCGCCGTGCCGAGTCGCTAGTATCGGAGATCCAGAAGGACATCGTCGGCGAGAGAGAGGCGAGCGCCGAGCTGCAGAAGCAGAAGGCCGCCCTGGAAAAGTCACTTAATGAAGTGCAACTCAAGCTTATCGACCTCGAGACTAAGGGTTACTCGACGGCGAGCAACGACATCAAGTTCCTGCATAAGCGTATCCAAGAGGTTAGCCCCACCCTCCCACCCCATCCCCATCCTACCACGCACGCACTAACATAACCGCAGCTCGAGTCCCAGCTCGAAGACCACGAAACCGAGCGCAGCAAGTCCCAGCGCTCGGTGCGCAACGTCGACCGCACGGTCAAGGACCTGCAGTCGCAGATCGAGCGCAAGGACAAGCAGAACGGGCAGCTCGGCGAGGACATGGCCCGCATGCGCGACAAGATGGACAAGCTGCTCAAGACCATCGAGGAGCTGCAGGCGTCGGAGAGCAACAACGAGCTGGCGGCCCGCCGCGCCGAGCGCGAGCTGCGCGAGGAGAAGGAGCGCGCGCTCAAGCTCGAGCGCGAGGTCGAGGGGTGGAAGCTCAGGATGGAGAAGGGGGCCAATGCCGGCTCGGGGGGCAGTGCTGCGGGGAGCGTGTTTGGTGGGAGCATGCGGAGCAGGCATGTGGGCTGGGCTACTACGGAGGAGCCGGTCAAGATCCCCCAGCGGAAGAGCAGCATTAGTAGGGTGCCTTCTATGACGAAGGGGTTCTTGTGAGGTGATGGGTGGCATTTTGGGATAGTTAGGTAGCTTGAGTGGGGGGGTTGTTGGCTGGTTTAGCGTGTTCTGCATACCATCATCGGTAATAGGGGGATTTATGAGCATACGAATACCTGTTTGTTGGGTTTGAAGGCTGGGGTGGGAAGAGCTGACAACATTGGCTTGTTTATCAGGGCAGTTATTATCTTATGTAACGCCTCTTATTTGTGGTGTCTTGCTCTTCTGTATTAACCCTGGTGTTTTGGCCTGCGGGCTGGTTAGGCAAATTGTTTGTGATACCACTACGTTCCGAGGTACGAGGAGGGTTGGAACTTTGTTTATGTATGTTGAGGCAGCTCTAGAAGGAGGTTGACCGTCATCATCCTCGATATGTCCTCCTGTTTAATACCAATCTCCATATCAAACAAGAGAGAGGTAACATTCGTTCCATTCTGCCTACTCAACATTTCAAAAAACCGACTACTTCGCTGGTTTTCGTGATTTGGCTGAGGCGTTTGCTCTTGATATTAGTGTCAGACGTTGTTCGAAATCCAACAAACGATGGTTGGCATCCTCTGTGGCGCAATTGGCTAGCGCGTCTGACTGTTAATCAGGAGGTTGGAAGTTCGAGCCTTCCCGGAGGAGAAAAACCATTTCTTTTGACGTTTTTTACGCCGCGATTGTCTTGTGCAGACCAAGACGAGAAGCACACACGTCTCTCTTGTTTGTTCTTTTTTGCCCTGGCCGTTTAACACCTCGAGGGTGCAGGGTGTCGAGGTTCCAAGCAAGGAGGTTTTCCGAGGGTGGGTTCTCGGCCCCTTCATGAGGACCCCGCATCCGGGCGTTGACGGCGAGCTCCGAGTCATTGCGGTTGCTCAACCTCATCAATGTCCACCTGAACTCAAGAAACCAAAAGTTGGAGATTTCCCTCAGCCACAAATAAACCAAGCCGGGTGCCGAGAGGGGTCTGAGCGGCTTAACACTGTATCACACGCATGTTGGCGCCTTCGCATCCAATATTGGCTGCGGGTTGCATTGGCAATGAGGGGGAGGTCATTACCGGGACACGCTTCCCGCGGCAGCCACATACATCTGAATGCACACACCATTTGATGGCGTCCGTCAGGTGTGACCAAGCCAGTATTGGAAATGGAAAGGACGAAGGCCGAGTGGGCAAGACCCTTGTCTCAATCTCCCCGTGTTCCGTTGCCGCAGTCGATCTTTCCCGCGTGGTGGTGGTGCCAACGACGGGAGTTCCTGCCTCTCAGACCGGACTTGAGGTTCCCTTGACACACCGACCCTTCCTGGTAGCGAATCAGCACCAGAGTGGCTTTTCATCATGACGAGGCAAGTACCACGGCAGCGGCTGTGCCTGGCCGATCTTTCTTTTTTTTCCCGCCGTTCGTAGTTGGTGAGACCTGCCATAAAGGTTCGCCGAGTACCTCGGAAGTCGTCTGGTTCCAACAAATCCACTAGATTCTACCACCACAAAGGCATCGTCTCCCGGACTGCTTGAATTGACCATATAAGCTGGGCTCTGAACGTTCTAAATCAAATTCCCGTTTCAAATCCGAACACGATGAAGACCATTCTCATCCTCCTCACTGCCGCTGGCACCACCCTAGCCCAGAACTTCTCGGGTCAACCGGACTGCGCCGTGGGTTCCCCTCCTCCTTGCTGAAACCCACCAACACTGACTCGTTCCCAGACCGCCTGTCTCATCAGCGCTATCAGCGCGGCAGGCTGCGGCGCGAGTGACCTCGGCTGCCAGTGCGGCCCGACCCAGTCCTTCATCGCCGCCAGCGCCGCCCCGTGCCTGATCTCGAGCTGCACCGGCACCCAGCTGCTGCAGGCCCAGAGCGCGGGCGCCGCCCAGTGCTCCAGCTACTCGGCCACGGTGGCTTCTCAGTCGGCCACCACCACGCCGGCGTCGACGGGAGAGGACTCGAGTGCCTCGAGTGCTTCGACCAGGAATGATATGGCGTCGTCGACCTCCGAGACCGCCGCTACTACCGCTGAGGGTTCGGGCTCGGAGACCTCGCCGCCGACGCCGGTCTCAACGTCCGGGTCCACTGAGTTGGACGGGTCGACCGAGTCGCCCGAGTCGACCGAGCCAACCGACTCGTCGTCGACCAGCACGGGTGCCGCCGCCGCAATGGCTACGCCCGCTATTATGGGGGCCGGTGCCCTGCTCGGTGTTTTGGGAGTGGCGGCTGCGTTGTGAGAAGCATGGAAGCTTAGGGTGCTTGGTCGGGTGGTTAAAGATGGTGAGATAAGTGCAACAATATCGTGAATTTGAGAAGGAAAATACGGGCCATGCTCGGAGAGAATTAGCATCCATGGGTGGCTTACTCGCTCAGCTTTTCGGATAGTTGCTGCAAACTGCACATAATTTTACCCCTAAGTGTTTTCCAACTTGATATCAAGGAGTCATTTAGTCCTTTCCCCAAGTCCTCCGTCAAGTCAGACATATACGGCATCGGATGTTTTCTCTACAATATGTGTACTGGCTGGTTCCCCAGGATCCCACCTCAGTGGACTGACATCCCGGTCGGTGCCCATTCCTGACGAGCACCCGCGAGTTCTTGCGCAACATCGTCATAGAATGCCTCGAGTTAAACCTTGCGCGGCGATCCTTGTCCGTGATGTTGTGGGGCTTTCCGGGTACTTTACACATTGCTTGAGTCCTTCGTTTTGCGTTGGTGGTCTAGAAAGGGGGTAGGTGTCTTCTGTATTGGGAAAGGGTTCTCTGACCGGCTAGCTCATGCTCGTCCAACGATTCTAACCAGCCATAGTAGCAAGAGGTAAGTTTTCTCAAGCAATGGGTACCCCGGGGTGTATCGTGTGGGTAGGAGAATGGGTTTATTCAACGCTAGCAACAACAAATGGGCTTCAACGATCATACTTTGACGGCATTCTTGTAACCATGCACTTGCCGAAGAACGTGGCTCAAGATGAGGACCTATTCGACGTGCAATGCATAAGTTCATAAGAGAAACAAGATAACCCGGTTCCCTTACGGTACCGTGTAATACCTCTGAAATAACGAGGTCCCGATGATTCGATGTAAACCGGACGCATTCCGCTGCACTGGGCCATGTACGGCGACCGCCGGTTGTATGAGGAATTGTTGGTTGTCGTGGAACGGGAGATATAATATTGAGTGGTTGTTGATGGTTCAAGTTGAAATGGTGTAATTGATGTTACGTACGACGTATCTTACCGTAATTTAAAGATAGTTTGGATAATTACACCATCTCTGTCTAGCAGTCACCACTCATCTCACAACAGTGCATCTCACAACACTTCATCATCAACAGACCTTTTCTTACTGTGCAATTGCGAACTCTAGCCTTCATTTATTCAGAATAACGGCTTTCCTTTTACCTTCCCCACAAAGCGACCAGCCAAGTCTCTCCACCTCTCAAACTCACCTCGTCAATCCCAACTCTCTAACAACGCCAAAATGACAACAAACGTAGCCATCGAAACGTCCATGGTAGGTTTCTGTGCTACCATATCACACTTTACTGTACCCATCGACTAACAAATCGACAGGGCACGATCATCGTGGAGCTGTACACCGACCACGCCCCCAAAACCTGCCAAAACTTCTCCACCCTCGCAGAGCGCGGCTACTACAACGGCACCATCTTCCACCGCATCATCAAGGACTTTATGATCCAGGGCGGCGACCCTACCGGCACAGGCCGCGGCGGGAGCAGCATCTACGGCGAGAAGTTCGAGGACGAGATCCGCGACGACCTGAAGCGTATGTTACTCCCCCCCCCCCTTCCCCTCCCAAAGCCAAACAAACTCCCGCACACCCAAACACACCCAAACCAAAACCACTAACACCCGACACACGAACAACAGACACAGGCGCCGGCATCCTCAGCATGGCCAACGCCGGGCCCAACACCAACGGCAGCCAGTTCTTCGTGACGCTGGCGCCGGCCCCCTGGCTGGACGGCAACCACACCATTTTCGGGCGGGTCAAGAAGGGGATCCGGGTGGTGCAGCGCATGGGCCTGGTGCCGACCGACGGCGAGGACCGGCCCAAGGGGGACGGGGTGCGCATCGTGCGCGCGTCCGTCGTCGCTGCCGGGGAGGAGGGGGGGGATGCGTTGTGAGAGAAGGGTTGTGTGCATGGGTCGGGGCTAACGGCTTGGTTGGGGGGTTGATGGAGGGGTGGGTGGGTGGATGGTTACGGGGGGGGGGGGGGGGGGGGGGGGGGGTGCAGTGAAATGATACCTGGGTACCTAGTCGGCACGGGGGTCAAGAGGAGGCAAGCCATGAATCATACGTATTCGCTTTGCCTGCGCGTCTCACGGGGAATGTAATATACAGGAGTTGCCCGCCCTACGCCGTAGAGCAGGCACGGGGTATCCCCGGAAGAACTTCCCCATCCAGTGAGTTGGAAAACCACGGCGCGAGCGAGCGAAAAGCCCTCGCGAGGCACCAAGCAGGCCGACCCAAACGGTCTGCGAAATCATCCCTTTCGTGTATACAACCAGACCACTGCCCAACGCCTTCTCTGTTTCCAGCCCCCCCTCTGCCTACGCGCGACCCGCCGAGGTTCTTCCCATCATAATAATACCCCCAGAACCGTGTCGCCGTGAATGCTTGGAGCCGATGAAGCCAAATGCAGCAGAGAACGCCATAAAACCCGGACCAGCCCGCCGTGGGCAATGCAAAGAGTTATCCGAACCGTGGCCAATCGAACCGTGACCAATGCAATGTGTAGAAGAAGATGCAAGTGCGAAATGCGAAACGATGTGATGCCGGCCGCGCGCGGCAAGGCACCTTGTGGCTGTCAGGATTAACGGGGCGGCGGGGACGACATGGTCTCCGATGACTCGCTCTCCATGTCGTGTTCCCGTTTGCCCTTTTTGCTGCCGGGTGAAGGCAACGGTGGCTTCGCCGGGCCCAGCTTGAGCTTCTTGGCCGGCGAGACACCCTTTAGTTTGGGCGTCTGCTTTTTCGGTGCCACCTGCACTGTCGAGTCCTTCGCGTCACTCCCCGCCTTCTGCTCCACATTGAGGTGCGAGTTGCCCTTAGCTTTGTCCTTCTTGGAACTGCCGGCGGCGCCGGAAGCCTTGGCCTTGAGAATCACCTTCTTATTTAGTGAGTTCAGCTTCGCCTTCTTCTTCTTCGGGTTGGGCTGATCCGATTCCTCTGCGTCCTCGTCAAATTCGTCGCCGTCCCGCTTTCTAGGACTGGCGCCGCGGCTCCCGGGTCGCGGTGTGCCTTTTTGGCTACCGGGCGGCGTGTTGTCATTGTTCTGACTGCCGCCGTTGCTACCGTTGCTGATTTTTTGCGCCGCCGCTCTACTGGCGGTGCGCCCGCTGTTCCCAATGCACGAGCCCATGTGGTTGTTCAAACGCGTCACCAGAATACACCGCTTGCACTTGGGGCATGTCGCGCTGGGGAAGTTGAGGACATTCGACGCCCGGTCTTTCGCGCCCCCCTCAGCCGGCGCCGGGGAGCTCGGGTCGCCGGGGTCCAGCTTCTGGTCCTTCTTCTTCTTGCCCCGCCCCGGGCCGGGGGCAACCCACGTCTGACCGTAAATGTCGTAGCCGGGCTTGTCGATGTACGGGTGTTTCTTGCAGTAGATGACGCCCGGGTCCGGCTTCTTTGCGCCTTTGCCGTCCGTCGGGTGGTGCAGGCGTGGGAGGTGGCACTTTGAGCATAGGATCTCCTTGGTCGACTTGAGCGGATTGCCCTTCAGCGCCACCCTGCCGTCCTTGTATATCGCCGCATCGGTCTCAATCTCGATGTCAGGCTTGAGTTCTGTTGTTGCCCCGTCCGAGGTGTTCTTGGCCAGCTTCTCGACCTTGATGGCCGCCGTGTTGGCACGGGCAATCTTCTCGTCTCGGTGCACCTTGACCAAGAGGTCATGCACGATGTTGTATAATAGGTCATCGAGGACGGCATGCGACTACGAGGGGGCAGCTAGGTCAGTAGAGTGGAGTGTCAGGTCAACTCTCCCCGACTTACAAGCTTGTCGAGAGGAGGCGCATCGTCCGGTGCGACGATGATGCCGGCTTTGCCGGTCTCCCCGGCTTCTGACGCCATAGTGAATGTGTGTAGATAGGCGAAAGGAATTGAAGGTAGGTCGTGGGAAGGGGTTGTGGCCGTCTTCAAGCGGCAGGCAGCATCAAGTTTGGATTGACCCGGGCCCGAATTTTTGGGTCTTGGTAATCGGGGGACGGCGAAAAAGGGTCAGCCTCTCACCAACGCTCTCGGTTGAGGTGCAACAGGCTCAGCCCGACGAGCACCAGTGCAATGGCGCGACAAAAAAAATTGGAAACGAAGGTGTAGTTCAATCGTGCAACTTGTGATACCCAAGTAGCAAATTCTTGGGTTCCTGTCGCAAAATTCGATGGTCGCGATTTCCTGCGCGATGATTTGGGTGTGTCTCTTGTCGTTGGCAAATAATGGAACGATTGACGGAGAGGGAAAAGCTGTCTCAGCCCGCCACCCGCCGTTTGTTAGTTATAGGGTGCTGGTGCTGGGGCGCTGGGTCGCCCGCGCAGTGGGAACCACCTACGTGCGCATAACACGCAGGTGACGCTGCCCAGCATCACCACCGCCCTTGCAGATGGATGGCATTCAATAGGAATCCGCTAGTTATTTACATGTAAAAATGCGCTCAGAAATGCACATTCATCTGATTTTACTATTGTTGTCTTGGAGACAGCAAATGAATACCGTCTTGCATACGGATACAATACAATACGTTTTTCGAGGTCAGAACAATGATCTCCCTGCACTCCTCCCCAATTCTGCCAAGATGGAAAAAAAGGCGGTGGCAGGTGAACTGGGGTCCCTGGTAGCCAGTCGCTCACCTCAACCTTGCGGCTCCAGATTCCAGATTACATCGTTCACTGCTTTTCAAGGCGACTTCAATTAACTAAGATAGGGTGTTTAAAGTACTGTGTACTTTGCATGGAGATCGGACGACTTCGTCTTGCTCCGGATACCATTTGCGAGTTTTGGCACTCCCACTACGAATATTACCTAGTTAAAGTTGTCTCACAGGTAAGTGGTAGTTACCTGGGGAACAAATAACGGCTCTCTCCGTGATGCACCTTTTTGGAGCCTCGGATCAGAACCTCCTCGCCTTCCGTGTTCTTTTTCTCCTTTGCGAATGGCAGAAACCCATGGTGGGGCGGCGGGAGGTTGTGAGTGCCCCCGAGCTGAGCCTCAGGTCCGCTTTCAGCCCCCCGCCTAGTAGCAACTAAACAGGGGTCTCCAGGGGCAGCAACAACAAAAAGGGAGACTTCGTCGGCGGGAAGAATTAGACTTCACTAATCTCACCGCCCCGATTCCGCGCGGCCCGATCATGAAAATAACCATTTCTTTCAGCCTCTAAACCATGTCCCGTGCTCAGCAATCCTCGATCCGCTCGTTCTTCCAGCCCCGGCGACAGCCCGAATATGCTGCCCCGCCATCGACTGCCCCGCCACAAGACGACAATGTCGCGGCACAGTTAACATCAAAACCGCCGGTGCCCCCGACCGCCGATCACCCGAACTCAACCTCGACGGAGCCTGTGACAATACCTGTCACCCTCCCCCCAAATGGCGTTCCAATTCTCCCATCCCCGCCGTCCCTCCCCTCGGGCGCAACCATCGTGCCGCTCGTCGAAGAACACGTGCCCGCGCTCCGGCGCATCAACTCCCTCCTCCTGCCCGTCCCCTACCCGGACTCCTTTTACGCCAAAGCCCTCGACCCCCTGGCCTCGGGCCTCTTCTCTCGCGCCATCCTCTGGCAAGACACGGAAGCCGACACACCCAAAGTTATCGGGGGCCTGATCTGCCGGCTCGAGCCGAACCCTTTTCTCGACACCCAGGGCCAGCTACTACCCCACCCATTCCCGCCCTCGCACTCGCAGAAACCGTCCAACGTGCCACTGAACACGCCGTACCACGCGATCTACATCCAATCGCTCGCCCTGCTCTCGCCCTACCGCTCGCTCGGCCTGGCCGCCGCCGCGCTCGAGCACATCGTCGCGAGCGCGACCATCCTCCCCGTCGCCGGCAGCAGCATCGACGCGCGGACCATCTACGCGCACGTCTGGACCGAGAATGAGGAGGGACTCAAGTGGTACGAGGCGCGAGGCTTCGCGCGCGAGGGCGCCGAGCCGGTGAAGGGGTACTACTTCAAGCTGCGCCCGGACACGGCATGGGTGGTGCGCCGGCACATTGGGCCCACCGCCGCAGCCGCAGCCGCCAACTTCACAACAACAACATCAGCACCGACAACAACAACCACCACCAGTACATCATCCGTCCCTCCCGCGTCCCATACCTCCGACTCCGTCCTCGCCGCAGCAATCAACCTACCCACGCTAGCGCCCAAACCAGCACAACCAGCAGCACCACCACCGCCCCGGGCCACGAGCGCGCCCCCGCGCCGCCCGCCAGCAGCAGCAGCAGCGCCCTCGCCCTCGGCGTCATCCTCCTCCCTCTCCTTCCAGAACGCCCGCCCGGAGTCGGAGTGGAACGACCTCCCCGCCGACATGGTCAGTCTAGGCAAAACTGGCGGCGGCGGTGGCGGAAGCGGCGGCGGAAGCAACAACAGCCCGCAGCTCTTGAGCCCCAATACGGCTGCCGCTGCCAATGCGAATGGGGTTGGGACTGGGACTGGGACTGGGGCCGGGACGCCGGCCTCGGGAGCTAGTTCGCGGAGTAGTTCGACGGGGAGGAAGAAGAGGGATCGGGCGTATCCGACGGCTGCGTTTGGGGCGTGACGATGGCGGGTGGTATATTCTGGTTGTTGTTGGTATTACGGGTCTCGTTGCTACTACCGGTGTTACTGGTAGTCGGCGAACGGGATGGTGCCGAGGTTAGTTTGCATAGGTGAATCTTCTGTAGTGTAGGTAGACAGTGTGGGTGTTATAGTAGAGCGAGGTCACGGGCGTCAATTGACTCGGACAGGAGGCGTAGCAAAAAAGTCTTTCCGAAACGCCAACTCGATTCGCTGAACTCCTAGGCCCGTTTGCTGCTAGCTACCTAGCTCGCTAGTTTTCTTGCCTCGCGTCTCGAGCCTGGGAGCGAGCTACGGAATAGTAGCAAGTCAAACGCTAACTACATGATACCCTGCCCTGCCTCTTCCCCGTCCGCTGGCTCGTAGTGGGGAGCCGCTCGTGATAGATAGGAGCCATCCGAGATCCGACCGAAAACCCACCAAGCGATAGATAGATAAGCCACGATGTAAAAGCAGGCCCCGATCCTGCTCGGTTGCCCAAGCCCAACCAGCCCAAATAGATGATCATACACGTGCCACCCCTATTCTCCAGCAAGCAGGAGCCACGACCACGGGAATTGGCAACTGCTCGACCGCCAGCCGGAGAGGAAACCAACCCCCCATCCCGCCGTCGAGTTCTCTCCCATCACATGATGTCGCAGCACCTGTCTACCACCTGCATGCCCACGGGAGGGATAGGCCACGAACCTGGCTCCTAGCCAGTCGTGGTCTTGTCATCTCCAGCAGCAGGCCCGGGAGCCTTATTATCCGAGCTCCGCTCGCTGAGGTAATCGGCGCCGCTCGCGCTCTTCTCCATGCCGGCAGCAACAAGCGCAATGAGGGCAGCACCGACGCCAGATCCATCCTGGGTCAGGCCGATGCGGATACGCTTGGCACCCTCCTCGCCGATCCCATCGATGACGCTCAGCGCCTCGTAGATCATGGGCCGGAAGCCGGGGTAGTGTTCGACCAGGCTGCCGTCGACGCCAACGTCGATGGGCTCGTCCTTGAGCTCCGGGTCGTCCAGCTTGCCGGTCTGCAAAACGATGGCACCAATGGCAACAGCCGAGAGACGAGCGGCACGGCGACCGATGGCGTGCGCGATTTTCTTGAACGCCATGGCGTCCTCGTACGCGGGGGCATAGACATCCAAGGTGTTCTCAAGCGCCTGGCGGAGGCCGGCGAGCTCAGCATCCTGGTCGAGTTCCGCGGTCGACATGATGGCAGTGTCGAGACCCCACTGCTTGTAGAGACCAGAGTCCTTGGCGATGATAGTCACAGATCCTCTGTCGTTGGAGCTCGAGTTCTCGTCCTTAAAGAGGGAGACATTAGGGTTGTTGAGCAGGTCAATGATCGCCAAGCGCAGGATCTCGCCCAGGAACATGCCCGAGACACGCTTCTCGTACATCTGGAAGCCGGGGTTCAAGCTGTCCTTTTCCAGGGCAACATCCCACTTCGTGCTGGGCAGGACGTTGAGCTGGTTGTCAAACGAGCCCCATTCCGTGTTGATCACCATCTCGCCGGTCGACTGGTCATACTCGCCACTCAGGGGCTTCTTCAGCTTCGACAGCTTCTCGACGTAAGCGCCGTTGGTACCAGTGCCAAAGATGGCACCCAACACCGAGCCTTGCTTACCCGGGGCGGCATACGAACGCGCCATGAGCGTCCCGACGGTGTCGTTGACAAGGGCGGCCACCTTCACTGGAAGGTGAAGCTTGTCGATCTCAGCTTGCAAGAGAGCGCACACATCCTTGCCGATAGCGTCTGGGATGTCGAACCCTTTTGTCCATCTTATGAGGGTGCCCTTGTTGATTCCGACCTGCTTGACGGGGAAGCTGAAGGTGAAGCCCATACGAAAGATGTGTTCATCCCTGAAGCCACTCGGAGAGCTGACTGTCTTCCGGCGCCGGATGTGGTGCTCAAAGTCCTCGCTATGGTGCTCCTCGAGGAACTTCTTGATCTCCGATGCCAAGAAGGCGAACAGCTCCTGCGCCGTCTTGGCCACCATGAGGTGCTTGGGAATAGCAACCTTGTTGTAGGTGTGGGTGAAGGTGCTGTTCCCGAGGAGCTGGATGGAGCAAACACGGAAGTTCGTGCCGCCAAGGTCAACAGCCATGTAGAGACCCTGCCGTGGCAAGTGTCAGCACCTTGCGCGCCTTGGTGTTGTGGAAGCTTCCGGGTCTCTCAACCAACCTTTTCGGTACCATTGGGGACGCCCGTGACGTATGTTGGAATCTGGCTCATGCTGGTCCCATCCTTCCCCAAACCCTCATCTTCCAAGCATATTAGAAAAAGTTCGCGGGCCAAACGTAGAAAGGTTCCCTTCCGAGCACATACCCATCTGGCGCAGGAATTCCTTGACTGCATTGTTGACATCGCCGTCCGAGTACTCGAATTGCTGGACAATCGACTGTATCTCCGCTTCGAGGGCCATGGTGGAAGGCTTGGAGAAAGGCGCCGGGGTAGGGAATGGAGGTGGGTGTTCGCAAGTCCCCAATTCGTGGCCGAGGGCTGCTGGGAGAGACTGGGTCGCCCTAGGGAGCGAATGGGGATTCACTATGGACGAGGAGAGATAGTGCGTGATGGGATGTAAAAAGGTCTAAAAAGTATTTGGTGTCAGCTGCATCAAAAAGATGAATTCCATATGAAAGCAATTGGGTGCTATTCAGGAGCTTGGGGCATGGAGCAAGAGGCATTGGGATGCTGCGAGGGATGGAAGTGTTTTTGTTGGTGGGGGATGGAGGGGCACTTCTGGCGGAGGCACGGCCAAGCTGATGCGGGGCACAGGGCATGGCGGCGGCGGCGTGCCTTTGTCCGGATCGGACTTGGAGACGAACTTACCGAGATAAGGATGAGAAGGGCCACAGAAAACACATGGGCTAGGCTGAAAGATGTAAAACCGCGATAACTGCGCGAATTGGTTTTTCGGCGAGCAGCAGCTGGTGGGCTCTTTAAAAACGCCGGGCGCGCCGAGGCGCCGGGCTGGAAGCTTGGGGATGACGTTTTGTCGGTTCCCGGGGGGGCTCCTGCTTGGGTTAGCTTCAATAAACCCGTGGGGTCGCGCTGGGGCCCCGCCAGGTCACTGCGAGCCAAGTGAAAACGGCCCGGATCAGGGTCCCAATCGCCCAAAAGCCTCAAGTCATTGGCCGGCTGCGGCTTCTGCGGCAGCGGAGCGCTTGGAGTTTCCTGAAATTGCCTCTCAGTAAGAACCCAGGACTCCCAAGTTACCAAACTGCGGGCCGCTCAACTCGGCGAATTAAACGGTGCTAGCTCGGCCGTCAAGATTCTGTTTGCCTGCAGGTCGGTTAACGTTGTCTCCCTCGGAATGCCTCTCATGGGGCGAGGCTGGTTCGATTCCCCTCACGCGGATGGACCTTCCTCACTCACTCCCGTCTCCGGTGTGAGGCCGATAATGCTGTGGCCGCCGAGACGCGGGGTAGCACACTCGAACGACGCCGGATTTCCAGGCGGGTGACCACTCTCCGTTCTTTGTCGAGAGAAGATGCGGTTCTGGATGCTTCGCCCTTTGGGCGCTTGGGAACGGGCTGGCTATTCGAGGTGGGAGGCAAGAGTTAGGAAGGTGATTGAAAAACAACAAACTCGAAGCATGCGAGTTTCTTCAAAGCCATTGGAGATCATGTTTTGGGCGGCTCTTGAGGCCGCTAGGTAGCTAAGACAAATACGGACGTGGGGACAAGCTCGTGCAAGGGTTGAGGTGAGTCCCCAGCCAACGAGAACCTCACCCCTTGAAAGGTAAACAATCGCAGGAAGTTTTGAGTGGTGCATCTCGGAGCGCATTGTCAATGTCACCAGGCGGTGAGCCATTAGCCCACAATGTGAACCGAACATGTTGAGCAAGCATCCAGAACCCGACATTATAACAGCCTTGGGAATCCTGTTGTCAAGAAATTCGTCCACACGGCGCTGGGACATATCGCCCAGAAGAATACAAGTTTCTGGTAAAATCGCCGAGTCTTTTGAAACCATCCGTAGGATTGTCATATCTTCCCAACCTTACCCAGCAAACAGCCAATCGCCTTATTACAAGAACGGTGACTTTGCTAGTTGACAGTTTCTTGGGCTGGACTTCAGAGTCTGCCCGCGCCCTATGAACTCTTTGCTTTCAAATCATCAATCGCAAACCGATAAACTTGACCGGGGCCAATATTGATCCACCAGACTGTAATCGCCATGCCTTTGTCTTTTCCGATGAGCCAACTCGACCACCCGCAACGCGCTCGGGCGAGGGAAGGCCGTACAATAGAGAGATAACTGAAGAGCTGGGGGCAGTGACAACTTCGGCGGAACAGCCGAGCAGTTGTAGTTGGTAAAGAACAACAGGCTCTGGGCACGATAGCTGAGAAGAAGAAGATACCTATGCGCTACGGCAGACGTACCAACATCTTTCTCTTATTCATTGCTCGAAAGCCCTTCCAACTATCAGCTTCAACTCTACGTCGGCTTCTATCGCCATCGGGTCTCACTCCAATGCCATCGAGTATGCATGTTCTCTCACTCCGATATCCCAGTGTCGTTATGTAGTATCTAGTGGAATTCGCATTGAAGGACCGGCGTTCTCCACGTCAAAGCAGCCGGGGGGTTGAGAGTTGTCACACGCTGATAAATGGTTGTGTGAGTTACAGACGTTAATTTCCCCATCGGGAACAACTATGTTCTGCCGATGCTTTCTCCAACGTGAGAAACTCTGGCTACCTCCCCTCATTCAATGCCTTCCATACCCTTCTTAGTGGAGTTTCCTAGTCGAGCTGGGCAAATCCGTATGTACCAGAGGTCAAGGGATGGCACTGCTTAACCCGTCCGCGCGTGCGAAGGAGCCGTTCGTGTATCTGGATGAAATAGCTGGTATGCAGGCTCCCAAATACGCATTGATCGACCTCCCGTACTGGGGTAATCACCCCACAGTATTAATTATTGTTGGGCGATGGTCGTGAAGTGGTGTTGGAAGCCGTACATACAAGCAATCACCATGCAGTAACCCTCGCAGAGGACGACGTCGTTGGTTCCAAGTTGAGGAAAGCCGTTACAACTCTGGGGACCCCGAGCATGTAACCCCTGGCTCTGGGCGAGCATCTGACTTCGCTGCACGGAGGCGGCGAGGCGTGACGGCAGCGCTTCAAAATGCAACCAACCCCATAATTCGAAGCTGCTGTTGCTTCGATGAAGCACGAAAGCTTCTTTGCGTCGACGGTTAATACGGACTGTGCCGCTGGCAACCCCGAATGCCACCATACACCGGCCAATGCCATTGCTTGCCACTGCCTTATCAGACGAAACTCTGACTGCCAGTGCCGCATGGGCCAATATGGAGAGGATATTGGAGAGCCATGTAACCCATCTTTGAGTCTGCGGTTTGGATGTGTGAAGGGGACTCGTCTTGGCTTTGTTGAGAGAAACCAACCCCTCCCAGGGCAACCCCGTGCATTGTTCAAGGTCGCATCGAGAGACAGTCACTGCCACCTCAGCGGTGTGCGTTGATTACGGAAGGCGTCGTGTGGAGGGGCAGCATTGGTGGTTGAAGATCGGAAACAGGCAATCAAACAACCCCCGGGCGACCACGAGCTTTCATGGGAGAAAAAGTTCAACGGGTGATCTGACAGAAACGGTTTCTGGTCCTTTTGGTCTGAATAAGCGCTGTCGTGAGCCAAGACGATCCATTCGAAATTAAGCTGCGCATTCCAACCTTCAGTGCAGTTGCAGGTCACAGGTGCGGCTGACAAGGAGGAGGAACTTTGGGCCGCCTGTCGCATGCGCTTGCCAATCAGAGTTGTTCAAGTTGGGGGCCGCTGATTGGCTGTCTCCGGCAGCAAGCAGGCACAGCAACTTCGAGGCTCAGCCACAGGTCCAGCGCGCCCCAAGTCCTACGAAGGTCCTACCATCGCACGTCCCGTTTTGGTTTAGGTCAGGCACCTGCACGAAAATGCCGGCGATTCAGGTCGAAACAACGTCGAGGGGCCTGCAATCAGAATCCCTCGCCCGAACTACCGGTCTCAGGAATGGAATTCGCTCACATTGTGGCTGGACTCCTGCGGGCAAAATGCTTCGAGATTTCCAAGCTTTTAATTGTCGCCGTAATCCGTCTGTGAGGTGCCCGACTTGAGGGTGGTCCGGCTTCACTGAAATCCGATGTTGGACAAGGAACCCGCGCCGGCCCCGCTCCCCGTCGACGTTGAGTTCCAATTGCATGAGGCCTGTCCCTCCACAGTATGGACCCAATCTGTACATACGACCAAATACGAAACCAGGTCCCCGACCTGTCCCCATTGACTTCACATTCGCACCTGAAATGTAGTGAGATTGGACAAATTGGAGGCCCAATACAATACCCAATGTCATGAAAGCGTGTTCCAGCCTTTGTGGCCAGTGATTCCAGCACTCGAGATCTCTGCTGCAACAATTGGACATTGGACTCGAAGGTTCGGTCCCGGCCGTACCAACAAAACGTTGCGTATTATACTGTACGGCGAGACTGTGTCCTGCAATGTCCTGCAGCAAGCAAGTGGAGACCGCTGACCCGAGGAAGGCACAACGTGCTCTGGGCTGCTTCGTTGTTCAGCGGCCCGGGCTTGAAAGTTGTCCTTCAGGTTGGGCTTCATGACCTGGCTCCTTGCCTTGGTCCCGTCCTTGTTTTAAATGCTTGAGATTTCTGCTTTCTTCAGCCTGTCATCAACAGATCTCATCCTCAATCGGCTGGCCTTACTGTGTAATTCACGAGTCCTCAGGTTCAGGTTCAGGTTCCCCGCCCCCGCGCTGGCAGTGCCAACGATCCAACAGGCTCAGCCTTACAAGCCGCTCATTAATTTTTGATCGGCCCGCCGTGTGCAGGCAGGGAAAGCCATCTCAGCCACAGACCCCGCTGGGACTCGACAGCTCCTTTGATGGGACCGGCTACACGTTTCCCGAGCAAGCACTGCGAGCCGCGCCCACACCGACCAGCGACCGCCCCTCTTCGACGAGCGGCGAACCCACTCGCTGCAACCTGAAGTCCTACCCCAGCACCCAGTCGGCAGGACAGCTAATTTTCCCCTCCCTTCCCGATCCAGCTGTTCCAGTTCTTTCTTGGGCTGCCCAGCCTGCCGCCGCCCACAGCCTCCCCTCGGTCTTACCCCCCCTTCCTGACCCGACCGCTCTCCCTTTAATACCCCGATTTTCACCTGGCCTTTCCCTTATGAGTTCTTTGAACTCTCGCCTGAAAGGCTTTGGTTTCAAACGGAAATCGAGCGCCGCGAGCCAGCCCCAGGGGACTGCCAGTCCCAACCCCAGTCTTCTGCAGAGCCCGACCCCGCCCCCGGGTCCTCCTCAAATACCGCCCTTGTTCCCCTCGCGCCCGGGTCTCGTCCCGTCGAGTGCATCCGACCCGTCTCTGACGAGCCTCCAAATGAATCATCCAGGTGCTGGTCCGCGACCGCCTAGCTACTCAGCAAACTACCCGCCTGGCCCTCCTGGCCCCATCGGCCGCACCAGCCCGCTCGCAAACCAAGGTCCAACCCGTACCCCACCGTCGCAAATGATTGGAGGTCCTCCCCCCATCAACACCGGGGCCCCTCCGGTCGCCGGGTATCCACCCCCCGTCATGGGAGGCGGCCCTCCGCCGGTCCCTGGCGGTCCTCCGGGATATGCTGGCCCTACTGGCTACCCGCCGCCGGCGCCGCCGCAACAACCCCTCGCTCCTTACGGCCGCAATACCGCCGCCGAGGTTGAGGGTAACAGCCGGAGCAAGGCCCAGTTGATTGTCGGCATTGATTTTGTGAGCAAAGCCATCTTTCCCTTCTAAGCCTTTGGCCTTGCATCAGAAGCAGCATCATATTCTAACCTCCGCTGTTGTCGTAGGGTACCACCTTCTCCGGCGTTGCCTTTGCCTTCGCGACAAACAACGAAGCCAAGGAAGACATTATTACCGAGTGGCCCGGTGCCGGCTCATACACAAAGCAAAAGGTGAGTGCGCGGCGGTCGACGTCCCTCCACACGACCGCGCAGTGCTGACGCAGTGCTCCACCCTAGATCCCGACCGTGCTCTACTATGACCAATACCAGAAAGTCGTTGGCTGGGGCCCCGATATTGCCGATGCCCTCGCCCCGACTGGCTACCCCAAGCCGGGTGTGCAAAAGGTGGAATGGTTCAAGCTCCAGTTGATGCTGTCGGGCAACACTTACATCGATCCCATCAACCTCCCACCCCTCCCGCCCGGCAAGTCGGAGATTGACGTGGCGGCCGACTACCTCTTCAAGCTGCGCCAGGCGATGCGGGCGGCTCTCCAGAAGACGCTAGGCGAGGTTTTCAACCGAGAGGAGAGGAATATCCGATACTACCTGACTGTGCCGGCCATTTGGAACGATGCTGGCAAGGCCGCCACCAGAGCCGCTGCCATCCAAGCCGGTTTCCTCCGCGACGAGAACGACAACCGCCTGACGCTAGTCAGCGAGCCCGAAGCCGCCGCCCTTTTCTGTTCCAAGACCGGTCTCCTGAACCTGAAGGTGCACGATGCCGTGCTCATCGTTGATTGCGGTGGTGGTACAGTCGATTTGATCGCATACGAAGTCGAGGACGAGAACCCTTTCACCGTCGCCGAATGCACAGCTGGTTCCGGTGACTCGTGCGGTTCGACTGCTCTGAACCGGAACTTCAGCAACATCCTGCGGACCAAGATCCGGAAGATGAAGTTGCCCGACGGCTCCAAGACGGCCGGTCGTGTGTATGCCAAGTGCATCATGGACTTCGAGAACCGGATCAAGGCCGACTTCCGGAATAACGGTCAGAAGTGGGCTGTGGATGTTGGTATCGAGGCCGAGTTCCCCGAGGCCGGGATTGAAGAAGGATACATGACCTTCACGAACGAGGAGATCCTGCAGTGCTTCGAGCCCGTCGTCAACCGTATCCTGGAGCTCGTCCGGAACCAGATCATCGCGATCCAGGCACAGAACCGGACCCTCCAAAACATCCTCGTCGTCGGCGGTTTCGGCGCATCAGAATACCTCTTCCAGCAAATTAAGCTTCACGTCCCGCCGCAGTTCCAGTCCAAGGTCGTACGTCCTATGGACTCGGTCGCTGCCATTGTCAAGGGTGCCGTCACTGCCGGCATTACCGAGAGAGTCATCACGCACCGTGTCGCTCGTCGCCACTACCTCATGGCCACGCTGCAACCCTTCAAGGAGGGCTACCACCCCGAGGCGTACCGCGTTCCCTCGCTCGACGGCAAGGACCGGTGCAAGTTCACTCGCCAGATTTTCGTCCAGAAGGGGCAAAAGGTCAAGATCGGTGAACCGGTCAAGGTCTCCTTTTTCCGGCAGGTCGCCCCCGGTGCCACCCTCATGTACGAGGATATTCTGTACGCTTGCGACGACGACGTTTGCCCAGAGTACACCAAGGATCCGAGTAAGTTCTCGCCCATCTGACTTGACTAAACTTGTCACTAACAAACCCAACAGGAATCAAGGAAGTTGTCACGCTCACATCAGACCTCTCGCGCAAGAACCTCGAGAAGGACTTTGAGCGGATGGACACGCCCCAAGGCACGTTCTACCGTGTATACTTCGATATTTATCTCACGCTGGATGGTTCCGAGTTCAGCGCCGAGCTCGTCTGCCAGGGCGAGGTTATGGGCCGGTGCAGGGCGCGGTTCAGGTAAACATGCAGGCGGGCGCGTCGGACGGGAGTTACTGCTTTTTATTTCGCACCGCATCGGATCTCCACAGTGATACCTCTTGAAGTAAAATGGGCGTGTTTCGCATAGCAGGAAATGTGCGGCTCATACATATAGCGCCATGCCGAGTTCGGTTGGAGGGTTCCCCGTTGTTCGGCCTTAAGCGACCTTGGATGGAGATGGGGGGAAGGAAAAGGGGAGGTTAATTTTTTACGAACGGAGGGAAACTAGAGAAACGGGGCCAACACCAACTATCCTGTATTGGGCTCGTGGATTCAGGCAGCACAGCTCCCATCGCGGGAGAGGGAAGGCAAACGGCCTCTTGAAAGTGTTACATGGATAGATCTAGTTCGTTGAATTGACGCAGTTGACGCCATTTTCGTTTCTTGGCCCTGAACCACAAAAGCCATCTCTTCCCTTTACCGTTCTAGGAAGTGCAGATGACGTTCCCGTTCATCCCATCGAAAAAAGCAGGGACCTGCAGCCCTCCCCTCGTTCCGTCCCAAGTTTTCAGGACCGGTCATGGTTTGGGACGGGAACTAATCGTTCCTGCGTCGCTGTCTGCAAGTCTCCAGCCAATGTTGTTCCGGTGCCCCCCTCCCGAATTAGTCGTCGGGGAAGGAACCTGAACGGTAAATGGCAACTCAATCCGGATGTCCTGACACCTCCGCGCCTTCCATTGTTGGGAAGGAGATACTCGAACTTGAGATAGATCAAAAGCCTGCGAAGGACGGCCAAAATGGCTTCACTGTTTACTCCTGTTCTTCTTCACGACGAACCGCAGCTTGTCGATCTCCTAGTTCCCTGACTCAACCTCATTATTTTGATATATCTTTGTTTCCACCGGTCTTCTCAGCTCTGGATATTGAACGTCGAGCTTTACAATCACCTTTTCCTAAGCAGTCCTGAATCATTTTCGACGCAGTACTTAGCTACCATTCGAGCGTGGCGGAATTTCCCCGAACGCCCCGGCATCCCATGAGTATGCCGCAACTCAGGCGGTGTAGGGAGTTACACGGCAACCCGAAGTCGGCATGCCGTAACAAGAACAAGGCACGTCGATATCTGGTCGGCAAGTTTACCAAGGCCCTTGCTTTTTCCCTATCACTTTTCAATGGACGAGCCGCCGCCTTCCACTTCGCCCCAAGTGACGTCCCCGTGAACTCAACGACTAATGTTACGACGGTCGACCCGCAAAATGACAGCACCCCGATCCAGTTGACGGTTGTAAACAGCTGTGGGGAGTCGATATGGCCGGGCATCGTAACTCAGAACGGCATTGCGCCCGCAGCCGGTGGTTATAAGTTGACGCCGGGCACTAGCAGAATGATGTTCGTCAGCGCAGACTGGGCAGGGCGGATATGGGGGAGGACAAACTGCTCGTTCAACAGCGACGGCAGCGGGCCGAGCACCTTCAACGGTGTAAACGGGCATGGGGCCGCCTGTTTGACCGGGGACTGCCTCGGGAAACTGAACTACGAATTCGCCGTAAGTTTCTCCTGAAGTAAACACACCCCTTGGTAGAGCTGACCCAGCCTCTCAGGGCCAAGTCCCCACCACCCTCGCCGAATTCACCCTCCAAGGCGGCGATGCCAACGACCAAACGTTCTACGACATCTCCCTCGTCGACGGCTACAACCTCCCACTCGCCATCATCTACCACCCAGCCCCAAACACAACCTGGATCCCGCCCAACCTGACCAACTGTGCCTGCATCGCCTCAGCGGGTTACCTGACCCCCTCATCCTCAACATCCATCCACCCCTCTCCGGACCCCGCCGCCCTCAACACCAACAACACCTACCCAATGCCGTACGAGCCGCTCCAGACCAACAGCACAATCCAGACCTGGTGCCCCCTGTACCTCCAACAATCCCCGCCGCACAACAAACCCGAAGAAGAGGAACCACAAGAACCAATCGAACCAGGCACATCCCCATCCCCAAACAGCACCACCACCACCACCACCACTACCCCACCCCCAACCTTCCACCCTTGCCTCTCCCCCTGCAGCGCCACGCGCGACCCAGCCGCCTGCTGCACGGGCCCTTACAGCACACCAGAGACGTGCTCCCCAACCCTGTACGCGCGGCGCGCCAAGCGTGTCTGCCCGGACGCCTACAGCTTCGCCTACGACGACCGCGCCAGCACCTTTGTCGTGCCCGCCGGCGGCGGCTGGGAGGTGCGTTTCTGCCCGCGCGGGCGGAGTACGGATATCTTGCGTGCGTTTGGGGACGAGGTGAGGGCGGTTGGGGCGGGGAGGGGGTTGAGTGAGGAGGGGTGGGGGAGGGTAAGGGATTGGGGGTATGTGGAGAGGAGGTGGAGGAGTGGAGGGGGGTTGGGGAGGGGGAGGGGTGGTGCTGGTCCTGGTGGTGGTGCATTGGGTTGGGGGTGGGTTGTGGTGGGTGTGGTTGGGGCGGTGGTGGGTTTGGTGTGTTGATTCCTGACCTCTCTCTAGACTCAAGGGGGGTTGTTGGCTGGGGGGTGGATATCGTGTATAGACCTAGAAGTAGACCTAGATTTCCTAGAAAGTGAATCACTTTGTTATCCCTCTTCATTTACCGACTGGGAAAGAGGTTGGCCGCATGTTTCCAAGACGGTGGTAGGAGAGCACTCAGCTGTCTGAACCAAGCAAAGTCTATTCGCCTCCGACGGCCGTAGAATGGGCACCCATCCAGTGTCCCAGCGCTAAAATCACTGATATCACGCCTATCCAGCCAGCAGCAACCCCAGAATGCACCCCTCACCTCACCCCCTCTTCGCCTTCCTCCGGCGCTCCCACTCCGCCCTCTCCTCATCATCGCTCCCACTAAACTCGGCGTCGTCATCATCCTCCTCCTCTTGCCTCCCAGCCGCCGCAGACGACGACGCCGCCGCCGCCGCGGCCACCAGCCCCTTCCCCCCCTTGACCTCGTCGGCACTGACAAAATCCCCCGCGTTCAGCGCGGCGTACTCGTGCTTGCGGATCACCTCGCGCAGCCCCTCGTTGCGCGGGTCGACCAGCTGCAGGGGGGTCAGACCACCACGGTTCTTGAGGCGCGGGTTCGACCCGGCCTCGAGCATCATCTCGACGAGGGCGTTGCCGAACTCGCGCTGCGCCGCGGGCTCCCCGTTGATCCACCGCACCGCCGCGTGCAGCGGCGTGTCGCCGTCGGCCCGGCTCACAGGGTCGCACTCGAACCCGGGCTGGTCCAGCAGCATGTCGATGATCTCGTAGTTGCCCTGCGCGGCGGCTTCGTGGTACAGGTGGTTGCCGAGCACGGTCGTGGTTTTGTTGAGCGCCGCGGCGATCGCGTCGTCGTCGTCGCGCAGTGGCGGGGTCGAGAGGATCTCGCTGAGGAGCTCCGTGTTGTTGCGCCGGCAGGCTTCGATCAGCAGCTCGCTTGTCGAGGCGCCCTGGAGCCGGGGGAGGTTGGGTTAGTGGGTTGGGGTTATTGGGTCGGTGGGGGTTGGGCAGGGCGAACCTCGTGTTCTTCTTCCTTTGCTCGGTTGGCCATTGTGAGGGTTTGGATTGTGTTTCGGTTGGTGGTCTCGAGGGGCGGAAGGTGACCGATCGAGGGGAGAAGCTCGAAGCTGTCGTGTGAGAGGGTTGGGAAGAGATAGATGCGATTTAACTCTGGTGGTTTTCCGTGTTTGATAATCGGCGCCGGATCACAGCCACAACCGCGCGGCTACTTCAACTATCGGTCTTAGTCTTTGGTTTGGTGTGTCTGGGTGTCAGAGCGGCAGCCTCTTAGGAGGTGGCAGTGTGCCGGTTGGTTGGGACCCCACCAAACGCCGGGCTGATCGGGGCCCACCCCATGGCGGGGCTGAGATCAGCGCGTGTCTTACCTGGTGTGCACCAATATTATGTGCAAGTACATAGGTAGTTAGAGAAAACAGATCCTTGGCAAGGCTATTCCAGGTAATAAATTTGCCCTCTTTTTTATTCAAAGATTTACCAGCACATTGAGGGAGTGTACAGTATGTAATATGCACGGCAAGTCGAGCGTTGTGAAGAATGAAGGGTTAGGGTTAATTAGAGTTCCTCGGCCCCCCACCGCTGCAGTGAGTCCCACATTAAAGATTTACAAGGCGTTCGTCCGTCTGTCATCCGAAAGTGACTGATAACCACGGGATCGAGACGCGGAACGGTACACCAACGTCTCTACTGAAGGCCTTTTCTTTTTTGCCACTACAGCAGCATCCTCCGACCTACAATTAGAGACAGCAGTCTGTTTACAACAAATATTGTGCCGGATAGGTCATCGACTCCCGCGTGAAGATCTCATCGCGGGGCAGCTCAATCTTCACTCAACCCTTCAAGTACCTTAACTGAACTGAACATCTCGACCTTTCCCTCCACCGAACTCAATCAAGATGCCCATTCTCTGTCAGCCCTCCCCAACCCCAATCACCCCACCATCACGCTGACACTCCATCCAGTCTGCCCCTACTGCGCCAACCTGCTCATCCTCTCGCGGATGGACACGGGCGGCAACCGGCTGGAATGCCGCACCTGCCCCTACCAACACGCCATCGAGATGCCCATTTACTCGCGCAAGAACTTCCCACGCAAGGAGAAGGAGGACGTGTTTGGCGGACCAGGGGCGTGGGATAACGCGCAAAAGGGAAGGGTGCAGTGTCCAACGGCGGACTGTAACGGCGACGAGGCGGCCTTCTTCCAGGTGCAGATTCGCAGTGCGGATGAGCCGATGACTACGTTTTATAAGGTCAGTTCCCTTCCTTTCCGGGTGGCTGATGGAGTACTGGGCTAATGAGAAATAGTGTATGACCTGTGGGCATCGGTGGAGAGAAAATTGATGGAAAATGGTGTTGGTTGTCGGCGGCTGGGTGGGGCAACGTCACAAGAGCATTGCGCGGCGTTCTGGGTTTGGGTACTTTTGTTTCTTCTTTAAGGGTGTGCTCAACTAAGTAGGCAATATGCATGTCGATGATTTTGGACCCTTGGATCCTTGCGGGCCACGTCCTTTATGTCTAGTCTCTGACCGCCGACGTGTTCTCTTACTCTCCTCTGCCCCTAAGGGCGAAGTGCCGTTGCAGGTTGGAGGCTGCTGCTCAGCATTGTGGTCGTGGGAATGTACTGCTGTACGGCCATCTCCCTCTCCTGCTAAGCGTAAACCACTTCGCAGGTGACGCGACACAAAACTTCGGCTCGGGTGTCTCCTAATCTGTCCATCTAGTACCGAACAGGAAGCCGCATCAGCCTTCACGATGCCATTCCACCGCCGTCTTCATCCCTTCCATGATCAGGGCTTGCGCGAGATCCGGGCTGATGATGTCTTGCCGGAACTTCTCCTGTTGCAGGAGCTCGAGCATCTTGAGAGTCGCGGTCGGAAATGTGAGGTACTTCAGGTACGGAGGGCGTGTCCAGTACTGCAGATAATCGAGGTACGCGACGAAGGAGGGGTTCGCCAGGAACTTGCGGGATGCGAGGTAGTTGAGATATTGCGGGTTCGCCAGCGACTGGACAAACTATTGACACGTCAGCTTCCTGGGGGCTCGAGGTGAAGCGAAGTGGCAAAGCACACCTCGAGTTCGAGTTCGAACCTCGAATGCCCGCCGTGCTTTGGCTCATTTGCGCCGTTCTCGGGCTCGGGAGGGGGGTCCAGGGCTGCACTATCCACCGACATAGGTCCGGATTCCATTGTGAATGGGTGACCGCGTTGTATTAATGGAGTGCGAATTGAAGCCTGCCTGGTTTGCAAGTTGCGGAAGGTCAAAGAAGTGCCCTGACGATGATGCGCATGGTGGAAGCAAGACCCATGTGGTGCTTCCTGGTGGGGTCAGGTTACAGCGCCATGGAAGTTACAGCGGGTCGGACAGTGGAACCAAATCACTCCACACGGCCTGCAGGAACGCCACGCCCAGAACGGAACTTCAACATGTGAACAGCTGGAGGACAACATTTCAACTTCACTTTACGAGTACACAGTAGTATTCAACGGCGACCAGGTACTCGACACGCACACTCATTTTCACTTCTTGATTACCAGTACTTCAGGCATATTTAAACGTCAGAACTCCATACCCGGTCCCTGAGCAATTGGGCCTGTGTAATTACTGCCATTGCTGGGTATTCGGTTCATCCCTTCCCGTTTACAGATTACACCTCTTGAACAGGATCAACTTGACCACCGGGCAAAGGTGCCCAAGATATCTGAGGATGTCTTCAGAGGACAACCTCCAAAACGTGGCTGACGTACTCCCGCCGTCGCCGCCTGTGTTCGCCTTTGCGAGACTCCTGGAACCCCAATACCTCTTCATCGTCTTCAGCGCACTCGGCATTATCTGGCTTGGCGCCCATGGCTCGCTCCGTCGACCACCCTCAGCGGCGCCGGCAAAACCGAAGAATGGAGAGAAGAAGCGGGAGGAGGAAAAGTTCACGGAAGGGCTCGTCGCATCAGATGTCATCCGGTTCCCTCTCATGCTCGCCGCCGTCCTGATTGGACTCTACTACCTCATCAATTGGCTACAGGACCCGGCCATTCTGAACAAGGGACTCCGGCTTTACATGTCCATCATGTCTCTCGCTGGATTGAGTGCCCTCGCGGGCGATGTTTTGGACAATTTAACGAGCCTGGTCTTCCCGACTGCGTGGGCCGATAGCAAGGGGCAGGTTCACCACATCGACCCTGACCGATGCTGTCAGTATGTGATCGACAAGGAGACTGGCAACCAAACCGTCATCAAGGAGAAGACGACCCCCCTGGCCGGCTTTTTCTCCAGCTTGGTATTGTCACCATTTTCGAGGTGGTTTATCTGGGAGCTACGTAACCTGTCCACTGAGGAATGGACGGTGCGGCTTGTTGTATACAACAAACTCCTGGTTAAGATTGAACTCCGGCTCAACGATGTTCTCCGGTTCGCCATCGCCGGAGGGGTTTCTGTGGCGTACCATCTGCTCGGGTGGGATGCACTTTCCAACCTGCTCAGCATGGCTTTGTGCTACTTCTCCTTCATGATGATCTCACCCACATCTTTTACCATCGGTAGCATGGTTCTCGCCAGCCTCTTCGTCTACGACGTTGTCATGGTCTTCTACACGTACGCCCCCTCCCCACCCGCCATCTACCCACGCTAACTCCTCTATTTTAGCCCCTTCATGATCGCAGTCGCTAAGAGCATCGACGCCCCCATCAAGCTGGTCTTCACCAGCGCGAAAGGCGCCAGCATGCTCGGGCTAGGCGACATCGTGGTCCCAGGCATGCTAATGGCACTAGCACTACGCTTCGACCTGTTCCAGCACTACCAGCGGCAGACCACGCTCGAGCCGGTAGAGCTAGCGACCGAGACCACGACAGAAACCAACACAACGACTACCACCACCACCACCACGCAGCACCGCCGCGTCAAGGCCACCTACGTCGACACGCGCGGCCAGTGGGGCAACCGCTTCTGGACGACGCCGCTCGGCCGCCTCTCGCCCGTGCGCGACGCCACCGACGCCATCGCCGCCACCGCGTTCCCCAAGCCCTACTTCTACGCCTCCGTCGCCGGCTACGCCGTCGGGATGTTTGTTACGCTGACGGTTATGCTCGTCTTCAACCACGGCCAGCCGGCGCTGCTGTATCTGGTTCCCGGCGTCACGGGGTCGTTGTGGTTGACGGGGCTGGTGAGGGGGGAGATCAAGGATATGTGGGGGTACACGGAGGACGGGAGCCTGGATACTGAGGATGTGGTGGTTGAGGTGGATAGGGAGGGGAGGGTGGTGAAGGAGAGCGCGGGGAAGAGGAGGGATGAGGTTGGTGAGGAGGGGGATAAGGAGGAGGAGGGGGGTAAGGGGGAGAGCGGGGACGAGAAGAAGGGCGGGGACGAGAAGAAGGGGGAGGCGGACAAGGGAGACAAACTTGAGGCGGAAATCGAAGGGATCAGGAACAATTTAGGGCCTGGGAAACATGAGTTGTTTCTGCTGTCGGTAACCGCACCGCGGGCGGTCATGACGGTGACTTAGGGGCACGGCCGTGATGGGTGTCTAATACTCTGGAACTACTACGTAGTTTTGGTAAATCCGTCAGCCAGATTCTGTCGTTGTTATCGTTATGGGAATCGGGTAGAACAAAGAGAGCGAGTTGCATTTGAGAACATATGGTTAGAGAAAATAACCAAACGCACCACCCATGATATCCCAACCCCTAACGATTAGACAACAACAAACCTGCAATAGTCATGCGGTGCTCCTGCTGGCTTGAGAGAAAAGAGATTTCGAAGAAGGTGCATAGGGGGTTGAGCGAAACATGACGAAATCCCCGGTGGACTTCAACCCTATGACCCACGGAAACGACATTGAACGATGGGAGGACGACTTCTCACAGAAGTATCGTTAGTAAGCGGGGCGAGGGTGGAAAAGAACAACTCCAGAAACTGTCAGATTCTGGAATTTATTATTAGAAGGATTTGGCAAGTTGCTACTGGGTTGCACTGCATGAAGCGTCTCCTCCTGCACGAACGATAACTAGCCGACCCCGATCAGCCTCAGTTCGGCTGACTCCCTCACACTCCGAGTCCCACACCCGACCTCAACCTCACCCCGTTTGATGCTGTTTGATGAGGATGCCGCCAAACCCCACAGCGCCCGACACACCTCACCATCAGATGACCTTTTTGGATAAGCAAAAACAATAAAACCGGTCTTCAAAACATAGATGCACAGATAAGCCAAATTGCCAAAATGTCTCACGCAGCAGAAGAGAGCCCCGATAAGCCCGTCATCGCACAATGGATCCTCGATACCCGAACCTGGTATCCCGAAGTCACCCAGACCAAGCAACTCGAAACCCACGTGAGTACCTACATGTCAACCCCCCCCCCCCTTCCCAACCCCTGACCCCCTCACACACACACACACACACACCAAACCCCCCTTAACTCACACCCCAACTCACACGCCCCCTCCCCCTCAAAACAGGCCGCGCGCGCCTTCGCCCTCCTCCCGCCCGCCAACCGCGCCCCGATCCTGCGCTACCACCACGCGCGCGACGCCAAGATGGCCCTGGCCTCGGCCCTGCTCAAGCACTACGCCATCGCACGGCTAGCCCAAACACCCACGGCGGCGGCGACGACATGGTCCGAGACGGTGGCGACCGCCTTCACGCGCGACGCACGCACCAAGCCCGTGTACATCGACCCTGTGACTGGAAGGCAGCCGGTTGCGTTCAATGTCTCGCACCAGGCGGGGGTGGTGGCGATTGTGGCTGTGGCCGGGTATCCTGCTGATGTGGAAGGGGGGGTGGGGGTGGGGGTGGAGGTGGGTGTGGATGTGGTGTGTACGTCGGAGCGGCGGGCGCGCGACCATGCCATGCTGGCTGGCGAGGGGTGGGCGGCGTTTGTGGATATGCATGCCGATGTGCTCGCGCCGGGGGAGGTTGCGTATCTTAAGCATCGCGTTCTGGCGGGGCCGGCGACGGCGGAAGGGGTGTATGATGGGAAGCTGCGTTCTTTCTACACCCTGTGGGCGCTCCGCGAGGCTTACGTCAAGTTGACTGGTGATGCGCTGCTGGCGGACTGGTTGGGGGAGCTGGAGTTCCGTGGGTTTCAGCCGCCGAAGCCGACCGCGGGGTGGGATGTGCCTGCGAGGGAGGAGGAGGGGGAGGTGGTGAAGGACATAGAGATTTGGTTCCGGGGGAGGCGGGTCGAGGATGTGAATATGTGTCTGAGGTCGATAGGGGAGGATTACATGATTGCCACGGCCGTGAGGACGCCGGGGAGGAAGGAGGATGGGCTGGGGTGGGAGCTGGGGCCGTACGAAGTGCTGTCGTTAGAGCAGGTCCTGGAATTTGCGGAGGCCAGTGGATGATGTAGTGTGATGTTTGACTCATACTTCGGGAGCGTCATGTTCTCACACAATCTGCGACTACGATCTCTATCTCATGCACATTATTACACAGCTGGGAGAGAGTAGACGTAGGAGGCAAAATGAAACTACCATGGCCATAGTTGAATGCTTCAGTTAGAGACCGATTGTCTAAGCTGTCTTGGTAGCAAGGTAGGTGACTCCGAACATAGTCGAGAGTCCCATTCCCTTTACCCTGTGCCTGCTTTCCTCTTCTGGGAGTAGAGGCCATCATCTGGGTTGGTGACGCCCAAAATTGAACAATTCTTGCCATCCGAGCTCGCAACAACGAAGCCAGGACTACCCCTGGAGCAAAAGAATGGCAAAACATCCAACCCACAGCTCAATCGAGCAAAAGTATCATCCACATTCTCCTCCGGGAAGGCTCGAACTTCCAACCTCCTGATTAACAGTCAGACGCGCTAGCCAATTGCGCCACAGAGGATGAACAGGTTGAATGGATAGAGTTTTGGGTAGGATCCCTAGTTCAAGAGGACAGAGTGTGCTTGGGATTTCGGCTGCTCGGATCTGCGATTGCAGGTGCGGTGGGTCCCGGAGCTCGGTTGAAAGAAAGCTTTGCGGGAAGCGGACCTGGAGCTCAAACAACCTCAGCGAGCTCAGGGGAATCAAATACTGCGTATGGCAGGGATGAGCTGTTGAGAACTCGAGGACCCTGGGCTTCACCGACATGTTGGGCAAGACGGCGAGTCGTCACAGCTGTGACGGGATCCAGCTTGTCGACCCACCAATAATGGCATGACAGCTGGAGGCTGGGACTGAGACATTGGCTAGCTCTGTCTCGATCTCGTGAGGGGGAGACAATCCATTGTGAAGCAGAGACATTTTATCGGCGGGATTGTTGGCGATGGCATCACCTCCACGGGCCCGACATCGTGAAAAAAAGAGGGGGAATATCCAACTTCGCGCAGCCCACCGGCCCAAACGGCACACTAACATCCACACCAAGCTGGTGGTCGTTGGGAATGACGTCGGTTTTTACGGAGCCTTTTTTATTGTGTAGGTATTCTTGGGTTTCTTGGGTTTCTCTTCGGAGATCTGGACTGTCGGCATGGGGGTTCAGATCTTTGTCTTTCAGTCATTGGCTGCTTCACTGCTGCCAAGACGTGGCTGCAAGGACTTGCGTCATCCCAGGGTCTCTTTCGCCTGGGAACTTGCCGACCCACAATAGCTTTTGTCCCTCCAACATGGAAGACACTGCTAGTGGTGTGCTAGTCTTGCAACTCAGGGTACAAGCTTGATCAGATGTGATTCCCTTGACTCCTAACTAATCAATGGTGGGTTGGGCATCCGCATGCCGACGTAACCATGGCGATTTGTCTCTTTATTCACCCGGTCCCCGGACCTGATCGCACCCGTAAACCTTTCTTCCTCACCTCCCGTCGGCATCCTCACTCTTCCAATCTCCCACCTTTTTATTAGTCGTACCTTCCAAATCGGTACCACTCACTGATTTCTGCCCTATCACATCCTGCCCTTTAAAACCGGAGGACAGCACCATACCACCCTTCTCTGCGACACCTGCCTCGGTGGTCCGCACTGCGAGAGCGCAACCCAAGGGGTCGGGACACCCAACCTCACCTTCCATCAGTCTCTCCAGGCGCAAACCAATAACTCAAAATGTCACGCAGTAAGACTTACTCCCAGACCCCGCCTAGTAACCTTCACTAACCCCCGCTACAGCAACGAGCCTCGCCCCAGTGGCCCTCATACTCGTCGCCGGATCCCTCGTCCTCCTCTGGTTCGTCATCCTCTCAGGCGTCACCCACACCTCGCCGCTCCGCCAAACCTACTTCCTCCGCGCCGACACATCCGGCATCGAAGGCGCCCGCTCCATCTCAGAATGGACCTTCTTCAAGGTCTGCGGCGACGGCCACACCGACTGCGGCCCCTCGCGCCCGGGTCTTCCCCTAGGCGATGCCTGGGCCAGCAACGCCCGCAACGCCCCGTCTGACCTGATCGGCGGCTACGGAAACGGCACAACCAGCTTCTACTACTGGTACATGTGGCGCTTCGGATGGGTCTTCTTCCTCATCGCCCTGTTCTTCGAGGTGCTGGCCTTCTTCGCGGGCTTCCTCGCGCTGTGCAGCAGACTGGGCTCGGCCTTGACGGGGCTGATCTCGCTCGTCGCGCTCTTCTTCCTGACCATCGCCGTCTCCCTGATGACGTACGCCCCCCCCCCCCCCCCTCCCTACCCACCCCCAACTTCTCCCATCCCAAATACCCCAAACTAACACCCCAACTCTAACCACAGCGCCACCTTCGTCAAGATGCGCGACGTCTTCATCCGCGAGGGCCGCCAGGCCTCGCTCGGCAGGTACGGCTTCGGTTTCAGCTGGGGCGCCTGGGTGCTGTTGCTCATCAGCACCGTGCTCTTCTTCTTGGCCCGCCACAAGCGCAGGGACACCACGACTGCCGCCGTCGCGTCGGCCCCCGGAACGGCCGCGGGCCGCACCTGGCCCTGGCAGAAGCGCGCCGCCGGTGATGGGCGCAGGGTTAAGGAGGACTACGCCTGAGTGGGCTCGGTTGATGCCAGATGGCCGGTGGTAGGGGGCCAGGTGGAGTGAGTGAGTGGAGTGGTGGACTACGTGGAGGATGGATGAATAAAGGGTGATGTGATATGAGATGACGGAGCGGGAGTGATGGCCAGATTGCAACCAACTTGCGCGCAAGCTATCCTCGCTATTTACGATACCGGCGGCATTCAGCCTGCTACTTGCATGGAGGACTTACAGCCTCCTCATAATTTTATTCAAGCTACATGGCGGACGGCGTACTCTGGGTGGAAGACATTCGCTAGGAGCGTTCCATATATTAATTAATACCAATCTTTCGAGTCACTGCAAACGCCCAAATAGGCCATTGTATCCCGGCTTTTCTGAGCGGCATTACCTCCCCCCAAGAGCATACATCCACTGCTCTATCTACCGAGACTATCTTCCCAAGTTTGGTTCCCGATAAAAAAACGAATTGCTCCTCCACAATGCCAACCCCCGCCACACGACCCGATGCAAGGACCAACGAAACAACCCGAGATGAACGAGGCAACCAAAGAAACAGGCAAAAAAAAAGCACATTTCACATGCCGCCCCGGAAGGCAATACATTATGAGGAAAGGTCAGCCAAGAAAGAAGTATCACACACACTCAAGAAAGGAAGATGGTATGTTTGCTCGGGCCAAAAAAAGCCCAAGCAGGCGTTCATCCGCCAGGAATAAACCGCCCTATGCCCAGGCCTCGTGCCCTCCGCGGAACATTGGAACTTGGAAGAGAAGCAGGGGGGGGGGGGGGAGGACAACTCAGAGAAAACGGAACCCCTGCCCGCCACCCGCCACACCCCTTCCATAGTAGTTGTGTAAACATACGAAAGGGACCACCCAAAACCAGCCACCCAACCACCCACCCACCCCAACTCAACCAACCAACCAAACCAACCCACATACCCCAAATTCAAACCTCCCGGTGATAGATAGAGACAGAGCGAGCGAGAGGGAGTGCGAGAGAGAGAGAGAGAGAGAGAGCAAGACCACGGAAAAAGGCCAATCGATCGATCAGGGCCCCACGAGCGGACTACCCACAGGGCTGATGGTGTCGAGCGGGGCGGCGTGGAGGGCGGGCTTCTCGGCGGCGGCGCGCAGCAGCCCGCGGCGCTTGCGGTCGAGGACGGAGCGGACCCACTCGGCGACCTCGTAGTCGCCCTCGGCGACCTGGCCCGTGGGGTTGTTGAGGCTGAGCTCGCCGGCGGCGTCGGCCAGCGCGTCGTCGGCCGCCGCGGCTTCGGCCTCGGCGTCCTCGGCGATCGTCTCGGGTTTGCCCAGCGTCTTGATCCACGGGTGCGCCAGCAGCATCGGGTAGGTATGGCGTTTGTGCGGGTTCTTGTTGAGGCAGCACCGCACGAAGTCTTGTGCGAGTGCCGAGTAGCCTTCGGATGGGAGGTCGGGCGGGTCGCCTTCTACGATGGCCTGGTCGTGGGGAAAACAAACATGTCAGTATTGGTGTTACTTTTCGAGGGGGACTGGGTGGGCCAGAATACGTACGCTCAGTTGGCTGAAAATGGTGCTCGATACTTCTGGCGGGTAGGGGTATTTCCCCATGGCGCACTCGATGATGGTCAGCCCCATACTCCAGATGTCGCTCTGCACGTTGTACGTCCCGGCTGCGGCACCAGCGGCGCCGGCGGCCAGCGCACCGCCGCTAATGCGCTCGGGCGCCATGTAGCTCTGACAACCGATATTGGTCTTGGCTATACTAGCCACCAGGTTGCCCGACACGCCGAAGTCGCAGATCTTGACCTGCCCGTTGCTGTTCACGAGAATGTTGGTGGGCTTGACGTCGCGGTGGATGATGTTGTGGTCGTCCTTGAGCGTCTTAAGGCCGACGATCGTGGCGAACGTGATCTTGCGGAGCACATTTTCGGGGATGCCGCCCACGTACAGCTTGTCGATGCTCCCGCCGTCCATATACTCAATGCACATGTAGACCGCACCTTCTTGGTAGAAGGCCCCGTAGAAGTCGATGATGTAGGGCGAAACGCACTCGTGCAGGATGACGAGCTCTTTGAGGATAGTGGTGAATTTGGCCTGGTCCAGCTCGAGTCGGATTTCCTTCATGGCCATGACCACTCCCGACGTCGTGGGCCCGCTGCTCCCGCTCCCGGGTGATGTATCCGAAGACTCGTCCGTCTCGCTTGATGATTGCAAGGGGAGCGCCGGCTTAAATTTGCTCAACCCCTGACCAAACCGCGGTGCTTTTGGCCTGGCATGCCTGACCTTGTATACGGTTCCGTAGTTACCCTTGCCCAGCTCGTCCATGACATCGATCTCGTCGAGCGAGATGGAGAAAGTCTGGCCGTTAGCAAAGTTGACGCCTGTCCGTGTGATTGTCGCCGCGCCATCGAACGTGATCCAGCCTTTATCCGCGTCAATGTAGTTCTTGAAATCGCTCAGCTTAGAACCCCGCCCCTCCCCGTTCACCGACGGCTGGCTACCCTCGTCGTTGCCGAGATCGCCCAATTTCGGCGCAGGCCCAGGCGATGGACCGCTGGGGCCTGGTAGATTCCCCAGTTTCATAGCCCTTCTTTCGCTCAGGCTCGGTGGCTTTTTTGCAGCCGGTACTGCGGGTGCCGACTTCGCAAACCCCGGAGGCATGGGCCGGGACATGCCTCCTGGCAACTTGAGGTTGGGCGGCATGCCACCCGCCATGCCACCCGCCATGCCACCCGCCATGCCACCCGCCATGCCACCCGCCATGCCACCCGCCATGCCACCCGTCATGCCACCCGCCATGCCACCCGGCTGCCCGCCGCCGCCTCCGGGCCCTCCCTTGTTCATGTTCATGTTCATGTTTAAGCTCGCGGCCGAGCTGGCTGCCCTGGCGGCCATGTTCATGCGCTGCTCTTGGAGCGCTCGTGCTTTTTGCATGATATCGGACGGCAGACTATTTGCGCTCGGTGTCGGTCTCCTCGCCGTATTTAGTAGCCCGGTGACGCTCGAGGTCGGGTTCATGTGGGTGGGATTTTGCGGATCAGAAACCGTCCGTAGAGAAGGTACCCGGCGAGGCGGATCGCTCGGGGAGAAGCTCGGTTGGCCATCGGAGCTCGAACTTGGGGGGTCAAGAGGTGTGCTCGCCTCAGAATCATCGTCGGCGAAGCCTGGTGATGCCGGGTTGCTCGGGCCATACTCGTCCGGCGTGACCGGTTCGGAAATGTCGCCGTAGTCGGCCATTGTGTTGGTGCCGAGGGGAGGGGTGGGGGGAGGTGGGGAGGTGGGGTTGAGTAGGTGAGGTCCGGTCTACCTGATGCCCAACATGTGGTGTCGTGGAGAGCGTAGTTTTAGTTTTAGAGTTGTACTTTGGCCCGGTTTAGGTAGTTGCGGGTTTACGGGCTTGTTTGGAGAAAACGACCAAGAACAGGCAGGCGCTGAGGTTCAAGAGGTGTGGGCACCGGCGGGAGGGTCGAGGAGTGTTTGTTCGTTCCAAGGCAGCGCTAGACGAGAACCTTGTTGGTCGCAGCACTGGCTTTTCTGGGCCGGTGGCAAGCCTTATGGGAAAAGCGTGTATCAAGAATTTGGCGAACTCTGCTACGGGTAGGCGAGAGAAAATTCTATCGCAAGTCTGGCGCCGAGGAAGGTAGTAGTCCCAGGATAGGATTGGGCCGGAAGCGGGATCGAGATCTCAAAACGGCTCCCCAAGTCGGCCAGTGCGGGCAACTGAGCCGAGTCTGACCAATTTGATTGGCTACTCCCAGGCCGGATGGAGTTTTTGGGAGGCGGTTTATGGAAGCCGCGAACACCAAGCACAGTCCACGCGGGCGAAATCGAGACTCGTCTTTCCCAAAAACAGTACTTCGGCGAATCCGTTTAGGGCGGAGCATGCGTCTGACTTGGGGAAACAGGGCCTCCAGAAGTCAGAACAGGCTGGCGCAAGCGGATGGACTGTCTCTCCTCTCCCCAGTCACACATTTTAGAGTGTGGCACCGGTAGGGGCTTTTGCTCCGGCTTCTTACCCAAAAGCCCCTCCATTTTCTCATCGGCTGCCAGGGTCAATCCAAGTTCGTGGATGTGAACGGCTTGGTAAGGAACTCAAGGACAAGGGGGCAAGGGACCAAGGGGCGAAAATGCGCTGAGGCAGTGGGGTTTGCTCCAAACCCCGCCATTGGGAGCGGCTTTCTCCCCGCCTTATCAAGAGCGACGGGCTCCTGGAAAAAGGAGGATTGCCCAAACCAGGATTGAATACGGAAAATTGTTACTTTTGAGATATGCATATCCCTTTCTGAGAAGGTGAGAGGCCATGTGTGCTCACTTTGGGGTGCTGAACCGGTTTGTCGGACCAGAAAGCAAGGTAACTCACGGTTAGGCAACTGCATCCACGCGGTATGACGTCCGAAGTCAAGCGAAAGACGCGGGGGGCAGCAATTGGGTTTTTGGGTCGACTCAGCAATCGCCGGCGGCTGAAGAACTTGCTGCGGCCCAACGACAACGAAGAAGCGATCTTCGAACGGCAACTTGCCGCGAGGCCTTCATCGCTGCAGCGAAGTGGTTGGGTCGTGTCACTGTGTGTGGGGCCGGTTGAAGATGCCAAAGCAGGTTGCCCGTGTTTTAGCGTTTGTTTTCTGAAACAACCTTCAAAATGCAAGGGGCGAACTGATTGGGCCAAGTCAGCAGGGGCCGCGTTCTCCTCGCCGCAGCCCGCTGGCGATCCTTTCGGAAGGAGGCCGCCAGACAGGCCAAGGCGGAAACAGATGAAGCTTTCGTGGTTTCCCGTCTGTTCCATTGAGCAACCACTCCCCCTGTCTAAAAACCATTGCCTTCAGGGCACTGCCATGAGGGCCACGTCCACGTCTGACGTTCTTGTTCTGCAGCTTTAATCGCTGAAATGTTGTGCCGTCTACGAGACGATATCGGACATCTTCTTGTCTGTGGCATTGGCATTTTCCAACCCAGAGTTAAGTGTCAAGGACAACTCACCTCCTAATTTGGTCCACCGAGACAGTCTCGGAAGGGTTACCCTGACTTTCTTGGTGGTTACCTTGACTCTTATAAGGGGTTACGTTTGGCTCTCTTGAGTCCTTCAAGTGTGACTGTGTTAGCCAAGCCATGCACTGATAACGCACATAATTTACCTCTGAGAACATTAATGGCGGAGTTAATCAACAGGTGCTCTTGGCTGTGTTGCCGTTCAGTCGACAACGGCAGCTGGGATGGCGTCTCGGCTCGACCCTGATTGTGATTGGCCCCGTTGTTGACAAGAGATGCTTTTCTGCGTCGAGCCTTTTTGTGGCGGGATTTGCATCAAGAACAACCAACCAGAAGTCCGTCTGGCAACACGTTTTGAAATGAAGTCTCTTGTGTCAGAGGCCACCCATAAGAGGACAAACTGCGCCTCCCTGGGAAGTCTTTGGTGAGGCTGGGGCTGAAAAAGAAGGCCGGGCGGCAAGTGGTGCCGATGTTGTGTTTCCAGAACCGTGGGTAAGTTGCCGATTTATTAAGGCTTGTCTGAAAGCTGATCCTGGGATTCACCAGGCGCGATCCGACGCTGCCCTGGCGGAGAAATCGAAACCGCTCCTGTCTTGCGGCGAACGTCATCACGGCTGCACGTTTCTCGATCCAGGTGTCTGCTAGGTGCTTGGCGACCCCTTGGCATCCCTTAGCCTGCGCCAAGAGAGACTCGCCAAGAGACAGCGGCCAGGGTAACTTTTAACGAGAAACCTTCTCTCTCTGAAAACGGACGGTGACAATTCAAGTACCACCCTAACTGAGTATTCAGCTGCGCCTTGCGTTGGCCTTATCGCGCGACATGGAGCTCCTGTGCGCCCCATCGAAGAGTGTTGAAGGGAGGCCATTCTTCAGACCGTCAGAGATGGCGTTCTTAATTTATCCCATGTATCCCGTCTTCTGCGCTGCAACTCTCCCCGCGAACCCTTCCAACTGATCGCCAACGGCATCGGCAATCTCTCTTTGTTATCCCGGGGTTGCTCTTACACTTTGGTGTATCATCACAAATACAAAGCACCTCCGTGGAGCTCCACCAGCTTCTTAACCGTGTCTCAGACAGCTCCTTCCTGACCACGGTTCATCCAGCCATTGCAGCATCACACTGCAATCGCAACATTAAAGAGCCATTGGGGTTCAACTCGATCCTCTGGTCCCCCTATCTACTCCAATTTCCGCCAATTCCACCCCCTAGATCGAAAAACAACGACAGCAGGGTCACTTGATGGGTCTACTCAACATACGCGCGCCGACCTCGTTGCGGCTTGCCTGGGGCGACTCTTGGGACCCTTCATCAGTGACGGCCTCATCGCCCTTTATAATCTTCAATAAACCACAAGAATCGCATCCATCCTTCGACAACTTGGCGCTCCTCGTCTTCGGCGCTGTTTTGGAAGTCGTCTGCGTCAGTTTGCCCGGTTACATCATCGCGCGCTTGGGCCACTTCGATGCCGACAAGCAAAAGTTTCTTGCCAACCTCAATGTTATGCTATTTACGCCATGCCTGAGTAAGTTGCGGATGTTGTGATGATCTAGTTGGTTTAATGGGGGGTGTTTGGGCTGACGGTTGGCAGTTTTCACGAAGCTTGCATCCCAGTTGAACGCCGATAAGCTCCTCGACCTTGGCATCATTCCCATCATTTTCCTTATCCAGACACTTGTTTCGTATCTCGTCTCCCGAGTTGTGGCAAGATGTTTCGGCTTCAACAAACGGGCTTCCAACTTCGTCACGGCGATGGGTGTGTTTGGCAACTCGAACTCGCTGCCCATCTCTCTCGTCATCTCGCTCGCCCAGACATTGCAGGGGTTACACTGGGACAGGATACCGGGTGACAACGACGATGAAGTGGCCGCGAGAGGTATTCTCTACCTATTGGTTTTCCAGCAGCTCGGTCAGCTGGTTAGATGGAGCTGGGGTTACCATGTGTTGCTGGCGCCAAAGTCGAAGTACGAGGAGTACACCGACGAGACGATTGAGGAGGGCCGCTATCACGACTATGATGAGGAGGATGACACCGAGCCGCATGGTTTAATCGAAGGCGTCGACATCCTACATGAGCCCGAGAATCACGAGGACAGTCGCCCTTCAAGCCCGACACACACCGACGACTCTGCGACCCACTACGAGCCGGCCGGCCGGACGCCCGTCGGGGGCTCTTCCGGGGCGTCGCCGAACGACTCGGAGGACGATGAGCACGATGAGCACGACGGGCCCTGGAAGGGCAAGGGAAAGCAGAGCGCGACTGGCCTCGGTCTGAACGGTCATCTCCAAGGGCACGAAGACCTCGACAGGATGCTCTCGTTCCCGCACATCCACAGCACCGACGAATCCGAAGTGCCGCCGGGCATCAAGGGCGTCCCCGTGCGCGTGCAACGCTTCGTAAAGAAGACGGAGCTGAAGTCTCGGAACTTCCTCCACACGACCGGCCGGCGCGCATACGACTCCCTCCCGCGCCCGTTCCAGGCCGCGCTCACGACGCTCCACCGCGTCTGGCAGCGCGTCTACCAGTTCCTCTGGGACTTCATGAACCCGCCGCTCTGGGCCATGCTCATCGCCGTCTTCATCGCGTCGGTGCCGGAGCTGCAGGCGCTCTTCTTCCGCGAGGGCTCCTTCGTCAAGACGTCGGTCACCAGCGCCATCAGCTCGTCGGCGGGCGTGGCGGTGCCGCTCATCCTGGTGGTGCTCGGCGCCAACCTGGCGCGCAACACGCAGGCGCGCGAGGACGAGACGGAGCCCGAGGAGCGCGAGATCGGCACCCGCCTGCTCGTCGCCTCCCTCGTCAGCCGCATGCTGCTGCCCACCCTCATCATGGCCCCCATCCTCGCCCTCTTCGCCAAGTTCGTCCCCGTCAGCATCCTCGACGACCCCATCTTCGTCATCGTCTGCTTCCTCCTCACCGGCGCCCCCAGCGCCCTGCAGCTGGCGCAGATCTGCCAGATCAATAATGTGTATGAGACGGTCATGGGGCGGATTCTGTTTCAGAGCTATGTTATTTGGTGAGTATTTTGTTTCCATGTGATGGTTTGGATGAGGCAGTGTGCTAATGATACATGACAGGATCCTGCCGTCGACCCTGATCCTGGTTCTTTGTGCGATGCAGGTGGTGGAGTGGGCCAAGTGAGAGAGAGGCTTTCGCCGGGGTGTGTGGTCGGGACGATAGCAGATTGGCAGCGGCAGCGGCAGCAGCAGTGGTTTCCTTAATTCTCTTCATTCCGTCCCATCATTGGGCGGAGCGACTGTAACAATTTGGATTTTGAGGGTGGCGTTTGTGGGGGGTTTTGCATACCATAGTTGCATGGTCGTGGGCATGGAAATTGCCGCGTCTGGTTCTGGGTGCTTCGTCCTGCAAACAGGAAATGGGGTTAATTTTTCCTTACTAAAAAAGCATTGGGTTGGTCGGCCGGGTGGTTGGAATACCACCTGGCCTCGACCTGGCTGGTGGTGGTGGTGGTGGTGGGCATTAGGGACACAAATAGAATGACTGGTGTCTGGACTGAGCAGACAGATTGGGACACCGGACTCGACGTCGAGCATGGTTATGACTTTATGGGGATCAGGTCCTGTATCATTATCACTATGGCATAATTTGTTGGTGGGAGGGAGTGGCATGACCTGGTATGGTCGTTGTATAATCAAAATGCACGGTGTTTCGGGGTCAGTCGTGTATACGCATGCTTGGCGTTTGGGGGATGGTCAAAGAATTAACGTGTATTCTCAGTTGGGCGCCGTTCACCGCGCTCTACCGAAACTCCAACAAACCTTTGGACCCGGTTTTGTGACCCATTTTCTATAATTAAAACGAAGGTTGGTTGAGGGGTGCGGTTGAGGGGGCCGGGCCGGTCGGCGGTGCCAATGCGGCGCATGTTGACGGTGGTGGTAACACCGGAAAAGTTCCAGGATGGTTGTGCCGTTTATCCTTCAGAGACCGTTGAATTCATGTCCGGCAATGCGGCAGACCTGCGTGATGTGTTGTGTCGTTGGTGTTGGGGGTCCAGGTTGTGTATCTTCATAAGAAAGGCAAGTCCAGCCGAACGATCCACGGCTGTGGTTCTCGAGGTTACCTCAGGGTAAGCACCCGGTAGCCGATCTTCCGATCACATATTGTGACTGTGAGTGTATGTGGCAGAAAGATAGTGAGCAGGTATCTAGATAAGTGAGGTCAAGACCGATGAGGCTACCTTAATAATTCCCTGGGGAATAACTTCCCCCGCCCTAGGATGAGTGAGTGAGAACCGCTTTGGGAAGGTAACCGTCAATCCTCCTTCGCGAGCGAGTTGAGCTACTGTTGTAGTCTCCTTTTATTACCCGGGATCTATTTTCCATCCATGTCATTTCCGGCTCATTCATGAATTATACAACCCAACTCTACAGTGAGGTACTCCGTCACTACACCCCATTGATCGCCGGTTCCTCCCCGCCATCCGCAATAACCCAATCCGTGACGGCCCCCTTCCAATCCGCAATCCGCACGTCCCGTATCCCCACCACGATCACCCTCACATCCTCACCACCTACCGCATACCGATTCGCGCTATTCCCCACTCCCTCCGCCCCATCCGCAACGGCGCCAAGGAGGCCCCCCGGCTCGGCCGCGCTGTCAAACGTGTTGTTCTCCAAGTGGACCTCCCGGTAGTATTTCTCCTCCTCAGACCCCCGCTCGACGAGCCGGGCGCTGCCGTTGATGGTAGCGCTGATGGAGGATACGGCGGAGGTGTTGAGGTTGAAGAGGAGGGCGGCGAGGGAAGACGGGGGTTCGCGAATGGGCGAGCGGGATGCGCTGCCGTCGGAGGAGAGGCGGCGCGCTTGGGAGGTGGTGGTTGGGCGGTGCGAAACCCCTGTGCGCTTGTTATTAGTATGCTCCGTGTGAGTGAGGCGGTATGATGGGGGGGATTTCCGTACAGTCGTGGACAAGTAAAGAAACGTTGGGGTTGTTCGCGAGGTTGTTCATCTTTTTGCTGGCCGGGTTGGTGGTCATGATGATGATCGGGGAGCGGGAGTGAGGCGACGACGGCAGGTAGGTATAGTTCATGAGAGAGACATTGGGGATGTTGTCGGAACAGGTGGCGAGGTGAAGAAAGCGGGCATTTTCTAGGCACTGGACAACTTCTTGCGGGAGTGAGGCCGTCACGCGCATGTTGGTGTTGCCAGCCGATGCCTCGTGGCTGAGGGGTATTTGTTGTTGCTCCATCGTAGCGACTTTAAGACTCCAGCAATTCCAAACTCGGTAATTTCAAAAATTCAATCACAGAACCCGTCAGCTCTAATGTTTCGCAAAGTTTTTGACCGTCTGAAGAGGCGATGGTAGTTAAAGGTTTGGAGTTCAGTTGACAGCTGAGATCGGGCGGGAGTGGGGGAGATCCGCATTACCCCAGCTGGATGACTAATGCGGGGGAGCCGCTCGACCCCTGCTGCAGTACCTTATGACGTCTGAAATCCGGGGTTGAGGGACCATTCCGTTTCCCATCTCAATCAAACGTGAGGCGGATGAAGGAAAAGCAACAGGGCTCACATAGGCATACATCATACTTCGATTCATGTTCACCGATTCAATTGCATAGATAGAAACTTGAAAACGAGGGGCTCGCGGGTCACGGGTCCAACCCAGCTGAGCCAGTGCTGGGTTCGGGAAACAGGGGCCCACGGCTACCCTCGGCGTTGTCCCATCCTCGGCCTTACCTTACCGACACCCAGCAACCCGTGGAATTTCCATCCTCAATTCCTCTTGCTCTTCCGTTTTCTAGACTCCGAAACTTTCTGATTTCGAGCCGTTGAACTTCCTCCTTACACTCAGCAGACAGCGCGGCGTCCTCCCACAACCCAATCCCACCCCACCACACAATGCGCTCCCTCAAACGAACCTCCCGCCGCCTGCGGGCACCCATCACTACTATCACCACCACCTCCCCATCCACCTCCTCCCCGCTCCTCCTCCAGCAGCAGCAGCAGCGTCCCACCCCGCGCCCGATATCCACCCACCCCGCCGGCTCGCAGACCACCACGGCCATCAACCCCATCAAAACCCTCCTGATCGCCAACCGCGGCGAGATCGCCCTGCGGATCGCGCGCACGGCAGCAGCCATGGGCATCCGCACGACGACGCTGTACACGGACGTGGACGCGGGGTCGCAGCACGCCGGGTGCGCGGCGCACTCGCTCGCGCTCGGCCCCCGCCCGGCGGCCTACCTCGACGGCGCCCGCATCGTCCGCCTCGCCCGCCAGCACGGCATCCAGGCCCTGCACCCCGGGTATGGGTTCTTGTCTGAGAATCCGGCCTTTGCCCGCGCCTGTGAGGAGGCGGGGATCGTCTTTGTGGGACCGCCGGCGGCCGCGATGGCGGATATGGGCGATAAGGCGCGCAGCAAGGAGATCATGACGGCGGCGGGCGTGCCCTGCGTGCCGGGGTACCATGGCGCGGAGCAGACGCCGGAGGAGTTGAGGGTGAGGGCGAGGGAGATTAGGTATCCGGTGCTATTGAAGAGCGTGAAGGGTGGTGGCGGGAAGGGGATGCGGATTGTGAAGACGGATGAGGAGTTTGAGGCGCAGCTGAAGAGTGCGAGGGCAGAGGCGCGGGCGAGCTTTGGTGATGGCGGGGAGGTCATGCTGGTGGAGAAGTATGTTGTCCGGCCGAGGCATGTGGAGGTGCAAGTTTTTGCGGACAAGTATGGGAATTGCGTGGCGCTGGGCGAGCGGGACTGCAGCGTGCAGAGACGGCATCAGAAGATCCTCGAGGAGAGCCCGGCGCCGTTGCTGGATGATGTGACCCGGCACGATCTCTGGGATAAGGCGAGGACGGCTGCGCTCGCTGTGGGGTATGTCGGCGCCGGCACGGTCGAATTCATCCTGGACAAGGACACGGGCGAGTTCTACTTCATGGAGATGAACACACGCCTGCAGGTGGAACATCCCGTGAGTGAGATGGTCACGGGCACGGATTTGGTTGAGTGGCAGTTCCGGGTTGCTGCCGGTGAGCGGCTACCCCTGACGCAAGACGAGATCGAGGCGCGCATCCTGGAGCGCGGCGCCGCCATCGAGGCTCGCATTTACGCCGAGAACCCCGAGAAGGGATTCTTCCCCGACTCGGGCAAGCTGGTGCACCTTGTCACCCCGCCGACCGACCCCGACGTGCGCATCGACGCCGGCTTTGTCGAAGGCGATACCGTGTCTGAGGCGTACGATGGCATGATCGCCAAGTTGATCGTGCGCGGCCGGGACCGCGAGACGGCGATTCGCAAGATGGAGCTCGCGCTGCGCGAGTACGAGGTGGTCGGCCTCAGCACAAATATCGAGTTCCTCAAGCGCCTGTGCCGCAGCCAGGCGTTCATCGAAGGCGACGTCGAGACTGGGTTTATTGACCTATGGAAGGAGGAGCTCTTCCAGCCGAGGCCTGCCTCTGACGAGGTGTTTGCGCAGGCTGCGCTGGGCCTCCTCAGCGCGCAGATCAAGTCACACGTCACTGCCGGGCCACATGGTGGGACACTCGGCTTCGGCGAGAAGGGGCTGCAGACTAAGCGCAAATTTGCCTTCCAGGTGCGGAACGATGCCGCTGCCGAGGGGGAGAAGCCCGAAGTTGTCCAAGTGGAGGTTGCCCAGCAGGCGAATGCACTCTACAGCGTGTCTGTGGCACGGAACAACAGTGAAACGCCCGTCGTCTTCGAGAACGTCGTCTGCGAACCAAGTCTCGCGTCTGCTACCAAGACGAAGGTCACCTCCTTCTTCCCCATGGCGCGCGTCGAGTCGACCCTAGTGCAGGACCCGGCTGCTCCGGAGAAGCTCACCGTTTTCCAGCTGGGAGAGAAGACGGAGCTGACGCTGGTGCCGCCGGGCTGGTTCGAGAAGGCGCTGGGCCTGAAGGAGATTGTGGGTAGCGTGGTGGCACCCATGCCCTGCAAGATCCTGAGGAACGAGGTGGCTGAGGGCCAGGAGGTTGAGAAGGGCGCTCCGCTTGTTGTGTAAGTCGAGCCACGGGGCGGGATAAATCGAGAGAGGGTGCTAACGTGTGGTTACAGTATCGAGTCCATGAAAATGGAGACGGTCATCCGGTCACCACAAAAGGGCGTTGTCAAGAGGCTGGCGCACAAGGAAGGGGTAAGTTCTCAAAACACCAACGATAAGGATTTGGGTGCTAACTTGCCGTAGGATATTTGCAAGGCCGGGACAGTCCTGGTGTTGTTTGAGGACGTGGAAGGAGCCGAGCCGACTCAATGATGACGGTGAAGGCTCTCCCACAGTCGTCGGGTGATGGCCACGTGGTGGTCTACTCGAGCGAGTGATCCTGTATACCCTCTGAGTATTTTGTTCTACCTCGCTAGACATTGTTTGGATTCAATGCTTAGTTGGTGCGATATTGGCGTTTAGAGATGGACTCCCTGTCAGGTAGCACCACGTACATACGGCATGACTTATGAAATGGATGTCATATTGATACAAAGCACACCATCAAATTAAAATTCGAGATCATGAATGTCAACACGTTTAATCAGCATGGGTTTTGGATGGCTTGGAGATGGCCTCAAGGTGGCTTCCCAACCCTAACCCTATTCTTGTCCAATGAGTATTTGAGTATTTGATGCCTTAAACCCCTCCTCATTGACCCGCGGAACCCAACGACAACAGTCGCGGCACAGAGGCGGGTTTCACTCGACCGCAACATTTTAATGCTTTATTATTCTATCCCGACCTCTTAATATTGCCCAACCATGGGTCAATCCCTCGGAACTTTATTCCCATTACGGCTACGGCTTTGGTTCGGCAACCTGCTCTTTCGTCCCCTCGGCCCGTCGACGACAAGAGTGAGCTGGCACCGCATCGTCAAGGGACCATGCTACCCGCCAGAGGTGGAGGCTATGCAATACGTTGCCTCGCATACAAAGATTCCAGTACCCAAGGTATATGCTGTGCATACCGAGGATAATGGCTCTATCTACATCGAGATGGCGTATGTCCAGGGCCGCACCTTGGAGGGTGTCTGGAAAGGTCTGTCGACAGACCAGAAGGATATCATTTTTGCCGACATCCAACAGCATATATCTTCTCTCCGAGAGCTTCAACCCCCAGAGCAAGACACAGTGTGCTCGGCCCTTCAAAATCCCGCCTATGACTGCCGCATCGGCGCTCGCTTCTTTGGCCCTATGAACCATGGCGAGTTCCACTCGTTAGCACGAGGGCACTTGCACAAGGACGATGTCGCACCTTTTCTCGGCCAGGAAGTTGACAAAACGCACACGTCTTCCTACCGGACTTGCTTTGCCCATGCGGACCTTGCCCCGAGAAACATCATCATCCGGGACGGGCGCGTCGCCGCCATCATTGACTGGGGGTTTTCGGGGTGGTATCCGGAATACTGGGAGTTCACCAAGGCGCACTATAACTACGTCTCGAAAGAATGGGAAGAGTATCTTCGTCTTGCTCTCCCCAACTACGAGTTGGAGCTCACGGCAGAGCGAACCCTCTGGAGGATGCTGCCAGAGCCGGGCACGCGGTCTACCATGCACCGCGGTGGAGTCACCGTCAAACACAAGGGCTCAGACCCTGCGGAGGCCTGGTTAGAGGCAAGAGCAGGCCGCCAGCTAACGGACTTGTGGTCTGTCGTCCTGTCTCAAAAGTCGAGATGGGAGTAGGTGGATATGATTGAAGAATTCTTGCTTGCCCTGCCATAGTCTGCTCGGTTTTGACACCATCCATTCTGTGCCTGAGAATAGTGTAATGGAAGGACTAACGTCGTCGTCCGGTCAACGACGATAGGGGGACGTCTCTGTAACCTTCACCGGGTCCTCGCGCGTCCCGGCTGGCCCGGCGTTGGTGCCTGATTGTTGACCGCGATACCTAGATTCGCATCGCACGACAGATTCCGCGCCTCTTGGGGTCCGGCGGTTGCTCAGCCGGTTGGCTGTAAATTACGACTCAGGCGGCCGAGGCGGCATTGTGTTGGGGCCGAGTGCTACCCCGCCCCCAACGCATCTTGCATACGAATATATCGCCTTCCAACATAAAGAGCTTGTTATCGCCGGACGCTATCCTATGGCTTTCTCCGCCCGCTTTTTTTCTTGGTAACACGATCTTTCTTGAATGCCTTTGAACCTGTGAGCCTTCAAGTCGCGGAAAGTAACCATATCGCTAACAGGGGCCCTTGTTACGTTTTGTTAAATCAGATCCACCCCTGGGGAAACAAACAACCATGTCACGATTAATTGCCCTCTGTTTGTACCACCGAGACCACTTTTCTGAAGGTCATATGCGGGAATTTTTTGAATACGAGGCGTACCACTGGAGCATCATGATCATGCCCGAGGCCAGTGACGGGCGAGACTGCCATGTCTACGATGCTACCGACGCGACCTACATCGACCCTGAGACGTTTCGAATGAAAAATCCTACAATGGACTGGTGGTTCAGGGCCAAGGAAAACATCGACCCCGCTCTCAGTTCGAAGCTCCTGGGGAGTATCGTCATTGGAGAGGTACCGGACGAGGAGGTGACCACGGATGATCTCCGGGAGTTTTTTTACCAGATACCTCTACCGGTTAGAAATCAGGATCCCCAGCAGAGCTGCGTAACGTGGGCTGTCAACGCCATCCGGGCCCTCCAGGAGCAAGGCTGGGTGTGGCGGTTCGACATTGATCAGTTTAAGGACTGGGCACTCGCTTATGCCGATGATAGGATGAGAGGGGAGGAGGCGGAGCAGCCGAAAGTGATTCAGTACAGTATAGAGGGGAGTTTGGAAGAGGAGTACAGCAGCATCATCATGTAGAAGAACAAATTGAGGAAGACGACGAAAAAGACCGAGAAGAAATCGAGGAGGGGATCGAGGAAATAGAATCTAGAACAAGGAATTGAGAAAAAAGAGCCCAGCTCGAGAAGGCGTTTCTCTGGGACCGGATGACTTCGTTTCTTTCTTTTCGACGAGGTTTGGTCCGTCGACATCTCCATCTTCCATTTTTGGTCCATTGAGTTCCACTTGTTCCTGGGCCGAGGCCCACAACCTCCCCCACGCCTTCCAGGAACCGCTCGGCGAGATTGACCAATGGGGGACGTGCCGCAGATCGACGGTTCCCATGCCGAAACGGGGCCGTGCAACCTCAATCTTGAACAAAACCACAACCCAACTCCTTCACCAGAGTGAAGCCACAGTCACCATGGCACTCAGGATACAGTACCGCAACCTGCTGCGGACGGCCCAGTGCCAGAAACCCGCCGCCGACCTACCCGCCAGGTCTTTCCCGGCGAAACCCTCCCTGCTCGCACCCCGACACCGCCAACAGCAACCCTTCTCGACCTCCCTCAACAAACGGCAAGAACCGCGACAACCTCCCGTCCCCGAACAGCCAACTGCCATTGTACCACCAGCGCCCGTAGATCCCTCCCTCGCAAGACCACCAGCAACCCCATCCCCACCACCCCCTCCGACCGATCCCAAGCAACCACCGCAACCCCAACCCCAACAACCAAAGAAGCCCTCCCGCCTCGTCCCGCGCCTAATCTTCGCGCTCGCCTTCACGCTCGCCGGCGGCCTAGGCGGCTCCTCTTTGCGCCTGGCCCTCTCCCCGCCCGACCCCCCCGCACCAGCAACAGCCGAAGACGCCTACACGACCCGCGTGCTGCACGAGCAGGCGGCCAAGCTACCCGTAGTCCAACAGCTGAACGCCGACGCGGCCACGTGGGAGTCGTGGGACGCGTACGAGTCGCTGCCCGCGGCGCACCGCGCGCAGCACATCACGGCGGGCGCGCTGGCCGGGTCGCGCGGCGTGGGCGGGTACCAGCGGGTGTGGTGGAACCGGCGGACGGGGGAGTTGGTGAGTGTGATCTTTTTTGGGAGTGCGACGACGGGCTGGCCGGGCGTCGTGCATGGGGGCTGTCTGGCGACGGTGTTGGATGAGAGTTGTGGGCGGGCCGCGTTCAAGGATGTCGAGTGGGGTGGGCGCACGGGCATGACGGCGAAGTTGGGGTTGGAGTATAAGAGGATTACCATGGCGAATGGCTTCTATGTGGTGCGGGTGAAAGTGCGCGGGGAGGAGGATCTGCCCGAGCGGGAGAGGGGGAAGCGGCATTATAAATGCTGGGTGGATGCGCAGGTGGAGGATGCGGTTACTGGGGCGGTCACGGTCACCGCGGAGGCGTTGTTTGTGGGCGGGCAGGGGAAGAAGAAGGTTAATGGTGGCGGGGCGCTAGTTGAGACAGGGCAGCATGTGAAATTTTGAGAGTCGGCGGTGGTGGTGGTGGCGATAAAAGAGGGCCGTGTGGATTTACAGGAAGCATCAGCGATGGCGACGGGGACGGGATGACGATGGGAATAGCTTCGTCAGGGCTGTAGTGGGCTCGGGCTCAGGTTGGTGGGCATGGTACTGGGACGTGCGGCCCTTTTGGCGGGCTCGTGGCGGGCTCGTGGCGGTAGGAAGCACGGTATAACGCAGCGAGGCATGCCGGGGCCTCGGGCCCTTGATAAAGAAGCTCCTCATGCTTCCATGCTACCAAGCGCCCGACCCGTTAGTGCAGCGGTTAGGGGGTGCGGAATCTGTGATCTGGATCTAAACCCCGAGCTCAAGGGTGACGACCCGAGAGGTCGCAGGTTCGATCCAGGTCAAAGTAGCGGGAAGCGGTACCCGCAGTCTTCTAACCCGTTGCAACCTTCCAACCAGCTGGCCCCTAGTTGGTGTGTAAAATCCCGACGGGGGTTTTCGTAACTGTCCAACCTATCTAGGAAGACGATGGATGGGCAGTAAGCTTTTTGTAGCTTAATGTAGCTTAACTAATTATATTTCCAACCTCTTGGTCATTTCTTTTGCATTCCCAACTAATTAGAGTTGTTTTTGTCTCTCGTTATTCTTTTATAACCGTTTATTCTCTTTCGTTGCCGCACCCCATTTCCATGATAACCAAAGGTGAGCTAAAAACACTCTTATTCTTCAACGTTACGCTGCTCCAAAGACCATTCATTACAGTGAAGGCGAAGATAAATGCTGGCCTTGGTGTTTTCTTTGGTCTCTCTTCGATCACGCGTTGTGATGTAATGTTGTGATGTAATGAGTGCCCTCGCCATCTGATGTTCCCTGCCAAGCGAATTTATACTTGATGAGGTCTGCATGATCAGGCATGGCCAGTGCTAGAAGCCACCCCAAGGAATAGGGGCGATGAGAAGATCATTTCTGAGCGATCTACGAATACAAAAACATCTTGTAGAGCACACCTACCGCTCGGGACCCCATCATGATTTGCTTGCCCTGTCGGGATTTCTGCATGATCATCTACTTTGGTTGACTTCTCTCTCAGGACACGACCTCTCAAATACCGTTACCCTGATGAATTCGCATCTGTTGCAGAGCCATTCATCGAACGGTGGTGATCGTTCCCGATGTTGGACCATAGTGAGGTGAACCCGTCCTGGGTTCAGGGGTTTGTTTACATACAACCACGTTGCCGGCCAGTGACAGTCGACGAGGCCAAATCCTACCCAAATGATCTAGGTTGCACTGAAAAACCTCCTCCTCGAAGGCAAAGGCCATCTCTCGGCTTTCCTGCCTCCGCTACAAATAACTAAGTCCCCACAACGAGCTATACCCAGTACGTCCATCCGCAGCTCCGCGGGTGCATCGCTGGTATTGCAAAGGACACCTGACACACTGTGCCGCAAAGTCACGTTAGCCCGAGGGCAGGAGCGGAATGATGAGAATGGGCACGTAATATGTCTCAGTCCCTCAGGCTTGAACCCAGCATTTACCGATCAGCGGCCAACAACCCCCAGACAATATCACCCTACCCACAACGCACCGGCAGGATGGAACCCCCGACTCGTCACACCCGGGCGGGCCCCATATTCGGTACGGCGCCGACAGAAAAGGGGGATGGGGAAGGGGGGAAGGGGGGTGGGTGTCGCACAAGGAAAGGAGTAAGCAACGGTTACCAACGGCGCAGGGTCCCCACCAGCAAAAGCCGCGGCCCCCAAAAGTCCAGAAGCCTTCCATACCAGTAAGCACTTTGCTGCGGTCACACAGCAGAGGCCTTGTGCTCCCAACCAGAAACCAACCCAAGAAAAGAAAAAAAAAGCCGCCGACCAACAACCGACACCCAATCCAAAACCCCGTCCCCCCCCAGGTCCTCGCTTAGCAACCGACAGCAGGGCTAGCGCAGGCCTGCGGCACCGACCAGCTGGGTACGGTACACGGGGGAGGGGACGGACGTTGGGGCGCAGGGCGGGTTGGGCTGGTTTGGCTTCAGCAACTGCGAGCTGGGAGCGGCGGACCATCCAACCCCGGGCCGAGGAAGGGGGAGGTGAGCGAGGGAGGGAGGGAAAACGGAGGGAAGGGGTGTGTGAGTGAGTGAGGAATGAGGGTGAGTGGGCAAATCGCTGGGTCCCGTCAGCTGGGAGGTACCGGTACATGCGCATCTGGTGTTGGTCTTTTCGGGAGGTTATGGAGTGATTGTTGTGGGATTTGATGATCCTGCCTGCCTGCCTGCCTGCCTGCTGCTTGTCCACCGCCGCCGCTTGTCACGACACGAGATTGGCAGCCGTGCCAATAAATGCCAATGCCGGTCGGGCGCGATCCTTCGGTAAACCACTGGTTGGGACCCTGCTGTGAGGCTGAGACCTGGAGCAACGAAGCGAGACTCGTCGGGATCGGCGGTCCGCCGAGCCGGGGATTTCCCCCGACGGAGACGGCGCTGGATATGCCTCGTGTAAGCCGCGCGCTCTCGTGCTCTCTCTCTCCACTGCGTTCTTTTATCGTGCCGACTATTTTCAGCCGCGGCGATGTCAGCCGAGGAGGCTTGCATATATGCCGCACTGCATTTGTCCGGCGAGCTGATGGGGCTGTTTGGACCGTTTTTTTAACGGACGAAGGGGGGGTGGCCTTTTGGATTCCAAACTTCCGTTTTCCCGGGTCCTTGGAGGGTGGGTGTTGGGGGCCAACCACCACACCACCCATGTCAGGTCCCGAGGATTTGCATCTTCGAGCTGCATGGTTCTTCCTTCACGTGCAGGAGCGTGTGATGTGATGGGAGCTGGTGGCTGGCCGGCCCAGCCGGATGGGTCGGTATCCGGAGGCTGGCTCGAGTGACGAGGAGCCATCGCTAAATCTTTGTTGGGGCCCTTCGTCCGGAGAAAATGCTCCCTCGGTAGCTTATCCTTGCCTGTTCTGTGCGTGTTCTCCGAGGCAGCCAAGTCAACGAGCTCCCTTGGTGACACCAAGTTGGTGGAAACATGACGCATGTCAGCCGCTGCCATGTCACACCAAGAGCGAGACAAGCATCTCGAGGGTGACAAGCGCCGTCGCGATTTGCGGGGTTGAACCAACAAGTAGGATCTCCTGGTTTGGTGGGGGGTGCCTGTATGCTGACTGGCGCCCGGAGTCGACAGTGGTGGTGGACCGGATAACGACACATGAACCTCGGGTGAGGAATTGCACTGGTCAGGAGAAGATGCGATACGTAATATTCGGGACGGTGTCTGGCCGACTCAGCGGGTTCTTGTGAGAGTCCGAGGCTGACTGCCTTCTCGATAGCTTCGCAAACAACGCTCGGAACGGGGCAGCGAGCTGATCCCGAACTGGAAATAGGCGGTTCGGAGAACAAAACGTCCAACTACTACGGCGAGATATCGGCTAATATAGCCCTGGTACGCCGAAAGCCTCAAGAACGCCTCAGTGATATATTGTCCGTACATTAGTCAGCTATCAGCTGCTATCCCACAACCTCCTGAGTCCCGTCATCGCTATCAACAATGCCTCGTCCGTCCTGATTCCCCTCGTCCCCTGATTCGGCAGTACGTTCACCCAGTGGTCGAACAGCTCTTTGGTTCTCGCCCCAGCAATCCCCATCTCACCCAGCTGTGGGTCGTTCATGGCTGCGTACTCCAACCCCCGCGGACCGCCAAAGATAACCAGCAAGTGGTTGAAGTTGGCCTGCTCTTGGCTGGGAAACGCAGTTGACAGCGGCATGCCGCGCTCTGAGGTGCCGATGCTCATGTCGTACCCGTCATCGTAGGGGCTTTCCGTGAGGACGCTGGAGAGCGAGGAGGCCTTGCGGACGCTAAAGCCCCAGAAGTAGCCTTCTTCTGTCCTTGGTGCCGCTGGGTGTACCGGGTCAGGAGCGCTGGATGGGTCGTCGGGCATTTTGAGGGTTAACCGTGTCTTGGGTGGGATCGACTCGGTTATGGTGACTGTGTTGGGCATGCCGATATCCACGACCGTGCTGGAATTGTTTAGCATCCAGTCTGGAATCTGCCGAACGTGGGAAAACTTACCCCTTTCCTCCTTTTGCCGGGAGTTCCAACGTCATTCCTTCTCGGTACGGTAGCCACTCATCCTTGTGCGGGTGATGCGGCATGTCAAGACTAGGGAGTAGACCCTGCGATCTCAGGTTTGGGTGCAAGGGGAAGAGCACTTTGCGCATGAATGGTGGGGTCTCAAGGTAGGTGAGGATATGCTCCATGAAATGCGCCGGATCCACGTCGCCTGTATAGGCGTCTGGGTCGGCGTTGGTGATGCGCTTGTCTGTCGGGCTATCATCATAGATGACAACCTCATCGACGGAAAAGATGGCCATGGCGCGCGCAACGCGGCCGACGTTGGTTGTCCTCTGCTCTCGTGTTACGCAACTGCCGAAAGTCAGAAAAGGCGTCAGACGACCGCAAGAGAGGCAAGATTTACTCTGTGATAAGGCTTGTGGGCACGGCAATGGAGATGGTCCATTCCCTAGGGATGGTTGGCCTAAACCGGGGGTGAGCCTTGAAGTTTGACCCATCACCACCGTCCTCGGTGTCGAGGCGGCGTCTCTGTTTAAGCATTAGCATTTATCCCCGAGAGATGAGAATGACCCGGATTCAATTAGAAGGAATTAGACAGCATGAGTACCGCAGCGAAAACCACGAATTTCTCATGCCTTCGCTGCGGCTCGTGTTTCTTCTCTTCGCAGGACCCGGGAATATGTCTCAAACTTACTTTTGGCGGATTCTCGTATGAAGGCGGCATGGCGAATTGAAATGCGGAAGATGAAAGCAGAAATTGCCCGAAATGCAACCTTCAAAAATACAATAACTACTTGACTTCTGGGTCGTGATGGCTCCAGAAGTTTTGGCTTGCGCCTGGCAGAATTTCGCAAAAAGTTGACCGCCTTGTAATTTTCGACAGGGATATTCGATCTAGAACCCTAACCCCTGCGCTTATCTGGCGATCTGGCCAGCTATCAAGCCGCTTGCGCATGCTGCTGCTGACAATTGCGATTGCAACTCCGGACATCCCATCGCCAACTTGCTCGTAACACGATCGCCACATACTCAATCATGTTGACCAACATCACCTCAACAGCGCAATGGCGCCAAACCCTCAGCTCCCACACCATCGTCATCACTGACTGTACGTCCCCCCCCCATCCAACCCCAGCGGCGCATTGCCCCTGCCCCTCCCCCTCCCATCCCCATCCCCATCCCCATCCCAACCCCATAACTAACCCCCATTTCACACACACACAGTCTACGCCGACTGGTGCGGCCCCTGCAAGATGATCGCGCCCACCTTCGAGACGCTCGCGACCAAGTTCGCCAAGCCCAACAAGATCGCCTTCTGCAAGGTCGACGTCGACAGCCAGGGCGAGGTCGCCCAGCTGTACGGCGTGCGCGCCATGCCCACCTTTGTCATCCTCCGCAACGGCACCGCCATCGATACCATCAAGGGCGCCAACCCGCCCGCGCTGACGGCGGCCGTGGAGAAGGCTGTCAAGTTGGCTGGTCCTGGGGGTGGTGGTGGTGGTGGTGCGACGTTTGCTGGGTCGGGGCAGAGGCTGGGTGGGAGTGGCGTGGGGAGGCCGAGTGTGGGGAGGCCGGTGCAGTGGGATTTGAAGGGGTTTGTGGAGGGGTTGATTGCGTTTTTTGGGTTGTACTTCTGGTCGTTGATCTCGGTACGTGGTGGTTGTTTGTCTTGGGTTTGGGTGCGGTTGGGATGCTAACTTGTGTGATAGCTTGATCCTTACAAGGCGGCCGAGAACTCGCCATTTAACAAGAAGAATATCCAGGCCCGGGCCCAGTCAGCGGGGAGTGGGACGACGAGACCGGCTGCCCGCCCTGGATTCAAGACACTGGCAGACTTGGGCAGCTCATGATGGGATGATTTTGGGTTTGGGAAGCTTGGCGTTTTCGGCGTTTTTAGATCGCCCTTGGGGGGTTACGTTACCACTGTAATGCGTTAGAACACAGAATTATCTTTCTTTCGAATTGGTGAGCTGCCCGTGGTGGTCTTGACTTTTGCATCGCCGTTGGTGTTGCCACCAGGGGTCTATCACGTGCAGGGGTATTAGTCTGATATCTCCAACTTCGAGCTCGGACCTTGTTAAACGGTTTTTCTTGCCTCCTACACCCAGCTTCTTGCACAACACCAGCGACGGCGGGAGCTATGATTTCGGCGGGCAAAATGCAGAATCGGTGTCCTGGGTGCCGCGCCCAGCTTCTGAGCTTTTACGATGCTCTTTTGCTACCGCGCACCCGGCCGTCGACCCAGCCATTCCTTCGCAAACGCCTGCAGCCCCCCTCTTCCATGTCAACGGGCGCTGCAACCCGGCCCTGGCGAACCACCACCGTCCGGCAATTTTCGACAAGCACACCGGTTCGGCAAGAACCAACGAAGGACGCCACTCCCACCGAGCCGTTGAGCACAACTGCGCCTTCGACAACGGAGGACATCGAGACAATCGTGCGGCAGGCGAGACAGACGTTCGGCAACACACTACCCGCTGACTACCTGTCGCCGGAGGAGTACAAGGTCTACGAAAGGCTATACGGGCCGCCTCTCCGCGAGACACAACCGGAAGATGTGGGCATTCCCTTTCCCAAAGTCGAGGAAGATGCGCAGCACGCTCTGCTGAGGGAGACGGAACAAGGCACGCTGGAGGAGGTCGAGTACAGTTTGGATCGCACTACGGCTATTGAGTCGGAAGGCATGGAAGAGCCGGATGTTCCTGAAGGCGCCGAGGGAGCTGAGGAGGCGCCGGAGACGGTCGAAGCGCTTGAGCCCGTTGCCGATGGCCCTATTGACTACCTCAACGTGACGGCCAACAACCGGCGCGAGTACCATGCGCTCATGAAGCTGCAGCGTGATTTCGAAGTGGCCTCGTTGCAACGGGCCCAGGAGGTTCGGGAAGACGAGGAGATCAACGAGGAAGAGGAACCACGTGAAGAGGAGGAGATCGACGAGGACGAGGGTGAGCCGGATGCCAGGTTCCTCGAGGACTACGAGCCTTCGGCGCGGCTGCACGAATTCACGACACTTGGCAAGTTCAAGACGAGTCCTACGACGCTGCAGCTTCCGAAGGTCACTTTCGTCGAGCCCATCAGCACACTGCTCGATAGAACCGATACTTCACATATCAAGGAGGCGGCAGAGCGTGTGCTTGGGGGCCCGGGCTTGCCCTACGGCCCGGCGACGCCAAAGTCAAAGTCCAACTTACCCCAAAAGGGCATTAAAATGGAGGCTGGGCATTACAGGATGTCTCCGATCGAGGCCGATGCCTACCTTGCTACTGTGCTCCCGGGCTTATACGCATCGGCAACAAGTGTTTTGGTCGAGGTGCGGAAACGGCTGGGTGACAAGTGGATCGAAGGCCTCATTAACCGGCCCGGCGGAACTGGCCCTCGTGTGCTCGACGTCGGCGCTGGCGGCGCTGGCCTGGCTGCTTGGCAGGATGTGCTCCGGGCCGAGTGGGACGTCCTCCGCGAGAGTGACAAGGTGCATGGCGATGAGCCCCCCGGCAAGAAGACGGTTGTTGTCGGCTCAGAGAACCTCCGGCAGCGCGTTTCTCGGTTCTTGGAGAATACGACTTTCCTGCCCCGTCTGCCCGACTACGTCCACTCGATCGAGGGAGGTGAGCGGAAGCTCGACTCGGGCGGTGGCCCCGCGCCACGCAAGGTGTTCGACGTCATCATCGCATCCCACATGCTGATGCCGATCGAGAAATCATACAAGCGCAAGGAGTTTCTAGACAACCTCTGGACCATGCTCTCGCCGGAAGGCGGCGTGCTGATCGTGCTTGAAAAGGGTCACCCGCGTGGCTTCGAGGCCGTGGCCAATGTGCGCGATCGTATCCTTGACGAGTTCATCACCCCGCCTGGACGGCAGCCGAGCAGTGAAGAGATCCAACAGGACTCGGAGCGTGTTCGGGAGCCCGGCATGATTATCGCGCCGTGCACAAACCACACCAAGTGCCCGATGTACCACACCCCCGGACTCAGCCACGGGCGCAAGGACTTCTGCCACTTCAACCAGCGCTTCATCCGCCCCCCGTTCCTGCAGAAGGTTCTTGGTGCGTCACACCGCAGCCATGAAGACATCAAGTTTAGCTACGTCGCCGTGCGCCGAGGCATCCCACCCGGCGCCTCGCGCAGCCTCTTCGACGTCCCGCAGGGCAAGGAGGTGGCTGACAAGGCCTTCAAGGGCTACGGCGACGCGGAAGGCGAGGCGCCGGACCCGCTCTCGCTGCCGCGCAACATCCTCACGCCGCTTAAGCGGCGCGGCCACGTCACGCTCGACCTGTGCACGCCGGCGGGCCAGATCGAGCGGTGGGTGGTGCCCAAGTCATTCTCCAAGCAGGCGTATCACGACGCGCGCAAGGCCGTCTGGGGCGACCTGTGGGCGCTGGGTGCCAAGACCCGCACCGTCCGCCAGGTCCGGCTGGGCAAGGGCGGTGTTGACTCGGGCGACGGAGGTGTCCGTTCCCGGGCGGCGGCCGGGAACCCGAAGAAGCTCAAGGTGGTGGATGTCAATGTGCACCCCCAGTTTGGCATCATCGGGGCGAGGGAGAGGGGCCGCGCCGCGCCGGAGAGGAGGACCAAGGGCGGCAAGAGGGTCAAGCTGGATGATTTGATGGACAAGATGGGGATTGACAAGGTGGAGGACCCAGACGACAAGGAGGATGCCGAGTTTATGCGAGGCGGGAGGTGAATGTGGATTGTACATGATGGGATCTGCAAGCAGTACGAATATGTAAAACAAACAACTCAGTGTACGATAACTGCAAGCGACCGCGAATCTCAAGAGCAGGTTTCAACATCCATCCACCGCCACAGTAAAACTCTCCTCGCACTCCACCCCTGTGAAAGGAAAGTGACTCGTGGCCCCAAGAGCAGCAGCCAGCGGGCGCCGGGCTCCCCACAATCGGCACCGGCAGCGGCAGACATTCCTTCGCTTTCCCCCTTCAGGCTTAACCCGCCCACGACCTGCATCGCCCGACGAACCGGCTTCACTCCTCGGCCCTGGGCCGGCAGTCTATCAATTTCTTGCAGGAGGAGCTCCGTCCTTGCATGCAGTGCTCTGTCGTTGGGTCCTGCGGAGTAAGACGGAGCAATGATCAACCAATAAATGCCTCGATGGCGGAGTGGTCTTCCCACCAAACTCCCAGACTAAAAGTGCCTCCTCCTTCTACTTGGTCGTCTTGGTATGTATTCGTACATACTTCTGTTGCTGCTGCTCCCATGCCCTGCATCGCATGAGTCCGGTGTTTCGTGTGCCGCCATCATGCGACTTGTTCCCCCTCCAAAGGCTCAAACCGGGAAAACCAAAAAGATGCCCCCGCCCCACATCAAAGTCGATGAGAGGACACGGCACAGACTTCCGCAAGGACCCGGTGCAGGTCTGCCGGGTTTTGCGGGCCTGACAGCGCCAAGCGGTTGAGACCCGCAAGCTGGGCGCGGCCTCTGCCGCTGCGGGGCGCCCTTCGTTCTGGCCTGGACCCTGCGAACTCCGCGAGATCCACAGACGGTTTGGCATGGGCTGTTGGCCCCACCGCGCGCAAGAAAGCATGGGGTCTCGGGACGGAGCGGGGGACGGGAAAGCACAGACTTTTGTTGTTGATTTCGATTTCCGCAACGGAGACGACCTCGGGAACGAAACCAACGAGCCGGGTTTTTGGGGCAACGGCTGGAGTCGTTGGTGAGTGGTCAGTGGTCAGCGAGTTGGTTAGCTCCATCCATGATCCCATCAAAGGCGGGGAAAGGAATGAGATCAGAGAATGTGACGAGGTGTTGTGCATTTCCCGGCAGTCGTTATCCAACCCCAACCCAGACCAACACCCACCCATCCACACACACACAAACAAAAGCAGACGGACCGAGGTAGGAGAGTTAGTTACCGGGTAACTAACCCTCAACCCGATTCCCACACACCCCGACCGAGCCGGCACCGGGCACCCCCCGTCCCAATGGCGGCCCCGCCCCGTCTCCGGCACCTGCACCTCCCTAGCATCCATCCCCACTACGTCCCCTACAGCCTCGCCAGCCGGGTACAGGAACACGTCCGGAGACAGCACCTCGATTTCAAGGATGGATCGGCCGCCTCGCCGCCGCCACCGACGCTGATCTCCTTCACCCCATCGCCCATCTACACCCTCGGCCGAAGACAAACAACGCCGCTAGCCGCCCCGGAAGTCGCCCGCCTCACCGCGCCGCTGCAGATCCCCATATCCCCCTCCCAAAAGAATGGCGGCAGCAAAAACGCCAGCGGAGTCGTCTCCATCCGGCCCCAGCTGCTGCACTCCCCGCGCGGCGGGCTGACGACCTACCACGGGCCGGGCCAGGTGGTGCTGTGGCCGGTGCTGGACCTCAAGTCGGCGCACCACCGCCACTTCACCGTCAAGTGCTACGCGCGCCTGCTCGAGACCACCACCATCGCCACGCTGCACCGGCTGTTCAGCCTCGCCGCCTTCACGACCGAGGACCCGGGCGTCTGGGTGGCCCGGTCCCAATTTCCACTGCAACAGCACCCCGCCCAGAAACACCTCGACCGAATCCCATATCCAGCCCCGCCCCTACCTCCATCTCCCCTCCCAGAGCCGGAGCACCGCGCCAAAATCGCCGCCCTCGGCGTCCACCTCCGCCGGCACGTCACCGCGCTCGGGACGGCCATCAACGTCGCCACACCCCCTTCAGCAGTAGGCGACCACAACAACGACGAGGCCACCAACCCCTGGGCGCGCATCGTGGCGTGCGGCCTCGCGGGGCGCGGGGTGACGTCCGTGACGCGGGAGGTGCTGTCTAGTGTTGCCGCGGCTACCGGTGTTGGGGTGGAGGAGGTGGATGAGCGGCTTGCGTTCTCGGCTTGTTCTCCCGCCTTTCTCGGTTGGGATGGTGGTGAGGGTGGCAGGGAGGGTTTGGTGGCGGGCGCGTGGGCCGGGGAGTTGGCCGGGGGGCTTGGGCTGGGGGGCGGGTATGGGGATGGGGTGGAGGTTGTGGAGGCGGTGGAGGTGGTGCGGTTGATGGAGGGGCTGGTTGGGGCTGCTGCTGGTGGTGGTAGTGGTGGTGGTGGTGGTGGGGAGGGTAGGGAGGTGGTGGAGGAGGAGAGGGGGTATTTGGAAGGGGTTAAGGTTGGGGGGGCTGATTGGAGGTGATTCTACATAGGGTTGAGGATGTTGCTTGAGAAAACCGGGTGTATGATGTATGATTTGGATGTACAATATGTGTACAATTTGTGCGCGCGGCTACCGAGAATTGGGGCCTGAGATTCATAGAATTATCATGTCATGATAGGATAAAATATCCCCCCCCCCCCCCTTCTTTGACTCCCCGGTTCACCTCCCATGTAGGTATATGGCCCAAGCGTCAGCACCTTCCCCAGAGGGTACCGCACCCTGCAGGGCATCCCGGCCCCAGCTCCCCCCCAGCGGCGCAGCACCAACCAGACCCGGCCAGCGCCCACGACACACGAGGACGCCGAGGGGGGGGGCGGTTGTCGGGGGTCGGGGGGCTTGCAGTCCCGTTCCTGTCAAGATACGCGAGGGCCCAACCTCCCGGGGCGAAGGGCAACTTGACACTCCGATGTCGCGCGCGACCGCCGACCGCCGACAAACCGAACCGACCGAACCGACCGACCGACCAGGATCTTTCCTGCTCCTCCTCCTCACCGGGCTACCGGGGCACACCGGGCGCAGACACGACCCGGCCCCCTGGTGCGTCGGCAACAACAACGCCCTGTCACCCACCCACCACCCACCCACTCACCCACTCAGCAACCCCCCGAACGCGAGAGCGAGTTTCGTTCGTCGGAGCGCGAGTGTGGTTCGAACGCCACACATCATCGGCTCCCATGGTTCGTCTCTGTTTCAGGGCCTGGTCCCAGTCTGCATGTCACGAACAGGCCTGTCACTGGCTTCGTTGGAGTGCCCCCCCCCCCCCTCCCCCTTCTCAAAAGTTCCGGCCTTTCCAGGACCAGGAGGTGAGAAAGCAAAAGCATGGTGAGAGAGCACGCTAGTGTGGGAATGGTGGCCGGTGGCTTGTAACTCACTACTTGTAATGTGCGAGGGGCAAAACAAAAAAAATCCGGATTTGCGAATGGGAAGTGGTGGAAGTGGAAATGGGTGGTGTGACACTCAGGGGGGCCCGAGAGACCCGGAGGTTCGGGTCATTATTGGTTAGGGGTAGGTACTGTGTGGTTCGGGGTGAGAAAAATAGGAAGAAAAAAAGAACATGGTGGCAACCCAGTCGGATGGCTTTCTCGACACCCTTGACGGATGGATTGTGTACAGTATCATCCCTCGTCCCTTGGCATATTGTGCAAGCTCGCAAGACCACCCCCGAGGGAGCAGCAGCAGCCTTGTTGTTGATTCCCCAAGTTCAGCCGCTCTGCTTTGAGGACACCTGCGTGCCGTGTGCCTGCCTGAGCTGAAGCGAGGATCATCGTTCCCATTGCAGAAGTTCTACCGTATTTGCTGGAACCATCGCGGCTTGCCCTATGTAGGAGCCCGGGAAGCTGTGGGCTTGGCTTCGTTCGCTCGTGGCAAAATCCTCGAGCCAGAGCTCCATGGGAACACACACACACAAGGAGCGCAGGAACCGGTTTTTGAGTGCCACGGAGAGGCAAAATAATTCATTCGTCCCCTACCACCCCCTAAATCCCATCCCATAGCCTTCCCAAGCCAATAATTACCAGCCATTTGATACATGCATGCCGTTGACCGCTCCTCCCAAGTCGTCGCCGGCAGCCGCCCATAGCCGGTGCGAGAAACCAAGGAGCGCGTCTCCCTCTCCCGTCCCTTCACTCAGAGCCACCGACCCGCAGCGATATGCACACAGTCTGCAGTGTCATCTAGGCGCGTTTTGAACCCCCGCCTCACCACTGAGGGATTGCCCAACCAGCCCTTTTATTGACTCGCCAATTTTTGGGACCCTCCTGCGTTCTGTTGTTCCATGCAACCTGCCGGCCTCGGCCTGGCTCTTTGCCCCTCGACCCCTTTTTGGCCCCACCTCGCAGCCACTTGCAAATGCAATGTTCGGGAAAGCCCCGGGGGAGAAGGGAAGAAAATCGAGATAAAAAAACAAGCCGTGATTCTCCGTCCGGGAACACCATGCAACCATGAAAGCTGGTAACAAATGAATCAAGAGATGTGAAAAGCCGGCAAGACACCCGCCGTTGCCCGCCGTTTGATAAGACCCGATGATGATGCCGTTGAATATGCCGCAACCGAAGGGAACTCCGGTGCGTCGAATGTCCAGCCTGGTTCTGGACATCCTCATTAAGTAGTCGTAAGGGGCGGGGCCCTCCCTCGGGAAACCCGCTCGCCTATTCTTCCCGGAACTCGTCGACCAAGTTTGGCCATGATAGCTAAATCCAGATGCTTGGGAGGAGATGAAGAAGCCGTTGCTGTCGATACTAGATAAAGAGGCGCAAGAAAGCGTCGAACTCGGGAAAAAAAACCCGTGGTATTTTCTTCGCTTGCCACTTTCGGTCCTTGTCACTCACTGCCCGGTATTAGATCCTCCGATGCACGTGCATACTGCCTTCCACACCCGCCGCTCTGCATCCTGGTTGGCACAGCCAGCCCTCTTGCGTCTATACACTGCCTCTCTTGCGGCCGCTGGCCCGCGGCGGCGCCTCGCTGTCGTCCGTTCCGGGCTTGTACTCTTCCGGTTGGAAGTTGGGGTTGTTGTAGTGCGCCACGTTAAAGTGGCTGTTCTTGAACGTTGTCGTCTGCAACGTCTGCTCGCGCCAAGTGTTGTTGTCGACATACTCGGGGAGCTGGCAGTACTCGCTGAACCGCAGCGGGTGCGTCTGCGGCGCGGGCGCTGGGGTGGGTGCCGGCAGGGGTGCCGGCGACGCCTGTTGTATCGCGTCCACGTAGGGCGACGATACCCACGGCGACACCGGGCTCGGGCTGTATGTGGTCAGGGGAGACGGGGTTGTGTCGAGCATGGGTGCCAGGCCCGGGGCCGGGTTGCCGAACCCAGGAATGAGGGACAGCGTGTGCATATCGACGGAGCCAAAGTTGTGGAGCGCCATTGGCGCGCTCTCCACCTCGTAGCTTTGCGAGAAGCTGGCTACGCGGTGGACCTGCAAATCCACCGGCTCGGGGACATACAAGATGTCGTAGTGGTCCGGGCGGTAAAGGAGGTGGATGATGGGCCCCAACTCCGAAGGGTGGCGGCCGTTGGCCTCCTCGGGAATCCGGTACGTGTTGACTTGGGACCCTGGGCTCCGGTCGAGATAAGCAACCTCGAGCACGAAGCCGGCATCTTTGAGGAGCACATTGGCCAGCAAGATCAACCCGAGATGGTCAATCTCGATGTTGTGGCGCTCGAGCACCTCTTGGCAATATCCGTCCACACCCGTGCCGCTGGTGACAAAGGCGCTGTATGTCTCCCGGTGACCCTTGAGGTACGAACTTGCCAGCATCCTGAAGTGGTACATGATGGAATCGGAGCTGGAAGGCGTGTTGAAGGCCTCGCGCAGTTCTGTCATGGCCTGCTCCTGGTGGCCAGCGAGATCGGCCATTTTGCGGAGGAGCACGATGGTCTCATCGACGAAGTCCTCAAACACATACGGCGAGAACCCGCCGACGGACTCGAGGAGGCCGTTTAGCTCCTGTAACCTTTGCTCTTCCGCCTGGATGCGGGCCTTGCTACCACTCTTGACCAATGTCTCAAAGTAGCCAAAGCCGATTGCTACCCGTTGCGTCAGCAGGGACGTCCAACATACACGGCGTGAATTGACCTCGCCGACTTACCCCGCCAGCCGCAGTTCCCATCCCCTTGAATGGGCCTATAATGCGAATATGTTTGTGGCAGCACCTGCGAGTCGTGTCAGCAAAGGTCAACAACAACAACAAAAACAACAACCAATTGCAATTCTCATCTGCATGGATGATTACCCACCATTGTTTTTTGCACGTAGATGGCATCTGCCTTAGCATACTGCTCCATAATTGCCGTGCTGGGTGTCTTCTTGCCGACGAGTGGTCCCTGTGTGTGCAGCGCGGGGCTTTGGTGAGCGCGGGGTCCTCGAACCACTAAAAACACGAACAAGAAAATGGGCATTGATTGGAATTTGGGGATTGATGTTTTTTGTTTTTTACTTACCTCAAGGTGCGGTTGGTATTCCCGGGCTGCAGCCTCCTGGGCGACGAGGTCGTCTGTGTTCGGCTCCATCTTGAGTAGAATCGGTAGCGAAGGTCGGTGGTGAGAGGGTGCGGTGATGGTGGAAGCGGCGGCAGCAGCAGCTGTTGTGGTGGAAGATGGGGATGAGGTGGAGTGGAAGTTGAAGGAGCCACCAGACGCGGAGGGTGCGGGGCCGACACCTGCACTATTGGTGCTAAACAGCGGCGTCCCGTACAGCAACGCACTCGCCGCGTTGCCGCTCGCTCCCGGCCCAGCGGAGCCTCGACCGTCGCTCAGTCGTAATGGTGTTTCGTCAAATCTGTAATCCGGAAGGCTGTGCGGGATCGCATACCCGGTCGACACCTGGAGATACGCCGTGGGCTCGGGCTGGTACATGCCGGAGGGCGATGGATGCGGAGCAACCGTTCACGGGTGTGTCGGTGGTCTTTTTAACTAGCGTGTTCGGACGGAGCCGAGAAAGGTGCCGAACTTCAGCGTGTGGAGCCGTCGTGCTGGGAGCATGTGTGCACCGGAACTGCTAAAGTAGGGGCTTGCAGTTGCAGTTGCAGTTGCAAAGTGCAAAATGCAGGGCAGCTGTTGTTATTGTTGTTGATGTTGTTGATGTTGTTGATGTTGTTGTTGCAGTGTGTCCAGACGCCTGGGCATAGAACGACGAGCAGCAATAACTACCAAAAAAGCACCAGCAACCAACCAGACACCGACAGAGTGCAGACGGGGAGGGAGACGGGAGGTCTGTCTTTTTTTATCTGCCTGTTGCGTGTTGGCTCCGGGAAGCCGAAGTGGAGATCTGGTAGTGCCAGCTGTGTCGGCTGCGTCGGCTGTATGTACTGTACCGAAGTTTGTATGCCCCTAACCGGCCGGAGGACCACAAAGAGTAACTGCCCGTGCTGGCGGCACAGCCCGGAATAAACGAGTAAACAAGTAATGTTGCCGTTGGGTAAATGGCAAGAGACAACCAAACGACCGACTTGGACGCACAAGCGGGACCAACGGGACCAACTACGTCAGGCAGGGCAGGGCAGGGCAGGGCAGGGCGTATGTACGCAGCGAGACTTGAAGAAGCGCAGACGGGAATGGATGGTTGGATGGATGGACGGAAAGACGGGACGGATGAGACGAAGAGCCGGGCATGGGACGGTGATAATAAAGGCAGGAGGGAGAGAGAGAAAGAGAGCAGCCAGTTAAGGCAAGGAAGGAACAATAATTATGTACGTTGTGTTATTAGCGACCAGCAGTGAGGCAGGCCAGACCCGAGCCTCCAACCTGTCGGTCAGGTGGGGACATTTGAATGCTAGCCTGATGCTGGTGCATTGCTGCTGCCGCTTCTGGTGCTTCCTGGTCGAGCCTGGCCCCAACAACCGCTGCCAATCTATCTGGGCCCTGCCCGGCTCGCGTTGCGGTGGCTGTCGGTCACTGGCTGCCGGTCACTGGCTGCGATGCCACGATGTTCCTCTGCGGCACCTCAACTTGCAGGCGGATCCCACAACGTTCGCTCGTCTTCCCTGTCAAAAAATAATAAATAATAAAAAAGTGTCGGAGAGGATCCCTGGCCTTTCTCGTTCCCTGCCCCTGCCGGTCCCAGACGCACGGCCCGCCGACCACGACGCAGCAACCCCAGGTCGCCAACCTTCGACCCAATGAGAACCCCCCAGTCCTGCCGTTGACGATGAGAAACCGGCAACGCAGTGAGACAGGGGATTGGCGGTCTGAGCTCTCGGTGCGCCTGTTCTCATGCCGAGTGCGTGGTGGAGCTTGTCGTACTGCGGTCCCTGTCGTGATTTTGTGATGCTGTCTTGTCATCCTCAAACTCGACTCCTCGGCTCGCCCCCTGATCCCGGATAGGTACTTGTACATGTACCTTCGATGGGGCGCACTGACGCTGGGAGCTCCCCCTGAGCACTCACTGCGGGTTCCAGGGGTGTGGCCAGCCTCTGAACGGCGACCCACTGGACCGTTTCCAGGAACCTCCGTTGGCAGTTCCACATGCCGCCTACCCCTGCTTGCTTGTTCGGACAGGGGGTCCCGTTTGCCAACCAAGTGTTCCGTGTCAGCACTTGGGACGAGTGCGCACTGCATTTTGCAAGCCCTCGCAGCTGTTGATGGCGAAGCACACGGAATATCTGTGAGCATTCCCTCGAACCCCCACCAGCATCGAGGTGGTCCCGTGGCACCTCCTCCTCACCTCAACTCCGCTCCCTCTCTCCCATGGGTGGGATCAGAGAAAATGTGAGGTTCAAAAGGATGGCACTAGCGCCGTCTGCCGGGTCCCGCACACCACAGGTCTCCATTTTCTGGGGGAGCAACAGGGGAGGGGTTCGCGAATGGAGGTGTGGGCTCAGAGGCGAGCGCGGCCCCAACAGCTGTTGGTCTGACACTGCAGCCGCGGCTCCCACCCCCCCCCCTGCACCACGAGGAGGCTGCCGAACCCGACAGCCCCGACATTGGTCAATCATCCAGCAACGTGGTGAGAACCGAGAACTGGTATGGAGATTGGGCGGTGGTGGATGTGATGCCCCGAGAACGGCCGGCGACGAGGCAGATCTGGGCCTCGACATGGCAGTCCGTCCCGATCATGGCGACCTCCAACAACGGGTTGTGCCGCTTCGGCGGGTCTTTTGCGGACCCCGACCGTCCGAGAAGCTGCGACCGCTCCGGCGTGGCCACTGACGGGCGTTCAGTGCCGGCCTCCCAACGGAGCTCGTCTAGGTCAGGCCTAGCGCCCCGTGTATTGATAGACAGGTACGTGCCGAGACACTGTCCCAAGCCGACCCTAGAACTCCCTTCTAAATCCTGGGCCTTGATGTCTGGTGTGGTGATCGGGTTGGCAAGCTCGCCGCGAGGAACTCAGGGCCAGGACAGGAGTAACCCCGGCACCTGATGAGTTATGTGGGTGATACCCGACACCACCCGTTAACTATGTATAGCATGCACCAGTGCATCTCCGATGGTCAAGCTCGGTACCATCACTTCATTCGTCCCAAAGCTCGGGGCGTCCTGCCCTCCGCGATATAAGACGGGTCCGAACCGTGGGAGTCGATGCCGGAGGAAGTCGTACTTCCGGGTCAGAAACTGGGAGTGACCACACCATCTGGGGTGCATACAGTACATACATACATGTATCATGCACAGCAACGCGCCGCAGTCTGTGGTTGCGCGGCCTCCCCTCTCCCCATGGTAGGTTGTGTGTCATGGATAATGCGAGGCTCGCTATCTTGTTCGATGCCTCGGAGCGTCGTCGATCTGTTCCATCCACGGCAACTGAGCTAGACTTGCGAAGACATGTCACCATACCGAGCCGAGACATGGGCCGACCTACCGACGTCCATGCTGAGGGCTGACCTGTTTCAACGGCAGAGAACGTGCCACAGTGCCAAGGCGGAATACTGACGTCCATGGTCGCTTTGGATGAAGCGAGGCCGCTCGGTTGGGACAGTGCAGCCCAAGCTCGAGGTCGCAGTCTTCGTGGAGATTCATGGGAGCTGGGGAGCTGGGGAGCGAGGGATTTGTGGAGGATTTACTTGCTCCTCGAAGGAGGATGCACAACCATGAAGGAGGCTTGGTTGATTGGCTTTGGACCGTCCCAAGCTCATGGGTCGCTCGTGTGGGGTCCGGCTCTGGAGGGGGCTGCCCACGCTTTCGACGACCTGCCACGCCGGAATGTGGTTGGCCCATCGCTAAATTTGGTTCTGTGGTGGGTTTCTCGGTCCTGTCCGATGTTTCCATGCCAAAGTTAGCCTGCCGTGCCTGCGCACTAAAACGCCTCCGGTGAGGACCGGACGATCGTTGCGCACGTCCATACACGGTCGGGTGTACCATGTAGAGGTACGAGGGACAGCGCGAGATGCCACCGCAGCTTCCCAGGCGAGCTCTTGAGGCGTCTGATTGACCGTCTCAACAATGATATCCTGCCGCCGGAGAGGGGAAACAAGAGGTACTGTGTGGTTTCTCCGCTCTGACCCTGGTGGCTTGCATGGGAACCAATCCGCCGCCGTCGTGTTTGCTCCCGTCGCAGCAACCCCGTGCCGGACTCGGGTGAGATGTGACACAGAAGCACCAATATCAACCATCATGCTCGAGACGACAGCCATGGCTGCCCTGCCGTTGTCCCAAGCACAACGGGGCACCAGTGGGTCTCGATGAGCATCGCCGGCACCATAGAGGCGGTGGTGCTGGGCAGGCAGCGGGGCCCAGATTGCCCGAACGGCGTGGATACCCGCTCGGTTGTGCCATCCGATTCGTGTTCGCCGTGGAGATGGTGGTGCTCAGCGAAGCCATGGTTTGCAAGTCCGTTGCTAGCGTGGAGGGTGATTGGCGTGCCCGAGTCGAGTTTCGGCGAGCACCAAAAACTTGCATAACGGGAGCGGGGAGGGGGCGTCCTGCGGCGGGCCAATGCACCTCATCATGCTAGTGGTCACAGCTTGCGTTTCCCTGATGCAACATCAAGAGCTGTGGAGAAGTGCGCGCGTCGCCTATCGCCAGGCCGACATCGACGGGACCAGGAGACGAGGAGGGGAGGAATCTCCGGCAGGTGTGTCAACACGCCGCTCTCTCGAGAATGCTTACCCGGATAGCGTTAATCATGTTTCGGCCGCGCACCCACGGCACCGTCCCATTGCACCACGTAAGTCGTTCAGACACATCTGACAACCTGGAAAACAAGCAGGCAGGTGGCGTTTCGCGCCGTCCCAAGGTTGCAGGGAAAGAAAGCCTGAAGCTTCAACATTGGATGGATCGATGTTGATACCACCAAGCGTCATTTCCTGGGGTTCAAACGCTAAGCCATAGCGGGTGCTTATTATGTAGGGCTGTCAACCCCGTGGGGTGTTGATTTCGGTGGATGCCGGTAGTGCCTTCCCTGCTTCTGGGGTATTCCCTGCGCTGGGAAAGACAGCAGGTCCACCCCAAGCAGAATCTCAACTCCAGCCCTTTGGGTCCTTCCTGGTTTCCAGGTTCCTTGCTTTCCCCTCGTCGGGCAAGTGCCGGGACTCCAACGCTGTCAATCTCCAACTTGTTTGGAGCTGCTTCTCGCGCGCCGCTTTTGTTTCGCGTGGAGGGATGCACCTTTGAGACCCGCCCCCTCCGCATAATATCCTGCATAAAGTAATTCGACGGGATTGCAACTCCTTAGACTGGGCCCGAGGTCGCTGGACTGACTGCTCCCTCCCGCTCCTCTGGCAACTCCCAATAACTAACCCACCCCACAACACATCTCGTCCTACCCTCCCTCCGATCGCTGGTGGGGGAAAACACCATTGGTTTTCCCGTCAGAGCTCTGTAGTTTACCCGTCCCCCGCACACCCAACCCGTCATCGTGCGGCGGGCAGCTGCCCCGACATGCAGGACTCTCGCTTCCGGCCCCCCTTTGGCTTCCCGTGTCGTCACAAACCGCCCTCAGCACCTTATCGCGATAACTACCGTGCACTCTTCTAGGCTGATGCATCAACCACGCCGGGTCCGTCGGTATCCCTCCATACCTCCCTGCCTTACATTGAGCACTCTTGGCATAGAGCGATGAGGGGAGAGCTGGCCCGGCAAAGAAGGGTGGTGTCCCTGGTTTGTGGACCCGGTTCCGGGGACAAGCCATCTCTACATTCGTTGTTCCGTTGGCTGACTCCATCGTTTCCGTTTGCTTGCAAAAGTCGACGTCTACGTTTGTGTTTGCGTTTCCGTGTCCGTGTCAGAGAGAGCAAAAATGTAACCCGAAACAGAGTAACCGACCTTCCATCACCACCAGTCGAACAATTGGTCAAGGATCCAGCAGCGGCCTACTCTCTGGATGCTTCGACGAGGTTGACGTTGTATGTAGAAACGGGGTGCCCCTATCGAATCAAACATTGATGTTCCATTCGTGGGGTAGCCATACTTGCCCGGTTCGCAGACGCGATCTGGTCGGGCCAATACCTACGTGAATCATTACGAGCTTGCCTTGCAAGACGTCGTGGGATTGTTCGTCCAAGCAGGACGCCAGGCCGCCTTCCTTCGCTGCAGCCAACGAGGTATTGAACCGAACGGCTCATGCCCATGTCCGGACCGAGCAGGATTCAAGCCCAGGACGACCGAATCGCGACTTCTCTCTCTGATGCCCGTCTCGATGGCATTGACCGTATCTCCCGCCCATCCACCACGGGTCAGGAAAATCCGATCTGCGCGTTGCCGCTCTCTCAGCTGGAGTGGCCATGCCGTTCTCTGCGTGACAAGGGTGGCGAGAGCCCATCATTTGTCTTCACATTCCATGTGCGTTACCGACGGCGTCCCGAAAGCCAGCTGCAGCCACGGCCTGTTTCGTCACGACAGCTGCGTGTTCCCGTCTCGGCCCAGCGGCGCCACTGATCCTGTGCTCCATGTCTCACAGTCCAGTCGAGAAAAAGCGCATTCTGATTTGGTGACGTTTCCCCCCCCTCACGCACTCGGAAATCGAAGAGTGATCGGTGTGGGTTCAAGTTGTTTCCCTCAATGTTGATCAAATCTACTATGGCAGAGTGTTTTCTGTGGAGTCGTATCTGCCATGCTACCTTGGCTGGGATATGCATAATCGGCCTGCCCATGCCGTGGTCGAGGCCACAACCGAGACAGGCTCACCGCCCCTCGCAGTTTTTCTTCCGCCGTACACCACATAGGTCCTTGTGCCTGGGACGCCGGAGATATCAATGGCCACCATTCCAGATGAACAGCCAGACGTCAAAAGACTGTGTGGAGCGCGTACGTCGATCGATCATCCGCGGACACCCTGGCCGTTGCGTTGAAGGGGACCACTTATTCTCAGTTACGACGGCGGCAGGGCGCGGGGCATTCCGTCCAGCGACGTTTCATTGAGGGATTTGACGCCAACCTCCCTGCATCCGCAAGAATAACAAGACTACGCAGGGTGGATTGGAACGGGCAGGTACAGGGTGTTGCTGGCACGACGTCAACTCCAAGCGAAGATATTCTAGACTCCACAGCGGTGCTTCGGGTATCTACACGTGTCCGCAGCGGCTCGCCTACAGAACAAGGAGCCGCTGACCAAGTGGAATCCACCAACGGGGGAATCGTTGCCGTTCGTCCAGGCACAGTTAAGCTATCGTTTGTCCGCGGTCGAGCACTGGATCAAGGTGTTGGTTGTTGCTGTAGAGGGTGGAGGTAAGAAGATAAAGACATATCGATTGGTGGACGTAAATAGAAGCGTGTCGTTGGGGGCGAACCCCTTGACAGTAGTAGTAGGGAGTTTCTACCCAGGCCAGGCGTAGCATAGTAGGAGTTAGTGGCCCGGCATAGCTCATTTGAGTTCTATGTGTCCCGTAATCTAGACACATACTGGGCAGCGGCCCTTACAATCGCCGACTTCTCCTTGGGTAGTTTTAAAGCATGCTGTTCATCTAGCCGAGAACCCGCTATTCTCAGGTGGTCTTGCCTAGCGCCGTCTTGCCCGCGTTTTGTAATTCCTGCTATCCATTCATTCAACGCACCCATACCCATGTAAATGCTCATGATACTCGTCAATAGTCAGTTGGTAGCATGTTCCAGCTCCAAACCCGTCCCTCAGGACATGCCCATCCCCAGAGCCTTCATCCCTGGCCGACGCAAGCCCCGCCCGGCTTTCCCACCGCGACTCCTCTCCCGGTCGGGGTATCCCAATGTGCTGGCAATTTCACCTAGCGGGTCAGTAAGCCCAGAGTTCGACATGTCCCCAACCATGCGGAAACCGTCCGCGTCATTGAAAACGGCCGCGTACAGCTCCCCAACGGCTACCGTCATGGCCTCGATTGCCTTGGCGCGCTCGGCATCCCCGTTCGACTCGATCTCGACGGTGCCGCTGTGCTCGTCGATGCGGCCCTGCACCCGGCCGTCAACGATCAGATAGCTCACGATGTCCTGGGCCTCGGGCTCGCTGATGCGCAGACGGTCGGCAATCCAAGAGAGGCGCATGCGGGTATAAGGTGCGATGAGCTTGAGCACGCCCTTGGTGCGCATGTTGCGGGTTACCTCGTCGATGTTCTCAGCGATGAAGGGATCGGCGAGCAGGTCCGTGTTCTTTTGCAGCACGTCCTCGTACTTGAAGATGTCGTCGCGCTGGTACGCGTCGACGAGCTCCGTCATGGCTGCGATGCGCGGGTCGTTTTTGTAGGGTTTGGTCTCCTGGCTGTCGAACGGGTTGATGTTCGACTTCATGAGCATGGTGACGAGGAGCAGGTACTTGAGCACTTGGATCCGCCGCAGGTCGCCCGCTTCGTCATAGTTTCGGAAGGATTCGAAGAAATCGATCTGGGCAGAGTTCCAATTCTCCTCGCTCATGTGCATCTTGCCGCCGCACTCGCGGATCACACCCTGGATCTTGGGGTGTGGCACGGCCGAGCGCACCTTCAGCGCTTTCTGGTAAAGGGTCTTCAGCTGGTTGTTGTTTCTTGTCTCGGAATACATTTGGATTTCGAGAGCGTAGATTTCGAGCGAATAGGTGCCCTTGCTAGGGTCGTCGGTGCCGTCCTGCCTCTTGCACACCTTGTGGAGTTCCCGAAGCTTCCGCCCGACGGCATGGTAGTCCTTACGGTCGAGGAGAAGTTTGGCTAATTTGATGTTGGTTTTGAGCCATAACCGTTCGTTGTTGGTGCTCTGGAAACATTGCAATGTGAGCGAGTAGAACTGCTCGATGCATTGCACTGCCGCCGGGTTGTCGGCACCCTTTTCGATGAAGTTGAGCATGTTGTCGATCGACTTTTCCGAGTAGTTCCTGGTCACGGCGGACTTGACGTATGTAAGGAGCTCCCGGTAGTGCTCGGTGGCCTACAACTGGTCAGATCCCAGGTTCAACCTCGGCTTTCCCGCGTTTACCGACCTTTTCGTATCGCTGCAACTTGAACTCGAGTTTGATGGCTTGTTTGAGAGCCTTGAAGCCCCATTCACCCTTTTCCGGCTCTAATGCCGGTATGCCTAAAAACTCTTCTACCGCGTCCTCCGGGTCGGATGTCTTGGTCTGCTTCGCATTGTAGTACTTGTTCTCGATGTCGACGTCACCGCTGTCCTCCTCCTCCTCGTCTTCGTACTCGAAGTCGTACTCCTCATCGGAGGCTTGCATAAAGTCGTCGTCAGACATGATGGATATGGCAAGTTACAAGCTTGCCGGCGGCGTGCGTTGTGAAGGAACGGTAGGATTGGAATTCGCGGATGTTGCTTGTGATTTGTTTGTTGAAGTCCCGGAGGGGTATCCAGGCAGGCACACAGTGATAAGGCTGAATGAGCCAAGGCGACCGGAGGAGCTGTGTGGGGTGGTCCTTATCGATTGGCTGCAGCTCCAGAGCTTTGCGGGGACATACAATGCCAAGGCAAAGGGGTATTCCGATAGATGCATTCCGTGGGTTAACACTCCAAATTAGTATTCTTTGTGAGGCTGGGAAAGGCTTCATAACAGAGTAATTCGCCTTGAAATAATATGACATATGATATCGATATTAACATTAGTAATTTCCATGGTCATGCCTTCTATTCTGCGTCTCTTGACATGATCCCTTGCAAATGGAACGCAGTCAAGTCCTCTCTCTGGTGGTTATGCAGTAAACGGATACCGGTAAAAGTGGAACAATGAACCCCCTGCAGCCAAGCCGCCCAAAATTTGGTCATCAAGGTCCTGGTCGCCACTCGCGTCGCAAGACAACAGACTCACGCCCCATCACCGAAATCAATACAACAAAACAAGAACAAAGCGCACACACAGCGCACCTCGAGCTTATACACGCCTACAAGGCAATCGGCACATTTGCCTTCAGAACAACCTCCTCCGCCCGCCTGAAATTCGCGCTGCACCGGCAGCACCAACACCGCCAAGATGGGTTCAGGCGACTTGAATATGAAGAAGAGCTGGCATCCCCAACGATCAGGGAATGTCGCGGCAACACACAAGGCCGAGGCCGAAGCAATCGCCGAACGGAAGAAGCTACAGCAGCGTCTACAGGAGATTGAGGAGGAGCGGAAGAAGGAGGAAATTCAGAAGGCGCTCGAAGCCGCCGGCGGGAAGCCCAGGCTACAGCGGGTGGAATGGATGTACTCTGGTCCGACCGACGGCCAAGCGGGCGACGCGGCCGAAAACGAATCCTACCTTCTCGGCAAACGGCGAATCGACAAGCTCCTCCAGGACAACGACGTCAAGAAGTTGTCGAAGCAACCGAGCCAAGATGCCCTCGAAGCGGCGCCGGTTGCCGCTCTTGCTAACCCCCGGGATGTAGCGACAAAGATCAGGGAAGATCCCTTGCTCGCGATCAAGCGGCAAGAGCAGCAGGCGTACGAGGCAATGATGAACGACCCTATTCGGAGGCGGCAGCTACTAGCATCGATGGGCATCGATGATGCACAGGACAAGGCCAAGCGGAAAGAGGAGAGACGGCACAAGCACCGCCACTCACACCGATCGCGCCGTCACCATGATGACCGAGACGGAGAGAGACACTCTCGCCGGCGCAGGTCAGACTCGAGGGATAGGTCACGGAGTCCAAGGAGATACGATTCAGAGGAGGAGGACCGGCGGAGGAGGAGAAGAGACTCTCGTGATCGGAAGCGGGACAGGTCGGGGTCTGCGGACTCACGAGATAGGAGAGACAGGCGAGATAGGCGTGGCGATCGGGAACGGAGAAGCAGCCGGGATAGGAGGGATAGGCGGAGCAGGAGTCAGGAAAATGGGCATCGAGATGGTCGGTCTAGGGCGGAATCCCGATCGCCATCCCCAGCGCCGCACCGGAGGGAGTATTCCCCACACAACGACGACCGGAGAAGAAGAGGCCAATCGTCAGAACGCCCCGAGCCATCGCGAAGACACAACGAGGATGGCAACGGGTTCCGCAACGGCGGCTCCCACGACTCGCGCCGGAACCGCGACAACCGTCGCGACCGCCCTCCACCGAGACAAGCCGACCGCCCGCCACGGAACGCCGACGCAAACAGCGACAAAGCCGCGGAGGAGCGTGCGCGCAAGCTCGCTGCCATGCAGGAAGCCGCCACGGACCTCGACAAGGACCGCGAGCACCGGCTCGCCCTCTTGGCAGAACAGGAGCGGGCGGCGCAGGAGACGGACGACCGAGTGCGGCAGCGCAACAAGCGGTTCGGCGGCGACGCGGGGTTCATGAATCAGCTCCACAGCAGGGCGGCCGAGTTGAAGGTGGCGGATCGCGTGGGCAAGCGGTAGGGCCGGACCGCGGGGCTTGGGATAAGACGGATGGTCTCATGTCGGTCGACGGATACGAGCTGTGGTGCGGACAACATGGGTTTCGGGTCTCGAGACCGCAGACCCTGGGCGTACGGTCTGTACGTCCGTATTACGGAACCTTATCCCCGGGTGTGACATTGTTTCTGCTGTAAAAACCGGGACTGAGAGCGTATTTTGCCGTTTCGGGACGTTCTAGCCTTGAATCCGGAACTCTGGGAAACTTTGATCGCCTGGTGTGCAGTGCAGATCAACAGCGAGATCTTGAAGTGCGAACTTGGACGTGGGTTGGTTGGTGAGCGCGGTGTTGCATTCGGCTGCGCGCGTTACGAATACTTGTACCAATCTTGGCTCATCGAGATGGTCTCGAGGTGGTGTCGAAGGCTTTCTCAAAACTCGTATTATAAAAACATGTGTAATAACACATCAGAACCTATCCAACAACTTCAATAGCATGACATGATGTGATATACTTTCCTGCCCCTGACGAAAGACGAGATGGTCGTCCACGGGCATGAAGAGAAGACGTGTTTCTGTTGTATTACTGATACATAGGTTGCAGAAGTTGGTGGGCCCGTCCCCCTCAACTTGCAGAAACGCCCCACTGTCACTTCCCCATTTTCTTCTCGAGCGGCTGTGAACCAAGCCCAGCCCCAAAAAGCCACCAATCCTTGCAGGCGACACCCAGCTGGTCCAGAGATGGCCTGTGGGCCCCTTGTCTGATGCCAGTCCAGCGTCACTGGTGCGCTCTAACCTTGCTGACTTCATCTCCGGCTTCAATTTCGCCAGATTCGGTTCTCTCCCTTTCGTCCTTTCGCTCCTTCGTTTGACTTGCCCATTTTACACGAGTCGCGCATTCTTGTGCCACACGTTCCCTTTATTCTGCGGCAGCCTGAAGCACTTTTTCTTGCACGGCGCCTGCTCCTTCTGGATCTGATCCCACGCCCGCCCGTTTCTAGACTGTGCTTACGTTGAGTTGAACCCGAGGTCGACTTGCGATTACTACCTGCGCACTTAGTACCTCCGTCATTGCCCTGCGCCTTCTGACGCCGCCTCGCCCTCACCTCGCTCGCTAAAGACCCATCTATCCTTTTTTAACCTTCCGCCGACCGTGCCCCCCGCTCCACGCATTCAATCCGGGTCCAAAATCCACCAAGCACAGGAGGAACGGAACCACAAATCGCTTCCCTCAATTACCACATACCATCGCTTGATCGCCACGACCACAGCTGCAACCACAGCCGCAATCGCGGCCGCAACCATCGAACACGGTTAAAACTTCATATCTCACAACTCGCAACAATGCCTTGTGGTATCGGGGGTTCCAAGACAGTCCAGCGCAAGCTTGTCTTGCTGTAAGTTCACTTGATCGATCGGTTGCGTTGGGATGGGGAACGGGGGCGTTTCATGCGCGCGACGACGAGCTAACACCCCTCGTTTAGAGGCGACGGTGCCTGCGGGAAAACCTCGTTACTAAACGTCTTCACGCGAGGGTGAGTTCGATGCCGATGCATGACGTAGCCCGAGATTGTCGTTACTAACACCGCACAGCTACTTCCCCACAGTCTACGAACCGACAGTGTTTGAGAACTACGTCCATGGTGCGTCCAGTTTTGCGGGGTCCGGGTCTCGGTGTGAGTAGCGGCTGACTGGTTCGTTTATACAGACATCTTTGTCGACAGCGTCCATATCGAACTGTCGCTATGGGATACAGCCGGGCAAGAAGAGTTCGACAGGTTACGGAGCCTGTCATATGGTGAGCATGCGGCATACTCTTTCCGGTCACAGCCCTGGGGGGTAAACTGACAGAACGCAGACGATACCGACCTGATTATGCTTTGCTACTCGGTGGATAGCAAGGACTCACTCGAGAACGTCGAGAGCAAATGGGTAGGCGAAATCGCCGACAACTGCCCAGGCGTCAAGCTTGTTCTGGTAGCACTCAAGTGCGACCTGCGAGAGGCGGCAGACGAGGACGAGGCTGGCAACGGGGCAGCCAACCCCCGGGAGAAGAAGCCGATGATCAGCTACGACCAGGGGCTCGAAGTGGCCCGCCGCATCCACGCGCTCCGGTACCTCGAGTGCTCGGCTATGCGGAATAGGGGAGTCAACGAGGCTTTCACGGAAGCCGCCCGCGTTGCCCTATCAGTGAGGAAGGAGCGTGATGATTCCAAGTGCGTCATCATGTAGCGGCGAGACAGTCTCTGACGATTTCGATACCCCGTTCGAACCACCCTTGGGACGCACACGAACACGGACCCGCCGGCGGATGATGCCTGCCTTCACGGCCTGGCTAACTCGTCGGCATCACCAAACTAACACCGGGCACCACAGTCCCGCGGCATCACTTTCGCCGAATTCACTTTTTGATATCACCTTTCAAGGGTTTTTCGTGACCAGCTTTACGAGACGGGTTGGGTTACCATTCAGCGGTTCTGAGCTGTACATATTTTGACCGATTTTTCTTTGCGGCGGCCCCGTTACAACCGTGTCCCCGATCCGTCACGGAACACGAGTCTGCTGTTGACGCAATCCCCAGCGCCTACGCGGTTGCAGGATCTTGAGGAAGATGCCGTGCCGATGCGGTTCTGCTTTTTGGGGATTGTTGATTATTGATCAGGCGCAATCGACGGGACGGACACCCAGCCATTGGAAGGGGCGCTAGCCTTCGGGCGGCTGCGGACTACAATGGTGGGGTGTGTTGGCGGTTTGCGTCCTTATTTTTTGTTGTACAAGAGTTTTAATTTCGACGACTTAGCCAGTGCCGGCGGCGTTCTGTTATCCTTTACCATCCTCTCAGAAGTAGCAAGAATCAAGAATCATGACGGGAATCGGATTCCCAACTGGCCTCTTTGTATCTTGGGAGCAGCCGACGTTGAGAGAAGCAGCAACCGAGTCCTCCCTTGTCTGTGAAGTGACCTATCGGCTCGGGAGCAGCTGAGACATTTATTTATTTCTCTACACAGTATGCATCCGAGAGACAAAACCGACCATACGCCGAGAAACCCGAGTCCGGAGAAGCATCAGATATACAATGCCTTGCACCGTCGACGTTGATAAGCCCATGGCTCACCATTCGTCGCCGGGCATCTGGTTGAGGATCTCCGGACTCGCGAATTAACCCCGCGGAATCCCGACGCTCGAGTCTCGGCCAGGCAGGGTGGGGTGGCGATTAGCTGATAAGCCGCACCCAGACCCCGTGAAATGGCGTCAGCGGGCGCTAACTGTGCTGAGAAAGAATTTGGTGTAAGTGGAAAATGGCAGGCTCTGGTTGGCCCAACTGCCCCTGTTTTGCGTGTTGAAACTCGAGCTCTGATAAAGACGGACTCGAACATGCCACCACGCGGGAAAAAAAAGAATATCAGCGGAGATGTGGGTATCGTGTTCTCGAGGGCTTTGGAAGAGTCATGGGGTGAGGTATATAGATTATTCATCGTGTCTTCAAAGGTTAAATTTCTCACCCCAGTGCCATTCATCCCATGTTTTCCTTTCTCATCTTCAATCCATCTATCCGTTCATCCACTCTCTCTCCACGCTCATGAGGTGACCCAGTGGGATATATTATTAACACCAATTTCGACCACAACCACCATTCACAAAAACAATGGCATCTTTATCATCACAACCACACACAATGACACCTCGGCCATCCCCAACCGCCCTCTTGACAGCCCAACACTGCACGAGTCATGTCCACCTCATCATCGGCTCGAACCCTCTGGCCGCAGCACGCGCTTCCTCCTCCCTCGCAGCGGGCGCAAAACCAATCCTCATCTCACCCTTACCATCATCCTCCCCTTTACCACAAGAGGATAACCAAGAACAACAACCCCAACCTCAACCTCAACAACAACTCCACTACAGCCTAACCGCCCTCATAACCTCCGGCGCCCTCTCCCACATCGCCCGAGACTTCCAACCCTCCGACCTCTTCACCCACGGCCGTCCCGAAGTCGACCACGTCGTCGACGCCGTCTTCATCACCACCCCACCCTCCGCCAGCACCACCACCAGCACCACCACCCCTCCTCCCTCCCTAGACAACCCCCCCACAACCACAACCACAACAACCACCACCACCACCACCCCCACCCCCCCAAACCCAACCACAATCTCCACCCTCTGCAAACGCAACCGCATCCCCATCAACGCCGTCGACTCCCCCAACCTCAGCTCCTTCAGCCTGCTGAGCGTGCACGCCGACGGGCCCCTGCAGATCGGCGTCACTACCAACGGGCGCGGCTGCAAGCTGGCGGGCCGCATCCGCAGGGAGGTGGCGGCGGGCTTGCCGGTGGGGCTGGGGGATGCGGTGGAGAGGTTGGGGGGGTTGCGGAGAAGGTTGGTGCAGCTGCAGGGGGGGCAGTTGGGGAAGAAGGGGTTGGTGGGTGAAAGGGGGGAGGGTGAAAGGGTGGTGGTGGGTAAAGGGGGGGAGGGGGTGCAAGGGGTGGTGGTGGATGAGGGAAGTGATGACTCGGTGGATCAGCCGGCGGGGTTGAATCGGTTGGTGCTGGAGGGGGATGCGGAGGCGGCGAGGACGAGAAGGATGAGGTGGCTGGCGCAGATGTGTGAGTATTGGCCGCTGAGGAGGTTGGCCGAGGTCAGTGATGAGGATGTGGAGGCGATTCTGAAGTCGTACCCCGGCGGTTCCGAGGGGACGGGGGGTGGGCCGGTTAAGCTGAACGGGGGGAGGGTGCCGCCCGGGCGGGTTATTCTTGCTGGCAGCGGACCTGGGCACCCGGATCTGCTCACCCGCGCTACGTACAAGGCGATCCAGACGGCCGACCTTATTCTGGCGGACAAGCTCGTGCCTGCAGGCGTGATGGACCTCATCCCGCGGCGCACGCCCGTCTCCATCGCGCGCAAGTTCCCCGGCAACGCGGACCGCGCACAAGAAGAATTCCTCCTGCAGGCGCTTGACGGCGTGCGCGCCGGGAGAACGGTCGTCCGCCTCAAGCAGGGCGACCCCTACATCTACGGCCGCGGCGGGGAGGAGCTCGCCTTCTTCCGCGAGCATGGGCTGGGCGACCGCGTGGTTGTCCTTCCGGGCATCACCAGCAGCCTCAGCGCGCCGCTGTTCGCGGGGATCCCGCCGACGCAGCGGGACGTGGCGGATCAGGTCTTGGTGTGCACAGGGACAGGCAAGGCGGGCAAGGCGCCGCAGCCGCCTGAGTTTGTGGAGAGCAGGACGGTGGTGTTTCTTATGGCGCTGCATCGCATTGGCGGGTTGGTGGCCGAGTTGACGGCGTATACCGCGGAGGAGCAGGGGGCCGACCAGGAAGGGGAAACAGAGTCACCGGAGCGGCAAGAACGGAAGAGGAGGGCGCTCTGGCCGCTCAACACGCCCTGTGCCGTCATCGAGCGGGCGAGCTGCCCGGACCAACGCGTCATCAGGACGACGCTGAGGTTTGTGGTTGAGGCCATCGAGCAGGAGGGGAGTCGACCGCCCGGGTTGCTGGTTGTGGGTCGTGCTTGTGAGGCGTTGTACACACCGGAGAAGGGACGGTCATGGGCTGTCGAGGATGGGTTTAAGGGGATAGATCTGGATGTAGAGGGCAGCTTTGCGGCTGGCGGGTTTGGGATTGCAGGAATGGCGTAAATTGGTGGGAATTGTTTGCTAGATACATGTACATATGGAACTGGTGTTAGGAATGTTTGCCCAAAAGGCCCCTATTTCCATGGCCGAGTTATCTTCGAAACACTTGCTCAATGTAGCAGGTAATGGAACATGTAATAACTCCCAGAACTATCTCAGACGCGCGGCTTGGGGTATGACCGGAACACTGACATTAGGATTACCATACCGCCCGGCCCCGTTCTATCATCTACACCTGCAGGAGCACACCTTGCTTCCGGAGTCCGCCAGGTGAAGGCCGCAGGAAAGCAGAACCGAACACACCTAGAAAACGAGGTGCTATTACTAGATATTGAAATGATATGCTCGTCTATGTGGTCTTCTACTCCCATTAAACCCTCCAACGAACGCAATCTCAACCAGGAAAAATGCTCACTCTCCCCGACGTCCGCAATGAAGGAGCAGCCAAAGCCAATAAATATTCTCATCCCCCCTCCCCCCCCCCTCTCCCTGCAATTTACCACCTACCACCCCATCATCACCACACCCCTCGTTATGTCCCGCTGTCAATCTGATCAACAATGTTATACTTGGACCACATATCCCATGCCCGACAGTTCTTCTCCACGTCGTGCGGGATATGCATGCGCTCGACCTTGTCAGGCTCGATAATCAGCGACGCGAGGAAGCCGCCGGACGCGTGCCAGGCGATGTGGCAGTGGAAGGCCCAGATGCCTGTGGCTTTGTCAGTAAAAGCATCATCACAGCTACGAAACGGAATGCGGGCGTCTACGTGGGAGGCGTAAAGGATGGGGATGGGGCCGGGGCGGGGGAGGTGGGGCGGTGGTGGTGGTGATGGGCGGGGAGGAAAGACTACAAGGGACCGTGAACATACCTGGCGCACCGTCGATCTGGATGACGAGATGACCGTTGCCGCGCACGAGGTGGACGTCGCGTCTGTGGGGGTTGGACGGGCGGACGATGGTGCCGTCCCAGGCGCCCGGGCCCTCGTGCAGGACGAAGAAGTTGTGGCCGTGGAGATGCATGGGGTGGCTGCGTGCGGGAGTTCGGTTAGGATTTCTGTGTTAAAAGGAAGGTGGGGATTGGGGGCATGGGGAACGCACGAAACGGGGCCTTTGTTGTTGACGATGATGCGGATCGATGTGTGCTTGCGGTAGTTGACGACGTTCCACTCGGCCGGGTAGGTGAAGTTGCCGTCGTTGGCGAGCAGGAGGACCGGGTTGTTGTAGTCGGTGCGCATCGATACGCCGTTGAACTTCCACAGCGTCACGTTGGAGGCGTTCTTGTAGAGCTCGATGTCCATGTTTTGTGTGAGGGTGGGTTTGGGCAGCGGGATCGGGTACAGCGGTTCGGTGATGCTGAGGTCCTCGTTGGCGCAGATGTCGGCGTTCGGGATGTTCCAGGCCTTGCTGGACGGCGTCTTGGACGTGTCGGCCCGGTCGTAGTAGACGGCCGCTATGGCGTTGGGCTGCCGCGATGGAGAGCATGTGGTTAGGCTGGACCGCATCCAGAAAGCCGAGTTGGGTTTGCCGACGTTGGCTGTGACGAGCACGTCTGCGCGCTGGCCAACACCTAGCGTGACTACCGAGGTGTTGTATGGCTTGACTGGCACAAAGTCCTCGGCGATGACCGTAAGCATGTGTTCGTCGATGGAGAAGCGCTGGACACCGTCGCCGCCTGTGTTAACTAGGCGCAGCCTGTGCCTCTTGCCCGTTTTGAACTTGAACTTAGAGATGCCGGCGTTGTTGGTGCATGGAGTCGTATCCCCCGGATCCACAGTCGAGCAGTCAAAGTTCATCTTGCCGCTGATTAGGTTATTGTCGGAGGTCACTTTGGGGCTGCCATTGGGAGCCAGCATTTCCTCAATGATATCGAAGTACTCCTTGTGATACCAATCTGTGCAATGTGAGCCCCTGGCGCTTACCGCACAACCTTCCTTGACCAACAAACTTACCACTGAGCAGGATTGGACCGAGGTCCACGTCGTACTTCTCTTGGCTAGGCCCGTGAACGACAATGGGGCCAAGGACGCCGCCGGAATATTGGGCCGAGTAGTGGGCATGGTACCAACTCGTGCCGTACAGGCTGGCAATGAACTCGTAAGTATAGCTTCTACTCGGCGGGACGGGGCACTGCGAGATGCCCGGGGCGCCGTCTTCCCAGGGTGTCTCGTGCTGCAGAAAGCCGTGCCAGTGAATGGATGTGCCCTCCTCTGGACCTGTGATGTTGTTGTGCACCTTCACGATGACCGTGTCGCCCCAGTTCGCCTCGATCAGAGGCCCAGGGAAAGCCCCGTTGACGAGAAGGACGTCCCGCAGGTACCCATCCGGGGCGACATACCCCCGGCTCACAGTGAACTCGTAGTGTCTGACTACCCCAGTCTTGGGATATTCAGTGTATGGGTTATTCCCCCAGTCGGTTAGCTTGCCCCATGGATACCCGTTTGGCAGTGGATTGTTTGTCAGGAATAGAGGCAAGGCGGGGGCTAATAGGGTCCCTAGGAGCGAAAGGCTATTAGGGTATGGTTAGGGGTCCGTTGATGCACAATGCAATGGGGTGATGGGCTCTCACCCGTTGGTATTTCTCTGTGTCAGAGTACTTGTTACTGTGTAAATGACTGTAAGGGCGTTATCGACGACGCTCTCGATGAGGCCGCGGAGTAGGCCCATGATGGGCAGCGAAGAGAAAGACAAGATATGTAACAGAAACCGCAACAACGAGCGAAGGACGAGTAGCGAACAGTAAACCCACTAGCGACAACAAGACAGACTTGCTCGGGCCTAGGGTGATACGGTGGGATATTTAACGGCTGATGGAAAGAGGGAAAGAAAAAGGGGGCGAGCGAAGATTCATGACGGTGATGGTTATGGGACGCCCCCCTGTCAACGCCACATGCCGTGAACGGCACACTGCAGAGCTGACAGTCAATGGTTAGCAAACAAGGCTGCCCCAAGCCGATCAACTCCGGGCAATTGCCAAGTTGGTGCAAGCCCCGTTGGCATATTAACTATGTTTCTGTCCACACCGGCCACGATGAAGAGGCGGCTAGGATATACACAGTACGGACGGTATATTTGGACCCAGCCCCAGTTATCGCCCAGACGCCCGTCACGTCGAGCCGACCCGTGGGAGCGCCAAGATCAGGGGCCAGATCCGGGCGGCTCGTGCCGGGACCAGTGGGCTGGTGTTGGGGTTCCCATGATCAACGGTCGACGTGAAGGCGATCCCTTGATGTAACAAGTGGTGGCTATGGTATAGCTGAGACCGAGAACGCCCATAGTGAAGCCGCTCGACCGTAAGACCGTGCCCGAGGCCTGAGCACCGGGTCGATCGTCATTGAAATGGCGATCGTAAAGAAAACAAAAGAAAGCCCGCGAGACCCGCGAGAAGCGGAGGTGTCGGACAGAGCCAAGGCCGAACTGTGACCGGTCTTGGTGTCAAATGATGAGGCCAAGGTCGGGTTTTGAGATCTTGAGAGACATCACCGTCAAGGACGGATACTTCGCTCTCGGGAAAAGGGGGGAGCAGAGGACTGTACAACGGCCAGGCGGTCTGTCAACCAGGAAGCCCCCGGATCGCGACTGTGGTGTCAAGGGATTTCAGCTGCTCAAAATGTTGTATCACCGCCCGGAATGGGAAGGAGAACGCGAGTCGCGAGGCGGAGAGGGAGCGTCCATTACACCGCGGGCCTGGAACCCATCGCGCCGCTCATCCGGTGCCGTGATATCACAGTCAAGGCAGCAGGGTTTCTTGTTTGGGTAACCTCGCGCCCCTGAACATGGATGGAGTCCTTGCTGAGGGCCACATGTTGCGTACGAAGTCCGGGATCAAGGCCGGAAGTGCGGCCTGCTTGGCGCGTCGGCCACATGCAACAAACCGACGCCACTAGAAGCCCCTTCATCCGTTATGGCCCACATCACGAGCGCCTGGGCCGCCAATTTCCGGGTTACGTCGCCGGAAGTTGATATCGCCAGCGTTAGAAGGGCGCCCGTTGCTTGGTCCGATTCTTGGGGTAGTTCTAGACAGCCGATCTTAACGAGTAAAGGATCGTCCGGCCATCGGTGATTTTTTGACGTATGTTCCGATAGGCCGAAAGGTGGCGTTGTTGTAGCACGTCAAACATTTCTTCCTCCAAGAATAAACGTGCCAAGGTGGGTTCCACGTCTTCGTATTTGATAGTGTAGGAACACCGCGGCGGGCGCGACTCCCCGGGGCCGAGGTGCTATAATCGACTCCAAGCAGTGGCCGAGTCTGCTTCCGGAAGTGCTATGACGTGTCCGGATGGACAGAGATCAAACCTAGCTGCACATAAGCTGCATAGTAATTGAGGACCTGCAGGTAGTGACGGCTAAGGGGCCAGGAGATGGCCAAAGGATGTATTAACACGACATGCTGCAGTTGGATATTTTCTGCCCCTCCCAAAACGCCGTCCCATTTCGCCCCGTGGGCAAACCGTATGTACATCACATATCAATTACATCGTCTTCCGCTGAATTGTTCATAATCCGGCCGCAAGCGTATGCCCTCCGCATGGGCGATGGTTTGGTGGCGGATTGATCAGTTGTTGCGCGGAGCCGATCGGTAGGGGCGGAAGGCATGTGAAGCCATGATGATGGGTCGCCGCTGGGCGCGGAGGTAGGCTTCTTGGATGATGGGCGAGGAGTCGGAGCGAATCACGCTTCCGATTGACATGAAAAAGCTGAGACAAAAGTTAGAAACAATGATTTAGGGACCTCGTCGACTCGGTAAGAACCGGCCATACCCGAATGTCGCGCCGGAGCCCAGCATGTACTGCCCTAGTGTCCTCATGATGCCGTTCGGGCCAGCGCCATATCTGAAGATGTTGACGGTTCCTACGTCGGGGTTAGACCAGCCGGGCTGTCTCCAATTCGAATCGCGGGGAGGGTCGCACCAAAGATGAAGCCGATGATGGTTCCGACAGCTGTGTTGAGGTCTCAGTCAGCTATTTCCAGAGCAGCGTGGGTTGGGGAATCCCGGAATCATGAAAGGATGAAGAAGCACGTACTGCCGCCCATCATAGCACCCATCTTGACTGCGACCGAGTTAGCAGTTGCCCGCAGTCCCTTCATCCCCTCCTCCTCTCCTCTTCCCCCTCCAACCTCCCCCTCTTCTCGTCCCCTCATTCCCTCATTCCCTTGACCCCTCCATTTATTCCCAGTTGTTAAACATACACTTGTCAAAGTTCGACGGCCCAACACCACCGGGGTGACTAGGAGGAGGCGGCATTGTTGCTGCAGATAGCGTTTGTTGAATTCGGCGGGGGTGATGTTTTTGGGTGGACACTCGGGATTGTGCTGTTGCTTGAACCAAAAATCAATGCGACAATGCGATGCAGCTTCGCTGCTCAATGCGGGAAGTTGCCGCGGGCAAAACGGGGACCTCGAACGCACGGTCCACGCTGGGGTTCCAGATCCCAGAATGGAAGCTCCTCCATATCACCAGACACTCGCACGGGACACTTTTCAGCTTTGTAGTTAATGGACACAGGACCCTCAGTAATTGCATAAATACCAGGTATGCGAATCCGAGGACCTGTTTTTTTGGGAATTATGCCCTGCTGGACTCGGGAAAACATCCGATGAACTCGCAATATCAGTGAAATCACTACCGAATAAACATTGGATGGAATGCAGTTCAGATGTTGAACCACCTCGGTACCTTAGGTAGGTAAGGTAGTTAGTTAGAAGGATAATTCGTCGGCCATTGTTGGCCTGGAGCGAGGCGCACGAGCCACACCTGACCGTTTTCCTTGCTCTGAGACTGTGCCGCATGCTCGGCCAAGAGCTCACGTGACAAACTCAGGAGGGATTGGAAAAATGAAAAGGCCACGTCGTGGCGGCAATGGATTGTAGATGAAATATATCTCCTGAAAAAATTCAGGTAAATGGCCGTTGTGAACAAGGAAAGCGAGACGCTGCTGTTGGTTGAAGCCGTCACAAAATCGGTGACGGTAACCCGCAAATCAGGAGCCAAAGAAGCAGCCTGGCAGCAGCCACGAGCGGGCGGGGCCAGGCAGTGCGGCCACTCCGTGCAGGACAACGGCCGACTCGAGCAGGGGCGCGGCGCGCAGGCCACCCTCTGGTCCGCTCGCTAAGCGCCTCGACGGCCCCGGCTAAGGGGGACCATCCATCAAAATTCGTCAACCTCACTTCTCCGTATCGTCGCATCCTGTGACCCTGCTTGCCACCACCGAAACGACCGCGACACTGCATCTTTGCCCGGTGCGTGCTCCACTCAATTCATCTGCTGCTTGCCGTCGATTTTCCTCGAACTGCCTGAGCTCGACGTCGACTCGGCGCGCGACTTTCTCGCAATTACCAACTCGAGTTTTCGTTGCGCCCGCCTTGTCTCGACGTTAGTGCGAACTAATCTTTTGGACAACTCCACACAGCTGGCCGCGACTCTGCTGCCAACTCCAGTGTGGGGTCCACCTCGAAAAGAGCAATAATATTATTATTGCTCTTGCCCCCCGGCACCTCGATCAAAGCGAGACACCCGTGGGACGCATGCAAACACCGGGACCGACTTAACCCCGTCGAGAGCGATCCTCATCGTCCCGGCCGCCCAGTGCCTCCCCCATTGCTGACTGCGCCTTCCTCATGACTGCCGTTGCAAACCCTCCCAGTTTTGCGAATCTGAACCGGCCAGGATGGATTAATGGGGCACAGACGCTCAACTCGATGAACCCGTCGCCGGATGACGCTCGAGGAATCAACATGCTGATGCAGCGGAAGCCCCTCCAGCGAACAAGTTCCTCGTCGTCCGTGTCGTCAACAACATCGAACTCGTCCACCTCGACCGTGACATCCAATCCCGCTTCGCAGCCGAACGGCGTCCCCATGCCGGGGGCGGGCAATACGGATGGCTGGTCAAATCCTGCAAGCCGCAAGCGACCGACCGCGAAAGGCCCGTGGTCGAACGGGAAGCCCGACGGGGCAGCCGACCTCCACCGGGCCGCGTCCGGCCGTGCGCCCATGGCGAACGGCATCAATGGCGCGTCCGCGCTCGGCCAGCAACAGTCCGTCCTGTCAACTCCGACCCAGCTCGGCGGGCAAACCGGACTCGGCCGTCCGGGTGCTGAGGGCATGGGCTCGGGGCGGCAGCCAGTCCTCTACCTACTCTCCCTAAACGGCAGCTTCGAACGCAAGACAATCTCGGTTCCCTACTTTCCCGACACCCTCCGGATAGGGCGCCAGACCAACGCGAAAACAGTGCCGACCCCGGTCAACGGCTACTTCGACAGCAAGGTACTATCGAGGCAGCACGCTGAAATATGGGCCGATACCAACGGGAAGATTTGGATCCGGGATGTCAAGTCCTCCAACGGGACCTTTGTGAATGGCACTCGCTTGTCGCCCGAAAACCGGGACTCTGAACCCCACGAATTGCAAACACAAGACCACCTCGAGCTCGGAATCGACATAGTCAGCGAAGACCAAAAAACAGTGGTACATCACAAAGTGGCTGCCAAGGTTGAGCATGCGGGCTTCATTACTCCAACCAGCAACGTATTGGACATGAACTTTGGGGATCTCGAGCCCTCTAATAGCGCAATGATGCTCCCGATAGGGGGGGTCTCGCCGTTTAGGGGGCGAACCGGTGGTCAACCAGGAGCTGCGGGCAACAATCGTATAGCCCCCGGGAATATGGGCGGCCAAACGAATACCTTGGCGCAGCAGCGCCAGTTCTGGTTGAACCCCGTAACGACGGAGCACATTGTCAAGAAGCTTCATGTTCGTGCCCCTCCCCACCACTAACTACCTAGGCTTTGTTCGTGCTGACCATAATACAGGCCGAAATGCGCAATGCCCGACTACAAAACCAAGATTTGGCGAGGACGAGCCAATTCATCAGCGCCCTCCTATCGAAGGAGGACATCAAAAATGCGGACAAGCCGGAGGTCCCCGAACCTCCAAAAGCACACCTACCAAATGGTAACATTTCGTTCCGTTCCGACGGCGGGAAAACTCGGTTCTCTGAGCCGCCTGCCCCCCCGCCGTCTCAGCCGCTCCCAGAAAAACCGGACGCGGCCCGAGCTTCGGACGCGCCTTCGTTGAAACGAGGCGTAACAGAGCGGCCGAAGCTGGCAAGCACGTCGCCCATCCGGCAGGACAACAACGTCAACCAGATCCTTCTCCTCACCGAAGCGCTAAACAACGCTAAAAAGGAGCTTGACAACAACACGGCGAGGGTGCGGGATCTCGAGGAGATGTTGACCAAGGAACGGGAGGCTCGGTTGCACGCCGAGGACATGATGCAGAAGATGGAGGAGACCAAACATGCCGAAACGAACGGTTTTGCCGAAGGGCCGCCGTTGGTTAACGGCCACTCCGAGCTCGACAGGGCCTTTGACCCCCCTGCCGAGCAACCCCAGGCTGCCGAGACCGACCAGTCCCCAGACAGCCCCGACGATGATGATGATGGGTCCGCCACCCTTCAACAACCAAACAAAGCCGAGCTGCTCACTGCAGCCTTCCAGGCGAAGATCGAGTCAATGGCGATGGAGATGACTGGCCTCAGAGAACAACTCGAGGCATTTAGGTTACGGGCAGAGAAGGCCGAGGCTGAACGAGACGCCGACCGAAAGACACTAGCCGAGATGGTGCTCCAAATACGGCAGCGTGACGAAGACGAGAAGAGGCGAGAAGCCGAGAGGAGAACCAGGTCAGCTTCCAAGGGCAGGCGGCGTGCGCCAAGCGAGGACAACGACACGGAAAAGCCGGCCTCCGCGACGAACGGCAGCGCCAAGGTAACGCCGGTTGCGCAAAACGGCGGGGTTTTGGAAGAGGAAACTTCCGACACGGCGCCCACCCCTTCCCGGGCATCTACCATGAAGCCCGGCGTAGCAGCCCTAGCAGTCCAGGGCCAGCAGCCACAAGACGGGACGCTAATACACACGCTACCGTACGCGTCCATGGTCACCGTCGTCATTTTCGGCATGGGTTTGATGGCCTACCTCAATGGTTGGCAGCCCCAGTCGAGACTGGACCGCTAGTTCAGGGGGAGATGACATTGCACAACAAGAGCGCGAGATTTCTTTTTGCGGTTGCCCCGGAATACTACACTCGTATTGCATGGCATCACCGGCGCGGGTACGGGCATGAGGGGGGGCGGGAGGGGGTGGGGGGTGGCGGCGATGGCTTTTGATATGATGACGACGAAAGAACAACTTTGACAACTGCCGCCAACCGAAGGCGTAATATTGTACTCGGAACGGACAGGGACAGACGATGACTGGGCATGGTTTCTTTTTCTTCCTTCCTTCTTTCTCTTTTTCTTTTTGTGCTTCCCTTTTCTTATTTTGCGATCACCACTGCTGCCACACGTTATTTTACCGTTTCTTTTGTCATTTTTCTGGCTCTTAACGCCTCTCTGCAAGCGGAAAGCAAGCATTTTCAATCTTTTTCCCATGGTGGACGGTGGATCTGAGACTTGAATCCGCTCCCCGTCTACTCCAATCGCGTCACTCGTTTCGGCCACTTTGGCCGAGTATGAAGGAAAGCGGGCGTATATGTACATTTTTCACCCATTTTGTTGCCATGCCTTGAGCGGTTTGGGATTCATCAGGTTGGGTTAGTCTGGGGGAAAGGGATTTTGGCGTTTGTATTCCGAGTCGAGTCCGTTGATAACCAACCAGGGACCCGATCAATACCCATTTTTTCCCTGCGTACGAATAGAATGATGCTTTCTACGGCTCATGGCTTCCTCAAGTGTGATATCGTTTCGGGTTCGAGTCTAGCCGTACGGATCTGTGGTAGTCTAGGCCGATCAAGGGGGGCGAAGACATTCCGGTTCCGTTGCCTCATTAACCAACAGTCTGGAATGTAGGGATTGTCGTGTCCCCTGCCATTGCTGAAGCTGGCGGTAAGGTAAGGCAACTTCATCATCCCAAGGGCCAACCGTCTTTCGGGGACTTCCTTCACACTATAGCTTTCCGATTCCGCCGTATCAATAGTATCTCGAAAAAGCTTCACGCATCATACTCAGAAGTTCTTCGAGGCCGATTCCTGATCAGTCCAGCTAACGTTTTACCCCGTGATCGAGTATTTCTGCCTCTGTTACCCTGCTACCACCTACGGAAATCCTACCACCTTTCTAATTGTTGCTGGACCACGTTCTTCCACCAGCGGTAGTCACTGTCCGGATATCCCTGCCGTGGTCGAAGGTTTGACGATACGGCGGCGTTGGATCCTCGACGGCTTCGGTGTGCTGCAAATCTGGGGCAGTTGACGGTATGGGGGCCGAGGACACGGCCATGCTTCTCACTGAGGTAGAGGTAGAAGTAGGTTACGTACGATGACGGCGGGACCTGCGTCGCTGTCATCGTTCGAGCCCGAGAGGACACTCGGTCTGACGGTTGGATATGGATAATGGATACGTACACACCGAAACCGGGCGTATATTCTAGTCCACCCCTCTTCTCCCTGCTGCGTGAGCGGCCTGGTCTCGGGAGATGTGTGCGTCAACTCGCTCCGGTGCCAAAGCTAGAGCCCTTTAGAACCCCTGCTAGATTCGAGGTTGGGCGTTGGGAGGCCGCAAAGGCCGAGGACATCGGGTGCACGGGCTGTTCAACAAGCCATCTCCCGCCTTCCCGAATCCCGCCTTGTCTCCTTGACACAGCCGGCACCAGACGTCTCCCGCGACGCAATACTAGGCCTGGTGGCATGAACAGCAAGTCGGTGAGAATGCCGCGGCCGGGGACGCACGCCGAACCGGAAGCTGCATCCTCACACCCCTATCGACGGTCCCCGCTGTGTAGATTCTGTGGCGTCGACGTGCAACGCGCAACCGAATCATGACACCTTTGCAGCTCCGGTATTTTCTCTCAGCTAGGCTTCTCCGAGCTAGGTGTGTGACGCGGCGAAGCTATATAGCAGTGAGAAAGTTCATACCACGACGTAGTCCCTTGTAACATTGTATCTACGGGGAATTCTCCATCATGCCAATATATGACGGTTTCTGACAGCACCGCTATAAAATAACGTAATAACTTTATACACTTGGGGAGGGGTAATGGGATGCCCTGGCGAAGAAGGCCCTGTTAGGACAAGATGGGGCACTCCGGCCTACCTCCTCCCCGCCGCTGGAGCCGAGGTCACCAAACCGGAGCGTCCTTCTCGAGCCCGCATCCGCTGGGCGTTCTCTCTCCTTCGGGAGCCACTCTCCTCGCCACTCCTCCGGCTCGCCCTTGCGCGAACAAGACTATAGCTACGAACCTGGTGTCGACCCCATCACGATACAGGCATTGGGTACACGCCATCCGCAGCCCGAAGGTCGGACCAGGTCGGGCAGCACCGACCACCTGCACCCCCCCTTCCCGGGACTTCGTTCTAACTAACGGAGCACTCGTGCCCATACAGTTGATTATGTGTATCGAACGGAGTCTCTACATCGCCTTTATCCTTGGAGAATCCCCCATCCCATTTTCTTTCGGTCACGCTCCTACGAGGGAATAGCACAATTAAACCGGCCCCGATGGCAGAGGCGTGTCTGTTTGGTTCTATGCAATGGTAGATTCTATCTAACGTGGTTTGAAGTGACCTTGACATGGTCTCCCTTCTCCGTTTTCGTCCCCCTGCTGGGTTTATGAAGCGTGATAGACTAATAGTAACCTGTTCGAGAGACGCTGCGGAGTCTCTCTCTGCGAACAAGAAGAAGAGTCGTATACGACTCGGAGACGTCTAGCAAGCCTGCCCTCCAAGCCTCTTGAAGCGGGAAGCCGGATGTCTACATGGCCTCGCTTACCGGCTACAGGACCCCTTTGGGACTTCCGGCTGTGTTGGGGCTGTGTTGGGCCTATGTGGCACCTCTCTCGCTGCAGACCTGGACGGGGTTATCCCTCCAATTGGTTGACGGTTCAAGGTCGTACTCGAACTCTGCATGGTGCGTCTGTGACTGCTGCAGCACGACATGAGTCCCACGAGGGGCAACGAAGTCCGGCAAGGCCGAGTGCCAGTCTTAAGCCTCAAGTTCCTTCCCGCCTTCTTTCTAGGTACGTTTCAATTCACACGCCCCCAGTTCACCATCATCGTCCCATCCCATCCCATCCCGTCCGACGACCCGGACTCTTTCCCGCGATAGAAAACCGTTTCCCAGCCATCGTCAAATATGGATTTCCTCGGCGCTGCGAGCGCGATTGTCAGTCTTGCGAAGGATCTCGTCTCCGTCGTCGAGAAGTCACGGGAAACAATCAAGAGCATCCGAAACGCGGAGGAGAATTGGAAAGACATCACAGAGATAGATATCATATCGCGGATCGAATTCATAGTCAATGAGGTTAGGTACTTGACCGCCGACACCGACTTGGGTATGCCACAGGAAATCGGCACCTTGAAAAGGATGAGAGAAGAGTTGGAGTCGAGCTCAAGGGCCTTCCGGGACGACGCGAGCAATGCGGAACCAACAGGGCGTCGTCAATGTGTCATGTTTGGGATTCGGACCGAGAAGGAGTTGCGTGAGAAGCTCGTGGGGCTTGAGACGAGCGCTCAAAATCTCGTTCGTTGGCTCAGGGACAAAGATGTCCTAGACCGGCTGAAGGAAAGTGCCAAGGTTCGAGAGCTAGCTGGACACGTTTTCGTGCCTAAGCAGGGGATGCCGGAAATATCTGTGACCGGCGCAGACCACTGCCGCGTCGTGGAAGCAGGGTACCAGCCTGTTTCTTCCCAACCGGCGATGGTAGTGAGGGTGCTCGCTGAAGAGATCGGCCACCGGGAGGACGGCATGGCCATCTTGACGAGGCTGCTCCGCAAGAGTGACCATAACCCCAGTGCAGATATCACCCTGAACCAGACCCGCCTCCAATGTCTCGGCTTCGTGGCAGGTCGGCTCATGTTCAGACTCCCAGAGCATGCCGACGATCCACGAACACTGCGGACAAGGATGCTTGAGGAGAACGGTTCGAACAAGCCAAAGATCGCACTGAGTGAGCGTTTTGCCATCGCCCGTCAGCTTGTCGACGCTGTGGTCAAGCTCCATGCCACCGGCGTCATGCACGAGAACCTGCGCAGTGATACGGTTCTTTCGGTCCGCCTCAAGCCGGCGAGCGGTGATGGCAGTGCTGCCGCCACAGCCGACCCTCCTCCAGCCCCAGCCCCCGAGGCGGCGAGGAGCAGTTCCGCTCGTGGCGGCGCTAGGGGTTTATGGAGAAGAATGTCGTCTGGGTCGCTTCGAGCACAGCGACGCGGTAACAAGGACGATGATGGTAATGCTCGAAATGACAGTGGGACTGAGGAACAACGCGGCCGCCGCAGATCCGATAGCCTCGGCAGACCTTCGTCGAGAATTATTCGCCGATCGAGCCGAAAGGGCGAGAGGAAAGAGGAGCGGGTTGAAGCCAAGCCGGCTGCTCGAAGTCCTTTCGCCGTGGTTCTGACGCGGTGGTCGCAAGCCCAAGACTGCGGCGCTATTCCAGCGAGCTCGATTCCGCCCGAGGATGACTGGCATCTCAAGGTGTACCGTCATCCACAGCAACAGGTGAAGCAAGAGGGGCAGCCAGCGTCGCAGGCGGATGATTGTTATAACTTTGGCCACGATATCTACGCACTCGGGGTATGCCTGCTCGAGATTGGGCTGTGGCGTCCCCTCGTCCAGCTGGCCCATGATGGCACCGCCGTGACTGCCATCTGCACTCCCCTCCTTAAATCGGCAGGTGCCGACGCGGTCACCGACTGGCTAGGGTGTGAGCTAGCTGAGGCGCTTCGCGCTGAGGGATCGAGGAAAGTGGAAAAGGCGGTGGCGACGGCTCTCGGAAAAGACGCGATTCTCAACGCTCCGAAATTACTACGGGACTCAGTCGTACGGTCTCATATAGGGGGTGATGATGGAGCGCGAGGAATGGTGGCGAGTATCCTTGGAACGAATTTGAAGGAGGCGTTCAGGGAGGATCCTAACCGCGATGGATTTTCCCGTCGGTTTATTAAGCGAGCCGTGGTGAAGGTGTTTCGGGGCTTCACTTTCGGCACAAATGGCGACGTTGAGGTTATCTTGGAGAACCTTGACAGGCTGAAGGCGGCGATAGATTCGGTTATAAAAACCGCTGTGGACGACTTTGCTAAGGCGGCATTCTCCAAGTGGGAGAACAGCTCACAGGGCAATGGCATTACGACCGAGGTCTACGAAACAGCACGCGACAGGATGCGCAATTGTTTGCACCAGACGGGAGTCGTATGGAGTCCGAGAGCGGAGGAGATGGTTCACCTCGTCCAAAGTCTCATTAACTCGATAGAAGAAACCAGCGCGAGTCTTGGAGGAGGGATGGTTACAGCCGAAACGGTCCTGGACGCTGTCATGACCGGGCGAAATAGGGAAAATGGGGAAAACGGGGTTGTCGGGGCCCGCCAGGCTGAAATCAACAACTTGCTGAAGGAACCAAGGGGCGGGGCGGCCTTGACTCGCGCCCTAGTTACACTTGCCGAGAGGGATTTACCTGGAGACATGGACTATGCTTACAGAGATATTGTGGTCAGGTGTCTCCAGTGCCTTGACGACGGGGTCGGCTTTATCTTGAAGCATAAGGGTGTCTTGGGGAGGGTGGGCCGAAAAGAGGCGTGTGACGACATGGAGGAGAAGGTTGTTAAGCCGCTGGCGGCCGCGTGGCCCTGTTTAGCTAGCTAGGTAAGTAGTGCCTTATGCACTCGAGGTTCAACGGGACACTCGCGCCATGATCGTGTTGTTTGAAAGGGGGCTGGGAACAATGAAGAGGGCACAAAGAATCACAGGCCACACCCATTACAATGGTAATTAGCCGTATCCCAGATCAGAGAATGCATGGGAGACAAAGTACAAGGTTCTCAGTACAAATACGCTATGTTTGTTCTGTATCTAATCATGGACAGAGGTAGGTACTTGCCTGGGTAGGTAGTCAACTAGATATTTGGTAATCTTCGTTGTTTTACATCCAAGTAGGACGCAACAGTGATGATCCCAACAAACACTCAATCTACGATCATGCAAGTCCTCAAAACCAAATTCAACTCGGTCAAATACGCTATCCACGCCGCGAACAACAAAAAGGTAGACCGCTCTATAGACTACATCTACCACCATCTCCCAATCCCACTTCCTTCCTAGTATATACACCCCAACTCTCACCAAAACCCTCAGCAGCATCCGGTCAATAACAGCACTCCTTCCTAAACCAGTCCCTCTCCAAAGGACCATCCCTCACCAAACAGCCCTTCCCCTCGACCACCCCCTCCTCCAACCCCTTCTTAATACAACACCCCACATTCACATGCCCCTCACACCTCCCACACACAACCTCATACTTCTTCCCCACCCCCCCACACGCACAACAAACCCAATCGCCCCTCCCAGCAGTCCCAACCCCATCCCCATCCTCCCCCTTCACCACCCCCTCCCCAAGCCTCTCCCCAACCCCCCTAGGATACCCCCTCCCGGGCCGAGCCCTCTCCCCCCTCCCCAGCGGTCCCGCCCCGGCCAGCTGCCGCCGCTCATTGACTAGCGACTGGTCCATGGGCAGCGCGTAGTACTCGGTGTCGATGCGCTGGGCGGCGCGCTGGGCGGCGTTGGGGGGGATGGGGATGGGTGCGGTCTGGGTGGCGGGGCCGCCGCCGCGGGGGGCTGGGAAGGGAGGGGTGGGGTGGTGGTTGTGGCGGCGGTGTTGGGAGAAGGAGGGGGTTTGGATGGGGGATTTGGGGGGGTTGTTGTGGGTGGTGGTGCGGAAGGGGAGGGGGCGGGGGTTGCTGGGGGAGGTGGGATAGGGGGAGGTGTTGGTCTTGGGGGTGAGTTTGGGTCTGGGGCGGGGAGGGATGGGTGGAGGGGCGTTGGTGGTGGTTTGGTGTCGTTGCTCCTGCTGTTCTTGTTGGTTCTGCGCGTGGTTGACTTGTAGGCGGGCGGCCGTGTTGCCGTACCACTCGAGGTTGGTGGCGATGTTCTTGCAGATGGCGTTGATGATGCGGGTTGCTGGTAAACGGGGTGGTTGCTTGCGGACGCGTCGGCACCGATCGTCGCTTTTCTTGAGATCGGCGAGTAGATTGGTTAGGGATTCAGCAGCTGAGCGTGACATGGGCCGGTTGTCGATTATGAAGGCCGCGGCCACCTTCTGAGCGACCGGCAGGTAGTCGCCGTCGCTATCAGTCTTGTCGGCCTCGTCATCGGTGAAGTAGCTCTCCCAGTCCGAGCTGCTGGAAGTCGTGCTGGAGGTTGGGCTAGAGGCCGTGACGGCCGCCGTGACGGAGGCTGCGGCTCGGGAACGTTCCACAGCGATGGTGATGAGTGATGAGGGTTTCTTTCCTTCGGAGCTGGGGGGCTTTAAGGATAGTGGCGAAGGGGTGATGGACCGTTTGTCAAAACTAAGGTCGTTGCTGCTGTTGCTGCGGAAGCTATCGCTGTAGTCCGAGTAAATATCGTCCTCGCTATCGAACACCGCCGAGTAGACAGCAGTTAGCTTGGGAGGCATGGGCGTGAGAGGAAGCCTCGGCGGGGTCATGCTGTCCTCGCTGCCGATTGAGTGGCTGAAGTCGTTCCGAGTCAAGGGAACGACAAAAGTAATAGTATTCATTTTGGAAATTGGCATCGTGAAGATGGTTGTGAAGATAGCGATCACACACCGCAGAGAGTAAACAGTCGAACAAACCAGACAAGCAAAGAGTGCTACAGCAGGACCGGGCCGAGACTGAGATGTCCAGGGGTTTGGTTAGTTCTGCGGTACGGTTTGCGGAATCGAGGAGGAAGAGAGAGCGGTAGTGAAGAGGTAGGGCGTGTGTTAATAAGGTCCCCAAGTCAACAGAAAAAATGAACAGTTCGCTTGTGCGGTACCACCTGCCACGGAACAGTGACTGTTACCATGAAACAATGTCATTGTTTTGAGAAGTTGTGCTGAATCCCTTTGTCACTCGATGAACAACTTTGACTGACTCGAAGCGGACAACCTTCCGAGCAAACATTGGGACTCGAATTCAGGAATTACTAGCAATTACAAGTCTACACACTACAGATAGTTGTCAAACCAGCAAAATTGACGTGGGTAACAGTAAGGGGGTGGCTCGACATAACTGGGGCCAATGAAGACCAAAGAGGGTTTCATATAGGTACCTACTAGTCTAACTACTTATGCCGGATGTGTCCATGCCGTCACATGTATTTAGCAGTCACTGAATTCGCGGGGAAAGAGGGGTATCAACTATCAACTACCTATCACCTTGTTTGTGTTAGCAATTCGCTTGACGCAGCTGACCTAGCTACCTCGGATGGAATAGAGTTTACACACTAAGTCATCGGGAAACTTGATTTGAAGGGAACCTAGGCACTAAGTCAAACTCGCCACCCACGTGTTACTACTTAGACTAAGGTAAGAGGTTTCTACTAGAACTGTAATCTTTTGTTGTTGTGGGAAATCAAAACCCTAATACCGAACCAACACACAACAGTGCACACAGCCCACAACGACACTCAACACTGACAACGCCAAAGACACACAACCTTGGGATGGATGCACCATCAAATGTAGCCGCCAATGTGTGGCTGAACGTTGGCGCGGTAGCGGATTTCTGTATGTATACCTTTTCTCTCGACGATCGATACTCGGGCGGTATCCAGGCTATGCTGGATGTTATCGAGCAGCTCCAGATTCGGGTTGATACCATAGGTAGCCGACCGCATCGGCTCGCTAGGGGAGCGAATCGGTGACGGGCTCATGGCGTGGGTCGAAAGATATAGGCTTGTCTCATAGCGAGGCCCGCTTAACCCGCCCTCTCAACTTTTCAACGCGGAGTACGTTGTGCTAACTGTGTTTGTGCCAACTGTATTATAGTAGCGAGAGCGCTATCATACACCTACAAAATGGCTAGTTGGTAGTGTGTATATGTCCTTATTCCCACAAGACCTAAACAAAATGAAATCTATCACAAGACCGCCTTCTCCGTCGCGGCTTTATCGTCGCCTGTCCCCACCCCTTGTTCCACTGGACTCTGGCTCTTACTGTGGTCAACGGCCGGCAGGATGGTGTCGCCTTCGGCGCCGGGCTCAACAGCCTTTGTTGCTAAACCTCCCTCGGCTGCCTTTGTATCCTCTGCATGATTAGCCGCTGGAGTTTCAGCGACCTCCTGATCGCCCTCATCCCCCGCTCCGTGTCTAGCTTCCTTGTCGTCGATATGGAGCACCTCGTCCACCTCCTCGGCTAGTTTGCTAACCTCATCGTGCAGGGCAGCGACCCTCTTCGTAGCCCCTTGCAACTGCCTCTCCGCCTCCTCATCGCCGACCAACTCCCTCCAGGCCTTCTCCAGCTCATCCTTCCACCCAATTTCCTCGGCAAGCTTCCTCACGCCGGCATCGCAATCCCCCAGCACCATGACATCATCCGCCCGCGTGCCAAACGACCCGACCTGCTCCAGGTTGAACAAGACTCGGGGGGTCTCTTCCTCGGCCATATTCGGCAGGCCCGCAAACGGATGCACCTGCAGGCTCGTGCCCATAACCAAAACCAAATCGGCCTCCTTCGTCATAGGACTCAACTCAAAAAACGCCCTGGGCAGCGCCTCCCCAAAGAAGACGATATCCGGCTTCACCAGCCCGCCACACACCTCCCCCTCACCCTCCTCAGCTCCATCCCCACCCCCCCCTTCTCCCACCACCACCTCCAGAACCCCAACCCCATCCTCCCCCCCCTTCACCCTCACCCTCCCACACCGCGGCACCTCCCCCCTCGCCACAAACTCCCTCATCACCCCCCCATCAAACCCCCCCTTACAATCAATACACCTCTGCCCCGCAAAACTCCCATGCGCCTCCACGATCTTCTCCGCGGGAACCCCCGCCGCCCTCTCCAAACAGTCAATGTTCTGCGTGAACAGCATGTGCAGCAAGCCCCGGCGGGCTAACAGAGCCAAAAAGGCGTGGGACACGGTCGGGCGGTAGCGGGCGCCCGGGTACAGCTCGCGCGCCAGCACGTAGAAGGGCTGCGGGTTCTGGCGGAAGAAGGACAGGTCGAAGACGGCTTCGGGCTCGGGGAGGTTGAGGGCGGAGAGGTTGGCGTAGAGGCCGGTTGTGGGGGAGCGGAAGTCGGGGACTGGGGGTGGGGGTTAGTGGGAGGGGAGTCGGGGAGGTTGTGAAGGTTGTGAAAAGGCTCTTGGTGGCTGTTTTTCTTTGCTGATTCTTTGTTTGGGGGGAGGGGGAGGATGGGTCAGAACTTACTGCCTGCTGCGGTGGAGATGCCGGCGCCGGTCATGACGACGATGCGGCGGGCTTTGCCGGACTTGATAAAGTCGGCGACGGCGGTAAGGCTGCGCTCCCGCAAGGTGAGAGGCGGGGTGTCATCGTCGATGTACGACTGCTCTTGGCCCATCTTGCGATTGTTCCGTTTTCCCTTTCCTTTTCCTTTTCCTTTTGGTTTCTTTGCTTTCGAATTTGCTTGCTTTCCCTGAAGGCGGAAGTCGTCGAACTCGTCAAAGCCGCCGAGGTCGTCCCACTGCTTGCCCTTATGTGGGCGCGGCCCTCCTCCACGGCTGCGGCCTATCTTGGCGGTGTTGCGGCTGTGCCGGTGATGATGAGGGGCACGGTTTGGCACAGTTTGGCACAGTTTCGGACACCGTTCAATGAATTTTGAATTGCGGGTGAAGGAGCGAGCGCAGGAAGGGTTGGATCGCCGGATCACCCCACGAACGAGTGAAATTGAGAATGTGATTGCGGCTTATGAGAGATGAGGGCTGAATGAGTGAGACGACGTGTATCTAAACCCCAAATCCGAGAGGCAATGTCGAGGGATCTGCCCGGTTGATGTCACACATCAATGCCCCGGTGTGACAAACCCGACTGCTGACGGTTTTCGTTGCAGAAATTGCAGGGGAGGCAACAGTGTGGGGCTCATGAATGAACTTGGTACGGGTTAGGGTTGACACTCCATGGCTCGCTCGGCATCGTTCGAAGCGATGGCAAAGCTCGGTCGGTACCTGGTTACTATTCAGGTATGATTTAGAACTTAGTAGTAGATTTTGGTGGGAACATGTCGAGATCCCATCACACATAATCACAAAAGAGGGTGCCCGAGAGCTTATAGTTCCTAACTTGGTACTGCCAACGGGTCCTTTGAATCATGTCCCTACTAAGACCTGTACGGTGTACCTGGATAGGAAATAGGGGTGATCATGGGTTTTTTTACGGTCTATGGGGCTCCTGGAAATACCTGCGGAGGCTCGTGAAACTGGAATGTGGTGTTGAGCGTTTCAAGTTGTAAGCCATGAGGGGGAACACGCGGGGGGTTACGAGTTAAGACCTGTTCACAGCGTGCCATCAGTTTGGATAACAACAGCCGTGCTACCTAACTTAAGCTGCCTTGGTTGTGACTCATGAACTGTACAGACTGACTCATTAATGGCCGTAAAACCGAGAGAGCCAACGACTAGACGGCAAGTCCTCCTGGTTGTTTTCGCAGAGGCTACCGTAGCGATCGCCCATGACATAGCGTTCGAGCCTGTCGTTCGTTTCCCTCCTCCTGTCATCCAACCAGCAACGGTAATCGACATCTTCTTCGCGGCTCCTCGAGGCCTCGGTGTATTGCCACGGATAGCGAAAATTGACATGAACCCTAGCGAGACCGTTGCCCCCCTCGGCCAACTTTCTCAAAGGACGCAGGATGTCCATGTAGGATTGCATGATTGCATCCCCCTCAGCCACTGTTATCGTGACGCGGTACGGGCCCGTGGCAAGGTATGCGACTCTACTGCCCGAGGGTGGGTCAGTTCCTATCAGCCGTAGGGTGAGCCGAGGCGCATTTATCTTGTCCCGGAGCCAGTCGACCGTTGCCCACCAGTCCTGCATCGCGGGCTGACCGGCTTGCGGCCAGCTTGGGCCAAGGTAAGGGGGGAACACGAGCTCGAGGAAACGGAGGTGAGCGAGGGCGCAAACAGGAACGACTTCCCTGAGAAACAGGGAGGCGGCGAAGCGCTCGTGGGGGTAGTCGCGCCAGGGTTTGGGTTCGAGATATCCCGGTCGTTGTTCTGGCTCTGGCAAGTCCGATGCCCACCAAGGCGGGTCTGAGCAGAGATCGTGGACGAAAAGCTCGTTGGCCGAGAAGAAGACGAACAATGCATCTTGGTATAGGGCGCGGCAGACAAGAAATAAGGAACTGGGAGGGACCCAACAACGGCAATCGGAGGAAAATGCCGAATGATAGCGGCGGCAAAAACAACCAACGGATACCGGAGGATGAGCATTTTTGATTTCCCAGCAGTTGAAGAGCGAGGGCGTAAAGTCGTTCCAACTCAACAGGTCAGGACCGTTTTCGCCGGGAAGTACCATATATCCGGGGTTCTGTCGACTCCATGTGACCTCCCTCCACGGGACGATGAGATCGGTGTATTCGAGGATATGGAGGCGGAGCTCGCGCGGAAGGTCCATCAATGACGTTGCCGTTGCCGTTTGCGATGGCTTCAAATAAGGGGTCTCGATGCCACGGGCTTGCATGACAGCATCTCGAGCCACCTCCTGGAGCCGAGAATCCACCGCCTTGGAGAGCCGGACGTGGCAGTTTCTGAGCGACGTGGAAAGGCCGTGTAGCGGGGCGGTGATGGATTCGGCCACCTCGAGCGCATGACCGTTCTGGGGGTCGAGGTCGCAGACGAGGGAGAGCTCGAGGCGCGAAGTGATATGGGCTGAGAGGTGAGCAGTGGTCGAGTGCCACTCGTTCAACATGCCTTGGACTCGCAGTCTCGCTAACCCGTCGTCGTCCGAGCCACTGAGGAGAGGGGGTCGATGCCGCCCGCCGTGTTCCTCTTCGCACTCGTTCGCGCCACTGCTTAGGCGGCCGTGCAAGCAGCAAAACCCGCAGTCAACGAGGACACTGTCCGGGTGATGGCAGGAAGACTGGTTGAGAACGATCTTGAGGTGGGTGAGCGATGCGAGTGACGGGGCAGTCAAAGAGCGCAGTGGCCCGAGGGACCCTGGGCGCGTGTAGTAGATGAAGAAGCGGTTTGCCGAATACAGTAGAGCCGCCGCCTCGGTATACAAGTCCCGGCAGGAAAGCAGCAGGCCGTGGAAATTGGAGGCAGCCGGCGCGTCATACGAGGCCTTTCCTATATGCAGGTCAAACCCAAACGGCGGGTCGTCGCTATCGCACGATTCCAGGCCGACGAGGCGGTAGATGTGACGCCGGAGGAGGGGCGTGAGGCGGAAAAGAGGAGATGACTGTGTGCTGCCAAAGACAGCGGGGGCTTTCATCGGGGGATTCGGCAGTGCCTTTTTGGTCGTCGGCATCTTGACGGTTGTTGTTGTGCTCGTTGGGCAGCACCCAGGCGTTTTGTCTATTGCAGGTCAAGCAATGTTAGGGGGTGCCAACAAGCGACTTTTCAGACCCAACGGCCAACGATACATAGCATTTCAACAACAAATCAGATCAAGTCCCACTCGCGCTCAAGCGGAAAACTTGGAGCCAAAGAAAACGGGCATATAAATGGCAGGGACGCATATATATAGCGGTCTTGATTTGTGCCAAAAACATACAACAGCTATCCGTACATCCATCTAACCCGTATCCAAGCACAAAGGAAATCCCCCAACAATATCGCGCCCGCCCTCCATCCTCACATCTATGCTATGAAACCGCATAACTACCAGCCAGCCACAGCAAACCAACCAACCACACCCCAAGCCGCCTCCGCCCCAAACACCCACTCAACCAAACCAACGCACACTAGTCCCCGTGGTATCCGTCGTCATGGTATCCCTCCCATAGTACGCCGGCCTCGGCGGCTCAACCGCACGGCCCCCACCGCTAGGCATGGTGGCACGCGGGGCCCTGGCACCAGAGGGGGGCATGGCCGGGGTGGGAGGGATCTCGGGCCCGTTGGGCTGGGTCGGGGTGCGGACCTCGTCGAGCCAGCGCATGACGGGCTTGCGGGCGGTCGGCGCGGGCGAGGGGGGCACGGGTACGGGTGGTGGTGCCGGTGCGGGTGGTGGTGCGGTGGGTACGGGGGTGGGGGGGCCGGCGAGGGTCATGTAGGCCTTTTCGTCCATGAAGACGTTTGCTGCGGTTTGTTGTTGTTGCGGTTTGGGCGGGGCGTAGGCGCCCTGCATGTCGTTGCCGCCGCCGTTGTTGGCCGCGTACGCGGCTTTCATGAGGTCGTCCATGATCTGCGTGTTGGTCTTGGCGGCGTTGTGGCCGCCCACGGTGCCTGGGAGCGGGCCGGTGACGGCGCCGGGGTGGGCGCCGTCATCATCGTCACCGAGGCGGAGGCGGGTTTGCGGGAAGAAGGGTAGGCCGCGGTCGCGGCGGCGTTTGCGCCAGAAGAGAAAAGCGGCCGCGAGGAGTCCGACCAAGGCTGCGTGATGTTAGCTGTGAGACATGATAGTGATGTGAGTAGGGGAGACGTACCCATCAACCCGAGGATGATTCCGGCCACGGCACCCGAGCTGAGTCCGCTTGGCGCACCACCAATGCCGACACCCTCTCCCTCGCGCTCGTTGGGTTCGCTGTTCGGTGGCTGGACCTGGGCTTCTTCGGACTGTGTGGCTCCAGTTACCGGAACGGTAGGTGTGGCCGAGCTCGTTACAGGTATCAACGGCGTTTGTGACGAAGTCGTAGTCAACGACGTTACCAGGTCCTCGAGGCTTGAGCTGCTGCTTTCCGACGGGGCGACGATCGGAGCCAGTTGCGGTGGTATTCCGGTAGAGTCTGGGGGGTTTGTGTCCCTCTCTGGCGTCACCGTAGAGAAAGTCTGACGTATCGAGGAGCTAGTGATGCCGGCTGGTGGTGGCGGTGGCTTGATGGAAGATGTCTGTACGGCAGAGGTGATTGCGGGAGGCGGCGGGGCTACTCCTGCTGGCGGCGGCGCTGTGATGGCCGGAGGAGCTGTGGACTCCTCGACTGACTCGGCACCATCGGATTCCTCGCCATCGGACTCGATTCCATCCGTCTCGGATTCCGATTCGAGCTCATCCTCGGCTCCCTCGCCGGGCTCACCCACCCCGAGTGTCGCACCGGCGGCCACTTCTGCCCTTGGGAGGTTGTTAATCCACCTTCCCGTCCGGGCCCGCGCGCTCACAGAGGCAGCGACGGAGGGGCGCGCTTTCAAGGAGGCAGCAAGAGAAGGGCGTACTTTGGTGCCAGCGATGACGGGCCCCAGTGTTGGGGTCGGCTGGGGGTCGGCTTCGTCCTCAGACGATTCGACTGAATCAACTGAATCAACTGAATCAACTGAATCAACTGAATCAACAGAGTCAACCGAGTCGACAGAGTCAACCGAGTCCCCGTCCGAGTCATTCTCCGAGACATCGCCATCGTCTGAGGTGTCGTCTTCTTGTTGGCGCCGGGCAAGCGGGCCGGTCCGCCTGTCTCGGCGCCTCATTTGCAACCAGGCATGGTTGCGCCGGCGTGCCGTTGGACCTGTTACCCTCATGATGCTATCGTCGTCCTCGGTCCCGGACCCCCTAGGTATAGCGAACTCGGGGAAATAAATGCTGACAAAGTCGGTTCCTGTCCGATGGAGAAGGGAAGTATGTACGCAGAACAGAACCGAATCGCTAACTTGCACCCAACAGCTGAGAAGGAAGCACCAAAAACGCCGAAATTGCAGACCAGCTGCCCTGTCCGAAAGGAGTGAAGTGAATGAAGAAACAAGAGAAACAAGAAAGACAAGACAGTGATCTTCGCCCAGAGGGAGTGGCGGCGCCAAGGAAGGGTAATAAAGTCACTTGCTTTCGGACGTCGGCGGCTCCTCGGGGGAAGAAGGCAATGCTTCAGCTCGGCCCCGGCAAGCAGCAGCCAGCCATCAGCCCCTTTTGCCCCATCGACTCCTACTGTGTACCTTGGTTATCATCCGCAAACAAGGTCGCACGGGGAACTCCGTGTTGAAGAGACCCGGCTGTATCGGCGCGAGAGGCCTGAGAACCAATCCTCTCGCTTTGCAGCATTTTCGTTCCGGGGTCTCCCCCAGACGCGGACGTGTCAGCCGGGGGCAGGCTGAGACGCCTGTACACTGCCAAGACAGGGCGGATCAAGTGTGAGGAAACCAGTCATGGTGCTTTTTGGGTGCGGATGGGGAATCGATATCTTGCATTTTGCGAGGACAACCTGGAAGGAGCCGATCAGACTGCGATCGGGTGCCGGGGATGGAGCAGGGGGAAGAAACCCAAAATGCAACAGCTGTGTGGGGCCATTGGGGGTTCGCCTTCCAGAATGGGCTTTGATAGGCCCAAATTTACTGTGTTCCTGCGCCTGCTGCCGGGTGGGACCCGCAGTCTACGACAGCGGCGGCTTTCGAGCACGCGACCACTTGCTTGAAATGACTTGATGACAAAAAAACGAAGGTCATGCAAAACAGTCCCGGTCTTTCCATGTCCGCCGGCGGTTTGATGTTCTCGACCGTGTTGCTATTCTGAGCGTCCTTATCGTCAAGTTGAGACGACAACAAATCACAAATATCAATATTTACGGTAGGAAGTTATCACAGCAACGACAGAAATGGCTGAAAATTTATGTCAGTGAGGCATGGCTTGCCGTCAACCTGGAGGCAAGTTGAACCGACGCTAAGATTGTGAGCCAAGCAGGGGGCCTGGGAAGGAAAAGGAGGCGGGTGCAAGTTGCAAGTTGAGCCGAACCAAACGAGACGAGCAGAGCATGCAAACTTCCGCGCCTTCTTCCCCGGGCCCACACTTTCACCCTAAATTGGAACCTCAACCGTTGCAACCAGATTGGGTAAAAGAACCACGAAACATCAAACAAACAAAACTCCGGTCTAGGGGCCCAGAGGCAGCATCGCAGCCTACCATGTGGGCCAAGAAGGATCGCAATACCCCGTCTGGGGTTCTTTCTCGATTGGCACCAGCCGAGTCAGCCTCAACTCTACACAGGATTTCCTCCACCGGTGGCAAAAGATCGATAACCCGTGCACGGGTTTGGCACTTTCCGAGTTCAAACCCGCGGTCTGCGACGAGAGAGGCGGCACGAATACGCCCTACTTACCTACTTGCACTACTGTACAGATTCCTACACTAATCCTTTCCGCCGTTACCGTGTGGACTCGCTTTACCATGAGTTTATCCCAAGTCCCTTATATCATGGCCTCGAGATCGTCAACAGAATCACGGTAGCAACACCAGGAAGTTCAGATGGTGTCCGAACCCAAGAAATTTGACAAGATTGGCAGCAACAAATCCATCAATTAAGCTCACAAAATAAAGCTTGATTTTTCCAACCCAGGGGTTGCAGTTGCCCGCACCACGGTATCAGAGCTGCCGAGAAACTGGCGAGTGGACCCCTTTGGTCTCATGTTAGACAGGGATGGCCATCGCTTGTCAGATGTGGCAGCTACAGGCTAAACTTGCCCAGTTGTCTCTCCTCCCCGTTCGACACGAAGGCCCAATCACATCTAACCCTCGGACCTTGAAGTCTGGAAGCGAACCAAGGCGACGGGCATACATCAGGGGCGAAAAGCGAGGCGCGAAACCCCCAACGAGACACGGACGCCTTGGCAAGGCGCTACCATCCGCTTTCAACGTTGTGGCTTGTGAATTCCAGACTCCCAGCGTCGGTTCGCCATCGCAAGCGACCTCACTGGGACGTATTCATGGACAATTTCCCTCATAACCGTCTCAACATGCTTGTGGCTCCTGTATCTTGGCAACGTTTCGCCACAACAGTCCTCTCATGGCCGTAAGTATAAGTGTAGTTGATGCTGTCTGTGATCTACGCTGATGGTAGCACGCATCTTCTTCCATCCTTTCTTCTTACCTTTTTATCTGAACCCCTGGCGGCTTCCTTTCTTTCATTCCCTGTTGATATTCAGTCCTTCAAGTTACACTTTCATTCCGGTACATATTTACAAGTTTACATCTTGTACATACATCCTTCTTTATATACAACACGCTTAAGTCGATCACTATCAACAATCACGATGAAGCTATCATGCAGCCTCCTTCTCGCCACTCAGGTGCTCTCGATCCTCGCCCTCCCAACCCCCAACGGGGCCGGGCAGGTTGCCGGGACCGAGACAACAACAGCAGCCGCTGCCGCCTCGACAACTGCCACTGTTGAGACTGGGGCCGGAGCCGGAGCTGGAGCCGGAGCCGGAGCCGGCGAGGGTGCAGGCGCCGGAGAGGGCGCAGGTGCTGGTGAGGGCGAAGGCGAGGGCGAGGCAGAGGAGAACGAGGTTGAGCTGGAGGGTCAGTTTGGCCAGGTCATTGAGCTGGGTGGCGACAACGTCAAGACTGACACCGTCTTCCCCCCTGGTGTAAGTGCTGATGACCCAGGATCTTGGCGTCAAGGGGCTGTACTAAAATAATTTGTTATCAGACCAACGGCGGCTTCGAAGTCGAGTTCCAGAACCAGGAGGGGCGCCAGCTCAGAGTCACCGAGAATCCGAACCCGGCGGCGGCCCCGGCTGGCTTTGTCGCGCTGGAACCAGTGTCGTACATTGTTGAGCTAGGCGGTGGCGCGGCCGCCGCTCAGGGTCTGACGCTGCAGAAGATTGACTACATCCTCAACGCCGGCAGTAAGTTTGACTTCCCTTCTCCTCGTTACACCTTTACCGTTTAGCCATCTCCCAGCCCAACTTCCCTTCTTCCAATCCTCTAATAACCCCCCCCCCCCCCCCCCTTTCTCTACTTACCATTCCTACTTAACCCCCACTACCCTACCCACTCCCACATGTCCCACCCCCTCAACACCCATCCCCAACCCCAACCTCCAACCCCCAAGCACCCCAAACTAACAACTCCCCACAGGCACGCTCGATATCTCGACCGGCCAGGTCGGCCGCTTCTGCGCCGAGGCCAACTCGTTCGTCTTCGGCGAGGGCGAGCTCGAGTTCGAGGCCGAGGAGAACGAGCTGACGCTGACCGTCGCCAACATGGTCGGCGAGTGGGCCGTCTTCGTGCCGCAGGCTGCTGCCGACGCCGGTCGTGATGCCGGTGCTGGGGAGGACGCCGGTGCTGATGCTGGTGCCGGTGTGGGAGAAGGGGAGGGTGCCAATGCCGGGGAGGGCGCCGATGCTGGTGCTGGTGCTGGCGCTGCGGATCCGTGTGCCCCCGGGACTGCGTGCCGCGCCCTGCTTGACGCGCTGCAGGAGTTGATCTCGGCGGGCGGAGCTGCTGCCACTGCGCCTGCTGCAAAGGCGTAGTAAATCCCGGGAAACCTCCCCCGTTTCCGCGTGGTGAACATGGTTTGGGCCGGCCTTTTGTTGGTTTCGTTCTCCTTTTCGGGTTGGGATTTCGGTGTGGTTGTTTTGGACTTGGGTTGGCGGACTTGTAAAAAGAGGCGCATGTACATACGGGAGTCCACAGCAGGCAGTGCTTGCTAGGCGTTTGGTTTTGATGTTGGTTGGGATAGGCCAGCCGTGCTGGTCAAGTCATTGAATGACATGTTCCGATCGAAACTTGGGCGTTTATAAAATGGCTACCTGAAAGTCCCCCACACACAGCCCTTTACGAATATATAGCTAGAGGCTATACGAATTCAATTATAGTGCTGCAGAGCCCCCTAAATGACCGTAATCTGAACTCCAGGGGTTCAAACATACGATTCGGTAGTTCTATGAGTGTAACTCGGAAGTCTAAAGTCTCTTGCACTCTAACTCGTATTACTACGTCACGGCTTACACAAAGCATGCCCGGTCTTAATACACCCACCGGACCTCAAACCAAATATTCTCTGGACGTTGTCAGAGGTATCAAAGAACAAAGTTCCTTCAGCAGCTTCTCTTCGCCATGGCCCTTTTGATCACCCGGTAGGCAAACGTCCATGCGTAAGAAGGGTCTCAATGTCGCCTGGTCTAACCCCAGAAGAGAATTTATGTCCGCCGAGCACTCGACGATGAGGAACCTACACACCTTGGCCTTGGCCACACGGGCGGCCACGAGCAGCGGCGTCATGGACTGGTCATCGCGTTTCCCGCTCAAGTCAACCCCAAACTCGGTGCGCAGCTGCCACAGAAACGAAATCAAGCTCTCCTCCGGCAGACCAAACTGCCACATGAGCTCGATGACTGGGCTATCGCCATGGATGTCCTTGACAAGCATACCCTCGGGCCAGTGCCGGTGAAGAATGCGGAAGACCTCGAGGTCATGCCGTCTCGCCCACTGGTGGAAGACAGTGTGGCCGCCATGATTCACGTGGTGCAGGTGAGGTAGCGTGCCTGGCTGCTCACACAGGAAGCGGACGACCTCGGCGTGGCCCTCCCAGGCAGCCTGCCCGATTGACTGGTGTATGTCGAGCGCTCCCTCCCATTTCCAATCGCCCGTGCCCTCTGCGTCGTCTGATAGGAGAGCCGACCGGAGAGCTGGGTCCTGGTTTGCGGCGTCGAAGAGTTCCCTCACCAATACTAGACAGCCACGGCGGGCGGCGAGACAGAGGATTGTGTTGCCGGATTGTAGGAGCTTTTCACGCTGTGCTCTGACGGAGAGGCCAAAGAGCTCTTGCCAGTCTTGTGTATCCCTTGTTTGCCAGTCGAAACCGCCTGTGACGCATTCGAAAAAGGCAAGGTGGCAGAGAATCGGCCCGATTTGGTCGTGCTTGACGAACTTGGTGATCAGGCTTGCCTTGTTTCGCCTGCTGAGCTCTCTTAGTGCGGTCCACACCGAATCTACGACGAACTCCGGAGGACTAGGGCGGTAAGCGACCAAGATGTCGACTAGGGTAGCGGCTGGACCAAACATGGCCGTGACCACAAGAGGGTCCAGCTTGAAGGTGTGCATAACTCTGAATGGCTCTGTCGTTCGTGTGCAGTCTGGTCGATGCCACTGGTAGACCCAGTTGAGGAGGCGCTGTGAGCGAGGACGACACAGAGCCATCAGATCTGCTAGTTGCGGCCGTTGGTCGTCTACCACATCATGGAAATGGGCGGTCCAGAACGAAGCTGCATAAGTAAAGAAATGGCCTAGCCCCAGCTCGGCCGGATTAAAAAAAAGGTGTGGCCCAGAGTTAACGGGAACACTCTGGCCTGTTTCAGAGTCGTCGCCGAAGAGGTCGGGGCCAAGATGCATGAAATCGACCCCCTCGTCCTGGTCTTGAGCGCTAGCTACCAATTTCATTTTCTCGCAGTCGTCTAGGAGGAGATATTTGATGCAAGTACGGAGAAGACGCGCGTTCAGCTCTGTCGACCGCTTGCTACGTTGCTGTTGTGGTTGGTGACCGGGCTTTCCGACCAGCGGCCAGCTCTCGGGGGGACCCCAAAGGATGAGGTCTTTGAGCGACTGATGCAAGAGGCGAAGCACTGGGGACCCCTGAACCCCGAGTTCCACGGTGCTAACGAAAGGCCGAATGAAAGTCAGAACATCCACCGCGGGCGCCTTGCTCTCGAGGTCCGAGACGGTCGTTATGGCACCCTCCTCGTCCATGTCCAGAGTTATAGCACAGACGAGCTCATCCAGGCTGAGCGGACGCCTCGAGACCACGAGGGTCTCAAGGGCCGCCTGCAGGAGTGTGTGGTTCTCTGATAGGCCTTCACAAGACTGGTTGAACAAATCGAAGTAGAGTCTCGCAAGGCCGGCAGCCGACGAAGGAAGCCGTTTCAATGCCGCGTTGAAGCCAGCGGCGTTGAGGGCGTGGGTCTTCTGAATGTACTCTAGCGCGATGCGAATCCAGATGGCAGAACCCTCAGCTCGCTCCGCAAGTTCCTCGACGGCAGTCTCGTGCAGCAGTGAGGGTAGACTGCTTCTCTCGACGAGATATTTCGCAATAGCTCTATCTCTCAGCCTGGACGGGCGCAACGCGATCCTGGTGATGTCGCACTGGAGAACAGACGCCGGATCATAGCCGTACCTCGACGTGAGGAATACCTTGATTCGTGCTCCCTTGTGATGAAGCCCCCGAAAGAGCTCAAGAAGCGAGTGGCGGGCTAGCGCCTCGCACTCGTCCAAGCTGTCGATAATGATAAACACGCCGGATGAGGATGAAAGAATCGCCGTAGAAATAAAATCGCGCAGCTGCGTTGAACTCCTCTCTGGTTCGATGTAGGAATTCGAACTGGTTTGCCACTGGTAGAAGCGGCGCTTCAGCGCGGGCTTTTGTCGGAGTAGCTGCCATAGGAGGCTGCGGTAGATGTTCCCAACATCCGCGGTGGAGTGATCGTTTCTACAGAAGTAACGACACACGGTCCGGCGCATTTCGGAAAGCAGCTTCACGACGTAGGCGGCTGTAATGGTCTTACCACATCCCATGTCTCCTAACATGAGCAGAACGCCTGGGTCCGCAGAGTCCGCCAGCCATGTAGAGAAGCCTTCTTCGGATTCGATCCAGGCACAAGCTTCGTCCGAGTAATGCTCAAACTCGCTGTGATGGGCCTGTTCTCTGTCGGCGTCTAGAGTGGCACGAACTGGGGAATCATCAGCACAACTATTGTCGGGCTGACCTTGAAAGCAGGGGCGACCCACCCAAATCGTCAACCATTGCCCCCTTGAGCTCTTGGGTGGTTGAAAAGGTTTCAGTTTGCAAAAGGAAGTCTAGAGCGGTCGAATACTCGTTGAAGGAGTCAACATGGGCCGTGATGTCTGCACTCAACATGCCCAGAGCGGTCCTGAGGCCGGACTTTGACTTCTTGAGTACATCCCTGCTCTTCAGATAAAACAGCAAAAGCTCCTTGTACATGTTGACGAGCGTCTGCAAGAGGTTTCAGCAGAACGGCCGAATGAGCTGTCGGTGGTTTTATGACTTACATGGCGTATATCGGGCAGACAGGAGCTGGTTTTGACCACTTCATCGCAACGGTCGATTGCTGGTATCCATTGGAGCAACTTTTCAATGTTAGCCGGCACCTTGTCGTTGGCGCCACAGATGGCTATCGCGATCTGCAAGTCTCGGTTCGTTAGCTACTAGTGTCTACAAAGCATCAGATCATGCAAGGACTCAGCTTACGGAGACAACACCCTTGACAAGCCCAAGGGCGGTTCCGGCTGGAGCATTCAGGCTAACGAATGGTCCGGCGAGCTCCAGGGCGGTGTTCAGTTTCCCAAGATATGGGTCTGCGGCTTTCAACCCTTTCCGCATAATAGACTTTTCCTGCTGACGTTTGTCCGTTTCCAGTAGCTCCTCGAAGAGAGCCCTCGCCGCCACCCCGCCTACCAATTCTTGCTTCTGTTCCTCATCCAGAGACGCCCAAGCTTCATGGTAGGCAGAACCTGTTGTCGACTCAGTGGTATCGTCCTCGTCATGGTGTCCTTTGCCGCCGTCGGGAGAGTCGGTTTTGTTTGAGACGGCCACTCGCTGTTGATTCCCGTAGGATTAGAAACTACGGGTCCGTTGTTCGGCAAAGAGTCGCTGCAGGCATGATTAATGAAATCACCTACATCGCACACCCTACTCCCGTTGCGAACATTGTGGTTGCTGTTTGTCTCACGGGCTTGGCGGTTGAATGCCTGAAGGTCTTGGACGGGGGCTGACGATGACCGTGACCGGCGTGATGTTGCCCTGTGGAAAATCGCGGGGAGTTTCTGGCGCCAGGACTGGTGGAGTGGAGGCGAGTTTGGAATTAGCTTTCTACACTAATGCCGAATGCCTGCGGATGATCTCCACGTCAAGGAACAGGCCGGAAACTCACTTGTCTGCCTCGTGCGTCTGGGGAGCTGTTATTGGACCCATTACGGGACGGATCCAGTTCAGGTCTCGGCATGCCCTAATATGGTAAGTGGTTCTGGCGGGTCAGACTACACTAGGCCGGAGCCTGGTATGAGAATGGAAGGTACAATACTACTGCGTAGTGCCCGGCCTCGGAACACCAAACAACGATGAGGGTGGGAGGATCCGAGCAGTCTCCCCTTTCGTTTGCAGGCAAGCGAGGGGTACGGCCTCAGCCTCCTCAGCGACCGGAATTCGGACTATACATCTTCCCGCCGATGCGCGCCGCAATGGACGGGAATGGACCCGACCGAATTTACCTCTCAGCGGGAGAACCTAAGCAGCACGGGAGGCCGCTGCTTTCCCCACCATGACTGACGGTTGGGGCAGCAAACTTGGGTTGGGCACCAGTAAGCTTTCCTGTTGAATGTGGCCTGTGCCCATCTGAGTCACCAACAACTTCAAAACATCACATCTTACCCTCATACCTTAATTGATGCATCATCCTGATTCGTGCGCTACACCCAAAATTCCGCACTTCCATCCCACCAGTCATGTCCGACGTGGAAGAAGCCCTCACCAAACCCGAGTACTGGGACGAACACTACACCAAGTCGGACGGACAGGCACCTACGCACGAATGGTTCCGTTCCTTCGCCGACCTGGAAGAGTTCTTTCAGACGTCACTCTTTGAAGCTCCAGGACGTACAGTGGCCGACGACCCAGTGATTCTCCATCTCGGCTCAGGAGATAGTGTTGGTCGCTTACTTGCTCACTTGACTCCCACACCAGCTGATCGGATATCATTATTTATTAGGTTATCCCATTGGAGTTTGACTCGCGAGGCTACCGCCGCCAAGTATGCGTCGATTTCTCGCCCAGGATTGTGGAAATGATGACAGAGCGACACAGAGACGTGTCGGGCATAGAATGGCGACGCATGGATGTACGAAATATGGCCGAGGTCGCGGATAAGTCTATCGGCGTCGCTTTCGATAAGGGGACGCTCGATGCCATGATCCACGGAAGCCCTTGGAGCCCGCCCCCAGATGTCAGAGACAACACGAGCAGATATCTGGCAGAGGTTCACAGAGTATTGTCAGACGATGGCGTCTTTCTTTATGTCACCTTTAGGCAGCCTCATTTCATGAGGAGCTTGCTAAACCAGCAGGATTTGTGGGACTTGGACCTACAAATTCTCGGCACAAACAATGGCGGGTTTGAATACTACGGTTGGGTGATTCGGAAGGCGACGAGCAAGGAGCAAAAGCCATGAATTTACTTTTATTCTTGTTTTCTTCTTCTTTTTCCTTCCACATGACATTGCACTTGCTAGGATATCATGCCGCGGAATGTAGTCCGGTTTTCAGGGGGTTGGGGAGACGAGTTGATTAATCTAGCATTGCTTTCAGGTGGCGCCACCCTATAGACCGCCGACCGAGGGATATGGTCACGCTTGAATCCAACCCCAATACTGAACCAACCGCCGCATCTCTCATTCAGAACGGGACACTATCCGCCAGCCCCTTATACACATCGCACCTCCCCTTCCTCCCACCCTCCCACTCCGTGGCGGAGGCGAGGGTAATCGCGTTCCCCAGTCCCGGCTCCGCAAACCCGGTCACCGTGCCGCCCCACGGCGCCGCCATCTCAAACGGCACGCCGCCCGTCGTGTTCAGGTTCACAAACACCGGCGCCGCCTCCGTCCACGCCGGCCAGTCCGCCGCCGGGTGCGGCAGCACACTACTACCATTATCATCATTCCCAGCCCCGTTCGCGAGCGCCGCGCTGATGGACGGGTTGCCCGTGCGCACAAAGTTGCCCCAGATGCGGCGGAACGCCAGCGCGAACTCGTCCGACTGGTTCGGCGTCGCGGGGCCAAAGTATGCGGCCACGTCGGCGCCGTGCCACGCCATCGGCACGCTGTACTGGTACACCCACGCCGCCGGGGATCCCTTGTCGTCGGCGGCGGCCGCGTAGGCCGACGCCAGCCAGTAGGCCGGGCAGGCAAAGGTCGCTTCCGCGTAGATGTTGTTGCCGCGCTGCTGCTGGCCGTTGGCGGCTGCCGATACCTCCACGGCGGTCAGGCCGCTGCCGGGGAGGCCGTCGGTTTCGTGGTGGGGGCCGGAGGGGTTGGTGGGCGCGGTGTTGGGGTTGGCCGCGAGGATGGTGTTGATCTCGGCGGGGGTCAAGTTCGGGAACTGGCTTGTCTGCAGCCAGTTGATGAGATCGGCTTCCGTGGTTAGGGGTGGTACGAATAGCGGGCCCTCGTTGGCGTTGTGGCCGACGAGCAAGGCCTGGCCGTTGGTCTTGTTGGCGGCGAACTGCTGGGTAGGCCGGTTCAGGACGTAGGCGTCGTCGGTGACGGGCCAGAACCCCCTGATGAGAACTAGTTAGGACTAATTACGGCGGGGGTGAACATGCTAGGTGTTAACGCGAAACTTACCAGTAGCCGTAGGGCGACTGCTGAGTGACGGCGAAGCTGGCTTGTTGCAGCGTATCGGTGTCCTTGCTGACGATGCAGTCAAAGACGTCGCCGGTGCTAGGGCAGCCGGCGGCCTGCGAGAAGGCGTAATACCGGCTCGTCGGGAGAGCCGCATCGTACCTGGGCTGGGCGAGCAGGTAGGGAGAGGCCGCGATGCCCTGCTTGTACAGGAGGTTGCCTAGATTGCCCTTGAGGGCAATGCTGTGGTACATTACGGAACCGCCGCCGGCCGACTCGCCTGAGATGGTGACCTGGCTTGGGTCACCACCAAACTGGCAGATATTGAGCTTCACCCAGGCAAGGGCAAGCACCTGGTCGAGCATGCCCGCATTGACAGCACCCTTCTTCTTGACCTCGCGGGATGACAGCCAGCCAAAAGCGCCGAGCTACTCGGCTGGGTTAGCGCCAGGTCTTTCCTTGAACAACCGGCTCGACTCACACGGTACTGCAGCGTCACGGCGACGAAGCCCTTCTCATTGGCGTTGATGATCTCGGTCATGTCGTGGGTGCCATCGCCGAGACCATATCCACCCTCGTGGATGTAAACCAGCACGGGAAGCTTGGAGGCATTAGGCGGCGCGAAGACGTTTAGAAAGAGGCAGTCTTCGTTTCCGGGGAGGAAAGGCGCGTTGGGGACCGCGGGCATCGACTGCGGACAGATAGGCCCAAACTCGGTGGCATCGGTGATGGGCGCATCCAGCCTGAGGGGCAGCACCTGTGGGGGTTGCCATCTCAGCTCGCCCGTGGGGGACGCGGCGTAACGAATCCTGCAACCCAGCACTTCGAGTCAGCATCGGAGAGGACAATCCGATTATGTGCGGAGGCTCGAGGGAAGATCGAGATGGTGCTCGGACCCTTTCCAGTAGTTCAAACCCGTCGAGGCGTTGTGATAGCCCCGGTATTTAGCGTAGCCCAGGTTTACGACCAATGAATCGTCTTGGGCGCACGAAAGGAGCCGCTTTTTCTGTGCTTGCTGTTCCTGTTCGGCTTGGCTCACGTTGGCGATCAGATCTGCGACAAACTGGCTGGCAGAGTCACCGTCCGGGGTGGTTGCATCGGTGATTCGAGTGCATGACACGAGGGAGCCGGCCAGCAAGAGCGGCAAGAGTCCGGTGATCCACCGCAGGGGGGCCATTGAGGGGGTGACCTTGAGAGAGAGCTCGAGGTTTGTCTGGGGAAGAGTATCTACCTAGGTAGTCTGGTCCCAGAAGGCGACATCAGGGAATCGCCAGCTTAAAAGGCCTAAATATCCAACTTTTCTCCCCGGACCCCAATTCTTGACGGGAATGTTACTGTTGTATTTCGCTAATGGTAGCGTACCATAATATGCGCGTCAAGGGGCCCGGCATCCCGGTTGCATCCCCATCATAGCCGGGCCGCGGCTATATCAATCGGCCTACATACAATACTAGACTATCTTCCGGGCTCACCGCAGCATGATCCACTCAGTTCTACATAGCAGAGGCTTGCTCGTCAGACACCTGGCGCGGAGACCCTGTAAGGATTGTGTGGTAGGGGTAGGAAACCTAATCTCTGAGAGCAAAAGGTCAGCTCATGCTGTGCTCTACAAACAGACACGAGAAGAACCAGAACATCGAAGACGGATCTGAAACCGGCACCCGTGGTGTGTCCATCTGCACAGGGGATCCTGGCAAGCGAGGCCAGCTACCAGGTAGCGAAGAATAACCGCGTGCGCGAACTGCAGGGGAAAAGGGGACAGCAACAAGTCGAAAACCTTGCCTACCAAACAGGCAGTGTGCTAAGGTGGTAGTTTCGTTGTGATGGAAGCGTAAGAAGAGAATCCCATGGCGTGGCATCTCCTGTGTATGCTTCAAGAACGCAGATCTCGGGGCCTTTCATGCCAGGTATCCTGCGCAGATCTGCACTTGCACGGACCGCACTTCGACACCGTCGCCAGCGGTGCCAACGTGAAAGCCAGCAGGGATGGTGATGTGCCTGGACCGAACTGGTATTCCGGAAAAACAGCTCGGTCTTGGTTAGCAATTCCGCTGGCGCAGAACACTGCCCATCGACGACCCCCGAAAGGCTTATTTGCGCCCCTCCTTGCGGGACGTGGAGGACGATGCCCTCAGCGACACCTTCGTTCGTTCCGATTCTTAGCCTGGTGTCAGACGCCCTTGTGCCTCCGGGTTCTCTAGTAGGATAGTCTTGTCCTTTTTCGCCTTCGCTCGGGCCCTCTTCCCCGCGTCTTCACGTACATAAAAACGCCCAAGCACAGTTTTAGCACCATTGTGCCAGGCTTGCAATGGCTAGATCCATAACTAGCCCAGTTTAGCACCAAACCTAGTCCCACATGGTCAAACCCCTTGGCTACCTGAAGGGAGGGTCAGCCCTGTGGCAAACACCGAGAGGATCATGTTCAAAAACCTGGCAGGTCCGGCACCATGGTTGAGAAAACGCCCGGAATTGTTTCGTGGTTGACCCCCGGGACCAACCTAAACAGCGGAGCCGGTTCACCTACCGGTAACATCGTCCATCGTCCCGCAACCAAGGACCCAGCTCTTCCCCGGGGAACAACAACCCCTCCGAGAAGCCGAGAAGCACCAGCGACGTTTACGGTTTCTCTACGAGCAGCAACTTCTCTCTAAGCCTCACCGGGGATGGCTTCACCCTCGGCATTGCCCCCGAATGCCGTTGAGGACAAGAGGGGGAACGTCATTGGGACGGTCATCTTCTGCCTGCTATGGTCGACGGTGATGGTGGGCATGAGGTTGTGGGCGCGTGGGGTGGTTATTAAACAGCTCGGCATCGACGACTATATTTGCATCGTGTCTTTGGTGAGTGAACTTGCAAAGCCCTTCATCGACGAATACTGACAAGAACCAGCTCGTTACCTATGGCGCTGGTATCGCCATTGCTCACATGACGACGTATGGCTTGGGGAGGCACATCTCTGTCATGGATCCGGCAAATATCCCGTTATATCTAAGGGTGAGTCTCGCTCGGCTCAGGCGCACCCATTTTGGTCTTGCCCTAAACGCCAATAACACCTGATAGAACTTTTACGTCTCCATCGTGATGTACTGCGCGGCGCTGCTGTTCATCAAGTTGACATTCCTCTTCCAATACTACCGCGTGCTTGCGGTCCAAAGGATGCGTAGCGTCTACATTGCCAGCATCATCATCGTCGGCGGCTGGGCGCTGTCCCAAGTCCTGGTTGGCATATTCGCCTGCCACCCCATCTCGGGCTTCTGGGACTCGTCCATCGAATCCAAGTGCATCCCCAACATCCCACAATGGTACATCAACGCCGCGGGAAACATCTTCACGGACGTGGTGGTCTTTGCTCTACCGCTACCGGCGATTTGGTCGCTCAACCTCGCAAAGGGGTCAAGGATAGTGCTGATCTTTATCTTCAGCCTGGGATTCTTGTAAATCCCATCCCACCTATCATTACCCTTCTTTAAAACACCCCGTACTAAACATAACCGCAGTACCGTCATCATCTCCATAATCCGCATCCGGTACCTCCAGCTCTTCGAAGACTTCCCCTGGGAAAACGTCGAATCCTCTCTCTGGTCCATCGGCGAGCTGACGTCCGCCCTCACCTGCGCCTGCCTGCCCACCATGCGGCCGTTCGTGAGCCGGTACTTCCCGAGCTTCGCCTCCCAACACGGCCATTCCTCGCACGGATACGCCAACGCCAGTTCCGGCGCTGCTACGTGTAGACGGCGGCGGGCTGGCGGGCCCTCCGCGCTCGAATCCGGAGGGGGCAACGTCCAAAGAGTACAGAGCCGCGGCTCCAAGGGCGTGGATGCCTTGTCGGTGTCCATCAACGGGAGTGAGGTGGAGCTTGGGCAGTCACGATCAGCGGGGTTGAAGAGCTACCCGTTTAAGGGGCATGTTGTGCATGAGTTTGGGGTGGGTGTGGAGACGGGCAGCGCAAGTTTCAGGGAATCGGGGGTGAAGGGGTATGTTGCTCTATCAAGGCCTGAGAAGGCTAGACACAAGCCCATGAGGGGGGCTATGTGAGAATTTCTTTATTACTACAACTTTGATACCTAGGGCGTAAGTCAGGTAGGCGCCATTGCGAGTAGCATACTTGATAGAATTCTTTACGGTTATATCCAAGGTATTCTATCCATTTTATATGACAAAGGGGTCTTTTAGGTCTCCCTTAGCCTTCCTACTAGATACTTATTATTGAACTGGGGCAGGGATGATGACTGAACCCTAATAACGAGTGGGAGGGGACTTTTTGTTTTCCTGTTTTCTATTTCATTGTTCCTGTATGGGCAGCATGTCGTCAGGCTTCAGGCTGAAGCGGGATTTTAGTGGTGTTCCAAGACTTTTACGTTACCTACCTACATGTAGGTAACTTTAGTCACCAATGTTGTGTCAAAATCCCTAGAGCAAGCAACTCCGACGACGCTGCCCAAGGGGTCAAAGCCCAAGATGTGGCTGGGTTGGGCGAGGCCATCAAATTCCGTATTTAGGTAGGGTTCGTGTGGCCTCAATGCTTTCCGAACCCTCGTTCTTCCAGCTGGATTTCAACCAGTCCGGGAAAACTGGCGCGTTCATTGGCGGTGCATATGGCTGGGTCAACTCAGGTCATTATCATATTGGCCAAAAGCGCCAACGAGTCCCACAAGTCAGGTAAGGTAGATCGACAGTCCCTTAGGTGCCTAGGTAGGTAGCCAGCATTGAAACCCAAGCTGTGAAACCTAGGACTTTCAACACCCAAGCTTCCGTCACAGCTCAAGTTACCAACTTGACTTTTAGTTTATTCAATTTTATTCCACCACCCTGAGAACATTGGCGTCCGGCTAGCTCAATCGACAACAATGGCGAAAGGAAGCGCGAATAAGGACATCAAGGATGTCTACATCGCCCTTATGGGCGTCACTGGCGCTGGTAAGAGCTCGTTCATCGCAACGTGTTCTGGCCAGGACGTCGCGGTTGGACATGATTTGACATCGTGTAAGTCTTTGATAATCTTCAGTGCTTAGATGCATGTTAATGATGCCGGAACAGGCACCACCGATGTCGAGGACGTGGCTTTCATGTACAACCCACAACTCCGGGTTCACTTGGTCGATACTCCTGGTTTTGATGACACCACCCGATCGGATGTTGAGGTTCTGCAAGACATCGCGGCGTGGCTTGCAGGAAGTTTTGCAAGCGGAACCAAGTTGAACGGCATCATCTTTCTCCATCGAATCTCGGATCCGCGGATGACGCGGTCAGCTCGCCGCAACCTCCTGATGTTCAAGAAACTCTGCGGCGCCAATTCCTATAAATCCGTGGTATTTGCTACGACCATGTGGTCCAAGGTCGACCCCGCCGAAGGTACAGAACGAGAACGCCAACTAACCGAGAAGAGCGAGTTTTGGGGTACCATGTACAGAAAGGGCAGCCGCGTCTTCCGCTACCACAACACAATCGAGTCGGCAGAGGAAATTATCAACTATATTCTGTCACTGGACAAGAAAATCGTTCTGAACATCCAGGACGAGATCGTCAACAAGAAGTTGGAGATTGAAGACACCTCGGCCGCCGTCGAGCTGAACGCCGAGATCATCCGCGAGCGCAAGAAGCACCAGGAAGAGCTAGCCATGATGAAGGAGCAGATGGAAGAGGCCATCGAGATGCGCGATATGGAGCTGCAGGAAATCTTCCAGGAAGAGATTGGGGAGCTGCAGAGCAAGATTGAACAGGGGACGGAGGAGCAACGTAAGCTTACCCAGTCACTGGCGGAGGTCCAGAAGCGTAAGGAGACCGAGCTCGAAGCCTTCAAGCAGCAGATCCGGCGAGATCAACAGGAGCTGCAACGCAAGATTGAAAAAGGGGTGGAGGAGCAGCGTAAGCTCACCCAGTCGCTGGCGGAGGTCCAGAAGCGTAAGGAGACCGAGCTCGAAGCCTTCAAGCAGCAGACCCGGCGAGATCAACAGGAGGTGCATCAGCGGTACCAACGCGAGCTCGAGGAGCAGCGCCGACTCGCCAAAGAGCAGGAAGCGTTGCTCAAGGAGTCGTATGAGGCCGAGGTCAGACGACTGGCCGAGGAGCAGAAGATACGAGTCAGGGAGGAGCAGAAGCGCGAGGAGGAGTTTAGGATCCAGCAGCAGGAAGCAGAGTGGCACCGTGCTGTCAGGGACGAGACCGCTCGACGCGCACTTGAGCATCAGCGCCGGGTGGCAGTGCAGGAGCAACAGGCAGCCCTGGAGCGCCACAGGAGAGAGACGGAAATTTATCGCGAAGAGACGGAGCGCATGGAGCGGCAGTATCTTGCCGACGTGGAGGAGCGTCGGCGGAATGACAAAGCCATGCAGCGCGAGATGCGTGAGGAAGAGGCAAGACGGCAGCAGCAGCTCCAGGAGTCCCTGCAGCGCAAGGGTAAGTACCTTATCGCTTTTTATTTCCTCGTTTCACTACTTAGTGGCCACGGACGGCTAATAAAGCATTTTGTAACAGCCTCCGGTGGTTTCCGTAACGCCCTTCGCAACCTCGCTCATGAACTCAGCAACAAGATTTTCGGCCGACCCAGGCAGCTCAGCTTCCCTAGGGGATAGGGCGACGACGAGTCAAGGCCACCAGTGGTCGATATTCCATCTGTTATAGCTGTTAGTATGGATGTGAAAATAGCCCGCTGACGGACTTCATGGACAACAACGTCCAGCATTACGCAATCTTGTCACACCGCTGGGGAGATGAAGAGGATATGTGCTGGAATGCTGGGGCCAGAAGCGGCCCTAGGCCTATAACACCTATCTCCAAGTCGCCGGCCAAGGCGAATTCCTCACCGTACACAAGTACGTCTCAGCCGTACACCCGTGGCTGATGGCCATACGCGATACCCTCGTGGACGTCCTGGACAAGGTAGATAGCCCGGCCAAGCGGCCGCCTGAGACCAAGCTGGCTGTCTTGTATCTCGGGCCGTTGTATATCGGCCATGAGGACAAGTGGGCCTGGTGGCATAAGAAGCCGCCTGTGCCTCGCCCTACAGGCGATCAACCTTCGGGTGAGGAGCGCCATCGTAGGGCTATGGAGAGGGCGATGGCAAGGTCTGCGGCAATGATACGCGCGCGAGAGGAGGAGGCGGTATGAGTAGCCGAGACGGAGAAAGAAAAGTAATCCAGGACGGTCTACTATGTCTTAAAGGGAAACCAACATAGCCTCAAAGATAAATAACTTGTTAATGGAGCCCTTATATAACTTGGTTATAATAACTCAGTTCAAAGCGACGTATAAATCCGAGTCTTACCACGGCCCTTGCCAGCAGTGGTCACCTTGCTTATCGTAAAAGACAAACACAGACGGCACGTAGAGAGGAATACACCCATTACACCATGATCCCACCAGGCCACCAACCCTTAATCTCCCCGAAACCTACCGCCACCCACCCTATTCGGACAAGCGAGAGCGTTGGGGGCTAAGTAGGGCGGCCGAAGGTGGTGGGCCGCGAGTGGTTGTGCGCCGACAACGAGCGAATCGAGAACCCGCCTCACAATATTCTGAATATAACACGACTTGCAATTTTGATATTTGATTGGCTGAGGCCGGCCTCTCGCGGCCGATCTTTCTCGGCCCGGGTCAAGAATCACAGGAGGAAAGAAAAAGGGGGGGGCGAGGGCCGAAAGAATGGAACGGGCGGGCTCTAATTGATCCAACCATCCTACAACGGCGTCGGTTGCTAGACTCGGAATACGCTTGGAGTTTGTGCGCAACTGAGGCCAAAGACACGAGGGAAGATGTATCGATGGAAGATATGATCTATCCTTTGTCCTTGGGGCTCCTTATGAATCTGCACTCCCCACGAATCCATTGGATAGCCGGTACCTGAACCTTTTAAGTCGGCCGTTTTGGTTGGGGATCAGACTTAAGCTGCGTTCTAGCGGAGTCATGTTGCCGTCCACCGGCGGTTCGGCCCTAATTAACGGTCATGTCGCACCTAATCTAAGCAACGCCCTTTGCATGCAAGGTTCTTCGTGAAGTTCGCCACAGCCGTAGGAGATGCATGCGGGCCAATTTCGCCCCCCTGATTCCATGTATGTATACCTTAGGTACGTACCTAGACACCCAACCTGACAACTACCGGGCGTTCCCCATGCCTCTCTCGACGTCGTAGAAGCAACGCACAGCTACACTATACGTACGTATATAAGCAAGAAGACCTCAGCGCACGGACACAGATCGCAGCTTATAATACGACTTCTCCGTATAGCCAACCGCGCCAGCCATGTACTCGGTCAAGGGCACGATACATCTACCATGGGAAGGCGAGTACGGGCCCGATGGACCGTGGCAAGCGGTCAGAATCAGTGTCGGCTACTTCCCGAATAGCACCAACTTCTACGCGGATGTCTCTACTATGTGGCCGGACTGGAGCGGTACGTCCAAGGTGCTGACACCCGCCTCGGGGGGGAATTACACCGCAACCGATTCGTCGAGCGCGGTTATTGTCCGACAGGATGAGGGCTACTGCCCCGCCCAGGAGTCGACGAAATCACCGATCCACGGATGCTGGCGGGGCAAAACTGTTGTTGAGGATCTGAGGCTAGAGAGAACGACCCGGGGGGGAACGGGCACGATCGGATGTGACGGGACGTTCGAGGCCGTGGAGGAGTGGGTGTACGGGCTTCCCGACGGGAGTAACTATTCGGGGCGTGTAGGCACACTTGGCCTGGGCAAACCCAATGTCCCCGACCCGGAGGACGTGCCCCTGGCTATCCTGCAGTCCTTGAAGTCGACCACTATTATAGCGTCCATGTCGTTCGGCCTGCACATGGGCAGCGTCGCGCTCGGCCAGCCAGCATCGTTGGTTCTCGGCGGGTACGAGAAAAGTCGGGCCCTCGGGTCCGTTGGCGTTTTCACGTTCGGCGGATTTGGCCCTCCGATTTTATACCTCCTCGACGTCCTTCTCGGCACCCAAGTCGGTGCGTCGCCGTTTGCCAGGCCCGGGGATGAAGGAAGCGTCTGGCAGGGGATCAAAGACAATGAAGGAGACATAGCAGAGGATATCACGCAGCAGGAAGGGGTTAAGCCCGGCACAGCGCTTGTGGTACCCGACCCGACGGTCCCGTACATCTACCTCCCCCCGGGTACGTGCGAGGCCGCCGCGCGCCGGCTGCCCGTAACGTGGAACGACAGACTCGGTCTCTATCTCTGGAACACAGGTGATCCTGCGTACCAACGCATTGTGCGCTCGCCCGCCTATCTCTCTTTTGTTTTCGCCGACCACATCCCCGCGAACATCACCATCAAAGTTCCCTTCCGCCTGCTCAACCTCACTCTAGAGCCGCCTCTCATGCCGACCCCAACGCCTTACTTCCCCTGCAAGCCCTGGAACACCGAAGACGGGATCTGGACGCTCGGGCGCGCCTTTCTTCAGGCGGCGTTCGTTGGCGCCAACTTTGAGCAGGGAATAGCGTTCCTAGCCCAAGCTCCGGGGCCCGATCCCGTGCGGAGAGTCACACAGGCCCTACCCCCGAACGATACCACGCTGCAGACAAACCCGATTGAAGAATTTGAGCGGTCCTGGCTACCTAGCTGGACTGTTCTAAAAGAAGACACTTCTACCAGCTCTGATACCCCTTCCAGCTCTGTCCCAGTCGAGCCGTCGTTGGGCGGGAACGGTGGTTTGTCTACGGGAGCGGTGGTGGGCATTGTCTTGGGCGTTGTGGCTGCGCTGGTGGCAGCAGCCGTCGCCGTTTGGTTCTTCTGGAGGCGGAAGGGGAAACAAACCGAGCCATTACCATCTGGGGATTCACCTAAGGAACAGCCGGAGATGAACGGGCAGGGCGAACCGGCGGAGTTGGGGAAGCCAAACCCCCACGAATTACACTGTCCCGCCGTGTTCCTTGAGCTGCCGGTTGACAACGGCCCCGAGCGTTAGGACAAGAAAGGCGGATCTCGTGCCCTGACGCCGAGAGGGGTAGAGCGGACATGATTTCGTGTTTTCAAGTAGCTATGGTCCTGACTCCTGTGTGGTGTCAGAGTTCGAATGGTTGTGAATATGTATTGGTTGCCTAGGAGTAGCCCTAACACATATTTAGGTAATATCAGGTGTCCTGTTATGTAAAAAAGAACAACTGGCTAGGAAACAGTTCATGCATCTTCCACATCATCGTAGTCGGCGGATTATACCAATCTCTAGTTTGAAAAGAGAAAAAAGAAGATATGGAACTGATGCCAGGGCAAAAGTGAAGGTTGGATCGGGGCCACCCGGGGATTGAACCCGGGACCTCTCGCAAACGTTGCCGTAGGGTGAGCCCTAAGCGAGAATCATACCACTAGACCAGCGGCCCATGTCGATCTGTTGGTGCGACCACATGAAATTGACTTTATCAGGGACAACAGACCGTCTGATGTTAAAAATATGTCGCTCCTTGATCGCGACCGAAGACTACCTAGGTAATGTTGCTAGTATCCCATCATCAGCCAAACAGCTAGTAGTAACTCGACAGGTCTTATTGCTTCATTAATGAGAAAAATCATTAAGACCAACTCGGTTTGCTTGGAACCCATGGGATGGGACGGGCTCTAGATCTACGAAACATTGTTCTAGAACAGTTTTGACTCCCAACAAGTGAATACAATACTAAAAGGAACCATGTTTACCTGGGAGGTCACAACCATGAATGAGTGTATGGTATTAGTTTTTACCCGTTTTGTTCGCTGCTTGTTTGCTTTTCTCCTCGTCAGCTCTGGCTTCAAATCATTTTGCCAGTGACCCGTTGGTGAGTATATAGGTATAAATACCACATAGTTCGTAGGTATGTCTAGCAGTCTACAGAGACACCCCCCCCCGGCCTTTACTTCCCTTTCCAATTGAAATCATACGCCAACCACCTCTCTCCATTCTCAATTTCGCCCGCCAAGTTCCGAACTATCAGCACCCTTGGCTTCCCGACGTAACACAAACCGAACCGAATAGGGACTATTAAGTCAAAATGAATGGCACCGAAAAGATGGCGAGCAATATCCCTAAGGGAGATAACCGCGAACGGGGGATTCTGGTGCTCAAGACAGCTCCAACCCCTTTTGAGTGTCCCAACCTACCAGGCACCCCTTACCCCTCTACGTCTTTCCACCTCCGTAAGTACTTAGTGAATGGCTTCGCCCAAGCTCGAGATCCGTAGCATCATACTGACCAGTATATCCAGCCACTATTCTAGCTGAAGTTGAAAACCCCGACTTTGATCAACTTGCCCGCACGGTTCTCACCAGGTCTCGGACATTCGGAATGTCCTTACCGCTGCTCCGCTCTCAATATCTATGGGCGCTTTATCACAACTCCCCACCAGACGGTCCAGACCTCACTCCCGAGTCTCACCGGAAGTTTTGCACGGCCGTCATTGAGCTTGCGGAGCGGCTCCTGGTTGAGCGCTCATCTGCCAACGTCGCATTATGGCCCCGCCTGGAGCGGAGGTTACTGGGTTTGATGGTGGAATACGGTACCCTAGGCTTGGGAGGAACGTGAGTGACTGGAAAGAGAGATTGGGAAGTTTTCACCGGGCAGGGCAGGAGTGATCGTGGGGCATCCACCTGCGTGAACTGAATGGGGTTTGGCTTCTTGTGGCCGCCGTGGCAATGCTGCCGTCTCGTCTGTTCTCAATGGTAGCGCCATCACCGTCGCCTTCGGATGGACCTCACCTCATCACATACAAACAATAAATACCCATGTTGTGGCAAGCCATGGCGAGAACTCGTGATAACTCTAACTAATGCTATCAACCCGGTTCGGGTTCTTTTTCTCGTAACAACTTAACATTTATCGAACAACACGTGCATGAGACTGATTGAGTATGACTACGACTGGAAGGGAGCGATTGATGAGCTACTTCGTGAGGATATATACATGTGCAAGGCGGGGGAATAGATCCACATACGCGTAGCTACCCCCGACAAGGGTACCTGGGAGCTAGGTACTCACCGAGACACCGACATGCTACGTGTGGCGCCGCCAGCTGGCTGCAACTCGGATCTTGCATCCGGGCCCGCGGCGTGATCACGACATCCGTCCATGTCGCCTCACCCGTGACCCAAAGCCTTGGCCTAGGTCAGTGCGGAGGGTGTCTGCTCAAGTTGGTGCTTCGCCGGCTGCCCCTCAGGCTTCCCTCTTCTCGTTTGCAACATTGGACACCACCGGGAGCAGCACAGCACGCCGAAAAGATGGCCGATCACGGCCAACCGATCACCGTTTTCGCTGACGACAACGTCAGGATCGCCATCTGGCTCCTCGGCACGTCGACCACAATCGACGACGACGATGCCGAGGGTGCTGCTGCCACCCCCCGCGCCAATGTTGCCCCCGCCCCCGCCGCCATCGCTGCTGTCCTCGCAGCCGCCGATGCCGCCACCGTCGTCGCTCCCCCCAACAACTCCAAGAAGAAGCGGCGGCGGCGGCGGCGGAACAAGAAAAAGAAGCGCCCGAGGAAGAACAAAGCCGGCTCCTCCCCGGAGCAACAAGAGCTTCTTCCCTCGCTGGCCGACGACGCCGACGACGATGGTAAGCACAGGCCCAGCCGTCAACCCCCCCCCCCCCCAACCCCCCTTTTTTCCCCGCCCCAAAAAACGCTCTCTCTCTAACCCCGTCCCGCCGCGCGCGAAGCAGACTGGAGCCCCCTAGCCGACGTACACGACTACATTGGCAGGTGCCAGCGGGAGGGCCAGACGCTGCCCATGATCCGGGCGCACCGGTTGTGGGAGCTGCACCAGCTGGAGTCGGCCTCCCAGCAGGCGCCCGAGCCCGCTCGCAGCTTCGACCGCGCTGCTGTCCGGAGGGTGGAGGTTTGGCTGATCGCCGACAGGACGCCGGAGTTTGGGTGGGATTATTCGGACGGGTACTTTTTTTAGCTGCTCGTGCTTCTTAGTTTTTTATATATGGTTTCACGGGTGTTTCGGAGGGTTTGACAGTCAACCCTCGATCACCTTTTGTCTAGTGAATGATACCCATTTGGTTTCTCTTAATCGATAGTGATTAGCAGTGGTTATCCCGTGATGATAGTATGACTGGACGATAGTAGACTGCCGCCTGAAACCCCTTTCCGACTGACGTAGCCTCATACCGACGGAACTGACACGAGGTATGAAAACCATACGGGCACCTCGGGCCCATCGGCGGAAGCCACGAGCTGACCAAGGTTTTCCATCACTTTTGCACAATGCAGTCAGACACCAAACTGTGGGAGTATTATCACACGCCCAAGATGAATGCTTAATTAAAACCTTGAAACTGAAAACATATCATGATCATTGTATCATACACCTAACTTCACAGTTCCCTCCCATACTCGATGATAATACACTCTTGTGTACTTCGTATGTCACTCAGTTCGTCGAACCCCTGCCACCCTGGTCCTTCCCCTTGCTCGTCCCTCCGCTAGCGGGTGCCTGCTCGAGCCCGGCTCCCTTTGAGGGCTCGGGCATGGGCGCCGTCTTGTCTGCGCGGCTGACACGAGTGGACTAGGTTTTGCACGTTAGATGACTGGTTTCTGGAATGCCCGGGTGGCGATGGGGATGGGAGGTCTGTGAAAGCATACCTGTTCTTGACCGGCGCCGTGGATGATGTTGTGACCGGCATCGACAGCGTTGTCCGCTGACCCGTCTCCTTGGCGAGGCATTGTGTTGGTGGGTTGTTTGGTAAATGGAGGTGGTGGTGTGTTTGGTTTGTTTATGATGACGTCGTTTCCGGATTGAGCACTGGACGGATGACGAAGCGAGGGAGGGAGGTACTTTGATGAGATGATTTTTACAGAAAAGAATACTCACCATGAAGAAGAGAGAGGAGTTATAAACCCTCACATCTTCATTGACGTCATCCCGTTTCCGATATCAGACGTCATAATAGATCTCTCAACACAAGATCGATGGAGACTACCATGTACACTAACGGAGTCGCTCTGCACTCGCTCAGTGGGTTACATCCACTGACAGGGGCCACTGAAGCGGACCAAGCCGGTCCTGGAGCGCCGCGCTGTGCAACCCGGGGCCCCACCGATCTTCGTTTGGCCAGGGCGAGCTGCAACTTCCAGATTTCTTGACGTCAATTCTCCCGGCAGCCGTTCGAACACGACTCGTAAACATCACCACAACCAAGTCCCACCAAGGATAACCGCGTCGGGATGCGCAACCGGTACATCACCCTCTTGATTATGCCCATAATCCTAGCGGCGCTCTACCAAAGCAGGACAGCCCTCTTGCGCACCTGGAGCACGTCGCCCTTTGCATCGCGACTCGCGTGGACCGCCTCGACCATCTCGGCCCACAACAAAATGTCCACCTTCCAGCACCCCGACTACCACATCCCCATCACCCTCCCAACCGGCCTCTCGCAATCCCAACTCCTCGCCTTCCCCCCTTTCAATGTAAGCCGTGCCCAACAAACCCCACCTCCGTACATCCCACCCCCACCCAACTAACCCCCCCAACACAGTCATGGCTCACCACCCTCACAACCTCCCTCACGACCCAGCACACCACGCCCTCCCACCCCTTCCACACCAGCCCCTACACCCTGCACGCCATCACCATCCAAGCCTTCGACCTCTTCGGTCCCAACCGCCTAGGCTTCGTCAAACTCACCTCCACCATCACCAACGCCCACGGCGAGGCCCTCCCCGGCGCTGTCTTCCTGCGCGGCCCGTCGGTGGCGATGTTGGTTATGCTTATTCCCGACGATGTGCCTACTGATTGTGGGGATGGTGGGGATGATCGGGACGAGAGGTATGTGCTGCTGACGGTGCAGCCGCGGGTTGCGGCGGGGAGTTTGGAGTTTGTGGAGCTGCCGGCGGGGATGGTGGATGAGGAGGGGGGTTTTGCGGGGCAGGCGGCGAGGGAGATGGAGGAGGAGTTGGGGATTGTGATTGGGGAGGGGGAGTTGGTCGGGTTGAGTGAGTTGGTTGGGGGGGATGGGGATGGGGATGGGGAGGAAGGGGGTGCTGTCGGGGAGGGGGGAGGGTTGCCGAGGGCGGTGTACCCCAGTGCCGGGGGGTGTGATGAGTATATCCCGATTTATATGCATGAGCGGCGCGTGCCGAGGGCGCAGCTTGGGGAGTGGACGGGCAAGTTGACGGGGTTGAGGGAGGAGGGGGAGAAGATTACGCTGAAGTTGGTAAGGATGAGGGATCTGTGGAAGGAGGGGGCTAGGGATGCGAAGTGTCTCGCTGCGGTGGCGCTGTGGGAGGGATTGAGGAGAGAGGGGAAGATTTAGGTGGGGTATGGTATGTATGCTCTCTCTATTCCCAGTCTTTTTTCTCTAACTTAACGCGCGCATCTACTCGTTGTGGTGGGACGCCTGGCCTGCCCTTAAAGCTTGAACTTTTTGGCTATCTCCATGCCCTCGGCGAGGTTGGCTATCCGGGCGTCGATGGCGTAGCCTTTAGCTTCAAGTTTGATGCATTCCTCCCACAGGTCGGCCAGCTTCACGAGGAACACCTCGATGAACTCGTTCTCTTCGAGCTCGGGCTTCAGGTCCTGGTTGGCGGGGAGGCTCATGTCGACTGTGACGTGAACCATGCGGAGGTTGGTGTTGCAGAAGCCGGGGTCTGCGGGCGTCAGAAAAGGGGCGGGGATCATGCCGAGGAAAACTCACCGTTAAACATCACGGGCGTTGTTTCGAGAACTTCGGAAACGTAGCCCGTCTCCTCCTTGAGCTCCCGAATGGCCGCCTGCTCCGCCGTTTCCCCCTCGTCGATCAGCCCGGCGGGTAGTTCGATGACGATTTTGTCTAGCGGCGGGCGGTACTGCTTCTGGAGGACGATCTCGGGGCCTGCGGGACATGGTTGGCTTCTGAAAGCGTGCGGAGAGTGTTTAAGGGGCGTACCTGTCTCCTTCTCTAGGATGGCGACGATGCCTACACCGTCGATATCGCTGCCCTTCGGCCGGGTGGTTCGCTCAGCCGACTCCCATGTTCGTGTTACGCCATTGGGGTCCTTATATGTCTTTCTGGATGGCTGTCAGGACCGGTTCTTCGACTTGTCATCCGGGAGATGGGGCTCTACAATTGCACTTACTTTACGAGTTTTGTCCACACCGCCTCGCTCGCGGGCTACATTCCACATAAAGGTTGGTTATCCTCGCGTTCATGGCATGGAAGATTTTGGGTTTCACCTAGGGCATATCTTACAAGGGGCTCGGTGGATATGACTTTGGCTTCTTCTTCAGACATGGTTGCGTGTAGTTGGGAGTCCGGTCAGGCGATAGCACGTGGGGTGTAAGTCACTTCTTCTAACATTTTATGAGGATCCGGTAGGGGGGTCCAGTGTCTCGCCTCAGTGGACACGGCGGACGGGACCCACAGATCCGGCCCCACGGTTCCTGTATGTACCTGCCGACCTCGGGCGGGTGGGCCCGGGCGGCCATCCAGTCAGACCAAGCAGCTCGGCTCGCCAGCTCACTTGCAGCCGTCCGTCCTTGTCGATGAGTTGGCGGCCTTGCTGTCCATCTTCATGGCGTTCCCAACGAATTTTGGGCTTTTAGGGTTGCGATCGTATCTCACGGGCTATGCGCTATTGGCTTTCGACCATCAGCCCACGCTGGCAATGTGCGAAGCGAGCCGTCCTTGATGATGAGAGGATTGGATGCTGCCGGGAGAAAGCGACAGAGGTTCGCGGGAGAGACTGAGCGAGCAATCGGGGGTTCTCCTCGTCAATTTACGGCCCGCCCTTGCAGATGCCATGATGTCCTCTGCAGTGAAGACATGGCAGCAAATGGATGATGCATTGCAGTAAATGCATTGCAGCCAAACCATTGCGTGTCCCTGGAATGGAGGGGTGACCGCGACGCGCATGCCACACACATTTGAGGACGTGTTCCTCGACGTCACCACATGCAACCACAAATGAGGCGCGGGGAGGACCAAAGTAGGGCTGGCGCAACCGTGCCACCGGAAAGCTTGTCGACGTCGCATCCAGATTCGTTGGAAGAATCTTGAAACAGCACGAGGTGCGGAGCTCCGACCTGCCTTTCTTGGTGCTGATATTTTCATCTCGTTTGGGCTGACACCATTCTTTTAGCGGCGCATTTATTACCAAGCCGTGGTCCCGTTCATTACGCAACATCGAATCCTACACAGCACTTTTCAACTCACGATTTTTTACATTCCTTCTCGTCATTTAATGCGTTTCTGATCGTGGCTTCGTTTCCACTCACTCCTTATCGTCTGCATTTCCTGTGTGTTATTCAGTTAGGCACCTACCTAAGGTACCTACCTTGGATATTCGTTAGGAGGGGGATGTCCCGATAATCCAAGCCACTCCGACGACCAAACTCCGGACCCGACCCCGCCATGGCGACCAGGTCCCGCGCCCACTCCGTTGACCTTATCGACACGGACACGGACCGGACGCCGTTATTGGCCGGAACACCCACCCCGACAGCCTCGACTTCAACCCGCTCTTTATCACCGGGGTACATCACCACCCAATCCACCACCCAAACCATCACCAATGACAACGATGACAACCAAGACTACGGCGCCATCAACAATGGCCGCGCCGAACCCCCCTCACCATCAGCCCACCTCCGCGCCGTCCTCCGCCCTCGCGTGATCCTCCTCTCCATCGCCGTGGTCTTCCTCATCGAGCTAGCCATCGGCATGACCACCCCGCCAGTCAACGCCATCATGGAGAGCATCATCTGCCGGCAGAAGCACCCGGAACTGTTCCCCCCGCTAGACACCAACATCACCATGCCCGCCCCGGTCCCCATCCCATTCCCGCCTACGGATCCCGTTCCGCCCACCGATCCCGTTCCGCCCGCGGACCCTGATTCACCTACGGCCCCCATCCCACCTACGGACCCCATCCCACCCACCGACCCTACCACCCCCAACACCACCCCCAACACCACCCCCCGGACACCCGCAACAGAACTACCACTACCACCACCGCGACGGATCCCCAAGATGCGGCGCATCGCCGGCGGCGTGATCCTCGTCGACGACCCGGCCTGCAAGCGGCCCGACGTGCAGGGCTACCTGGCCATGCTGCGCGGCTGGGCCAACACGTTTGAGGCCCTGCCCGGCATCCTCGGCGCCGTGCCCTACGGCATCATGTCGGATCGCTGGGGCCGGCGGCCGGTGCTGGCGCTGGCGATGGTTGGGTGTGTGGTTTCGGTGGGGTTTACTTATCTGGTTTGTGAGTTCTGCCTTTTCTTTTGGGGGAGGGGGGGGTTGTGTTGTGTGTTGTGTGTTGTGTGGGTGGGGGTTGAGATTAGGGGGTTGGTTTGCTGACTGAGGAGGGGGGTAGTTTACTTTTCGGATTTTGTGCCGTTGTGGGTGACGTGGTTTTCGGCCGCTTTTCAGCTGTGAGTTCCTTCCTCGCCGTGATTGGGGTGGGCGGTTGGCTAACGGGATCCAAGGATCGGTGGTGGCGTGTCTATCGTCGTGGCCATGGTGTATACCATGCTCGCGGATGTTGTCCCGTCGGAGGAGCGCACGACCGTCTTCTTCCAACTCAACGCCGTGTTTCTCGGCTCGCAGATGATTGCCGGCCCTCTCGGCGGCGCCATGCTGATATGGGACGCGTGGACCCCGCTGCTCGTCGCGCTGGCTCTTCTGATCCTCACCAACATGCTGGCCCTGGCTGTCCCAGAGACAGTCCATGTCCACGACCGGAAGAGGTCGCACGAGGAAGAGTATGGGGACGGGGACGATCTTCCCCGGATAACCAAGCTCTGGCGGAAGGCTAGCGAGGGCGTTGCTGGGGTGTGGGATTTCGTGCTCGGCAACAAGAGCGTGGCTTTTCTCATGTTATCGCTCGTGTTTACCTATCTGGGCCGCTACGTCGGAGAGCTCCTGCTACAGTACTCGACCGACCGGTACGGATGGAGCTGGAGCCTAGCCTCGATGGTTTTGACCATCCGCAATGCCGGAAGCCTCGTGGCGCTACTGGCGCTGCTACCCGTAGTTAGCTGGTTTTGTGTTCGGCGGTTGGGCATGGAAGACATGGCCAAGGACCTTTGGTTGGCACGATGGTCGGGCGTCATTATGGTTTTGGGAAATCTGACCACCGCTGCCGCTGTCAACGGTACCATCTTCTCGGTCGGCCTGGTCTGGTTCGCCCTGGGTTCGGGTATGGCTTCCATGATCCGGTCGCTGCTCAACGCGCTGGTTGAGGAACACCATGTTGGCACCGTCAATTCCCTCATTGCCTTCATGGAAATGGTTGGCATGACCGTTGCTAGCCCGTTGCTGGCGAAAAGTCTCAGTATCGGGCTGGACCTTGGGGGCGCCTGGGTCGGCCTACCCTTTCTTGCCTCCGGCTTGTTGTTTGTCGTTTCGACGACAATATTGTACATGTTCCGGCTGCCAAATGGAAGGCGGTCACCAGTTGAGCCTCGGTGCTGAGGTTTGACTACCATCGGAGCTTGGCAAATATGCCAATGCCAACGCTCATCAAAGGGAGGAAGAACTTGATCTCGCTTTTATCGTGGAGCGAACGCGGCTGTGTCTTCGGGTTGCTAGGTACATTTCCTTGGTTTCGGTTTGGACTTGGGAGCCGATAGATCACATTGTGCTGTCGATAAAATGGCGTTTCGGATTTGGTAAACAAGAAGAGAGGAGATTTGTATAACGCATAGCATGTTGACTTGGGGTTTCATGGACCTTCCTAGCCGCTCATACAACCTTCACCGGCACAAGGAGTTCGGCGCGAGGGAGACTAGAACAATTCCCAACCCAACGTGACCACCTACGAGGTCGTTTCAGCTGCCGCTCAGTTTGCATTTTATTGTCGAGGGCCGGAGGAATTTTCCAGGTCACCCGAGCAGAATTTCCGGCAAGAGTAGCAGATGAAACCGAATAACTAGTTATTTGTAACGAACTACCTACACGCAATGTGACAAAATGTGCTGCTTTTTGGATAACGAGCTCCGTGAAAGCTTGTGGAAGAAGCCGCACGCGACATTTCCCAGGCAGGCTCGGCGCAAACTATCGATTTCTTCCCTCATACCAGTCGCCGGAGGACCCCTGTGGAATCTCGCTTGCTCAAGATGAAGCTGCGGTGGGAAATGCACGTGTGTGCAACGTGCCCGCTAGGTTTTGGAGGTTTCTCCCGCAGAATGATCGACAGTGATCATTGTGATGAGCCCGTTGTCTTGCTTTGATCTGCCCCGCATGGACAAAATGAGGGGTGGTTGAGAGTGAGTTGAAGATGAGACGCGCTTCACGCGTCGGTAAGCGCCGAGGCACCGTCCAGAAAAAGTCTGGTAAGAACGGACGTCATTGACAGGGAGCGGGTACGTACCGATCGATTCCCCTGAACGGCCGGCCGGCTGAACGGCTCCCCCATCCATGTGCCAGCAACCGCTACTCTTTCCTCTTTTGGGTTGACTGCAAGCCACTCTCATTATCACCCAGAAATAATCTTGTGGCGCCTCAGTTCTGACCCCTTCTCGGAACCCGAGATTCGGAACTCCATTTTTGGCCGCAACGAGCATGCACCACTGGTCGAACAACTCGAACAGAAGGAAAGAGGTCTCATGGGTTGGGGAAAGACCGGGAAGGAAGTCGCAGCCCTGGATGCCCTTGTCACCCGCACTGGCACTAGCCGGCAAGAGCGCGAATCATCTCCACAAGCGCGTGCTTCCAATTCAGGGTCCGCCCAAAAAGGATACGAGTAGGTTGCTCTGCCATTTTGTCACTTCAGGGCTTCTCCCCTCTCTGCCACAGCGCTCTTTCATCCCTGTGTCTTTGCGCGGCGTGGAGTGCCATCGTTGCAACCCCCCGCCTGACCTTTGTCCGTTCTTACCACGGACAAACAACCCACACTGCCGCTCGTTCCAGTGTAAATTCCCCTGTCGATCGTTTTCTTCGTCTTTTCCCTTCTTCTTTCGCTTCTAGCTGTGGAATATTCGACAACTTGACCGGCAAAATACGATATCAAAGCGCGTGCTGAAGAACCCCACATCGAACGACCCCTTTTTTCTGAACTCGGCACACCAAAAAGCGAGTGCCATCCGATTCAGCTCTCGTCGGCAACGCCCCCTGCTAGTTTCGGGGTTGGCCGAAGCTTCGAACGTCCAGAGGTCTGAGATGGCCTGTTTTGCTTGCTCTGGCTGAGGAAGTTTTGTTGCAGACCACCCAGAGCTCCCGTCGTCCTCGCCGTGGCCTGGGTTGGTGGCTAAGCTTCAAGTAATGTTGGTATCCCAGGTCATGTGCCCTGGCTCGGCTATGCGCTGACTGTCTGGTGCAGTTAATGTATTAGTTCAAAACAAAAGTCACTCGTTACCATGGTGTCGTTCTTTGGGCTCAACATTGGGGGCAAGAAGAAGTGAGTGGTCGTCCAGCGATCCTACCAAAGGGAACCCTTGCGAACCGCTGATGCCACAGGAAGCCCGACGAGAAGCCCGCCCAAGAGAAGCAGCCGCAACAATGGAAGCGCATAGATCAAAACGCCCTGGGAGAAGGTCAATTCTTCGGGCAGAACGCCAACCAACCGGGTGTTGTCAACGGGAGCATTCGATCCGTTTCCCGAACCGGCACTCCCCAACCGACACGCAGTGCCAGCAGTCCGTATGCGAACCGAGACACCCATAATATGGCCGTCGCCAGCATGGCCGACTTGACTACTTCCGGCCCTGTGCGTTCGGGCGGCCAGGCGAGCGTCCTCCTCAGGCCTCACGCCTCCGAAGCGAATATCCGGACCCGATTTGGCACGAACAACGGGTCCTCGGCGAGCCTCGCGGGTCCAGCGCCCGGCTTCGGAGCTCGATTTGGCGCCAACAATGGGTCTTCAACGAGCCTTGCCGGCCCCGGTCCCGGATTCGGGTCGCGGCCGGGAACTGCAAGCGGTAAGGCGAAACCGTGGGTCAATCCCTTGGATGTCCATTTCGCAAGGGACGCTCCCTCCGGTCCGCCTACGCCCAAGTCCCCGTACGCCGATTCGATACAGCTCCCGCAAACTCCTACCACGGACAACGGCGACACGGGGTCGGTGTTTGGTGAAGAGGCGGACGACATGGTGGACGCTGTCATGGCCTCGGTCAAAAAGCGGGAGCAGGAGGAGAAGGCTGCTAAGAGGAGGGAAAAGGAATTAGAGAGGCGGAGGGAGACAGCCCGACTGGACATGGAGAGGCTGGAGAGACAGAAGTCGACCGAGAGTACACTAACGGCGAGGGGCCCTTCGGCTCCACATTCACCGCTGGAGCCACAACAAAAGCCTTTCGAAGAACTGGCATTGCAGGGCCCCGTGTTCAGGGGCGACATGGATTCGAGACCTAGCAGCCGCCACGGGCCAGCACAGGCGCCCTCCTGGCACCAAGGGCCGCCTCCGACGGGCCCTCCAACGCAGTGTCTCCCCCAGCCGCCTGGCCAGGGGCCACCGCGCCAGGGACCGCTCGGCCCCGCTGGTGAATGCCGCAGTGGGCGGTCACCACGGCCGGCTATCAATGGGCCCGGGCCAGGACCCGGACCCGGACCTCGACCGAATGGTTCTGGTCCTCAGCAATTCCGTTCTAAAGGCCCCTCTCCTGGCCCTCAAGGTACCCAGTCTCGTGCCCAAGGCCCGGCGCCGAATGACCCCGCCGAGAAAGTCTTTCGCCCTTACCGGCCGCCTCCTCTGCAGGGCTCCGGTCCTCTCGGGCTGATGTCGGAAGGACTCCGGTCACCAAGCCCTGCCCACAATGCCTCCGGTATCAAGGGCTATCGCGCACAAAGTCCTGCGCTCCGAAGTCCGGCGGTACGAAGTCCACCTCCCATTGAACACCATGCCGCAGTATTCAGTTCGGACCCGGAAGCACCTAGTAGCAGACGAGGCACGCCTGGTCCCGAAAGGCAGGGACTAGTACCACTGATATCCTCCTTGACTTCCCCATCCACTGTGACCTCACCAGGTTCAATTCGTCGACTGTCTGTCGATGACGAACCAATCGAGCCGTTTACACGGCCCGTCATTAAAAATGTCATCGCAAAACGCGATACTCTGACTTCTAGCACCCCTCGACAGCACAGCCTGTCAATGAGGATCGAAGAGTTGGAGAAAACACTTCTGGACGCGCAGCAAGCTCACCCCGTGCCAAAACTTCCAATTCCGGAAGACAACAGAACCAGTACGAGCAGCAGCGTCTACAGCGACGGGATTAAGGACGAGGATGACGACGACGACGACGGTCCAATCCTGTCAATCCACCCAGCTCCGCTCCGCATCATGTCACCTCCTGTTCCCTCCCATGCTACCGGCCCTGGTCCTGCACCTGGCGCCACCATGTCCCCTCCGGCTCCCATCCCTGCCGCCATCGTCCGGCCGCAGAGCCCCATGCGAGGTCCGCCGAGGCGGGGACCACTTCCTCGCCGCCCCGGCTTGGAAGAGTATGGCGTGTCTAGCAAAGCAGTTAATAGTCGAGGGGGAACACCTACTCCTGCCTCCAGGAGCGGCAGCATCGACAACTACAGCTCGCACAGCTCTCCACCGTCATGCACGAACACGCCCCAAGTCCGACATCCCAACGTCAAACGCGACCTTACCCAACCCAGCCCAGCGCCGACGGTTGACACGCTCGAGCGAGCCCGCCCGAATCCTGTAGTTGATACGGGTTTCAAGTTTGACTTTGGCCCCGGCCCAGGAGTTATCGGCCCACCCACCCCCGACTCGACCACATGGTCGCTGGCGTCACCGGCTGGCGATGTGGGCTCGACGCTGCCTCCCCCGACTTCTGACCCATCTCAGGCACAGGGGAAGAGTGAATTATCGGCAAAGTTCACCCGCTCTCACGTCCCGGCCCCACTTAACTTGAAGTTTAACTTCTCCCCTGACGCCCCGTCGCGTGATCCGACCTTGGGTAGCCCAGGGGGCATGTGGACACCACCTATTCGGTCGGCTACCGGATCAACGATGGACGGACGACCATCCACCTCCGGCGGGCCTGGTGGGCCTGTAAGTGGCGGCGGGCTGGCCGCCTCACCGAGCTTCCTCTCCAAGTTTCCCGACCTATCCGCGCAGGGAGACGATGACCCGGCTGCGTTCATGGGGATCGGTATGGCGCGGGGGCCGAGTATTAGGGACGTTAGGAGGCCGAAGACGTCAGGAGCGAGGAAGCCCAAATTGGGAACGATTGATTCTCGCGGGACGGGGTTCATCTAAGGCACTCGTTATTTTCCTTTCGGTCATTTTCCTTGCCGTTGCATACATCATTTGTCTGATACCATCTTTCCTTTCTATACCCCATCTACCAAGATTTTTCATCATTGCCTCCATAAGCATCTCAGGATAGACTCTGCATTCGATCACAAATGATCACTTCATCGCATTTATATGCTATCGCTTTAAACCAAATGACCTGCCCTTCCAACGCGGGGGTATAACGCCAGACACATACAACAACCATCACCCACCCCAATTTTACAAATCACCCACCAGCAAAATCATCACCCCAAAAACCCCCTCACCGCCCCGCCCACCCCCTCCACATCCAACAGGAATGTGTCGTGCCCGAACAGGCTCTGCACCTCGCTCAGCTCGTGGTGCTCCACGCGCGCGTTGCCCGCCTCCCGCAGCGCGTCGGCCACCTCCCGCTGCTGCCACGCCGGGAACAGGATGTCGCTGGCCACGCCCAGCACCAGCACCGGGTGGTTGCGCAGCGTCTTGAGGCCGGCGACTAGGTCGGCGGGGGGTTGGGGAGTAGTGGTGCCTGGGGATGTGGTGGTGATGGTGGTGGGAGGTGAGGGTTGGGGTTGTTCTTCGTAGGGTTTGTCCGGGAGGGTGAGGCTGCAGGTTCCGCCGGAGGGGGTGGCAGATTGGGAGGACGGGGATGATGGTGATGGTGGGGGGGTGAGGGCGTGCTGGGCGCGGCGGGCGGCGGTGGCTTCCTGGTTGGCGCGGCCCAGGTCGAAGAGGTCCATGGCCTTGCTGACGTAGAGGAGGCTGTTGGGGTCGTAGGTCAGGCAGAACTTCTCGCCCGCGTGGTCGAGGTAGGTCTCGACGAGGAAGTCGGGGCAGAGCGCGGGGGGCTTGGAGCCGTCGGCGCGCCGCCGCCCGAAGCGTTGTTCCCACTCGGGGCCGGACCGGTACGTGATGGTTGCAATTTCGCGCGCTAGTTTCATTCCTACGTGGGGGGGGACTCGCCCGTAGTAGAAGCCGCGGTTCCAGTGCGGGTCGTTGAGGATTGCTCGCCGCTGCACGTACCGCATCGCGATGCTGTAGGGGTGGCTGCGCGCGCAGGCCGAGATGGAGACGATGCGCCCGACTCGCGAGGGGAACTCGACCCCCGCTGCGAGCGACTGCATGCCGCCCATGCTGGAGCCCACGCTGGCGTGCAGCGTGTCCACGCCGAGGTGGTCGAGCAGCCGGAACTGCGCCCGCACCATGTCCTGGATGGTCAGGATCGGGAACCGCGTCGCGTACCGCTCGCCGTCGAGCGGGTCGATGCTGGATGGGCCGGTCGACCCGTAGCACCCCCCGATCACGTTGGTGCAGATCACAAAGTACTTGTTTGTGTCCAGCGCCAGCCCAGGCCCGATGAACTTCTCCCACCACCCCGGCTGCGGGTTTTCGGGTGTTGAGTGTGCGTGCGAAGAGGCGGATAGCCCTGTGTGTAGCAGGATTGCGTTGGAACGGGCTGCGTTCAGCTGGCCCCATGTCTCGTAGGCGATGTCGAACTCGTGCAGCTGGCCGCCATGGTCGAGCAGCAGAGGATCGGTGCAGCGGTAGATCTGGGTTGCGCCCACGGTGTAGGACGGCTCTGGCCCGCTCTTGTCGGAGCGTGTGGAGGCTTGCTGCTCGAGGGTTGCCGAGCGGGTTTCGAGGGCGTCGAGGCAGGGGAACTTGATCGCTGGGTTCGAGGGTGCGCCGCTGCGTCGGGCCGTCTGGCCGTGGATGTATCGCGCCGCATTGCTGCAGACGGGCTTCACGGTGTGGTGAACGGGTCGGGGAACGGCTGCGCCGGAGAGGAGGGTTTTCGCATGTCGCAGGGTCGATGTCACTCGTTGCGACTTCATGCTGTGTGCTCTGCCAAGTGGTGTCGGTGGGTGGACGAAGGACTCACTCAGCTTGGCAGGTATGCAATGGGTAACCAGAAGCTGCACATCGATTGTCGTGGTGGAGGGAGGGATATTATGGGCGCCGGGGCCATTCCTGGGGCCGTTACCGGCGCCGTGGGTGTATTTCCAATTCACTGCTTCGGTTCAGTCCGGATCTTCCGTTTTGGGGCATTTCGCCATTTCACGTGCCCTCTTGGCATTATTGATCACTCAGCAAGCGGGGCAGCCCTGTCGAGATCCCTGCAGAGGTGCTTTTCAGCTCTTGGCGGATTGTGGGGTGATGTCATGCCCCACTCCTTTCAACTCCCCACGATGTCCTACAAGGCAAGAAGCAACAACGGCCCTTCGCATTGCTGCCTGACCAGTTCTTTCTGGATAATACAAGTACCTTACTTCCCGATCTAGAGTAAACGCCTTCCTCCCAATCTTCCCCGCGTATGCACTTTCCATGACCATCGACGCAAAAATCACAGTTACACTCGGCGCATCAGTCTTCGCCTATTACTTGTATTCGGTCTGGACGACATTAGGGAAAATGGCCACAACTACTGGCAGTTCTGGGGGCGGCCAATATGAGCCCAGTGTCGTTGATGTCATCGTTGTCAAGGCCATGTTGACCAAGGCTCTCAGTTTCCCTCCTGAAATCATCGACAGAATCGTTGACCTTGCCGAGTACTGGCCACACACTACCACCGAACTCAATAGCACCACCGTTATTGCCCGGGGGAACAACCAGTTTCACAGGCCAAGCGATAAGTCGTTGGAAAATATGTTCCTAGTACGTATATCCCGCCTACCCTGTTGTTGCCTTTGCCCCCAACCCTACAGGTTGCTGATGGACTCTCGGCTTAGCTCCGCTCCACTCCTCTTGGGTTGCATAACTGGAAGCGCGTCTCCAGCGCCGCCAATGATATACCGATCGAAAGAACGCCGCTTAAACCTCAACCGCCGGGGGAAGAGTTTTCGGCCGATGACTTCCAGCAGCTTATCGCATCTCCCGTATCAATACTCGCGCAGCCCTGCCGTCGCATCGTCTTCACCATCCGTAGCCGTGACCAAGGCTTTAGCGGCGTCCGTGAAGACCACGGCACATATAACGGTTCATGGACATGGTTTGAGGTCGGATTGGAACGCTGGTGCAAAACCAGCCCCGCCCAAACAAGTTCGCCGGAACAGCCTGAGCGAACCGAACAGCAGTCCCCGCAACCATCCCTGAAGCTGGATGACCTGTGCACCGTGATTCCAGAGGTGGGGTGGGAAGGAGAGGTTCAAAACGCCTACATCTTCAAGCACAACCTTCATCCGTCTGAGGACCTCAAAGTTCAGTGCAATGTGACGGCCGAGAAAGAAGTTGTGGAGCACCGCGTGGTTTGGAGTCACACGGACGATGTCGACCCAGAGCGTGATGTTGAAGCTGCCACCAAACTCACAAGACAAGGCCGAGGAAAGGCTACGGGGAACGGCAAATTTGTCCGTGACCTCAAGTTGGGCGACGTCGTCACGCTCTGGTCCAAAGCGAGGTTTCCCTCCTGGGCCAACTTCGTCGAATCGGCGAAGATCGATGTGTATTATGCGATTTGAAACCTCCCTAGCATCGGCGTTCGGAGAAGCGCGAGATACATTCGTAACCTAAGACATAGATTCGTCAACATCTTTTGGGGAATTGTGGTGCCACGGTGAGACATACATGCGTGGATCAGCCGTGTAGGACGAGATCGTGACGAGACACAGTGAACCCGTAGATCAAAGACCGAGCGCATGCCGGCTGCCAGACAAGTCTCATGTCTATTCCAGCCTCGCAATTATTTCCCCCTGACCGCTCCTTTGCCTCTCAAGTAATAAGGGGTTGGTTGGCTAGATGGGTCTTCACCGGACATCCGAGGGATGAGACAACATCAACGCCTAGCCTTTGTTTCTCTCCCCGCTGAAACCATAAGGCGGTTACGTACTCACCTCGAACAAAGCATTCCTAGCCCGATCTTGGGGAACTTCCCGCCTCGCGCTTTGACGATCCGTCACCCGAGGCACGTTCGAGGGGCCATATCGGACGACCACTTACTCCCCACCAGATCATCCCGTCTCGCCAACATCGGATCACCGCAACTGTCGACTTTCTGCGGGTGAAACACCGGGACAAAGCTTGTCTTTTGGCGGCACGCCAGGGACGGGCGAAGAGGGCGCCGTAGGTGAAGACAAACTGAAAGGGGTTGGTTATTTGCATTATGTCTGGGGCAAGTTACGTCTATAGGAATAGGCAAGGCCCATGGGACTCAATTCACCACACTCGACGCCACACACACATTATAAGCATTTTCCATTTTCATTCCTTTCTCTGTATTCTGCAAAGCGGGGGTATGCGGTATGGGGTAGGGTATGGTATGGTCATGGACAATTCTCTTTTTCCCCTCTTCTCATCCTCTCTTGCCATGTTTTGTTCGCTTGCTTGCCGCTCCGCTCCGTTTCTTTCAATACAGACCCAGAACCAGACGACGACCAGACAGTAAAGAACCAGAAAACCATGGTATCCCGTTCTATAAAGTCCATGATGCACACAAAACATATGAGACACTGAAAAGGGGGAGGAAAAAGGGTAAACATAAAACTCGGACCCTCTCTCTCCTCCCGTAGTAGACCGACAACACAAAACAGACGCAGCCGAACAGGGGTCGGTGGCCAACCGACTTACCGCGCCTTTTCCATGGGATGCTGCTGCTGCTGCCCGGAACACCCGTGACCATGACCCTGAGCCGAGCCGAGTCGAAACCCCCCCGCCTTGCGATGCCCGGAAACGCCATGCCATCTCCGGCCGTACCATCACCTTCCAACCCGTCCATTTCTCATCGCTGATAGTCCTAACAATGCTTCGCTTCATCCCATGGCAGCGTAAACGTCCGCTCGTCGAATTCGGCCGGGCGACAGACAATGTGTCGTTTCCATAATCCCGGAAAGCTCCGGCCCACATTACTCTCGCGGGGAGCCCGTCGCTCAGGTATGGCGGGCAGAAAGCGCACCGTTTTGCCCGTAGTAAACCGTACCCACTCCCCCCGGAACTCCAGGCAGGTCAAACGCCACGACGCCAGGCTTAGCTAGATGTGCACCCATGGCCCAAATCAGATGGCGAGATCCTGAAGAAGCAAGGCAGTTGTCCAATACAAGAGACCCCAAACGCACACAGAGAGGAAGACCTCGTAAACAGATGGGCCAGAGACTGGAAACCATGGACACTGAAGTATCCAAGAAAGCTCGCCCACCCGGCCAGTCAATCTGAACGCCCACCGCGCGGCCTGGCCTGGCCTGATCCGGCTCGGAGGCTGGCATACGCAAGCTTCCAGGCTGGCTAGTAGCTCAAGTACAACACCGCAATACCACCCCTGAAGAGCGGATTGTTCAGCCGCCCTTGCGGTCGGCGTCGTTCTTGGGCGGCGGCTCGCTGTGGGAGGAAAAGCTGTTGCTATTTCCGCCACCGTTGCTATTGGCCGCGGCGTGCTTGAGGTCCGCGACACCCTTTTTACGCGATTTGGACTTCTGCCAGCCGTTGAAGGACTCGGTTTGACTCTTCGCGGCGCGGACGTGTCCATTCTCTCTCGCGAGCCCGTTGATCCTGTGGTCGTGAACGGGTGACCGGGTCGTCGAGTCCTGTTGATGCTGCTGCTGGCGTGCCGACGAGCCGTTCGGTGACCTGCTGTTGTTGTGGTTGGAACCCTTGTGCGACGGCTTGGAGTATTCCTTCATCGACGGCAGTCCTGGCGCCTGGGTGATGGGCGATGGTTCGAACCTCCGCGCCACTGTTGGTGACGGGGTGCGGTGCTCGTACACAGGGGAGAGATGCGGCGACTCCTGGTGGGATGCAAAGTCTCCCATGGCGAGGTCCAGTGGCGCTAGCTGCTGCCGAGTGTGGATCCGTGAAAAGCCTGCCAGATTGTTGGGATCGCCAGCAACTGCTGAATAAGGTAGCTGAAGCCCGGGCCCCATGGCAACCCGCTGCTGGAAGGATGCGTCTATCATATTCGGCATGGCGGTGGAAGGGGAGCGGTTCGTTGAGGAGCCGTTCACAATGATTGGCCGCTGCGAAGCTGGCGTTGCGACAGGCTCGGCGCTGCTGGGTGAGGGAGTGGTCTGCGAATCCGGCCACGAGCTGCTGGGGCTCACGCCTTGGATGTGCAGAGCATTGTCATGATTGTTGATGCCATTCGTTGCAAGGGATTCGGTGACCGCTGCCGGATGCGCTGACCCAGCAGTGGAAGCGTTTTTGGGTGCCGTTCCATTGACCACCAAGGGCTTCGACGGCAGCTTCCCGTTGGTTTGATTGAAGGGTGTCGAGAGCATCGGCGCGGAATTCGCCCCAGTCGATATATTCCTGGCGTGTCCCATGGGTGAAGGCGACCGCGACGTCCGCTTCATCCTCCGATCAAGTACAGATTGGGGCAGTTGATCAGTCGACAACCGGCGGCGCCCTCCACCGCCCTGGCCGTTCTGGCTCGGCTCGCCGGACGCCTTGCCGTTGCTGGGCGTACCGTTGCTGAGATATCCGTTCGCTTGCCGACTCTGGCTCGAGTAATCGTTCACATAATACCCCACATAACGCGGCCCGTCGTCTTGTGGTGGCGAGTCCGACAAAACCTTCGCAGACGCATCGTCAAATCCCAAATCACTTGCCTCGTCTGGGATGAAGCCATTCATGTGCACGCCGTTCACCTGGCGTGACTGGGATGCGGAGGCCCCGTTATAGGCCTGGCTAGACGTCGAGTATCCGGCCATGGATTGGGACGTAGCCATAGGGGTCCTCGAAGCTGGCTGGGATTGCGACCTAAGGGTACCACTGCCAGGCGAGGTGCCCGCGTCACTCGCTGCCGCGTTACGATGAAGGCTCCGCCGATATTCAGACTGCCCGTTGGCTGTTGCAGCCGCCGTTGCCGGCGACGAAGGATAAGTCGTAAACCCCGGATGGAAATACGGGGATGGTTGAATCGGATATCCCAGGTTGTACATAAGTTCAGGCCGGATGGGGGCTGTCAACGGCGGGTTGTCGAAGGAGTTGGTGCGAGACCTGTCCGTTGCCGAGCCATTCTGCATCCGCTGAGCATGGGCGAGCACCTGCTGCTGGCTGAGCTGCGTGTACAGCTGGAAGCGCATCGTCTCCTGCGCGGCTAGAGCATTGAGCGATGATGTTAAGAACTCCTGGGGCACGCTGAGCTGCGGGCTCTGGGCTTGGTACCACAAAAGGTCTTGAGTACTCAATGTAGGAGGGAGCGTTCCTTGGGCGAAAGCTTGGTTATTTTCGTAACCAACACCGGACGACCCCCTGCGATTCGCGTTGTTATTCCGGTGAAACTGCCGGTTGCCGCGGAACCCGCCGCGGTTGCGACCGCCACCACCGTGCTGTTGCGAAGCGCTCCTCACAAGGATCGGCCTTGGCGCCGGCGCCGGCTTCTGCCATATCCTCTCCTCTTCTTTGGGGAAGACGTACTCCTCGCACCACTGCTCGAACTTTCCTTCGGCAATCAAGTCGAAAGCCCTCCGCAGCTCCATATGGAGCCCCCGAAAGGATGTGTCATCGGCCGTATTCCCGAGGTTGCGTATTGTGTTGAACGGCTCCTCGATACAGAGAGCGTTGTTCGAACCAATGTGCCACTTCTTTTCCGTCTTGGTTAGCAGTCTCCCCGTTCGTATTGACAAGGCATGCTTGTCGTAGTCGAATTCGTGGGCGTAGAAGCGGAAGAACTGAAAGAGGAGGGTCGCCAGGCTGTCTTTGTTCTTCGCGCCGAAACCTCGCAGTTTTGGAATGTCATCGCCAAATTCGCTGCGCGTGCCGTCCGGTTTAAGAAGCTTTAGGTTATGCCGTTGGTGGAGCGCGGGCAACACAGGAGGCTCGCGCAGTTGGAGGAACGCAATGATCATGCAAATCCAGGTGTAGGAACTCAGGGTTCCGCCGAATGCTACGTAGCGGGTGTGAGAACCGGTGCGGTCATGGTAAAATGGGCTGGGGTTACGAACCTGCATCGTTGATGATCCTCCTCCGCGTCCAGTACTTGATGATGATGGCCAGGGGCCGCACGCGGTCGTCGATACTAACGTAGGTCCGCACCATGCGGGTGTTCTCCAGGGCCAGCGTATTGTTGACATTCATGTCGCAAGCCAGATTCAGCTCGGGGTCCCAGATCTTCACGATGGGGACCTTGGCGGACGAGACGCAGACAACCTTTTCCATACCGTCTGATTTCCATTAGTTTCTCGCCAACTACGGAAGGGGAGGGGGCCCATACGTCGCTGTAGAAGATCGGCGATTAAGCAGACGCTCTCCAGGTCCCGCCAGGGGGTAGTAATGCAGATGTCAACTGCGCTATGTCAGCGTAAGCTCCAATGAGGGTTCTCAAAAACACTTACCGTCAGAGTCATCGGAGCACAGGAGGTTCCCAGATGAACCGAACAAGTTTACCCGGATGTCGTGGCCTGGCCACTCGTCGTTGAAGAGCTTCTCGAGTTTGCTAACCAGCTTTCGCCGGTTGCTCTCGATCGCATCTGTCGGTAATAGCCTGCTGAACAACTCCTGGATGTGGGTTTCGAGCTTCGCCTCCCCTTCTTCCGATAGCTTGTTCTTGATCTTGTCCGCGCCCACATTTTCGAGCCTGTCGGTCCCAAGACTGTAGGGCATGCGGCGGCGCGAGTGGGGGACCGCGGTCTCAAACCGACACCCTCCAAGCCTAGGGGGAAGCGGTCGGAGAGAGGGCACATTGCCGTTGGTCTCGGAGTAGGCGGAGCGTGGGGAATGGTTTTGCGTGGCGCCGGGCGAGTGCTCGCGGGATTCGAACGAGTATTTTCGAGGATGCTGATGAGGAGTCGATGGCACCGAGCTCGACTGTGCGGCAGCGAATGGCGCGCTTTGGGCGGCGGAGGGCGGGAGCCGGGCGGACACCTCGGACGATTTCTTGGCCGGCATTTTGGACGGCTGTTCCTTTCCCGATTTCATAAGCGCGCGTTCGGCGATCTCTGATGATTTCGCTGGTCTATTCCCATGACAGCTTTGGGCGGCCAGTTTTGTGTGGGTGTTGTCCTTGTTTGACACCTTGGAAGATGACCTCGACCGCGTGGAGGGTTTTGTTTGCGGGGAGGAAAGCACAGGAGGGAGTGGCGGCGTCTGCAAACCACCTCCACCGCCCCGACCGGCCGAAACGAGCTTGTTGTATTGAAGGAGCTTATCCTGGTAGAGCTGCTGCTGAGGAAAGAGGATCGGGAGGAGCTCGAGCTGGGAGCCGAAATAGCCCGTCGAGGACTCGGATGGCGACGTGGGCTTTGCCCTCGGTGTCGCGGAGGCGGAGGAAGCACCCGACCAAGCGTGGGACTGGCAGTGATGCTTGGGTTCAGCCGCTACAGGCTGGCCGTCCATGAAGCCGAGCGTGGTGCAGGGCAGCCCCCAAATCCACTTCCTGCAGGTTTGACTCCGGCACGTGGGCGTAGCCTAGCGCTCGGAACGCGTTGGGATGGGATGAACCCTGCGCTTGGGATGCCCTAGATGTGGGTGGCGCCCGCAGCGTGCTGGCAGTTCTGCAACCTCTCGATTACACCGCGACTCCAGAAACACTTGTGAGGACCAGTGGTCCAAGCACTCGAAATCGAGACAGTGCAGGAGCGATCGAAAATGCCCAGACCCCTGAGTATCGGCCGAGCAACCGCGAGAATGTCGTGACGATCTTGGATGGCAAGTTGCTTGCTCCCAATGCCGATCACCAACAGTATGTAAAACTTCAGCAGCGAAATCGACCGCGGATGTCCGAAATGATTACAAGTTGTGTATCGATGTGCTCCTCGTGAATCCTGTCAGTATGGAGCAGTACAGTGGTATGGCCGGTAAGCTTCGATGGTCGGACGAGATCACCGGTCGAGATCGGTCGGCCGGCGGTAAAGATGGCGACGTAGTCCAATTTTTCGGTGCTATACCAGGGTGCAAAACCAAGCCTGTGGGCAGACCGCAAGACGGTCTCGTCGCGAGGGGGCCGAGATTCGACAGTGCGATCAAGCACGGTCAATGCCGCAGAACGATGCTGGCCCCGGAAGGAACGCGCAAAGACGATGGACCAACTCGGAGCAACCGGAGAAAGCCGTCGGGTAGAAAAAAATACACGGAAATCTCGAGGCGTGATAATATTTGAGCGAGTCGACCGGGACGCGTGTGGGCGTGCGAGTGTGCAGGTGTGCAGGTGTTGCGGGTGTTGCAAGAGTCTCGTCTCGTATCGAAGCGGTTCGCCGGCGTGTCTGGGGAATGAGGAGAGAGTCAACCTGCAAAGTCCGGGCAAAGGGAAACCAAATTGATGCTGGCCAGCGTCGAGCTGGACGGTGGAGCAGCACAAGGGAAAAAGGCCGCTGACAAGGGAAGTAAAGGTAAAGGTAAAAAGGGGGTGCAGGCGGGAGTGGACGTCACTTGAGATGGCGGTTGACCGTTTCCATTGAACGATGCGGCCCTAGGGTCATCGGTCGACGCTGCGTTCAAAGCGGGAAACCTGGGTGCTGTCGCTTTGCAAGCAAGTGCCACACAGGGACTGGCTCGGGGCCAAGGCTAACAAAAAGGAGTCTCCAATATTAAGCCAAGGACGGCTCCACCACCACATTACCGCTCCACAGTGATGGCTTTTGGCCAGTCAGAGGGCGCGCCTCGAGCAGGAAGCAGCCCCGCCATGCCCCCCCAGCGGAAACCAACACTGCAGGGCCTCGGGATCCGCGTGAGGGCGGTTCCCCAGGGGCACAGGGGGCAGTGAGGTCACAATGCTGCCGAATCCACACAGAACAATCTTGAAAATGATCAATTTGAGCACGTAGCATTCCTCGAGATCTTCAGCAAAACCGCATTGAAGTTCCGAACCCCCAAGATCAAGTACACAACTAATTCTTTTGTGTGTACCTCGGTCGTCTCAAGGCAACCTTCAAGGTACCTTTGTTCTCCGCGAAGCCCCTCACTCCCACGTGGTGAGCTCTGTGGTTCTTTGAGGGCCCTGATGCCGCTTTCCGGTTGAGCTGGACGGCCTGAGTCAAGGGAAACACCCGACACTGGAGATGCGCAATTTATTTTGACCTACTTCCCCATAAGTTCCATACCTACTTCGAAAACCGGGCAGCAGAACAGTTAGCTCTTTCTCACCTCGGACATCTGGTGCACCTACTCGTAACCCAAGCAGCCAAGTCGAAAGCGCGGGTTTCAAGTGGCTCCTTCTCGTAATGTGTGCGAGGAATGTGGATTGGGGCTTGGATTTCAGTTGCCATGTATGTATGTACGAAGCACCTACGAGACTCAACTCCGGGTCCGAGTTATCACGCCCAGAAGTACCAGACCTAGACGCAGTTTCGTGAAAGATTTTAACGAGCAGATTCTCTATCCACCTGGTTTCTTTCAACCGATACTCTCAGAGAGTCCAAATTGTAAGTTTGCACGTAATTTGCATCCCCATCTTCCTCCATCACAATCTCACCTCAGCTGCCGTCCGGTTGCACAACATGATACCTAGAAGCCCGTCACAATTCGGCCCACTTGACAGCACCCCATGGTTAGGTCAATTGAGTCTTTGTTTTACCCCCAACAGCGGTGACAGCCGTCTCCCAAGCCTCAACAAGACACTTCTGTTGTGACATCGACTGAGCCGCAGCACAATGCGAGACCAAAAACCCGGCCATTCGGACCCCCGGGCTCCGGGTCAGTCATCGGCGAGGGGGATCCACATGCACCCAGAACCGACGGATTGGTGGTGCCCAGAATCCGTCAAGCCCGCACCAGGCCCAATTCATTGAAGAACCTGGGGTGACAGGATCGAGGCAACGAGTGTTCGCAGCACTCCCCCACCACTGCCTGCACTGTACCACGTGTTGCTTATGGCATTCCTTCGTTTCGACTCCGCCGTTACGAGGTAAGCTCCCACAACTTGAACCTCGGAGTCTTTCTTGGCTGCAAAGAGACTTTTACATAAGTACCTCCCCACCTCCCCTGACTTCCATCCCGATCGAAGATCTGAAGATCACTCGACCTGGAAGGAGCCGGGAATCCGTAACTTCAGAGACAACTCTGATTAACTCTCTCTGGAGCACGGTTCACCAACAAGGAACTCGGGCGCGCAAGGGCCCACCGAAGCCGCAATCCGAGTCTGGAATCCTTCCCGTTCTGTCCGGCGCGCGTCATGCCCCTCGTCCCAGGGTCCCCACACCCCGCAATCGGCGGCGTCAGACTTTGGGATCGGGCGGCCCTAATTTGGGCATCTCAGCGTATCGCTCGTTGGTATTGCATCCGCTCGATTATTAGACCAGTATTTGCTCAGACGTGGGTGGTGTGTTCCTGGGCGCGGCTAGCTGAGCTGTTCCCGGGTCGACGCAACCCCAGGCCGATCAACCGAGATGGCAAGAAGGCCTCGTCCTATATTTCCGACGCTGCAAAGTAACCCGTTTCTATTTCCGTCTCTACCATCCGGGAGGTCCTGGGCTCGATTCATTCACGCACATTGTTCTTGACGGCTTCCCCGGTGCAACGAAACCCAGGAACGAACGAGACACCGTGGTTTACCAAGCTCATCCTTCGGGGATGGACGAACGGCACTAACACAATGCTGTGTTTCCCGGTAAAAACAGCGTTGCGGAGGCCGTCGTCCGCACATTCTTTTGAGTCGGCCTCTCCATGGCTCCAGGTTCGCTGCAGGAAGTCCAGGAGCTCACCCGTATTCTCGAGCCGTTGTCGGATCGTTGTCGAGTCAAGACCACCTCCGCACATCCGCATATGTCCAGCCACACTCGACACAATGGTGATAGACTCCGAGTCGCTCTGATCTCGTTCTCGACCGTCTACACACAAACAATCCGACCGTTGGCCAAACAAGGCTGAAAGAGAGTTGGAACCCCCGCAGTAGTTATCCAATCGGATCGAAAGTTCTTCTCAGGAACCGCCCGCCACCACACGTGGCAGGGTGGGGGGTTCAGAGCTGTCAGCCTTGTCAGGTCCAGGCCGCGCCAGGGCAAAGCGGGTTGGGCCAGGGGTCTCTCCAGGAGCAGCTGCAATCTTGCTCCCGTGATTCCTCATATTACTTTAGAATTACCAGGCGATCTCGAGAAACTCGAGCGCACCAGACACGCAGTCATTTCCAGTTGCAACAATGTCCCTTATCCCTTCGACATCAGCAACAATCCGTCGGCAAAGCGTTGGTTGTGCGGGCCGTTGGCTCCACTAGCACTTGGGAAGTTTGGCTACAGTTATGTTAGCCCAACCAACATTCGAGTAACCAAGAGGGAAAGGGGGTCGTACAGGCACTGCAGTTGTTGTCGGTAAAGTGCCCATTGACGTAACACTGGAAATTGCGGGTCGGCGCGTAATGCCAGCCGCTGTGGAGAGTTATTCGGTCAGCAAGGAACAAGACCTGACTCACTCCGGCTGCAATCGCAGCCTGCGGCAACAACACATACCAATTGGTGGCCCCGTTCCGGGTGATGCATTCTCCGCTCTTGTAACACTTGAACCAGAGAAGCTCGCCATTGTTCAAGGATTCGACCACCCTGTATCCGGTACCCGGGCCCGACCGGCAGTTCACGCCCGAGGGGGCGTTGACGATCCTGCAGTCACCGTCGATGCGGGGGGCGAGGGCGTCGTTGCCGGGGTTGCGAGACTGGAGATCGTCGGCGTTGGCTATGGGGCTGGCGCTGAGGCCGCTGGGGAGGAGGGAGGCTACGAGGAGGGGGAGGAGCTTCATTGTGGTGGTGGTGGTGGTTGTTAGTGATGGCGGTGGTGGGGTTTTGTGGTTGGGCTGCCTTGGAGTGTCTGCATCTTCGCGGAGTGGAAATGGGAAGGCCTTTTTATATCCGACTTTTGGTTTCTACCAGTCAACCCGTCGATGGCAAGGAACAAAGGCGGCGGGACGGGGAGAGAGGTAAGACGGTGAGATTCTTCCCGGCGCGTTGTCACGATGCCCAAGTTAAAATAGTCAAGGTCAGTTCCATTCCCCCCAGACGCCAAGCAAGCGCTTTCATGTGATCGCCGTTCCCCTCCCCCACACTGCCTCGGCGAAGCCTGACGGTTGGGAAAACTCCATGGAAAGAACATCGTGAGGCTCGGTAAGGTATCTGCCAGCAACTCGGATCACGCACCTGCCGTCCTCTTTCTCGAAAAACAACCTCAGGTAGGATGGTAATTTGCGAGCACGGAAGCGATCTTGTTTGCCTGAAACGGGCCAATCGCAGTTCCATAATGTGCAGTGCCAAGTGGTTCCTTCCTTCAACACGAAAACATACGGCCCCCAACAACACAGGACCTCCGGGTGAACTCGCGAGGCTACTACGCCCAGCAGTGTGCCTGGGCGACTCTTAACCCCGCCCCCAGCCGATGGATTTGTGTTGATATTTTCATCCTTCTCTTTCGCAACTGAATCTCAACCCAGCCTCTGCCAACTAATGAGAATACCCTGGTCATCATGGCCAGAATCACGGACTCAGTCACAGCTATCTTCACCCCAGATCCGACATGCTTTGCATCGTCGAATCTGTGGCTCCAGGAAAATTATCGGTGCGGCACATACTACACGCCATTCCAACCGCGACCGACTAATTCCGTCTCCCTTCCCCCGTGCCCCTTCCCCCGATTGGGCCCTCTGCCTGCCACAACCCGAGATGCGAACCACGCCGCTTGCTACCAGTATAACCCATATTCAACTGGATACACCGCCTATAGTGAGTGCCCGGAGGGCATGACGGGCGCTGCCACCGATACCAGGCAATGGTATGATGGTTCCATCAGCGTAGTTGAGACAACATGCTGTCCAACGTGAGTAGTAAAAAGATGGGGGACCCGCCGGCCACCTGCACAGCGATATCTGACGGTTACAGCGCCTACGACTTCAAGGCCCCTAACAGCGCCCCGACTGCTGTCCCCTTTGTCGTCGACGGCACCACCCACCCGGTGACTTTTGGGACCGCGAACCTGTGCAAAGCCACGTCCATCAGGGACTTCTCGGACCAGGTAGTGACCGTGACTCTTTCCACGTCGCCTCTCTCAACAACCGAGTTGCCATGGGATTACGAGCACGGCTTCCTTGTGGCGGAACCGGCCCGCATCGTCCGGTACCTCTACCCCGACGAGCAGGCCGGCACAACCTCAACCTGCTTCGGCTACCGCTGCCAGTCGACCCCCATCAGCCAGACCAGAACCACCCCCACTTCTGCCCCGACCGATTCTTACATCCCGCCCCCTTCGCCAGCGGTCACCCAATTTACCCCCGCACCATCCTGCGTCTCGGATTCTAACCTCTGGATCGTGTCGGCAAGCTGCTTTCTCAACGACGACGTCTCCCTCCGCAGCCCGCCCTGGCTGCAGTGCACCTATACGGCCGCCGGCGACCCCGACCCCTCTGATACGTCTTGCTATCAGGGCCGCACCTCCACTGTTATCAGCGGTACGCCCACCTTCTACTCGGCCTGCCCGGCGGGGTACACGAAAGCGTGGGGGACCACGTCCCAACCCTACGATCTGCCGCACTACGACGGCAACAAGTCAACCACGTACGACGTCTACGCAACCAGGAACGTGTGTTGCCCGTCGGTGTTCGGCGACGGGATTTCCTTCACCACCACCGAGATCAGCACGACACGGACCGTGTACGAGGGCCGGTCGCACAACATCCGCATCTACGTGGTGCCGGGATGCGTGGCGTCGAGCGTGTCGCAGTACCGCGACCGCACCGTCACTATGGGCCTATACAGCGACGCCCGCGTGTGGGACAAGAAGAAGCGCCAGGGCGTCGAGTACGGCTCCACCACCGCCGTCTGGGACGTCGCTCATGACACCCTCTTTGCCAACGCGCAGCATCTCAGCTGGACCGTCTTCCACGGCACCTACACCTGCTATGAGAACTGTGATGACTATTTTACGTACTCGTACCATAATACCGATCCCAACTACACCCCGCCACCGACCACCGCTGTGACGACCACGACGGCGGATGCGGATGCGGCAGAGGTGGCGACTTCGACCTCGACCGCCGCGGCTGCCGCGATGGTCAAGGGGGACGTGCAAGTTGGCCGGCTGTCGGTTGTGGTGGTTATTGTGACGGTCGTGCAGGTTGCTTTAGGGGCATTGGTGTGAAGTCCCCGGCTAGCAAGATAGCAGGGTTTGCCTAGGGTGATGGCGCGGGTTAGGCGGCGCCGGTAATGGCTTTCTTACGAAACATAATGACGACATGTACTGTACATTCTGGGCCATGTTAGTTTTATCACCGTCCATAACAAGAATATACCCTTGTCGCGGAGCTCATTCCCGGTGGTTACTCGTCGGGAAAAGGAAGAGGCGCAGCGAACAACATTCCACGACCGTCCAACGTGAGCACCCAACCAACCGGAAATTGCGGAGTATTCCCACCTCATCCCCATCACCAACACACCCAAGAAAGTGATATGGCCTTGCCAAGGGGCTCGTTCCGACAGGTCGGTGCCTGCGCGCGCTGGGCCGCATCTAGTCTACACAGGCAGTGACGGGCCCCGAGGCGGCGAGGCGGCACGGCGGCACAACGGCACAACGGCACAGCGGGCGGGCGCGCCGCCATGTTGTGAGGTTGCAGGCGGCACGGCCCTTGGAAGGGGGTGCCCGGGGGTTGAGGCTTGAGGCGCAGGCCAACGGAAATGTAGGGTGGATGGTGGATGGGTGGATGGGGTTGGGCCGTGGGGACGGAGATAAGGGGGTTCGTCAGGGGGGTTATGGGGAAACGGCCTGGGGTATGGTTCTGCCTGTGAGGTGAGAAACTACATACCTAGCACGGACAGGGGGATGTTGCACGAGTTGTTGGCGCTCCTGGTGGTTAGGTACATACTCGGCGTGATGTTGGTTGTTCTTTGGGATGTGCTGCGGCGCCCTCGGATATTTGTGGATCGACATACAGGCATATACATAGGCGGGAGTGTTTTGAGTGCTGATGGGATCCGTCTCGCCTCGTGTGTTAGTGCCAACTGCATGGAGCAGGGTCCGGGTTGTTGGGAGTTTGAGGGAGAACACTCTTTTTCTCTATGCGGTAAGTGGTATCGTGCTGCAGACCCGACACGGTTTATGGCGAGTTTGGCATGGCCCGCACAGCAGTCAATCTATCAATGGACTGCTCTTTGTCTGAGTCTCGACTCGTCGGCCCAGGGCTGGACCTCGGGACGGACGAGCGGATCAGCGGTCGTTGCAGCCTAGTGCAGAGAAAAGGATAAGGGATGGGCAAGGGCTGATGTGGTGGCCCTCGAACAAGCTGTCCGGTGATGGGTCCTCCGATATGGCATGTACCTGCAAGGTCGGTAGCTTTGACGCGCGAAGGGCGTAAGGTTGACTGCGGTTCAGTCCCCAATATATTTGTTTCAACCGTAATCGGATTTGATGTCAGGGCTTTCAGCCTATCTATCATGGAAGTGCTTTTCTCAGAGGTAGGTTCCGCAACCATGTAGTTCGCCGCCTCACAGTCAATAAATCTCTCGCCGTGCTTGTTTAGTTATTAGTGCGTGGACTGTGATTAAGGGAACCAACCAAGACATGCCACGCCATCAGGTTTTGCGGCTCTTTCACGGGGTGTCACAGGGCTTCCCTTCCCCTAACAGTCTCTTCCTCGGTGGCCCCCCAAGTCTTCCGTCCTTCCCAACTCGGCAAACTGCCTCGCTAAGGTAAAACCTCACCTTTTCGCGTCGGGCACAGGCTTCCCTTCTCACTGTACCTCTTTTACCTCACATCTATGATCTGTTGCCATGCTTTGCCCCCACGCCGAGATCAGAACTCGCATGTACGGCAAGGGAATCGTTGGCAGCACTCACATTACGGTAACATCCTGCCAAGCCAGCGCAAAGACATGCCCAGAATGCGATTTGCTGTTGAGAGTCGTGGAGGAGTATAAACCTGGCTGGTCGAACGCTGGCCATGCAGATGGCCGGTTGGAGCGCGTGTTGCATTTGGAATCCCCTTACGCAACCCCGGGTGTCGTTCGGCTCAGAGAAGGTAGTGGTGGTGGTTGGGGGTGGTTCAATAACCTTGAGGTAGTCGGCTCGTTTCGTTTCTTTCGCAAGGCCAAGGGTAGGTTAGCTGTATGCGAGGGTTTCATGCCCGTGTGTTGCGTAGGTAAGTGAAGCGTGCTTACCAGAACACAGGAGACATACTATCACTCCGCGGCGGCGGGTCGCAGGCCGACACGGTACTATACGAGAGCTTGGAAATTGTGGAAGCTTCTTCCTCGGCCGCGGCGATTCAACGCGCCTCCAAATGGCTCGCCCATTGTGTGGACCACGACAAGGAGGAGTGCAAGATCCTCAATCCTAGCTTCACCCCTCGTCGGTTACTCAATGTTGGCACTGGAGAACAAAACGGGGAGCCTTTTCTCTTTGAGCCAACGGTGCCGACCTTGTATGTGTGCCTGAGCTACTGCTGGGGCCCAGACGCAGCCGACGTCCTGACAACGACGAAGCACAACTTGCAGGCACACTATCAAGCTGTGCCGCTGGTGGCCGTGCCGCAAACCGTCAGGGATACCGTGACGCTCTGCCGCGGCCTGAAGCTGGAAAATCTCTGGGTCGACTCCCTCTGCATCGCCCAAGATGACACACAGGATTGGCTGCAGCAGTCTGCTGAGATGAGGGACATCTACGCCAACGCCCACCTCACGATCGCAGCCGAGGAGCCGGCATCATGCAAGCTGGGTTTCTTGGGCGAGCAACAATTTGGAAAACCCGGGTGGCAACGCGTATTTACCACCCATGTCCCAAAAGAAGCCGGAGGGCCGGACAATCAGCTCATATTGAGACCGGTAGAGGAGGGTGAGACCATTACCTCCGGCCGGGACGAGAGATGCTCGCTCGACAGCCGTGGCTGGTGTCTCCAGGAGAGCATACTGCCGACCCGCAGACTCTGTTTCAACGGGAAAGAGATGTCTTGGGAGTGCGGCAGACGGAGGATTTGCGAATGTGGCCACGCCCTATGGGGTATTACAGCGCGACCAATCTCCTACGGAAAGTAAGTGATGCCTCGTTGCACGGTTGTATGTACAGATGTACAGGGGCTGACCCGAGACTTCGCAGCGTGGGCGCCAGGATAAAGCAGGGCTACCAAAAAGGCCGCTGGGACAAGTGCACGCCCAGGGATGACTGGAAGGAGATGGTGGAGGACTATTCCAGACGGTCCCTCAGCAAGAAGACGGATAAACTGTCTGCCATTTCCGGCTTAGCAAAGTTGTTCGTGGGGGCACCATGGGAACAAAAGCCCTACTGGTATCCCGGAGGCGGACCGTTGGCTCTTCCCCGGACCCTCGCCTTGACGGTCGACAATTACAAAGCCGGGTTGTGGATGAACACTTTCATTTCCGACCTCGCATGGTGGCTGGTCGAGCCCGGATCAGAAAACAGTGGTCCGGTACCGTATAGCGCACCCAGCTGGTCATGGGCTTCCGTCGATGGCCCGGTGCGGTTTCAGTATAGTGAAGCCGCCTATTCACGGGATCCTACGGCTATCAGACGCATCGACTGTACAGCCGACGATGTCAGGTGTGAAACTATTGTGCCTTCGGACCACACAGGTCCGCTCAAAGCCGCATATACGGTTCTCACAGGCCCCTTGGTTACAGCCGAGCTCGTGGACCACCCACCTACGCCGTACTATACGGGAACAGGTTTCCCCGGCGAGATTCCGGCGCACCGATTATATGTCCACGGCTTGCAACTCTACAGCGCAGAAGTCGCTCTCGACCAGCCTAGAGATGTCTTCAAGGATCAGGCCTTCTTCTTCTTCAGGCTGTTCACCTGGAAAACACAGAATGGGAAAAGGGTAATGAATAAAGCGTGGTTTCTTGTGCTGAAAAGGTCATCGAGGGATGAAGCGGCGTTTGAGAGAATTGGTGTGGGTGTATGGTTGGATCCCCGGGAGTCTGATCTCCCATCGTTCGACGGCGCAAAACCGACGTCGATCAAGATCGTGTAGGGCCAGCGGTGGGATGTGTGTACCTGGTCTAAGGCTCTTAGTAAAATAAAAAAATAAAAAGAGACGTTGCAGCAAGGCTCTTTAGGTACTGTTAGAGGACTCGAGTACCTCGTCCAACTGCTAGCTGGGGTTTCCCCGATCACCGGAGAACATGATGCGGAACCCCGGGCGACGAAGTGGGGCCGGGTATCGATGTGGGGCCGTCGTCCGGACGTCCGGGGCTCCGGATTTAGACTCCGGCGTTTGTTCCGACGAGGTAGGGGGTTTTCTTCAAGTCACCTGTCATGACACGGGTGTAAGCTCAGATGATGAAATGCCGTCCTGCTGCAGAGGAAGAAATAAAAACGGGAAACCGGCTCCCACACCACCCCTTTTTCTCCTCCACCCCCCCTTCGAGTCAAACCGATGTGCCCCCTTACGGCCCAACACGTCTTTTGCCTATCTTTTTTTCGTGCCCTGTATTCTAACTTCTGGGTCGCTCTAGATCCGATCCCCTAGTATTTGAACGGTTCCTTTTGCCCCCTTCCTTTACCCGGAATTTGCCGCCTCCTCTTGAGTCTTCACGATCGGTTGCGTTCTGGACGCTTCTCATCTGAAACCTCCTTTCCAAGCTCCCATCTTTGTGACCCTCGGCTCCATGCATTATGCCCTATCAGCACCCGAGACTCACAGTGGATGCACCTATTGTGGCGTATGCCGTGAAAGGGCGGTGAGTTTCTCTTGGAGGGGACATCCCCGCGTCATCGCCAATGATTCTATATGGCATCAACAAGATCGCCAGAAAGCCCACTACAGAGGAGAAATCTGGATGGCGATTTACTGCTGCAGATCTCATTCGTGGAGACTGCGCCTGAAGATCAGATCGACCCCCTTTTTCCTTCACCCTATCCCTCCTCCTTTCATCAACCGGGTTCCCCGTCAACCAAGTGCGGATAACGCGGCAAGCCAAGGCTCGGTGTTAGAAGTTAAGCCTTGATACGCGCGGCGGTATCCACCATCACCAGCGATCTGAAGCACGAAGGGTCTACCCAAGCACCGAGGGTGGCTTGGATGTGCCCAAGTGGGCCGTCAGTGGAACCCAACGCCGTTGCCCGACTCGAGCTGCGGTAATGCCCAGCGGAGTGCGGGGCGGTTTCAGACGTGTCCAAGCAAACAAAGCCACAAAGGTGCTCCAGATGACCCCATTCAGAGCTGCCGGGCATGTGTATATAAAGGAGTCTGGCCGGCTCTGCCATGTTGGCGTAGTCCTGGTCCACAGACTTCCTTTACCGTTACACCAACAACACCCTCTTCAACACCATCATCCACCATGACTCAATACAACAACAACTACCCCCAGGGCGGCTACCCTCAAAATGGAGGCTATCCCCAGGGAAACCCGCCTCCGCCATATAACCAAGGCCAAGGCCAAGGCCAAGGGGAGGCAGCTGCCTACTTCGCCGGAGCACCCCAACAACAGCAGGGCTATGGACAGCAAGGCTATGGCCAGCAACAGCAAGGCTATGGCCAGCAACAGCAAGGCTACGGCCAGCAAGGCCCTGGACAGCAGGGTTACGGCCAGCCTCCGCAGCACCACCAGCGCGACTCTAACAACGGCCCTGAAGAAGATGGCCCGGCCGGTGAGCGTGGCGTGTTGGGTGCGCTAGGTGGTGGTATCGCCGGCGCCGTGGGAGGCAACAAGATCGGCGGCAAGGTGACAGGCCACAGCAAGATGAGCAGTACGTTCGCTTCTCTTTTCTTTACCCCTTTCCATATTCCGACACATGTTCTCTGCGTGGACTTTCCGCTAACTCATGGTAGCCGTGCTCGGTGCCGTGGCTGGTGCCGTTGCCGGACACAAGCTGCAGGACGGCGTGTCCGACTGGAAGGACAACCGGGACGAGGAGAAGGAGAAGAAGAAGAAGGAAGAAGAGGAAGAGAAGCGGAGAGAGGAGGAGAAGAAACGCCGAGACGAGGATGACAAGCGCCGCAGAGAAGATGATAAGCGCCGTAGAGAGGATGAGAAGAGGAATGAGCACCACCCCCCTGCCCGCCAGGAGCACCGCCAGGAGCACAACCAGCCCCGCGACCGCGGTGTCAGCTACGCCGGCAACTTCAGCAGCTCCGCGCGCGACACCCGCCTCGATGCCCACGGCGAGTACATGCTGCACACCTCGTGTAAGCGCCTCGACGGCTCGTACCAGAGCACCAGCATTAGCCTGAACAAGATCATCGAGAACGACCGGGGCAGCTTCCGCTGGTTTTCGGGTGGACAGAGCAACGGCGGCGGGCAGCAGAGCCACACCGTCCAGCCCGGCGACACCCTCCGCGCCATCGCTGGCCGCTACAACTGCTCGTTCGAGGAGATTGCCCGCAAGAACAACATCGCCAACCCCGACCTGATCCACCCCGGCACCGTCCTCCAGATCCCCGGCTCGGGCGGAAACAACAACAGCGGCAGGGGCGGTAACTTCGGGGAGTCGGCACGGGATGTGCGTCTCGCCGATGGCGGCCGCAGGCTCGACGGCGAGCTGCTCCGTGACGGCCGCTGGCTCGGAAGTTCCATCATCCTCGACGAGAGGTTGTCGAACAACAATGGCACACTGAAGTACATCGAGTAAGGGGCAATTGCGTGCCGGTCCTACCTGGCCACGTTGCTGTCGGTCCCTAGTATAGCATGGTCGGTGGGATGGACTGTTAGAGTCCTATAGATCACAATCTAATGTTTTATGAACTCACTCAGTGCTCTGACTACTCATTAAGGAATCTAACCACCTAGCAACTTACCCAATTTCGTTATCTTAGTGTTGTCCGCCTAGAGCCTACTTTGCCGTTTATCCAACAGTAATAGACCTATTATTTACTTTACTCTCCGGCTCATCGCCGCGGCCTTACTGTCCCTTAACCCACCCTCGGACAGCCTTGGGGTCTGCGCCTTCTTCTCCCCCCCCTAACCCATCTCTTCTCTTATTCCTCTTCCTCTTCCCTTTTCTACCCCCCCTCACCTTCCCGACCAGGCAGACAACACACCCGGGCACACATCCACAGAGAAACACACTCCCTCTTCTCCCGCACCCACACCAGCGCATCCTCCCCAGCCCCATAATCCCACCATCCCCGCTTCCGCAGTTCACAGGCAGGGACAAACTCACTGGAGTCCGCTGGGAGGCCGCGGAGCCAATTCTCAAGATACACCCCCTTAACGGTCATCAGATCCGGCGGCGCGGTATTGTAGCCGTCCTCGGCGTGGCCCGCCTCGATTTCGTCGAGCCATTCTCGGATGGCCTGCTGCTGCAGCTGTCTTTCGCGGCCCCGGTCCGGGAAGGTATCGATGGTAGTGGTGGTGGTGGCCGTGTCTTTTGAGTTTTGCGTTGCGTTATCCCAGGGATCGCTATCGTCGGTGTCATGGGCACTGCCCCCCTCCCTACTGCTGCTGCCGCTGCCGCTGCCGCTGCCACCGTCTCCCACTCGCGCATGTTCTCCCTCCTGCTCTCCCTTCCCCTTCCCACAACCCCTATCAACCAGTACCCCCATCCACGGCCCCTTTCCTAGCCGACCGTCCCAACTCGCATCGTTCGGGTCCTGTTGCGCTGGTATTTCCTCTGACTCGGCGAGCCGTGGGTTGGACGACGGCATTAGCGGTTTGGGGGTAGGTGGGCGGGTGGGTTGTGGTTGTCTGGTTGTCTGTTTCTCTGTGATGGATGACGCAAAGCCGAGGGGGAGGGATTTAAATATGGGAACCAAATTGGGAAGGGAGAGGCTCTTATGTGTTTCGGCACCTACGCACACACGCCCAAGATCGGAATGGCGACGTTGATCTCGTCAACGAACAAAGCGTATTGTTGTTTCATTGTTCGAGATGTCCGCGTTCCCTGGTTGGGTGGCCACTGCTAGCTGGCCGGCAAGTTCTTTAGCTCGACGGCGAGGAGTTGTTAGAAAGCCCCAGAGTCACGAGCTCTGCCGGGGAAAAGGATGATGGAGGAGGGCGGAGCAGGGAGAGCTAGTGGTTGGTGACCGTGTAAACAAAGGGGTCGGTAAACCCCTGGACCCACCAACCTCGATGCTATTAGGAGGACTCGGTTTTCGCTACCCTTTTTTTTTTCACCTAGGCTAGGTGTTACACAATGGTATTGTCATCAGCGCAGGCAAACAGGCTAAGCCACCCAAACCAGCGGCGCGTGCCGCCATCCACCGAAGATGACGAGGGGCGACGAAATTCGTATTAGGGGTTATGATCCGCTGGTGGTTCGGAGTAGTTAAGGTGTAGATAGAGTGAAGTGTCAGGGAGAGGGGGACCATGTAAGCCGTGTAGTGTCTTGGGAAAAGGAAAGAAAACAAACGCCCCCCAGAGATGACCTAAACAAAGCCCCGTCCGTTGTCTCCCCACCAAAATGGAAACCCCCAACACCACCCCGATGATAGATAGAGCAAGGCTCGCTATTGTCGCGTAAACACCGCAGTCACCATCCGCTCCGTGAAAACTAGAACCTGCTCCATCCCATCCTCGCCCATGCCCCACAAACCGTAGCTTTCTGTCGCTGTCCCTATACCGTGATTGTTTCCTATATACTAGCGCAGCCGAAATGAACGCAAAGATGTTGATTGATTGTTTAGTTGTGTTGTTGTAATGGTGCCCCCCAAAGACAGACTAGGAAACCAGAGAGCCGTTTGGATTGCGCATCGTTTCACGCCCATGCCGACGGAACTTAAGAGAACGACCGTCCATACTCCCAACCCCAGTTGAAAGCAGAATAACTTCGGGCCGAGTTGCCCGCGCAACTCGCCACCGTCGTTGAACAATCTCCATAGCCCGTGGAAAAACGACACAGAGTTGATGCCGATGTGTATGCCGCGCGAGTCCGGGCAACAGCGGTGTGTTTTTGTCTGCCATGTCGTAGTTCCGAGGCGAAACCCCATGCCGTGTGCGCCCCCACCCATTCAAGATCGAAGGAAGGCCAGACGCCGAAAGGTCGATGAATGCCAATGTACCAGAGACCAAAGACAACAGCGCTCCCACTTCGTTTCCCCCCGATACCCGCCTCTTTTGTGCGTAAGCAGCATGAATGACCCAACACACGCGCCTGCTGCCGCCGTCCCAGTTCCGAAAATATGCCAACCCCCCCCCCCCCCCCCCCATCCATCCCTGAATCAGAAAACAAACACCGTTTCTCACATTTATCCACGCGCCACCCTGTTGATGTCCGTTGCAGCCTTCCACGATTCCCGCCGCCCTGATGAATGTAACCTCGCAGGACTCCGTATCCGAAACGCTACCATATGTTGCCGGTGTCGCCCTTACCCAAATGAAAACTCTAGCCCCATACACTGGCTTGGACACCGCCAAGACCAGGCTTGCTACCCCATCCGCTCGGGCGGGCAGGCCAACCAGAGAGGCCAACGCCAGAGCCCTCGGACGCCCCAGCCGGCGGGTTGGCGGGGCCGGCGCTGCTCGAAGAAGCACCCTCGTCATTGCCGGATGCGTTGTAACCCTGGCTTAGAGGCGACGGCAGCGGGGTAGTGGATCGCTTGGTGAGAGCAGGGTTCATCGGGGCGCCGGAAACCGATGGGCGGGTGCCGATGGGGGCAACCGAGCCCTGGGAGGGCTTGCTGCCCGGAGCACCCTGCCGCGGCGGAGATCCTCCCGGCGAGGAAACGCTAGTGCGGCTCGACTGCTGCGCTGCCGGTGCATCGTACATGCCCTTGGTTCCCGGGTTGGACTGGGGGCTGGAGTTGCTGTTGGCTCTGGCCTGCTCATTGTGCCCGACAGAGTGCGATCCCTGGCCGCTCTCGGCCGAAAGCTGGACTCCAGCATCAAGATGACCCGGGGGGGCGCGTCCGTATCCATAGGCCAGCGGGGAATTGCCGCGTAGGCCGGCCGGTCCACCTTGAGGACCGGGCAGGCCAGTCCGGGGACCACCGGCTTCGTCGGCATAACCGGCGCCTTCGGGGTGCTGTCCCTCTCCGTACAGGCTGCTACGCTGGTGGGAGAGGAGCTTGCGGCGATCGTCGTCAGGCAAGCCGCCGGGGCTCAGGGTGCTGTCTGGCTTGTTGCCGCCGTACGGCATATCGGAGATAACAGCTGAGAAGAAAGATCGAGTTAGCCTAGATTCCTGGACAGTCTTGTCTCGTAACCCAGCCACCAGAAAAATCCCCAAAGGTGCCCCCGCATCTTTACAGCGTTCAGAGAGCACAGGACCATTGGGGGTCGAACCGCACTTGTGGTGCAACATAGTTGGGAATAGAAGGGTTGAGCTCCGGGAGTGCCGGAAGCTGCTCTATGATTTTGTTTGCTCTGGTAGGAAGACTGATGCTATACAGTAGAAGACGGCCTACTTCGGTTGTATTGCTGCTCTTGATGGTAGTTCCGCAGCTCTCGCTCCCGCTGGGCGGCCATTCTCCTCTTGGCCTGCATCATCTGTTCCGCCTCGTTCGAGCCGCGCGAGGATTGGTGGCGCTGGGAGGCGTAAAAGTTCTGGAGGTTGGAACCCGTGTGCGAGCCGCGCGCATCGCCGAAGTCGGACACGGACTGGGGACGGGAACCGGGGCCGGCGGGCGGACGTCCTTCTAGCGTGCAAAATGTCAAGGGTCAGTGGGTCGGGCTCGTCAACGGCGACCCGCGCCGGTCCCGGGCATACCCACCGAAACCTCGGGCACGGTCCGGCGGGGCCGGGATGGGGTAGGGTAGGGACTCACGACGACCCCCAGCGTTTGCAAACATCTTTCCGCTCTTGAGAAGGTTGTCGATGGCACGGTCGACCTCTGCCAGTCGAACAGTCAGCATCACAAATCCCCCCGTCATCCTCTTCTCCCGTATGAAGCACCCATCGTATTTCCCATTCGTAAAACCAGCGTCACGATAGGGATTTCGGCTACGTGGGGTCCGGGGTTACCGAAGAAGCGATGGATATTACATACCCTCTAGTTGGTGAGTGAAGGCACCGGACTCTTCGCGGGGGATGACCGAGCTAGCACCTGTTGATGAAGCGATGTTAGCCACCAAGATCGCTGTCCGTGTCCAGCAAGCGGAAAGAACTAACCCGAGCGGGCGGGCGGCGGCGTTTGGTGATCCCAGCCAGACTGTCCCGAGGGAGGCCACTGGGGCGAGGACTCGTAGTATGCCGACATGATGACGAGGGCCTACTTGGGGTGGGCAGACCGGAAGGCCGCAGCGATTATCGGCAGCAGCGCTGCAATGGGAATCGGCGTGGAGAATTCCGGCTCGACAGCTGACTCTGCAGCCGATTAAGTTAGCATGTGCGAAATGCAAGGCATGCGTGAGTGATTAGGAAAGTGCGCTGAGATGACGCGATGGCGACAGGTATCAGGCACGGTCGCTTGCTTGGTTCGTTGCCCAAGGTTTCGGAGCGTTGTGGAAAGGGGGCAAGGGAGCTGAGGCGCGAAAATGAGGTTCGGCCGACGGCGAGTGGCGCACCAGCAAAACAGGGAAAAAAAATATTTCCTAGGGACCACGAGGACTTTGGGGGTCGGGTACTCCTCAACGTGCGCCCTTCCTAGAATCGCACTCACCGCAAGTCAACTTCGTCTTGTTGCTGAAAAAGCTCCGACCTGATCCTGATTGACAACGGAAGAGGGGCCCAAGAAAAAAGGGAAAAAGGGGAAAAGAGGAATTTCGGCACGTAGCTCAACGCGCAAGTAGTTTTTCTTGTCGCGAGCTCGGTGTGGAGGGTTGCTTCAGAAGGAAAGGACCGGGGAGAGGGAGGTTCTTAGGCCCGGCGCAATGGACGGAGGCGTGGGTCGATCTGCCAACGTGGAGGTCGCTCTTGCAAAAAAAAAAAAAAAAAAGGGTGCGATCCCCTTTTCGATTCGTGGAAGGTCCACGGGAGCGGCAGCACAGGGCCCTCAAAGTCGCAACAAGTGGATGGAGCGCGCCGAGAAAGAGACACCTTCAACTGCAATCTCCTTCATTCATCTGACCCATAGTTACCTCAAGATCTGCCACTCTCACCAAGCTCATTCAACGCGGATTTCGCAAAGCAACGCTCAGCTCTTTCACGGATTACAGTTGTACGGTATGGATGCCCACAGTACTTGGGGGTTGCGTGGGTCTGGGATTTTTACCCATTTACCCCCTACTCCGTAGGGGGGGCGAAAACCGTGGGACACGACAAAAAACCTGGGACAATCCAAATTTGGCGGGCAACTCTATACAAAACTGTTAGTGCAAGCATCGGAAACTTTCTAAATCAACAAATACTCAACAAATATCTAGTTTTAAAATCCAGGAAAAAAGAATTAAGTAAGGATTAATAAGGATAATAGTAAGATACCTTTTTTCTAATCGATTTTAAATTTGGTAAAGAGCTTCCTAGTAAAGGTTAAGGAAAATTATCTCTTAGCTAGCATTTCAAAGCATTTTAAGGTCTAAGAGAAAATAGATAAGAATAGTTGCATCTCGAGCAAACCTTTAAATAATTTTTTAAAAGTTTATAGATAGATTCTCCTATTATCGAGCTTACTTTCTTCTATATATTTCTTTTACTTTTAAGGTGTTGCTGTTGTGTAATTAGAGTCTGGAAATTTCCTAAGTTCGATTTGTATGGAGTTGCCCGCCAAATTTGGAGTGTCCCAGGTTTTTTGTCGTGTCCCACGGTTTTCGCCCCCCCTACGGAGTAGGGGGTAAATGGGTAAAAATCCCAGACCCACGCAACCCCCAAGTATGCATGTACAACCCATGATCTTTCGTGGACCCGTCTTTTCCAGGTTCACCTCCTCTTTCAGGAACTCGGGTCGGCAGGGATGCCGGAAAATTATGGGTTCATGAAATCCCCTGTCTTGCTTATTAATAGCAGCAGCAACGACATTCTCGAGTGCATGGAGTAGTTATTGCGCTGTCACTATCATCAATGGTGTTGAGAGACTGCTCAATATTACAGATCTGGATGGGGAGTTTGAGGGCCAAGGATGGAAAAGTCTGAATTTACCGTGAGGTTCCATACGGCAAAGCGGCTGTCCGTTCTTGGCCATGGAATTCAGCCTGCGGTGATGGGGATCTGCGACCTCACCTCTCGGAATCAACCACGAAGGTGACGAAGCAGTGGTGGCGCACGAAAAGCACATCAAGCATTCATTATCACCAAGAGGCGGCAGTTGCATGATCATCTATCTGTCCGTCTGATCGAGGAACTTGAGACCTCGACCCAGGCGGGCCGGTGCGGATGAGGTGGATACCCTGGAACACATTTGGCTGGGGGTCCATTGGTTGAGCGCCCACAGACGGAAAACGGCACTGGATAGGGGAAGCCGATGGTGGGAGGCCGCAGTGATCGGAACCCTCGATCGATGGAGGATTACTGTGATAAAGTTCGGGGGTTGAGACCTTTGTCGGCCGACTGAACCTCTTACCGCTCACTTTGGGCCTTGGAGACGAGTGCCCTCGGGGTGCTCCCATCACGGTGTTGACCAGGACACGACGAGCACGAGTTTGGATGACCCCCCACTGTCGACAGCGACACTCCAGATTCCAATGTTAGGTATTTCCGCTTACGGCGTTTCTCGGGCCGGCCAGGATGTTGGGGGACAAGGGCGGGGGTGTGGCAGGGGTAAGTTTTAGCGTCATCGCGTCCCCATCGCCTCGATCGTCCAACACCAACTTTCGGTCACAATATCAAGCCGAATGTTTCTGGAAGCAGTTGTCGGAGCGCGAATGCGTTCTGCCGGGAAGCCAACTTGCAGCATGCAGATGCGAATCTTCCCGGCTGAGAAACCCCGGCGGTTCAGAGTGTGGGGTGTGAGGGGCAGCTGCCAGCAAGGGACCTCGGGCGACACCAACCCGCCACCCCGCCCATCGGCACAGTTAGGTACCCTCTACAATTAGCAGCATCTCATTGCCGAAACCACAAGTTGTTTCTAACCGCCTCCTTGGAAAACCTCCTGAATCGAGAGCACGTGGGTAAAGTATGAGTCGGATATCTTTGCCGGAACCCCGTCCATTCATTCAGCCTTGTGCCTCTCTTTCTGTGGTTTCATCCGCCCTGTATCATCGACACCGACAGGACGTGCTGTTTAAAACGGGACTGGAACAATTCGGCGGGTTCAAGGTTCGACCCGGAAACCCTCTTGTGGGGCCGCTCGAACAACTCCGCCGTCTGAAGTTTCGACAGCAAGCTTGCCATGCAGCGGCCATCTGATGCAGCTCCCTCGTAGCCAGGTAGCTGTGCAGACATCGGGGTCTGCTCGGTCTGCTCACGACTGCAACAAGAACAACTAAAAGCTATTATCGGTCTCACGATCCGCTGGAAGGTTCTCGCCGCCGCCGGGTAAAGTCGTTTCCTCTGCCGTTTCCGGACTCATTACACGGCACCTACCTACACAGGACATTTTTATCTCATCTCAGCATGTGTCCCGAGCCCAAAGCCGTGTATCGGCTCCTGCCGGACCATCCCCGCCCCCATTTTCGCCGAGGCGCCGCATGCGACCTCGAAAGTTCCCGAAATTCCGCTCAACATCACGGCCGCTCTTCTCAAACCAAATCGACATTGCTGGGGGAGTGGGACCCCCTTCCCCAGACCATCCGACGGGTTGGCGCGCGATATTTCTGGCAAGCCTTGGAGATTCAGGAGTGTGTATTCGTAAAATAGCACGGAGGACACACAGGTATCGGTCAGCCAATCCGGGGCCATCGACATCCCACCTTCTCATCACTCCCCGAAACGGGCCGAGTCCATTTCTGGCACACGAAGGGGGCCTCACTTCGCTAAGAGCCTGAGCAGCCAAGCGCGTGCCCCCGCCACTGAACAAACCACTGCGCGCTCAAGCGAAGGCATACTCACGCTGCTTGCGGGGTTGATGTCCCTCATTTAGCCCACCCGTTCGATCCGCGTGTCTGATGCAGGCTCGAGGCAGGCCATCATTGCAGGCAACGCGGCGCTTCCTGCAGCAGCTCTTCCTCCATGTTTCTCGCTGCCCAATCCCAGAGGCCGGGCATCGGATGGCATGGCCGAATCATTTCCCTCCTTTCCCCATCACGCTGCACCCCAAGCATCATGTCACAAACCCCACTTTGGCGCCCGAACTTGTCTTTCTCTCTCACGTCTCAAGTCAACCCCAGCTTTGACAGGGTTGGCTGGTGAGGGCTCGGGGCTACGGGGCCCAATGTCTTGATTCTTGGACGTAAGGCGGATCAAGAAGTTGTCACGCAGGGAATATTCAACCCGGCAGCTCTAGTCATGTTCAGCCCTCTTCTCTGACGAGACGTGCTTGCGCCACAGGGACATCAACCAGCCGAGGTTATAAGATGGCGAACCTCTCGGGACTGAGCTGACGCTACCCATCACTAATTACTCGTCAACCTTCAGTCCGACTACGAGCCGATGCCTTAGCTTGGGGATATGTGGTTTGTTGGCCTCCTCGACTCGTCCACCAGTGGAACACGCCTGGAGGTCCCGAGTGACGGGCCGACCCGCTTGCGCCCCGACTCCCGGGCTTTGGCCAACATCAAAAACTGAAGAAAGCGACAGAGAGGCAACAGGCCATGTTCGACTAACCGGGAAGAGTCTGGGACACCAAATGCGTCTCCCCGCACTCTGGAACCGAGTGTTGGTCAAATGGCTTCCCAACCCCCACCTCTCATTTCCCTTGGTTTGCCTGGTTTCCCGGTCCTTACCAATAACTAGGGCTGACTGTTTCTCCCGCACTGCGTTGTGCGAACCATCATAACCATTGTATTCTTGAACCCCGTCCCCAGACACCCTCTTGTCCTTGAAGCATCACGGTCCAGCTAAGCCGAGGTTGTCCCTTGGGTCCTTATCCAAGCACCCTGTTATGTACATAGAACAAGAAGCACCGAGTGGGCGGGTTGTTCTTGCGTAATCCATGCGAAAGTGCGGGGGGGGGGGGGGGCTAAAGGCGAACGCGGTGGTGGTGACCGACCGGGGCAAAGTGGCGTTTTGTAACACCCACCTAGCTGCATGGGTCTGCAGTTGGCAAGAAGACCTCGAGGGTTGACCCCTTTGGCAAGGTCCTCAACTCGGCGGGCGGTGAGCTCCCACGTTGCTGTCCGGATCATGCAAGTCGCTGCGACCTCGATTTTAACTTGTCCCGGACTGCCACGGCGTTGATCGTCGGGTTTGATGTCCCTGGCACAGGAAGGAGAAACCACGTGCAATCCCCGTGGTGACCGGCAGGGGGGCTCCGGGGTGCCCCGCTACAACCCGCCCAAACCGGCCGGCCCTGTGCGGCCCCACAGCGACCCCCGTGCCGTTCATGCCAAGCAACTTCGGCGGCTTGTTCTCGACTTGGCTTCATCCCCGCAGCGCTATTGCAGACTTTTTCTCAGCTGAACGACCGGGAAACTCCCACGCGACTGGCGCACACATCACCGACCGACCTGGGCTCACCCACTTCACACACCTCGTCACGGTCAGTCGCGCCCATCCCCGACCGAAGCCACACCAGGATTCTCATCCTCTCTCTCGCTTTCAAGGCTCCTTCCCCGCCCGTTTTGCCTGATTTAATTCTCGAACGGACTTGGTAGACGCCACAATCACCACCCTCCGGTGAAGAACCCCCTGCCTTTGCACTCAAACAAGCACCTTGCAGATGTTCAGTTCGAGATCGGCGCCCATCAACTTCACCACTTCCTCGGCGCACGACTTGATGTGCCGAGTCCGACAGCAGTAGCTGGCCGGCAAGCGACTTGAGTCTTTGCGCTTGCTTAGAGGGGGACGTAAGAAAGACTTACACACGCCGCATATCACACCTGTTTTTTGTGCTTGCTTCTGTGTAAACATTTAAGGCTTTGCGACTTGCATATTGCAGCCTGCATCTTCATTGCATGTGATCGACACCCGAGACCCAAACTTGATGCTCGGTGAACCCGGACTCCTACAGACCATTCACGCCCGCGTCTTCGCGGTACTCCAACTCATCCCGCCGACCGCCACCGCTCGGGGTTATCAATCCGTCGATTCCAACGACGACGACGACGACATGGCTGCCGAATCCCAGCCCACGGCCAGCGAGGCCGTCTTCACCAAGTCGGCCGTCGACGACGCCGGCAACTACGGCACCGCCGACGACCGCGCCTCGTCGTCCTCCGCCGACGCCGAAGCCGCCGCGGTCGCCGCCGGCCTGTCCCACCTCGAGTCCCGCGACACGCGCTGGTACTCGTACCTCCTAACCGCAGACTTCTGGCTCATCATCGCCGTCGGCCAGATCCTCTCCCTCTGCATCACCGCCACCAACACCTTCACCAGCTTCCTCGCCAGCGTCAACACCAACATCCCGGCCTTCCAGACCCTCTTCAACTACGCGCTCCTGACCCTGATCTGGCTGCCCATCGCGCTGCACCAGCACGGGTGGCGCAAGCTGCTCTCGGTCGCGGTGCGCGACGGGTGGAAGTACTTCATCCTCTCCTTCCTCGACGTCGAGGGCAACTACTTCACCGTGCTGGCCTACGCCTCGACCAACATCCTCTCGGCCCAGCTCATCAACTTCTGGGCCATCGTCTGCGTCGTCGTGCTGTCCTTCTTCCTGCTGAAAGTGCGCTACCGCCTCCTCCAGGTCGCCGGCATCCTGCTCTGCTGCGGCGGCATGGGCCTGCTGCTCGCCAGCGACCACCTGACCGGCACCAACGGCGGGCCGGGGAAGGACATGCTCAGGGGTGATCTGTTTGCCCTGCTGGGGGCGACGCTCTATGGCGTTAGCAACGTCTTTGAGGAGTGGTTCGTCAGCAAGCGGCCCGTGTACGAGGTGCTGTCGTTCCTGGGCGTGTTTGGCGTGTGCATCAACGGCGTCCAGGCCGCCATCTTTGACCGCCACGCCTTCGAGGGCGCTACCTGGGACGGTCGTGTTGCTGGCTGGCTGGTCGGGTATACTCTGTGTCTGTGCCTGTTTTACTCCATGGTGCCGCTGGTCCTGCGCATGGGCAGCGCCGCCGTCTTTGATGTCAACCTGCTAACCGCCAACTTCTGGGGCGTCATCATCGGCACCCGCGTGTTTGGCTATGTGGTGCACTGGATGTACCCCATCGCCTTTGTCTTGATTATCTGTGGCTTGGTTGTTTATTTCTTGGCCGGCAGTATCCTGGGCGACTCCAAGAAACCGTGGTTGGGGGATAACCAGAAGCACGGGATTGCAGGGATCGGCACGGCCAAGCTGAAGGCGCTGAACGAGGCGAGGAAGAAGGGGTTGGCTGGGACGACGGAGCAGGCTGGGGGGAGCACTGAGGGCCAGGTCAGGGGTGGTCCGGAAGGGCAGGCCTAGGGAGGGGGGGGGAGACGGGGTAGTTTGGGTATCGGAGGGTAATATGTTGGAATATCTTGGCCATGCGGACGGCAGAAGCGTTGTATTATTTTGGATATCAATATGGACGCCGTCTTTAAGTCAGGCTTAAGGGGTGAAGTAGAGGGTTAGGGTCGTAAGCCAGCGTACTGCCTTCCCCTTCTGCGCTGCCTGTTTGCCTGTGCCTGTTCCTGTGCCTGTTTCACACATCGCTCGACCCCACCTCCCAACACTTCTCAACGTGAGACAACTCCAACTTATAAAGAGACCTGCAACAACCACCTCAAATGATAAACTGAATACCACACTAAACTACCGGAGAACATCGGCACATCTCACTCAAACCCAACCAACACTCAACCGGGACAGCGACCCCCTAAACAACCCACCGCAAAACACCACATCAAAACAACACCTCACCATGGCAGCCAAACAAACCCTCTACTTCGCCTTCGGCAGCAACCTCTGGCAACACCAAATGTCCCTCCGCTGCCCCAACTCTCCCTTCATCGGCCTCGCCCGCCTGCGCGGCTACAAATGGTTCATCAACGCCCGCGGCTACGCCAACATCGCCCCCGTCACCACCAACCCCACCCCCTCCCCCCAAGAAGACGACAACCAAAACCCCTACGCCAACGAAGTCTGGGGCCTAGTCTACACCCTCTCCCCGCCCGACGAGGCCCAGCTCGACCGCAACGAGGGCGTGCCCACCGCCTACCAGAAAGAGCTCGTCAGCGGCATCGACTTCTGGCCTGCCTCCAACAAACCCAACACCACCCCCAACACCCCTGACGGCACCTCCAACTTCACCGCCCCTATGGACATGTCAGTGAAACCCACCCCCACCAAAATGCTCGTCTACGTCGACCACCACCGCAACACGGGCGGGCACCGGCCGCGGGACGAGTATGTGCGGCGCATGAACATGGGCATCCGCGACGCGCTCAGGGAGGGGGTGCCACGGGGGTATGTGGACGGGGTGGTGAGGGGGTATATCCCTGAGGAGGAAGAGTTGGGGTTTGGGGTGGGGTGTGAACTTGGGGGGGAGATGGAAAAGGCTGTGATGAGGCGGGCGGCGGGGTTGGATCGGGATGGGGATGTGGCTGGGGATGTGGATGGTGCGGGTGTGGATGGGGTGGATGGGGTTAAGAAGGGGGGGGAGATGGGGTTGGTGGCGGCGGCGGTGGCTGGGCCGGCTGGGTCAGGGGTTGTGTCCGCGCGGGAGGGGGAGGAGGGGGGGGAGGAGTTGCCGGAGAGGGCAAGTGAGGTTTGTTATTTGAGGGAGCACGGGTTGTAGAGGTTGGGGGTGGGGGGTGGTTAGGTACAGCTAGCGAGAGGAATGGTGGTTAATAAGAGGGATGGGTTCATGGACTCCAACTAAACGAGCAGCGGTTCAGTTACGGGTAAATATGGATATCCACAAGGTGGTTTTGAAACCATATAGGTATCGATCATCACTCTTTGAAAACCTTTTTGATTGTCAATGACTCAGATTTCCGACATTCCCTCCCCACATGTTTCGGTAGTTCAAGTCACTCTTGATGAAGCATTCCGGCGGTAATGGTACGTATTGAACTCGAACATCACAACATGCAGGGATAATCAATGTGGTGAAAATCATTCATTCATGTGATAAGGTATAACCCAAAGCGCTGTCCCTCGCTAAACCCAGCGCCGACCATGCAGTGGCGATGAACCAAATCAAGCAGTCCTCCCCACAGCCACGAGTTTGGCTTCCCTTCGCGGTCCCTGTGCCGTAACACGTCGATTTACTCGAAGCCTTCCCAGACGTCACCGCCCGGGGGGCTGTAGCTGGTGAGGCCACCCTGGTAGATGTCGACCTATTCACTGTTAGCAGGAGGCTCGATGCTACCGACACTTTGATCAACTTACCATGATGCCGGGGTCGTCCTGAGGAGCGTAGGTCGGGATGCTGAAGAGCTTGTCGGACGGGGGCGAGGCGGTGCCGCTGCCGGACACGACGACCTGGGCGCACTCGGCGTAGAACTGGGGGGTGTTGGCCTGGTGCAGGGCCAGGAGCTCGTGGCGGATGAGGTAGTTGCCCGGGGCGAGGTTGGTGGGCACCTTGCTGCTCCACTCGAGGGTCTTGAGCACGATGCCGGTGCCCCAGTCCTCGGAGCCGGGGTCGGTGCCGAACAGGCCCATCTGGTCGATCTTGAACCAGCCCTGTCCGTCACCCTCGCACGAGGCGCCGAAGTCGCCGTCGCACTTGTACATCCAGACCATGACGGGGCCCTGCGCGTGTGTCCACTGCTTCCAGACGGCCGTGATGTTCTCGCCGGCGGTGACGGGGGCGCTCAGGGTGGCGCTGGTGCCGCCGTTGCACCGCATCTTGGGGTCGCTGACCTCCATGGTTGGGTTGTAGTCGGGCCATTGGAACTGGATCGTGTCGGCGCCAGTCGGGGAAAAGCCTTCATAGCCGGGGTAGGTGGTGCCACCGATGGTGTAGCTGGTGACGGCGCCGTGGCCGGCAACGAGCGGCGCGAGCGCAACCGCGGCGATGGCGTTGAAACGCATGTTGGATAGTGCTGATCCTCAGGGGGTGGAGGGGGCAAGGTTTAAGTGATAGTCGAGGCCCTTCTGGGTAGAGACGGTGAGAACAAGGCTGAGATGGGATGAGCAGGGACGGAACCAGGACAGAGGAGCGGATCGACGGTGACTTTATAGTCGGCTGGCCCCTGCTTGAAGCTAGCATCCCGCGCCCTGGGAAAGGAAGGCGTTGGACCATGAACTCCTGGGTATCTCGGCATCTCCTTGCATCCCGCTCTGGGGTGGAGGGTATCAAGGGTGTCGTGACGGGGGCTCTGCCGTGAGGCATAATCTATCCCATGGTCAAAAAACCTGGTTTTCTTTATGACTAGGATGACGAACATCCTTTCTCTCGGCCGGGATGCATTGTGGAGGGAAGTGTGAGCGGCTTGCGGTCCGATGGGGGCTTGTTACTCGTGCTGGAGCATGCGAGCAATACAGAGATGGAGAGCAGGGGAGGAGATGATCGACACTTTTCGGAGCATGAAGTTGTTCCCAAGTTAGTTCAGCAGGCGGAGCAGCGAACGGAAGACAGGGCCAGGGCTCCGAGTAAGACCGATTGGGGCAAAGAGACAAATGGCTCCCCACATGATGGTGTTGATGCCGCTTGACGCCTGCCAAGGCGAGATGAAGCAGCACAAGAGTGTGGGGTATGGGGAAGAAAGTGGGATTGATCGATTGGGTGACGGTGCGGGAGCCTGACGGGACGGTGTCTCATCTTGAGCGACGTTGAGTGTGGAGGACGACGGGGCTGCAATCACGGGCGCCAATGGCATAGCGTTGGATATTCAGGATAAAGGCCAAATAAATTGCAGACGGCCCAGCTCCACGGAATGAATGGCATGGGCCGCAGCAAGTGCTAAGAGAAGAACCGAAGCAGAACCGAACTGTCGTCATGGGCTGCCTTGGCTATCGTGACGGTGCCTCTTCCGTTTTGATCATTTGAGGTTGAGAAAGTGTCAGAACTAGGTACCTAGCAGTGGCATCTTCAGGAAAGAGTCATCGCTCTCGTGAGGTTCCAACTCCACCGAGATGCCGAACGTTCGAGATTTGCTGTGTGGAGTATCGCTTGCGCACCGCATGGAGTGCTGGGCCGAAAGCCGGGGCTACTGAAAATCCCAACGCAGATCCATGGCCGATCTGCACCCCGTTTGAAGATTACCGCTGCGGTTTGGAATCGCGCAACGGCGAGGACGGAAGGAGGTTTGTTCGGGAGATGCTCAGTTAGGAATCTTGGCGGGAAGAGGGTGGGCACCAGGTTGAGAGCCCAAGCTCAGGTGAGGCATCTGCAGCCACCAAAGCTTGGCAGGGCAGCAACCGGAGCAGTGGGGGTCTTTTCAGGGTTCTTCTGGGAGAGGAACGCGGGCGTCGCCGCGTCGCGTCGGCCACTTTCAACGTCATGCCTTGAACCACGAAAGTTTGCTTCTGAGCCGTGAGGGTGTGGATCATCCGATTTCGACTGTGGTTTCTCGACTTGGGCTTCCTCCGTTCAGTTACAGGAAATATGCTGCCTAGGCTCTTGCCGGGCTCGCACACCTTGCTTTATCGTGCGTTGCCGAGGGAATAGAGGTGGTGGTCACGGTTGTTGTCTGGAACTTTGGCCGGCGATTTGGGATCCCATTGCCATCATAGTACGCGACGAGAATATGCCCCAGATTATCGCAGAAGAAGGTTTCTGTGATCGCCGTCGAGGGCATGATGTCACAAGGGCTGCCCTCTCGAGTACATTGTAAATGTGATGGTGATGAATGTGAGTCTGGAATTCCGGAAGCAATAGGAAGTCGCAGCCCGAGCCTCCCTCTCTGTGTTTGTTTCACCGCCGTAATCTGTTTGCGTAGTTGTAACCGTCAGGGCGCGCAGTTATATGGCCCTGACCACTGGCTCAACGGACTGAGCAGGCTGCTTGTTGGCTCTTCATCTCCATCGCACGATTTGTGGTAGTGAGTGGTCCAGGAAGTTGCGAATGACGGTGTCACTTCCATTCGGTCTCACAAGTGTGCCACAGGTAAGACAATGGTCCCCCACCTGCAATGCTTCTGAAACGAAGAAACGAAAAAATGACTGGAATGCTGTCTTGTCACCGAGGCATTGCCCAGTGTGAAAAGTTGTCTCTCATGGGTAGAACATGTTTGAGACTCGCACCATTCATCCCACCTGCGACTGCCCGTTGTCGCCTTCTTGCCTGCGCACTGCCAGTGCACTCTGGAACACGGGTAGTTGCAAACGCTGCAGACCCTTCGGCTGGCCGCTTTGACTGCAAAATATCGCAGGTCGTTTTTACGTGCTGTTCTCGATAGGCAGGGACTGGTAAACGTGAGAGCCTTACCAGTAGGTTTCTTCCTTGTGTTCGGTGGCATTTGTGTTTCTCAGACTCGACTGTTCCCGGCACCGACCACTTGTTCCCAACGAAACAATCACCAAGTCGTGGAGTACTTTTTTCTGGCCGGGGTGCTAACGGATTCATCAACTAAAAGCTACTACGATATCCGCAACAACCGGAATTGTACGGGTTTCGGTTGACACGCACTGAACACTCTACTTTTGAGCCCAGCTCAAAATGTCATCATCTACCACCGAGTCGCGAGGGCGGCCGATGTCAGAAATCCCCGTTTCTTCGCCCAACGGGGCCCCATTCAAGACCTTCAGCCAGGAGTACCAGTACGCCGAGACCTTGCAGAACCCTTTCCCAGAGGTCATTTTCTCCGGGCCTGAAAATACAGCCCCCAGCGCAGCATCAACATCGCCAGCCGCGATCGGTGGCATCGACGGCACTAACGAAAGCACGGCCGATCCTGACACTCGTTCTTCCCTCCGCCTGGGTACACCCGGCAGCAAAGAGCCCGAGATGCACGACAATATTTGGGTCGAGCCCGCCGAGGCGCCCTGGTACAAGGCCATCTCGCTTAGGAGGTGGGCCGCCATCATCATCTGCACTGTCGGCATCACCGGCGTCGTGCTGGCGATTCTGGGCGCCATGAACAAACTCTCAGGAGAAAGGTCCGACTTCACGGACCCCGGCCCCGATTCCCCGACACCAGGCAAGACATCCGCTGACCAAACCAGCTCCTCCGATAACACCCCGTCTCCCGCCGAGAGCACGTCGGCCACCCCCACCACATTCATCACATCAACCACCTCAGGCACCGCCAAACCAACCGTAAGCCAACCCCCTCCCCACCGCCCCCCCTTCTCTCCAAACCCCCCAACCCCCAACCTCACTAACCCCTAACCCCCCCCAGAACCCCCCCACCACCAAAATCGACTGCAACAGCCTCTCCACCTACCTCACCCCCATCTCCTGGGTCGGCACCACGGTCGGCGCCTACAAGAGCGAGTTCGCATCCGCCGGCGGCATGTCCCCCTTCGCCTGCTGCCGCGCCTGCCAGGAGCGCGCCGAGGGCGGGTGCGCCGGGTGGCTGCACAACGCGAGCGCAGAATTCACGCCGTGCACGCTGGTGGTGGTTAATGTGGATCAGCCGGATAAGGGGGATGGGGATGAGGATGATAATGCGATGTGTCCGCGGGGCCGGACGGCGGCGACGTTTTTTCAGGGGGGTTTGGGTGAGGATGGGAGCGAAGGGACGGCGGGGATGGGGCCGTGCGCTTTGGAGGAGCATGTTAACTGATACCTGAGATGTGTGTCATGGGGGGAAGGGTTTGGTACCTGGGCTACTCACGGCGGAGGAGAGGATGGTATTGTATTTTATGGGGCTTTCTTGCCCCCCCTGCCCCCCCCGGATTTATTTACCAGGGGCGGTTTTCTCTGGCGCTGGTGATGGGATAGCAGCAGAAACGGGATATCTCGGGACGGCGTTTGCTCTGGGCGGGATGACATGGCAAGAGATAGATACCTCGGCGACGGATCAGGGGAGAGAAATTGACATCTTCGGCATATACATCATTGATCGACCACGCTGCGTTGCGGTCAGCCGTCGTCATGTCATGATTGCTTGGTTTGACTAGTCCGGGAAACGGGGACAAAGCAAGGCAAGGCGGAAGACAGAAAACGTACAAGTACATGGAATTCCCAACAACCTGTCTATTTGACCATTACCAACCTGCTTCAGCTAAACCCGGCCCATGACGTTTGTTGCAGACACAAAAGAGAAAAAATGCGGCAGGGCAAGGCTCAAGGATCCCCTTGTCACTTCAGCGTTTTTTGTCTGTTCCATTTCCACCCTAGGCTGAAATAACTCCCGCTCTCCTACACGCTCCCACGAACCACTCCCTATTCCAATACACACACAAACCCAAAACACCCCTTCCGCTTAGAGACGGAGCATCTTGGCGGCGTGCTGCTCGATGAGCGCCTCGGTGGGGAAGCTCATCTCCTCGAGCCCCTGGGCGTACGGGGTGGGGACGTCGGCACCGGTGACACGCTGGGCCGGGGCATCAAGGTAGTCGAAGGCGTACTCCATGGTGAGGGCGAGGATCTCGGCGCCGACGCCGAAGGCCGGGAAGCCGGACTCGACGGCCATCAGGCGGTGGGTCTTCTTGACCGACTTGACGATGGACTCGATGTCGAGCGGCTTGACGCTGCGCAGGTTGATGACCTCGACCTCGACGCCGTACTTCTTCTTGAGGTTCTCGGCGGCGACCAGCGACTGGCCGACACAGCGGGAGAGCGTGACCATGGTTAGGTCCTTGCCGGCGCGCTCGACCTTGGCCTTGCCGAAGGGCAGCACAAAGTCGTCCTTCTGCGCCGCCTCCGACATGGGGAACGACTGGCCGTACAAGAGCTCGTTCTCTAGCACCACCACCGGGTTGGGGTCGCGGATGGCGGCCTTGAGCAGACCCTTGGCATCCTCGGCCGACCACGGCGAGACGACCTTAAGACCCGGGACGCTGCCGTACCAGGCCGAGTAATCTTGCGAGTGCTGGGCGCCGACACCGGCAGCGAAGCCGTTGGGGCCACGGAATGTGATGTTGCAGGGCTGGATGCCGCCGGACATGTAGAGGGTCTTGGCGGCCGAGTTGACGACCTGGTCGATGGACTGCATGGCGAAGTTGAAGGTCATGAACTCGCACTAATGCGCGATTGCGTCAGCATCTTCGGTGCTTTGAGTCTGCATTTTGCAACTGGGGTGTCTGCATCGCTGCACTTACCACAGGGTGCAGCCCACTCAGCGCGGCGCCGACGGCCAGACCGGTGAAACCGCTCTCCGTGATGGGTGTGTCGATAACCCGCTTCTCGCCGAAACGGTCTAGCAAGCCCTTGGTGACCTTGTATGCGCCGTTGTACTGAGCAACCTCCTCACCCATGACGAACACCTTCGAGTTGGCCTCGAGCTCCTCTGCGAGCGCCTCGTTCAAGGCCTCACGGACTGTGTACTCCTTGACGCCGGAGGCATCGGCATATGTCCGTTTTTGTAAGCTGGGCACAACAGCGGCTCTGGTGAAGAAGGGAGAGGTAGCGGTAGGACGGATAGCGGAGGTGCGAGCCGTGGCAGCGAGCCGGGCCGCTGGTCGGAGGTAGCGCGACATGGTCGACGTTTTGTTGTTGGGGGGAGAGATAAGGCGGGAAGGAAGGGCCGGAGTCTGGAACAGAAAGCTCCTGACGGTGGAATATACTCAATTGAAAATGCCCGCTCGCGGTACGGAACGACGGCGATCAACGAGACCGGCGAGATTAGAAGAAGTGGTGATGTAAGAGGTGGGAGGCTTGGGAGTTGCCCAGAGGGAATTTTTCTTGCATCGGGCAATTGAGAAGCTTGGGACCAGCATCCGGACTTTTGACGTTGAACCCCAACGAATCGGCCCGCGCTAGTGCAGGATAGGATTAGTGGGATGGACCCCTGCGCGATTGTCCGCCAGCTTGGTCCGCCAAACTTCGAATTTGACAGCTCCGACACTCCACCGCGCCGATAACGGTAGGGATCTCAGCGCAAAAACAAGAGAGGATGAGGGAAGTCGGGATGCTTGAGCGAGATGGCTCCTTCAGCAATAGGTACCTGTCTAGGTACTCACCATCACGCATTACCTAGTTATGCGATTGGAAGGGGGAGTGTTCTTCGGGATTCCGCATCGCGAGGGCGTGTGCAACGCGAATGATCCTGTTCGGTTACCATCACGACGGCGCAAAATCAGTTGGTCAAGAAAATGTCTATTACGGTATATACATGAAGGCGCTGGGCACGGTGCCGCCAGATCCCGTTGGCGATATACCCGGTCCCGGGGTATTAGTACTGATTATGCCATTCCAAAACCATCCCACTGCATCTACCCATCCGCATTACAGTGCAGTCCTTTAATCGTCCATTCGTAGCATATGCAGAGAGGCGGTCCCCACGGGGCCGCTTAGTTGGCAGGCTTGCGGCCGACCATGAGGTACATCGGGGTGAAGAGGTCCTTCTTGGCGCCGGCAACGAGGCCATCGGCACCCTTGGCGAGCGAGTCGGCCGTCTTCTTGGTCCCCTTGGGGGCGAGGCCGATGGTCTCGAGGAGACCGGTGAAGACGTGCACCGCGCGGCGGCCAGTGTGGGTCATGCGGAGGACAGTGAACAGATCCCAGTACGACTGCATGTACTTGGTCTCGCCGGCAATACCCCAGTACCAGGGAATGGTGTCGCCCCGCTTGGTGAGATCCTCATGGTGCATCAGCTCGAAGCCGGCCGCCTTCATCGCGGCAAGACCCTCAGAGATGGTCACCATGTTGGAAATACCGTTACCCTCCTCGATCGCGAGGCGAATGTCACGGTGCTCCAGGTTGTTGTTGTCGTAGTTGTCCGTCATCAACCACTCGTAGACACCAAAGACACCGCCAGGCTTCAGGACCCGGTAGATCTCGCTGTAGACACCCTCGAGCTTGGGGGCGTGGACGGTGGCCTCGATGGCGTAGACGGCGTCGAAGGACTCGTTGGCGAACGACATTTGCTGTTGAGGTTAGTGAGCGCAGGTCCTGTGTTTGGATGCGATCGGGGTTGCCATACCATGAAATCGCCCTTGACATATTTGAGCTGGTTCGAGAGACCCTCCTGAGCGGCATACCGTGTGGCACGCTGGATCTGGTAGTCGTTGTTGTTGAGGCCAGTGATATGCGCGTCGGTGAACTTGGCAATCTCTCTTGCCGGCCCGCCAATGCCGCAGCCAACATCGAGAACCTTCATGCCGGCTTGGATTCCGACCTTCATGGCAAGGTAGTGTTCGTGGCGTGCGATAGCCTGGTAGAAGGACTCGCCGATCGAGTAACGGCAGAAGTGGAAGCTCTGGCCCCAGCCATACTCGTACAGGTCGGTGGCGAGGTTGTAGTAGCTGCGCACAGAGAGCGGTCAGTGCCTGTTTCTGCTAGAGGATGCGACAAAGAGTTCACACTTACTGCCTTGTGAGGGTAGCATATTCCTTCGTCCGCGCCTGGAGCTGATCAGTATACACCGCTGCGATTAGGCTGGTGGCGGTGAACCCACCTCGCGGTCAGCATCAGTCTCGTTCTCGGCGCGCTTGTTGTCGAAGTGCTTGAAGTACTCGTCGACAGCAAGCTTCTTCGCATCCTTGTCCTTGGAAAGCATCGCAGCGAAACCACCAGCGGCCTCGGTCGACTTGCCGTGGAGGGCCTTCATGAAGGCAGCATCGCGCTGGTGGTCCTCCTTCTCGAGGGCGGCTTGGGAGGTAGGGGCCATTGTGAAGTGGTAAGAATTAAAGGGACAAGTAGAAGTCCTGATGTTGAATGAAGAAGGAGAGTTGAATGCGCGAAAGGAGGAAGGAAATGGGTATGCTGGCGTGGTTGTTGGCTTGAAAGAAAAAAAGTTTCACGGGCCCCTATTAATTATAGGCGATTGTTGATGGCTGCTGTCAAAGGGGCCAGGGTGCCCGATAGCCGACGCCAATCCAGCAAATCTCCTGGCTCAATTGGAGGGACGTGAGGTCCAGGGGATGCTCCACACTGGCACATGCAAACCACTGGGAGTCTGGATCCAGGAACCAAATTGGCGGGCCAATAAACATCACAAAAACCGCGACTTCAGAACATGCGAACGCGGGCTCGCATTCGGTTTCACCAAGTTTATACTCTTGAGCTTAAATAGAACCTCGTCCCCCGAGGATTCAGAGTATTCGGATAGTCGGTGGAACTCAAAAATCCAGTTCTTTCCCGTTTTCGCGTTGGTTCCCTCCACTGATGTTGTTTGGAAAAGCGAACTCGAAAAAGGCAGGCGGTGGTCCGAAAAGAACGCGAACACGAATAAGAAGCAATAAGAAGCGCACGGACCATACACCAGCCACACCTGCCAAGAGCCTGTGGCGGTCGATAAGGCTTATCAATCAACCAGCCACGGCGACCTTCCAAACTCGCCTCATCTATCGCCGAGTTCCAGTCTTTGATTATCATCACCCCACAACGATAACCATCACGCCTCGTTACGCGACGGGCGTGTTTTAATCATTACCACTGCTACGACGTATTTCACACCGAAACCAACCCCGAAACACAATCACACGAACCCACGATGCCGCCGCAGATCAAACAAGACCTCAACCGGTCCGGGTGGGAAACGACCGACTTCCCGTCCGTATGCGAGAACTGCCTCCCCGAGAACCCCTACGTCAAGATGCTCAAGGAGGACTACGGGGCCGAGTGCAAGCTGTGCACGCGGCCCTTCACCATCTTCAGCTGGTCGGGGGACGGGCGGGCGCAGGGGCGCAAGCGGCGCACCAACATCTGCCTGACGTGCGCGCGCCTCAAGAACGCCTGCCAGTGCTGCATCATGGACCTGCAGTTCGGCCTGCCCATCGTCATCCGCGACAAGGCCCTCGAGCTCATCGCCCCGGGCCCCCAGAGCGAGATCAACCGCGAGTACTTTGCCCAGAATAATGAGAAGGCCATCGAGGAGGGGCGCGCCGGTGTGGAGGAGTATGAGAAGGCGGATGAGAAGGCGCGGGAGTTGTTGAGGAGGCTGGCGCAGAGCAAGCCGTATTTCAGGAAGGGGAGGGAGGTGGATCAGGAGGGGAATATGGTTTCTGGGGGGAGCGCGAGGGGAGGGGATCCGGCTGTGGGTGCGGGACTGGGCGGTCCAGGGCCGATACGGACGAGGGACTCGAGAGCGGCGGCTAGGGTGGGGGCGAAGGCTGGCCCGCGCAAGGGGCCGCTCGGCGCGAATGCCCCGCCGCCGGGGCCGCGGGACTGGATGCCGCCGAACGACCACAACATCATGTCGCTGTTCGTCACAGGGATCGAGGACGACTTGCCCGAGTACAAGATCCGCGACTTCTTCAAGGTGTTCGGCAAGATCAAGTCGCTCGTGGTATCACACATGACCCATTGCGCGTTCGTCAACTATGAGACGCGCGACGGGGCGGAGAAGGCAGCGGCAGAGTGCAAGGGACGGGCGGTAGTTGCGGGCTGCCCTCTGCGTGTGCGGTGGAGCGTGCCCAAGGCGATCGGGACGATGGACAAGGAGGAGCGCACTGAGATGTTGCGCGATGGGCGGTCGGCTTTCCCACAGACGAACCGAAGAGGTCCCCAACAGAAGGCCATTGAGGGTGGGCCTGCGCAAGCGGCCGGCTCGACTGCTGCCGAGGGGGACGACTCAGGGCTTGCCGTGGCTGCGCCGCCTGGGGCAGCCGATGTACAATATGCCAGCTTGTCTGGCAACTAGGCTTGGCTCCTGCTTTCGGCTTGCATGGCGTTGGGGTTGCTGATTTGGGTTGGAAGGGCAAAAACTCTTTGGTGCATGACTGTTGGGCATGATGTACGTTCTGTTGTTACATTGAGGGGTATCATAGACGGCTGGCTATATAATACACGGCAGGGTTCCTGGCCGACAGCCACGTTTTTGTGGCTCCATCCTATCGCCCGTCTTGACAAGACTATTATTCCAACGTCTTTCGCTACCTCTCGGAGCAGCACTTGACACCGCCCATGTTGGTATTGTTGTTCGCCATCTTGATGCTGTCGTTGTCTCCCCGTTCGGTATGTTCGTGTATGCGGAGTTCTAGCGGAAAAAAGGTCAGCAGGAGGCTTGACATGGCGCCGTAGTGGTAGTGACCTACTGTATTTCCCCCCCTCCTCCCGCTTCCCTTGTACAAGGTTGGCCTTGAGGAAACTGGCAACCTCTTGGGCGTGTTGGATGGCAGGCTGTATCGACGGATCGGAAGGCGGCAGCGACGCCTTATCGCGGAACCCCTGGCGGATCGATTGCTTTGCGGCGTCGAGTGTTCGCACATCGCCTGATAGCCATCTGTGTTAGCCGCAGATGCCGGGGGAAGCAAATGTTGGGTTTCTTGGTACCTTCAAAGGCAATCCTCGCCGCGCGCATAAGGTGCCTGTATGCTGTCAAAGCCGCCATTGTGTGTGTATTTACTGGAAACCGTCTCCAGGGTTGTGTCTTTTTTCCTTGCTTGTGGAATTGGAAAGATCTAAAATGCGCCTGTGTCGCAGGTGTTTAAGTTGCCGCCGCGAGGCAAACGCAGGTGGGCCGGCAATCGGGTTTGGGTTGATTGGGCGAAACAAAAAAGATTCAAGTGGGGCACCGGAGCGGGCAGGATCAAAAAAATATTCCAAGCTACGGCCAAAACTGAGCTGCCCCTCCAACCTCCAAACACACCACCTGCGATTTGGCACATCCAGACATTTTGCTCATAACCACAGCGCAATGGAGGCCACCGTCGTACCACTTCCGCTCCCTGCCCTCCCTGAGGGTTGGGAGTCTGAGAACAACTTCAAGGCCATCGGCAAGATCACCAAGGAGAGCGCTACGCAGCGCACTCTGGAACCCGTCGGCCCCTACTTTCTCGCCCACGCCCGCCGTGCCCGCCACAAGCGCACTTTCTCCGAGGATGACCGGATACAGGCTCAGGAGCGCGCCAAGAAGGTGGAGGACAACGACGACGGCGAGATCAGCGAGCCCGAGGACCCCATGATGCTCCAGCGCGAGGCCAAGGACTGGAAGTCGCAGGACCACTACAAGGTTCTCGGCCTGTCCAAGTACCGCTACAAGGCCACCGAGGAGCAGATCAAGCGCGCCCACCGCAAGAAGGTGCTGAAGCATCATCCCGACAAGAAGGCCGCCGCCGGTCGCGCCGATGACGACAACTTCTTCAAGTGCATCCAGAAGGCCACCGAGGTGCTGCTCGACCCCATCAAGCGCCGTCAGTTCGACTCTGTCGACGAGGAGGCCGACGTCGAGCCGCCCACCAAGAAGCAGCTGGCCAAGGGCAACTTCTACAAGCTGTGGAGCCAGGTCTTCAGGTCCGAGGCGCGCTTCAGCAAGGTGCACCCCGTGCCGACCTTCGGCGACGACAAGGCGACCAAGGAGGACGTCGAGAACTTCTACAACTTCTGGTACAACTTCGACAGCTGGCGCTCGTTCGAGTACCTGGACGAGGACGTGCCGGACGACAACGAGAACCGCGACCAGAAGCGGCACATGGAGCGCAAGAACACCAACGCCCGCAAGAAGAAGAAGGCCGAGGACAACGCCCGCCTCCGCAAGATGCTCGACGACTGCTCCGCCGGCGACGAGCGCATCAAGCGCTTCCGCCAGGAGGCCAACGCGGCCAAGAACAAGAAGCGCCTCGACCGCGAGGCCGCCGAGAAGAAGGCCGCCGAGGATGCCCGTCTCAAGAAGGAAGCCGAGGAGAAGGCGGCCAAGGAGGCTGAGGAGAAGGCCAAGACCGACCGCGAGGCGAACAAGAAGGCCAAGGAAGCGGCCAAGAACGCCGTCAAGAAGAACAAGCGCGTGCTGCGTGGCTCGGTCAAGGACGCCAACTACTTCGTCGAGGGCGACGCGTCTGCGGCCACCGTCGACGCCATCCTCGGCGACGTCGAGCTGATCCAGGCCAAGATTGACGCCGACGAGATCGCCGCGTTGGCTGGCAAGCTCAACGGCCTCAAGGTGGCTGACGAGATCAAGGGTGTGTGGAAGGAGGAGGTCGAGAGGCTTGTCGGTGCCGGCAAGCTCAAGGAGGGCGAGGCCAAGGCGCTTGGTGCTTGAAGGGCATGATGTGGCGGTTTAGATCAACGATGTCATCTACGATTGCATGATTGCGGCTGATGAGGGCGAATAGACGGCGTTGTGAGAGTGTTGTGCTGCACCTGTTTGTGTCTTCTCTGGAAAGCGGTCGTGTGGATGCCAGCCTCTTACGAAAAGCGTTCAAGTTGACTTGCTGTTTCCCAGAGCACACGTTAATACTAGGTGTTACCCCCAGTGTCAAGGATACACTTCATATTTCACATCTTGTGTACACATAGATACATCACCAGCTCCCATACGGCCACTTCTCTACACCCAGAGCCCCACTTGGTCGGTTACAAAGCTTGAGGCAGTTCAGATGTGTCCATGACTGCTTTGTACCAGTTGTACGTAAATCCTTCTGTCCCATTTCACGCCCTGAAGAAATGAGAGTTCTCTAGCGAGCTCGCTTTGAGGCTATCAGTGTCAGGCCCCCTCATGACATTGTTAACAACAAAGCCTCCAGGTCATCAAAATGTCCTAGATGGGCCACGTGCCTCAAGTCCACACAAACTCATCCACTATAACTCTTTGGCGGGGTTTAACTTGTGATTTATCTTGGAAAGAATGATACTCCGGCATGGATCACCTCTCATGGAAATAGGGAAACAGAAGAGGTGAATATGATGCATGTAAAGTCCCGTGCCCTGTGTCTTTATAGCCCTTTACATTGGGCTCGCATCATGACCAAGCTACCTAGTCTTGGTAATTCGGTTTCCGTCAAGTCTCACAACAAGCCTGGCCGCATGGGCACGTTGTTATAAGTATATCAATACGAACCCAAGGTTCAAGGTTCGTTTCGTGGGCATCACTGAATCATCATCCAGCAGACCTTCCCCCTGTTTACATTTACAGCGATATCTCAATCCACCATGAGCAACATCAACTTCCGTTTGGCTAACAAGGGGGATCTCGAGAAGCTGATAGAAATCAGCAACCGCCCTTCTAACATTAAAGAAGGGTCGACTGTTTCGTATCTCTTGGAAGACAGAACTCAGCACCCAGACACCATTCCTGCTGCTTGGGAAGGTACTATCCTCGACTTTATCTACAGCGCTGGTGGGTGGTACACTTCTGTGGTGGCGGAAGTAGAGGAGACACGAGAGGTCGTGGGGTACTGCGTCTGGGAATGGTTTGAGTACGACGAGAAGGGCAAACAAGTCATGGAGAGCCGCAGGCCGGCCAAGCTCCAGGCAATCTGGGATGGGATGGGTATGTTTGGTCGTCTTCTGATGGATGTCTGATGGATGCTTCGGTTTCTATCTACCATCGACCATGTCTGACCTTCACCCACCTCGCTAACTTGTGGCAATACTAGGCGCCGAGGAACCAACACACCGGCCTCCACGGACATACGGCCCTGAAGCATACCAAGACGGACTTCTACAGGCTAGATGGGATACAGCAACCAAGGAACAGTATGAAGTTATCCACGAAGCCTTTTACGCCCTCGCCGGTTTGACAAAGCTTTCTCAGTTTTGGCAGATCAGACATGTGGCGGTAGATCCGCGCCCCGAGCACAGGGATGTGGCAGAGAAACTCGTGAGATGGGGCGTGGACATTGCGGCAAAGGAGGCTTTGTGGGTGGTAGTTCCTTGCTACGGGGGAGAAAAGGACCTCTACGACAGGCTCGGGTTCACCTCTCGGGCCTACTTCACTGGTATTGCCGCCCCAGACGACAAGGTGCTTAACCAAGAATGGCTCCAAAAGGATCCCAGGAAGCCAGCCGAGCGGCAGCCGCCGGAGCCCGCCGCACCACACTTCGCAGTTTGGGGGTAAATACCTTCAAATCAATAATAGAAGGGACAATAAACGTTATATGAATAGTACGAGATGTGGTGCATAGTCCAGTCTAGCTTATCCTGTAACGATGTCCGTTAGAATAAACCCAGGCCAGGGGTTCACATAACCCCTAGACTAAGCTCACGAAACATTCAGTTCCCATGGTCCATGGACGTTGGCATCCCTTGAAGGAGGTGTGACATTGGCAATAGCTACTCGTAACTCAACGTCAAGCTTGACGGTGTCCTCCCTCACACCCACCTACCCCTCCGCCCCCCCTTCCCCATTCATGTCCCCATCCCTAATCCTTCTCCCTCCCCCTTCCCAACCCCTTTTCCCATCATCTCCCACCGTCTACTCATAAACATAGCAGAACGGCCCATCCACCACACTCACCAGCTCCTTAATCGGATACACCTCCTCAGCCGACACCCCCAAGAAAACCAGATCATCCAAACTCGCCATCCGCCCGCCCCCAAACATACTCGTCCCCCCATCAATCACCTGGGTACGCGCCTCCAAGTCCTGCGACTGCCAAATCGTCCACGTCCGATCAATCATCGAATGATGCACCCAAAACGCGGGGTCATTCGGCGAGGTATAAAAATCACCGCCGGGGTCGCCCGCGATGGTGAAGTGGCCGGCGCCGTGCACGCCCATGCCGCCGCCGCCGACGCCGAAGCCGCCGGTGCCCTGCATGACGGTCTGGAAGGTGCCGATGTCCGGGGAGGTGCTGATCAGGTTGACGATGTCCTCGGTGCGCGAGAACTTGCTGGAGAGCTGGTTGGAGATGTCCCGCCGCAGGCACCGCGGGTTGTCGCCGTACCCGTCCGTGCGCGGGTTGCGAGGGGGGGCGGGGTCGATGGAGGGGGAGACGGGGCCCAGGTGCACGACCATGCTGGGGGGTGGGGGTTAGTTGGGTTGGGTTGGTTTGGTTGGGTTGAGCTGGGGGGTTGGGCGAGTTGGGGGGAGGGGGATCATGGATCGGGAACTTACTCCTTGAAGGGTCCCGCCAGGACGCAGCCGCCTCCGTTGCCGGCGGGCACCATCCCCGAGGCCTTGTGGTCGATCTTCTCGCCGTTGCCGCTCAGCGAGGTCTCGCTGCCGTCGAAGATGGGCGACGTCTCGGGGTCCTGAGCCCAGCGTCCCCAGTCCCAGTACTGTGTTGCTTGTTAGTGGTGGTACAGAATGCTACCAGACTAGAAAGGCTGCTTACAGGCTGGGTCCCGTTATATCCGCACTCGGTCTGGAGAACACGCTCAAACGCCCAGGTGTAGTACCGGTGCCACGAAAGGAAGTTTCCCTGAGACGAGTTAGCATGCCCAACCGCATCATTTGGGTACTGGAGAGACATACGGTGCCGTGGATGGTCATGGTCTGGTTCATGTGGACGACGACAAAGTCATCGTACCGCGACTTGGCGCCAGGGAACTGGACCGGGTCCAGCTTGGACGGCTTCTCCATGATGCACAGCATGGCGGCGATGTACGCCTTCTTCTCGTCGGCGGAGATGTCACCCCTGGTTCAGTTAGCTGGGGTTCCATCCAAGTGATGAGGAACATAGGTAGCTTACCATTCGCGGCGCACCTGGAGGTTCTCCTTAGTGCATGTCGCCGACTTGGCGATCTGGGCGTCAATGTTGGCCCTGCCCGCGTCCTGGAGATCGGACACTGCATCGCCCGACGCGAGGCCGGCGAGCAGGAGCCACGGGACTGCAAGCATCCCGGCGAGTGTGAGACGAGCCATGGTGGCTACGCTGGCAACAACAGGCTTGGTTGACGAGAGAGCTCCTCCTGGAAAAAAGAGGAGGATAACCCGGCATTATAACCTGTCTTCCTGGCGCCCCCCCTTGCCTTGTTGGCGCGGCTCGAGCCTGGCCCGCCCGCGGGGGCTCCGCTTCTCGGAACTTCTCCCACCTTACCATCATCCAGACGATCACCGCTTACCGCGCAGAAGCCCCCTGCCCGGGATGCTCGATCGGCAGATAACAACCTGTCGCTAACGATTCGGCCGATGCGCTTACAACTGTACGATGCAAGGGTGTGAATAAAGATGTAAACAAGGATGACGCCGGTCGGGTATCCATGGGCCATGGCATGCAGCAACGTTCGAGCAGTGTAACTCTCGGAGCGCCCTCTTTCGGATCCCGGCAGATGCACGCAGCCTCAAGAGCTTCCATGCTGTGCGATGGATGGCTGCTAGAAGGTTGTCTAAGCGAGGCATCCACCCGGATGTCAGCCTTTCAAATTAACCCTGTGGGTAGGGATTCGGGGAAGGGGGCACTGGGCGGTGGGCGTGGACTCAAAATAGTCCGGCCCGGCAGAAGAAGCGGTCCAGGTTCCGGGCAGCAAAACCTAAGTTGTATCGGTTGGTAGTTGGCGTGCATGGGAGTATAACGGTGAAACACAGAAACAACCACAGCCCGGGACCAGTCGGAAGGTCTGGCTCTTGGTATCCAGTTCGCCGGGAGAGGGACGGTGAGCGAGGCTGCCGACTGGTCCGGGTTAATTCGTGTTTAATATATTTGGTCAGCGGGCAAATCTGGGGTAAAATACCCAAATTCCGTGGGGTTATAATGGATTATGGCTATACCGCCTTGCAGGGCCACTGGTGACTGGCCCACCAATATGATGTCCTGCTTTTGATTCAGACACTGCATCGTTGGGCACATGTTCGGTTGCCGGCTGCCCCGTCATGCGCAACAAGAGAAATAAAGTCTGGCTGCTGACCCCCCCCTCGGATGCATGGCCTACATGAGAGCACTATGAACTCGGTTCTTGGAGGCCGAACCACGGCTCGCCTATGATCCTGCCAGTGGCCATCGCTACCTCGCTTCATGCAAACAACGTAGCACCTCCGAGGTGCACCGTCCAACATGTCGCGTCGAGCCCTTGGCAAAGGATCGTCGGCTATTTGCGCGACTTTGTCGTCCCCTGGTTTTCCAAGACGACGGTGTGCGGATGCAATACCATGGGGTTCTTCGTGTCACTCCAGTACTTGAAAATATGCATAAAAAGAACCACTAGAGTTTGATGGCAGTGGCGAGAGCCTCTATTATTTTTTGTTACACACGCAGTGGTGGGAAATGAGAGCTTGGACAGGGGGAGGGAGATGGATGGAACCTTGAAGGAAAAGGGAAAAGGGGGCCAGAGGGCTTCGCGAAGATTCTTCGGATCGACATGTGCATTCTCGACACGTCCAAAAGTACCCGGAAAACGCCGTGGGAGGGTGTTATGTAGATTAAAATCAAGAAGTACCTAAGGACGCAAAAGCCGCTCCCAAGACAATTGCGTGATAATGTAATATACCACGACTGTCCACCACTGACCACCTACTATCGCAGATGGTAGTCCCTTGCCAGGATCTGCTGTTGCCAGCCAGAGAGATCTTCGCTTTGGTCACTTGGCGGTCCGGAGAAATAGACGTGCCCATCTCTTATCTTGCCTCGCAAATATCTGGCCGGACGAGATCCGGCTCGGGTGATCTGCCGAACCTTGTCATGGGATATCGGAACGATGCCACCTGAGCATCTTCGCCGAAAGGGCTGACGCAACTGCCCGCTCTCGGCGAAAATAAAACAGAGGGATTATCGGGATGTGGTCACTTTCCGCACGACGAGCAGCTTGGCAATACCACATTCAAGGTCGTCTGCAGATGAAGTTGGGTTGCAATTCAGGTTTAGGAAGGCCGTTGGGAGTTGAGTCACAGCTAGAGCCACTCCCGTACCAAGCGGGCAGTAGGAGAGACTGACAGACTAACTCGGGATAGAATATTACCGACACCAAGATCATGGAATCCTTTTCATGCTAGGTAGTATCACTTCATTCATCTCCCCGTCCCTAGCTATAATCTTTTTTTCCCCGTGTGTCCTTTTGTATTGCCCAACCGTATCACCGACTCTGATCAACCCCGTATGACAAAGGCATTGTTTTTCGTTCCCGATTACCTTAGAACCAACAAAGGTGTTACGTGTTGTCAGAATTATCAACTCAACTCCCATTCCAGTTCGGACCCTTCGTAGCTTTTACCATCGCAAGAATGCCTGGTCACGTCTTTCTGAAATCCATGTCCTTTGTCTTATTATCCAAGCTGGTATTTCATGTCCGTTCATAGATAGTTTCCTTTACCGTCTGAAAATTGGACAATTGTCATAAAAGCCCGCCGCTTTTTAGTAATTCATCCATCGTGTAAATCTTGGTGTTCATGAAACATACCTAATCTTCCTCCTCCGATCCGCCCCTTGCACATCCTCGCCCCAACGCGTCCACTGCCACCCACAACCAATATCATTAGAACGCGCCACAGACGGGTAAAGCGAACCAAGAAGCCGCCACGATGGTGAGCTCCGGGAGAAAGACTGATAAGGTGTTCTGGAAGGGCCAGGAATTTCGTCCACAGCTTGGGGCGTCGGACCAACCTAGTGTGAGGGCAATCCTACACAATAGGCTGATGGGCCAGGCGCTCGATATCAGGATCAGTGAAAGTGAGCTCCTCAGTATTGTTCAGATCTACCCCCGGTTATATCAACTCGGCCAGCGGTCGCGAGCCCGTCTCTCGGCCTGGATGCTCCATAATAGGGACACCGTCCAGGGCTGGAACTTGGGTGATTTTCTTAACACTCCGGACGCCGACGTATGCCACCATACGGTACCTAGGAAGCCTGGTTGTCCCGAGGAAGTGATGGCAGCGTGGAGAAGGAGTCTCCCTAAAGGACGTCAACCGGGCGAGCTGATTGAGGTTGAGATCCAAGAGGTGCCAGCGAATGGCAGTGGCAATCACGACGCCAATCCCGAACTAGGCCCATTGACTACCCGGGTAATTCAGCGTCGTACTCTGCCACAGACTAAACGTTTACGGGGAAAGAATTGCCAGAGCCCCATCCAAAGACTCGAGGGGTCTTTGCGTATAATCAAGGCGGTGGCCTCCCGGCTAGACTTTCTATCCCACGGCTTGGATGACAACAACTCGATGAAGGAAGAGCTGTTGGCTTTGGCACGGACACTTGATCATAATGTGGACAAGAAAAGGCGAGCGGAGACGGCCCGGGCCCTTTTGCAGAAGTTAAACAAGGCCGCCGTCCCGGATACCCATGGAAAGAAGCGCGGGCACGACCAGATCGAGGGCGCGGAGGGGGACGAGGACCGAGTCCAAAAGCGCGTCCGAACATGGCTCTTGGGGACTGTCGGTCACCTCGAAGCTGAGGAGGATGGCACCAGCGAGGACGGAACGTCTAATTCCAGCTCCGACGACGGTACCGTCAGCCAAGGGTCTCGGAACTCCGAGGACGACGACCGCGTCGAAGGCTGCATTTTCGTGGCCCCCAATCCGTATCTCGCACCTTGTTCCCAAGAGGAAAGTGGTTCAGAAGATTGAGAAAGCATCTTTGATCCGTTCGACGAACTTGTAGAGATAAGAACAGCAATAGAATCGAAAGCGTGGCAGTCTGGTTGTAGGCACTATAGAATCAATATTAAAGAAAACAATGATGTACCCCTGAACGATGCTCCCCGGCGTACGATAATACGCTGTCTAACCCGCTTGATAACAATGTACAATCTATGACCTATATGCAGTATTAATGACTTTCCAGTGATGCCTCCCACCAGTATCCAGTATTCATAACCAGCATGACGGGCACGCACAGCCAAACCCCCCCTCCCTCTCCTCTCCTCCCTTCTCAAGCACGGCACATCCTCCCATCCCCCGCCACCGTCCACGCCTCACTCCCAACCCCCCTCAGCGCATAAAACAACCCACTCGAATCCCACTTCTTCTTAATCCCCACCAACCGCTCATAATTCCCCCCAAAAAACGCCTCCTGCCACCCCGGCTGCCGAAAATCCGCCTCATTCACATACGTCCCCCCGCCCGGCGTCACCGCCTCCACCTGCGGCACAATCTCCCGCGTAATGCGTTCCTGGTCAGCCAACATAGCCGGCCACGCCTCCGGCGACGAGTCCCACCGCGTGATGAGCTGCAGCTGCACGGCGGCGGCGCGCCACTGCGGCAGCACCGCGTTGGGGGCGGTGCCGGGGGGCGCGCGGTAGGAGGCTGCGCTGCCGGCGAGGATCACGCCGTGGGAGGTGAGGTTCTGGAGCGTGGTTTGTAAGGCGGCGTTGGTGGTGGCGTCTGAGAGGATGGCGCGTGGGATGAGCCGCGAGCCGAACTGGTAGGCTTCGACGGCCATGTTGCCGTTGGGGAGGGGCCCCATGTAGGTGTCGTAGTGCGAGAGGAAGGAGAGGGTTGTGTATTTGGCTTGGAAGGGGATGCCCAGCTCGGTGAGCTTGGTGGTGAAGGGGGCGAGGACGGTCGTGTTGAGGTATTCGCCCGTGCTGTCGTAGACGGTGACTGGGTTTAGTTGGAGCACCTGGTTGGTGGCCGTGTAGATGACGTGGGCGCCCAGGTCGGTCATGCCGGGCAGCAGCGCGTGCATGGCCGCTAGGGCCTGGTCGAACTTGTCTTGGGTTGTGTAGGCGGCTGCTAGCTGAATGCTGGCACCGCCGATCTTGGCCTGCGGGTGTGTCTTGACCGTCACGCTGACGACGACGCCGAAGGTGCCGGGTCCGCCGCCCGAGAGGGCCCAGAAGAGATCGCTGTTCTCGGTTGGTGATGCGGTTACGAGACGCCCGTTGGCTGTCACCACCTCGTAAGAGAGCACTTGGTCGGCGCCCAGGCCGAAGCTCGAGCTCAGCGACGAGTGCCCGGCGCCCATGGTGAAGCCGGCGAGGCCGACAGTGGGACACTCGCCCGTCACAGCCACCACACCGGCGGCATCGGCAGCCTGCGCGGCCTGGTAGCCCATGACGCCGGCGCCAATCTTCATGGCCGTGCCGGTGAAATAGGCATCGGACCAGGGGATGAAGTCGATGCTGTCCATATGGTGCGTCCAGATAGCCAGCGCACCAGCCCCTGTTGAGCGCCCAAAGTAACTAGAGGGTTTGTGGGTTAGCGGCCGAGGCAAGAGACGAGGAGCGAGAGATGTCAAAAGTCTACATACTCATGACCCGTGTTGCGCACGACAAGGCGGACCTTGTTTGTCCTCGCAAAGTTCACGGCGGCCTGAATATCGGCAGCGCCAGTGGCTTTGACAGAGTAGCTCACATAGTTGCCCAGCTCGCACGGAGTCGACCGTGGGGTGAAGGGGTCACAGCTCTGGTTGGCAAAGAACGCCTGCATGACAGACGATGATGACTCCAGGCTGTGGGAAGGAAGGGGATGTTAGTCACACCAATATTTCAAACACTGCAATAGACGCAGGAGAAGTGCAACGAACTGTGTCCCTGGCACCATCCATTCCTGCTGCAAGGCAGCGCATGCCACGGCGTCGTAGTTTGGGTCATGGCAAACAGAGCCGATGGGTGTGGTAGCGGACAGTCGGCCCCCGACGGTGCTGTTCAAGTTGGCCCATGAAGTCGCGTTCGGCCAGTCAGGGTCTCCTGGAAGAGTGAGACATTGGCTTGACCCAACCTTGACTGCGCAGCCCGCGAGCACGACAGCGGCACGGTGAACTGACTTCATCTTGAAGCTAAAAATTAGAATGAGTGGACGGAGTATCCGGGTCCTCCAGGCGAAGCGAAACGTCAGGCAAGGACAAAAAAGAAGGATCGACGGGAAAAGAGGACGGCTACGAATCGAGGTATTCAATAGTTCGTTCGGTCTGGGAGTTGCCAAGGGCCTTATAGTATAGCCGCTTGAATTCCTTGGAGTCTGTTCGTGCCTTCCACGGGCCTCGGCCCCCCCTTTCCTCGTGGCGTTGTAGGGATCACACTTCTTTGCCCGCCAAGTTCGGGGAAGGTTCTTAGGTGTACCTGGTATAGTATCCGGAGAAGGAAGCAAAGTAGGTTACATCTCCGTTGCCTCCATCCTGGGCAAAGCTGGATAGACACTGGTGCCAGCCCACACACCACGTGGCGCCGGTGTCAAGTTCCAGACGCAGGAGTTTCCCGGCGCTAACATACCTTAGTTGTACTAGTTGGGCGCGGCCACTTGTGAACAACCGAGACAGCTGGAGGCGAATGGTTCACGTTGAGTACCCACTCACACCTTTGGCCAGATGTGTTCGGCGGAAATGTGGGAAATGCCCCGAGAGTTGTCTCACACGAGTCAAGGCCGGCCTCGCTCTTTTGTGGGGAGCGAAAATCAAGATTGGCGATGGTCAATGCAACAACGTCTCCGGGAATCTGGCGAGTTTGGCAACTCGTTGGACGTGATGCGTTTTAACCCCTGAGATCGGCGTCAGCATCGACCCGCTCCCTGTTCACTCATCACTCGTTCATGGCTAGGGTACCCCTGAAGAGTGTCAAACTTTCCCAACTAGTGCAAAACTTCAACTGCCATGAGCCCCTACCGACAATACCCGACTGCCGATGGTTCACTGGCTTGTGACAGTCTGGCGTATGTACAAGTACGTAGGGTAGTCTGTGACAGCGGGAAGCCAACCCCGATCTGGGATGGTGGGCGTCTCATCTCTCATCACCCCGACGTCCTCATGGCTTTCTCCCCAGTGCCGGCCAAGCAGCCAAGGTCCGTGGTCGCACGCCATCACTCCACCACGCGCAAGCAATAGACTTGAAAATTGATGGCGCTTCCACACAGCCCAGACTCAACTCCACAAACCATGCTTGGTTAGTTCAAAAAAGATGCAACCGAGGGGCATCCACGGCAGCAAGGGCTACCCCGGATCACGGATGTCGGTAGTTTGCCACGGTGCAGCGCATCACCATAAGGCGGGGACCCGATCTTTCCTGTCACCCTTGGGCCGAGATCGATCCACAGCTCGTCCCATTGATAATTGATAGAAGAAGTCTGTGCCTGTCTCGCCGAACCCCCCGGCCGACCCCCCTCCTCTCCCTCCGCCAGTGCGCCTCGTACGCCCGCGCACACACACATACACCACCGACCACACGATGAGAGTTATCCTAGGACTTGTTGTTGGGCTCCTGGCGGCCGTGGTGCCGCTGGTGTCGGCGCAGGACGACACGGCCGCAGCGCTCCAGGCGCTCCCCAAGTGTGCGGTATGTTGGAGTCCGGTCTACCCATGGCCTTGTTCAAAGAGAAAGGACAGGCACTGATGTGTTTGGTAGGCCGACTGCTTGGTTGAGAACGTCTTGCAATCAGATTGTGCAAAGGACCCGACACCGGCGTGTGTCTGCACGAACGGACCTCTCCAGCGCGAGATCACGCTATGTGTGGCGGCGAACTGCACCCTCAAACAGGCGCTCGGTATGTCATCTCAGCCCGCCACGTACTGCAGCGGCTGACTCGGCGGTTTGGGGACAGAGGCCAAGAACGCCACGAGTACGGCATGTGGTGTGCCGGTGCGGGACCGGGCCCTCGCGTACGACATGACCTCGATCGTGTTGGCCTCGATATCGTGCAGCATCGTGCTCCTGCGGGTGGGCTTCAAGGTGTTCGTAACCCGCAGCATGTCGTCCGACGACTACGTCGTCGCCCTCCTAGTCGCCTTCGCCATCCCGAGCATCGTCATCATCCACGTCGGCCTGTCGCCCAACGGCGTGGGGCGCGACATCTGGACGCTGACGCCGGACCACATCACCAGCTTCCTCTTCTACTTTTACATCATGGCCATGCTGTACTTTGCGCAGGTCATGCTGGTGAAGCTGTCCATGCTGCTCTTCTACCTGCGCATCTTCCCGAGCCCGACGGTGCGGCGCCTGCTCTGGGGCACCGTCATCTTCAACATCCTGTTCGGCGTCATCTTCTTTTTCGTCGCCATCTTCCAGTGCGCGCCCATAAGCTATTTTTGGAACGGCTGGGACGGCGAGCACGAGGGCATGTGCCTCAACAAGAACGCCATCGCGTGGGCCAACGCCGCCATCAGCATCGCGCTCGACTTCTGGATGCTGGCCATCCCGCTCGCCCAGCTCAAGGCACTAAACCTGCACTGGAAGAAGAAGATCGGCGTCGCCCTCATGTTTGTCGTCGGCACCTTGTACGTCCCCCCCTCCCACCACCCCCTTTTTTTCATTCCCCCCCCCCCCCCCCCCCCCCCCCAAAAACCCACCCCATCCATACTACCATACTAACCCCCCTCCCCACAGCGTCACGGTAGTCTCCATCATCCGCCTCCACGCGCTCGTCACCTTCGCCAAGTCCTCCAACGCGACCTGGGACAACTTCCCCGTCTCGCTCTGGTCGACCGTCGAGATCAACGTCGGCATCATGTGCACCTGCATGCCAACGCTGCGCCTGCTGCTCGTGCGCCTCTTCCCCGCCCTCGGCGGCAGCACCAGCCGCGGCTACGGCTACGGCAATGCCGGTGGTGGGGGGTATTATAGCGGTGGGAAATCAGGGGGTGGGGGGTACGGCGGCAAGTCGAATAGTAGGAAGTCGGGGATCGTTGGTGGCGGTGGTGCTGGGGGTGGTGCTGGGGGTTTGCAGTCGGGCCGGCACCGGCCGCTGGGGAATTTGACGAGCACGTCGCATAATAGGGATTTGGATCTGGATGAGCTGGAGGGGGATGGGGGTGGGCGGGACGGGGCCAGGAGCAGCGTGCCGGGGAGCACGGCGAGCGTGGACTCGGTTGCGGCGGCGAAGCCGATGGGGATCGTGCGGCATCAGACGTTTGCCGTGCAGTATGATGATGATGACGAGGCGAGTTTGGTGGAGATGACGGGGTTGGAGCAGGGGGAGAGGAGGAATGGGGTGCGTTCGTCGGGGTGAGGGTTGGGGGGGAGGGGTTGCTGCATTGGTGAGTGAGGTTACTACCACTACGGGTGGTTTTATGGTAATGGTATTTGTTTTAGCGTAATTTATGTTGTTTTTGACACGGACTGGTGTGATAATAGCGTGTTGAGTGAAGCATTGTTGATACCCCTGAGTTCAGATACACTGTTTGTCTCTTGTTTGTGGTCAGTGAGTGTTTCCCGTGGTCACCCACTGCGCTGCCGCTCATCCCGTCCAGCGCCGATTCCGCATAAGAATGATCGACGCCCTGATCCCTCCGAGCCCACATGGAAGTCGATCGTAGCGCAGATCACCCTTGACACTTGACACGAAGCTCGCTGCGGGGCGCTGATGATCCCCTCCCTCCCCCTTGCAAGGACAGTCCCGGGAATTGCGAACCAGTGAGGTACATATATACAGGTTTGTATTCTTTGTATGTACGATGGCTACCTATGTTACAGCTTCCGTTTGCTAACGGACATCAAGATCTCGAGGACGAGGTGGTAGTGCGGTCGGATCAGGACTTAGTTGTTTCCCCCGCCGTTGCCGTTACCGTTGCCATTGCCATTGCCGTTGCCTTGACCTCCTCCGCCACCTCCCTGGTGGTGGGGTTCACGGGTGTCAACGTCACGGGCACCGTTCCCGCCGTTGCCATTGCCGTTACCCCTGCCTCCTCCGCCGCCACCCTGGTGATGAGGCTCACGGGTCTCAAGACCACGGGCACCATTCCCGCCGTTACCGTTACCCTTGCCTCCGCCTCCGCCTCCCTGATGGTGCGGTGCACGGGACTCGACCTCGGTGCCGTTGCCGCCGCCCCGGCCTCCACCTCCGTTTCCACCTCCATTTCCACCTCCATTTCCACCTCCGTGGCCTCCTTGGTGAGGCTATACAGCAACGTCAGCACGAGCACCGAGAAGGGCATGTATTGCAGTCGTCGGTGACTTACCAAGCGAGCGTGGATCGCAGGGAGACCATAGGCGGGAGCTGCCAAGGCCAGGGCGGGAACCTGTGGTTGGTACCGGGTTAGTCCTGGTCTCCTGGACGGGAGTGCACAACCCCGGCGCTAGGGGAGGATCAACGCACCGCAAGGCGAGCCACCTCGTTGCCGGTCGGGGCAAAGGAGAATGACGAGACTGCCGAGGCGGCGATCACGCCGGCAACGAGGAATTGGCCGAAAGTGGTGTGCATTTTGGAAATTGTAGGAGTTGATAGGGGCTGGCCAGCAGCTGGAGTGGCGGAAGTCAATAAGGTAAAAGAGACGAAGATGACAGAGAAGTGAAGGTGGGTAGTGGGCTGATGAGTATGAAGGAAAGAGAAGCTATAAGCAGAGAGCAGCTGTTGATATTTGTATCCATGATGCACGACTATGATTATGTGATTGTCCACTCTCTTTTTCAACATTCAACGGTTCAAAAACAAAAATTCAAAAAAGAAGACCATGTCGTTGCATGATGCGCGTCTCTCGCGTGTCTCGCCCCATGAACCCTGGGACCGTGGAGACATGAGATGAAATCTGTCGAGTATCAGACTGATGGACGAAATGGGCCGTGGTGTTTTGGCACTCTTTGAGTCCGAGGTTGAGAGAGGAAGTTAAGAACGATGGGCCAAGAACACCAGTCGAGTTTGTGAACCGTGCTCGGAACTTGAAGGTTGCATCGCTTCAGAGCTGTCGGCAGGTCGGGTCTCCGCAGGCCTGGCACTCCTGGCCAAGTGCCAAGGGGCTTGTTCGGCAGTGGGCTTGGCCAATGCTTCGCACGCCTGCCAAGACTTAAAATCGCCGGTGCGGGCTGCCCCCATTGTTGGCCTGTGACGGGTCCTTTCTGACACAGGTCGGGGCGCTTTTGAGTTTCTCAACCCAATCGAAGAAGAATGTCGAGTCTTCCACTTACTTACTACACATCACGTCGTGCGCCAAGACGAAACTCGGGACGCACCCGTGCGACGCCGCATTCAACATCTGGGGTCAGGCCCATCATCAACTGGGCCACTCCTGCCTTGTTGTGACTTGTTGAGAGTTGAATCCGTCCCATCTCCGGATTGCGTGGGTGAATCGGGCAGTGGCCCTTTCGAGTCTCGACCCTTGAAGCGCCGAATTGAAACCTGACTGTGCCTCAAAGTGATTCAGCGTACCCGACGAGGTCGCACAGGCCGCTTTGTGTCCGAGATCAGGGCCGTCTTGTCCAGGCAATTCTGGTTAGGTATTTACACAATCAATATGAAAATCCATTATGTCTATCCACTCAAGTCTCAGGCTCCATGCATCCCTCACTTGATCTTTCTCTTGGATCACTCGCTTGACCCGTGCTCGCCTCGTCCTGCCCTTCATATTTGCGAGATTCGAGACATTTTAGACAGTTTCAAAGAACTCAGCGGCACTACCTTGACGCCAGCATTGCATTCCTCTCCATTCATCTTTTAGTTAGCTCAGCCCCTGAGTTCCTTTCTTGACCCGAACCATCACCTCATATGGTCCATCAACTGCATCTCCAAACCGTACCTTGACACCGTCAGCCCACCATGCCACAAAGTGACGATTACCAGCCCGTCCCTCTCGAGGAGGACAAGCCATCCGAGACCGGTTCTTGGGAATCAAGATCGAGCCCGGACGACTTGTACAAGATACAGGAGGCACGAAGGACAGCCAACCACTGGCTGTGGATCGGGCACATAGCCTTGCTCTCCATCTCGACGACCCTCTTCACCCTCGCCACCTGCATGAGATATGCGCGGCCTTCCAGTCTGGCCGTCACCACCCGGTTTTCCACTTACTGTAAGCGTGCCAGCGAGGGACCAGAACCCACAGAACTACCGCCCGCTAACCATTACCAATCCAGCTCCGGCCGCACCCATCGTAGAATACAACACGCACAGATACAACCTAACCCCCAACATGGATTGGTCGCCCTACGTCGGCAAAGGCCCCAAAGTCGACGAAGCATGGGAGCAGATCTCCCGAGGCAAGCCCCCACCTCCCTCCCTCCCTCCCTCCCTCCCTCCCTCCTGAAAACCCCATCCCATACCCTCCCCCCCCCCCTTCAAAAACAACCCGCACCAACCCCTTCACTAACACGCCCCCCAGTCGGCGACATGATGATCACCCCCTCCGAAGTAGCCCGCCTGGGGCTCTCCCCCAACTCCCTCAAGATCACCGACCCCAAGACCGGACAGGTCGGCTACCGCGCGGCCATCGAGGTCTTCCACCAGCTGCACTGCCTCAACCTGCTGCGGCAGTTCAGCTGGAAAGAGTACTATGCCCACGACCATGAGGGTGGCGATATCAGTGCGCCGGCGGCTGATGTTAGGGGGCATGTCGGTTAGTACACTACCCCCCTGAATGACTTGGTGTGGGGTTGAAGGGCTAACGTTTGGGGGGGGTTAGATCATTGTATTGAGACACTGCGGATGAATTTGATGTGCCAGGCGGATATTGGGGTTTTTACGTTCAAGGTGTACCCGGAGCTGGGGGATGATGACCCGTGGCCGGACTTTTCGACGCTGCATACGTGCAGGAACTTTGAGGGGATAAGGGACTGGGCGCGGGGGAGGGCCGTGACGTGGGATGATAACGCGTGAGGTGGGTGGTGTGGGATATTGTATGTATTATGGTTGATGTACATAGATAGGTAGATACCACCCAGACCGATCTGGGTTTCAGTGTAATTCCACTGTCTCACACCGGTGAACCTGGATTGGGGCTGTATGCGCCGGTAAATGACCAGCCGCCCCCCCTCCCCCCTTCCCCCCCGAACGCCGCGCCAAACACGACTAAAAATAAAACAAGAGAGCGCCGGCACCTTCCCTAGGATTTGTCGACACTGGGTGGCTTGAGCTGCGAGGCCTGCTGCTGGCTCCAGTTCCTCCTCTCGGTGGTGCCGCTTTTGGTATAAACGTCAATATCACCATCATGGCCACTATCAGTCGCAGCAAGCCGGCTCGTGCCTAGAGTAGCACGGCGGGCAGTACCGATTGTCATGGTAGTAGTAGTGGTGGTAGCAGTGGTCGGGATGTTGTTGTCGCGGCGGAAGGATATGAAGAGGTGGCGCATCATCGGGATGGAGGCGGCCATTATAGTGAGAGCGGACTCGCTGAAGCCCCACACGACCAGGGGGAGAGCGTTGTCTGATTTATGGGAGGGCAGATGGTTAGGGTTTGCTGGGAAAGCGCAGTGAGAGGGGAGTGCTTACAGCTAAAGTCGCCGGCGTTGAGGACTCCGGGAATGGTGGTCATCTTGACTACAGAGGAGATCCCGGCACTGGGGGTATTAATCGGCTGCCATGGATCGGAAAGAGGAAGAGAGGATACTACTCACAACACACCCATGCTCATGGCAATGGCCACCCCAATCTTTTCTCTGTTGTACATGTTGTACTTGAGCAAGAACCTCCAAGGGAGGAGGGCGAGTGAAAAGTCACATAACGCCGAGCAAGCTGATATGGTCACCGGTCAATTACGAATAAGAGAGCTAGGAAGGGGAGACTTACATCCGAAAAACATGCTGGTATTGACCGTGACGGAAATTGGCCAGCATTCGCCCGGGATCGTCATATCCCATGTCTTGGCCGGAGGGTTGCACGACACCCAGAAAAATACTGAGCTACTGTAGTGCGTGACATTGAGGAGGACAAGGAGACCGATGATATACCATTTTATCCAACCATCGGTTAGTCTGAGCAGGGTAAGACCGAAAGAGGTTTTACTGCAGGCCACTGCGATGACTGAGGCGAAACCGGAGATAGTGCTATGGATGCCGAGGCGGGTGAGATTCTCTACGGGCAGCTCATCAAAGTGAAGGCCGAATCCGAGACGGCTGTTGGCTGTCGATGTCGAACAACTGACAAGAAGCATAACCTTGAAACCACAAGTTAATTAACGAGATCCGAGTTGCATTTGAAGGATGAAACACCCGAGCAGACGGGACCATACCCAGGCGACAATGATGAGATAGTCGTCCCACCACAACCGTCTCCGGCGGCTGATTTTGCTATAGAGTCGAAGACTGAGGAAAACACCGGCGAGCGTGGTCATGACCCACAGAACGGCAACAATGACTCTCGCTTGCGGATTGGTTGCGAGGTCGACGTAAACAACCATCCTTGTCGGTTCGAAGGCGGGTCCGACGTTGCCGAGAGTGATTTGACGGGGAAGTTGGAAGCTGTTGCATCGGCTGACAGGGATGAGAGGTCATGGTCGTTTCCTCTCGTCGCTCGGCATCGAGTCCCTCCCTTAGTTATTCTGTAAACATGCTCGAAGTTGAGGAGTTGTTCAGGGTTGGAACCCGGCTGCGCGATGGTCAGTAGGGAGGTTGACAGAAGGGAACCGCCCGGACGTTGAAGTGAACTCCCGGTCGACCGTGTCTGAGCGGGACCGGGAATTAACTAATCTTGGCGAAGCAGTGACAGACCCACCCGGGATATGAAGAGCGCTGTGACTGGTGGGACTCTCCCTCAGCCCTCTCACCGGCTTCGAAGGCATCCGCGCCTCTGGCCCTCCTGGCTTGGGTTGGGGTGGCCAACTGCGTCCTCGTTATTACTTATTCCCAGAAACGAAACAACAGACAAATTAGTGGGCTTGAAGACAACCATGGATAGGTACAGATCTGTATTAAAGGGTTGTCTTGGGTAGGTAGTTACATGTACTCGACGTCCAATCAAACAATTTCAAAGACACGCTCATCAACCTCCCGCCTTTCGAGCATACCCGTATCTACAGCCTCCCCATTCATGAACCCGTGTACGTAACACTCTCCAACCAGCAAGTAAAACCCAGAGCCCGGACAGGGACGGAGACAAAATGGCATCTTCCCGCCAAAGAGCACGCAGACAATGTCAGCCTTCTCCATGGCCTGCGGCCCCATCACAAAGTATCCCCTGGTCGTCCGGGCAAACCTCCGATTGTGTGATGCGCCCGTGGCCGCACGGCTCCACTTGTGCGCGTCTCCCTTCTCGGCCAGGCCACGGAGCTCGGGAGAGATGGCCGCCTTGTCTACCACTTTGGCGAGATAGGCAGCGCCGTGGGCGAGCCATTTCTCGTGCGGGACAGCGCCGTACTCCTCGGCGGCGTGGTCCTGCCAGTAGATGGCCATGCAGCCGTTGCTGAGTGTCTGGACATAGGCGAAGAAACTGCTCTCTTCTCCGCCGGCGTACTTGTTGTGCAGACCAAAGCCGTTTGCGTTCCCGCAGATCTCCGTCCAGAGAGTCTCGACCGCGGCCCGCGTGGTGTTACCGCTGTTGATTTTCTTCTCGTGAAATGCCCCCTTTTCCAGCACATCAGAGCAGTTCTCGATCAAGTCGATTCTAGTGCCGCGAATGGTGAGCACCTCCGGAGCGGATGGGGTAATGCGCAGATCTGGCTTCTTCGAGCCACAGGCGCGGTGAGGACTAGTGGGTTCTGACATGATATGCCCTTGGCTAGTTCTCCAGTCCGGCGCCCACGACGGCAGTCTGCGCTCTCGCCTCGGCGAAGCTTCGATGGGGGAGGGAGATCTTGTATGCTGTACGGCCGCCAAAGTGATGAGAGAGTCATTGTCTCCGGTCAGGGCCCTCGCAGCAACGTCGGTGTAGACCTCCTCGACGGATTTCTCGTAGTCCACTACCAACCTCTTCAGCTCGTTGTTGCGTCCATGGCGGATGGAGTAGTGTCCCAGCATGGCATATACCCGGTCTAAGGGATCCGTGAAATTCAGGTGCCGGGCTCGATGGAGCTCGTAAATGAAGCTGAACCGGTTGTCGTGCCGGCTCCGTGTCTCGGGTTCGACGAAGCGGCGATGAAGGTACTTGATTACCGAAGTTGCCACCTTGAACTTGACTCTCAAATGATGGTACTCTGCAAGCTTCTCACACACGTCGTTCAGTGCGTCCCACGCCATTTCTGCTTCCCCCCAAAGCAGCGTTGCGGGAGTTCTGGTGCCAATCTCCTGAACGATCCAGCCACGCCGGAACTGGTAACAATAGCATTGTTAGCGTTGGCATGCCGATTGTAAAATGGGGGAGATCGTGTCGAATCAACCTACCCATGGGAGAGTGGTTATATGTCTGAGGGGCATCCAGTAATCGACTGATTGGTCGGCCAAATTGTCCATATCGAAGGCAGTATGTTCCTTGTCGTTTGCGAGGAGCCCGGCCAGGTGTCGTACAAAGGAGAAGGCCTGTTCGGCCAAATCCTGCTCGTCAAGGCCAAGCCAGACCTGTACGTGACTCCCATTCCTATAGATCCTGTTCATGAACTGCACCTGCTGGGACCTCTCTTCCGTATTGCGCTGATCAATGCAAACCTGGTCGGCCCACACGCGTCGGGAACCGGTGCGCGGTCTGAGTCGTCTCAGGGCATGGTAGATGCTGGCGGTAAGTTTGAGTTGTGCGGTCGGTAGGAATATCTCGTTCGTGAGCGTATCATTGCCCCAGACGTACGAGAGAGGCTCATACACCCCGGCAGCGTCAACGGCAACGCACTCGAGCTCCCCCCTAAGCGGGTCCTCGAGGTTCCCGCCATATAGTGTCAACACTCTAATCGTTCCGTCGCCAGGCAACGGGGCGTAACTGTAAGCAGGTGGACTGGAAGCTTTCGAGACTGGGCAGCCCATTTTTGAGATAATATTGGATAATTCCCAGTTGCTGAAGACACTAGACACATTGGATATGCCCTCATGATTTACACCCAGAGCCTAGAGACTAGAGTATTGATCCATCCAGATACTTACCAAAGCACCTCGATGCCTTCACAGATCATGTGTATGTCGGCCCGATCCATCAGCAGGTCAGGCAACGAACAGCTGGCTTGGTTTACATGGTTCCCCGCATGGCACAAAATCCAGAGCACAGTAGCACCCAATCAGAGTCATCGGACAACGACGAGTTGGAGCAGCAAGCTGAGCATCATGCAGTGTACAGATTACAGTACCAGCAACGCCCAACCAGAAGATATCCTCCTGTCCATTTTGTATGTCAGCTATGCGTATCGGCCTTATTGCGACAGTAACAACCTGGAATCCTCATTGCAACTACGTAATACCTAGGTACCTTGCGTGAGCTGAGCTGCCATGCGGCCACCATGCATTTCACCAACCCAGCCCGAAAAGCCCAACCATGGGATATCCTCATGCGTTATCACACTGCGTATCGACCTAATTGGGCGACGTTCACGGAGCCGCGTGTAACTTCACCAATGGTGTCAAGAGCTATGAGTGACGAAAGGTGCAGACTGCGTCAAATAGTTGAAATAGCCGAATCACATCAAGGCTGGGTTGGGACTCACTTGAGTCACTTCAACGAGGGTGTGGCGGTCGAAGTCCGCAAGTAGAGCCCTATTTAAACTTGCCCTGTCTTTCAGTGTCCTGCACACATCAATGCTGTCCCTTCATGGCCCATATTGCTAGCACGGACAACTACCGCATCCATATCGAAATACTAGCATGGCTCTCATCGTAAGTTCCAACATGAACCTTAGAAAGAGTCCTGGCAGGCACCACGACGGCTTCTTCATTTTGCTGAAGAGCCATGCTAACGTGGCCTCCAGCAGACGTCCCCTGTCCCCTCCACCTCCGAGGATTCCAAGATGGCCATTGGGGATCCCAAGACGGCCCATGAGGGCCTTGAAGTGGTCCCCCCGGATCCCGAGATGGATCCTGGGGATCCGGACAGGGACGATCCGGAGATGGGCCCTGAAAGTCCCAGGATGGCCCCTCAGTCTTTCAAGATGGCCCTTGATAGTCCGCAGGAACGCCCGAAAGACAATCTAGAAGAGCTCCTAAAAGAATTCAAGGACGTCTACGACCGCGAGGCCGGCGCGTACCGCCGATGCTTGAAGGTCGTCGCAGAAGACCTGACGCACGTCCTGGCCCAGGAGTCTATCCGGCATCTCCCCACCCTCTCCCGGGTGAAGGGCTGGGCCTCCGTCAAGGGCACTGCAAAGCGCCGACAGAACGACCGCCTAACCGCCCAAGAGATCCAACGCAAGATGATAGAGCTGAACGAGAACTGGGAGCGGCATTTCGACCGATACAATATGAGTAAGACGGAGCTCGGGTATTTCAGGAACCGGGACGAGCTCATCCGCGTCTTCCACGATATGCTCGGCGCGCGGATCGTGCTTTATTTCCCGAGCGACTCGAAGAAGGTGCTCGAGCTCCTGAAGGAGGCAGGCTATGAGATGGCCAAGGACCCAAAACGAATGGGGGGTCTGGCGGATGTCAAGAGGCTACGGAAGCTTCATGCGAAATGGTTGGATGCATCCGCGTCCAAAGCCCCCGCCGATGACCTCAACCTGGATGGCGTGGAGCAGCAGTTCTCCGGGTATGGCGCTATCCACCTTGCTGTAAAGGTACCCAAGCGGCTCCAGCCGCGGGACCTGGGCCCGGAAGCGGAGATATGGGACAGGAGGGTGGTGGAAATCCAAGTCGGCACCGTCATGATGCACGCCTGGGCCGAGGTCGAGCACGACATCACCTACAAGTCTCCCGGCGCGTCTCCCGGACGCGAGGTAACGCAGGACGAGAAGGGTGTTCTGGACATGCTCAACGGCCTCGCCATTGCCAGCGAGGTGGGCCTACATCGATTTCGGTCGCCGCCGTCGTCGCCGTCGCCACCCGCCGAGTCGATCGAGGAACTGCGGAGCTGGCTGCACCAGCTCTACATCCGAAAGAAACGGAGCATACCAGCCAAGTGGGATTACGTGGACGAGCTTTGGGATTATCTAAAGAACGGCGAGAAGAACAACCGGGACGCGTTCCAACCTCTTGCCGAGAAGGGTTGGTCGAACCTGTTGGCGTTCAAAGGCGGTCGGAGCTTCGAGTTCGACCATGTTCTACCCTACATCATCATGCATGGCCGCCTGCCAGCTGATGCGGTGTCGCAAGCTCCTCCACCGCCGTTAGTTACTCCGGATCCGCCATCTACCGGTGATGGAAGCGGCAAATTAAGGACGGAACTCCACACAACAGCTAACAAGCTCGGTGAACTCGTCCGCCAATACTGTCCTCAGGACAGCCAGATCGACCCCCATGCAAAAGACAAGCACGGCCACAACGCTGCCTGGTATGCTACCGCCTGCATGAAGAAGCTTGGTGAGATCATCGCCTCGTTGGCGGCCACGTCGGGCATCGGTTCCAACCGGGCAACGGAATTGGGGAACGCTGCTCCCGACGGGTTGAGGCAAGCCTTCTTCTACGCTGTGGTAAATGGCGAGAGCAAGGTGGTGCAGTTTGTAATCGACATGGGGGGCGACGTCAACTGGAAGAGTAACGGATTGTATGGGTGTTGGAGTAAATACGACGTCCCGGCCCTCCACATTGCGAACTACTACGGGAACGAAAAGCTCTGGCAGCTTTTAGTCAAAAACGGAGCCGACAGGAGCGCTAAAGATGCCTATGGAAATTTGTGGACGGCCAAGACTTGGGGAGGAGAGAGAACCTGGACGTTTGTCTGAAACAACTCAAAGCGGACGAGGCACGGCAGGTGACTTCTGGCAACTTGCAGTTTCGGCACGGTGTATGTCAGGGTTGTGATCAAGGTAGCCGACTAGGTACATTAGGTACACTCTACACGCGTAGCACAAAAACAATAACAACCTCAGCATGTGATGGGAAGGTCTGGCGTTAGCTGCTTTGCCCCTAAATTATCAACGCCGCCGGCGTTCTTCCTGGTAGGTCACAATTAGGCAAGACTAAACAACTAGTCAAAGCAAATTAGTTCAGGCAAGCCCCAAAAACGAATCATAGATGGTTGAGAGGGGCGCGGTGATCCCGTCTACAAAATCAAGATGAGCTACACGGCCACGTCGGTAAGCGCAGCTTCCGAGCTAATCAACCCCAGCCTCTGGACAAGGCCAACGCTACGACGTTTGTAGTATGCGGTGAAAATATAAGTCAATTCATTCTTCGGACTTGCCGGTCCACGTTGTATTAGAATTGTGGTTGTGGCGGTGTTGTCGATTTGCAGCGAATAAAAAGAGTTAGCACATCGCGTATGCAGTAAGGGTGTAAGCAGCGTACTCTCAGCGCTGGCTGAATCGCGTATTGAGAAGCCTCAGCAGCGTATTCACAGAGATCGCCTAACCAAGCAATCAGAGCAGAGTCATTATTTCCTCAACAACATGGAAACTTTGGAGTATAAAGCAGTCGATACCGCCCTTAGGAGAGCCAACATCATGCATCAAACCTTCAAGTTCACACATACCTTGATCCGCAGAATTGAGTCAACAAACAACACCCTCTTTCCACTGTCACCCTACCATTCACCTCCTCAATACCACGGCTCCTAAACCGGTTCGCTTGTCAAAATGTTCTCCAAAGCTCCCGCCGCCCTCGCCGCTGTACTGGCCTTGCCCGCTGTGGCCATGGCCCTCACTATCCCTGCTCAATTGCAACTTGCCGACACGTACGTGTGGCTAGACACACCCCTATTCCCCTCCCACGTCATCTAACCGTATGCCATATCTAGTGCCGTCGACAGATATAAAATCCTCCCTACGAACGACGACTTCTTCTTCGATTTCAACACGGCCTCCTTCCCCTTGGCCAACCGCCAAACCTTCCCTGCCCTTGTCGGGACCAACATTGCTCTAGCCATCACAGCAATCGAGGGTAAGCAAGCACCTCTCCAAACCACCACCACCACCAGTACCATCCACATAACTAACCACAACCCCCCCCAACCCCAGGCTGCAGCATGGCCTCCCTCCACATCCACCCGCGCTCCGCCGAGATCTTCGTCGTCCTCTCGGGCCGCATCCTCACAGAAATGATCCCGGAGGGCGGCGTGGTCGACGCCGACGGCAAGCCGCGGCTGATCCGCACGGAGCTGGCGGCCAACCAGACCACCATCTTCCCGCAGGGCTCCTTCCACGCCCAGATGAACCCGGAGTGCACGCCGGCCTTTGCCGTCGCCGCGTTCGCGTCCGACGACCCGGGCGCCGCGCTGGTCGTGCCCCAGGCCTTTCAGCAGTCGGATGAGTTCGTGGTGAATTCTTTTGGCGGGGCGTTGGCCGCGGAGGATCTGGCGAGGTTTCGGGCGGCGATTCCGCAGGGGCCGTTCTTTGATGTGGAGGCGTGTCGGAAGAGGTGTGGGTTGTGAGGGTGATGGATGGTGTTAGGGTGGTGGTGTTGGCGACGACGTGGGGAGTGGAGGGGGAGGGGCATCGTTTCGTTTCAGTTCCCAAGTAACTCTGTTCGATATGAGAGAGTGAATTCTTTATGTTTTATTTTTTAGAATAGATTTTGATAGACTACAACGATGGCATGTCTGTGGCCTGATTCTGTTCATATGTGAGAGAGACCTGTAGGAAAATAGGGACTACTGTGGTATGCAGACCAGCTACCTGAATTAATAAAAAGAGACCTACCTTTAGCATCACAAGAATACCTATCCAGGACTTGGGAAATAGGTCACCGTGCCCGTAAAGTTTGTGAATCCTGCTGTAGCCCTAATTATGCCAGCTGGCTGATTTGCGCCCTGGGTATTCCTGACAACCAGGTTGGTTTCTTCCTTGTGTGAAGTCGCTGTTACTTTTTACTTTTTTGAGGCTGTACAGAATACAGATGACCTGTAGCTATTGCGCAAGCATGACAGGCTTTGATTGTAGGTGCCCGGTGATCAAAATGCTGGGTGTTCAACCGATGTGATAATAAACAACGTGCATTCAAGGCGAGGTTGCACAGATACATTGTTGGCTGCACAGATAGGAGGCCAGTCGTTCGCGCCACCGATCACATCATGGTCAATGTTTGAGGCCGAATTTGGTGCAATCACGTTGCTCCATCAACTGGCTCTGGGAATCCCAGCACAAGGCAGCTGGGTTTCAGGGTCGGGAAGTGACGGGATTGGCTGCGTTCCTCCGCCCCTGCCAACTTCGAATCGCAACGAGTCCCACCATTCCGTGTCGCATCAGATGGCACGGCTGCCGACTTGTCAGCTTTTGATCCCGGATTCCTCGCTGCTCCAGCCGGAGGCGCTTGCGAGGTCTGTACCAAAAATATATCAACATAACCTAGACTTGCTCGCCCTTGTGCGCTTCCTCCTTTCCTGCTCCCGATATCATTGTTTGCATCAACTTGACTGCTTCTCTACCCCCGCCTCTGACCCAGTCAGTCGATCAACGAGCGCACCGAAAGACAGGCCCTGTCGCAAACATCCCTAAGCGCCTGTAGGAACACTGCAGAGCCAACCTGGAACTTTGCACGGCGCAGGTTTTCCGTGCGCAACACCCGTCTATGACGTCCTTACCAGAGACTCAACCAAGAGAAGAAAACATCCCACGTCGTTCGTGAACGGTGTCCTCGGCCTCCACCCCAGGTAAGCCATTGGCGCAAGTCGCAGCGACCGAGTGCTGCCCCTCCCTCCCTCGTCGTCAGCCACCCAGGTCAGCCTTGGTTGTGAGCGGGCCCAGTATCCAGCCCAGGCCCGCTACCCGAGACCTCGTCGCATCGACAATCATACGGATTCGCAACCGACTGAATTCGATCAGCCCACGAGCCGCGACAGCAGATCCACGATCGCCTGCTTTCTGAGCGCTGGAGAGCTTCCCTCCTGGATCCGGCACTCCCACAATCCCCGAGGTCTGGAATGGGTAAGATGTCCTATGAGGGTTGCCCTCCCGTGTCTTGAGACATCCGCAGGCGAGCGACTCCTCGCATCGCCGTTGGATCAGGGCTGGCCAGCGGCGCGAGACCGGTCCGGGTTGAAGCGCAAAGCATCGCGCCGCAACTTGGCCACCGAGCTTTGCCTTTGCCGGCAACCCGCTCCTTCGGGGTCGAATCAAGTCCAGTGGCATATTAACCTGCCATGACCCGACTTTCTCGGCATCAAAAACGCTAACTGAGTTGTGTGTGTTCTTGCGACAGGCCCCTGACTTTTTTCTTCGTCGAGAACGCCCCGCCATCCGGCCTGCCCTTCCCCACCGACCCCATCGACATCGCAATCGACAGGACGGCCACGCGCGCCCGAGCTCCGTCACCCGACCCCGTTTTGCCAAACTGAGCTGTCGATTTCTCTTTCGCGCACAATGAACGGATCGCAACACGCGAACGACACGTTGGCGCAAAGGTCGCCGCAAGGCGCATCGACCCCGGCTGCTGCGCCCGCCAACGGCAACTCGGCAATAAATAAGAAGAGGAAGAAGGACGGCCTGAAACCTATCATCACAACAGAAGGTCCTGGGTACGTGCATCACGCTTTCTGCCCCGTTGCAAGGATCGATTGATGCCTTGTTTTCCCTGCCCCATTTCTAGAAGGCGGATTGCCGCTCGAGTCCATCCAGTCCCGCGTGTCTGGGTTCGCCGGATTCGGTTCCCGTTCCTTCGACCTGGCCGAACACATTGCGCAGCGCGTGCCGTCCCTCAGCGAGGTGGCGGGGTGCGACAGGCGGGCCATGGGACCCACGAATCCACGAACCCATGGAGGGGGAAGAGCCCACAACCTCCGTACCCATGCGCTCACGCTGCGACATCACACAGCTCGGGCGCATGGGTATGGAGAATCCCCCCCAGTTCCAAAGGGGGGAAACGAGCCTGCAGATATTTTGGGCTTGTGTGTTTGTGGCTCAAGTGAGCCTGGGCGCTTTTCACCTTGCACTACCCCCCGAATTCTCCCCTCTCCTTACCGCTTCCCGACTCCTCCCGCACCAGGGGGCCCAGATACATCGAACCCGTCGCTGCAACGTACAAGCCGGCCAAACAAACCAAACCACCAACTCCCCGTTTGTTTGTTGACCCCCACTACAATTGTGCAGCCAGCATCACGAGATGAAGACGATGTTGAAGTCAAGGTCTCCGCTTTTGCATGTTTTGAAACCGAGTCGTGCATCCCACTCACTGCACTTGCTTGTCGTTTCGGGCCGCCGAAAGTTCGGCACCGTGCGCAAAGGCGCAGCCCGACCAAACCCCGCCACCCGCTTGCCTCCATGACACAAGTCGTCCGGACATCGGGTGTCTGCCTTCTTTAGATTCGGACTGCTGCAATGTCCAGGTTAGACAAACTGCTTACACGTCGATTCCGATAGGGCCGCCCATCTCGCATCAGCCATGACACATTCACCGACCTCGCCGTCCTCACCAGAGGACGCCGCGGAGAACACGGCCGACGAGGAGGATTCTGAGGATTACTGCAAGGGCGGCTACCACCCGGTAACCATCGGGGAGAAGTTCAAGGATGGAAAGTACACAGTCGTGCGGAAGCTGGGTTGGGGCCACTTTTCGACAGTCTGGCTGTCAAGAGACAACAACTCGGGGAAACACGTCGCCCTAAAGGTCGTACGGTCTGCCGCCCACTATACGGAAACGGCTATAGACGAGATCAAGCTGCTCAACAAGATCGTTCAAGCGAACCCAAATCACCCTGGCCGGAAGCACGTCGTCAGCCTGCTGGATTCATTCGAGCACAAGGGGCCGAATGGTACCCACGTCTGCATGGTGTTCGAGGTGCTCGGGGAAAACCTGTTGGGCTTGATCAAGAAGTGGAATCACAGAGGCATCCCGATGGCGCTCGTCAAGCAGATCACAAAACAGGTGCTTCTGGGGTTGGATTATCTGCATCGGGAATGTGGCATCATCCACACCGACTTGAAGCCCGAGAACGTCCTCATTGAGATCGGCGACGTCGAGCAGATCGTGAAGCGGGTGGTCAAGAGCGAACCAAACGACAAGGAGAATAATAGGAATGGTCGCCGGAGGCGGAGGACCCTCATTACCGGCAGCCAGCCGCTGCCGTCACCCTTAAACGCGAGCTTCAGCGCCAGCTCGCTATTTCCGTCCCCTGGCTCACACAGCCTGGGGCAGATGCTGCACGATGGTAAGTCGGTTCTTTTCCTGCTATTGTTGGCCTCTACTAACCGAATTTGCAGCAGGCAACAAGTCGAAAGAGCCGTCGCCGAAACCGGACACCGGCAACCCGGAGGAGAACCAAAAGCAGCGGGAAAAGACGGCCGACATCCTGACCAGGGAAGTCTCAGGGATTTCGCTGGACAAGGCCACAACGCCCTCTTCGACCACAGGCGAGAAGCGCAAGGCCGACGACATGCAGGCCTGCGACATTATCAGCGTCAAGATTGCCGACCTCGGTAACGCTTGCTGGGTCAACCACCACTTCACCAACGACATCCAAACACGCCAATACCGCTCCCCCGAGGTCATCCTCGGTGCCAAGTGGGGAGCGAGCACAGACGTCTGGAGCATGGCAGCTATGGTATGTATCCTCTCCCTTTGCACCCCCGTTCCCCTTCTTCGTTCTCACCAACTAACAACCCCCCTCCCCCTGCAGGTCTTCGAGCTCATCACAGGCGACTACCTGTTCGACCCGCAGTCGGGCACCAAGTACGGCAAGGACGACGACCACATCGCGCAGATCATCGAGCTGATGGGCCCCTTCCCCAAATCCCTCTGCCTGTCGGGCAAGTGGTCGCAGGAGATCTTCAACCGCAAGGGCGAGCTGCGCAACATCCACCGTCTGCGCCACTGGGCCCTGCCCGACGTCCTGCGCGAGAAGTACCACTTCAAGGACGAGGAGCCCCGCCGCATCGCCGACTTCCTCACCCCCATGCTCGAGCTCATGCCCGAGAAGCGCGCTAATGCCGGGGGTATGGCTGGTCACTCGTGGCTGGAGGAGACTCCCGGTATGAAGGGCATCAAGATTGATAAGGTCGAGGTCGGCAGCCGGGGCGAGGGTATAGAAGGCTGGGCGAGCGAGGTGCGGAAGCGTTAGAGAAGGGGAGGGCGGTATCGTCGGGGGTGAGGGGGGGAAGAGGAGGGGAGATGCGTGCGGGGGTTGGGGGGGAGGGCTGGAGGTCTACCCTGTCTGCCTGTTTGTCTGCCTGCCTGGTTCTCCGTCTTTTGGCTTGTGTGATCTGGCTTAGACTGGTCTAGCTAGTCTGGTCTGGTCTAGCAGTTGGTTAGCCGGTCGAGAGGCGCATTGTACCGCGAACAGCCTGGGGCTGTCTCCGGGTTGCGTTTGCCGTGTTTGCAACTTTCTTTACCCTGGGCCATGACTTGGGCCGATGGCGGCGACGGGCACAGATGGGTGGGCGGACGGGCGGACGGGCGGGCGGATAGGCGGAAACAAGGGGGAGAGAGCCTGGGTTTGTCGTTTTCTTCCCTTCAACAGCAAAGTGTCTCTGCCCACTGATGTATAGCCTGCCCGTGCGCAAAGACTATGCAACGAATCTTCCATGTCTGTCTGTTCATTTTATAACAAGACTTCTTTGTTTATTTTTGTCTCTTTTTCTCTCCTGCGTCGCTGTTGCTTTTTATTCCATCATTAAAACAAATACCTGGATGGATGATGACCTTTTCTTGGTTGGGACCTCTCTCTCTTCCTTCCCTTTGCAACGCCAAAAAGATTCGTGGTTCATATTACCTAGATTATGTCTACATGATGACGATCCTTCCTTTCTGTATCCTAGCGGTTGGCTTGTTTCACTCGCTGATGTCCTTTTCCCCATCACGGCCGTTGTGTGGGAGTTCTTTCTTTTACTTTGGGTTCATGGAATATATGGATAGACTTCTTGGCTTTTTTTTCTTTTGCATTCGTTGATAATGCTATTGTTATTGAACGAGTCGATCGTGTCGCCTCCCCTTCTCCATTTGTTGTGTTGCGTGGTGTCACGCCGAGTCGCTGTCGCACGACATGTATTCCAGTTGATAGGTACGTACTGGCATGGGGACGATGCAAAGCACACCTTGATATGCCGGTTGTGATACTTACTGGAGTAGTTGTTTATCCGATTAGAGAGCCTAGGACCAATGAATCGGGGGTTGTAGAGCCTCCTTCCTCGGGGAGGGTAACGAGACGTGTTCTAATTACTACAGCAGCTCAAAGACTCCTCCATGCCTATCCCGTGCCGCGTTTCCTTCCGTAGCGACGCATACGCCAGCCATGGAACACCAAGTCAACCCCGCGAAGTTCAATTTGTGGTGAAAAGCGATGCGTTAGATCGCATACCTGCTCCCTCGGCGCTATCCCAATGTGACCAACCGTACCATTTTAACAGAGACCCATCCTTCTACTCGCCCAACTAGCGCCGACCACCGCCCTTCCCCTTCTGCGTCATCTTGCGGAACGCCTCCAAGCCAGCAGCACCAACGGGGCGGAACTCGTCCGTGCCCCGCGTCGCGTCGAACGTGCTGCGCGGGGCGATGGTGTAGCTGGCGGGAAGACCAGCCGGCTGGGCGCGGTTGGTGTTCTTGATCTCGGGCGCGAGCATGCGTTCGCGCTCCAGTTCGAACCGCGACTTCCCGCCTGCCGGTCGCTGGGTCAGCGTCATCTGCGAGCCAGACGCGGCGGCCCCTTGGCGCTGGGCAAGTTTCGCGGCACTGTGGTGGGTCAGTTAGTGAACTGGATGGTTGGAAGGGAGAAGAAAAAGAACGTACGCAAAATCGAAATCGCGAGTTTCGATTTGGCGTTTCTTGTAGTCATCTGTCCGTTTCAGGACCGGCCTACTCCATTCGCCAACTAGCCGCTCTGCTATCCGCTTGATGCTGGTCTCGGGGCGCTTGCTGCGCGTGTAAAAGTAGACAACCTTGCCGATGCCGCTACTTAGGAGTGCCTCCTTATTAATAGGCAGCGCCGCGAGGGCATTGAATAGGTCGCGTTGGATGTTGTATGCCGGCAGGCTGCCATCGTTGAGCGGCTCGAGGAAGTACTTGACGGATTGAAGTAGGTTGGTATCGGGGTCGAGAACGGAGCCTTGTACGGCAGTTCGGTTGAGCAGGGCCGTGACTTGCGGGAGCAGTTGCAACTTGTTTGTAGCAGCCATGCCTCTCTCGCGCGCATCGTTGTCCGCCACGCAAGCCTTCTCCATTGCCACTTTGAGGTGGGCAATCTGGTCATCAACTGCATCTTCGAGATCCTAGATCATGTCAGTCGAAACTGGTTGGTGGAGCCGTGGCGGCACATACAATTTCATCCTTCTTGCGTCTCCGCTTCGAGGGGTTCTTTAAAGCGTTATCCATGGCTCGGTGCAATGCCCGGCGGCGGCGCTCCTCCGGCGTGAGGTGCTCCTCATTTTCCTCCTCTTGTGGCGCTTCCTTGCTTGCAGCAGTCTGTCGCTCGGCTGTAGCGCGTGCTTTCCGCGGCCGTCGCTCCCTTACTTCCGCATCGCCAACGTCGTCGTCTGTTGCCCGCGACCTCTTTTTCGGTCGACGTGCCTCCTTCGGCTTCTTCGATGCCTCCCCATCCGTCCGCTTCCGTTTCGCAGCCTTCAAGGTCATTGCTACATTCTCGTCAATCTCAACAGGCCTCTCCTCGAAAGTGGGATCGTAATCCTCGAATTGGTCTTCGTCGATTTCGGAGAGGAGATCGGAATCCTTGTCGGAAGCATTGCCGTCGTCGTCATTGTGGATATCTGCAGAGCCATCACGGCGTTCATCGTGATGAGTTGGCTCGGCCGATCCAGCCCGCGACCCGGCTGGGGAGTTGGCGTCGGACATGGTCGTTCGTGTCGCGACTTGATTTGGATGTGAGCGTGGCGATAAAAAGGGTGGCTGATGAAAGAGGGTCTCTGGGGAAAAGACCGACACCGGTTGTAATCACGAATAGAAAACCGCCGTGCCTTTTTTGATGGTTGTGTTTGAATTTGGTGGATGAACGTAGGTTTCTTTTCGGGGTTGAAAGTCGAGAGCCTGTTGCTGCCTTTCTTTCAGGAACTCCCAGATGCTCGCTCCGGGGCGAAATGGAGGCCTGTGCTTCGAATCCTCAGCCGCAGTTTCCCCGGCGGAAGCTTGGCGGACACGCGAACAAGAAAAAGGACAAGGATGCTTCCACATCCACAACAGAAGTGGGGCCCCCTTCATTCCAGAAATCTGCCGCCGTGTTTACTTTGAACACTGGTTGCCACCAACGACGCAGCTTGTTCGCGCCTGCCGCCACTGCATTGCGAAAAAAGGAGAAAACGCAGCGGAACCCCGCGCCATCGAAGCCCAGCTGCATCGACTTCCCCTGACCAACGACACATTGCCAGGTACCATACTTTGCCCACTTCGCCATGGATCGTCGAACGTTCGAAGGCCCGATGGACTGGGAATACCAGTCGCAACCCCCAGTGGACCATTCGAGTCCATTTGCAAAATTCTCTCGGGGGCCGTCAACATGTGAGTTTGTTGCGCACTTCTCCAACGCGGGCGCTACACTTGATGCTCCTCTTTCCGGCGACTGCGGCTCAACTCGTATCCAAGCTGGCCATCATCCGCATACTGACTGAGCTCTTGCACATAGCGACCTTCAACTCGCCGACGAAGCAGCGGTCATCAAACCCCAATCCTTTCGCATTCGCAGGCACTCCAAAAAGCTCACCCCTCAAGTCGCAAGATCAACCGCGCCCGCCGCACGCATCCTTCTTCAAGCCCCAGCTACAGCGCAACCCATCAGCCCCAGCCTTTCGGAATCCCGCTTTCACGACGCCGCAGAAACGGGTCGAGGAGCTAGCGTATTCCGAATATTCCCCCGCTGACTCCAGTCCCGCCCTGACGGACACTTCGGAAATGCCAGCCGATACTCCCGAGTTCGAGCGAGAGGAGGATGCTGGGAAGCTTACCCTGACGCCGTCTGCCGGCAGGACGCTGTTCAGCAAGACGCTACTGCGGAACCATGCATCAGGGCGTGGAGAGATCCCCCGGGCGGGGCGAGACAAGATTAGGAAGAGGAAGCGGTTGCATGGCGACCGGGACGTCGGCAGCGGCCGTTCCCGCCTTCCACACGACTCCGACGATTCCGATAGCGACTGGGAAGAAGGGCCAGGCCATGCCGTGAGACCAAGCAAGGGCGGAAAGGCATCGAACCGAAGCTGGTTCAACAATTTTCTTTCTGCGGTTAGCGACCACCCTAGCGCTCCGGCTATCCTATCCAAATGGCTGCAACTGGGCGTCAACGTCATCCTTCTCAGCCTCGTTCTCTTTGGCATATTCGCCATTTTCTCTCAGGTCCGATCCGACCTCTCTCAGGCAGGCGACAAAGCCCGGGTTGCCATCGTCAACGAAATGTCGGCCTGTTCAGAGAACTTCCGAAAGAATGGCTGCGCACCTCGAGCAAACCGACCGCCTGCCCTTGACGGGCCTTGCAACGAGTGGGACGCATGCATGAACCAGGATCCCTCGGCAATCATGCATGTTCAGATCTCGGCTAAGAATATTGCCGAGATCATGAACGAGTTTGTCGGCGTTTTGACTTTTAAGACCTGGGTAAGCAAACAGATACCGTGCAACTGTCTTGCCGCCCAGCTAACCGTTTCATAGGGTTTTATTCTCTCGCTATTCCTAGTGGCAGTCGTCGCTAGCAATGTCGGCTTCGGGTTTCTCCGCGAATCTACGCTTTCTCACGCAGCGACGCCGGCAGAACCATTGCATTCACCACCGGTTGTACCCCCCATGCTGGGGTCGGCAGCCGCGCACAATCCTCAGCAGGCCTACATTTGGGCTCCCCTCAGCCAGACCCCGCGACATGTCCGGAAGAACTTCTTTGCCAACGACGCTACCGACTCGGAGGCATCGCCGGATATGAGAATGATCATGCCGCCCCAGACTCCGTCGGGAAGGAGGAGCCCGAGCAAGGGGGATAGGGGCCGGAGTCCCACCAAGGGTACCCGGGTACGGAGTCCGAGTAAGGGATATTAGAGGGGCTGCATAAGGGTTCTTGGGTTCTTGGGTTCTTGGGAGTGCTTGGCTTTGCCACCACCGCTGTGTACTACTTTGTAAAACTGCACTTGGATTCCCTTTGTTCGGGGGCTGGTTTGGGTCGGAAACTGGCAACGGGGTGTTTTGGTTCGCGAGCATGGCGATGGCCCGCGGCCCTGCGGAAGCCTGGTAGATCTCGGGTTAGGTCTTTTTTTTCGTTTGTCCTTATTTACTCCGGCAACTCGGCCCTTGAGGTAGTTACGCGGTATTTCTTTTAATGTGTCCTTGCCCCATGGGAGGCGGAAATTACACTCGGGGATTTTAGCTCCGGTTCACGAGTGATGGAGAGAATCGTGCCATGTTCAAGTCGAGTTTCGTTTCACGTCAGCTGGGCGGACCTGTGCAGTTAGTTGTAAACGTTGAACTTGCCGGGATTGGCCAACATCTCGAAACATCAGGGAACAATCTGAGGGTCCCTCGAGGTACCGAAGCTTGAACTTCCCGTCATCGGGTTGTGTCGGGCCTTGGCACGGGCGGAGGAAACAGCCCGGGGGGCGAGTAACATGAAACAACCTATGGATAGAACTTGAACTCGACCGACATCTCTCAAAAACACTGAGCCGCTGCAAAAGTTATCTCGAATTCCCGGGGTCCCGTATCAGACAGTGGCGAGGAGCCGTCTCGTAAATTTCGCTGTGCCTTGGTTCTTCCCATTATGCATGTTCTCGGGCAACCTAGGCTCGGGCCAAACAGGTGCGGCTCTCTGCGGCTCTGCCTTGGTCTTCGAGTTGGAAGAAGCAGCTTGGTTGCAGGGAACTGTTCGTTTCGGATTCGGTTCCTTGGTATGGATGGAGGTCGCCAGAAAGCCAGACTCGGTTGCCTTGCCAAGCATGCCAAGCTGATCGCCTACCCTGGAAGCTTCAACACCATAAAGACCGGGCTGCCGGGCTTGCTTGGAGTCCAAGTTCTAATTGGTAATATTAAAATCTAACGATATACCGAGTAAAACAAGTCGATGTAGCAGATATTTTCTAGAAATGTCCGTTGCTGGACGAGCACTTTAGCCGAATTGGGAAGTTACCCTATCATTGACGCATGGCGCTTGCCACAATCAGATGCAGCCTTGACGCAAGCTCAAATATGGTCCTTGCTTTTGGTGCAGGGACCCGGCGGCGGGCTTGGGTGACACGGGGGCGGGGCGAGAAGTCTAAATACTGGTAACGTCTCGGACAGGGTTTTGAGCCATGTACCCACTTGAGCCAACCTCATTTCCACCAATTTTGATGATCACAACAAGTCTTCCAGAGCAAGAGAACTCTCCTCAATTTTTCCCAAAACACAAATTTTCGACTCTCCTCGACCTCACGATCACGAATACCGCCACGAAGAACGACCCCGACCCGAAACCGCGATGCCACGACCGTTATTCGATGCTGACCTACGAACCCACTGTAATTTAGGGGATATAAGCGCTATAATATAGGGGCTTGATTAGAGGGGTATCTTTTATGGGTATTGGGGCTGCGGGATGGGGCTATAGAAGGCTGCATTAGATTCTCTGTAATGCCAGTGTTCGAATGGCATTTTTATCTTATTTTTAGAGTGCAAATTGACTGTATTGTTGAACTCTTGTTGACCGTCTGGGTGCGAATTGCCGTGGCTCAAGACCCTACATGGCTCAAAACCCTGTCGGAGACGTTACAAATTAAACCGAAGTAGCTTCCTCATCCGAATCATGTATTTTTGCTTCCTTGGTTGTTTCAGACCCGACTCGAGCAAACTCGCCGCTGCCAAAGAATTGGATGCTTTCAGAACATCCGATGCTTCTATAACTAACCTCCGGTTGCGCCGCGCTCGTTCCGACTATCTACCCAGTGAATTGGCCGGATCGATCTGAGTGCGCTGTACTTGGTACGTCCTTTTCAAGTTTCAATGCTCAAGTTTCAATGTCTGCTGTTTCGTTCCCTCTCGTCTACCTTCTTTCTCAGGTTCCCTCAAGCTTTTGCCCGCTTCTCGAGCTGCAGGCTTTGATCCATTGCTAACTCGCTTGACTACTCCAGGCTCGAAGCACACGTTCTCAACCGCGACGCGAGGCCCTCCCCACCATCCCTGACCATGCTAGTGGCCGTTGATCGACGCACCTCTCGAGCTTGTTGTTCGGATGCCACTTGAGGCAGGGACGCGCCAGGTGGAAACAACATGGATCCCATGGAAGAAGACACAACAGGAGGAAACCGTAACCCCCTTCCTCTGTGGTTACCGCCGCCGGGGTCCACGTCGAGCGGGAACAACACAACAGCACTTTCTCCAGGGACGTCAGCTGTGCCGGCGGGGTCCGCTGCGGCGCCGAATGCATCGAAGAGAAAGAGAGGCCTCGGCGTTGTGACACCCAATGCCTGTACCGAGTGCCGCAAGAAACGCGCAAAGGTTCGTAAGCTAGCTAGGCTTCCGAACCCCCGCCATATCCGGCGCAGTAGAGATGATTCGAGACTCACAATTGCTATCCCCCGTAGTGCGACGGACGTAAACCTTGCGGCAGGTGCAAGGGACAGAAGGACGTCGAGTGCGTTTATGAGATCCCGGTCCGCCAATCGAAGGAGAATTTGCGGCACGAGATCGACCAGCTCCGGCGCCAGCAACGTAACAATGAGCAAGTCATTGCCGGCCTCGTCCGCCCGGACCTTTGGGAAGAGGTTCTCGCGCGCCTACGCAGCGGCCAGAGCGTGGACTCGATATCGGACTGGCTTGGAGGGGCCATGCCTTCGGGCGGCGGCGCGCTACCCTCAATCAGTCGGCTGCTGAACCAAGGGAGTGCCGCTCCACCCGGGCATTCTAGTTATGGCTCTGGCGCGCCGAGCAGCTACGCGCCGCACCCTCCCGGCCCAAGTGCGCTTAGCCCAGTCCCCGGCCAGCAGCAGCGTGGCATCCGGCACGACGCGGATCACCAGAGTCCCTGGGGAGGTCACTTCTCCAGTGGGAGTAACCCGACGCCGAGTGGTTCCCATCCGGACACAGCGAATTGGAACCCGGAAATTGTCAGGACCGCTCAGTCGCGAGTTGGCACATGGGTTGAGAGTCAAGTCGACGATTCCGAGGCGGGAAGAGGGCGCGGCTATGGGCATATCTTGCTCCCCGAGATTCCCGAAATGCAGGTTCCTCCGGGGACGTGGACGACAATAACCAGCGACGCGGGGCTGGTGCAGCATCTATTAGCTCTCTATTTCTGCTGGGAGTATCCAACTTTCGCCTCGCTCAGCAAGGAGCACTTCCTCAAGGATTTCATGGAGGGTAGACCTCGGTTCTGCTCCTCCATCCTCGTCAACGCGCTACTGGCCTTAGGATGCCGCTTCTCGAGCCAGCCGAACACGCGATCCAACCCGGACGACCCGCACACGTCGGGCGACCACTTCTTCAAGGAGTGTCAGCGCCTATATTACCAGGAACACAACCATCACAAACTCACCACTATTCAGGCCTTGGGGATAATGTCTATAAGAGAGGCTAGCTGCGGCAGGGACTCGGAGAGCTGGTATTACGCCGGCCAGAGCATCCGACTGGCCATTGAAATGGGTCTTCATCGGCTGCAGGACGATGGCAAAGATGATGACGAAAGCGCAGTTCAGGCGGCTACTTTTTGGGGAGCTTTCGCTCTGGACCAGTAAGCAATATCTAAGCCCTGGGCTTGGTAGTTCGAGATTCTAACCGATGGTCAGCGCATGGTCATTGGCAACGGGCTCGCTCCCTCAATGCTCGTGTTTCCCTCGCCTTCCACCAAAGCCTGCGATAATAGACGATATCGAGGCATCACTGTGGATTCCGTATACGGATGACGGTAAACACGCCCCTTTTCAGATGCCTCTCCTTCCGGAACTGAGTGGATCACCAGGCGCGCCACTCCAGCGGTCCTGTGAGCAGCCGTCCAATGTGCGGTCTGTGTATAAATGCTTCTGCGAACTTAGCGAGCTTGTTCACGAGTCATTGTACATTCTGCATTCACCTGGGCGGCCACTCACAAGTCGAGATCTGCTCACTATTTATACTCAATACCTGAACTGGTACGACAAGATACCGGAGGTGCTACGATTGGGCCACAACTTTACCCCGGCCGTCTTGTTTGCACAGTGGGTTCCCCGATACCCTTGACCTTGTGCGGTGGGAGCACGGTTGCTGCGACGTTTGGCCCGAATGCTGACCTATAAAACAGCATGTACTATCACTTTGCCATACTCCTCCTCTTCCGTCCTCTTATCAAACTCCGCATCATCGGGTCCAGCATATCCCCGCGCGATGTCTGCTCACAAGCAGCGGATGCCATCACTGGGCTGTTGCGCTCGTATGCACAACTTTACACACTAAGACGGACCCCGTCGTTCGTCCCATATTTCGTCCTCACCTCGTCGATCATGCATCTAGCCATAGCCGCAGCAGGCTCCAGCTCCCGATCAGTCATCAAAGAAGGGAGCGACGCGGCGCAGGCCGACCAGCCCCCACGAGGACCAGCCGCGCTGAATCCCCACGTTATCGACGCCCTCAGCCGGGGAATCGCAGATCTCACCGAGATGGCGCCGTGCCATCATTTTGCAGAACAGGCACTCAACATCCTAACATTCCTAGCTAAAAAGTGGAACATTGACGTCGAGATCAAGACCAAGATTGACGATGAGCCCCGCGAGGTGGCATTGGCCGAAGTAGACAAGTCCACGAGGCCGGTGGCGACCAGCCTTAATTTCTTCGCCCCCAACTTCTTGGAATCCGACTTCAACTCGACGTGGGGCAGCGGCACGGCATCGGGGTCGGGCGCGGACACGAAGCCCGGCAGCAGGCCCACCGACGCCGCAGACCTGGCGGATGCGCTGGAGAACCCGCTGTTCTGGCCGTTCCCGATGCAGGGCCGTCCCATGCTGCCGACGGGGAAGGAGCTGGAGGAGGCTGGGTTCGAGTTGTTCTGACCACTTCAGACGAACGACGCGCTGCCGGCAACGTCATTTCCAGCAAAGCTACGTTACTGTCCGTTTTATAATCTTAGCGGGCGGTCGACTCTAGGTCGGGAGGGTTAATGGACGGAAGAAATGTTGGGGGATGACGGGATCCGGGGTCGGAGTTGGGTCTGTCCATGGCAATACATGGGTACTGTTTAAGGAAGGGGACATTCATCTTAACAAGGCAACAAATTACAGTTCAAAAAGAAAGCGCTCATTTACACCATCACACTCGGCATGCATGTGGACGGCGTTTGACTTGGGTTCAGGGAGGCCACTTCAACAACAGCTCGAAAGCGGCCTTTTCCCCGTCCTCTGGTTTTCCTTTCTTTGACTTTTTATCTTCCTACTTGAGAGGAGAAAGGCCACGGTTGGTGTCTGCGTTGTTTACCAGCACTGAGAGCAAGTTCATCGTGGTCGACTCAGCGGTGGAGTAGGGGGGTAAGACGGGTGGTTTGAATCGTTTGACAAGTTGGCTGACGGGCCAAACTGCGCCCACAGGGGTGTTCCTCGGCGAAGCTTACCTTCAAGTTCCGTGCACAAGCAGCAGACAAACAAGCCCAGTCCATCTCGGACCCGTATCTTCAGAAGGAACTTGTCGTTGCAAGTTGCGGAGAAAGATCGGGTGTGGTTCCTCAAAGAAGGGGATTGCCTGACTCCCGGTCCTTAATTGAACGCTTTTAATAAGAGGGACAGGCCTCGAGACAAGAAAGCAGGAAACCGATCGAGAGCGACGGCGGATCCTTGACCCCACACCTTGCGAGATCCGATCTTCTTTCAACAGTCCATCCTTGCTTTCGTTGCTCGAAGAATGGGGGAACGGATGAACCACCAGACGGACCAAGAACAGACGGGACGAGGGAAGATCCCTGTCATCAGCAGCGGCAGCACAGTGGCAGGCACTGCAGCAGCCAAGTGCCGCAGACGGCGAGCCATTTTCCCTCGATCCCCCTTCTTCTTTCGTCCGCTCTCAGCCGCTGCAGCGCGAGCAAACAAAACAGCAGCAACAGCAGCAGCCAACAACACTCTCATTCCCCTTCTGACAGCGGCGCCGCAGGCGCTCGACGCGTGCTGATTGGGCGCCACGCTGCAAGGCGTGGTGTTTCGAAACGCACTCGTCCAGCGGGGTTCCCGGGCACTGTTTCAGGTGGGACAGGGGTCAGAATCGGCGCTGTGCCCAATCAGGGGCGCGGAGAGCAGCGGGCTGGATCCCTGGGGAAGAGAGAGCGAGGGTGTCGGGAAGGTCGCAGACGATCTGCCGCACCCTGCCCTGGTTGCTGCTCGCTGCCCGTCACTCACCCTGTGGCTCGTGGTGGTCCCGTCAGCCGGTGTGGTGGAGGTGGAGAGAGGCGGCTGGCTGCCCATCGAGGTTGTGTCGAGGTGCCTGTTGTGCCCGAGACAGGTTCGTCGATCGGGGTTTGCTCGGCGGGTGTTGGGGACGACGAGGATGGGGACGGACTGACGGGATCAAAGAAGAACAGGATTTCTTGCGTCGCTCACCTGCCGGTCCTGTTTTTTCCCCTTCCTTTCCCTCACAATCAGTCAGCACTCCCCGGTTCATCGGTGCCTCGCCCCCGACCCGCGCCGCGCGCGCTCCATCCCCTGGAGGCCTTCCCCCTGTCCCATTTTTAAAGGGAGGGTTGCAGCCATCCTCGGGGCGCGTCGTATTATATTCCTGGCTTGTCTCCCACATGCGCGTGGCCTCGCTCGCCGCACCTGAACTTAGCATCTTTTTGTTTCTCCATTTTTGGCTCCTCGTGTTTTTGCACTTGCACACGATGGAGAGCTAACGACGTCAGATCTTGCCGGGAGCAATCTATCAACCAACTAGCCAACGACTTTCCTTTTATTTTCCTTTTTTGTTTTTTTAATCATTGCTGTTCTATGCTGGGCTGAGTTAACCTGAGCCTCGGGCCGCTCATTCTTTCGCCATGGATCCTTTCCGCAATCCGCCCGCCGACAGCCTGGAGGCGGCCCGTCTTCATGTCCAGGCCCTTACCGACTGCGGATTGTCACGAGAAGCGCTGCTGCGCGCATTGTTGGAGAACTACGGTGATGATGGTAAGAAACACGGATGCATTCGATGAGGAATTGAGTGATTGACAAGGCGCTAGGGAACGCTGCTACTACGCCAGGGATGGACGCAAGTAGCCCGCAGCAGGCTGCACAACAGGGGCAGCAACAAGTAGTTGTCCAGGAGAAACGCGGCCACCACGCCAATTACAACACGCGACTTTCGGTGTCGACGACGAGCTCCAAGTCATCAGGGAGGGCGAGCGTCATGTCCACCGCGACCTCGATGAGCTCAGTATCGTCCCAGGGAGGAATTGGGGGCGGTCTTCAGGAACTTTCGGCAACGCCGCTGCCCGCGCCGCCTGCGCCGCCCGTCAAGAGCAACAACCGCGGCAGCTCCAAACCGCAGGGCGCTTACTGGTGCACTTTCTGCGACGTCGCCTTCCAGCGCAAGTTTGACTGGAAGCGGCACGAAGATGAGTTTCACGAACGCTACAAGCGCTACCCCTGTCCAAACTGCAACCGCATCTTTTGGGGTGCGAATACCTTCAATCAACACCATAAGAACGCCCACGGCTGTACAACTTGCCCGCATGCCGAACGTGTGGTGAAGTATACGCAGAAGAAGACGGCATGGTATGTTCTCTCGAGTTACTCCTCTCTTTACCTCGGCCCCCCTATCCGTCATTTCCGCTCTCTGTCCTTCCGTAGTCTGGGGTAGTGCAGCAATGTAGCCCATGTCGTGCATGGTGCAACCTCCGTAAACATACCAGGCAAGCTGACCATCTACCAGGGCATGCGGCTTTTGCGGCGGATTCCTTGCCAGCCGTGACCGCTACTTTGACCATATCGCCCGGCACTACGAAGATGGCTGCAACAAGTCACACTGGAACCACTCGCTCGTAATCTACGGCCTCCTGCATCAGCCCACCATCAGTCAGGCTTGGAAAGACCTCGACTCGGAGCTCTACGGTCATTTACCACGCAACCAGCAACCCATGCTAGAATGGGAGGTCAAATCAACAGGCCACGCGCAGGGGTTCCTCGAGGGCGAAAGCCCGGGGAAACTCCAAGACCTTCTCGAATTCTTCAGTGAGAGCCGAGACGATCCGAAACTCCTCGCCCGCCTCGCCCACGACTCGGCCACCATTCGACTGCGAACCGAGGTCCAGCCGACCGTCGCACCTGTACCACCCGCTACCTCGGCGAGTTCACGGCCGATTTCCGAACCGCCGAAGCACAAGGCCGTAATGAAGTCATCGCCCTTAACGAAACATATGTCCACGCCCCAACCGCCGCCGCCCCCACCAACATCATACGATGACGAACCGTTCCCGAAGAAGCAACGCAACATTGCACCTCTTCCCTCGATGTTTCCTAAAAACAACCCCTTCTTTAGCCAACAACCAACACCACCAGCACAACCGCAAGAACCGCAACAACAACAACAACAACAACAACCACTACAACAACCACCTCAAGGGGTAATGTCCCCGTACGGCCAGCCGATGATGGGGGCCGGGACGAACGGATACTACGACCTCGCCGTAACGCACGTGCACCCGCACATGCAGCTTTTATCACAAATGACGCCGCAGCAGCAGCACCAAATACAGCAGCAACTCCAGCACCAACAGCAACAGCAGCGCCTGCATCAACAACACCCGCAGCAACCGCCCCCGCCGCAACCCCATCTCATGTCGCCACCGATGAATATGTACGACGACTGGAGCAGTTTGGCGGGCACCGTGGTCGACGAGTCTGTGTTTGCGAATGCCATGGCGATGGGCTGGCAGCAACAACAACAGCAGCAGCAGCAGCAGCAGCACCACCAACAACACCAGCAACATCAGGCGGATATGGGGACGGGACACCCCGGGGCGGGGTGATCACCTTTTAACTTGGGAAAGGATGGGGTAGGGTTTGGGAAGGGGAGGGGGCAGGAACTGCTTCCTTGACGGGGAATTGCTCGTCTGGTTATGGGGCAGGAGGGCAAGGTTTACGGTCTGGTGGGTGTCTGGTTTTGCCCCTGAACCCGGCAGCAAGCAGGATCGGGATTCTCTTCTTCTTACCACAGGATTTGTGGTAATGTGTGTATATATATGTAAATGGTTGTAAAGAGGCGGGTCTGGGGCTTGGATGAGCACGGTATCATCCGGTTTGGCTGGGCACGAAGCACGAAATACCACAGTTTTTACTTTCACGGATAGGAATAGCGTTTGGTTAGGCGGCATGTGTAGCCGGCGGAATCCGCAGACGCGAAATACCTACGCTGCAAAGCAGTACCTTTCAAGGTTACACCCAGGCCTGGCTTCCGTGAAGACCGCTGATGAGAAATGGGAGTGATGAGAGCCTTGGACCAGATGCTACCCTCCGGGAATAGAAGACGTCACCACGCAAGCCGATCAACGTCCCTCTGCTGACCGATCCGTGATGCCCAATCTGCCTAATTTAACCTCGAGGCTCCCACCGTGGAGACGACCTGCAGGGGCCGGCCGGTAGCGCCGGTGGAACCTGAAACGAAACGGGGAACCTCAGGTCGGGGCAGCACCCCTGAATCTGAACCCTTGGGGGGAGCGATCGGCATGGGCTTGGGTGGGTGAACCAAACCTCGGGTATGGTAGGGCTGTGCCGATCTGCGGCCGGCGCATCTTGGCTTCAGCAAAAGCTTGGGCTTGGCCCCATGTTTGGCAGCACCAGTCGGGCCTTTCGGTCACGGAGGGAGGCAGGATGCGGGCTGGAAGGGGGGGTGAAGGTCGCCATCGGGGGGCCGTTGGGTTTTGGCTCACCTGATACTTGTGTTGACGGTCACCTTGGCAATAAGGCTGACGCTGTGTCCGTACTCAGCTTCAATTCGTTGCGGGCACAACGGCGTGAGAAATGAGGTTGGGTGTAAGATTGATTGATTGTAGTACGAAGATGAATTCGATGCGGTGGTGGCAATCATGTGGCAGGCATTAGGCACGGACAAGGCTTGACGATATATATAAGATACTATTCCATAGGTGCTCGGCTTGAAATCATATGGAGTTTAGACATCGATGTTACTCTGCACTTCTCACAAACACACGGCGTATCTACACTCATCTTCAGACCCAGCCGCCATTGTATTGATCACGGTTCAGCTCCTGAAATCACGAGCGGTTAGTTATGCCCTTGCCCCTTCCCTGGCTGTATTCCACTAAATTACGGATTCTAGTCACCATGAACACAGCTACCGCTCAGTCTAAAATTTCAGGCGCTTCGTCATACGCACCATCGACCGCCAGCAGCGGATCGGCTCAGAGACAGGCCTCATCCGGGTACTACTCCCTGCACCGTTGGATCGGCGAGAGCAAGGACGAACAGCCATGGAGTCAGACCAGCTTGTCTGCCACTCAACCACGTTCTGGGACTTCTCAAAAGAAAAGGAACCCTGGAACCGGGACATCCAAACATTAATACACGCTTAGTCGATGGGAGAACTAACTATTCGAACTCCAACTTCCACACATCTCCAAGCCTCGAGTTATCCTCCGCCAGACCGCCATGGATAATAACAGCATCCTCACCGCCATCCCCCCTCACCACATCCGCACCAAACCAACCCCTCGCAACAGGAGCATCCCCTTGCCACTTCACTTCCGTCCACACCTCACTCTCAACATCAAAAGCCCACACATCCCCCAACATCTTCCCGGCCCCAGCATGCCCCAAAGAACTCGGATCCCGCTCCCCAAACAACACCACCAACAACCCCCTCCCCTTAACCCTCACCGCCACCAACCCCGCCACGCTCCTCGCCTCCGGCCCGCTCACCCCATCCGGCACGAACCCAACCGTCCTCCACTCCCCAGCAGCAGCAGCACCACCACTACCAGCACCACCACTACCAGCACCACCACTACCAGCACCACCACCACCACCACCACCAAGATCCAACACATCCACCTCCCCGCCCCTCTCCCTCACCCCATCAAACCCCCCCATCCTATACAGCCTGCCCCCCAAAACCGCAATCGACGCCCCCCCGCGCGCCGGCGCCGGCGCCTCCGGCAGCTCGCGCCATGTCCGTGTCGGCACGTGGAACGCCCAGACATCCGCCAGGCGGCCCGTTTCCGGGCAGCCCGCATGGACATAGATATTCTCGGTGCCGTCTGAGGCTATGGCGTGGTAGCTGCGGGGGGCGGGGTGGGGGGCGGAGGGGTCGGTGGGGGGGAGGAGTTCCCAGTGAGGTTCGGGGTTGGCAGTGGGGGAGGTGGTGGGGGTGTAGCGCCAGAGGGCGCCGCGCTCGGCGGGGTCTTGGATGGGCGCCATGGCCAGGCCGCCGCGGCCGGAGAAGAGGTAGAGGGCGGTGTTGTGGAGGGTGGTGGTGGCGGCGCCGACGCGGGGGGTGGGGGATGGCGTGGGGGGTGGGAGGGTGGTTGCGGTGGCTGCAGGGGGGGAGGAGTTAGTTGGTTGGTTGATGTGGAGGGGTGGGATGAGGAGGAGCAGGGAGGTGGGGATGTTGGTGGTGTTCGAACCTTGTCCTGGAGTGAGCTCGATCACGTCGAGTCGGTTGTCGACTGGCTGGCGGGGGAGCACCTCGCCGCCAAAGATGTATGCTTGGGATCCCAACACGGAGAGCGAGTGGGAGGAGCGCTCAAGGCGCTCGCTCGAGGCGAGCTTGGTCCATTTGGCTGAGAGGTTGGCCATGTGAGGAGACTGTTGGAGTTTCACAGACAAGCGGGTGTCAAGGTTGCGAGGGATGATTTCTGGTCTTGAATCTTGATTTGCGGTATTTAACCGACTGTGTCGTGAGGGGGGCGATTCGGGCTGATTCGAGGAGGGGCACGCTGAGAACCTTGATGGGCATGTTGAGAACTCCAAGAGGCATAGCTCAGCTGCTAGTCGACGCCAGACAGGAAATCTTATGTCATGGGATCCAGGCCGCCACTAGCTCGCCTTCAGAAATGCCGAAATATGCCTCATTGATAGTATGGGGGTGAAGTGCTGGCGAGGTTCTCAATGGCGGGTCTGGCCGAGAGGGTTTTCGTTGTGATTCCATTTGTAGAAAAATAGAGATTCGATCATTGGAATGTGACTAAATGTTAGTTTCCGATGTGATCCGACCGACCCCAACTTCTCTCTCCCTCTGGTTCCCCTGGCTGGTACCCATCATCTTCCCCAGTGCGTCCAGGTGAAGCAAATGTCCTCTTTGGACGTAGACGAAAAAGCTGTATGCTGCCCACGCCGAAGCAACGGCCCCAACGGATATGAGTGAGGGCCACTTGAACTGCTCCGGATGGGAGAAGATGATAGTCGTCGCAAAAGACAGAAGCTCAAAGCCGTTTTGCCACGCCGCCTCAACTGAAGAAAATGCACCACGGCTTTCGACCTCGACATCCTGCGCAGACGGTTAGTCTTGTGTGTATCATCTCCACCAGAATCAGCACAGGTTCTTACCTCCTGGACGATGATTTGTACGCAAAGGTCAAAACCTCTCAGCCCTAGACGGCTCAGTATGGTCCCCCCCACGAGACCGGTGGCCGAGACGACAGGCTTGTCTTGGAAGATCCAAAAGAGTGTGATCCCGGCGACTAGCGTACTAACTTGCCAGCTGCTGAGCCAAAGCCCAGCTCTCACAGGTCCAATTCGTCCCATGAGCCAAGGCGCCACCCATGTCGCCAATACTTCAAAGAACACGCTCAGCGTCCTCGTAAGGCCGACTTGGTTTGCAGTGTAGCCGGCCGAGAGCAGGTAGGTCACCATCTGGCCTGCAAAGCTCAATACGGTGAGGTAGAGCAGGGCGCCCGCGAAAGAAGGGAGAAACGCGCGGTGGCGGAAGTAGAAGTTGAAATCCCTAGCAGACTTTCCGAAGACGCCACGGGCGCGCCCCCAACTTTGGGCGAGTCGGCTTTGACTTTCGCGCGCCTGCGCCGGTTCGTCGTTTGTCAGCTCTCGCCGTGGTCTCGCCCTAACCTCCTGCAGTGCCGGAACCTCGTAGTAGACCCGGGCGATAGCGAAGTACTCGAGGACGATGGACGTGACGTTCATGGCCATGTTGACAATGATAGCCACTTCGGTCGAGAAGCCGTCGAGCAAGGCAATGAAAAGGGGGCCGAAGAGATTGCATAGCAAGTCAATGCGCCGAATTTGTGCGTTCATGATGATCAGTGCAGCATGGTTCTTGTCCGCTACAACCACGACCTACCAACCCGATGAGCTAGAGGTCCGGGGCGCTTGTCTTGCAATGAGCTGACTTACCCAGTCTTTCTCAACCGAGACTAAATTCATGATGGAGCATAGCTTCTCAACGCAGGCTAAGAAAGACAGGAACACAAGCATGCCCGTTCTCCCGCCACGTCCGAGTGGCAGGTCGATGACGAGGATATAAAAGATTACGCAGGATGCCGCGACGGCAAGGCGCTGGAAGACTGGATGGTTATTAGAAGATGGCAAGGAAGAGGGCATTGAAGAGTGAGAGTGAGAGTGAGAGTGAGAGTGAGAGTGAGAACTTGCTAATAGACACTCGGACGACCTGGAGACGGTTGCCCGTGTCGACATAGTGCCCGATGGCAGGGGCAAAGAGAATGGCCGAAAGCCCGCGCGTCAAGGCGTACACAGACATGGGCAACAAGGTCCCGGGGAAGACGGTTGCCAGGTACAGCACAGCGCCGAACTCGAATACGCGAGAATTCCATGTTGATAAAAAGTGCGACGTGTAGAGCCGGCGAGAAATTCGAACGGGCACTTGGTCTCGAGATTCAACCACATTGGGGAGTAAAGGGGCCCGGTCGTTATCAATGCCATGCTGTTCGTCAGGGGGGTGGCCAAATGCCATGGCGAGCAACTGATGTGTACGGATTATGTTAGTGGTGAGAGAGAGACCGAGTTCCGGGGAGTTGGCATCTTGGCAATATTAACTCGCTCACGTTAAAACACTCACCCCCATTTAACTGTCTTGGCGCGCGCGCCAGTCTGAGCTGAAGAGACCTGGGCTATGGGGACGGTTTCGGAGAGAATAGAAAAGTTCGGACAGAAGCAAGAAGGGTCGACGCAAAAATGGATACACCCGGGTGAACCGGGGACCTTTCATAAGCGAAGCTGGGATAAAGCAAAGCTGCGAAACGAAAATCATACCACTAGACCATGTACCCAATCATTTGGAATGTTGAGGGAAACGGCTTCGGAGAGAACAGAAAAGTTCGGACAGAAGCAAGAAGGGTCAACGTAAAAATGGATATACCTAGGTAAACCGGGGACCTTTTATAAATAAAGCTAGGATAAAGTAAAGCTATAAAATAAAAATTATACTACTAGACTATATATCTAATTATTTAGAATATTAAAGGAAATAGCTTTAGAGAAAATAGAAAGGTTTAAATAGAAGTAAGAAAGGTTAATGTAAAAATAGATATATTTAGGTAAACTAGAAACCTTTTATAAATAAAGTTAGGATAAAGTAAAGCTATAAAATGAAAATTATACTATTAGACTATATACCTAATCATTTGGAACGTTGGGTGAAACGGCTTCGGAGAAAATAGAAAAGTTCGAACAGAAGCAAGAAGGGTCGACGTAGAAATGGATATACCCGGGTGAACCGGGGACCTTTCATAAGCGAAGCTGGGATGAAGCAAAGCTGCGAAACGAAAATCATACCACTAGACCATGTACCTAATTATTTGGAAGAAAGAGAAGTCGGGAACCCTTCATCTCTACCCGTTAACAGCTGCCCGGCAAATTATCAAGCTCGACCCGAGATGGAACCGGACCTGATGACGCTCGAGTTATTAGCCCAGGTCATCGACCTACAAAAACTCTTGGAATGATGGAGATGCTAGGAATGGAAACAAGACCTAGGGAGATGGGAGAAACCAAGACCCATAACTGCAAACCCCAAGAAGCGGTCAGGTCCGATTCCCAACCTTCAGCCGCACCCAACCCGCGAAAAAGCCCACACACACCCCTTCCACACAACACAACAACACCAACCCCCAACCATGGCCAACCCCTCCCACCTCACCCCCACAAAACCCTCAACCGTACACGAAATCCACCTCCTCATCCTCCTCCCCGCACCCCTCCACAGCGCACCGATCCGCTGCCGCCTCGAGACCACCCTCCTCTCATCCCGCCCCAATTACGACATCCTCACCTCTCTCTGGCGCACCCCTAGCAAACAACACCCCAAAGAAGAAGAAGAAGCAATAATCACCGTCAACGACGCGCCATGCCCCGTCGCCCAACCCACGGCAGCAGCGCTGCGCCGGCTCCGGCGCCCGTCCGCCCCGCGGAGCTTGTGGATTGATGATGCTATCTGCGTGGACCAGCAGCGGGACCGGCGCCTTCGGCCGCGCATCTATGCCGGGGCGCGCCGGTTGTGCGTCTGGATGGGCGAGCCGGCTGTGGTGGTGGCGGGTGTTGGTATGGCAGTGTCGCCTCCGGCGGGGTTGTTTTCTTGCCCGGAGTGGGAGGCGCGGAGGCCGCCGCGCTTGTCTTTTGTTCGGGAGGCGGTGCTGGCTAGGCGTATTGTTGTTGTGTGTGGGCCGGATGAGGTGACGTGGGAGGCGATGGGGGACTCGTTGGAGGGAGAGGTTGGAAAGGGGGTGGGTTCCGGGACGGTGGATTTTCTCAGGTTGTTTTATGTGATCAAGATGCTTCGTCAGGGATGGAGTAGCGGCGAGGGGGGGTTGAGCCCCTGTGGGTTGTTGTACGAGTCCCGGTGGCTGGAATGTGAGGACCCCAGAGACAGGATCTATGGCTTCCTCGACCTGGTGCCTCGGATCCTCGAAGCTGGCGTGGTGCCCGACTATGGCACATCCGTTTCCACGGCATGCATCTACGCGGACTTCGCCCGCAAGACAATACAGCACAGCGGATGTGTTGACATACTCAACTACGCCCGGGAATGGCGCAACGCTGCGGCGACTCTCGAGACCGCAGCCAGTGACGGCGCCGACCGCCTTCCCTCCTGGGCGCCAAACTGGGCTGTCAGGGGGGAGCACGACCCGGCACCTCTCCTCGACTGGCTCGACGACACACCCAGATACCGCACTGCCAAACTGATGCCGGCACGGATCCAGCCGCACGACGACGACAACACACTGACCCTGAACGGGATCCGGTTCGACGAGGTCGCGGCGCTCGGCACGCCCTGGCACCCCGAAGCTAGCCAGCCCCTCACCTCCCGGACAGGCAGCAAGGGGCTCGAGCAATGGGAGGCGCTGGCGCTCGCGACGCCGGTATCATGCCCCTACGGCGGCGGAGCCGAGGGCCGGCGCGCGGCGCTGTGGCGCACCTACATTGGCGACTTCGCCGGCGACCGCAGCGCGCCCGCGGGGGACTCGGCCGTGCTCGAGCGCTGGTACGGCCCGGGCCCCTGGCCCCGCGGCTTCTCCACCTCGCCGGCCGCCGAGCAGCAGCCGCCGCGGAACGCGTTCCGTGACCATCTCCGTGACTGCGCCCGTCTTCTCATCGGGCGCGATGCGGGGCCCGCCGAGTATGTGAGGTACGCGCGGCGGGTCCGGCGGGCGTGCGCCCATCGCCGCCTGCTGGTGTCGAAGCGGGGGTATGTGGGGCTGGCGCCGTGGAATGCCGCGCCGGGCGATGTTGTTGCCGTCCTGCATGGGGGGAGCACCCCGTTTTTGCTTCGTCCGGGCTCGGTGCCGGGCGTCTACTCGCTGGTGGGCGAGTGCTTCGTGTACGGCATCATGGACGGTGAGGCGCTCGCGTGGGAACATGCCACTGCTGCCGCACGGGATTTCCGCATTGTGTAGAGGAAGGAGCACCGCGTGTGCGAGTTGTGGGGCATGGCCTCGTTTCTAGTTTGTGAAGCTCTTGTGATACTAACATGACGACGCGGCTGGCTTTGAGTCTCGCCTTATCCATAGGTTGAAACCTGGCCATAGAAGCGTGCAGCTAGTATTTCCCGTATTGCTTTTGAGCGCAGCACCGGGATATGGTGTCGAGGACAAGCGGCATGGGTTCGACTCGAGGCTCGAGATCGCTACGCGGTTGGAGTCGCGGAATTGCGTTGCAAAACCTTGGTTTTTATGAGTTGGGAAATGGTCGATGCGGTAAGTACCGTGCTAGTTTAGCTCGGTCGACAGCTATCAGCGAATGCCATCTTGATCCGGTGCTCAAAACGAGACGGCGTGACCGGAAGTTGAAGCTGGGGACAAAGAGTGGACATGGACCCTTCTTGCATCAAGCTTGAATCCCTGGAAGTTGCAGTGGTTTGGTGGGATGTTACACGAGCTAAGATGCTTGGCGCCCTCTCCACCCAATCGAATAAACCACATGCAGTTCATGGCGGGGTACCGAGGGCGGGGGAGTTTGGGGGTCTTGGGGGAGAAACAGGCGTTTGGTTGGCCAATGCCCCGCTGCCATCTTGAAGTGTGACCTGCTGCGGCTGTGAAAGATAACCAAACAACGGCCCTCGATTTTTTGTGCCCCTCTCTCTCTCCTCCCCGGAGCGACCTGAGAAACTCTGCATTCTCATCTTCCGGGTTCGCCGGGTGGTTTGAAGTTTGGCGGTTGATTTCTGTACCTGTCAGCCGGGTTGAGAGCTGGAACTACAGGGTTTCGACGCGACAAATCCAGAAGCAAAACCACGAACATCCCAATATTTCGACGCGCGGCGTACACGCGAACAGGCCAAACTCGGACACACTCGGAGACGCGCCAGCCCATAGCACGCTCCCATAATGGGAGTTTAAACCATAATCTTAACGCAGGAACTACTTCAACAGCTAGAAAGCCTGCATCCGGAGATTCGAGCTCCAACGCGACACAGCCTCTTGCAGCTTCCATCTGAACCTTGACCCCGGAGTCGCCCGCCCGGTTCGGAGCAAGACTCCTCCGAGTCCACGCACAAACACAGGCACAGGCACCAGGTACCGGCTCGTCAACCACAACGGCGGTATCGAATCCAAATTACCTGCAGTTCTTTCCGCTGGTATCAAGGGCCCGCGGTCCAGAACCCCGCACCATGTCGTTCCTCGTGGTACTGGGGAGGTTGACTGCCTTCACCGTGAGTCGATGTGCCTTTGGGAAGCCAAATCGCACTTTTCGTTGCTAACCACCGTGGTTAATCACAGGATATGTTTCTCTCGGGTCTCGTAAGTCTACCAGTTTCTGAATCGATATTTACCGGACCCTTTCCCACTGACTCGAGCGATTAGGTCATCCCCATAATCCCGACCATCCTCCAACACCGAGCCCACGTGCCTCCCCAACAAGGTACGCGCTGTGAAGGACGAAGAAGTGGCTATTCGTATTTTGCTGACAACCGGGTTTATGTAGTCCAGATATGGACATCGGTCCTTGTCGCCGCGTATGGTGGTGCTTTTGCCGTCGTGTCTCGTAAGTTCTGCACTCGGTCAACGGCTTTGGATGTTGGGTAACTAACTCTGTTCGCAAAAGCTTTGATGACCTTTCTGACACGGCAGGGACCAAAAGGCTACGCAATATTGCTCGCAGGTCTGGCTTGTGCCGCAGCTGCCTTTGCGCTCCTGCAGTTCTCCGATGATCTCTTCACGTTGATTCTGGCACGTGTTCTTCAGGGCCTTGCAGCGGCTGCCATCACAGGGGCGTCGTCTGGGCTACTGGCAACCGCAGCCAGCACCAATACAGCCAGCACCAATATAACGTGGCTCTCACCTGCCTTCCTACAGAGCACCGCCATGACAACAGCCCCCCTCATCGCCGGATTCTTGCACGACCACTACAGCTCTGACGCTCTCTTTTACTGCGCCTACGCCGTTATCGCATTCAATATGCTGTTGGCTCTAGCGGTTGCCAGTGTCACTTTAATTAGCCGGGCTGGCTCCACGGACGAGACGACCGGGCTCCTCGAGTCGGAAACACAACAGGGTGGCGGTTATGGGACGATGCCTTCGGAAGCTGGCGGTCACAGCAGGAGGTCCTCTCGGTCGATCTCGCCCACATCGGTACCCGTGGTATCGAGCCAGCCCAGTCCTCCCTCAACAGCTGATGCTGCGGCCATTTGGAGGCGGCTCTCCGTTGCGCTTGGCGGATATCTTGTCGTTGGTCTCATTTCCTCGGCACTCCAAAGCGTGCTTCCGCTCTTCGTCCAGCGTCACTTCGACTGGTCGGTGCTTGAGAGCGGATACATGTTCGTTCCGCTCTCGGCTCCTTCTGCTGTTCTCGGGTTGCTCTCTGGCATTCTGGCGAAGCACGTACCCAAGTCAGCCCGGTTTCTCACCACGTCCGGCTTTTTGGCTCTTCTCCCCGCTTTCCTATACCTGGGGCAACTCAAGGACAACACCCGGTTTGTGCAACACGCCTTTCTCCTGACGCTCAGCGCTATCTCTTTTGCCACCGGCCTCTGCGGAGACCCTTTGTCGAAAGAGATCGCAAGTGTCCTGGGTGATTCTGCGGATAGCCCCTCGAACGCCATAGCTCAGGCCACTGTTCTTCCAAATCTCGCCAACGCCTGGGGTAGCCTGATCGGGCCGCTTTTTGCCGGCGCCGTTAGCTACCTCTGGGGTTGGGAGACGATGAACAAGTCGCTGGCCGTGCTTGCTACAGCAACCGGTGTCACGTCTTTATTGTTTCTTCAGGGCTGGATCGGGAACCCGTACCCTGACATCCAGGCTCGCCGCGCAGGACCGGCCTCGGATGAGGAGTCGGCCCCGTTGTTGGCGAACGGGCGTTCAAACGGTGGATCCCACGAACACTCGGGGGCTTATGACGGCAAGGAGGAACGCTACGCAGGGAGACAGGGCTCCGACGACGTGTCGCCCCACACCCGCAGCGACGGGGATCGCAAGCATCGCTCGCACCGCCGCCACTTCAGCGTCGACAACTTCTCGGTCGCAACCACCGCCGGCGCCGGCAGCATGGACTCGTCCACCTCCTCCGTCCGATTCCAAGCCGCCCTCGAGACACCCATGCAATCATCAATGACGGTCAGCAGCAGCTCCCGACGGCCGTCCGCCAGCGACAGCGCGAGCAGGGCGAGCGGCGGCGGCGGCGGCGGCGCGGAGCGGCGGTACGTGATGCGGGAGGCGCCGCACGCGCCCGCGACCGACCCGCTGCTGGCCGCGGGAAGCCTGTACGTGATCGACGAGGAGCGCGACACGGCCCGCGGCGTCGAGAGCGAGCGCCAGAAGCGCCGCGTCGTCGTCTTCCCCGAGGGCGCCGCCCCGCCCGGGCTGCTGCAGCGTCACCGACATCATACTGTTGCTATTAATGCGCTGGATGGCACGGCGCAGATGGTTTCGGAGAGTTCGGAGAGTCATGCCGTGCATGTCACGGAGGATGGTGGGGCTGAGGATGAGGATGCTGCGTTTGAGGAGACTACCTCGCGGCGGTATGTGGTTGTGGTGGTGGAGGGGGAGGATCCGGAGGCGGAGTGAGCGATGGGGTTTGGTGTAAAGGGGCCGGGGGTGGGGGTGGGGTGTGGATGTGTTGATATGATAGCGATGTGATGATGTGTATAATGACCGTGGATGATGCAGATACCCTGGCGATGATGTGGCAGGACAGTTTGGAATTGACATCGCGTTTCTCTTAGTCGGGTTGGCGTGTCGATCGGCAGGTGGCTGTTCTTGTTGCTATGAGGTTGTTCGGTGGTGATAGCTGTTCCTAGATGCGGGTGGGTGTATGTTAGATGGCATAAGGGCAAACAACTTACATGTGGTTTCGTCCGGCGGTTGCGCAGACGAAGTATTTAGAGTCGAGCCGTCTGAGATAGAGAGATTGATCCCGACCGAAGGCTAGATTAGCGCGATGCCGTACTGCTCCAGAGTTTTGTTAGGCTTTCGGTCGGCGTGTCCTGCTACGCACCCTCCCCTCTCTCTCTACCAATACCACCCCATCAAGCTTTTGCTAGCGGGAGATGTTTGAGTTGCGTGTCTGGCCGAGACATCCTCTGCAGCTCAGAGCAAAGTTGAACAGGGCAAAAGTGAATTGAGAGAAGAAGGGCGACACGCCGCGGCGGAATGGGAGAGTAGAGAAGCCCTTCTACCCCTGGCCGTCTGCCATCCCTCGCGGTGTCCTCGAGAGCACTACAAGTCAGCCTCCGCCATTCAACGTCTCGCGCTTCCTCCCTCCTACTACAACCAACCCTCTTTGCCCTCTACCATCCCTCCGTATCCTTCTGCCAGACCCCGTGGTCCTTTTATTTCCGCCCCCTCATCACCCCCCGACCCCTCCCCGGACATGATGAGGGCGCCGTGCTTTCCCCGTCGCGCCCCGACCACACATCACAGCAGATGCCCTCGCCGCGGCCGGGGCGCCGCTGTTGTTGGAATGCTGGTGTTGGAATTCTGTTGCTGGAATGCTTCTGCTGAAATGCTGTTCCTGGAACGTCGTTGAGTTAGAACGTGTTCCCTGGGAGGGTTCGCCGTGGACGGAAGACGACTCCTCCGATGAGGAGTTCGACCTTCTCCCAGAGGAGCGCCAGCATTGCCTCCCGTGCGTACGCCGCCGCCTCTTGGCTCCCACCTTCGCGGACTGCGTCCAACGCTAGCACACTTCCTTCCTTCAGTCCCGTTCGGCCGGTTCACGCTGCGACTAGGATCCGCAGCTGTTTCGAAAACGTCCGACCACGTGCGTGCCGAACCATGGTCGGGATGGCTTAGCCGCCCTGGCCGCCCCGCCGCCCTGCCCGAGACACACACCTCCAAAGTTAAGCGGGCCGTTCACTCCCGACATGGCCGTCCTGACGCAGTTATTCTATCTTCCGGGCCCCTGCTGGAATTCACCATGGCCAACCGCTCCGTGGCGTAGTAGGTATTGTTGTTGCATTGCGTTGGCCTGCATGTGGCCGACGGCGCTCACACCTGTGCCGCCGGCGGTTGTGGTCTGGAGCCTGGGCTGGTGTGGGACGGGCGGGTAGGTTGGGGTTTTGCAGTCTAGGATTATTTGCGTTTTTTGTCCTTTCTTGTCGTATGCCGTTGCTGCCTCGCTGGTGTTTGGATGGGATAGGTTGGGGGGTTGGACATGTCGTGCTAGGAGGGTAGGTGGGGGTCGGTTTCGGGGATATTCTGGCTGCGCGTGATGTTGGTAGGTTATTAGGTGTTTGGCTACGAATACATGGCTGACCGTGGGAGGCCCGAATTGTTTTATGTTTGTTGTTACTCAAGTATTAGATGGGATTTTGTAACACGGTTCACGCAACTTACATGACTCGGGATCCCTACCTGGGCTGGGTACAACCTGGGACTGTATTTGTTAGTTTAGGGTTTTGATGACCACTACACGGGTTAGTTCAGGTGTGTTCATCGTTTCGTGGTTATGCTATGTGGTTAATCCGGCTTTGTTGTCAGTTATGTTACCTCGGTACCTAGGTGGATGGCGATCTCATGTTTGGGGTTCAAGGTCAGCATCCTCAGCGGTCTTATTACCCTAGTGATTCTATTAATACTATACTACCCCTTTTAACCGACTACTTATTGCGCACCAATCAATACCCATTACCTTCTGCCGAATGTCAACCCAACTCTCGCCACTTGCTTCTGGACTTCTTTAGGTAGGTACCTAGGTACCTAGGTAGTTTGCTTGAGGGTTGGTTCTGCTCGTAAAGCGGTTACCGCACTGTGTTCGTGTGGAAGCGGGTGACTTGGGAAGGAGCTGCTCGGGATGATGGGGTCCTCTGTTCTTTCTCCATGTGACTCGGGACTTAGGGGCTTCTGGCACATGCTTTGTAAACTTCTCAAATTGGCCACGTGCGGGATCTCGAAAGACAATACAGCCCGTGTACACAGTCGAGTCCGGCCCCGCATTCTTTCTCCCAACCACACAAATCTGCTCCGCACATCTGATTCTTCGCGTTCCACAACTCCCAAAAAACATCGCGTTTCGCACCATACCACCGCCACAATGGGTCGCTCATACCAAAAAAACCCGAGTACAACTTCCAAAACCCCACCTCGTAAGTCCAGATTCAGAATGCAATCTCCCAGCGATAGCCCGGTTAATCCCCAATAAAACCCGCGTTTAGAATGGAAAGACCAAGTCCGCCACAAGTACTGCGGCGCCCTTGACAACGGCCGCGAGGGTAAGCCCAACAAGGTCCACCGTTGCGAGGCGTGCCTCGTCGTCAAGGCCCGCCAGAGCAAGTTCCGCGACGGACCGGGCGATATCAAGCTCGGGAGGAAGCAGAAGATGAACTTGAAGTTTGGCGGTGGCGAGGAGTCATAGCCGCTCGATGTGAGAGGGTTGGGTGTTTTGGACTCCCAGGGATGCTTTGGGAGACATGAAGAGCCGGGTTTGGAATATCGTGTTTCTTTGATGGATTTTTGATTGCATTTGGGTCAGGGAGGTACATAGCAGCACCGGTAGAGGCCCCCTGGCGGCACCAGGTGGCTGGCTGTTTACCTTGCGTCGACAGGCGAGTTTTTTTCGTTCAGATTTAACGTGAAGAAATAGAGACAATAGATTCTCCCACAGTTCATGACCGCAAAGATGTGCGTCGAGTTCACTTGGCGTGTGTGCAATCTTCATTCACCGTCATATCAGATAAACAATCAAATTCTTGCCCCCATTTTCGGACTGTTCCGCGATAACCGCTGTAACCGCTGCTATTTCCCATGGACGTGCAAAACCTCACCGCTGTTCGGAATCTGCCAGAAGGGATTGTGTAGTAAGCCACCTGCAGACGGCCGGCAGGGCAACGTTGCGGGAGGCTGTGCTGAGTGCTGACACTCACGGGACACCCAGTGCCTGACCACATAGGACAGAAGCGGTGTGAAACGGTTGATTTTCACAATAGCACTCAAACAGCGAATTCATTCGTTGAACCGTTACCGTGCAGAGCCTCGATACCTACCGTATCATTTAGGGTACCTCTGCACTTCAACAGCCTCCAAATCTATATTGTTATCCAACCTGACTGAAAAACCAACACCAATTGAAGTCCATAGCGCCACCTGGGTCAAACAAATGCCTAGGTGGCCTAGATAATATGTTGTTGACATGAACTTGTTTGATGGATCCTGGACCCTGAATGACGTTTGTGACGTCAGGGTACGTCAACGTCCACCTCGCCCCTGAACCCCTTTATTATTTGAACTCCAATTAGCTCGTAGGCCAATACTCCTTGTTCATGTTCAAACTCCAAATTTCAAAAATAACTCGTCTTATCAACCAACACCCACAGTTCAAATCAAAGATCAAGCCAAAATGTCCGACTCCGGCAACCCCTTCAACGCCAAAACCAACAAGAACCTCAACACCACGCAGAGCAACGACGGCAACATCCAGTCTACCGTCACAGGCGCCGCCAAGGGTGCCACCTCCATCTTGGGAAACACCGTCGGAGGGCTGACGAGCACGGCGGGTGGCATCGTGGGTGCTGCGACGCGCGGGGTCGGCGAGACGGTCAACAGCGCCACGGGCCAGACCGGCAAGCCCGTGGGCGATGCCGTGACCAACATCGGGGCCGGCGTGGAGAGTGGTGCGTGGGAGACGGCTGAGGGAGTGAAGAGAGCGGGTGAGTGGAAGGGGGCTTCTTAGGTTAGATTGTTGCACGTTCTGGACATATAGTGTACTTGTTTGTGTGTCTGGGCTCAAATTGCACGTGAGCTCTCTACTCGATCTTCCACCAACATGTACCATGCTCGTCTATCATGCCCCTGATGGTATTCAAAACGCCCGTTATGCAACACACCCCCATCTAAGAGCCTCACCCCCCCTCTAGATCACCACCCAAACTTCTCCACAGCCACACGCACCTCCCTCCCCCTCCCAATCTCACCGGCACACACATTCCTCACCGCCCGATTCAACCCATCCGGCCCCGACACCACCACGCCCACCTCCTCCCCAGCAACAGCCGCCGCCCCGATCCAACCCGCCACCAGGCCCGTCACATCCGGCCGCCCAGCCTCAACCGTCGGCTCCGGAACCACCAGCTCCAGCCCCCGCTCCACCAGCGCCTCCAGCTGCTGGCGCGGCACCCACTCCCTGTGCTCGCGCGAATGCGTCACCCACAGCAGATGCACCCGCCTCTGGCTCCTCCCCCCCGACCTCATCATTTCCGCTTCCCTCCGACCCGCTCCCGGCACAAGCTTCCCACCCTCCAAACCACCCTCCAAACCACCCTCCAAACCACCCTCCCCATCCTCCACACCCTCCCCATCCTCCCCACCCTCCCCATGCCATTGATTATCCTCGTGAAGAAGCGCCCAAACCAACGGAAACGCCACCGCGATCCCGCTCCCGCCCGCCACCAGCACCGCGCACCGCGACGCCCGCAGCATTCCCAGCGCGTGCGGCGAGCCGTACGGTCCGTCGAGCCGGACAGACACGCGCGGCGGCAGGGCGAGGGCGTGGTTGAGCAGGTCGCGGGTGAAGCCGTCGTGGGCGCGGATCAGGAGGGTGAACCAGGCGTGTCTTCTGGGGGGGTTGGTTTCGGAGTGGTCGGGGTGGTGGTGGTGGTGGTGGGTTGTTGCCCGTGGGGGTGGTTGGGGGGGTGCGGCGGAGGCGATGGTGAAGGGGTGGGCTTGGAGGGTGTGGGAGGGTTTGGTGTTGTTGAGGAGGGTGGGGATGGTGAGGAAGACGTGGTCTGTGGGTTGCCAGCCGTGGAGGATGGATTGTTGTTGGAGGTACCGCTGTGGCCAGGGCTGGTGGGGTGGGGGCTGGGGGATGGCCCAGTTGGCGGAGAGAGTCAGGGTGTCGGCGTCGAGGATGTGTAGGTCTGCGTCGAGGTCGGTTCGCTTCAGGGCCAGACGCCAGATGAGGCGGTCGGCGACGAAGATGAGCAGGGAGGCGGCGACGTAGGGCTGGCTGGTTTCGTAGTGGAACCAGAGGAAGGCGAGCGCCGCGACTTGGAGGAAGACGTGCGAAGCGAGGAATAGCTCGTACCACCGCTGCCGGAAGGAGCCAAGTGAGGTGAAGTAGAGGATTTCGTACGATATCAGCGCGCCGATGCCGCAGAGGATGATCGGGTGCGTAAAGTAGGCATAGGCGGAGCGCGAGGCGATCAGCCACTCTCGCGCGAGTAGAAACTGCCACAGGATCATGCTGACAAAGTGCACGATGGCTTCGAAGCAGAGCAACTCGCCAACGCGGCGGTGGAATGGAAGATGTTGAGGGCTTCGTAGGAGTAGCCCGTCAGGCGGCGGATAGGTTGGTTTTTAGCGCTGAGGAGGTAAAGCAGGGGCAGGTTGACGACGAAGATGCAGCCGGTGCGGTCGGCGAAGATAAAGAAGAAGTCCCATCGCATCGGGAGGCGGTAGAAATGGAAGACGACGTTCAGACCCAGCCAGGCGAAGATGAAGAGGGATGTTCCATTAGAGGGGAGAGTCCTGTTGATGACTGGTATCGGAGGCGGTTGATATGCGAGCCAGGATCTAACCTTTCTGCTGATTTGGTTTGCTTTCCGTGGCTTTGTTGATACACCCTCCCGTGTTAACAGGGGAACCCGCTCGATATCGACATCTTTGGTATCAGGGGGTGGTGTTGCTGTCCCCACTACCGTACTGCTTGATGACGACGCAGCCGAAGGAGAAGCCGTGCCGTCAGGTCTTCCGATCCTCAGTCGTTGCGTCAATAGCCGCCATTTCAGGTTGTCGCTCGTTGTCTCGTGCCAGTGCCATACCGCAAACACCAAGATGACTGTGCCGATAGCGATATTGTAGCAGTTGACGATGTATCGGGACTCAAAGAGGGAATCCAGTAGCTGGAGGATGTATTCCACCTTCTTCGGGTCATTCATCCAATCGAGGTCGTCGTCCTCGCTCGCCGCTTTCGGCCCCGTTGGACAGAGGGCTCGCAAAAACACAGGTAATGTGTTCCGTAGGGCGCCCTGCATCCGCAGGCAAACTTGTGTGCCCTCCATCGCCGAAAGAGCGTTGTTGTGAAGCCAGGTCGAGCGGCGACGACTGGACTGAACGCAGGAGAAGCAAATGAGGAGAAGTTGTGGGTGCCTAGCGAGTTGCGGTGATGACCCGAGCAAGATCTAATCAGATCTTCTGATAAGTGGGAAAGCACAGCGGAGCAGCGGAGACAATGAGGATCCCTCATCTTGGCATATTGGTCATGGGGGTGAGACCCCACGTGCCTGCCAAAGGATTGGGGGCCAAGGGGCCGAGTAGCCGGGTCAGTCGGCGTCGAGTCAGGGGTTAACTATTCCTGTGTGGATACAAGTTGAGATGTTGGTGGTTGTGGACGCGGAATCCCTCTAGGACTGGATTTGTTTTGATGATTCTTTTATTTAATTACAAGTCTAGAATGATGGAGATGTGCTTCTTGACACCTTAGCCTCCCCAACTCCGGTCTGCAACGCCAAGTTCAGACACTGAACCTTCAACCATCCTTCCAAATAGCCAAGACAAATGCTCTTGTATGTACATACAGTCCCTATTCCCACCCACCGCCAGCAGTGAGGCATATGTGACAACACCCAAGCCACTAGCCCTCCAACCTCACCACCCCTCCGCATTATACCCGCCCTGCCAACTCCCCATTTGACCTTGGCTCACCAACCCGCTACTCCCGTCATACATCCCCGGTTGCGTCACCTGAATCTGAACCTCGTTCTGATACACCCCCAGCATGTTGTACCCATACCCCGGAGCCTCCAGCTGCTGCTGCTGCCCCTGGGCGTAGTAACCCGCATCACCATACCCGACCGCGGAACAAGTCTGTATCTGCGGATCAACCAGACCAACATCAAACCCATCCTGCTGCTGCATCCAAGCCTGATGCTGATTCTGCTGATCCTGCTGTTGACTCGACCCCCCAGCGGCAACCCACCCCGCCTCGGGCCCAAACCCATATTCATAATCCAACCCCCCGCCCCCCACCGGCAACCCCTGCTGCGCCGCCCCGCGATACAGCATCTCATCCACCTCAGCCGCCGTCAGCGCCATCCACTCCTCGCCCACACCCAGAAACTCGGGCTCCGGCGTCGACAGCGCCGTCGTCGACGGGGTGGTAGCCACGCCCAGGTACGGACCCGGACTCGAGCTGAGCGACGGGGTGGCCGAGGCGGATGCTGATGGACTCGGACGGATGCGGGCCCTGGTGTGGTGGCGGACGGCGGAGGAGCCTCGGGAGGAAGAGTTGCTGCGGCTGCCGCCGCCGCCGCCGCCGCCGTCTTGTTTGCGCTGCAGGATGCTGTAGCGGTTCTTGGCGGCGAGGGAGGTGCGGTTGGGGAAGTGCTGGTGCACGATGTCGCTCCAGTTGCGGCCGGTTTGGGCGACGAGGTGGAGGAGTTTGGTGTCCTGCGGTTGGGGGGCCACGGGGTTAGCTTTTTTTCTTGGTGGGTGGGTGTATGTATATTGGGGTGAGGGGTGGGCGGGGGAGTGGGTGGCATACCTCTTCGGTTGTCCAGGGGCTTTTGTCGATGCGCGGGTCGAGACAGTCGTACCACCGCTTCCAACACTGGTCGCCGTTGCGGGTGCCGACGGCCTCGGCGATCTTGCTCCAGCGCGCGCCGTAGAGGTCGACGGCCTCGCGGAGCTTCTCGTCTTCCTCCCTCAACCACGTGCCCTTGCGTATTGTGTTGGCAATGCTGTAGTGCCACCGCTTCCGGCAGTCCTTGTTGTTGCGCCCCGGTAGGTGGGCGGCGACCTTGTGCCAGCTGACGGGCGCGTTCTTCTCTGTTTCTGTGGCGTGTCAGTACTTTCCTATGAAACTGGCTTGTGGTGGCGACTTGCCCCTTGCTACAGCTTCCGAGAGGAGTCTGTCCTCTTCCAAGGTCCACACCTGCCGAAGCTTGTGACCGGGGACAGGAGAGTCGCTCGGCGGCGTTGACATGGTCGTTCTTAATAACGCCATCACGTCGATTTGTGTGCTACCGTGAGTTAGGAGTAATGATGTTGACTGTGGAGGTCAAGGAGGTAGTGTTCTAGATGGTGCCCCTGAGAGTTTCTAAACAAAACCAACAACCGGGACGACGATACGAGATGTTATATAAGACGTTCACGAGCAGCAATATCGGCGCCTAGCCTTCTACGGGTCACTTACGATCAGGGCCATGGCTTGGCTGTTGTTTTCTGGCATAGCCGGATCTCGGGGACCCGGTTACTGAAACATCACGGTGGTGTGGGCCATCGCCGACTCTTGCCCTGGAGAGTATGGCCGTGGAGCATCAGCCCTACGAGGACTGCCGCATTGGCCTGGCGCCATGTCAGAACGTAACGTGACGGCCGTTCGGGATCTTCATGCAAGCGATGCCCCCCGTTCCACTGTGCTGGAGTCGCCGGCAGAATTAGCGACAATGTTGGTGGTTGTGATTGGGTTCGAGAGACCCGTCCGGCGTCATTGCTGAGATGAGTTGAGGCGGAGTCGCAGTCGCCATGCATCGATTGGGCCACCTCTTGTCTCGACCGCCATTTCAGCTCTATCCATGCAGACGGATCGGGAAGGCAAGCTGACTGCCCAGACCGGACACTTGGGCCACTAGGGAGCCACTGGGGGGGTTGCAGCCTCTGCAACCGCAGAAAAGTCGGCCAAGAGAAGTGCGGGCGAACTCCAGAGGGGTGGCTCAAGGCTCCGGTGGCGTTCGGAGATCCAACGGCGACATGCTTCCCCGGGTTTCAAACAGCGGTCGGGTGAAATTGCAGAAACTTTGGGGTTGGCGTTTGGCTCTCAGAACCGAGCGGCACGGCGACGCCGGTGATGGCTGCTGTGGGTGCGACCAGCCGGCCACCACCGCCAGCCACTAGGAAGTCATGCATGTTCCACTGCAATGCCGGTTCACGGAGCATCGTATCATAAATTACTGCAACTCTCAAGAATAATAAGCGGGGAAGGTCTTGAACTGTTGGCAGTGTGACTCTGGGCGGATGGCATGTTTGCTGACTGTTGCATCGCCAGTGTCGTTAGGTGAGGCATTCGGGCTCCACCTAGTTGGAAAAGTTTGCAATTTCCTCTGCAACCTTGAGACCGACCTCTATGGAGGTATGTACCAACCGAACCTGCAAGGCCGGGATGCGGTGAAGCCTGCCGAGGAGGGCCCAAATACATATGGTGGTTATTGCCAGTGGTACCGTGGCCGTGCAGTGAAACGGTGAAACCTCAGCACCCGCATGCGTCGATGGGTGATGGGTGGTGGTTTGGCGTCGATGGGTGATGGGTTGTGGTTTGGGTGCGTGTGTTGGGTGCACTTGTTCTAGAACTTCCACTATCCATCTGCGGGACGGGGGACTCAGGCCGGGCAGCCAAACAGCACGTCCGGGGTCAGCTCCGAACCCCTCCAAGCTGCAGTTGCCAATCGTCGGTGGTAATGCCCGCATGATGGAGGCAGCCAGCAGGGAGCGCTCGTGGGAGGAAGGTGCAGGCTTGCAGCGGGTAAAAAGACCACTGAACATCGGGCGGAAAGCGCCGCCTGCGGGTTGGGTGCCAATCAACCCCATGTGTTTGCACTGCATGCACCCTATCTGCAGTCATGAGCTTATTTGTTCCTTCTGTGACCGACACCCAACTGGGTTTCGATTCGGCGCCGCCATTTTCATTAGTTGCTTTTCCTATCGCAACTTTGCCGGTTCGGCGACCTGCGATCGCTTCGCCCGGCTCGGCAACATCTGCAAAGGTGCGTTTTGCACAACTCGGATCTCGACGCCCTATGCCAAATGTGGTTTCCCGAACACCACGAAGGATGGCTTGCCCGATCTGCTGCACCTAGCCAATAGAGGAACTTCGGAGGCCTGCCGATGGCCTCTGGCGTGGTGGTGGTGCTATGGACTTTGGAAATCCGTTGCAATTATTTATTTCATAGTTTGATTCGATCATCGACCGGGGAGAGGAGGAGACTTGTTTCCATTGCTTGTTAATTGTCCTGACATCCTAGCAGGAAAGGGACAACGAACAGAGATCGAGACCAAGTCCATGCTTAACGTAATTACAAGTACTTAAGAAGCAGTAACTACGGCAGTGCTGGGTATGGACTCAAATTGTAGGGGAGTAGATTTAGACACTGATCCAACATAAGGTACAACAAAGATAGTAATAGTACGAGTGCGTGATAGCGAGATTGATTCCAGGTTGCTAAGCAATGTCCTGTGTCGAAGGTATATCTGTATATAAATTCATAGAATCAAAGCTTGAAATTTGATAACTGAACCCATTGAATGCTAACGAATGATAGTGACGGCCCGGCTATGATGTCTTCGAGTTCGCGATACGGTTGCATTCTTGTAGATCATTCGACAATCCGCGAGTTGACGTCATCCATCCCATCTTCTGCAGATATATAACTCGAACACAAGTCATTCTACAGCTAGGCTTTCACCGTCTTCGTCTATACTCGCGGAATCTGGACAAGAAAACTGAATCGCACAAATAACTTTTATCTATACGACACATCACCGTTCATCATGGCATCCGCGATTGTGGTTGGCGCAACTGGTAAGCAACGATGCTTTCCAATTCATCGAATGCCGTGCTCATCAACGGCAATGACTAGGCATTCTTGGCCGGGAGATTGTGAAGGAACTTTCCCGAAATCCAGAGGAATGGACGACAATTTATGCCCTCTCCCGGAGCAAGAAGGATGAGTACCCGTCGAATGTTGTGCACAAGCACATCGACCTCCTAAGCTCGTCAGACCAGATGGCCAAGGACCTACAGGGAGTCGAAGCTGAGTACATTTTCTTCGCCGCCTATCTCCAGAAGGACACCGAGCAGGAGAATTGGGAAGTCAACGGTATGTACACCCCCCACCCCCCCTTCTCTCCGACCCGCCTTCCCCTGACCTCCAAATCCAATATCCCACCATGCTAACAACACCCCCCAGGCGACATGCTCTCCAACTTCCTCACCTCCCTCCAGCACACCAAAACCAAGCGCATCCTCCTCGTCACCGGCGCAAAGCAGTACGGCGTGCACCTCGGCCCCCCGAAAAAACCCCTCCTCGAATCCGACCCCTGGCTCCCGACGCCCCCCTACCCGCCCAACTTCTACTACCGCCAGCAAACCATCCTCCACACCTTCTGCCACGCCCACCCGGGAATCCACTGGACCGTCACCTACCCCAACGACGTAATCGGCTTCGCCACCGGCAACTTCATGAACCTCACCACCGCCGTCGGCCTCTACGCCGCCATCACCCACGAACTCAACCAAACCCAAACCAGTCACCAACCCCCCAACCAAACCCAAACCACCCCCCAAACCACCACCACCCCCCCAAAGGGGGGTAGTCCCCTCCCCTTCCCCGGCTCCCCCACATTCTACACCAGCCTCGACACCTTCACCTCGGCCGCCCTGCACGCCCAATTCAGCCTATGGGCCATCCGCGCCCCGCGCGCAGCAGACCAGGCGTTCAACGTGGTCAACGGCGACGCACAGAGCTGGATGGAGCTGTGGCCGCGCGTGGCGAGGCGGTTTGGGATGGTTGTCCCAAAGGATCAGTTCCAGGCCGGGGTGGGGGCCCGGGGGGTGGCGGCGGTTGGGGGGGCTAGTGGGGCCGGGGGTGGTGTTGATGTTAGTGGTGCTGTTAGCAGTGGTGTTGGTGGTGGTGGTGTTAGTGGTGGTGTTAGTGGTGGTGTGGGTGGTGATGTGAGTGGTGGTGTTAGTGGTGGTGTGAGTGGTGGGGTGCGGGCGGGGGAGGGGTGTGAGGGGAGGACGGAGCTCGGGGCCACGCCGCCGCTGAGCGCGGTTGCGGAGGAGGCTGGGTTGGTGGGCGCGGCGGTGGTGAAGGGGGGCGTGCTGGAGCAGAGGGTGAGTTTGGAGAAGTGGAGTCGGAAGGGGGAGGTGAGGGAGGCGTGGGAGAGGTTGGCGGAGCGGGAGGGCCTGCGGAGGGAGGCGTTTGAGCAGGCGACGTGGGCGTTTGCGGATTTCGTGTTGGGGCGGAATTATGATATCGTGCAGAGCATGAGCAAGGCGAGAGCCGCGGGGTGGACGGGGTAAGTTCCCCTGGCCGGGCGGTCGGTACCTGGCTTGTGGATGGGATTGGATGCTAATGGGTTCACAGATACAAGGACACGTGGGAGGCCTTCTCGGAGGTCTTTGACGAGCTTGAGGAGGCGAAGGTGTTGCACAAAATACGCTGAGCTGCGCCGGCTATCGGTCGTCGTTGTTGGAGGCTAGCTGGTTGGATGTCTGGGCGATACGATCTCACCTCAGTTCCTGGTTTCGTTCAGGGGTAAAGCTTTTTGTGCCTGGCAACTCGGATCTTTTCTCTGCCTTCAATTATTTCGTCCCAGGCCATGGAGGCGACCCGTTTGTGATGGTCTCCGGACAACCCACAAGAAGCCCGCTTACCTGACTTTCAGCCAGCCCATAAACCTAATTTCGTTCATCTCACTTCCACCTGCCCCACGGCAACGCTGGCCCCTTACCAAGGCCGGATAGCAGTGGAGAAGCAAGCATTGGTAGAGCAATGACAATCGGCCCGGACATGGTGGCACATCTGGTTGAAGTAGCGGTCGCATGGGAAGGATGACTGCCGAGGTGTAGATTCCGTTCACCGTGTGCGGTACACAGACGACTTGGTTCCCTGTACAATTCTCATAGCCGTAAGACGGGAAGACTGAAAAGGCAGCAGACAGGGCATAACTCATTATATATTAGCAAATATTGCAGGTCATACGCGTGGGGTATCTCCCGTCTCTATCCGTAAACATAACCGGGCACCGTGAAAGTTATTGCAAAATGGCAAAACACCAATCGCTCGCTGCCGCGTGAGGTTCCTTCAGGTCCTTCTTCAGATAGCAGCGGTGCCTATCGCCCTGGTCCCCCTGTAGGTAGCCCCATGCACAGGCTGTGCACTGATCAGAGGCGGCACAGCTCTTCATGCAGTCGGTCATGCTTTCCGTGTAGGCGTGGGCAATGTCAGTGGCGTCATCGCCGCTGTAGTCGATGCCGCAGAGCCGGCGGAAGCTCCTGGTAGAACCTGGAACGTTGTACAGTGTGTTGTTCAGGGCAGGGCAATCTGAGTTGTAGGTTGGCCGTGGGGCGGCGGCCGCCCCGGTTGTGGTATCTGCGGCGCCTCCAGTGCCGTCAGGGGTGGTAGTTGGTGGGTTTGTTGGGGCCGGGCTGTTGTTGGACCCCGAGACCGTTATTGAACTATGGCTAAGTTAGAACCCAATCTACGACGACATACTCAACTTGACACACCTTGAGGACTGTTCCACAGCGTCTGCGGTGGCCCCTTTCTCCCTCGGCAAGCCCACGCCCAAGCCGACTCCGAGGCCAACACCAAGGGCGATGATGATAAAGACGACAGCGGCGATGATCGCCCACAGGACTTTCTTCCTTCTGGTTGGCGGCGCCTCGTTGCCGTCGGCAAGGCTCCAGTTAGTGGTCTCGAGGGGGTTGAGGGGCCCCATGCTGTGGCCGCCATCGCTGCGTATTGTCCCCCCGCCAACAGTCGAGCTCTCGCCTATCGGGGCCGCTGCTCCTCCGCCACGGCCCAATCGCTTCCCGGGGCCGTCGTAGTCTTGCGGCGGAGGTGTTCCCTCCCGGTAGAACGTGTACCCCGCAAGATTGGCATCGCTCTCTTTGTCGCTGTCGTTCTTTTTATTATCCCAATACACAGCGGGTGGCGCGGCAACGGATGCGGCGGCGTGAGGTTGTTCGCGGGGAGGGGTCGGTTGGTAAATTGTGTAGCTGGCCTGTGGCTCTCCCTGGGCGAAGCGCACTCGGTGTTGGTTGTGGTCGCTACCGGTGGTGTCGCGGCTGCCCGGAGGCGGTTGGGACGGGGATCCCTTGGGTGCTGATGGGTCCATGATTCAGTTTAGAGGCTGGGGTCCATCTCGCGGCGCCGATCCTCGGTGCCCCGCTCCGTTCCGTGGCCGGGTTTGGTCAATTGGATTGTTTTCTCGTTGCCGCGCGAAGTCCGTTCCGTTAGTCGGGATCGCGCCGGGGCGCAGCGTTCAGTTGTTGGTGAGGACGACAAGTCGAGGAGAAGCGGGAGGAGTCGCGGAGCCAACATGGCGATTGCCTGGAGCATGTAACCTTGGACGTCAGCCTTGAGGAGTGCGCTGCCAAGGCCACAGCCAGCCTTCCAGAAAAGACTCCAAATCCTGGTCGCCGCAATTTCGCGAAATTTGCATCGCGAGAGGCGCGCTATGACCTTGCTGGTTTGGTGCCATTGTAGCCGGGGGGTGGGGGTTCTCGTGTCCCGATCGGGCAGACCAGCAGAGCGTCAGATGGCGGCTCAGCAGGGGAAGTGCAGTTACCCCGTTCCCTTGCGTCAATCCATCGCTGCGGCTCAGTCTGTTCAATGTGTGCTTCGCCGCGTGCGAGGGCGCGTTATGTGGTCATTTTTCGTGTGTTCCGGTTTTGGGTGTTCGGGTCCAGCCCGTGGGGTCCCAGCTCCTGTTCCTGTTTTGGGGCCTGTTGCCAAGGGCGCACTTTCCGAACACAGGAAAGCGTCGAAGCTTGATTCGCCGCCAGTGAACGGCGCGTCGTGAAATCGTCCATTTTGGGCCTGGGAAATCGGAGGGGGTCAGCACTCGCCGCTGACGGAAATGAGATAAAAGGCGCGAGAGGAGGAGGTGAGGGAGAAGACATCGAACTAACCTGGACGGAATAGACGTCGGCGAAAGAAATAAGGTTGAAAAGGGTCTACACTTGGAAGCTTTAGCACTCTGAACTGGTAACGACTTACCTAGCTTATGCATAGGTAGGTCTGCTTCAAGCTCGCTGTTTGTTCGAAGGTTCTATTGATCATCTATACATCTAACGGTGAGGACGCACATATAGGTACCTAATATCGAGTAGGTACCTTTCACTTCGCAGCTTTTGCCTTTGCTTCCTCCCTCTCGCTGAACCGGTCCCCAAAAAGATCAAAATGCGGCCGCATGACAATCGTATACTTTACAAACTCCTCCATACAGTCAACCAGCCTCTGTCTGTTTGAGCTCGGCTTCAGACGGCTCCCGCCGTCCACCGGATCGTCTGCATCGGTGAAGTGGGTCCATGCTTGCGGAATGGAGCTCTGGTTCGGGATGGTGAACATTCTCATCCAGCGGCCCAGGATACGTAGCGAGTTCACTGCGTTGAACGACTGTGAGCCGCCGTTGACCTGAGCGATAGCTAGCGTCCTCCCCTGTGTTGGCCGGACACTGCCGGTGGAAAGTGGGATCCAGTCGATCTGGTTCTTGAAGACACCGGTCTGTTGTCGACAGCGTGTCAGCCTTCAACTAGTAGATTTGACGGAGTGCGTTGCGGGAGGGCATACAAGGGTGCCGTGCTGCTCTGGGCTCACCCAGACGTGGCCATCGCTCCACTTGCTGAGCTCCCGAAGCTCCTGGACCTTTGGGTGATCGTGCTGCTGGTCATCTTTGACCGGGAGACCTGACGGATCGTAAACTCGCACGTCACAGCCGAGGCGGAAGAGAATGCGCGAGGCTTCGTAGGCAAGGAGCCTTGAGTATGAACTGGGCGTTGATATTCACGTTGGCTTCTGTCTGCAACTGAACATTTCCGGGGCTGGGGACACGAACCGGCCTCTGAGACTCCCGTAGAGCACGAGAACTCTTAGCCTGTCCTTCCCCTGGGAGAGAATCTGAGTTTCGACCATTTCGGCGGCTGTGGCTAGTTCTAGTTTCATAACCCAATCCGAGCTGGATATCTCGTCGTTCAGGAGGAATGGACGATATCGTTCGCGCACCGCGGGGTCGTCATCGGAGGCTGGGATTGGAAACGAGCGAAAGCGGTAGACGGGGTCGGCAACGGGCAACAGGCGCTCCCTCACCGCGTCGACGTTGTTGAGGTCGCCCATGGTTGGCCGAGAGTGAAGAGAAGACTGCTTCTGGTAAAATACTCTGTGCAGGGGAACTGGCACGGGTATACTCCTCAGTCTGGGGAGAAGCCATGGAAGAACGCAGAGACGGGGCGACGGCCGGAACATCCTGTGCCGTTTTGGCCACGTTTCGACAACGTAACGGGAAAGAGGTAAATAAAATAAAAATAAAAAGAATACTCACGACGTTATTTGGACCGAGACGGTCAATGGATTTTCATCAATCGCAGACCTGAGACAATGAGTGGTCCACTCGTTAGATCGAACTCAGACTGATCGATTAATTCCGAAATAAAATAGCTCAAAATAAAACAAAAACAAAAGCAACGGATAATGAACTCGGCACCGTCTCTCTAATCCCTGAAATAGCGACCGAGATACATACTTATCCGTCCCTCATTCCCATGGGGGATGAGGGACAGATGGCAAAAGGCCTGCGGCCCACCGTTGGAAACCACCCCCCAATGTGTGCATGTCACTGCTCGCTGTTGATTGGTCCACATTCCGCAACTTTGCGCAGAGATCGTTCTGTGGGGCAAGATTTGGTGATTCCATCCGAATGCGTGGCTGACCAACCGAGACTGAACCAGAAAGTCGTATTGACCTTGCATACGCACTCGGGTCTGGAACTTTTGACGCGAAGCAAGGAGTCAGAGCCGATACCTTATGTGATATATATACCAGCCGGACCCCTTCTTTTTCCATGCTACTCTCTCGTTTCCTCAAACATTCAACGACCTTTGAATCTTGACCGGTCTATCACGGCACCACAGACACAAGACAACCTGAGATCCATCAAACATGGCGAACCAGCCCATCGACGATCCGGCCGTGTTGCCGGCGAATACAGCTACAGCACTGGATTCACCAGCCCCTCGATCGTCCGGGGACGCAGAAAAACAAGACGCACAACAGGACACCGCGGTCGCAAAGAAATCGTCTGCCTTCAAATCCCTTGGCTGGCTTGACCGCTTCCTGGCGGTATGGATTCTACTCGCCATGGTCCTCGGCGTCCTACTGGGCAATTTCGTGCCGGAAGTCGGCCCGGCATTGCAGAAGGGCAAGTTTGCGGATGTGTCCATCCCGATAGGTATGTCTTCCGCTCCCGTGACTTTTACATGTTGACGAGCTAACTGTTGTAGCTGTCGGGCTGCTGGTGATGATGTACCCCATTCTGTGCAAAGTGCAGTACGAGATGTTGCACCGCATCTTCTCGCACAGAGGCATCTGGAAGCAAATCGGCTTTAGCGTGTTCGTCAACTGGATTGTGGCGCCCCTTCTCATGGTATGCGCACCCCCCCCCCCCCCCCCCCCCCCCCTTTTCCCCTCCCCGTGTATCCGGTTTAGATATCCAAGGTAACTAACACCGTCTCAGCTAGGGCTTGCCTGGGCGTTCCTACCTGACAAGGGTGAGCTCCGCATTGGCCTGATTCTTGTCGGCCTTGGAAGATGCATTGCGATGGTATGCGACCCGTTCTTGATTACCTTGAGAAGGGTGAAATGGTCGTACTAAACATTGTCGTTAGGTCTTGATCTGGACGAGCCTCGCGGGCGGCGACACGGAATACTGCGCCATCCTGGTCGCGGTTAACTCGCTGCTCCAGATGGTTCTTTTTGCGCCGCTTGCCATCCTTTACATCCGCGTCATCAGCCGTGAGTCCGGCACCATGGACGTGTCGTACTCGGTTGTCGCCACCAGCGTGGGCGTCTTCCTGGGCATCCCCTTCGGCGCGGCCCTCGTTACCCGTTTTGCCGTGCGAGCGATTGCCGGCCACGAATGGTTCATGAACGTTTTCATGAAGTACCTGGCGCCCTGGTCGCTGCTCGGCCTTCTGTACACCATCGTCGTCCTCTTCGCCTCCCAGGGTCGCCAGGTCGTCCACCAGATCGTCTCCGTCGTCCGGGTCGCCGCTCCGTTGGTTGTATACTTTGTCGCCATCTTTTTCGTCACTCTTTGGGCATCGAGGCGAGCGGGGTTTGGGTACAAGCTCAGCGCGACACAGAGCTTCACGGCCGCCAGCAACAATTTCGAGCTCGCCATCGCCGTGGCCGTCGCCACGTACGGCCCACACAGCGACCAGGCTTTGGCGGCTACAGTCGGGCCCTTGATCGAAGTGCCGCTGTTGATCTTGCTCGTATATGTTGTGAAGTGGATGGGGAACAGGTGGAGGTGGCTGGACTAAGAGATCAGCAGGGGTCGATATTTTGTTTCCCTTGTCTATTGCGTGAAGGAGGGCCCTGGTGTCAAGATACCCAAAGCTTTCGTTACTGTTGACCCGCCTCTGCGCTATCTAGGAGTTGAAAAACTAGAGTATTCTTAACAAGACATTCCTCGGCCCCGGTGCATCCCAAGGCCTCGCGAGCGAGCTCCTTATTTCCATCCCTGGACATATTGGCCATGATCTGGGCGGCAGCTGTGCAAGACATTTCCAGGTGCGAACCCGTCGTGTTGGGAGTGTTTGGACTGGGTGACGGTGACGGTTGGTTCGCTTGGTCGGCCGGCGGAGAAGGCTGTGCTGCAGGTTCCTGGACGTCTCGCCCATCGATGGCGGAACACCGCGTGGTGGGCCCGCAGCATGTTTGCCGCGGGGTGGTATCTGCAGCGACGGCAAGCCTTTTGAGCCCAGAAGCTGATTCATCATCGGGTACGTCGCGGTTTGCCCGTGACGAGCCTGAGTGAGAGTCCGACCTGGCTGGCAGTGGGCTTGCCTCGTCTGTCGGGGGTGTCAAGGCCGCCGTCGGCAACGGCCCCGACGGCTGATCATCGAATTGGGCCAGGTAACTGCTGAGCTCCTCGTCCGTGACCCCACGGGAGGCGAGGAGGGCCCTCAGTCTCGAGTTCTCAAGCGCAACTTTGCGAGCTGCGTGGCGCATCTCCATGGTGGCCTGGACTCCTTGGCGCTCATACTCGCGAACTTTCGCTTTCAGTTCGTCAACGAACTCGCGATGACGTGCTCTTGACCGCCTCTGATTATTGCGTATCCTTGCCGCCGCAGAAGAAGGATCTGTGGACGGATCTTGCTGTTTCTGGAATGTCACAAATTGTATCAAGTTAGTGCAATGTTACATGAACAGAAAGGAGAGAGGCACATGGACCGGATAAAAGAGGCTGAAAATCTCACCTTTCCTCCCGGTGTCATTGGTGCAGAGGATAGCAATGTGAACGGCGGTTGGGCTGTGAAAAATGGAAGCGCAATGTGACTTCTCTCCGTTCCTTCTGCTTGAATTCAATTCTTGGTCGCCAAAGCTGAATCGCCACTGCCCCCTTGAGCATGGGGGTCGACGGCGATTGCCGCTAGCTGGCTGCTTGGCACCCCATGGGCAAAAAAATGGGAACACAAACGACTGCTTGGTCATTAAAAAGGACCAATCATATAATGGCTATGACATAATCTTTTTCTGAACTCGACAACGATCATCTCCTTATTAAACTCGGGACACACCCTCTGAAGATTAGTGAGCTTAGAGATGTGCTTTGTCTCAACACATCCCGAGTCGCAGGGCCCAACGGGCAGGGAATGCCAGCCACGACAAGGCAACAAACATTCTCTGGAATTACCTCGCGAATTATCGAGATCACCCCTGAATATTCCATTTTGTGCCACTGCTAACTTTAAACACACTAAACCAAACCTTGGTCCTTTGGGATAGATAGGGAATACAGGCGGTGACATATCAAATAATTTCCCTTTCGGGCATAGCAACACAATTCTTTCTGGCATCGGACAGCTTACCGAGGTCTCGTCTACTACATTTGCAGCCAAACCTAGCTATTTCGAGGAAATTATCGATCTGTCACCAGTACAGTTGCACCGAGAAGCACCATGGAAACTCCGTCAATTCCGGAACGCGGCGACACTGGCCAGAACGGCAACTTACAATTACACCAGAAGGGGCCAGAGGCTTCCGAGCTGTGCCGGGGAACGTCGGCCGTCTGATGGTTGCCTATTGTTATAAGAAGACCGTAAAGACCGCGCCTTGTTATGCTCTTCAGTCTTGGGTAGGTAGCAACTGAAGCCCAGTCCATCCTTTGATTCCTTCTGCCATGGATCCCACGCAAGAGTTGGACATCCTCATCGTAGGAGCAGGCCTATCCGGTTCGTCCTCCCTCATCGCTACTAGGCAGTTTCGTCAACTCGGTACTGACATTTTGACTACCTAGGCATTTGTGCCCTGACTCGTATTCGGCAAGAACTTCCAAACGCCAATGTCGCCGTGTTTGAAGCAGGGGACCGTGTGGGAGGTACCTGGGCTAAAAACACGTATCCGGGTCTGAGCTGCGATATACCCTCTCAGGTCAGAACAAACGCCAGCCTGCCCCAATTACCTCTCACTAAGACCAATACGGGCAGCTTTATTCGTATTCATTTGCTCTAAACCCAGAGTGGTCAGTCGTGTACGCCTCGCAGCCCGAGATCCTCGCCTACATTGAGAGCGTAGTTTCTCGTTTTGATCACTCCAGCCATATCCATCTGGGCCAGGCGTGCACAGCGGCAGAGTGGCTCGAGGATGCGTTTCTCTGGCGCGTCTACTTTGTTGATCGGGAGTCGGGCCGCAGCTACGTCAAACATGCGCGGTTTCTCATCACGGCCGTCGGCTTCTGCGATGTGCCAAACGGTGCGGAAGACATCCGGGACGTACAAAACTTTGATGGTCGCTTGTTCCACAGCGCTAACTGGGACCACTCGTTCGACTTCCACAACAAGAGCGTGGTTGTGGTTGGGAACGGGTGTTCGGCAAACCAGTTCATCCCCCACCTCGTCGAGCACGGGTCAATCCGGAGCATGGTGCAGGTCACGAGGAGTCCGCATTGGATTGCCCCAAAGGACAACGGCCCAGTGCCCACGCGGCAGAAGTGGTGAGTCGCCGCATATTCCTCTCCTGGAACGCCCGCACTGAGAAGCGTGGTCAGGCTGTTCCGCTCATTCCCGGCATCGAACCGACTGTGGAGATGGTGTCTTGCTGCGAAACTCGACTTGGCGTTTGCGGCGTTCACGACTGGCACGGTGGGAAGGGTGCTCCGAGGGGCCCTGCAGAAACACCTCGAGGGCTACATGCGGCGTACGGCGCCTTCGGAGTATCACGACATCCTCATCCCGGATTTCGACTTTGGGGCGAAGCGGCCGGTTTTGGATCACGGCTACCTCGGCACGCTCCACGACCCGAGGGTGAAGCTCCTGCGATCACCCTCGCTCGCGGTCGTCGGGCCGCGCGACATCCAGACGGAGAGTGGAGAGAGCTTTCCGGCTGATGTGATCATTCTCGCCAACGGCTTCAAGACGCAGGATCTCCTGACCCCCATGACAATCATAGGGCAAAATGGGGCAGAGCTCCCCAAGCTTTGGCGCGAAGAGGGAAACTTTGCGTCGGCCTATATGGGGTATGTGCATGCAACTCTGCGAGAGCGTTACTGAGCGATGTGCTGACCGCTTCCCAGTGTCTGTGTGCCACATTTCCCGAATCTCTTCCTCCTCACCGGGCCAAACACCTTGCCGTCAGGCCATTCCACGCTGGCCGGAATCGAGTGCTCCGTGGAGTACATCCTGCGAGTCATCGCCCGCCTCGCTAAGAATGCCACGACGACCAAGGGAGTGAAGGTCCAAGTCAAGCCAACCGCACACAAGTCCTTCAACGATTGGATCGAGGCAAAAATGCAAAACCTTGTGTACACGGCAAAGGTGCGGAACTGGTACGTCGATAGCCGTTCCGGACGGAACACACTCATCTGGCCCGGGTCACAATTGGCGTTTTGGTGGTCAAGATGTGTGAAGAACGTGCGCTGGGGCGATTTCGAAGTAGAATGGAAAGGCCTTTGAGCCGTGGGTGCGGAGAAAGGCCAGGTGGGTAGGTACCTAGGTATGGTATTGGGCCCTGGGCATGTTGCGGTCAAGTTGGGAGGCTAGGAAATAAAGAAGTGTTCGATGTGCTTGTGCAACTGGACAAACACAAACAAGAGGTGTAATTCAAGTTGTCTTGTATACATAGATCTCTGATCCCGACGTGTACTCGTACCTATTGGGAACACCCGCCAACTGACTTCACCCGAGATGCATCCGGATATCAACCACAAACCCCGCACAATGGTAGCGTGTGTGCCGGCACTGATGACGGAAAGCCGCTCGTCGACTGTGTGGCTAACATCATCCGGATTTACATCGGGGTGATATGATCAACGAACGCAAACAGCATGTGCGTCTGGACACGGCATCCGGTGCCGGGAACAACGGCGCACCGAAACCCCGGCAGCAACCACTCCGTCGCAGTGGACAAGTCAAACTCGGGCGCGCTACGGTCTTTGATGATCGAGTAGGCTTCGCGGCAGGGAATCGTTGACTCGCCAACGCTTGGCGGTGGGAGAAGGGCGTAATCGTCGTTCGGGTCGTCGAAGCCGGACACGGGTAGTTCACTTGCTAGTAGCTCAAACAGAGGCTGGGGGGTGCTGATCCGCGGCTCGCGGGTGCTCGAGGCGTTTTGCTCTCGGGCGGACTCGCTTGTTTCCCGATATGTGGTGGCGGACAGAGTGGGGAGTGCGTCGGGAACAGAGAGCGTCTCTTCCATTGTTACATCGATCAGCCCCCTGTCAAACGCCTCAAGTTCAGGGCAGGTGGCTGGTTCCAAAAACGGTTGTCGTTGTTGAGCGGTTTTCTGTGTCGATGTGGTGGGCCTTGAGCCAGTGGCATGCCGAAGGCGCTGAACCTCGGCAGTCAAGCTCTCAATCCGCTTTAGCGCGTCGTCAAGCCTGCTTTGGGTGCCCAAAAGCAGCTCTTCAAGCTCAGCAATCCGGCCTTTGACTCTTGCCCGATGTCGCCGCTGGTTTTCACGTTGCCGAGCAGCGTCGTGTCCCGGAGGTTTGCACGAGAATTTGTGCACTCGAGTTCGGGAGAATCCGGTGTCCATTTTTCACTGCATCCGGTTGATGTCGACCGGGAAAGGATGGATTGAATGGATTGACGGATTTTTAAGAAGCTGGCCGTGATGCGCTTCTAGTGGGCTGATGAAGTGCAGTGATCGAAGGACAAAGTACCTCGCCGAGCCTGTAAGTTGGAAGGGGAAAATATTCGATGACAAACCGAATATTTCCCGCTTCTGGTTAGTTCGCGCGGTCAAATGGGTTATGTAATCACCAGATACGGCAAGTATTTGACGACATACCAGCAGCGGCAGGACCGAAGGGTGGCATTTGCCAACTATACCTACCTTAGGTAGGTAGGTACCAAAGTGCTACCTCGTCACCGAAGTATATACACGTGTGACAACGGGTGGCCATCATGGCGGGGCTCGCCACACATCCACTAGTACTAAAATTGTATATATGAGCCCCCTCTGACCTCTCCCATCCAGAGTCCCATCCCACCTCGTTCAACTTCCCTTAGTTCCCTACACCACGCCGCACGGCCACCACCTCCCCACGCATCACAAATTCAACTGCAGCCTGTAAAACGCACCTTCCATACCTTTGACCTCAACCCTCCCTTTCATCTGCACGACTCACTGCTAGTTCAACATGGACTCATCCAAGCTCTATGATCAAGTCCGGGAGCACTACAGCTCGGCATCCCGCGGGACCAGCGTCAAGTACGGCGAGGCCGTGGCCAAATCCTTCGGCTACAGCGCCGACGAGCTTGCCAACATCCCCGAGGATGCCAACCTTGGCCTAAGCTGCGGCAACCCTCTGGCTATCACTAGTCTGAATGAGGCCGGTCACCTACCCCCTCTGCAAATCCAAATGCCAAATGCTAACCCCCCAACAGGGTGAAACAGTCATCGACCTGGGCAGCGGCGCGGGCTTCGACATCTTCCTGGCCGCGGGCAAAGTCGGACCTTCGGGCCGTGCCATCGGCATTGACATGAACGAAGTACACTCCTCGCCCCCCGGCCGCTACACCAATAACGCCCGCTAACCTCGGTACCTAACCAAGGACATGCTCGCCCGCGCGAACCGCATCAAGGCCACCCAGACCCAGACCGCCCCCACCGACCACATCACCTTCCTCAAGGCCAACATCACCGCCGTCCCCCTCGCCTCCGGCACGGCCGACTGCGTCATCTCCAACTGCGTCATCAACCTGGTCCCGCACGCCGACAAGCCCGCCGTCTTTGCCGAGATGCACCGCCTCCTGAAGCCGGGCGGCCGCGTCGCCGTGTCCGACATCCTGGCCAAGAAGGCGCTGCCGGAGAAGCTGCTGGCGGACATCGCCATGTACGTGGGCTGCATTTCCGGCGCCAGCGAGCTGGGCGAGTATGAGGCCTGGTTGAAGGAGGTGGGGTTCAACGGTGAGTTTCGTTCTTTGTTGTCCTGATGCCTGGGCGGTGTTGATAGACAGCGAAAGGCTGACGATGGGGGAGTAGAGGTGATGATTGTTGATACTGGCGCCGATATCAACGTCTACTTGGAGACGGGGGAGGATGGCGAGAGGAAGGATAGCTGCTGTGCCCCCAGGGTGTTGTGGCGCCGAAGCCGCCCCTCCTGCTGCTGGTGAAAGCTGTGCTCCGGCAGGTGCGGCTCTCGAGAAGACCGACCTGAATGAGTTCGTCGGTAAGTAAGGTGGTTCAGAGGGTCAACCGTCGACTCTCGTGAGTCGTTGACCGATTCGGCTAACCCCTGATTTCTACAGGCTCGTACAAAATCTTCGCTCTCAAGAACTGAAAACACTGACCGAAGTGGAGAATTGCTGAATGTCAGGTATTTCGCCTTATCAGTCCCACTGGCAGCGCTTGACGAGGATGATCCATTGGTTTATAGCAGACCAACGGAGTCGGTATTCCGGAACCGCAGTAGCACTATACAAGCAATTCCATTGTTCATATTGTTAGTGGTCTGTGACTTCACGCAACATTTGCAGCGTGAAGGAGTCTGACTGAGAAGTATTGAAGAATTCGCGTTGGTGGCCAGCGACATGACCTTCGTCCATACCAGTAGGTATTACCTACCTCAGGCTGTGGCCAATGCAGGTCTGAGTCTACTTTGGCTGCAGAAACCCGTCACAATTCTTTGCGATTTGAAGTAATCGGTAGGAACCATTTGGTTGGAGTACCCGAGGCGGGTCTGCCGACGCCATTTATAACATCTCTATAACTACCCTAATGGGTCAAATATTTCCCTCGCAAATTCAACGAATGCCTCAACCCGCCGCGGCAAGTTGGGCGTCGGTGAACTATTCTAGCTTGGATATATGGCAGGGAGGTTTCTAAAACGGTTGATTGAGTCGACTTGAGTCTCGAGCCGGGAGCATGGCTCTGACAATGCAAGTGACGCTTCAAGCATGATATATCTCGGGCTACTTATTCCTACTAAGCGGTGGTCATCAGGCCTCTTAACATGTTGCTCGTCCCGTTTATCAAAGTCCCCGCAGGCCATGAGCTGGTCTGGCCCGTAGATAGGTAATGTGACCGCAACACAGGAATTGAAGGGGCGGATGCGACCCATCCAACCCTCAAAGAGTTGGGTGTGGCACGTGGCTCGCATAACTGCACGAAGCAGTCAACAAAGGATAGGCTGGCGTTTAATGGAATGATCCTGGGCCACAAGCATAAGAACCCAGTTGCCTCGTCGTTCTCCCGGCCAGGCGTGGTTGCCTACCAAGAGCGAGATGTTTCACTAGCTGGCCCCAAACTCATGCTCCGAGTATTTCATCCAACCAAAACCATCAACTACTAGTATTCACCAAAGAAAGAAAACAGAAACAAGAAGACAATATGGACCCTTCTGAACGGAAGTCGAGACACAAATCCAGCCCGAAGGATAGATCTACCTCGAAGCATAGATCCAGCTCGAAGGATAGATCCAGCTCGAAGCACAAATCTAGCTCGAACCACATGTCTAGCTCGAGGCATAGATCTAGCTCGAAGGCGAGACCCAACTCGAAGGCCAGACCCAGCTCGAAGGACAAGCCCAGCTCGAAGGACAGACCCAGCTCGGGGGACAAACCTAGCTCGAAGATCAAATCCACCTCGACGCATAGGTCTAACTCGAGGCACAGATCTAGCTCAAAAAGTAGGGTTGCCAGAGATAGAAGCAGTACCCGGCATAAGGAATCAAGCAAATACGAGAGCAGAAAAGACAGAGATACGCAGGGGCGACGTCACGCTACCGAGGAGGAGAAGAGCGAAAAGAAGAAGGAGGAGAAAATTGATATATATGCCGACTACGACAAATATGCATGCACTTGCACTTCTTGCGATTGCCCGAAGAAGGTCATTTACAGGGATTGCAGTTGCGATCAATGCGGCAACGGTGATCACCAAGGACCATTGCGCAAGCCAGCCAGATCCAGAAGATAATCAATCTCGCGATACTATGCCAGGTCATCGAGTTACTTAGACACTCCTTCCCATTGTCCCCATTAGAAATAGGCAAGTCGGGGATGAGGAGGGAGGTGGGGGGGAATTGGTTAACGACAACCAGCAACAACGCCCTAGTTTTACTCCAGTACCTTGGCGGGACCGAAGCTTAAGCTGCCGGTGACAGGATTAGAACAATGCTACTTGGTTTACTCGTATTCTCTGCCGATGCAATGGTATTGGAAACTTTAATTCTGCGCTCCAAGTTGAGGTGGACGGATTAGTGGTTGGAATAGGGTGGACATGCCATTTAGCACCGGTGGAATCCTACTCGAGTAAGGCAGATACCCAAGTAGCATTAGGATTGTTTAGAGTGGAAACTGCAGTGTTGTTTCCAGTGTTGTTTCCAGTGTTGTTTCCAGTGTTGTTTCCATGGGGTTTTGACGTTACTCGTTACACAACCAGCACCCCCGATCAATGCAAGCAAACCCCTTTCCAGTCCAACAAGAAAGCCAAGCTTGATCACGAGATCATATTTACAATTACCAGCCTGTCATATCCATCGGGGAGCTCGCAGGCAGGTAACACAGTAATTGACAAGTGGTCAAACTTGGGTTCAGGGGAGGAGCCATGTGGCTCGGGTGTAAAGGGTAGGCGTGGTAAGCAAATTGTAACCCCACGACTTCCAGAAATATAAATTCTTCCATTGCCCCTGACAATGTTCATAGAACACCCTGTAGATAACGGAGCCTCCAACTTGCAACTCGAGCACACAACACCTCCCAGTAATGCAGCCCACGCCTTCCCCGATCGAAGACACGGAAACCAAACACCTGCTGGCGACATGACCAAGAAGTCCAAGTCCAAGTCCAAGGAGAAGAAGTCCGACTCCAAGCATAAGGAGAAGGGCAAGAGCTCCGACTCGAGCAAGAGCAGGCCAAAAGACAGGGATGGGAACGGAGATCGAGATAGAGATAGGGACCGTGACCCTGACAAGAAAGATCACTCCTCTTCCAAGGGCAGGGACAACGAGCCCCGGCGCTATCCGTGTATGTGCATGTGCGGATGCCTTGGAAGAACGTCGGCTGCGCATGCCGTCTGCAGCAATTGTAGGATCGGGATACATAGGCAGTAAGTCCCACCTTGTTCTTTTTTGAGATTTGTCGTAAAGCGCCGGGTTGGAGATGCGGGAGCTAACTTATGGACGTACTCTAGGCGACGTTAGTGCGGGATTTATCAGGGAGGGTTTACCCACGCTGTCATCATTGCAGCATATGTTTAATTCTGGCAGTGGTTTACCGGCGGCCGGCGTGATGACGGAGAAAGCAACGTCTTGTTAGTCGGTCGCATTTGTACAGCATTTGCGTGTTTTGCGGCTAGAGATTCCATGGCACCACACTGATTAGTCTTTAGATTAGTACTAGTACCGTAATATCAATTAATCGTTGAATTGCAAACCGTATCACCCTACCTAAGCAGCAACAGAGTTTGGGTTTTTATTTGTTCTTGCCGTGCCCGGATTCCAATGATTACAGCATTACATGGGATGGAAAGACGGCAGCAACATAGAATGCTCGACCCACGTAGCATTTCCATGCCGAACAACATGATGAGGGTTCCTTGCCATTTCATAACGTGAAAGTGCCAGCGTTGAATGTTCCTGGTAGGTACCCGTGTACGCCACAGAGCCAACGAACCGCCGAACGTGAGTTTATGGCAGAGTCAACAAAGCACGCATGCTCAACAGCTTTCTACCACGCGGCTCTGAATTTGGTCTATTACCCCGGTAGCGGCATAACACCTACCTAGGGAGTACTTCCACGATGCTTACCACAAAGGAAAGGCAGGGCTGACATAAACAACCACACCACACTTGCACCCCAGAGCCAAAGAGCAGATAGTGACAACAAACTTGTGATACCAACTTTGCGAAGGCACCAGGTACAGAAGCGTGGCCGGATCGCTATAAAACCTCGCGCCCCTCCACCACCCCAGCTGGACTCTCAAGCTTTCCCAGCAGCAGAACATCCCCCGACGAAATAACCAAACCCCAAAGCCCTCCACCCACTCCCTTACTTGGCACACCCCCCTTGGAAATGTTCGACTTCATTAGCCCCGACACCCGCGGCAAGGAGAAGGACAAAAATAAGGAGAAAGACAAGCACAAGCAAAAGGACGAGGACAAGAAGCGCGGCGACAAGGACCGAGATGACGGCGACGACGGGGATAAGAAGAACGAGAATAAAAAGGAGAAGAAGCAGCACCGCTGTATGTGCATCTGCTGGTGCAGCAACCACACGTCTCAGCCAAATGACAAGTGTCGGTTGTGCCGGCAAGGGAGGCACCAGAAACGGTGGGTGGTTTTTTTGTTTTTCGTGTGGTTCAGGGGGGTTGGGAATGCTGACGGTGGTGCAGGACTCGTTGAGTGTCTTTGGGTGGGTTTGAGACGGACTCGGTCGGGGGTGGTTGGAGGTTGGGGAGATGGCGCGTTGACTTGTAGGAACGGATGGAGCGATGCCGGCGAGCGTGGATTGCATTGGTTGGGCGCGGGCGTCTTGCAGCAGTCTACGTTTGACTCTTAATACATATACCAGGCTGTATATCAAGAGAGGTCGTGTAGAATTGGCCTATCGTATTCAAGCATTGTGGATATAAGCGTCGTGATGGCTGGTGCGGTTTTGCCGTACTTCATTACTGTACCTATCAACTATCTCTACTATGCATGGCGGCAGTGGCTTAATCTGTGGTGCTGGTTGGAGCGAGGGACCAGGGATTTCAGTCACGGGCATATGAAGTCTTGCGGTAGTGGATATCTTGTTCATGTTTCGCCCCGCCTACAATACATTACCGTGCTTGAAAACATGTAATCGAGATCGGGGAAAGCGTATCTATCGTAGCTCTTCTCCATCTTGGAGTAAGCGGCGAGCGGCCCTTCTGTTTCTGAACCGTGGTCGACAACTTTCTCCCACTCTTCTAAGCTGGCGCCAACGTATATTGCCGGGGGTATTGCCATGGCTCGGTTGTAAATCTCAAGTTCCATGTGAATCCCGAACAGCAGTGTGCTCTCGTTAACCAAGGAGAAGCCATTTGGGCTCTCAACCGCTTCGAGTCCGAGTTTTGCGCAGAATTCCTTGTCAGTCTGTGTAAACCGGGGTTCCTGGACCACACATTGGATGTCCGGGCCATTATGAGACTCTACGCGGTGATCAGCAACCGTCTATTCCGTTTGTCTGTCAAAAGGGGCCCCAACTCAAATGATCAACAACATAACTAAAGGCAGCCGTCTGCATGTGGGCCGTCCGCCTTGCGACGGAGCTACCATTGCTTGGCTCATAGGGGCCCGGCCCTAGAAAAACAGCTCTGGTGATGGCCGGGCGACCTGGCTTGGTCAAGATGGAGTCGAGTAGTTGGCGTACTTGCTCCCACCATTCTGTCGACTGCGAGTCTTGGTTCACTGACTCGTGGTATTTCCAGAGATCGTTGACAGAAAGTTCCGGTTTAGGATTTGGGCGGATGCCATCGACCAAGGAATCTGCGGCCTCATTCGTGGGAGCCGGTATGTTGCGTAGACGGCCGCCTCTGCGCTTCACCTGGCTCCACTCGCCGTCGTCTTGCCCCGCCATGATGACCACAAAATGCTGAACTTGGCGGGTTGTTGAGCTTTTCGAAGAAGGAGTGTGTGGTCTGGGATGACACGGGCAAGTCGATAATGTGGGGTGCTGGAGTATTATAAATGTTGTTGTTGCCTGCTGTTGGTGTTGGTGTTCTGGCGCTGTCATGAATCTTTAAGCTGAAAAAGCTGATGCCTGATCAATGGAAGCGTGAGAAAACATGTTGCGACAAAGTCAACAGACCCCTGGAGTTTGGCGGGGCAATCGGCCGATCAGCAACTGAGGGGCAGAAAACGACCGACCGCCTGCCGTTTTGGTCATTGACAAGAATCCATCCCGTGGCCCCTTGTCCGTCCCAATTCTAAGAATTCATTGTCTCTTTCCAGCGTTACAAGATCGTCGCTTTTTGGCATGCCATTCCAAATCAAGAACTGGTGTTGCCTTTCTATTTTTCTCATGTTGAATACAATGCAGCAGCAGGTCTGCTTACCGGTTAATGGGCAGTGTGTTGCACAGCGCCAGCACTTGCAGCAACTGAACTTGAAGCATCCATCAGCTCTGTCCAACATTGTGCGCCGATATTCCGAATCAGGTTGCCTTTCCGAGAAGGGGGTCGATTTTGACCAATTTGTTTATTTGAAGACTTGCCTCGTTGCTGACGAGGTAACTAGGTAACTAACTATGTACATCTACAATGCAGAGCAATTTCCAAACCGATTTTGGGCTGTGGCCCCTCCGCGCTCCGTCCCTAGCACGCACATGAACGAGTTGCAGCGCATTCGAAAGACGCAGCAGAATGCAATGCCACTTTGGCGTTGGACGGGGATTTGGCCTGGATTTGGCGCATGGCAAGACCCGGCCACTGCCGGTCAAGAGATCTTTGACCCAAGTCGCCGCAAACCGCCTGACAGGGGATGCGGCACATCATTGGCTTCCAGGTTGGGTGTCTCGGCGCTTAACCGTGCAACAAGGTTGGAGGGACCGCAACCAGGTGGAGAGTCTCCAGAAATCCGATGTGACCACTGACTTCTTGCTCACCAACCACCGGCGTGTCACGACCACGCCTTGGCAACTCTCGCTTTCTTGCGCTTTCTTGCCAACTTGCTCGGATCAAGGCGATGCTTCATTCAGCCTCCGAGTTGTCGTCGAGTGAGGCAACAATGCAGATTCGGCCGATGGCCATCGAGGAAAGACCCCAGTTCAACGCTTCGCAAGCGGCCGGGGGCCGGTGCGGCCGCCGATTGGAAAGCCATTGGTGATTGCTTGAAGGCGGAGAGGAGAGGCCCTTGGCGACCGCTGGCGAGGTGATTGACCTGCAATCGCCCCAGCACAGCGACTCGCTCGCAGCCAAGCGGCCAGGTGCGGCCGCCCATTGGCCGCGCCGGCCTTCGGGTGACAGGGGGCGGGAGGGTCGGCATGCACAGCTTGCACCTCTGCAGCTGCTTTGCCTCTTCTGAGTGGCCAAGCTGAAGTCGAGCATGCTGCCGCCAAAGAACCGTCGAGATTGGGTGGGTGGTTCCTGTTCGACATGCCCCGAGGAGACGTTGGCCCATGTGTGCCATGGTGCCTTGCCGGAGCTGTGCGCGGGGGGGTATGCAATATTGGTTCGAGGTCACAATTCCCGGGCGGCTGGAGGGAGAGGGGAATGGCACGCTGTGGTTGATGCCACCGTCAGATATTACCCTCCCACTGCCCAGCTGCCCGTCCTTTGCTTCCCCTGCTTTCATTCATTCCAATTGTTCGCCAAGAAGACTGTCTTCGACATCGAGTCCGAATTCCGTTGAGCGTGATTATCGTGCTTGAGATCTCGGTCGCACGCAACCATTCCGCCACTTACTCGCACGCGGCAGCCACAAAGATCGTCGTCGAAGAGCGGTGATCCGGGGTTTACATCTGGCCCGTAGCCGAGTGTGAAAGACAGTGGTGTCGCTATTCAAGAGGAGGAACCATCGGGGAGTGATCGGAGGGTGTTGGGTTATTACGACTTGTCCGCGCTGCCCACCGCGGTTTCTCAGCTACACACAAACCTCTCGCCATGCTCTCATCAACACTCGTCGCCGTCGCCGGCGCGGCGCTCGCATCCGCACACACAATTATCACATATCCGGGATGGAGAGGCAACAACCTGATCACTAATGAGACGTTCCCCTACGGCATGCAATGGATGTACCCATGTAAGCCTCCCCAACTTCCACTCCCTCCGCCATGTCAGCACCTCTAATAACATCCCCCCCCCCAGGCGGCGGCATGCACACAACAACAAACCGAACCTTCTGGCCGACCACCGGCGGCGGCATCGCCTTCCAGCCGGGCTGGTTCTCGGGCCACGCGACGGCCTTCGTCTACGTCAACCTGGGCTTCGGCAACGAGGGCCCCGAGCTGGATCCGGACCTCCGCGGCCCGCCCAACATGAGCTACCCGATGATCACGCCCTTCCAGATCCTCGGCCCGACCAAGGGCCCCTACCCGGGCACCGTCTGCTTGCCGCAGCTCCCGATGCCCCAGGGCGTGACCGCCAAGGCCGGCGAGAACGCCACCATCCAGCTGGTCGAGCTGGCCCTGCACGGCGCCGCCCTCTACTCGGTACGTCCCCAATCCCTTCAACCTAATACCACAGCGCAATCCTAACAATCCTTCGTGTGAACAGTGCGTCGACATCACCTTCGCCGAGCCCGGCGACCCGCGCATCCCGCTCATGAACGAGACCAACTGCTTCAACAGCACCGACATCGGCGCCGCCGACGTCTACACCCTCACCATGCGCGAGTCGGGCGAGGGCCGCGACAAGCCGAATGCGGCGGCGCGCGGCCTGCACCAGCTCGCCTACTGGGCCTACGTGCCCCTCGCGCTGGGCGGGGTGTGGGCGCTGCTGTGAACGAACGGGATGGGATGGGTTGCTGATGAGAGAGGATTGGGGGTTGGGGTTGGGTTTCTTTCTCTTCTAGGTGCTACGGTGATGTTCTTTTCTGTGGCCCTGCCGGGCTGCGGGCTGTATATTTTGGGAGGTCTGGGATGGCGTTCTACGGGGACTTTGTGTGTTCAGGGGGGGTTGGGTATATCCGGTTGAGAGCTCTTCTCTCGCTCTGCCTTTTCTCGTTTGTTTTAGGGGGTCGCAGGGGCTGCCAGTTGCTGCTGGGGGATTTGAGTGCCTCTTTTGCGAGCCGGCTGAGTCAGTTGCCGTAGCTTGTGGGATAGATATTGTCGCCAAAAATTTGAGATGACTGGTTCGAACAAGCCGCCGTTTCATGTTTGTGATGAGCATATCATGGTATTTGCCAATGGAGGCTTATGTTTCTCTGACAAACTTCGATAACCCCATCTTTTTGGTTCGTTTGGCACACTGATTTTCCTAGACTCAAACCGGAGCCCGAGATTGTCTGTAGTGTCACCAGCCGCCGTCTGGAAGAAAAGGGGTGTTTCAACGACGTCAGAACCTGCACCCGTCACAGTGGTAGGCGGCACTGGGCTCAAGCACTTTCGGACCCCGGACCTACCGCCGACCTCCAGGACTACTACTACTTGACCCTAGACAGTGTAACTAGGTCCTGTGTAGCACATTTACTGGCCGTTCTGCACCGTGGTAACCCCGTCCGGGTTGCCGCGCGACTGATGATGACTGATGTACCAAGGGACTGCACATTTGACTGGTATTCTGGAGGGCAACGGTCTCGTGGTTCTCTACGTAAGGGGGGATATCATTTGTCTCAGCGTAGCTGAACACGGCAAAAGTGGGTAAGAATGCCCGGGGCCGACGTCTTCATCTCGGGTGTATTTGCACAAGACTACTCGAGGGACCAAGCCGAGCGTCCACGCCTCATCCCATACACCCACCGCGCCCGAACACAGAGCCCATCGTAGCACTACCACACCCTACTTCTTTAGATACGCGGAGCACTCCTGCGCAACCGCCTTGATCCTCGCATCGTCCGACTTCTTGGCCGCCTCCGCCGCCAGCTCACGCAGCCCCAGAACCTCAGTCACCTCCCGCGCATCCCCACCAGCGGCCGCCAACATCCCCAGTGTCATGAGCGCGCGGAATAGCACCTCCGGGTCGGTCTGGCGTTGGATGACCGCTTCCGCTATCGGGTAGAGCTGCATCAGGAGCTCGCTGTCGATCGAGTCCCTCTGGTTGTAAGCGAGGCAGGCGTAATTGAACGTTGCCGAGGTCAGAGCGATCTGAAGGTTGTTGTTAGCCGTGCCGATGGGGTCGGCCTGGTTATCCGCCACGCCCGCGATGCGCGCTAGGAGAGTCAAGATAGCGGTTGCTTCCGAAGTGACGAGGGTGCGGCCTTCAGGGGTGGCGAAGAGGTTGGTGACTGCGCGGACGGCCATCATCACGTTGTTGATGTTAAACTTGGAGGCGTCCGCCGTCTTGATGAATTCGTCTAAGGGGGTCTCGTTGGAGGGGACTGGGTCTTGGCTGTCGAGAGCGCCGCGGAGGATAATGTCGACAACGCTACCGTAGTTGCTATCGTTGAGCGATGCCGAACCCGGCCATGCGACCAAACAGCGGAGGACGTCGAGGGTCGGAAGCCGGTCGCCGTAGGGCCATTGCGTGACGAGCGTGTAAATGTTACGCTGGGATTCGAGGAGCGCCGGGGGGGTTGTCTTTTGGATCGCCGTTCCCATTGCAGCTTGAAGAACCGTCTCAAGACGGTTGACACCATCGGGGTTCAAGGCAATATGCTTGTTTCCAGCCAACACATGTTTTTCGTTGAGGCTCTTGAGCTTTTTTGCCACCGGTTCCCACTTGGCCTGCGTAAGAGCGAGGTACTCCGTGTGCGGTAGGTACTTCTTCGTTTGTTCTGTTTGCCCCGGCTCATACCGTGACTCTGTCCCGTATGGGTCGGCAGAGGGGGCATCGGTGCTCTGGCCAATGGTTGCCCCCTTAGTGTTGGTGACGATGAACTGGGCCACTTGATCGATGTATGATATGGGAAGTTCGTTGTCGCCTAGAAATTTGGTTGCCGCCTCATATGGGTTTTCGGTGAGGTTATACGGCAGCTTGAGTGGGGGCTTGCCCTCCTCGATGTCGACATCAAAGACGTAATCGTATTCTTGACCATTATACTGGACTTTCCGTCCACTGCTTCCAGTCGAGTCCACGACGGTTCCAACGTGAACCCACCGCTGCTCGCCTGCCGAGTGTTAGCACACAGAAGCTTAACCAGGTCGAAATGGGCAAAGAACTTACTCAACGACCATTGATAAGCCCCGATGCTGCCGTCGTCTTCCAGAACCGTAGTTACCTGACCGTCCTTCTTGCCTGCGTTGTTAAGGAGCCAGGCCTTCGGGTTTAGCCGTTCCTTGTTGATCGAAGGGCCGAGCTGCTGCTGGGGGATGGCGGATGCCCGGACGGATTCCTCGAACTGGGACAGAGCCTCGGGCGGTGCCATGCGATCTGCGTTGCGAGTGAAAACGCGGACCATGTTATCGCTGGCGCCGGAAACGATGTCTCCGTTCTCGGGGCACACGGCAACCGACCATACTGAAATGGCAGGGTGTGTTATTGTCTGGATACACTCCGACCCCCTCCAGATCCGGACTGTCCGGTCCTCCCCAGCACTGACAATTTCGCTCGTGGGTAGGCAAGCGAGAGAGTATATGAAGCTGTCGTGTCCTTGCAGCGCCCCGACTTGTGTACCGTTCATTTTCCAGAGCTGGATGATGCCGTCGTTTCCGGCGCTTGCAAACTCGGCCCCGCTCGGATGGCCCTTGATGCCGCTGGGAAGCTTACATATGGCGCGGACAACAGAGCTGGTGCTAAGGGTACGCCGTGGCTCGACCTCGCCGTTGGCGTTGACCTGACGAATGTCGAAGATGCGAATATGGGTGTCGGCGCTACCCGTAATCACCGTGTGCTCGTCGTAGGCCAGGGCAGCCCAGACACTCTTGACCTCGCCCTGGTGCATGAGCTGGGCCGATATCTGCCACTTTTCCGTGTCCCAAACGAGCCCCTTCCCATCCCAGCCACCGGATACAACGTAAGTTCCGCGGGGGGATACATCGAGAGTGCAGACGTTATGGCCATGGCCAATGAGGAGACGATCGGCGTTGTCGGTTGTAGTTAGGTTTGGTCGCTTCGCTTCGATGATGGCTTCTTGGCCGGCCGAAAGGACAAGACCTTCGGGCCAGGTAGAAGAGGCGCGGAGGAATGTGAGAGAATTTATATAGCCGTGTCCCTGGCTTGTTATCGTGTCGTCGAATGTTGTGGGCTTGTCGGCGGTCTTCTGCCACCGACGGACCGTTTGGTCACGGGAAGTCGAGAAGACGGTCTTCGGGGTGGGAAAGGACACGGCTCGGACCTGTATTCGGTTGGATTAGTTTGTGCGTCACACTCATACTGAATACTAGAAACATACATCCGCTTCGTGACCTTTCAACTGGGCCGAAAGCTTGAAGTCCGGCATCGCGATCTGCCGAGGCGAGGTGATGTGTGTTGGTCAAGATGGTAAGGTGGGCACAGGCGGGGTAATGTGCGTGCACTTGAAAGTCGGCCCAGGGAAGAACTGGTGACAGTAAAAAGCAGCTGTCGGGGCGTGACAAGTTGCCTAGTTCGTGTAATGGTCGCGGCCGGACGAACGTGACAGCAAGCCAAGGTCGAGGGTCAATTTGTCAGGAACAGCGAGTGGAATGGATGGAACTAATTGGAAGGTTTGCCAGGCCGTTGGAGATGACGATAGCATGCCCGGCCGGGTTGCGGAACAGCTACCTGAAAGCGGGGCGCCGGGGCCCTGTTGCGAGGGGTGCCTTGTCCGATCTCCTTGGATGAGTGGCACGAACGAGAAACTGGTGCGATTGAGACGGCTTTGCTCTCAGCATATGACGATCTGGGTAGCCAAAGGACATAGGTTACTGGAAATCCCAAAGGTGTCATCACGAACTGGGAGCCCATGAGATCATATAGGTGCCGTCTAGAGCGCTGCATATGTAGTCCATTGGCACAGACAAGATATATTCCAGACTTCCATACACTCCATTTATTCTTTAGGCTTTGCCTGGGAGATGTTAGAAGGCAGGAACTCTGTGGCTCTCAGGCTTGGTGCACCTCCATAAGTGGATCCAGAATTCAGCGAGGGGCCCAACCCAACGTGGCAAGCTCGCCCCTGACATGTGAGTGGAAACACCCCGCACTGGCCTGACCTGGTTGAGGGCGCCGCTGGCTTCTGCCGTCGCGCATCAACTCCTTCCACTTCCTGCTGCAAATTCTGCCCACCAGCGGCAACAGGCGTGACGAGCACTTCGGCCTCTCCCCTCGCCTTCTTCTTTTACGACACGACCACTTTACGACCCGTTACGAATTTCCCTTCATTTCGTTTTCTTTTGTCTCCCAGGTGTTCGGGTTCTTTCACCGACTCTTAAGAGTAGATGCGACTGTCGCCGGTCTAATTGTCACAACCGCGAAGACGGTTCCAAACGTCTGCACTGGAAGCATCGACACGATACGATCGCCGAGTCGCTTTCTCACACCTTTCCCATTCGGAGTCCCACGATTCCAGAATACTTTTCGAGATCCAGCATGGGAGACGCCACCGCCCCTCGCCAATACGTGCCCTTGACTTGCCACGGCCACTCGCGACCAGTCCCTCATCTGAGTTTCTCGCCGCTCGAGAAGGAAGATGTATACTATATGATTTCGGCTTGTAAAGGTTTGTGATACGCTCCTGTTTGACGCCCGTCCTTCCACTGACGGTACTTGCACGCAGATGGCAACCCAATGCTCCGCGACGGCCAGACAGGCGATTGGATTGGCACTTTCCTCGGCCACAAGGGCGCTGTTTGGCAAGCGAGGTTGAGCCCCGATGCTACGACCGCCGCAACCGCCTCCGCCGACTTCACCGCGAAAGTTTGGGACACGCACAGCGGCGAGCTGTTGTACATCCTCCAGCACGACCACATTGTTCGCGCTATCGCCTACCCATTTGATCAATCCGGAATGATCGCAACGGGTGGTTTTGAGAAGAAGCTTCGGATTTTCGACCTGCACGACCAAAAGGCGCCCAGCGACTCGGCATCCGCCAGCCCTACCGTTGTCACCCCGGCCACCATCGAGACTACACGGGCGTTCGAGATTGGCGAGGGCGTGCATAAAGAGCCCATCAAGTTCATCGTCTGGGCCCAGGATCCCCGCGTTATCATCACTGCGGCCGGCGAGACTCTTCGTTGGTTCGATCTTCCGACACGACGCTGTATCCGCGAGGTGAGGCTCGAAGGCGAAATTAAATCCTGCGAACTCGTTGCCTTGGCGCAGGCACATAGCGCGCCTACGGACATTGGCGGAGGTCTCCCCGTTCTAGCTGTTGCTGCTGGGAATACGGCATACTTCTGGGGCGGTTCGAGGGCTGAGGATGAGTTGAAGCACATTAAGCTTTCTCATGGGATTGCAAGTGTTGCTCTGGATCTGAAAGGCAGGAAGTTTGTGGTGGGAGAGGAACCGGGCACCTGGGCTCGGGTGTACAACTGGGACGATTCCAAGGAGTTGGACGTGCACAAAGGCCACCACGGCCCCATCTGGTCCATCGCCTTCTCGCCGGATGGCAATCTGTACGCGACTGGGTCGGAAGATGGTACCATCAAGATGTGGAAAAACTGCGAAGGCTTTTACGGACTCTGGCGAGGGGGCGTGTCGGGCAACGGCACAGACTAGGAGATGAACGAACGCCCCTTCGACAACCCGCCTGACGATAACGTCACCGATATACCTTGCAGTACCACGCCATCCAGGGACCACAGCTATGGCTCTCGGGCCGAAGCAGGTCGTTCGAGTTCCGAGGCCACAACAGTGTCTCTTGCGGTGGAGGATGCTGGCCCCCCAATCAACTGTTCACCGAAAAAGATCGAGAAAACCATATCACCACCACCCGTCGGTCGCGTTTCTAGAGAGTCGACTTGCTCTGACCCCCCTCCCGGTTATCAAGGCGTCGGTAGGCCGCCGCGGTCGAGCTGCGCCTGTCCGTCATGTCCTCAGCATGGGGGCCTGGCTGAATCTGAAGACAATAAAATGGAGGAATTCATGCGTCGATCAGCGCGTCATATGATCAATGCGGCAAGGCCTTTGGCTTGAGGACCGAGCCATCGGGTTGTGTTGAAGTTACTGTTGGTGGTTATTTGTTTGCCCTCTGGGATGGGCTGCTTATGTCATGATAGACGGTCACTCGTCGAACTGCATATTTTGCACTTCTAGTAATATGGCTGTTTTAAGATGGACTATTAGATCTGCCTGGGGATTAGGCTCCGGTGTCTTGTCGGGGACTGGGCTGGTTGATATGTTCCGTAGCGGGCGTTGCTGAATCTCCAGTCACCCAGCCGCCTAGAGAAGGCATCAAGTATAATTCAGTAACAGTCTTCTCTTCTACAGCAAGGACTTTCTCCAAGCTGTGAACATTCTGAGATGGTCAGATACATGCACACCCAGTTGTCCCGGTTGACTGACAGCTTCGGCCCATGCCCCCATGCGACCACAATGGATGGTGGGGTTGCGGGGCACAGGGGTTCCTCCACGCGTACCGGGGTCTTTCTTGGCGCGTCTCCAACTTGCTGCATTGAAGCTTAACCATTGCGCGTGTGCATCCTTCTAACGATTCAACAACCGTGACCCGTAGTTGCGCGATAGCTTGCCTTTACATCAATTTGATCTCGCAATAATATCGCCCAATTGTCAAACCCGGCTTTCAATATGGATGACGAATACGCGAGTTCCGAGAACGAGCAAGATGAGCTGATGGAAGATGCCGAGGACCTCGAGGCCGAGAACGACGCCGAGGAGGAAAACGAGGACGAAGAGGAGGACCAAGACGAACAAGACGAGCCTGAACCAGGGCAGGAAGCGGAGCCCGAAGCTGAAGCCGAAGCCGAAACAGAGTCATTGGCTACCTCTCAAGCACCCGCTCCCGAAGGCCAACCACCCAGTCAAGATGCGACTAGTAGCGCAACCGTTGCGCCCACGAGCCCCACGATCCAGAATCGATGGCGTCCGGTCCTGCGGCAAGAGTACATCGATGCCCCTCTCTACGATATCGTTCCGACTATGGCAGCGCCCCAGGCCACAAGCGTCAATGCCATGGCGATCACCCCCGACCTGCGGTATTGGATAACGGGGGGTTCCGATGGCTACATTCGCAAATACGACGGTATGGGCACAATCAATGGAAAACAACAGCTCACCGTAGCTCAGCGGCATCCGTTCGTCGATAGCGTCGTCAAAGCCGGTATACTGATGAGCTACTGGGAAAACGAAGAGCCCTCGCCCCCAAATGCCCGCGCCGAGGACCGGGTTCTGTCGCCGGTTTACAGCCTCGCCGTGCACAGCGGGGCGCTATGGCTATTGAGCGGGCTCGAGAGCGGCGGCATCAACCTGCAGAGCGTGCGTCACGACGAGGGGAAGAGGATACACTGTCTGCGGGATGGCGGGCACACCAACGCCGTCAGCGTGCTGCAGCTAGCCTCTGACGAGAAGAGCGTGCTGAGTGGGAGCTGGGACAAGACGGTGCTTGACTGGGATCTGAATACCGGCAACGTCATAAGGCGGTTTGAGGATAGGGGAGGGCAGATCTCGGCCATCGAGTTGCGCCCGCTAAGTGGGGCGCCTATCCCGGCCGAGGCGAGTGAGCTCGAGGTGAAGAGCGAGACGTTTTTCGCCGAGACGAAACCCCGGGTGAATGGGTTCTTCCAAAATGGTGTCACTGATGAGGCCGGCGGCGCGGAGCACGCAGCTCGCAATGGCCCGGGGGGAACCGGCGACGGTGCAGGGTCACCAGAACATGAATCGCTTTTTGGCAGTCCGGCTGGGTCTCTCTTTGGTGACAATGACACGATGGGTGGCGGAGGCGGGGGGGCGTTTGGTGACGACGACGACGAGTTCTCACGGGCTATGGACATGGGACTTCACGACGATGCCAACCACGACGGACTGGACCACTCAGGCGACTTTACTATGGGTGATACCGACATGGCTGGCGGGCCTGCTCTAGACATGTCAACGACAACCGAGGCACCTCCCCCTACACAGGATGGCGCAGCCCCTGCCCAGCCCGACTCTCATGGTGACGTCTCTCGCAGCGACACATTGACGGCCGATACGGCTCACGACATGTCGGTCGACTTCGCCCAAGCACCCGCCACCTCCGAGACCACCCAACAACCCCCCGCCTCCTCCGCTCCCACCGACCAGCAGGCCAATCCTGCAGAACCCCCTCGCCCCACATCCTCCCATACCAACGGCGGCGGGCCTTCCCTAGTCTTCACCTCGGCCGCCCCCCCACCACACACGGACCCGACCCAATCGTCAACCAGCACCTTCCTCTCCGCCGCCATCGACGGGCCCATCCGGCTCTGGGACCGGCGGGTGCCCGACCCCGTAGCCCGCATCAACAACCGGCGCGGGGTACCGCCCTGGTGCATGGGGGCGTGCTGGTCGCCGGACGGCAACTGGATCTACGCGGGGCGGCGCAACGGCACGGTGGAGGAGTACTCGGTCCACAACGCGACGAGCACGTGGATGCCGGAGCGCACGCTGAAGTTCCCCGCCGGCTCCGGCGCCGTCAGCTGCGTGCGGCCCATGGCCAACGGCCGCCACCTCGTCTGCGCCTCCCACGACATCCTGCGCCTGTACGACCTGCGCGACAACTCGGCCTTCAAGCACAGCAAGGTGCCCTTCATCATCATCCCCGGCCCGCCCCGCGCCGGCGTCATCTCCCAGCTCTATGTCGACCCCACCTCCCGCGTCATGATCTCTACGGCCGGCACCAGGGGGTGGGATGGCACGTCGACTGAGGTGTTGATTGGGTACGAGATTGGCGTGTCTAAGTAGGTAGATGGGTGTAGAGTATCCCGGGGTAGGGGGGACGGATAGGTGGAGGTGAGTGGAATGGGGTGCGGGCTTTGCTAGAGTTGAGTTGTGTCACGGGTTGATGGGCGTTGATATGCTCTGCGGGTGGTGTGGTGTGGTCTGCAGTGATGATGAATAAGATAGGTGGTAACTGTGACGCGGTTGGCTTTTAGAATACCCACGTGGGATGGCGTTGGAGTTATCGTGGAATCGGGGACTATGGGGGATCCGGATCATTTGCTTCACTTCGTAACAATTTTAGGCTCGACGTTACTGTGTGGTGCAAACGTCTGGACGCCCCGGCACGCGACAATGGGCTGCACACACATCTTAAAAGAAACAAGACTTGATCAACAAATTTGACGCGGCAATGGTGACAAAACAACGCTCGTTAAATTAAACTAACAAATGTACGCTACGCTCCACACCTGGCTCCCCATCCCTCCTCCTAACGCCTGATTGTCCGGAGGAAACCATCGTCGTCTTAGAGGTTGGGTGGACGCTCAGACTGGTCGTTGACGGAAGAACCGGCCACCTTGTTGTAAGGCAACTTGACCCGCTGAGTAGTTCTGCTGCCCCCTCCAGTGCGCTGGCCGTTGGCCAGGGAGGTAGGCTGATAAACCTCCTGGATAACCGACTCTGTAACTTGTTGCTCCTCCTCAGTGGCGAGACGTTCCCGGAGCAATTGCTCATCATGCTGCTCGATATTGTCGACGAACTGTCCCCATTGCGCCGCGGTAACAGCTGCTGGGACCGAACTCTGCCCGCGTTGTGCTTGTTTACCCTTGCGCCTATCCTTTGAGAAGCCTGCTTTCCCCGGCGTAGGTAGCGTCGGCGCCGACTCTGCTTGCTGTCGCGACACACCAAGATTGTTGAAGGAGGCCTTGAGCATCTCTGTATTCTCGGCACCCATCCACAGCATCCTATCCTTCAACGACATGGGCTGTTTAGCGGCCTGCGTCTGCGTGGTCTCCTTGAACTTCTTGCAGTCACAGAAGCATTCCTGGCCACACGACTTGTGACATCCGTGACCGCAATCGAGTATCTTGCGGCACGGCTCACTGCAAGGGAGGATATCGTGGGGTAGACTATAGTGATGTTAGCAAACGCCGCTAACCAACGAGGTATCCCACTTACGCGTGGCACTTGAGAGTGCATTGATGGCCGCAATCTCTCGTCTTCTCACAGGGCTGATCACAACCCCCAGCGTTGTCGGCCCAGTCCTCAACCTCCTTTATCCAAGTCTTTTTGTGGTGAACCTGGCAAACAATAGGAAGGCCATGCCCGGGGTCAAGGCGCCCTTGTTCGGCAAACCCAGAGCAGATCTTGAACCAGAGGTCGTATGAAGCCCGGCGGGCATTGAGGACGTTGCTGACATTGCCAAACACGTAAAAGCCTCGGCGCGCACGGCTGATGGCGACGACTGCGCGGCGTTCATCCTCCAGAAAGCCCACCGCGTAAGAGCGGTTGAGTTGAGGACTACGAACAAGCGACAGGAGGATAATGTCGTTTTCCTCGCCCTGGTACGAGTCCACGGTGCATACGTTGAATGTCTGGTCCATGAGAGAGGGGTGGCGTTTCAGCTTCCTTAGCAGCACCTTTCTCTGGCCCTTGTAGAAGGTGAGTATCGTGATTGTCCCCGAAGGGGTACCGTTGGCCACGAGGTAGGCAAAGAAGTTCGCGATCATCTCGGCCTCTTGCTCGTTGAATTTGCTGAAGTCCGAGTTCATGTCCTCGGGCCATTCGTGGTCAAAGAGCCAAGAGTTACGACCTCCCATTCCGAGAACGTTAGGGCGGTTGTTAATCGATGCGACGGAGGGATGGTCGAAGAGCTCGGGGTAAAACGGCTTCAGGATTTGGCGAAGCTCTGGCTTCATGCGACGCTGCTGTTTCAGCATGACGAACGGCATGTTCAAGTTGACCATTCTCTGGAATAGCGAGACATTGAGGTTGTAAGGTGAGTCGCCCAGCCGCTGAATGTCGCACTTGGGCGCGAGCTGCTTGTGGTCACCCACCAGGATGAGCTGCTGGATAGAAGGGTACAAAGCGGATACGATGTTGGCTTCGCGGGTTTCCGCTGCCTCTTCGATGAGGAGCGACTGTGGATTCATTGCTGCAAGGCAGCCGCGGTACTTTGTTAGGCCCGTGGTGGTACAGCCGACGATGTCGATCCGCAGCTTGTTGACAACCTGAGTGTTCCCAAGAAACTTGAACGCCTTGCGCTTCTTGCAAAGATTGACGTTCTCGGCGAGCAATGCGGCGAACTTTGGGGCCATTGCATCCAGCAATCTGGCCTGGAAGTACTGATAAACAGCACCGCGCAAGTCACGGTCGATGGCGAAGAGGTCCTGGGTCTGAAGGGCACGAGCGACGGCACGAGCCCAAGATGTCAAGTTTGCAGGGTCCTTGCCCGACCAGACGTGCCTCAGTGGGATGACCTGCCCCCGGAAGCGATACGCATCTTCTTCGTCGTCGGCGATGTTCTCGATATCCTCGTCGTCCTCAACCTCGAACTCGGGGAGGTTCTTGCGGGCCTCGGCCTCATTTATCTCGAGTTGTGTGGGATGGCGGTCCTCTCGAATCTTGGCAGGAATGAGGTTGTCACCCAGCCAAAGCGCAAAGGGACCGTGGACGTTAATAGCCTCATGGGTTTCCATGGACTCGTCGCAAAGAGACTCGTACTGCTCCTTTGAGATGATGCCGAAGTCCAGCAGAGATTGGGGGTCCAAGAGTCGGTCACTGAAGAGGTGATCGACGAGTTCCTGGATCTTCATGGCGTTTACTCGGCGCTGGTGGTCGATGGGACCGCACTTGTTGTCCGCGGAAATCTGGCCCTTGCCGCACTTCTGGCGCCGCTCATACAGGGTGCAGGGCTTGATGGTTTCGTTCTGCGTTCTTCCTCCCATCCGAAGAATATTCGCACCTGATTCGACACAGTGCACGAGAATCTGATCCAAGGCATGGTTTGTCTGGGCGGCCACTAGGATCGGAGGGCCGCGGCGCTTACGTCGATTGGCGATCAGGACCTTGAGTGCTTCAACGGACGTGAACGTTTTACCGGTACCCGGTGGGCCTTGGACAATGGCGAGTTCCTTGGAAATGATCCGATGCAGACCAAGGAGCTGGGACGAATCGAGGTTGGTGAGATCCTTCAAATCTGGGAGCTCGTTGTTGACGATGTCGTGTGTCTTGAGTTCTGCGACCGCCACGGGGTCCTCTGCGGCGGCGGCTCTACTAGCAAGCGAAGAGAGATCTGCAACCGGGTGGTCCATGAGAAATTCTGGAAAGGTGTCTTTCACATGAGCCCCGGTCAAGTACTTGTCCAAAGCGGAGCTGTAGGAGAATGTAAGTGGTTGTTCACTGCGGACCGTCATTGAAACACTCACTCAGTCCTCGCGGCATGTTGCAAGCCGACCAACGAATGACGAGCCGACTCAAAATAACCATTTAACGACTCAATCATGACCATCTCGAGGCTTGGGTCGAGGACAGCGTCCTCCGGGTTCGCCCAGATGAGGTCCACGAGGGGAGGATCTTGGTCGAGACCGTCGCGGTAGGGGCGCTGAGCAATGGTCGCAATCTTGCAAATGTTCTTGAAATTATCCCCCTTGGGAGAGAGAGCCACGATCTTCCCGGGCTGGAGTCGCTTCGACTGCTTCCATTGGATGCGGTACTTGGACCGCTCAGTGGAAAAGGAGACTCGGGCGAGAGGACCGATGGTCGACATGACGTATTCCTTGATCCGCACCTACCGAAAGGTCAGCAGGGTATCTCACATTAGGAAACTCTGTGAAGCTTACCTGAGTGTAAATGTTGGTGAAGTCGTCGTCCATCGCGGAGGCCTTGCGCCGATTATCGGCGAAGCTTCTCACAGAGAAGCGGAGCCCTTCAATGGCCTCCTGGCGGAGGATCTCATACTGAGCGGTGAGGTAGTCATGTTTGGACTCCCAAGGGACATCAACGGGGTTTTCCGGAAGCTGGTCAATGTCGGAATTTGCGGCAAGGATCTCGGCGGCGGTGGGTAGCTCGGGCTTGGACAGCCAGCCACTGCCATGAGGGCTAAAGAAGACATGGCTTTGAACAATGTCTATTGCGGACTGCCATGGAGGAAGAGGAGAAACAGCAAGTCAGTACATCCCCAGGGCTCATTGTGGCGACCGATCGAGAGAACTGACCTGAGTGTCCGCGTTGGTGCCGATTGTATCCATGCGCGATATGAATACCAAGTACTCAAATTTCAGGTGAGATTCCAAGGATCACGGCAATTTCGCGAAGGAATGCAAAAAGAAACGACGAAAAGGCGGCAAAGTATGAATAAAATGCAAACCTTGGGTCCGGACGAGATTTGGTGGTGAAGGTTGGGACTTGGGAGTGTCAGAGTTGAACGAAGTTATGAGGCATCAGGTGGGCTGGGTGAATTTTGCTCTGGGAGGGGAAGAGGGGTCAGCACAAACTTTTCCAAGTTATTCAGATGGAAGTGAGGGTAGGGCTCTTTGGGAGTGTCCAACCCACAGCCTTGGACAAACAGCAGGCCAAAGGGGGGAAGGAACGAAGGACACTGAACCAAGCCTCATGCCACCAGCAGAGTCACGTTGGGCGGGTGATGGCAGTGCCTGCCTTCCAAGGTAAGTGGTTAGCTGATGGAATTTCATTAAAATTCATGCCTAACTTTTGGCAATGGTAATTGTTTGACTGCAGATACCCGTTTTTACTGACTGCTGCCTTTGGCTTGTTTGTTGATTTTGGCCCCTGCACACACCTGTGCTTGAGGTTTGTTCACAATCCGCTCCCAGGAAGGATGGCCCAGCTCCCCTTCACACCTACCTACCTAGGTAAAAACTAGTACGTTATCCATCAGCCTCTCCAGTTTATTCCCCTTACAAAACAGTTACAACACCTCATTTTCCATTTGCACCAACCTCACTCCAGCCACCACCATCTCCCTCACCGTCAACCCCAAACGAAGTCTATCCCTTTCTTCCAGATCCAATTACACTAAGCCCGAGACCTCGCCATCCCCGGGCCCTGCCCTTCCCCTCAACCGGATAGGTACTTCGTACTACCCGCCAAAGCACGCACTCCGGCACCCCATCCCCGCTAGGCATCGGTCCAACAGCACCGGCACCCCGTAACGGGAGCAATGTAGGGGCCGCTGTAGGAAGCCGAGGCTCAGCAATGAAGCCATCGGGGTAGGGCGCTGGGGGTGCTGTTCACAACGGTTCGGCTCGCCGGGAGGGTTGGTTGTATCAGCACCTACCTATACTAAGCATCCTCAACGACAATGGTCAGATGTTGATCATGTTTGAGTCGGGGGTGAATTTGAAGGGGCAAAGGAGAGGACCTTTTTCCTCTTCCCTTTTACTTATCGATTCTTTTTGTCATCTCCCACACCCATGATGTTACGCCTTTAAGTAGCTGTGGTAGAAAAGCTCCCATGAAGGAGATCACTGTTCTTGATCCTTTCCTAGGCTACCTAGATTACGGAAAGTTAACCGTCCATAGCTACAACGCATGCGGCTTGTTGCTTGTGTGAGTGTATGCCTAGGTACTTGGACCTCAAAGAGATGAATTAGCGCAGGAAATTGTATAGAGGTGCGAGAGCACAAATTCCCTCCCTTGGTGAATCGAAAGCCAGCAGCTCTTTCAACTTAACGGCTGCGGTGGAGAACAAGTGATCAGGTAAGGTGTGTATGTCCTTACCTCGGCACCTAGGTAGGTATGTACCTAGGTACCTAGGTGATGTACGACAATGCACTGGGGTCAAGGGTCTGGCAAGCGGTCCCTTGGCAAGAAGTCAAGAATAAAGTCCACCCCCAGCGCTTTGAAAGACGCGGCGATATCACGCAGTTCTGATTGATTTTGCGATATATGGGCAGCATGGACGGCGGCCTCGTCCTCGGAGATCTCATCCTCGGAGGCATACTCATCGGAGGCATCCTCGTCGAAAGAGTGATACGTATCCGAGTTGTCGTGATAGGAGACCCGCCTAATGGGAGGATCGGGCTTCGCCTTGTATTCGGCGGTGATCTCGATCATACGCAGATCAGGGTATTGACCGGCAGCAACCAATAAACCTCGTAAGGCAGGGGCGAGTAAGTCATGGTGGCCACGAACTTTGAGCTCGCAAATCGAGGGAGGGAGCGTCGAGGCGAAGACTCCCGCCTTTTGGTTGTATGAGCGCCAGGCGCGGCGATGAAGCCTAAATGCTTGGGTACTTAGAATCCTCAAGACCCGAAAGCCCTGAAATGGGCTAAGACTTGCAGGAAAATTAAAAATCCCCTCGGATCGACACGGCACATGGCTTAGCTCTTTAAGCGTCGCCCCCCAAGGTTTCAGTAATTGTAACAATCTCTCGGGCTGGGAGGGCTCATAATACCGAGCTTTTCTGAGTACTCGTTGGAGTCTGAACTTGTAAAGTCTTGGTCCAACCGCCGCTAAAAGGGTGGCCAGGGAATCCATGTCCAAGCTTGAGTTCACAAGGCTTAGCTCGGTGAGATTCCGCATCGGCGGAAGTTCAAGTTTACCAGAAAAGTTCCCACAGTACTCAAAATGCAGGGCCTCGAGATTCGGGGCCAGCGCGATAATAGGGATGGCATTGTCAATTAATTCGACACTGAGATGGACGCCAGTGAAAGCCAGTCTTGTAAGTGACATCAAGGACGGGCTAGACAATTCCAAGACTCCCTGCAAGATCTGCCCAAAAGTGCGTTTAGAGTACCCCTCAAAAGGTTCAAGCGACCAGCGTGTCGATGCTGGTACGAGGGGAAATTGGGCGCTTTTCAAATTCGGCGCAAGCCGCAGGAGTGTTGATATAAATGTTGCCTCTTGGATAACCTTAAACTGAGCGGAGTAGCGGCGACTGAACGTCAGCGCTTGCCCTATTATCGCTTCCTTGATGTCTTGACCCGTTGTTTGGGGTGGTGTAGTCTGGCGAACCAGCTCACACAACGGGTGGATCATGTGGGATATGTCTGACGCATGCTTTGTAAATACTAATTCTTTGGAATGCCCGACGTGGATCTCACGGATTCGTGACGCTCGATCTGGGTCTCTTGACAAGATATTGACAAGGGACCAAAGCGAGAAGTCCATGACGGACGGACAGTGGCACAAATATTCTTGTGCCAAGAGGTGTAGAGCCCTGTTCACCCGGCTGATGTTGACTAAATCTCTGTAGCATTCGTGGGAGCCAAGCTTCTGTCGCTCGTGCTCGTCGTCCAAGTGGTCTCGCTGACCGTTGAAGGGCCATGGATCGCATTGACGGGCACAGTGGGGGCAAAAGTAGCTGCATATTTCAGCCAGGAGCTCAGTAGGCAGCGAGAGAAAGCCTCGTTGGGGTGTTTGGGGTTCTGTGCCGCTGGATTCGGACATGTTGGCGGAAAGGTAGGTAACTTCTTGACAGCACAGGCGGACATTGTGGCGGCGATCACGGAAGGCGGGCAGTTTATGTAGGCCTCATTGATGGCCAACGGGTGCCAATGTTGTTCTGGAATAGGAGTCATACGACCGCACATGATTTGCTGAACAGCATCCTCGGTCAAAGGTGATTACAAGGGCTGCTGTATTAAGTAACGCACCGTCTTGCGCTAATCTAAAGCTCTTACTTTTAAAGAAATGTAATTCGGCTAGAGTTGTTAGATTGGGAAGATCACCAGCCGCATTCGTCGTTGCTACGATGCTTGATGTCGGAACCCGCAGTTATTCGATGTGCTCATCGAGTTGGCGAGGCCAAGGCTTCCAACTTTTCATTTTTAACTACCTGACCCGCGAACACTTCGTCTATTGTTCGTCTTTGGTGTGTTTTATTGTTAATTACTTTTATTGATTTATGCAAGTTACCGAGGTAAAGTAGTTGCTTGCTGATTAAAACCTTTCGTTGAAGATTGCCTCAGGCTGCAGTGCCCTGCCCGACTCTCCCATTTTCTTTCCCTCCGACTCTCATGTCAACAATTTGAACTTAGCTTACCCTTTTAATGAAACATTACACTCGACGACAATCCCCTCTCCCGCTCATTTTTGTAGTCACGGCCGCAACAGTCTCCTCAGCGAGGCTTTACGATCTTCATTTTTTTCTTTCTCTTTTGTTTCGGCTACGAGATACGAAACTGCGATATCGTTGCTCTGACGTCGATTTCAGAGATTGCTTTACTGGAGTCTTCGGAGCCAGTAACTTTTACGGTTGGCTTTACCACTATAAACGATCTTTAAGAGAAACTGAAGAGTTATGTTACTGTAGGGGCGCTGCTCTCGTTAGTATAAACGGGAGATTCGGGGAGGGAGTAGAGGTAGCTCGATCAGGTTAATACTAATTTGAGAGATTAATACCGGGATTCTTTGGAACCTGGTATATTTATTCGGCTTACTATAGTATATAATCTTTCGGAGAAGTAGATAGACTACCTAGGCTTATTAGACTAATATAAATTTAGTTAGTACTATATATTTCTTTTATTATTTGTCTAATTGCTAACTTTCCTATCTAGAATAATATTATATCTTAATAATAGTTAAATAGTATAGTAACTACTAGCTCTAGTAGAGCTAGTAGTTAACTTATAATAGTAGTAATAGTAGTATTAAAGGTATTAGTAGTAGTAAAAAAGGCTATTAGTAAGTATAATAAAGACTATATAGTACTTACTAGTTTAGCTAGCCCTATACTTACTATAGATAGTACTCTATATACCCCTATCCGGATTTATTTATAGTTTATTATATTTATAAAACCCCCGGTTAACCTTTAGATAGACTTTTCTCTCTTATTTCCTCTTAGAGAGGAGTAGAAGAGTAATAAGGCTATAGGCTTTAATATTCGGTATATCGGTATATTTTTCAGCCTTTTCTATTTCTTTTAATATTACTAACAATATCCCTAAATAACTAAGCTTATATTAACTAGTTAATTTAGTTAGATTAGTATAGGATCGCTATCTAGCTTCTATATAATAGGTTTATAGCTACTATCAAGGACCTAAGTTCTATAGTATCTACTCTCTTTCCTAATAGTAAGAGATTTAGTCTATTGTTAATTTAGCTACTTAATAGGGTATAGGTTATAATAGATAGATTCGGTCTACCCTTTACTAATACTAATAACTCCGATATTGAGGGGTGGGATAACTACGATAAGCCTATCGTCAAAGGTACGACTCTCCTAGATTTGGTACGACGGACCGAGTTCTATCTCGTTGTGCCCGAGGTATGCACCGAATTGCAGAAGAAGTGGAGCGTGGATCACCTGCCTGATCCGTTTAGCTACTGGTACGGCACCGCGCAGGGTTAGGACTTTGAGCGGTACGAACAGGAGCAGCGCGCCATTCCGGGAACATGTTGCGCACCATCTACACGCGTCTCGTGCAGGAGAAGAGGGTGATGCGGCTAAGCGAAGGGCTGACTAGCGACGAGGTTGTTGAAGGCCCCGCAGCCTGATCTTATGGTAATATTAGCTCAACTGTGCGTTTATGCGTTCTCTACTTGTTTCTGGATTGTGGGCCTGAGTTGCGATTGCTGTGTTACCCGCTAAACGCCGCCTTTCCATTCACTCCCACCCCCCCGTAATCTATTTACTGTCCTAGCCCCCCACTTCCTTTGACTCATGGGCAGCCTTCCTAGTCATGGGAGTATCTGGTGCCAGCGGAGCGTGGATGGGTTGGAAGGAAGGGGGGCTCGGTGTTCGCTAAGGGGACGGGATGACGGTAGGTGACAGGGGTAGGAAGTGTTCAAGAGTTAATGTGGTACAAAGCATAGGCAGGTAGGCAAGGTCATTAACCTTGAAGCAGCATTATTGCCTCTTCCTCCCCCCCCCACACCGCCCCCTTCCTATTGCAGACCGCAAGCGAAGATGTTCAGATGAAGTGGGTTCATTCTTGGTCTCTGCTCGTGCTACACTTGTGGATCGGGGCCGACCCTTCCTGTTGACCGAGCAAAGGCTGGGTACAGCTCGGCAGGATACAACTTCTCTAGATTTGTATCACCCAACAACAGTCTTATGGGGGGTGGCTCGCTGGTTACGAAGTACTTCCCGTGAGTGACACAGATGGGACCAAGACAAGAATCAAAGTCACACACCAACCATGTGCTGACAGTGCTGTGATTGCCGTCCTACGCAGCCACGCTTCCCCACGTCTGTTGGGCGGCTTGGGCCCACCACGACGAATATTTGAATAAGGGAGTTGCCGTCTCGTTACTTTTTGTGGTCAAGGTCGCGTCTGATGCAGTCTTCCCTGTTACCATAAGCCCCAATGAGGAGGCTTGGCCTTTCAGAACAACCCCAGTAGACCCCCCCAGTCACCCCCTAATACCCCTCACCAGGTTCACTCCGCTCGCAGTCAGCTGCACTTCGGCCGATCTCAAACACAAAAGTGGCACCCTCGTGATCACAAAACCACCGAGTCCGACTCCGCGCCCGCAGCAACCTCCATCCGTTGTACTTCTCACCAGTGAATCGAGCCAACCGCACTTGGAAGGTCAGAACCAACTTGAGCCTACCAGCTGTCTGTTCCATTCACTCGGCACTGTCATTACTGCATTACTGCATCACTGCATCACTACACTGTTCAGACGAACAGCCCCGAAAAGGAGGGACCCTGTTGTGAAGTGCGGAGATCTATCATCGCTAAAAAGTCTACGCCTTCCTACTAGTCATCATGGCTTTCCTTTCTGATGACATCCTCGATCATCTCGCAAGTTTCCTTTCTCCGGGAATATCCTTAAACATCACCTATCCTACCGATCTTTGGTATCATTTCACACACAAGATTACCACCATGTATTTTCTTGAGTTCTTTCTCTTGTTGTTCGGTCTGCTGTCGGCACAAGGCAAAGCCGCAGCACCATACGAGCTTCGTCCGCCTCCTCTAGACACCCCGTGGACCGAGAAGGTCGGAACCCAACCTTGGCCGCAGTACCCTCGCCCTCAGCTTCGCCGCGATGTCTGGCAGTCACTCAACGGGATCTGGACCTACCAGCCCGCCCAAGGAGCCGCTGATGTCACCAGCCTTCCGGCTTTACCTCTGGAGAAGGAGACTCTGATCCCGTCATGCATCGAGAGCGGCATTTCCGGCATCATGGACATGAGCTTCAGCGTCACTCACATGTGGTTCGGTACCAATTTCACCGTCCCGCCGCGCTGGGCCGAATCCGGTCGCCGAGTCATGCTCAACTTCGAGGCGGTTGACTATGAGGCCACTGTTCATGTCAACGGCGCCAAGGTCGGTTTCAACCGCGGCGGCTACTCGCGGTTCTCACTCGATATCACGGAAAACATTGTCTCGGGCAGTGTCAACGAGTTGTACGTATTCGCTAATGTTGGACTGTGAATGTAAAGTAAACTTACCTTATCTCAGGCATGTCTTCGTCTTTGACCCAACGGACGATCAGTCCATCCCTCAAGGCAAGCAGACGAAGCGGCTATCGCACATCTTTTATACACCCTGCTCGGGCATCTGGCAGACCGTGTGGCTTGAGAGTGTGCCCGAAAACTTCATCTCGACCCTTGACCTGTCAGCAGATATGAACGGCAAGGGTAAGTTAAGCCTCCATTGTCTGAGACGATCCCATTTCTAACATCAGGGTAGTTACTGCTACTGTCCATAGCCAGACAAAGGATGCGACTCCTATTGAGATCTCCGTGGCAGGTCCGCACGGTGATGTGGTGGCAACTCACCAACACGTATCAGACCGGGCTTTCACCTTCCAAGTTGACTCGCCGAAGTTGTGGACTCCAGACTCGCCGACCCTCTATAACGTTACTGTCACCATGGGGAAGGATGAAGTCCGGAGCTACACTGGCTTCCGCACCATCGCCTCCGGCGTCGTCAACGGCGTACAACGTCCCCTCCTCAACGACAAGTTTGTCTTCATGTTCGGTCCCCTCGACCAGGGATACTGGCCGGATGGCATCCACACACCCCCGACGCTGGAAGCCATGGTGTACGACCTGGAGGTTATCAAGGACCTCGGCATGAACATGGGTAAGTCAAACCACTACCCTTCTGTCCAAGCCACGCCCAGTAAACTTTGTAAACCACAACGCTAACATAACCCAGTCAGGAAACACATCAAGATTGAGCCAGACCTTTTCTACGAAGCCTGCGACCGCCTTGGCCTGCTCGTAATCCAAGACATGCCCTCGATGCGGGTGCACACCAACGCCAGGCCGACGGATGCGGAACAGAAGGAGTTCCAGCGCCAGCTCGAGATCATGGTGAACGAGCACAAGAGCTACCCGAGCGTCGTAACCTGGGTCATCTACAACGAGGGATGGGGCCAGATCACCGACTACCACCCGGAGTTTGCCCTGACCGACCGTGTCCGCGAGCTGGACCCGACCAGGCTGATCGATGCGGTCACTGGTTGGCACGACCACGGAGCAGGTGACTTTTCGGTACGTGATTTCCAGCCCCGAGTACAAACAACAAACAAAGACTGACTAGACTACCAGGACAACCACAAGTACGCCGAGCCCCAATGCGGCACCCCCTTCTTCTCGCAGCCCTCCTCGCCCTACGACCCCAGCCGCATCGGCTTCCAAGGCGAATTCGGCGGCATCGGCCTCCGTCCCGCCGACGAGAAGTACGTTAACCCCCCGTTTTCCCTCCCCTTTTAACCCACCCCAACAACAACCACCAACCACAGATACTAACCCCCCCTTTTTTCAAAAAAACAGCCTCTGGCCCATCCAACGCGCCGTCGACGCGATCAACCAGACCTACGAGATCCACTCCGGGCCGGAGTCGTTCCACTACCGGGCGCACGTGCTGCTCACGCAGCTGCGCGAGCAGGTGGAGCGGTACGCGTGCAGCGGGGCCGTCTACACGCAGACGACCGACGTCGAGGGCGAGGTCAACGGCCTGCTGACCATGGACCGGCGCGTGCGGCGCGTGGATGCCGAGATGTGGAGGCGGGATATCAGGGCGCTGTATGAGGCCGCGGAGAAGAGGGCTTAGGTGGTTCCTGATTCTTACGTGCCTGTATAGGTAGGTAAAGGGGGTTATTGTTGTTGGTGGTGGTTGGTTTGGTTTGGTTGGTGCTTGGCAGCTTGGCTTTGCTGTTTGTTGTTTGGGTTGGGTCTGGTTGGGTCTGGTTGGGTTTGGTTTGGTGGATTTGGTACTACCTCGGTCACTTCTCGTAGTCTAGCGATATGATATGAACATCTCTCGTGCACTGCATAAACTGATGCCCCTTCCCGAGCCATCCTCCCGCGATGTTGACTTGACGGTTGTTTCCGCTATCTCATTTGCTGGTGTTACTAGTCAGTTGACGTGAAGCTGTGTGACCAACCGCCAAGCAGCACTTGTCTCTCGCCTTTCCCGAGATAGGAAGGTGTGTTTACCCCATTGCCCTCATCACCCTGCATTATGCTTTTGCATTCCTCGTTGGTGGGTTCCTTTGCGCACCTCGACGTCATCGGGTCAGACTTGATGCGAGACAGCTGGATCATGGTCAGCTGTTGTGCGTCCGTTGCATGACACGGGTCACCGTCGTGCACTTCTTTTCTTCCCTTCCCCGGGGTTACACCGCAGGGCAACACGTCGGGAAGGGACCTGTCTCCTGGCAGTGCCGGAGCAGTGGAACAGTGTACATCAACGTGGCTATGCGGCGGGACGTGGTGTAGACGGGACGGTTTTGGTGTGTGGACTGGTTAAGTTCTTTGGCGCGCATGCCGCGGACTTTGGGACCTTGGATCGTGTGATGTGCGGGGTATCATGGCCGTTGTCACGTTGGTGATGCTGGATTGGTTTGAGCATTTAGATTGTGAGGTGTCAAGGTCAGGTCGAGAATTAGAAGTTTGGAGTTGTGTAAGGGTGGCGGCTGAAAAGGCTATTATAAATAGTTATCCCGGTGAGACGGAGAGAGGGGCTTAGGAGGAAGCGACCAGGTTGATCCAGCGTCCCTCTACCTAGGTAGGCAGCTTGCGGTAGCTAGCTCGTAGTTGATCGAGCTTCGGGAGAAGCTGACCAGCAGCGTAAACTATCAAACGTTATTGCCCGCTCAGTCCTTCTACTCGGGGCTCACTTCAAGTGTCGTTCACTCAACGCCGATCGTTGTACATCAGCCGGAGGTGGAGCAGCATCAAGCAAAACAAGATGTCTTTATCCGCTCGACGGCCCACAACAACGCAACCCACCTCTACTCCTCTGTGGCGCAATTGGCTAGCGCGTCTGACTGTTAATCAGGAGGTTGGAAGTTCGAGCCTTCCCGGAGGAGACGGTGAAAGAGTTGCTATTTTGATGCAGCTTCGCTTTCTTTTTGGGCTTTCCAGGGGCTGATGCTGCGGGCTGGCGTTGAGGAGCAGCGGTGCCGTCTCCTGGAACTCAGTCACATCTTGGCGGTGGTTGACGGATGGGTTGAATACGGCGGAATTGACGCGTTGCGAAGGCCGGCTTGACGGGATAACAAGGGGTGGAAGCAAAGAAAAATTTGAATGGTTGAAGGGGGTAATCAAGGGGCAACCAGAGCGGCTCAAGAACAGCTGTAGACGAAGTGATACGATTACCAGACCTCCTGACCGCCACGGAAAGTCTAGCACCACGGCAGCCTTCCCCTTTGGAACGGTTACGGCCGCCTGCACCTCCACAAAAACCGAGCCCTTTGGATAATTTAGAACCGTCTCCCTAGGACGGCTCTTAGCCGCCTGGTGTACCCTCTTCACCGCCAGGGACTCTAGGAAGCTCAGAACTGTGCCTACGGACGGACGGCTTATCCACTCTGTTAGTCGAGAATTCGAGTGCCTTTCGAAGGCAGTAGGCTTGCGTTTTGATGTGTTCTAATATCTAAGTGACAGGTAATTCATCGTGCGGTATCCGACTCATGGGTAGTAGACTTTAGCTATGCGCGAAATTTGAGTCAGTTTTGCTATCCATTACAACCGAGAACATGAAAGGTTGAACGAACGGCCAGTGTATGGCTTGTACAACTAACACAGGGAGCTACCCACATTATAGTTGTACATTGCGGTCCGTAAGGATCACCTGCCGTCATAATGCAATGGATCGAGAGATTTGACGAGTGGGTTGGAGTGTGGGTTCACGGGCCCACGCTGATAACATCAAATTTGGAACGTGGAGTCGGCGAGCCGTCAGTTCCGTGTTAATGCTGGCCTTTGAAGGCTCCTGCAACTTCTTATGCTGGCTCGGCACTGCTTAACCGCTCTGCCCCTTGCTGTTGTTATCTTCCGAGTTCCACTTGGTAGCAGCCCAAGGGCCCCCTACCTCCCTGGGCTCACTTTATTACCTATGCAGTTTACCTACGAGGTTTCCAGGTTGACACCTTATCAGCTCTCACAGTGCAACTCCTCTTTCCCACAAAAGAGTCGTCCGAGTCAGTCACGTCCATCTTCCATGGAATTCTGATGGATGATCCCGAACTCGCCGAGGGTTTCCACAGGTTTATTCTATTAAATACCGTCTCGCGCCCAGCGGGAGCAGAGACAGTCCATTTCAGCTTCAAGCCAAGCTTCTCAACTGTTCCCACGCCTCTATAATTACAACCTCCATTTAGTCTGACGTCACAACAGAGATGGGATGAAATCACCTCCGATGTCCACTCCCCCGCTCGAGGCCTGGGAGAGAGACTTACGTCCCATGGAATGGAATTATTGAAGGGTATCTGAATCTGGGAACCTTAAAGGGTGTAGACAGAAGCCCAGAGGCTTCCAGCGTTGTAAGTGCAAGCCCGCGGTCATGTTAGCGTCAGAGTGACGTTCCGTGCCGTAGCAAATCAGCTTGTTTAGCACTTCCTCTTGTCCTTTATCCACCCTGCTCGGGTAATGGGATGCCGGGGGAGCTTCCACCCCTAGGGTCCTTCGAACTGAGCAAAGATCGAGGCATTGTTCTTGACGACTGGGTGTGGCCTTCTCGGTGCTACTATCCTTGACTGAACACGCGAAGGACAGACATTTTCTGCTTTGAACCCTGGAGACCTTGGATTCTCAATGCTGGTGAAAGTACCTAGTAAGAGACGGGTTCAGGGGGGTGGGGAAGATGTAACGACATCTGGAACCGTTTGATATTGCGTGGTCAATGGGGGTACAAGGGGATGACAGGCGTGGGGGATGTTACGTACTAATAGGTCTTCCCGACAGCTGGTTCCATAAGTTTGAATCATGAGTTTGTTTGCAAGCGAACCCATGGGTTCGACGACTCCTAACCCAGGGCAGTCCGGGGCTGTTACAAAATCCCGAAGGCGGGATCATACTCCTCGTCCATGAGATAATCATTCGAATGCGCCCGGTCCTCGATGCAGAGCCTTGCAAACGCTTCAGCCAATACGTCTTGCTCAACATCGATGTTTAGGCGTCGTATCCCCAGCATGACTGCCTCGAGGGAGACTTGGAACTGAATTTTGGCATCTCCATGTTTCGTCTTGATGGCCGTCGCGAGAGAATAGTCGCTGCGGTAGTATTTCGTCAAGGCCCAGGCGAAAGGGTGCAACATGCCCGTTTTTGGCATGTTGCCTCGTAGGTTTAGCTTCTTTTTGGCTTGGACCTGGCGGTTATCCCGCCAGTGCTGCTTGTGGCTTCCGGCGCCGTGTCCCCTTTGACTCGGGCGTTGTTGCACAACCATATTATCGGTTATTAGTTGACCGAGCGAAAGAGGACCGAGGTGGGAAAGGACGACGGGCGAGAAAAAGGGTCGCGAGTTGGAGGAGAGGCGATGGATGGGGGCACTCCGAATCGGCTGAAACGACACAAACGTACGCCGGTTGATCCGTGGCGGTCTTTGTAGTGAGGGGTTGGATCTCGCTTTGCAGATTCATAACCAGATCCGTAAGTTGATGGAGCTGTGTCTGTTGGTCGCGGAGTGTCACTGCGTTCTCTGTCTGTCGGGGTTGGTATCGAACTATCACAAAATGCTGGAAGTGTCAAGGGATTAAAGAAAACGTACACACAGAAAGGAACGGGTGGGGAGTTTCTGTGAGTTGATGATTGTCAACATGTAAGCCTTTGGGGATGCTCATGGAAAACGAGTCGGAGTCGTGGGAGTTGCGGCGTGGTTTCGTGTTTTTCGTGTTTGCCCGTTCAGCCTTGTGTTGATAAAAAAAAAAACACCCTATCGGAGGTCTACTTGTTCGGCATGAACATCATCGCGCCGGCTGCAACGCGTTGGGACCGAAAGCACAAACCTCGCGGGCTGGTGACAAGTGATCGTATGGCGCCGGGCCGGCGTGAATGTCACTTGCCAGACGACACAGGAATATAGACTTTCTTAGCGCTGTTCCATATCAACAAAATTGGAGAGCAGAAGGTGCCGGTTAGCTTAGTGCTCTGGCTTTGTCAACGCATCTATGGCCGGGCACTCGAGGCAGCTTTTTCACTGTTAACAATCCCAGAGGCTGATGGTTCGAATTTCAGCACGCAAGTCTCGGCACCCCCCGGCCTATTCATGACTCGTCATGTCGCCTCCGAAAGTGCATTACCGCCTTTGCGGACTGGGAAGGAGGCTATCAAGCTTCTGGACCGTGACCACAGTCAAATAGCTATCTTGGGTGCAGATATGCCGGCAATAACAGACCGCTGATGGCCTGAATGGTATGGGCAACGCTCACAGCCTTCCAATCTCCAAGTGTAGCTACACTCTTCTTTGTTGCTTTCCTCCCCGAGTTTTGTCTTTAGAGGTATAAAGTCTCCGACTCTATTTGTACAATGACAGGTTTAACTTAGGTAGCTTAGACAGTCTTATTATTGAATATACTAACATTGTATTTACCTCCTTTCTACTTTCTCATATAGATGATAATAATTAATGTAATGCAGAACATGGTGTTGCACCCCCCGGGAATGGCGTCCTTCCTAATCGGGTATAGCGCTCCGCCAGATGCCAGACCTACATACTCGCACGGCCCAGCAGCGCCGGCAGCTTAAATAGAGCCCCTCATCTCCAACGTCCCTTTCTTATACTCTCGACTTCTCCCTCGCTCTTTGCTTTACTCGGTTGCTGCCTCCTCT